GCCCCCCGGCCCCTCTGGCCCACCACGGGTCATCGGATCTCCACCCAATCCCCCCCCCCCCCCCCCAACACCCCCACCCCCCCCCCCCCCACCCCCCCCCCCCCCCCCCCCCCCCCCCAAAATGCCCTCAGTTTATGGCCACATGGTCCATGTGACAGGACCAACCTCAATATTAGCTGCACATGTATGTAAACTAACCCCCACCCCCTTTCACTATTGCTAACTGCAGTCTCGCACTCATAGGGCGAAGATTGGAAGCGACTTCGCAAACGTTTCAACCCTGGATTTGCACCTCAGCACCTATTGTCATTTCTCCCCTGTATTATAGAAAAGTCTTTCATATTCCTTGATCATCTGGACAAATTTGCACACAATAGACAATCATTCTCTTTCAGCAATCTTACAGGGAATTTGGTCTTTGATATCATCAGCGGCGTGGTCATGGATATCGACTTCGGCGCTCAGAATGAAGATCGGGCAGGAGAGTTTATGCAGACCTACCGCGACTTATTCGAAACGTACACAAGTGAGCAAATGGACCTTCCGTGGTTCCTCACGCCACGTGTGGAATGGAAACGTCAGAAGCTCGCAAAACGTGTGAGAGCCACGTTGAAAGGTATTGTCCGTGACACATTTGCTAACCGGCGGGCCGAAACTACTAAATCTCGGAGCATCTTATCGCTGAGTTTACAGGATGATGTTAATACGTTAACTGCAAAAGCAATTAGCGAAGCTTGTGATCAGCTTAGCACTTTCTTGTTTGCGGGACATGACACAACTAGTATCTTACTCTCATGGCTATTTTATGAGTTATCGCGGACGCCGCATGCTCTGCAAGCTTTACGGGCTGAGTTAGATGGTTTTTTCGGTCCGGGTGCGTATTCCCGACCTAGTAATTAGAGAGAAGTTCGCTGATTAATACTAGACTCAGACCCTTCCGGAGTGCGTGAGAAACTACTCTCAGACGAAGGTAGAGACATTTTACAACGTATGCCTTATACAACAGCCGTAATTAAAGAAACTCTTCGATTATAGCCACCCGCCGGCACAGCCCGCTCAGTGCAACCCGGAACAGGCATTACGGTACATACACCACAAGGAGGGTACACCTTAGACGGAGTAGACGTCTATAACTGCGCTATCATGATCCAGCGGGACCCGGAGGTGTTCGGAGAGACCGCAAATGATTTTGTACCTGAGCGCTGGCTTCCTGAAGCAGTAGACCAGATCCCTACGTCGGCTTGGCGACCCTTTGAGAAGGGCCCGCGGAATTGTATAGGCCAGGAGTTGGTTTGGATTGAGGCGCGTATTGTGGTGGCACTTGTTGCGCGCCGGTATGATTTTGTCAAGGTGAGTAATATCTTCCTAATAGTTGTGAAATATAGATATTAATGGTTACTTGTTTACTTGTTTACTTAAGGTTGGGATTGGTGAGTTAAGCCTTGACGATAATGGTAAGCCAATTTTGGACGATAAAAGGCGTTTTAAGGTGGCTTCGGAAATGTATCCGGTAAGTTAAGATCTCTCGGAGATGGGTTAAAGGTTTTCTTATTGCTTGGCTAATATAATTGATAGACACGGCAAGTAACTCCGAAGCCCATCGATGGCATGGTAATGCGGGTGAGAATTAAGTAATACAATTTAATGTTATTGAATTACGATCTTACTGTCGACTAAATACTCTGTTTTCGGGTTAGGTATTGAAAAACATATGGTCGGCGACCTATAGAAGCCACGTATAAATGTATCGGAATAATACCTACGATGTACTTAAGAGACGGAAGACTAAAGATGCAGTTGGTGGTCCAATTAGATCAAGAAGCTTAAGGTTGAAACTATTTCACGACAAGGATTACGGGAGGGACGCTAAGACTGTCTGGGGTATCTACATCTGTGGAGCTAACAAACCCGGTTTTGTGGGCGGTACATATGTAGTGGGTGGCGCAGAGACCGTGCGGTGGTCAAAGCCAATTTAAGCCCGCAATTTTGGCTTTCACCGACGCCCTGGGCACAGGACACTAAAATTCATGTTGCAGTAGCGACATTCAGGGCTACATATCATTTTCATAATACTTCCAAGGTTCCTCAGTACTTGTTATATTCAGCAAAAAGGATCTGTCAGTTTTGTATATACTTGCGTACCTACAATAGAATATAATATAATGTAAGCGACATCTGCACATATGTCTTTATTCTCTCGAGTCGCGGGCTGTACATTCGAGTCATAAATGAACCATCGCAATCTAATTCATGGATATTCATGGAAACACGGCATTGTGTGTAGCATTCAATCTGACTCTAACCACAAAGCTGAATGCATTTCTTTTTTTAATCGGGCAGGAAATCCGAGAGCCTCCTCGGAAGCCGACACGTATCATACATATATAGTATATAGTGCACACTCGTGTAGTGAGACTCGGTACCCCTAAGTGGCATTGAAATGTCGACAGTTAGTCTTACTACAGTACGTAGATGACGCGATCGGATATCAACAAATAACGTTCGACATATTTACAAATTTTAAGGGTATGACAGGTTCGATCGATATGCGATCTTGGAGAGCCGTTTCAATGTTGTAAAATATAACGCTTTTTTTTTTGGTTCTTCTGAAGCGTAGCTTAGGTCCTAGTAATCGGTCAAACTGCTAAGAGTTGTCGCGCGAGGTACATACCTTCAAACTTGAAACGGTGACGACACTTCAAATACCTACCTACACAAGTTGCATCACATTCAGTATTAGAAGTTGTACATGAATAATAACTAAAGCTTTTCGGGAGCGATCAAATGACTTGAAATAGTTGTAATATCAATAATATTCAATACTATTAGATTGGAAACCCTTGCGAAAGGAAGGACTATTGACACATTTTATTAATGTGTGTGATAAGTTGGTAACCTTAGGCAAGGCAGGGCAGACTGCTAGGATCAAAGGTTCCTTAAATCGCTGTACTGGCTGACTGGACGAAGGTTGCAGCCATTTTTGCACGTACCACCCGCCGCATCCACTTTACCAGCGTCAAATCTGACACTAAACCCGCAGCAGTAGCGGGGGGACAGTAGCGAGCAGTTACGGGCTACCTAACAATAGGTACCTATCCACCTAACCAACCTGCACTTTCCGCCCTGCTTTGGCTTCTAAATTGAGTTGAGTTGAGTCTGTGGTGCATCGGCCAAATCCCCAAACCTTCCACCACCACCATTTTCAGCCCTCAATCCTAGCGCGCGGGCTGCTATTATTGTTACTATATTCTTCATCTCTAGTAGATTGATCGCTCTTAATTCACCTACTTGATTATTCCTCTACCTTACTATCTTCTTATACCTTATACCTTTTTGTATAGTTGCCAACCTTTTCTGGCATATCTAAGGACGTTGCCGTTTCTCCACGCGCAAGTCTTCCACATTGATACATACATATACATATATTACTTACATACCGACCGACCGACAGTCCTACATATTGTACCTACATCGTCGTTTCAACGATACACACCGAGCCTGTATCTCTCTAGGGGGCGATGTTCTTCTCCATTTCTCTTCTTTGATGGCGCTCCCTTATTGACCTAAGCTGCGTGGACCGGCGAGAGAGCGACCATGACGCGGGATGACGGCCGCATCACCTCCTTCGCGAGTTCCAGCAGCGGACACTCCAACATTACCGTGAAGCCTTCTGCTCCTAGTCGTTCAGTTTCTGTCTCCTCAGCCTCGACTAAAGCTACCCCAAGACCTATAAAGACGAGCGACCATGGCAAATTCAGGTACGTCCGTGTCATGTCTTTTTTTCGATGGGCATGTCGAGTCAATGAATCGTGCGAGGAGCTCTCGGCCCCGTTACGTTTTCGCCCGAAGCCCATCTAGTATTTCTTAGCTAGAAACAAGTCGAGTAACGAGAATACAATATACATGACGCTTCCTCTCCATCCTTAAACAAATATTTGGTCCGCAAATCCTCAACAAAGTCCCCTTGAGCTAACAAAGTGTCCGTTTCGTCTCATATAGACAGTTTAAAGAAGACGCCCCAGTCTCACCAACGGCGTCCGGTCATCGCATTGCTTTGTCACCATCTTCGACCGCGTCCAGTAGCTCCCTCCTCGATACCCGTCGTATGAGTGATTTGACCAACTATCGCCGCGACCTTGCCGTACTTGATCCATCTGGTGGTCGCATCCCACAAATCCAACGAGATCCTCCGATGACTAGTCCGAATTCCCAGCAAAATATGCCTCCATGGATGTCTGTTAACAGCGGCGCAGCTGCCTCCCCGACCGGATTTGGAACGAGTTTTTACAACGATTCGAGCGATAACGTCTCAACCACCTCACAATTATCACCTGCTCTTCGAATGGCCCCTTCACGGCCTCAAGCAGCGTCGAGCACCGATTCACCCGATGGGGCATATTTCACCGATGACAGACGGCCATCGGCAGCCAGCGTGACGACGGCTAGTAGCCAAGGTTCTAAGAACAGTGGTAGCAGGGGCGGATTTAAGAAGCTACAGGGGTTCTTCGGGGAGGATTTCCCTGGTCGCGATTCATCCGACATCAGCCTACCACAACCTCCGCTTACCCAAGGCCAGGTGAAGGAACAACGGTCTTACTCCTTCAACAGACCGCGTCGAGGCCGAAATGATTCCAATGCTACTGACCATACTAGAGAGCCATCGCCATCCTCCTCCCGACCACGAACACCAGTACCATCAAGCGACGTAGTCCCATTTTTATATCAGGAAGTCAACGATATCGCTAAATACGGCGAGGCTCCAGTTCGCGACGCGCTTGCCGGACCGGACAGAGAGCGTTATACGCAGGAAAACCCCAGCCAGATACCGCCGAAAACTTCGTCGTCCTCTCGCTCTCAACACTCCATCGTCCATATGCACGGCCACCACCGCCACCATAAGAGCAGCGATGATCCTAATTCGTTACGGCCGGTAGTCAGTCGTGAGGACTCAGCCTTGAGTGTTCATAACATGAAAGACAGAACGGGGACCGCAATTTCTGCGGCGCGATCGCGAGCTCAGAGCCCCACACCAAGCAGCAATAGCAATGGCAGTAGACTCGCGTCTATCGATGGCCAAACATCGCCTGGTGGTCCCAATAAACGAAACTTTCTCGATCGCCTACGACGACACAAGCACCACAAGGACGACGCGCAGTCCTCTCGTTTAAGAGGCCTGCCTAGTTCTACTCGCTCTCTAGCAACTTCGTCGTCGAGGCAGGATTTGTTGAAGGGGATGCAGTCGCCTTACGACAAACCTCTACCTACTCCTTCCGAACCCGCCCCGCCTCCATCTCGCCCAGGTAATCCTCGACAAGCGACTTTCAATAATAAATTTCCCTTCTCTAAGAAGGGCCGTCCGCATAAGTTCCACGATGACTTCGACGAACACATAGGTCCGACCGAGAGGAATGATAAGGGCATGGTATTTCACCTCGATACGAACCTTAGCGATATGGAGGGGATCCTAGCTCAACCTCCACCGTTGACGCCTATGGAGCCGTCGGACTTGCTAGCTGACATGGAATTCCTTGAACCAGCTGTCCAACAAGCCAAAGGAGGAAATGGAGTATGGAATGCGCCGGACAGCTGGGCTGTCCGTCGCACTGCAGAGGAGCGGGAAGCTCACGTCCCCGAAGTCGACGATGTTGGAACGCCACCTCGACCGGAAGAAAAATTGAGTCCTCACTGCATCAGAGTGTTCCGTGCCGATGGCACTTTTGCTACCGTGCAAATGCCCTTGAACTCGACTGTGCACGATGTTATGATGCAAGTCATTAAGAAGACTCGTGTTACCGAGGGTCATAATTACCATATAGTATTGAGGAAGCATGACTTGTCTCGGGTCTTAGCGGCTCCGGAGAAGCCTCTTCTGATTCAAAAGCGACTTCTCCAACAAGTGGGATATGAAGAGAAAGATCGTCTAGAGGATATTGGCCGCGAGGATAACGGTTACCTATGCCGTTTCTTATTTTTGTCGGCCAGGGACAACCATTTTACAATGACTCCTCAGGACCTTGGACTTGGTAGGGCTACGAAGTTTAATCATGTTGATCTCTCTGGACGGAATTTGATTACGATCCCTATAACGCTCTACTCCAAGACCAACGACATCATATCGTTAAATCTTTCAAGAAATCTTTCTCTCGACCTCCCGCGAGACTTTGTCACGTCGTGTCCGCAGTTGCGCGATATCAAATATTCCAACAACGAAGCTCGGAAATTACCCATCAGCATCGGGAAGGCATGTCGGCTTACGTACCTTGACGTGTCGAACAACCGATTAGAAGAGTTGGAACATGCCGAGCTTAGCAACCTGACGGGTTTATTGAAGTTAAGCTTAGCAAACAATCGCCTGAACCGCCTTCCTCAAGACTTCGGCGCTTTTAGGGCTCTTCGCTCCTTGAATCTATCCTCGAATTTCTTAGATAAATTCCCGGCCTTCTTAGGTGATCTGGAGAGTCTAATTGACATCGACATTAGTTTTAATTCTATCGCCTCCCTCCCCGATGATTTTGGCAAGCTTCGAAACCTCGAAAAATTTGTCATGACTAATAATCGACTCGCGGGATCGTTGCCAGACGCCTTGTGCGAATTGACAAGCCTTCGCGAATTGGATATAAAATACAATACGCTCACTGCGATCGATGTTGTCTCCGAGCTTCCTAAGCTGGAAATATTGTCCGCGGACCACAATATGATATCTCAATTTGTTGGCAGCTTTGAACGAGTTCGCCTTCTCAAACTAAATTCTAATCCTATCACCAAGTTCGAAATCACAAGCCCTATGCCGACTCTAAAGATGCTAAACTTGTCAAACGCTCAACTTGCCAGCATAGACGGTTCATTCAACAACATGGTCAATTTGGAAAGACTTGTCTTGGACCGAAATTACTTCGTTTCTCTTCCCAATACGATCGGCAACCTGAGAAGACTGGAGCATTTCAGCATAGCTCATAACTCTGTGGGTGAACTGCCTTCGGAAATCGGATGCTTGAATGAATTGAAACTACTGGATGTTAGAGGGAACAACATTAGGAAGTTGCCCATGGACCTATGGTGGGCGAACAAGTTGGAGACGCTGAACGCCTCGTCGAATGTTCTGGAGAATTTCCCCAAACCTGCATCCCGTCCGCCACAAATGCCTGGCGAGTCCTCGGGATCTCCGGCCCCTATTAACAAAGCTCCAAGTGGACCGCTATCCCAAACATCCAGCTCCGAAGATCTTACACCTGACGGATTCCGACGGCCTAGCCAAGCATCAAGCACATTACTTAGCGTTGGGCCCTCCCCTGTTCCGAACGGCGCGGATCGGAAGAGCTCTGTCGTTTCGGTCTACGGAAAGGGCGGGCGAAAAACATCGGTTGTCTCACGAAGCACTACAGCTAGTAGTGTCAATGGATCTACGCCCGGAATTATGACCCCTTCTGCATCATCGAGGAAAGATTCCGGACTTTCCAATCGGTTGACTAACACGTTTGCCGGCTCGCTGAGATACCTATATCTTGCTGACAATCAGCTTGACGACGACGTGTTTGATCAAATCACACTTCTAGCTGAATTACGTGTCCTAAATTTATCCTACAATGATCTCAGCGATATGCCACAGCGCTGCATTAAGAATTGGCCTCAGCTTGTGGAACTCTACCTATCGGGCAATGACCTTACTAGTCTGCCGGTTGACGACCTGGAGGAGTATAGTTTAATCCAGGTGCTTCATATCAACAACAACAAATTCACAAATCTCCCAGCAGATATCTCTCGTGCCAAGAAATTGGCTATACTGGATTGTGGAAACAATTCCCTCAAATATAATATTTCAAACGTACCTTACGATTGGAATTGGAATCTAAATCCAAATTTGCGATTCCTTAATTTGTCAGGAAACAAACGTTTGGAAATCAAACATACCAATCTTGGGCTTGGGTCCCAGAGTCGCGAGCAGTACACTGATTTCAGTCGATTGCTAAATCTCCGTGTTCTTGGGTTGATGGATGTAACTCTTACTCAGCCTAGTATACCGGACCAAAGCGAGGATCGCCGTGTCAGAACTTCCGGTTCATTAGCTGGCCAACTCCCGTATGGCATGGCTGATACCCTAGGCAGGAATGAGCATTTGTCAACAATTGATCTGGTCGTTCCAAGATTCAACTCTTCAGATACAGAAACGCTTTTAGGTTTGTTTGACGGCCAAGCGCTATCTAGCGGTGGCTCTAAGATCGCCAAGTATTTACACGAGAACTTCGGTCACATCTTTACGATGGAGTTGAAGGCTTTGAAGCCTCACCTACAAGAGACCCCTAATGATGCACTAAGACGCGCGTTTCTGGCTCTCAATAAGGACCTTGTCACTGTAGCTATCGAACATACCGAAAAGAGGCCATTGATGTCGCATCGTGGCTCATCAGCGCCCGTCGTTCTTAGCAAGGAAGATCTCAATTCCGGCGGTGTTGCAACGGTCGCGTACCTTCAGGGCCAAGAGTTATATATTGCCAATGTTGGTGACGCACAAGCTATGCTTATCCAATCAGACGGCACACATAAGATCCTGACTCGGAAACATGACCCTGCTGAGCCAAGTGAGCGACAGCGAATACGCGATGCCGGAGGTTGGGTGTCACGGCAAGGAAAACTAAACGACTTGCTTGAAGTTTCTCGTGCCTTCGGCTACGTTGACTTGATGCCAGCCGTACAAGCAGCTCCCCATATTACCCAAATGTCTATCACACCGCAGGACGAGACAATACTGATAGCAACGAAAGAGTTATGGCAATATCTCACGCCGGGTTTAATAGTGGATGTCACTCGATCGGAGCGAGGCGATCTCATGCGCGCTTCGCACAAGTTACGAGATCTTGCCATCGCCTATGGATCAACAGGGAAAATCATGATCATGATGATCAGTGTTGCTGATCTGAAACGGCGCCAGGAACGGTCCGCTCGGTTACACAGAGGACAGAGCATGTCGTTGTATCCCTCTGGTGTCCCAGACGAATTCCAGTACCAACCGAAGCGAGGCAGGAAAGCCAAAGGCGAGGTCCAAGATTCCACATTACACCGACTTGAAGCTGAAGTTCCCGCTCCTATTGACAAGCCTTCCATCGTTTTCACAGATATCAAGAACTCGACTAACCTGTGGGAAATGTACCCCTCGGCTATGAGATCCGCGATCAAACTCCACAATGAAGTTATGCGCCGGCAGCTTCGCAGGATCGGTGGATACGAAGTCAAGACTGAAGGAGATGCTTTCATGGTCTCTTTCCCTACTGCCACCTCGGCGTTGCTGTGGTGCTTCGCCGTCCAGACATCATTACTTGGTGTGGACTGGCCTGCCGAAATTCTTAACTCGGTTTCGTGTCAGGAAACATATGACAAGGACGGCCAACTCATTTTTAGGGGCTTGTCAGTCAGAATGGGTATTCATTACGGTGAGCCAGTGGCCGAGATTGATCCCGTCACGCGCCGTATGGATTATTTTGGCCCTATGGTAAATAAGGCATCTCGTATATCCTCTGTAGCAGACGGGGGTCAGATCACCGTGTCGGCGGATTTCATTTCGGAGATTCGCCGCTGCCTAGAGACATATTCAGAAAACGATCGAAACGGGTCTACTGGTTCCGCGGATACCTTCGATGATGATATGGTAACGGCAATCATACGAGAGATGAAGTCGCTGAGTTCGCAAGGATTCGAGGTCAAGGAGATGGGTGAGCGGAAATTGAAAGGTCTTGAAAACCCGGAGTATATTTACTCCCTCTACCCACACTCTCTCGCAGGTCGCATAGACCACCATAGCAGCGCTACGGTGGCCGAGGTTGCCGAGAAGCCCGCTACACTCCAAGCAGGAAGTGACATCGGATTTGATCCGGAGCATATCTGGTCTCTATGGAAAGTCAGTCTTCGCCTTGAGATGCTTTGCAGCTCTTTGGAAGAGCTTTCCGGTAGGGGTCTGCAACCGCCTGAGACCGAGCTATTGGAGCGTATGAAGCAACGAGGTGGCGAGGTTACGGAGCGGTTCCTATTTAACTTCATGGAACACCAAGTGAGCCGTATAGAGGCAAGTTTTCAATTCCTGGGCAGTCATTAGTTATAAATACTAACCTTACTAGACATGCGTATCGACCCTCACTATGCGGCATATTGCGATGGGCAGCGGCCCAATCACCACTCTAGATGATCTCCGAACTCCAATGGCCGTCGTCCTCGATAACCTAGCCGTGCAGTTAGCCGAACTCGAGAGGTATAAAGCGAAATACGGAGAACTTGTTACCGACAGTGAAGACAACGATTTGTCTGATGACGACTTCTAATTGGTCACGTCTTTTGCCTCCCATATAGTATACGAATTCGGTTCGGCATTCCACACATCTCGGCGTATCATCTTGCATTCTTCACGCATCCAAATTGGGACATAGTATCCCTCCTATATACAATATACGTCTCTTGTAATGTGCTACGACGAAAATAACACGACTGCTGGCGAGGGCAAGGTGATTTGGTTCTGCTTTTTAAAGTCATAGGCGGGGGTGGTGCAACTGAAATATGAGCAACGGCGTCATGCGAACAGCCGAGGGCTCAAACGGGGTCAAGTATGCTGAGAGCACTCATGAATACCTAACTATCCCGTGTTCTGCGTTTTTGATTTTGAAATATCCGAAAAAAGAAAAGCGTGGTGGTTTTTTTCTGGACATAAACCTACATACTTCTCATCATATCATCCATCACTATTATTAGTATCGGTACAGGGCATGGCATAGGGTTGTTGTCTGTTGTCTGTTTATTGATTACAAGGACATAATTAGCTGGCTATGGCTTATTGTTATTTGTGTTGCCTTTGTTTTTTTTCCGGTGCCGATACTCATAACTCACAACCGCAGGTATAGTGCTGCGAGGTGACGTTTTTTTGTCCTATTCGAGGGAGGAGGGAAATTAGAAATATTGGGCACATACGCACACAATGAGTCGGGAGGATTAACTGATTGGTTGATTGATAGTGATTCCCTCTTTTGTTGAAAGGATTTTGTCGTTGCATGGTTAATCGTCAAGGATGGGGATGGCGATGTTTGTTGTAAGAAGCAACGCAACGACGGTAATGCGTATGGACGTTAGTCATGTCATGTCATATCATTACTTACCTATTATTACCTATTACTACCTAAACCGCCTAAGCATGAATGAATGGAGGAATGGATTATTGATTGAGTACGGCTGCTGGCTAGCATCGTCGTTCGTACTGACGTACCCGCGTATGTATGTATTATCTGATACGCTGAATAGCATAAGTTTCAACTGCCTTGAGTGTTAGTAGTTGTTTAAGTGGTAGATGAGTGAATGAACATACCTAGTAATAAAGATAGGACAGGTGATTCGGGCTTGTCGATTCGATTGCGTTGATCTTGAATTTGGGGGTTCGTTGGTGATTCGTTGTGAGAAGTGTTCGTGATAGATGTTAAGCTTAGGGCTTGGGTAAAACGCTCCTAGGATAAAAAGGAACTCCTTGTAGGAAGGAAGTTAAGGAAATGAGTTAAGAAGATCGTGGGTGTTGTGGAGGGGAGTGAAGTCTAGAATTTTGAGTGTGGTGGAAGTAGGTCATATATTGAGACCATCAAACCTCGAAAAGAGTCGAAAAAAAAAATAGAATATTAAAGCAATGTCATTATTATAACCTTAACATAAGCATAAAACAGCCGTTGGATACATAAAAAGTCAATTCGAAGAAAAAAACAATTTTGCACCCACCGGGATTCGCACCCGGGTCTTTCCCTAACCAAGCTGCCAGTGAGGCAAATCATGGGAGGGGAATGAGCTGAACTACTGCTCCATAGGTGCCTTTCTCAGGTTTTACATCCCCGGATTTCCTAATCTCATGCTAATTAATTATCATAAGGTCTTTTCTGTTTTTATTCTTTCCCTGTTGCTCTTTCCATTGAGGATGTGGGATGGAAGCTGCGGAGGGCGAACTACAGCAGAGTGTAGGGAAGGTACCAAACCGCTTGTCTGAGACTTTAGCTGCCGTACGTAGCGGTTTCCTAACGTACCCGCTTGGGTTGAACTATAATGCAAACACGAGGCCAGTTGGAGCAATAGATTATGTCTCATCTCTATATTATACTTCTGAGCTATATCTGTGCTTATTCTATCTATTCCTACTCCTTATGAGCTAACTCAGTCGGCTGAAGTATTTCATCCACCTCAGAATATTCCTTACAATTCTAGAAAGAGGTCCGTTCAGGATGCTCAGAGTAGAGGGGATATCGCATGCAAACACAGCTCGCCCCGATTGTAGATAGGAAAGGAAGCGGCTACATACCTGACGGGCCAACACCTGCATACATCCGGGAATAAACAGGTAAGGCCTCTACTATCATACAGACATACAACACAAACACAAGGCAATTTTCAAGGCAGTTCATTGGTCCAATAATTGTTTTTGGTATTATAACGAGTGGTGCTTTGCAGACTCCTCCATCCGTTAAATGTTAAGTTTAAGGTTGTAGTAGCTGAGGGGGGTATATCGATTTAATATCTCGTTTGTTCATTCGCTCACTCACTCATATTCCCAATCTAAAAAGAATCAACACCTCTAACATATATCGCTCCCACCATACATGATGCTAATATCCCACATATAAATCCGTTCATCCAATCGGGTAGAGTCGGGTGTTCGTCTAAGGTGGAAATGGATGGGAACCAGCTTCATCCAATCCCAATATCCAGTCCTGATTGCTTGCATGCTTTCTGAGTGAGAGCTTTCCCCTCCAATTTTTCTTTCTTTCAACGTGCCCGCTCAGCCTTGCCACGTCACTCGTACACGCCGAAATTGAAAAAGGTCAAAAAGTGTTCACCCAAAACACCGTACATAATGCCGTACAATACAGAGAGCATCAAAGCTCGTGACCTCTTTAGACACGTACAAGAGCGACGACCAATGCTGACCAAAAATGCTGCTGAGAAACCAGTAGTTCCGAGGGTATAGAAAAAAGCATGCAAACCAATCCAAACTGAGGTACAATCCAGGGCAATGCTTCGAACATAGCCAACAAATTACTTCCACGGCCAATTAGTAGGCCTCACAAACTGACCAAAGTTCTAATTCTTTAAGCACCAGCGCCGGTGAGCTTCTTCCACCAACTGCTTCGAGGTGTCGAGTCAGTAAAGAAAGACTCGCGTGGACCTCTATCAGCAGCGCTAGGAGGGGCAGCGGCTGCACCACCGCTTCCGTCTGAACCACCAGGAACACGTCGATCTCGGCGGTCTCGCTCTTCGCGACGGCGACGGCGTCGCCTGTCATCCTCCAAGTCGGCCTCCATGTCACCATATTTAGCGCGACGACGAGCCGCCCGGCGTGCAGCACGGCGGGCTTCCTCATCATCCTCATCCTCTTGAGGTACGAGGGCGCTAGGGCCATCTTCAGGAGGTGGGCCGGCATCTGAGTGTTCCTTCACCCAGGAATCAGTACCCGAATGAGGCCAGGCCATGGTTTTACTTCGCTTATGATCACCGACGGCATATCGCGAGGTTCTTTCTGGAGGGTATACGTAGTCGTTAACCGGCATCGAGCGTCTTCGACTGGCCTTTTCCTCTGCGCGTCTAGCCTCGTGTCTTCTCCGTCTGCGCTCTTCTTCATCCTCGGAAGCGTCTACGTACCGAGATCGCCGTCGTTCGGCTCGGGCTGCGCGTCTTGCTTCGGCTTCTGCCTCTTCGGCGGCAGCAGCTTCCTTTTCGAGTTTGCGAATTCGACGACGTTCAGCTCTCTCGGCTTCCTTAGCTTCGGCGGCAAGGCGTTCAGCTTCGCGTTCTCGAGCAGCTCTTCGTTCGGCTCTTCGGATCTCGCGATCGGCTTGTCTGCGTGCTTCGGCTTCCTCTTCGTGTCTCCTACGTCTTTCGCGCCTCTCTTCCTCTTTAGCAAGGCGAGCCTCTTCGGCGGCCCTTTCCTCTGCTTTTCTGGCACGGCGAGCGGCGCGACGGGCCTCTCTTTCCTCATCTATCGCATCGGTATCAATATCGCGATAATCCCGCGAAGATCGCCTAGCTCTTTTGTCAGGCCTAAAATCATCATCCGTGGTATAATATGTATTGCGACGACGAGGCTCGGGTCGAGATTCGGGTCGTGGTTCGGTCCGTGGAGTCGAAGACATGAGTCCTCCAAAAAGGCCAGCAATGCCTTTCTTAGCGCTAGAGTTCGATCGTCTGAGAGGGGTCGCGTCGGGAATTGATGTATCGACCATTACGATGTCATCTTCGGCCTTGGGCTGTTCTAGATTAGCGACATCGCAATTCGGGTGTGGGTGCGCATTTACCTTAGATCGCCTTCGAGTCGGTTTCTCTGGACTCGAAGGTACATCGGGAGGACCGACCATGACAATATCATCCTCTTCCATAGCGCGCGCCGCAGACATCTTGCGACTACGACTCTTCTGGCTCTTGTCGACGCCGAGAACCCTTGCAGCCTTGGACGACATTGAAGGCATTTCTTCGGGCGGCGGCGACACCAAGCCACCCGACATTTCGACGGAATGACGCCGCGAACTAGACTTGCTTGTAGTATGACGCTTCTCGCGGGTAGACATAGAGCGCGAGATCGGGGGAGTGCTTTGAAATAGGCTGTTTATGCGCGGCTTAGGAGTCGCCGCGGACTTCTTTTCTCGGCGCTCTTCGGTCCTAGTGTCCCTATCCGATGATGAGCCCTTAGAAGATGATGACTTTTCCTCTTTCACCTTCCTAGACTTCTTCTCTTCGGTCTTCGGTTTAGATCGCTTCTCTTCTTTGCGCGGAGTCGTTGATGCGCCCCATGCTCCCCACGATGCGCCACCATCGCGATTTATCTTTGCGCGTTCCTTCTTAGAGGGCTTGACCTCCGGAGGTGGTGTCGGGGGTGCGTCAGGGGCAGCTGGGGGAGGAGCGGGTACTTCGGGAGGCGGAGGTGGAATGTGGACCGCGGGTGGTGGCGGTGGTATCTCCACAGCCTTGGACTTGTTCTTCTTACTACTCTTCTTTTTCTTCTCTACTGGCGCCATATCAACGATGTCGATGATTTCGTTCTCGTCTTCCTCACTGGGGAAGGCGCCAGGAAGTAGGTCTCTGTCTTGGTCTTGGGAGGATCTAAATTTTCTCTCGTCTACTGCGCGCGGCGCGACGGGAAAACGTGACGACGGCGGCGGCGCACCCAAAGCATCAATCAGGTCATCATCATCCTCTTCCTTCGCAGGCTCAAATTTCTTTAGTCTGTCAGCAAGCTTACTGCTCTTAACCTTGGTCCTTTTTGGCTTCAGCCAATCGTCGTCAGTGGTGGTAGCCTTGTAGGAAGATGGCGCGTCCTCGACGGGCGCATCCTCGACAACCTGTGGTGACTCAGCATATTTAATTTTAATCTCGGTTGATTCCGGAATGTTGGTGTTACTTACCTGTTCGGGTAACGGGCTCTTAGACTTGGCACCCCAGAATGAGAACGATTCAGATTTGACAACAGGAGGCGGCGTCGGGTTAGGAGGAGACGCTAAACCCGAAAGGAGTTCGTCTATTTGCTCAGGAGGCAAGTCGAGATTATCAAGATCGAGGTCGTCGTCGTCGTATTTGCTGGTTTTGGCTTTCTTCTCTTCTGCTTCTGCCTCTTCTCTCTCCCTTTCCTTTTCTCTTTCTTTTTCCTTCTCCCTCTCCTTCTTAGACGATTTTTCTTTGCTCGACTTCGACTTTTTGTCCTCTAGCTTAGAGCTCTTCTTCGATTTCTTCTTAGCCGCTGCTTCAGCCTCCTCACGTTCGCGTTTAGCTTTTTCTTCGGCTTCACGGGCTGCCTCTTCTTCAGCTTGTCGGGCGGCTTCTTCCTCGGCCTCTCGCGCTGCTTGTTCTTCAGCTTCTCGCGCAGCAGCTGCGGCGGCTGCCTGTTCTTCGGCTTCCCGTGCTGCTTGCTCTCCTGCCTCATTAGCTGCTGCTTCTTCCTCAGCTTCCTGCGCAGCTGAATCATCGCTTTGTGCAGCTTCTTCTTTGGCGCGGCGGGCCTCGGCTCTTTCGGTGAGCTCATCGAATCTCTTTTGGTCCTTCGGGTTTAGCCTTTTCTTCTTCCTGCTGTTGAGCTTGAACGTTAGCTCCTCGAGTTCTGCCTCCTCGGCGGCAATTTCAAATTCGAGCTCTTCCGCAGCGGCCTTTTCCTCGGCCTCGCGAGCTTCCGCAGCAGCCTTCTCTTCAGCCTCCAAAGCTTCAGCCGCCGCTTTCTCCTCGGCTTCTTTCCGCGCTATTTCCTCGGCACGACGATCAGCCTTATTGGTAAGTTCCTCAAGTCTGTCTTTCTCTACCCTCGTCATCTTCTTCTTCGTCTTGGTCTTGCTAGCCTTGGCTTTGAGGTCAGCGAGCTCTACCTCTTCAGCAGCAATCTCGGCTGCCAATGCTGCTGCAGCTTCTTCGTCAGCATTGTCGTCGTTTTCAGCTCTCGCGTCGTCCCAAACATTCTCCTCAAGTTCTTGGCCTGATAAACTCATCTCTAATGAAGGAGGCGTGGGTGCTGGAGGTGGAGACGTCTTCTTATTTTTGCTCAGATTTCCCCAACCCCATTCATCCAAGTCACCCTTACCGTCTTTACTTTCCTCGACCGAATCTGGCTTGACCCCCTTCAGATGAGAGCCATCCTCGATCTCAATGGGGATGTTTTTGCTTCCTTTCTTCTTTTTATCTTTCTTCGAAGTAGTCGTGAAAGCCCAAGCATCGTCGTTCTTGGGTTCTTCGATCGAATCCGGTACCAGACTTGCACTTCCAGTCTTGTTTCTGTCACCGTTTAAACTGCCCCAGAAATCGTCGTCGCCCGTAGCACTAGGGGCCTCTGGAGCTGCTGGCGGTGGTGTATGGCGATCCGATTCTTTATCGGTGTCAACTAAAGCCTTGACGCCCTTCTTGCTCCAACCCAGCCAACTGTCACTCTCTTCAACCGGAGGCGGCGGCTGCGGCTCTTCCTTCGGTATCTTCTTTTTGATGGCACCCCAGAAACTCCAGGCCGAAGTAGACTCTTCTTGGGCAGGTTGGCGACGTGGCTCCGGGGCTGGAGGCCCCTTTTCTCGAAAGGCATCCTCGATGGTTGTAGTATCCTTGCTCTTCTTTTTCTTTTCCTTGGAGGCACTCAAGCCCCATGGATCATCATCGATCTCAGCCGGAGGCGCCCCCGAAGTCAGTTCATGTGTTGAACCCTTGAAAGAAATCTCGTCGAGGATGCTAGTCTTCTTTTTCTTATCCTTAGTTGTACCTCCCCAACTATCCCAATTATCCCCAGCAGGCTCTTCATTCTTTTCCGGCTCAGATACTATTTCTGGTTCGAGGATAGGTTCAGGTTTCGGCTCTTCAACCACGCCTTTCTTTTTCTTCTTGCTTTTCTTCGAAACGCTAGCTGATGCCCAAAAATCGTCTTCCGTAGCTTTCTCTTCCCTGACAGGTTCCGGCTCCGGTACGGGCGTAGGCACTCGTACAGGCTCTGGAGTAGGCTCGGGCTCTGGGGGTGGGGGTTCAGGTTCGGCGGCACCTTTCTTCTTTTTCTTTTTCTTTTCCTTCGCCGACATAGTTGTAATCGCCGGCTCGTGAACCACGACGGGTTCAGGCTCCGGCTCTGGCTCAGGTTCGGGCTCAGGTTCCGGTTCGGGCTCCTTGACTACCTCAGCTTTGCCCTTCTTCCCCTTTTTGGCAGCGTCCCAAACGCCCCAATCATCATCTTTCTTCTCGGGTTCAGGCATCGGATCTGGCTCTTTAACCTCTTCAATAACCTTGCCCTTCTTGTTCTTCTTCTTCGTGGTTGTAGTTGTTGCTGTTCCCCAATTTGACCAATCGTCGTCCTTTTTGTCGGGCTCGGGGTCAGGAATTGGGTCTGGTTCCTTCACAACCTCCTCTACAACTGGGGCAACGACTGGTTCCGGCTCTAAAATAGCGGTCTTGCCCTTTTTCTTAGGTTTTTTCGAGGTAGTAACAGCGCCCCACGAAAGTTCTTCTTTCTTACTTTCTGGCTCCGGCTCTGGCTTCGGGTCATCATCGATCTTACTTTGCTTATTTTTGTCCCCCACCGCACCCCAATTCCAGCCATCGTCAGCACTAGCACTAGGAGGATCAGGTTCTGGATCAGGCTTTTTCGCCTCTTCGACGCCCTTCTTCTTTTTGCTCTTCTTGCTCGTGCTTGCTGGCGCCCAAGAATCTCCCCAGACATCATCTCTCGCAGGCTCAGGCTCGGGTTCAGGTGCTGGTGGAGGAACATCGTCTAGTTGTACCTCCTCAGTGACGCCCTTCTTTTTCTTCTTGTCGGTCTTAGATAAGGAACCTAACAGATCAGTCTCTGGAGCAGTGACGGTCTCTGCTACGGGCACTATTGCGGCGGCAGCACCGGCCTTCTTGCCCTTCTTCTTAGTAGTAGCAGTCGCATTCCATGGGCTACCCCACGTATCATCGAGCGCTGCCGACCCTGCTTTCTGATTATCCGCTGGTGGTTCGAGCTTCGTGTCCTCAGGCTCGGGTTCAGGATCCCATATGCTCGACTTCTTGGTATCCTTTTTGGCCGTCGAGCCGAAACCGAAGTCGAAAACATCATCTTTCTTAGCAGGCTTGTCACCGAGGAGAGATACTTGAGACTTCTTCTCTTGCGACTCTTGGGATTTGAATCCACTGCCCCAACCTCCTATTAATTTACTCCCCCATGTACTAAGGAGGCCAGACTTCGTTTCAGGAACGCCGCTGCCAAAATTGATATCTAGTGACGGGCCGGTATCATCTAGCTTGATGTCTTGGAATGTGGTCGGTATCTCATGAGTTTCGGTCTTCTCTTCAACCAGGTTCTTGCCCTTCTTTTTCTTCTTCCCGCCAGTCTCGACTGTACCCCAGTTGTCGTCTAACTTGGTGTCAATTGCATCGTTTTTCTTATCTTTATCTTCATCGTCGTTCTTGACCTTGTCCTCCTCCTTTTCGTTTTCGTTTTCCTTCTTATCCTTGTCTTTGTCCTTATCCTTATCATCATCGTTACCGTCACCGCCGGCTTTCCCCGCACCGCTGTTCTGATCACCACCGCCGCCTTCGCCAGCACCAGCGCCACTCTCCTTTATCTCTTTACCCCAGTCAAAGGTTGGCGCCGGTGGTGCCCCTCCACCCTTGCCCTTTTTCTTCTTGGCATGCTGGGTGAAGCCCGCCTCAGATGAGAAATCTAAATGAGGGCCAATGGTCTGGTCGTCTAACAACGAATCTCTCCGCTGTTCGCGACGTCGGTGGGAATCGTCCGGTGGGGGAGGGGAGAAGTGGTTGACAGAGTGAAACGGATCTCGCTGTCGAGCAGCCTCGTCCGTTCGAGTTGGATCGAATGTGGCTTCGAGAGGCAGATGGTCTTCCTCACATGGCTTTGGTATTCGTCGCGATCGTTTGGGGGTGGCATTTGGTAACACTAGTGACTTCGAAACGGTATTATGGTCGATTCGTCCACCAATTTTGTGGTTCTGTGCCTGTCCCAGATCGCATCGGTCAGTCTAGAGTTTCGACGATTGCCCACACCCGACTGCAGCCCGAACAATACTTAAAACTAAGTCGCTAAGGCGTGGTTGTCTAATTCGACTACTATGCGACTTATTTCGGTGCATCCACGACAATAGCATGGCTACGAAACCAAGAGATCACAAACATCGATGGGATTAAGAACACATACCGATAATAACTCCGGCGCTGTCAAAATCCATGCTCTCGAGATACATTCCAATCTAGCTTGCAAATCTAATTCATCCCACTGAGGAGTCGTTGTCGTGATAGAGGGCCATCGAAACGCGCTTCTTGTCGCGCCTACGCAGGACTCCACAACCGCGGCCGCAGCCATACTGAGATTGGAAGCTCGACTGGTCACAATGGGGTGAGAGAATCATGGACGCTGAGGTGCCGTCTTTGACAGACCAAGCAAAAGGCAGAGGATAGTTCAAGCTATATTATTAGTTCAGTTACTCGGGGATACTTAAGACATGAGGATAAAACATTCGACCCCCTTATTCACACAACCTTGGGGTCGGAGGGTCTATTGACTGTCTGTCGGGAACAACAGAGCGAAATTTGATCGAATTCGATGAGACCGAAAAACGTTACAATCGTTAAAATCGTAGTCGGATAACAAGGCGCACTTCGACGGCAGAGAGTTGGAGGCCCAAGCTTCCTAATTCGGTTGCCAAAAAGGAACAGCAATCCTAAAATTATGCTCGGTTTCTTACCCCGTTCAGCCTTCAAATTTCCGGGGAAGAAAAGAATAGGATTGTCGCTGGCAATGCAAATAGTAGATATAAAAAAGCAAGGGGTAAAGTAAGTACAATACGTAGTACAAAAAAAGGCAGGGAAATTGTCTGAAGTACAAGCACCCAATGATGTTGCGGTGCGGCACTGCAACTGTTAAGGTGTGTAAGAAAAAAAGATGCCGGCAATTGATTGGTTTGTCTCGCGGTGAGTCTGTGACAGACATATACCCGACGGATTCAAACACCACTCTTTCGTATCTCTCTCGTTTGTATCGAGAAGGCTGCTATCAGGAAATGAGAAATCGGATATCGAAACTGCACGAGCAAACAGCTCGCTCGAGTATGGCAAAAAGCAGTATCGCAAGTTCCTCCCCTCTCAGCTCGCAGCAAAAAGGTACAAAAGGGTCGAAAGGACACGAAAGAGCAAACGGATTGGACGGGCTGGGTCTATTATGTATGGATGTACATAGTAATGCACGTCCGGATGTGACCTAGCAATACATATGTAATGAAGAATTCAAACCATAGCATGCATTTGAGTGGGTGGAACTAATTGATGGTAGGTATCGATGTAGCATAGAAAAGGAAGAGGGTGTGTGTGGGTGTGCATTAGAAAAAAAGAGACGATAAAGTCAATTGATTGGGAGCGATAGAGGGGGAAGTTGGCGTTTGAAGGATGGCTGGTTATCAATGTCATTGGACAGCCGCTGATGTGATGGGTCCATTTTTATTTTGCCGCACACCCCTGCCAGCCTCGACATGGCTAACACTCTTTCCCGCCATACCTAATCCTTTCCTTAATAACTCTACTCCGGGACTCGCAAGTACTAGTATCCTTGTAAGGTACTTACGTTTATACTCGTATCCAGCACCTTTCTCATATACAAATAGATGTATTTCTATACTACTCCAATGTGTCACTTGACGACAACATTAAACTCCCTTAGCTTCTTTCCTTATCCACATCAGGCCTTCATACCGCGATAGACCCAGGTTAGCATACCCCATCTTTTTTTCGCACTTGTCGTCAAAGGTTTCTTGGTCTCGAACTTCGAGCGGGGCTTCTAGCCGAATAATTCTGTACATACATCATACATAAACATAAACATCTTTTGACGGAAGTAGCAAACATCATAAAGTATAATGGAATAGTCACAGGGGAAATTAAACCTAAAATGGTGCTCGGTTTCGAAACTCGATCAATCGAATTGATTTTACCAGTTGAACTTCCCGTTTGGTCCCTGCGTTTACTGCGTAGGTACAAGTGTACTTACTACATGTGTTGAATCTGCAAGAGAGACGACGACCAGTCAATCATGTCTCAATGAAACCCCGCCACATGAAATTCTTTCTCATATCTCATTTTTCATTTTTCATTTTCGGCCCCCTCTCCCTTCTTTCCCTATTCTCCCCTTCATTTTGGACCCCTCATAGGTTTTTTTTTCTTCTTACCCTCAGCCTTTTAAAGATTGTCCGCCAATCCTATATTAAAATATTTTCTTGTGTATCCAGCACCTGCAGCCCATCTATGTATGTCTTTATCTATCTCCGAATTGGATTTGTTCCAGTCCAGCGGCTGAGCACCCATCAATGCTGAAGACGCGTACAGCATGGTCGATCACTCACCATCTACCTATAGGTAAATGGGTGGGTGATGACTCCAATTCGAGAAGGAAGAAAAAATTCGCAGTTTACTTGCATAATAATCATATCCCCCTATTTTACGCAACAGTTGCGTCCAGTACATAATTCCATCGCGTACTTAAAAGCTTAAGAGGTGGGAGACGGATGCAAAGAGTATCCAGACGCGAAATAACCCCGGATGAGTATCCAATCACCAAAACAAAACATTTGCTCTCGCGCAACAAAGCGGCGGCGATAAAGCGTCACGGGTAATGTACTTTGGAGACTCCCGAGTTTGGTTCCTTTCGGCTACAATGGGAAAGGAACCAAAAGAGAGTCAAGGTATCGATACATAATGGATGGGCAGCTATGCGCCTGTTAGCTTGTATCTATTCCTTGTCCGCCACGACGCCGTCTTTCCACGTCGTTGGGACCCATCTGTAGTGGACGGTACTAAAACATGCCAGATGCATCGGCTGCATCTTACAGCCATGCTTCTATCATATCCGTTACCATAGAAAATCTAGGCGACTAAAAGAAAAGAAAGAAGGGGCATCAGCTTACCTGTATGCTGCCGCTCAAACCCCGGCTTCCCGCAACACCCGCGTCGCCCAGTCGCATCGGCCGCTAATGTACCATGCTACCTTGCTATCCTAGGGTCTATCGACACTCCCAATAACCGTTTTGGGCTGCTCCTACTTGCTGATTAGAGGTTTAGTACGCGACGCTTCTGCCCCATATCTAAATGGGTAGTGGTTGTTCGTTGTCCATCCAGTGGCTGCAGGGGGGATCCTCCCTATGCAACCCATGCGACTATCCCACAGACAATCCACCGAAAACGGCATCGCGACCTCTTCACCGCTTCAATTTCATATCAACCAAATCAACCTATTTTATGCCGACGGGGTTTTGCAGCCACCGAAAAGTGGGAGTGATTTGCAGTAGAACAATGGGGACTCGGACTTGACTGGCTATTTTGCTAATCTAAGGGAAAATTTTCCCTGAAATTGACCAACGGACTGTCGCATGAATTACTTGGCTCCCGGCGCTCCCCATTCGAGGGCATTTCCGTCGTCGAACAATTGGAGTCGAAAACAAAATGGCAAACCATAGATCGCATGAATGACTCCCACGATACGAGCTACACATCCGTCAGTCGTCCGTCCGTTTGTTTTGTTTGTTGGGAATGATGGGTCAACCCCATAGTATCATAGATGCAGTCTCCCTTCTATCATCTCATTTACATCGGATCAGATACTCTCAACTGTCGTTTGAGTCCACATGAAAACAACAGACGCGTCTTCGCGTCGCGACTTACTGCCTTCACTGCCTCATCATGATCCAAGGATCTTACTCGGGTATGATCCGTCTATCTCAGTCAGGCCTTTTGCCACCCTTCACCGCACATTCGAGTGGATACACATTACGGCTTGATGCCTTTTCTAATTAACCAGTTCAGATTGAGGTCCATCCAATACGTCTGCACGTGATTCGTCTCCATTACACCTGCGTATCATGTATATCGGTGCCAAGTGTTATAGTCTACGACTCGTGTTATTAATGGCGAAAAGTGGACGCCCGAATGGTGAGTCGGAAATGACACTTCACAAATCATAGAGCCATGTTGTTAATCAACCACGCCGTTGGCCGGGACCACCCGAGGCTGTGGATGGCACAGCGTCGTTTGAAGGTCACCTTGCCTGATAAAACATATCATAATCCATCATGGCGAAGTCAGAATTGTGATAAAGTGATACCAGGTGCCGTGGAGCTCAACGGGCGTACAATCGCGATAAATTGGTCATCTAGCTGTCCCGAAGTCTCGACTGCTGATGCCCAAGATGAAACCTGCTTTTTTGTTCATCTATTATGTTTTACTTTTAAGCTTACACGCAGATGAGGCACTGCACAAATATTCAAGGTAAGAGGCAGATAGGCTAACGAGAGACGACCCGACTGGACGGAATATATTACGTAGACAGGCTAGAACCTCACCGCGCTTTCTAGCACTATACAGCGTTGACAAGTAGATAGTTGAATGAGGACAACATAGCAGGACAATGAGGCGAAGGGGTTGCACGTTGATGCCACATCGAAGCTGTCCTGCTGCACATACTACGAAGTGCGCAATCGAGATGCAAAACAATACTCGGTCAGCAGTCTATAATCGCCCTAGACATTAGCAATCTGCATTTTCAGCTCTCACACACCGTCAATAGCACCGTTATTCAAGAGTAGAAGCAACGAGCCCAATAGGGCGACCAATCTCATTCATTAACTCAATCCGGGCATCAAACAGCCCTAAACCAACCCAACGTCACACACATGTAAGCCGCCCCCCAAGGCTTCCACCCTACCTACCCCAACCATTTACGCAGCCGCAATTGTATTCCCTACTCCTCCTTCCCACTTACGTTGGCCTCGAGCCAAGGGTGGACAAGATATTCGTTTATGATCGGATATACCAAGCCGAGGAACCCGAACAGCAAGGCGTAGAACTCCGGGCGCTTCCAGAGACGGCCCCGAAATAGGGCGCGGTTGCGGGCGGCGTCGCGTCGGCGGGCTCGAGCCCGGGCTTCTTCTTGGAATACGGCGCGTTCGTGGGATGCGCTTTGGGTAGGTTAGTATCTGTGTATGTGTATGAGTAAGTCGGGTAGATATTTTAATAGTCTTTGCTTGTGTCGGGTAGTACAATAAACTTGTGGGATTTGAGGTTGTATGGGTTTGATGGGAATGAAGTAACTCTTGTGTGGATATTGGGTATGTGTATGTGTTTAACTTACAAAGCAGCCCTATACGCTTGGTCCGCAGCCATCCTCTGTTGCTGCTTCTCATGCTGCTGGTCTCCATGGATGTGATCCCCATTCATGCAAGTTGAGGTTGAGGGCTGTGGTGCTGCACCATCGTTCAGGAAGGATTCCCGGCGCGAACGTGCGTGAGGAGTCGGGATGAAGTGGTTGTATGTGTTGTGTAGGTATAGTTCCATTCGTCGATCCATGGTTGGGTTGATGGGTTGGATATGACTAGTAGTTCGAAGTATAACGGTAGTGAGTATGATCTGAGACCGAATTAAGACTGTTCTTCAAGTTCAATAAGTGAGCGTGGATATTATTCCATGAAAATAGTAGATGAAAAGCGAGGATATCTTCCTACAACCGAGGATAAAAGCCGCGAAAGCTTTTGTCAATTGATATGATTTACTTGGAAGGGACGTTGAATTTGATCTTATATCATTAGCTATTTCCTCATGCATGATTACAGTCGCTCGTCCCATATTCTAAATGCTCCTCCCGTATTATACAAATCTGGATCACTGCCACATACTCGTACTGTTAAGCAAAGTTTCCTCCGTATATGCATGTAAAGAACCACCATGACGCCTTTCCAAGATCCTGATAATACACGACAAATCAGACAAAATCCAAACTATTGATCCGATGATATCTTACGCGAATGCACCCGGAACCCGAAACTCCTCTGGCAAATCCAACGATTCAATCGGCGAGTAGTCTTGACTAAACACTTCCTCAGCATCGAACCAGGCCTCAACGTCCTCGCCATTTTCAATCTCAAAAACCTCCATATTATCAAGCATGCGCTCACGTTCTTCAATCACAACATCCACCCATCGAAGCTGCGCAGTTTTCCGTTCTATGAACGCGGTCTCTTCTTCTCGCATATCCTCCTTCAGTCTGCGTTCGTGCTCCTGGAGAAGCTCTTCTTTGATCACGATTTCTTCCTTCATCTCGTAGCGTAGCCTTTCTAGCTCGTCATTTCTCCATTTCTCCCATCTTTCGAGACGCTTGTCCATCTGGCGCTTATACAACTTCATCTCGGCGTCTGCTTTGGCCTTTCTTCCGTTGGGTTTCCGGGAACAATAGGCCTCCAATTGAGCTCGGTACCATTCTTCCAGTCGCTCCTCCTGCTTCCCCCGTACCAAGTACTCGCGCTCAAGTTCGCGTTCTCGCTCGGATATTCGTATTTCCATGGACGCAAAGAATTCCTCGCGATCTATCTTTTGCGTGTTCCGGAGGTCCGCTAGCTTGGACGCGTTATCGCTCTCGATTTGGGACTCTTCCTTGCTATGATAATCCCGTATGGTGTGCCGTTGGTCTTGGTTTACTTCCCCAAGTTCTTTCCGAGCTTTTTGGAACTTGATTTCCAATTCTCGCCGCCTTTCACCTTCGCGCCTGATCCGTTCTTCAAGCAGTCTTTCCCGGCGCTCCTCGGCTAATCGTTCTCGTTCCCGGCGTAGAAGTTCAAGCTTGAGAGCCTCCTCGCGTTCGAATTCTTCAACCAGTCGTAGCGCTTCTCGTGTATCAGCCTCCTCCTGCGCTTCTACCAGCTGGCGGGCCTCGCGCCGCTCCCGTGCCCTCCGCTTGATGGCGCCCAATTGCTCCATGGTACATTGGCATGACTTCCACCGCGCTCCACACACATAGCAAAATTCGGCGCCGCATCGACATGTCATATGTTGACACGCCTCCCTATGCTCGACATAAGCATGGCATCCGTAGCAGCGCTTCCAACCCTCTTCTTCTGCGAGTGCATCGGTTCGCACCATATCCCTGTCGTGTGGACAATTATCACCTCTATGCTCTGGACCACGGCACATGGTGCAAGTATAATGACCCCGTGAGCATCTCGCAACATTTTCAGCAGGGATGATTTCGTAGGGTCGAACCCAAATGCTGCAATTCGGCTCGCTGCAGTAGATGCGCTGGCCCGTCGGAAGATTCCATTCGGCGGCCTTATCGTGGTACAACTTCTTGACCGTAGAATTGACGTTGAGTATAATAGTTTTAGTCGGAATATCGTTTAAACAACATTTTGGTGGCCATTGCTGCTCGTTCTCACAGGATGTTTGGATGAGGCGTATGAAGCAAGGCTTGCAGTAACTGTGGCATGGTGCCTTGACTACCTCTTTAGGAGTGAAATCGTCCAGACAAGAGACGCATTCGCTATATTGGTTTAGTATTGTTTGGTATGAGTAATAGATTCATTCGGAGTACTTACATCTCTGCGTCGGGACCAGTTGATCTTTTTAATATTTCGGAGACGAAGCGCTTCTTCATTGCTTGGGGACTCTTTTCGATGCTGCTCCATGAAATATCGCGCTTGTGTCGGGCTGCTCCGGTTGCGCTCGACTCGCCTTTCTCACCGATGTTGTTTAATCGCCGAAGGAGATTCCTCAGTGCTTGTTTCTTCGACTTAGTGGGTTGTTCCGGTGCGAGAGAGGGTTGAGCATCCGGGGCTGGCAAAGCCGGGACGGAGTCCTCGGGTGACCCATTCTGTTCGCCGAAGTCGCGCAAAAAACCATCATGATCCTTGGTTTCTATGTTCGACGACTTTCCATGTTCTCGCCTAAGCTCTTCTTCATGTCGGAACTCCTCAAGTTCTTTTTCTGCCTTGCGTCTTTCCTCATCCTCGACTATCCGAGCTTTGACTGATTGGATGGATTCGTGTACAATTTGCGTGACGAGATCTGATCTGTTTCCCCCCACATCACTTAAGCCTTCTGGAGGAGGGTACTTGGTCCAGTCGACGGTGATTTCACCATTATCGCCGTGATCCCCTACGACGGCTTTCCCTTTGCCCTTCCATTGTATAAGCTCTTTTTCTTCCTCTTCCTCGTGCGATTCTTGTTCTACAAAGATGGGTTGAACGAATGCCTCCAGGCCGGAGGCTGTTGTTTCGATAACCAACATATGGAAATAGAGGATAATCTGGTGAAGAAGCTTCACCAGCAGGGTAAAAAGGTTTGTTGAAATATTCTCGAAGAGCATGTGAAGCTCTCTATTGAGCGTAATTCAGCCGCAGGATTCTCCACGTTTAGTATGATCAGGAGCTTGATTGGTACTTCGCAATGCGACCAGTGTCATACAAATCTCGCGTATGCATGGAAAATAAGGGAATAGATGACTACGTTACAGAAGAAATCCAGATTAGGGAGGTAAATAAAGGGACGAATAAACAAGCTTCGACAGCTCACCCTGGTTTGCTAGCTGCTAACTTGGAAGACTGCCTGGAAACCTACCTAGATAGTTTATGACTTAGATAGGGCTGAAATCAGGCTTGCTAACCTTACTATTTCAGCCCTGATGACCGAAGGCCCTTTAGTACGTACGATTTTCATGACGGACAATATAGCTATTTCTCTGACCGAGGAGGGGACGCTTAATGATGCGAACTACAAGTGCACAATGCAGGATTATCTGTAACAAGAAACTAACTTCAGATGGCGGGTGCGTCGCGGTCGAAGTTGATTGGAAGGTTTCAGGGGAGAGCTGACACTTTGACAAGCTAATTGGGGCGAAGTAGCCGATGGTGGCAGAAGCTATATTGGATGGGAATCCTATTCGCTTAGGGATGCATTCCTACACGACGTCCGTGCGAAAAGCCTCGTGCTAATCTTGTACTAATATAGCTCGAGGCGTTCCCTGTGGAGAAAATATTAGTTTGATTTGATTACATCGTAGCACATTCGGTATTAGTATTCGAGTTGCACTACATTCAATATACTCTTCTGCATGGCGTTATGGCGTTATGTTTGTTCGTGTTGTTGTGAGTTTACGGATAATGGACCGATTGGATTCCCCCTTTTTTCGCAAGAATTGGGATAAAAAAGGAGAGACGGAGTTTACAAAAGCTGGTACTACGTAATCAAAAGTAACTCGGGGTTTTATAAACATCGCCGAAGTATAGCCGTTTATCTTATCGTGATTTCTGCTGTTCGAGGTTGATTTCTACGACGATCCGAGCGGAGCTCCTCCTTATGTAACCCGCCTCGTACAAATTCGTACGGGTTAATAAGGAGTTTCATATTTCCTTAGATTGTAGCCAATCAAATCACCACGTGTTTTTACCCGGATGCTCGCTTATCTGCTCAGTACAGAGTCTCGTACATAATTTAAGAATCGAAAAATTCCACGTATTAATTCCCTTGCTCTATCTAGAATTAACTCTATCGCTTTTTGTCAGGAGAGGACTTAGTAATGCGGCATCACGGAAAACGCCGCAATTCAACTATCTGTCACTCGAGAGATCATAGCGGCTAGAGTTCATCACATCCTACGAAATGCACAGGTCTAATATCTACCCCCTGGTCTTTGACCCGACCGTAAACCCCATGGATTAAAGATGCAATATGACTATTTCGACGTCTTGGTATCCTAAGTGAGATAGAAGGAACCCCATACTCCGCGATCACCTAAAGGGCAACACCATATTCGCGTACACCAACATAGGGAACACGTAAGGATTTATCGATGGGTGTGAGACTTTCATTGTTGCTCTTCTCTGTAAGGTTCTCCCCTATTTTTGACATTTGATAATTGTGATTGTACTGAATATGGGGCATCTGATATCATGTGGCTCTATTGGCGATCCAATGAGGCTTAACTATTTATTCAATTAAAATAACAAGAATTTTGTCCCGTATGTATAGAGTTCCAAGGTTGTTATTCATCCTGAAACATAAGAATTATTACTATTTGAACGTGGAGCTCCTCTATATCAAAAATTTCGTTATAACATAGTTCGTTACATTGCTGTGTTACAGAGTTACAGTAGCAAAATGCCAATGCGAGCTGTAGCCTCGATTCGGACAGCCTGGAGCGAGTCACTCCTTAACAGGCTAAATATTCAGCGTCTTTCTTCGAGATCCTTATATAATATCATTCTAGACTCGTATGCTAAGCATGTAGGTTAGCGACATCAAACGTCTATAAATATGCGGCGACGAAGTTCGATGAGCGATTGGGGATAGCCCGTTCCCTTTCTCATCGGCTTTCACCTACTGTCATTCAACTCCATACGCTGGTGACCATGTCTATCAAGGCGCTATCAATTTTCGCTGCTCTTACCACGAGTGTTGCCGGACACGGCTTCGTGCAGTACATTGTCGCCAATGGCAAGAACTACACAGGCTGGGACCCAGGTTTCCGATACCAAAACCCCCCGCCAAGCATCCCTGGGTGGACCGCGGACAACCCCGACATAGGGTTCGTCGGCCCCGACTCATTCGCCCAGCCTGATATCATTTGCCATAAGTCTGCCACCCCAGGTCAGGCCTACGTTGAAGTGACTGCAGGAAGCACGATGACTTTGCAGTGGTTCACGTGGCCTGATAGCCATAAAGGCCCCATCATTGACTACCTTGCCGATTGCGGTTCATCTGGTTGTACCAGCGTCAAGAAGGAAGGCCTCAAGTTCGTCAAGATTGCGCAGTCTTCTTGGAAGTCTGGACAGGATTGGGCCACAGACGACCTAATCCACAATCAATTCAAGTGGCAGGTCAAGATTCCTGCCAACCTAAAGCCGGGGCAATATGTGCTAAGGCACGAGATCATCGCTCTACACGGTGCTTTCGATGTCGGTGGTGCTCAGGCCTACCCGCAATGCATCAATCTACATGTCTCGGGTAGCGGGAGCAAGTCTATCAGCGGTGGTGTACCTGCTACCAACTTTTACAAGGCGGACGATCCGGGTATCCACTTCGATATCTATGGAGATATCAAAAGCTACCCTAACCCTGGCCCTGATAACCTTTGGAAATCTTAAGATCTTTTTTTACCTGAAATTTCCAATTCCAAGGTTCAAATGCTCAAGATCGCGACTTGTCCGGAATGACCCGCATCAAATATTACCTATTTAAGCAACTCCGATATACCCATCTACTCTGATTGGCTCGGGGGTCTTCTCGGATTTAAGGCACTCGTTTGAAACCTTTCAATATGGAGGATCGTCGCCTATTTTTGTTAACTTATTCCAAAATAGCAATAAGCAATCATGAATTAGAGCACTTAAGCTAGGTATTGATGAAAAGAATATAGTACGGATATTTTCACCACACAGATTCTTCTATATATGGTGAGACCCATAGTCAAGTAGCAGACAAGTAGATCACTACCATTTACGTCGGTAGTTTTTCAGCAATGTGGGCAGTGGGTGTCGCATGAACATCAACATTTTGGTCAAAGAAGTTCTGTTAGTAGGAATCCATTTTTGCAGTATTTAGAAGGCGTACTATTTTGGGGAATTGTCCGCGGAAAAGGAAATGCGAATTGATTTAGCGACTAATCAGCATCAATGTGCTTTGGTATGAATGCTAAGGGACATCTCAAATGTCTCGGATTGCATCATTAGTCGCCGAAAACGGCCGACGTTGGTTTCTTCAATTCAACAATAGAACTGACGAGACGAATTTCGAGTCGAAGATTGTCCGGACTTCCTGCTGTTGAGATTGAATCGATACTAACCTTCCATGGAATTTTAGGGGAAATTAATATGAGCATTTGTTATGAATAAATTCCCAGGTATACCTTATTGTCATTTCACTCCTAACAGTTTTTCGCCACGAATTCCTAGACAACTCATAAAATAACAATTCCGTCAATGAGCTTTAACATACACCGCTAAGTTCCTTGCATGAAAATAAGTGATTTGTTCAATAATAACCTGAAACGGGTTGGTAGAGCGTGTAAATATTCGCCACGTCAGTCACGAGAGTCGTGTGGCTTAAAGGGATAAACCTGCTTGACAACTAACATGACGTCACGTCCCTCATCATCCCGATCTACAACAACTAATTAGATGGGAGTATAGTCTCTGCATATCTCATTGTTTCAAAGGGAAACATGGGTCAAGGGGTGCTACGTTGAGTTCCTCTTAAACAAAATGTCCGATTGAATCGATCCAACTCAAGTCAACTTCGAGTCACCTCGCCTCATCTTGACTACCTACTTATACTATATGACCCTTACTACTTAGCCAGCACATGCCAGTCTTATATACAGTGTAAGTATAAATAATACCGCCTCATCCCATTTCTGAGTTTTAGGAAATTCAACTACATTCCAACATATACAAGTAACAATGGCATCAACTCGTTCCTCCACCGGGCATTCTAAGCCCCGCGTTCACCTAAACATTTCAACGGAGCCAGAGCGCAAAAGGGCTGGCACCAGTAAACGCACTGGCACGCACCAACGCGGCAGTGTTGGCAAGCGGACTGGCGGAACAACAACAACTACTACTACCACAACCACGACGAGAGGTGCACCTGTCACCCACCACAAGCGGAAGCCGCATTTGAGCGACAAGGTCGAGGGTGCCGCCGAAAAACTCGTCGGCAAGGTGACCCGAAGACCTGGAAAGAAGGCTGCTGGCACGCGTAAGATGCGCGGAACAGACGGGAAGGGAAGTCACAGAAGGGTTTAAAGAAACAAAAAAACAAAACCGTTTGAATGTGGCGGGCTATATGAAATGGGGACATGTGGAGTTCGGAATTATTAGCGATTGGAAATGCGTTCACTTGATCGCTGAATTGGCGGGGGTGGCGTAGAACTTGGGTTGTACGATATGAGGCATAAATAAGCCTTGCACTTGGGAAGATTAGATATGGTTCACTCATAAGGATTTTGAGAGGGCATCATGTTCTTGTCGGCAATATCGGATATGAAGCACGATAAAATGGCGAATTTCTTGGATCAGTTTGATGCTTTGACCACATTGCTTTTGCTGTTCCAACCTTGGAATGTATCGCACCAGTGGTTCTGGGTTGGATAGATCTCGATAACTTTCGCTGTACAATAAAATCGTATTCATAAAAACATGTTTTTATTTTTCTCGGGGGTAACTTGTCACCACGGTATCTCATTGCCATCTATTGCACCTAGAAATCTGCCCGAGGTGTCTTCACGATTTGCTCTATCGATCTACTTAGGTTAGCTATCACTATAAGGAACAGGTTATGCACGGGCATACTATGCTTATGATCTTCTCGGCGCTATACTCCTTCGTGTGTGGTGCCTTCTCGAGCCCTAGATAATTAGCAGTCTTGTGGCCCATGTCTGTCTCGACGAGACTGAATGATGTTAGTCTAAGGGATTAATCCAGAGGCCGTCTGCTGATGAACTTACCCTGGGCTAATGGCAAATGCAGTCAGCCATGTGTTACCACAGTGTGCTGACCTATGCACCAAAACTGTATCAGCTATCGTGTCCCAGCCACCCCTTTTGCTTTTCCCCCCCTCCCCCTCACTCTTATGACGGACCTCCGATTCAAGAGAAACTCACAGGGTAATCCAATTCAACGCGGCCTTGGAAATACAATAGGCGGGCGCAACATGAGCTCGAAACCTCTCCATAGCGCTAAGGGAACCCGCGGCACTGCTGATCGACACGAACTTGGCATCGCTAGACTTCTCAAGTAATGGATGGCAGGCTTGGTACATGGCCAAAGCCCCAATAGCGTTGACATTGAATGCATCTGTCACTTCCCCAAGGTCGACTTTCTCAAGCGACACCACCGGCGGGCTGATTCCAGCGTTAACTATCAAAACGTCGATATGGTCGACATCCGCCGCTTTAATTCCCTCAACAGCGCGCCATGCATCTGAAGAGGAAGCGCTTTCCACACTGACTAAAAGGAGTTTCGATCCCTCGCCCTTGGTGCATGCCTTCAACTCGATAACCCCCGGTGCGCTATCGTCGCGAATGGTCCCTATTACTACGCAATTTGGCCGCGACAGATAAGCTTGCGCTACGGCATTTCCGATACCTAGAGTATTCGTCAACGTCTTCGTTTCCAGGGCGAACCCGACTTACCTCTACCCGCACCCGTGATAACTACCACATGTTGGTTTTGCATCATGGATACCCGGGCGATAACCGAATTATGTTTTAAGATGTCGGATCCATGTTCACGACAGACAAGGAACAAGCTATACTTAAACGGCATAGTCCTACCGATGATGCGGCACAGCAGTCTTTGCTGAGTCACCCTGCCCGACGAGATAATCAGGAGCGAAAGAGCTCTACGTCTATTTTATTCCAGGAAGAAAAATATACAAGAATTTAAAGATACACGATCCCTCGGCAGTCATGGCGTCTGACTCATTTACCTCGTACGCCATCTATCCCATAATACGATCAAATATCTACTTGCCACCTTTTCTCTTGGCCAGCTGCGCACTGAAGAGACTCTTCGGCGTGACAGCGCTACCAGTATCGACCATGGAACCGTTCGTCTGAGTGACTTTTCCGGTACTTCCGATTCCCCAATTGACACCTAGCGGCGGACTTTGAACTGTCACTCCTCCCCTGACATTCCAAGCTACACCGGCGTTAATCGCCCAGCCGTGACCGGATCCAGCAGTTGCCCGATTGAAGTATATCACGCCGGCGTCAGTGTCTTCGGCAAGTAAGCCGTGTGCCCAGCGTTGATGCGGGTATATCTGCTGCAAGTCCGACTGGACGACATGTCGCAGGACAGCATTCGGGCCAGGAGTTCCGGCTTGTGTCGCTACGGAGAAGGCCTTGGCTGTCTTAAGACCATACTGTCCGCTGTCTTGGACTAGCACTTGCGACCCCATGATGGCGATATCCGATGGGTACCCCGCTGCATTGTCCGTATCGTGATCTCGGAAGAGGCTGACGTGGTCAATTGTGATGCGACTAGCATTGTTCTGAACGTTGATAAATGTGTTGAACCCAGTTACGTTGACTTGACGTATGTAACTGTCCTGTGTCCAAGGCGCCACGGAGATAGCTTCTGCGCCGCACCCGTTCTTCTTGTTGAGGGCTGACCCGGAGCAGGTGGGGTTGAGCGTGATGGACAAGTTCTCAATACCGATTTCCTGCGATATGCCAGGCGCCGTGAAGGTGGCTAGGTATGGACTCATGTATTTCTTATTCAGAGCATCGGTGAGAGGGACGTCCAGGGTGACTTTGTTGCCATTGATAGCCTGGATTGCTCGCGGCTGCTGCACCAGTGACCCTACCTGTCGATTCAATTAGTCCCATGCTTCGGTTCAACCCCAAGCCATCATTTACTCAGTTGACTTACCGCAATCCAAGTTTGGTGCTTGCCATCACGGACAAGGTCAGCCATTCCGTTGTACCTAACCCATTCTGCAGTCACGGCACGGGAGACGAAGGCAGACTGTCCTACTTTGAGCCCCTTCGTATCCTTTACTGTCACCGTGTTGGCTCCGATCCCCACATAGCTATCGGTGATGCTGTTGGTGCTCGAAGGTTGCACTCTATGAGTCGTGCCATTCCCTAATGAAATTAATGGGACGTCCTCCTTCAATTTAGCGACCGATAGGTGTGTAGAATCAACACCAGAACCTCTCAGCGCCGTTCCATTTGGGATGACCAAACCGGGGGATATCTTGAATGTTCCCGAGCCGAGTTCGACAACACCTCCCCCCGAGGCAGCGGTCTTATCCAAAGCAGTCTGGATCTGTGAAGTCTGGTCTTTGGATGAAGCTTTGATGGTGGTAGAACTTGGCCTAGATATGGATGGGAGCGATTTGTCCGAAGCATGATAGCCGCAGAAACTAAAATCGGGGAGATGGTCGCCGCGCTTGTTGGCGATGGTAGTCCAATCGACATCAGCAGCGATCGCACGTTGCCCTAGTGCGAGCAACCAGGTCGCGGAAGCGAGAACGGAAGTTCCTAACATGGCGAAAGGAGACCAATAGCGCGATTAAGGTACTATGAGATCTTCGAAAAGAAATGGTCCCTAGATATTCCCTACCTTGCAGGGGACTTGGCCAAGAAATGGTAGCCAGGCTGATATTTATGCTTCCTGTGCTCATCCAACTCAGACTTGGTTCACGATATTATATGTTTAATAGCCGTTTAACGGTTGATCTTAGCCTTTTATGGTGCTGTCTTATTAGTAAGATGCGCTGGAGGTATTGCATGGACAATGACTCCGTTATTAAATTATTTGGCAACACAATAGGCATTTCCCGGGCACAGTCGCGTGCAAATTCGCAACATGGCACCATTTCGAACAACTCTGTCGCTTTTCGGTATCCTATGATTCAGCCCTATATTGTTAAAATTGGAATATTCAGCCCAGGGTGAGATCATAATGCGACGATAAATAATCTTACTAAATTAACTGGGGGAATACGATGAAAAGGCCTGCCAATCTGGCCCAAAATGGTGTTCTTTCGTGAGGTAACACATATCTATATTTTTCCGATGAAAGGGGAGAAAAAATTCAGCTAGTCACAGTTCTTCAGCTAAGAAGAATTGTAAGTTGCTTAATATGCCGCTAAGCATAACGCTACCGTAGGTACCTAACTACCTAGGTCGGCAGACAAGTTAGGTCGTTTGTGGTCTGGCCTGCACCCAGCGCTGTACTGTACGAAGACTCGGATCCTCTGCCACCCAACGACCCAAAGCCATATCCGAAGCTTGCAATTCTAGGTAGATAGATTGATCTGTTATTGATGATAGATCCTATACCAAGACGTCAGCCACATATTTGAAGAGATGTGATGAACAAGAATGAAAATAATGAAACTGGCGTTAACGGTTAAATCATTAAAGAACAAAGGCCGCATTGCTCGTACTGTTCGAAGCTGCGCATCGCATACTCTAAGTGCTCGTTGGTACGAAGCATTAGGTCGCTGTCCCTGAAGTACCATTTCGCAATTTTCAATCCATCTTTTCGCTGCCTTCTGGCGGCGATAGATTTTATGTGCTTCATGTCTTCGGGAAAAGGCATCTAATAGAATTCTATAAAAGGACGTATGCTGGGTTAGCATCCCACTTCATCTTGTTTAACGAGGGGGGTTGTGGGCAGACCATATAAGTGGCTGCGGTGTACTATTGGAAGCGACGTACTGTTTGAGCTCGGCTTTCGCCTGTTCCGCGTCGTCACCCCCTGCCTGTGGCACTGTAATATCTGCCGCTGCATTGACAATATGTTGGGCATCTATTGAACATTGTCGCAATACCGCCCATCCTTCCGTGTAAAAGTCATCGATATTCGGCGGGTCTACTGGCTCTGCTGCCATGTAATAGTTAGTCGTTCTTAATTCGTCGAGAACTTCGGCTACCCGAGCGGTCCTGTAAGCATTCAGTCCTAATTTTGTTAGCTATAGTGTAAGCCGTGGCGGATTGCCTGGGGTTGGCCATGAATATTAAAATAATACCTATTTCAACTAAGTTGGTTGAAGGGCGAATCGGCGTATTGTATCCGAAAAAGTCCTCCACCGGCTCCCGTCCAACTTCGATTTCCATCCACGAGTGATTGTCTGTTTCACTCAAAGCGTTTACAGCCTCTCCTTCCCCGGCACCAGAGTCAGATGATTCGGTGGAAGAATCATCAATATCCATTGAGGTCAGATCTTCCAGGTTTTCATCACCGCTATCGTCATCAGGGGTGGGAAGAACGAACAATGCGATGTCTTCCAAGTGGCGACCAACGTGGCGTTTGTACTCGTTAGTTGACGACATTGGTTCTTGGCAGAGAGGGCAATTACTGGGGTTATCGAGTGGGCGTTGGTTTGTGGAGAGCTCTAAGGAAGCTATTAGTTGGTCATTACTGGCGATCTCACCATGTGAATTTTGTAAGTGGCCCTGGAAGCTTTCAGATGAGTTGAATGGTGGGTGACTGCAAAATGCGCAATGCCAAAGACGCCAGTGTTTTTGTAGTATGTGGTCCATCCATTGATGCCGTCTTGCGAAATCAATCCCCACAACGGGGCAGTCCAAGACCAGGCAATTATAAGGCCGAAGGTCGGCGAAAATGTGCTTCCTAGTCGACCTATGGTGAGTGTGGTCTCCGTGTGATTGTGCTCTATTTATTGGTGGACCTACTTCCACGCACGTCTACTGGAGACTGATATCATCATATAACAAAATGGACATTCAAATGGGCCTTTTGAGGCTTTGGCTGGTAGAGCTGGAATGTGTGGCCCGCCATCACCTCGTGTGGTTGCAAACGAGCTCTGGGTTATACCACTATCGGATAATTCATCTTCGTCAATACAGTTGAGCCTAAGATTTGGCACTTTGCCTTTTTGGGATTGCGGTATCGACGATGCAACTGTGCTTTGCCCCTCGAATTCTGATTTACTGAAGTCCGCGTCCAGGCCTTCTGAGAGAATACCATGATGGGAAGCCCTGTATCTGAAATATTGCCTTCGGCGGGAATTCGCTTTACCTAAGCATTCGGAAAGCTTTGGATCTGCCGAGTCGAATTTGGTTGCAACATGAGAGATGTCAGACGTTTCGTAATGGGAGACATTTATACGCCCGGAGGCTCTTAGTCTGTCATGAGGAGCGGGGTTGCGAATCGATACGGAAAGTCTCAGCAGACAATCCACGACTTCTGTAATGTCTGCTAGGATTTGATCTAGCTCTGTGTCAAATTCAACATTACCGTGAGTTGGCCCATCTACGTCTTGGCCATAGTCTTCCTCTTCAACAAGCAGCTCGTCCCAAGGTACTTTCTCGCCACTCAGGATAGACAGGGCTACAAGACCGGGTTAGTTTTCACATAGTTTAGTCCGGGCGACAAATGGAAGGAGAATTTGTGTTAAGGGCTCAATACCATTCTTGAGAGAATTGCTCAGGTCGGTGAGTAAGTTCTCGACTTGTTTCTGCAAATGAGAAGCATCTCGGAGACGGTAGTCGAGCGAGCTCTTTCCAATTCTATGAGCTCCGATATTACTTGACCAGACCTTGAACCTCGCAAATTCGTCCGTTATTCGAAAGGCTACAAACTCATTAGAACTATTAGGAAGACCATTGATCGCTGTGGACCTGAATAGTTTCAGACAGGAAGCTACATGGTCTGAAATACGATACATTATTTTCCTACATCAAATAACTTGCAATGAACCACGATATAAAACGTAAATTACTTCCACTATGTACCTAGGTGTCTTATAGGAAGGGAAACCCCTCATATGATGTCACGTTATATAATCTTCGATATGAGTGGTCAGCGTCCAAGCTTGGGTTACGTATATCCCTCATCGGCGGTCGGGCGCCCTTTCTCTACCTAAGCCCAAAATTTCGGCCGTGATCTCTCGTGGTAGACCGAATCTTTTTGCGTATATGGCTGGTGTAGAAGTTGTGGGTATCGTCCTCGCGACTATCCCATTGGTGATTTCTGCTATTGAACATTACGAAGATGCACTGCAAACTATTAATAGATGGCGGTCCACCACTAGGGAACTCCAGAGCCTTAAGAGGAGACTTGGGACGCAACAAGCTATATTCACTAACACTTGCGAACATCTATTGGGAGGGCTAGTTTCTGCTACAGACCTTGAAACAATGATTGCTGACCCATTCGGGCCGTCATGGCAGGACCCCGATATCAAATGCAAAATCGAGATGCGACTCGACCGTGTTCGAGAACAATTTCATAACACGGCCAAAGCAATGGTCGAAGCAGTCGAACAATTCAAAGTCCGCTTGGATCTGGATGAAACCGGTAAGGTAGGTTCGCCTTATGCCCATCCACCCACCTAAGGTACCGTAGATCGTGCTAATACGGGATGCTAAGGTCAAATGGGTTGAGGCGAAGGCAATAGTGCGCGAGCTCAGACGGGCTACATTCATTATCAGAAGGTCACACTATGATGATCTTCTCAATAGCTTATCGGAAGGAAACCAAGACTTGAAGACCCTGACGAACCAGAGTCTGCAACTCGAGCCGGAAAGAAAAACCAGTTACCAAGGAAGGCTCCTGGTGTTGCTTCGCGGCATATCGAAGAAAGCATACAGCGCAGTACTAAATAACCTCCAATGTACTTGCTCTACGAGTCATGGCGCCAGTCTAGAAATGGGCACGTTAGACATAAAAAGCACCGATAAGGAACAACAGGTTCTACACAATTCAGTGTTCCGGTGCACTTTTTCCTATCTGCCCAATCAACAAGGCACAGAAATAGATGTACTATGCTGGCAAAGAGTTTTGCTAAAGCTGGATGACTCAGAGAAACCAGCACAAAGTAAGCCAGCTCATCGTTTCGCGGGTCCACTACAAACGAACGGTGTGAGGCCGAAAACATCAGAGAGACTTCGCAGATTCAAAAGTGTCAAGTTCGCTATGCAATCAGCTTTCAACAGCAACGCTCAAGTTCAGTCAGTTATTGCTACGCAGACCCAATCGAACGATAGCCCAGATATCTTGTTGCCCAGCACGCTTGCGAGCACCGTAGTCACCGCGAAAACTATGGATAAAGTTAACATATGTCATATCATCAGAAAGCAAGGAAAAATGCCCTATACCTCTTGCTATGGCCATATCGCGGACCAAGACGTGAAGGAGAACTCAAGCTTTGGGGTTTACCCACCGGAGCCCCACGAAGACTCTGAAAATATAAAATTCTTGTCAATGAAATCTATCCTCAAAGGCCAAGGGTCAAAATTTCCCGGAATATCATATCGTCAGAAAGTGAAACTTGCTATTGATATATCATCGAGTTTACTACAACTTAACGGTACCCCTTGGTTCCCGGAAACTCTTACCAGCGAGGACATCTTCTTCTTGGTTCGAGACGGAGTACCGGTCTATGATCGAGCTTTTGTCAACAAAGGATCCCTATATACGGCCTCGACCCAACCAACAGCTAATATAATGAGCCAACCACGGGATATCATTTCGGGACGACCATTGTTCGCACTTGGGATTCTGTTGATCGAGATCTTGCTACTTGAGACACTGGACCATGTGTGGACACCCAGATGTTACGGAGAACCGACAAGTATGCCAATGGCTGACCAAATTAAGGATTGGAAAGGTCTCAAAAACTTCTTGGATGATGTCGAACATATGGCCGGGTCCAATTACAGCTCAGCGGTGCGACGGTTCCTCTTCTGCGACTTTATACATGTGAATACTTCACAGAATGAAGAGGTCATATACAAAGAGATATATGGGAAGACGGTTGCCCTACTCATGAGAGATCGCAGCGCGTCTGAGTCTAATCAATTTATCTCGCATTATTAAAGGGGGTCGTATCCATGGATGTTGAATGCCAAAAACTAGAGAATTTTGAAAAACATGTGCATAAAGTTAACGGACAACGAGTTATGGTGCTGAGATGCGTACAGTGCCGTTTTTCATCCAAATTTCCCCAAGCACTTGTTATATCCTGTAAAATGAAGAGATCGAACTTGAAAACCCAATCTCGTTTGCGTACCTAGGTACCTACTTAGCTCAGGTGGGTGCTGAATTCCTTCTTTAGCTACCCATTATCGTAGTTTCTTCCCCTATGCAGCAAAGGTGGGTAAGCGAGTTGGGTATGGTAGTCGTATCTTTGAATCTTTTACTAGCCTAACGCAGGAGCGTTCTACTACCTTCTTACATTTTTTGATATCCAACAGTAGCCTCTACTGCCTCCCCCCTGCCAACTGCATTCAATGGTCTTGATTCCTACCTAGGTATTTTTCTACTTTGGTTGGGAGAACTTCGCTTGCAGGTGAAGCAACATCGCTCCAGTATAAACTCACAGGACTTACACCTTGTACCTTCTGGTTTCCTTTCGCCGAAGGACATCATCCGTAACTTCCGGATATCTGTGCTATGGGATGGGAGTTTCCCTTGAGGAATCTCGCCCAGTAAGTCGCAAACGCAAACCTCTCCATGAATACACAAACAATATTCTATGTCGAAGACAAACCTGGTTGCAAGGAAACACAGCTAGCTTCCAAAAATATCTCTATGCGTACATACTCTCAACACTATTCACTGTAACCACATTTCCCTACATTGTATACAGCCTACTTCTATCTCCGATATCAACCCTTAGACTCACGTAAGTGTTCCACTATAGGTAATTGGCTCTCTCCCTTGATCTATGCCTATCTAGACCAAAGCTATGTCCTTCGACTACAATCCCCATGCACACCTAGATCATTAGCGTGAATACTTGGATCGCTTTCAAGCCAGCTGCCGGACCTAAGACCCGGTTTTACTTTCCCATTTCCTCGTCGCTCCTGCAACACGGTCCATTGCGTTGAAATTGGTATCTGCGATCGGGGTCCTTTGAGGCGCTGATTATCTCCATAGGGGTTCTCTGTACCACGCCAACCTACCCCGACAGACTGCTTATGAATAATTCTTAACAAAGTACTCAGAACCGGTATCCGCAATAAGGAAGAGGGCCTGTCGCGGATGGAGCAAATATTCCACCGTATTTGTTCTCGATTTATAATATCAAGCTCAAGCCAGCAGTTCCAGAGAACGGCCCCTTTGCTGTGAGTAGCAACATTAGGTGGAACTCCCTGGCCAAGGCTAGATCTAACGCTTTCCCCATATAGTTTATAACACACGATTCCCGATCGTGGTGGATATCTAAGATCGTTTGCTTGACCGGATAGGTCTAGATGTGAGTGATCTAGCTGGCCATACCCTTGTCATACTCAACACCACGCCCATAACCGGCTCCCCTATCCCTGTCCTCCCGGCCGGGCCCTTCCAATTGTGCTTTCATATCCGATCAAGGCGGGTAAAACTTTGCCTCGTCGTTGCGTTCCCTCTTTATTGGCCCTAATGGCAAGAGAGCTATCTTGGCAACCTTGGTAAAGACCACCTTGTTGGGCTAACCTAATCCCTTCTCCAGTTACCAAAGACGGAGTCCCTTATCGTCGTTCGGGCGGCTAGACCTCTTTGGTCGAAGATAACATAATAAGTAATAGTCCAGTAAACGTGAGGCTGTTTCAGTGCCTGGACATACATTAGCGGCAATCAGAGACATAGGGTAGCTAGAGGCTCACTATCCCTCTAGGCGGGATAGGTGCAAACTAGTGCTATTACCTATTGCTAACACACCTTATTCTTTCGACAAATAGGGGCTTTTATAACGCCCCTGGGTTCTATCCTCATTCGGTTACCTAGCGAAGGTACCTTCCGTCCGATCTTTGCACCGTCTCGGGCAAGGCAACCAAACTCCCCTTCACAGAGAAGCAGCAGTGAGCGTCCTTCTCGGCGAGTGAAGGTGGACCCCCAGTAACGGTTCTCACGACTAATACATTCCTTTTTAATCAGCACTCTACCAACAATCTCCCATCCCTTACACACCTTCATTCTATTCACACTCTTTAGTCCATTGCCTTACCCATACTGCACATATCAATCGTCGACAAGTTAATTGACCTAGTCTCCTGAAAGTCTAACGACTAATCATATCCTCTTACCAATCCATTATCCAAGGTACATCCAATAGGACGTTACCAATTATCTTATTTCATATTTTTCGGTAACCGCCAAGATGTGCTTCATCGAGTACGTCGGTTACACCTGTGGCCACACCTGTGTGCCGGTGAAGCGACCGTGCCCAATGACGACACAGCAATTTAACTTCCCCTGCTGCGCCCATGCGGCTACAAAGCCCATCCTGTACCCTGAAATGTGCCCTTCTTGCATGCGCATCCTACACGGACGATGGATTGACATTCTAGAAAATGAGCACCGTTTCATGCACGCCCGCGGAGCCTGCACTTGTGATGTCAAGTTCCCGTACCTGCAGGAACCCCGCATCATTAGCCAGGACACGGTAGTAGCAGACCAGGCCAGTGAATGCTCAAGTGTCACAGTGACGAACTGCATGCCAACCTCTCAAGTTGGTGATGCCGGTTCCAGTGCTTCGGCGTTCCTGTCTGCGGACACCGACCGGAAGGGTAAGAAACCTATGAGCGAATTCACACTCTCCCCTGTCGCATCGCACTTCACTCCATCCTTGGGTAGTCATCTAGCAGATATCCAATATCCCCCCTATGAACTACAAGGTTCAGCGGCACCTTCCGAGTATATCGGCGACAGCACCGCAGCTTCCTCTTTTACTCCCGGAAATACGGAGCGTGAGCCCCGCCCCTCTCCTAGCTCAAGCAAGGGCACGCGACGTAAAGGCAAGAAGTCCCGAGGAAAGAACATCAGTGGCAGCAGCAATGCGCGACCTTCTGACCCCGCTTCTCCTTATCGCCAAAGTATAAATGAGGAGCCCCAATCTTTCCAGCATCAACAACTTCAACAACTTCAGCACCATGAGAAAAGCCAGAAATCGCCGCAACGAGGCCGCCGAACCTCTTCCTCATCGCACCGCAAGAGCAAGCTTGCCCCCCTCCATGAGGAGCTTGTGCTTGACACTCCCTCATACTACGGTGCTCCTGTGCCTGCATTTACATCTACCCTTACACCCGAGGCAACATTGGTTGCCTACGCAGGCGACGGTGGTGAATTTAGTCGGGATACTAGTAGGCTCCCCATTTCTGTCTCAGTTCGCTCCCGTAGCCTCTATGGGGCAGAGTGGCTCACGGACCACGCAGAACTCCACCGACAGGGTCACTGTGAATGCGACATCCGATTCGACAAGTACAGACTAAGCGACGAGCACGCCGCTATGCTGCAAGAGCAATGGAACTTGGAGGAATCGACGGCTAATGCTTACACTAGCTTTGATAGTGCTAGACCTTCTACAGCCCCTGGCGGCTACATGAGCACCGGTAGCTTTTCGGGCGGTAATGGAGGTTGCGGTGGTGTTAATGGCGACAACGCCAACAACCCCAAGAATATTGTTATCGTGTCGTCGGACTCAGCTCAGGCGCAGTCATCAGCGCTCTCATCTACCCGGGTCCCGGCAGCCACTACCACAGCAGAAGAGCAAGACTCCCAAGCGGCATTTCCGTCATACTCATCATTCCTCCAGGAGTACCCCATCCTCACTCCCGACCCTAGTCTTCCGAGTCACGCCTCTTATCAATCGGCCCGCTGGGGATACAGTGCGTACGACACCTCCGATCTAAACAACACGTCCCAAGACCCCACGACAGGTGCCGAGTATTTCGACCGCAGCCCGCGTCCGGTAGATATGCAGACCTGGCAATACGAGGTCAACAAGGTGCCCATTGCGGGTCTACCCATTGGCGCTGGACCGGAGGGAACATCCCATATGGCCCCTTTCACAACCTGCGAGTTAAACCGCCAACTATACCCCCAGGGCCCGGACCATCACCAATCGGCTTCCCGTTAGGGACTTGCCGAAACCACTACAAATGGGAATGATTTTTTGGAAGCTGGGCGTGAAAAGATTAACGCCTAATGACTACCGCTACTAGACGGTTACTACCGGAATTATAACGATGCATTGCCTTCTGAGTAAGTCGACTTTGCTATCCCCTAATTTACTTCTTAATTCTCTAATTTTAATAACCAAAGTCAGCTGACGTCATTTATAGAATACGAATGAAACGAAGAAAAAAACGGGGAAACGAGATCATGAAACAAAAACATTGCAGAAAAATCGATCGTATTTACTAAGAGTACCGCGGCGCCTCGATGCTGGAATGATGCGTTATATGTACCCTTAAGGCATTTAACCGAGGCTCTCCCCCTTCTATCATACATATTAGATATGAAAGTGAATTCTATGGCATGCCGCCGGGGGACAATTCTTTTTTGGAGTGCTTAGCCTCTTCGCGAAGGCTACTACCTATCAACCTCACCTAATTATTGTTAGTATTCACTCTTTAAACGTTTAAGGGATATTTAACTTACCAAACACCAGATCCATCGTACCAATTACCGCCACCGCATCAGCAAGAAGATGTCCCTTGCAGACGTGGTCAAAACCACCCAAGTGTGCGAAGCCGGGGGCTCGGATATGGCATCGGTACGGTCGTTCACTTCCATCACTAACGACATAGACGCCCATTTCTCCTTTTGGCGCCTCGATGGCGGAATACGTCTCACCGGGGGGTACAGAGTAACCCTTGGTGTATAGAAGGAAATGGTGAATGAGTGATTCCATGTTCTCTTTCATGGCTGCTCGCGGGGGAGGAGAGACTTTGTAGTCCTCAACACGGACCGGACCGGCTGGCATTTTGTTGAGGCATTGGTGGATGATTCGGAGGGATTGGCGAAACTCTTCCATTCGACATAGATATCGATCGTAACAGTCGCCATTGACACCAACAGGGACATCAAACTCGACCTGATCGTACGCATCATACGGTTGACTCTTACGGACATCCCAAGGAACACCGGAACCTCGGAGCATGACACCAGTGAAGGAAAGGTTAAGAGCTTCCTCGGCAGATACCACACCTACACCTTGCAATCTTTGGATCCAGATACGGTTATCCGTTAACATCTCCTCGGTCTCATCGATTCGGTCTCCGAACTGCGTTGCCCACTGGTATATATCATCCAGCAAACCAACCGGAATATCCTGATGAACACCACCGGGTCGGACATAGGCAGCATGCAGACGGGCACCAGAGACACGCTCATAGAATTCCTATGAAGCAGCGATGATTAGCTTTAGCCTCTTATGTTTACTAGTACCAATTGCGATGCATTTCCACATAAAGTAATAAAATCCAAAACAAAATCAACGAATGTGTAAAACCTACCATTAATTTTTCTCGTTCCTCAAAACCCCATAAGAAAGGCGTTAAAGCGCCAACATCCATAGCGTGTGATAGAACAGACATAAGATGGTTTAGAATTCGTGTAATCTCGCCGAATAATGTTCGGATGTACTTGGCTCGCTCGGGGATCTCTACGTTCAATAGCTTCTCAACCGCCAACGAGTAGCATTGCTCATTCGTCATCATGGAGACATAATCTAATCGGTCGAAGTAAGGTAAAGCTTGGAGGTATGTCTTATACTCGATCAACTTCTCCGTTCCTCGATGCAGCAATCCGACATGCGGATCGGCGCGAATAATTTCCTCGCCGCTTAATTCAAGAATTAAACGCAGCACACCGTGAGCAGCGGGGTGCTGGGGACCGAAATTGACGGTGTAATGACGGACTTTACGATCGCTTATGCTGCCCTCGCGCGAGGCCTCGACGGTGCCATCTTGGTTCTGCAGACGTTGGACGCCGTAGGGGTCGGCCGGGTGTGCGAAATCCGGGTCTACGGGTTGCAGGGTGGTGCGTTGATTCGGGAGCTCGTTTGCTCGGCGGAGCGCGGACGCCGAAAACGCGCGGGTATATGTCGATGGCTTTGCGATAATATGCTGTAGACGCCTGGCGCCGCAGGCCATCCGATATAGCGACGCCATTGCCGGCCAATTGACGTTGGGTGGTAGGGATGGGAAGCTCTCTTTAGTGGCAACGCATTTGAGGAAATGTTGTAGGTGGGTAGGGTAGGTTGGTGAGGTTCAATTGACTTAGATAATTATTTCGCATTATTCACCCTAGTCGAACTTACAATTAATGTCCTCGTCATTGGATCGCCATTTTGTTGTTCCGCCCCATGGTAGTACTAGCTCTTAGATGCATATATGTACGTCAGTCCCGTTAGTCCGCTACCAGGAGATACTGGATTGAACGATAAGATACAAGAGTACAAAGAACACTTTTGCTCTTTACACCAGCTGGGACAGAAACTCCGGTTCGGAGTCACTCTTCGGACTAAAATATTCTCTCTGACATCTACTATTGTGCGCGATCCTTTGATTTATACTTCATCCTGTTCTCATGCGGTTGTGCAGCTAGCACTACATGAAAGCGTGGAACCGATATTAGTGATATCTTCAGAAAGAAATCTTAACAAAACAACGGATAACATGGTCCTCTTCTACTCTTGGAAATCCATTCATACCTATTCACTGAATAATAAACCATTTAAGGAGCAAGTGATCATGAAACATGGTTATCATTATCAGCTAGATAATACCTAGCATCATCCTTAGCATAAGTCCCTTCATATCATCGTCCTCCATTATTAGAACAAGACAACCCATTGATGAAGATTGAGCAATTTCACCTAAGATCCAAGCCAATTATTTAGAATACCACTTCCATTTCCCTTGAAACTTAAGTCCCCCTCGGAATACTGTCATAATACGTCTTCGCCGCCGCATCAATCAACTTCTTAACCTCCGTCGCGGGAATCTTCTCCCTTCTATCGAACGAGTACAAGCCGTTGACTTCCTGCTCGATATCGGATCTATACAGAATATTAGCATACTCCTCTCATGCTTACTTCCACACCTACCCATCTCCGCTTCAAAATAATAAATATGAAGAAAAGTGAACTTACAACTGCGTATACACAAACCCACAAATATGCCCCTCTTTCACGACCGCCTGTAGCAGCGCCTCAAACCTCTTCAGCAAATCCTTCGGATCGCTCGCGGTCGTGTATCCCCAATCCCGCTCTCCTTTCTCATCCTTCTTCGCGGGCGCAATATTCACGCCTCCAAACTCGGAGCATATAACCGGAGCCCCGATCTTATGTTTAGTCCCGTCATCTGCGTGACCGTCGGCCGTAGTCGTAGGACCGACGAAAAAGTCACGCCCACCGAGTTTCTTACCAAGGATATTGTCGAGTGTGGAACATGTCTTAGAAAGATCCGGCGCGTCGGCGTAGTCGTGGAAGGTGCTTAGGTCCGTGATGACGTGCTCCCAGCCGCAGTTATCGTTGATAGGACGTGTGGGGTCGAGGGTTCTGCGCTGAGGTTAGATTTTAGGTATGTACAGATTTGATAGGTGTTTCTTACTTTGTGATGTAGTACAGCGAGCGAATGTGGTTCCGTTGATCCACGTTGTCCTTCAGGTTCGGGTAGGCCCAGCTTTCCTGTTACATGTTAACATCTCTTCCAGCATATATGAATACCTCCTATGTTTTACAGAGGAATTATTGCGACATACTGAAAACACGTTAGCTCCCATCCCTCAATAAGAAACAGAACATTCACTAAACATACCATTCACAGGCGTCCAAGTAACGATCGAGGGGTGATTTATATCCCTCTTAACCGCCTCGAGCCACTCCTGACTAAACCTCTCCGCATAATCCTCACTAAACTTATACGCATTCGCCATCTCGCCCCAGACGAGGTATCCCAACTTATCCGCCCAGTATAAGAATAGAGGATCCTCGACTTTTTGGTGCTTCCGACACCCGTTGAAACCCATCTTCTTCGATAGCTCGATATCGAGGCGTAGACTATCGGGCGTCGGCGGCGTCAGCCCGGTTTCTGGCCAGTATCCCTGGTCTAGACATAGCGCTTGGAAGAGTGGCTTGCCATTAAGGCGCAGGGTCCGGTCCCCGCGCGTCCAGTCGATATTGCGGAAACCAGTGTACGTCTTAACTTCATCGACAAGTGCGCCGCTGGAGTCGTACAGACGAATGGAAAGGTCGTATAGCGTTGGGTGGTCTATAGACCATAGCGCCAAGTTACTACGCCAACAATCGTGATCGTCGAGGGGTGCTACTTCAGCAAGAGATGCTGGCGCCTTTAGTTTCTGATCATCACTCAAGCGTAGGTTGACATTAATAGGAATAATATCGTCCGAACTAGATTCCTCTGCCTTGGCGACGCTTATCCCATGGAGATTACCTTCAATCTCGACCTTGTACTTTTGCCCTGTTCTTCGGCCTAGGATGGCTACTCTGGCTTCTAGTAGACCCTCGGCGATGTTGTTCGACTTGATTACCGTACCGGAGCTGCTGTCGCCGATTCGCGTTGATGGGATGACTTCTAGCCATACGGGTTGCCAGATGCCGCTGGATGGGGTGTAGAAGATACTTTCTGGTTGAGGTCCCCAGTATTGTTTTCCACGGGGTTGGGTGAGGTCGTCGGGCGAGTCTCGAATGCGCAAAGTAAGAATTAGACCTTCCTTGCCGGTACGTTCGACGTTTGCCAGAGCATCGGTGATGTCTACCTCGAAAGGCACATGTCCACCTATGTGGTGGCCGATAGGGTATCCCGATGCCCAAATAGTCACATCGTAGTCCACGGCGCCAAAGCGCAAGAGTACTTTGTCTCCAGCTTCGATCTCAGCCTTGCTGCGAGGATCAACGACCTTATTTTCGTACCATAGAACTTCATGCGCATTGTTGTCGTAAACACCAGAGGCTGGTGTTTGGAATACAAATGGTACATTAATAGGTTTCTTGACATTTTCCTGGCAATTCGGAGCTTGGAATCCCTTCTCCTTGAGCTCTGGGAAAGCTGCTAGTCTCTTAGCTTCGGCCTCGGCATCGCTCGTATTAGTAGACGTAACGACTACTTTATCCGGGACGCCATTAATATGCCACGCCTGTTTAAGCCCAACATCATCGTCGTCGAAAAGTATAGACCACCCCTCATTTAGTGGCGTCCACCTGTGATTGCCATGAACGAAATCGGGTCGAGGATACGCATCTTTAGAATTGTAAGCCATTATCTGCACTATATATACCTAGGTAGGTACTGTTATAAGTTTTCCTCAATTGGCTAAGAAGGGATGAATGAACAAGGGGATATTCAGGAACGAGCGACTAGTTCGAAGGAACGTTCTTTACCCATGAAGATAATCGATCAACAATCGTGTTCTTCTTGCCTTCGATATCGGCGTGCCGTGGTCCATTTCTTTGAAACAAGTGAGGAGAAAGATTGACGTCACACTGCGCCAATAATAGTTTGTGTATGTCGAGAAAATTGGACTCGAGCTGCATCTCTGCATATTAACAAGATTGGCAAGTCTTTAGGGCCTCTTAGACTGTTCTTATTAATTTGCGCATGTGAAATCTGTCTTGTTTATTATGTGATAGATTTTACTGTTGGTGTAGGTGGATTTTTAGGGGGGACCACCACCTGTCAATAAAATATGATGCGCCGAGACCTTCACAATATAGCATCATATTCGCACCGGAAGAGGGGCAAGTTTTTGTGTAACATTTAACATTTTCATATATTAATTAATCGGCAGCTTCATAAACTCATTCCACGAACCCGTCTCACTTGCCTGATGTTCGGAACATTATCACCCCAAATACGCCGGTCGGTATCGATGGATTACCCGATTTCGTGACTCCGTCATAATTGCTTGGTCTTCCCCTTTCAAAATATCGTCATAAATAATTTATGCGACGCCAGTAACACGTCTCACACTCTTTCTCGCACCCTCACCACTAATCATAATCGAGCCCTCCATTTCAAGCGCTCTCATCGTCTCTGCGAAATCAGCTGGCTCAACCGGAACACTTGCTCCTTCGTTCAACCGTCTACTGACATCACTAAATCGCACGTTCTGTCCACCGCCAGTTAACTCATCCAGCAGATGTAGAACAGCTTCCTTCAGCTCAGTCTTGCGCTTCCTCTCTGCCGCGCTAGTGCCTTCTGTGAGTAGACTCATGTCAATGCGACCTTGAGCATCAGTTGCTGCAGTCTTCAGCGCAGACTGGATGAGTCGCTCAGCCTCGAGTACATCGGCCGCCGTAACTGTAGTTGCGAGGCGCATTTTGGCGTGTGCTTCAGCAAGACGGATCATCGATTCAAGTTGTCGGGTTGTCGCCGTAATACGTTTTTCTGCCGCGCGAACATCCTGTCCGAGTTTGCGCATCTTAACGTATGCATCTACCAGGGCCTGAGAAGCATCCTGAGACAATGTTGGGTGGATATGGGTACGGGCGTATGAAATATAGGAGGTTAAGAATTCCACGGGCTAATCAATTTGTTAGAAGTGCATCCAAGTAGAATTCGGAGTCAACTTACCAATATTTCATTAGCAGAGGGAGCGGATTGAGGTTTATCTTCCAAATACATCGACAATAAATGTCGGGCTAACCTGCGGTCGTTCGATTCGTTGACACGATCGAGGATTAAGTAGACAAGATCGAATCGTGATAATAATGTAGGTGGAAGATCGATATTTTGTGGAACGGGTAGGTCGGGATTGTATCGAGACCCAATTGGATTGGCCGATGCCAGAATACTGGTTCTGGCATTTAATGTCGTGATAATACCAGCTTTAGCAACTGAAACTGTCTGCTGTTCCATAACTTCGTGGAGAACCGAACGAGTGGCATCGGACATTTTATCGAACTCATCGATACAGCATACACCACCGTCGGACAAGACTAAAGCGCCCGATTCAAGTACCAATTGCCTAGTCTCGGGATCACGGCTGACGTATGCTGTGAGACCGACTGCGGAAGATCCCTTACCACTAGTGTATACACCACGAGGGGCAATCTTGTGGACATATTTAATCAACTGGGACTTCGCTGTCGACGGGTCACCACAGAGCAAGACGTTTATATCTCCTCGATATTTCGGACTACCACCCTTTTCAAAGGTCTTATTCGTGCCTCCAAACATTTGGAGGAGAATACCCTTCTTCACGTCGTCCATCTCGTAGATTGATGGAGCTAGCGATCGGGAGAGAAGCTCATAAATATCTGGGCGGGCAGCAGTTGCTTTGATCTTCTCTTCTTCCTCAGGGGTAATCTTTCGTGTTTCTTCGATGTTGTTTTCTGAATCATTAGTTTCTTCCTCGAGAGTAGAAGGATCCATATCCATGCGCTTGTTATCGACCTTGGCAACATGCACAACATCGACAAAGGTCTTGAACACGCTTTTGACTGAGCGCTGTCGCGGGTTGACTCTGACAGGGCTGACACGATAAATTCCCGTAATCTTGATACGGTCACCAGCTTTGCAGAAATCCACCAACTCGTTGTAAACACAAACTGACACTGAATGAGGTGTCTGGCCAGCAGGCACGGCATCGGGTGTTTCCTGTAATTTGATAACCTGCTTATCTTCGAATTCACACCTGTTGTGTACAATTTGCATAGAATTCTTGGAATTGCATAGCTGTCGTGGGCATTCCGTGGGTTCTCGAATTTTGCCTCGGTCTAGGCCGACCAGGAGCGAGTGGCTGCAAACACTGCATCGGAAGAATGCCTGTTTCATGTCTGGGATAACGGGTGTTGTCCTGATCACAAGACCCTTAATACAGATAAGCTTGTCCATATCAGATGGGTTCAGATCTCGCAGGTTGGTGGCCTCATCTAGACCAAAAGGTCGAGTCATGTAGGTTTGATCCATGACCTTCTCTTCTAAAGTAGGTCCTTGAGGAGGTCGTTGCGAAGGGGTTTGGGGTTCCTCGCCTCGCTCTGAGCTCGGGATATGCATGTCTGAACTAGGCGCGCTGCTGCGTTGCGCTGCGTGTCCCCCATTGCTTTGAGTCCTTTGCCTAGCCATTTCAGCCTGTGCAAGCTCAATCATCAGATCATGAACCGACTGGTCCATTAATGGCACAATTTCCTGGGGGTAATGTTGAATTTGATGCCACATCTTCCTTGTAGGGGGGTATAACTTGAAATCTTGGATGTTCACATAGAGGATTCGTTGTCCGAGAATGAGCATGTTTTGAAGCTCTTCCCAATACGGTTTGGATGTAGAGTCTGGGTCAGCATCCGTCTCTTCTGTCGTCATACCTATACCCCACATACGATATTTCTTGGTGAAATTGCGTAGGAAGTCTTTGAAGGCGGCATAGGTATCGTCAATGGAGACCGTAGTACCCCAAATAGTCGCATTGTCTTGTCCACCAAGAGCATCGGCATCGGAGGTCCCAGGATTCAGATTGGAAAAGGTTGCTGCATCGGAATGGATTTCTCGAACTACACGGCCTGCATCGTCCAAAATAACACGACTTCCACCCCGACCACTACTACTAAAAATCTCGGAGTTGATATCACCTCTTCGGTTTACCCGGTTGGCTCGTGGAGTATCGGATGCTCCGACGAACAAGTTACTGCTCTCGCTTCGAAGATCGGTTTGCGGGTGTAGACCTCGACCGGGACTTGAACTTGGTTCATATCGAATGGGTGAAGATTCTGATACATTAGTTAGAACCTCTGTAGTTGTTTCTGGCGGTGAAGCCTAGACTTACCACCCATAAGTGATCTAGAGGCCCTTGGTGTGCGATCGCCATCGCTTCCTGTCATGCGACGTAAAGGCGAACTAGGTGCTGCGTCGGCATTGGCGTTGGTGCTTTGGCTGTCGGTATTGTGGCGTAAAGCGGGGGAACTTCTATCGTTTCCATTGGCTGGTGAGGATTGATAGAATAGAGGACTCGATGCCAACTGTGACGAGGGATGGTTAGGAGCATTTAGATTCTGCGCTCCATTCGCAGGAACGGGACTGCTGCGAAGGGCTTGAGAATTTCGTGTATTTCGACTTGGTGTGCCGGCTTGCGAACTGCGTGTTCGGCGATTAGCTGGTGAAGACATCTTGACTCCAATACGAGCACAATTGAAGTCTATGTCGGCTAAGTTACGTGTAATCGATTGGTGGAGGGGAAAGTTGTTTAGACTGAAGAAGAAAGTGGGTGGTTATGAAGATTGAGATAACAAGTGGGATGTAGATGTGGATGCCGCCCTAGGAGAGAGAAATCACATAAAATGGGGCACGAACGCGTAAAAAGGGGTATCGGCGCGACTTTTCGCGTAGAGTGGAAGTTATGCAACCTATTAACGCCCTCGTTTTAACATGCATAATATTATGCCGCGCAACGATTGACTTTGTGCACGAATTCATAAATGTGGGGTGAATTTAACCCTGGTCTCCGGTTCCCGCTAAAACTATTTCTCCATTTGAGTTGGCCCACTCTACCGCTGCCAGCCAAATGCCACCTGTAGATGCGCCGTCTCTCGAACTTCCACATGCTGGCATTAAGTAAGGGGACATTAATATTATAAGGAGACAATTCGTACCACAACCACGATATCGATACTAAGACAGTGCTTTCAGCTATTTCCCGCCTCGATAATAATATATATCCTTCAAAATGGCACCTGGGATGTCCTTATCCTCGGTGAATGCCATCATCATCCTCAACATCGATGATGGCACTAGGATATTCGCCAAATACTACAACGCACCCCACCATATGTCCACAGCTTGTATGTCCCAACCGAGCACGGAATGGGGAAGCTACAGCCACTGATAGGAAGTAATAGCATCTAACCCTCACCACCAACCCACCGGACCGTTCGCCGATGTAAAGTCGCAAAAGACGTTCGAGAAGGGCCTGCTAGAAAAGACGGCGAAGCAGACTGGCGACATCATCCTCTACGACAACCGGATCGTGCTGTATAAGATGGAGTCCGACGTCATGATGTACGTCGTAGGCGGTGTGGATGAGAACGAGGTCCTCCTATATAATGTTATCTTGGCCTTGAGGGATTCGCTACACCTACTATTTAAGTATGTCAGCTAATTAAGGAATCCAGTCAATCTGAAACTAACCAGAGGTAGGCAATCGGTGGATAAGCGAACGATAATCGAGAACTACGACCTGGTCTCGCTAGCTATCGACGAGATCGTAGACGACGGCATCATCTTAGAGACAGACCCGACTATCATCGTACAACGGGTCAGCAAGGCGCCCACGCAAGACGTTAACTTAAGCCGAATCGACCTCAGTGAACAGGGAGTAAACAACCTAGCGCAATTAGGAAAGGCTAAATTGACAGACTGGCTAAGGCAAGGCTTGTGAAGGGGGATTGTGTTTCTCTAAAATGTGGAGAAGTACGAGATGGCCCTGAACGTAGACTCCGGCATGGCGTTGGTAAAAAGTCGTTATTTTGTTCTTTAATGGGTGTCATATTGAGTGGCTGAGAACGGTGTGATGATCTCGCGCCGAGTCTAAGATCTACTACGACCTAATCTGAGAAGCTGCCTTGCGCAGTCTATTCATGACGGCCGCGCCGATATCTTCATCGTCTACTGTACCCTCCACAAATATGATGTTTGCGCCTCGTCTATCCAGTTCTCGTAATGCCGAGAATAGCCCCTGTGCTATACTCCTGGTATCCGCCCCTATGCTTATATCCATAAGCTTCCCAATTGAAACTCCGCCTGTGGTATCATAAAGTTCCGCTTCTTCAACGTCGAGTTCAACTGTTTCCTGGCCCCCATGACCGTTTTCCGTTTTTACCGCCTCCTGCTTCTTAAATTCACTACAGCTTAATCCGGCAGCGGATTTCCAATATCGAGTTCGTATTATCCCGATTTGCAAGCCCTCTTTGCTTTTCCCTTCTGGTATTTCCTGTGCTTGTCTAACCTGGATGAATGCTTCTAAATCTTGAGACTGCACACCATCCCGAATAGTCTCAAAATTCGCTTCGTATAAAACCACTTTTGCTTTTGGGCTATAGTGCTTGTATTTCATCCCCGGTGCTCTTGGCGCAGATTTTCCAGTTTCACTCTGGTCTTTGTACCCCTTTTCAACTTGCTCCCATCCGGGACAACTCCGCAATTCATCTATGCCCACACCACCCGGCCTTAGGATTACAGGAGGATCGCATAGGCCGTCTACCACAGTGCTTTCAACTCCAACGTAACATGGACCCCCGTCGAGAATTAGTTCGATACGTCCGTCTAAATCTTCAAGCACGTGTTCAGCAGTAGTCGGCGATGGTTTCGTTGATGCGTTTGCTGAAGGGGCTGCTAGAGGGGCACCAGCCAGTTTGATGAGTGAAAGAGCGAGAGGTGATTTAGGCATGCGAACACCGAAAGTCTTCAATCCAGCCGTCACTTCAGGGGCCAATTTCGACGGAGTCGGATTAGGGAGCAATATCGTAAGGGGACCCGGCCAGAATCGCTCTATGAGAGGTTTATATATCTCAGGTATCCCATCACGAGCTTTATTCGTTGTGCCGTTAGATGCGTTCTCAGGCGTTAAAACATTTCGAAGCATCTCCAAATCCGATACATGAATAATCAGGGGGTTATCCACAGGTCGCCTCTTCGCGGTATATATACCCCTGACCGCTGCGCTTCTCGTCGCATCTGCCCCAAGCCCATAAACAGTCTCAGTTGGAAATGCAACGGGTATATCCTTGGTTTTGAGGTAATTCGCCGCCTCATGAAGAATTTCAAGACTGGGTGATTTGTTCTGAGATATTTCCCATAATCCTAATTTTTCATATCCCTCATCTTCTCTAAATTTCCCCAAGTCCCCTTGAGGAACCCTGAGGACGCGGGTGGTCATTCGAGGTAGATCTTGAGACATTGTGTTGTAGAACTTGAAAATAGTCCGAACGGCGCTGAGTCTCCTGCGCAAGATTTTGGTCGCCAATTTGCTTGGTAGTTTTGATATTTTGTGGCCTTTGGATATAAATACACTTTCCCAGCTGGTCCTTTCCTTTAACAAAGAAAAAGAGTTATAGGCCTTAAGAGTTTGACTTATAGATCTGATAAGTGTTTGCATAAAAGTTTGTTCATTAAAAAGTGACTCATAAAAAGCATAGCGGTTGACAGCGATGACGATATTGGGCAGTTGAAGATTTACAGTAAGCTTATCGATTAAGGGTCAGGTACAAATAGGCGCTAGTACGTAGCCTAACGTTAGGGGACTTCAGGGCCTAAATCACTCTTTGCGACGTCGCTAAGCCCTATCAATTAGGCGGGGTGTAAAATAATTACAGCGGTTTCGTTTAGGTACCACGACTTTTTGATTGGATTATCTCGATCTTCAAAGTCCACACCACATTACCACATCACATCAACAAAGAGAAAAGGTGGTCGGTTTCAACCGCTAGACGTCTTACGTCGCTCGCTATGCGCCTCCCACAACCAATGTCCCAATGTCCGCCAACAATACCCCCAATGGCAACTCGGGGCCAGCAATACAGAAACCCCCTAATAAGGTGAACGGCGCCTCTTCCTCGTCCGGTCCCTCCATCCACGATGCTTCGAACCTTTCCGATGTACGCGCCGCATTGGCCGCCCTCCACGTTCGTGAGACCAACGTAACGAATCGCCTCAATGCACTCCTGTCTTCTCAAGCAGACCTATCTAGGGAATTAGGTCGGCTTGATTTACTCCGTGCGAATCTCGGCTCCCAAGTTATCGCAACGAGATCTATAAGCAATGGGATGCTGTCCTCGGCAGCCGACACCGCGGGGCGGCTTTCTAGTCGGGTTAAGAAGCTCGATTTGGAAAAAGAGAGGGTGCAGCAGACATTAAAAGTTGTTGAACAAGTGGCTGAGCTCAAGGCTTGTGTTCATGGGGTCGTTGGCAGCATGGGTGCCCCGCAGGATTGGGAGGCGGCGGCAGGTTATATATCCCGAGCGAGCAAAGTGCCGGAGCCGATTATACGTGGTGGATTTGCGGCTTCTATGGTCCCAAGTGTTGAAGTACCAGATGCGCCTTGGGTCACGCTTGAGAATGCGAAGGAAAGTTTATGCGGCTTATTCTTGCGAGAATTCGAAAAGGCTGCTAAAGAGGGTGATGGTGCTAAGGTCACAAGATTCTTTAAGCTATTTCCCCTGATAGGAAGAGGGGATGTTGGATTGGACGTATATGGACGATATGTATGTCAGGGTGTTGCCGGCACGGCCCGAGCGACTCTCAGGGCTGCACCAGGAGATGCAGGGAAGAGGGATGGCTTCTTCTACGCCAACGCACTCACGAAGTTATTCGAACATATCGCCCAAATTGTCGAGAGTCATGGTGGGCTTGTGGAAAGGCATTATGGCGAGGGAAAGATGGTTAAAGTTATAGAAAGACTCCAGATGGAGGCCGATGTGCAGGGCGGTATCATATTGGATTCATGGAGCGACGAACGAGGCATCGATAGGAAGCTTACAGATGCGAAGAGCTATCCTTTCTCTTTCCTAGTACAAAGCTTCCTTCCACCGCAAAGGACACTTACAGGTACACCGCGTATGAATTCCCCGGCGGTAGGTAGTGGGACCAACGCGCGAAATAGTGAAGACGAAGGCGTAGATATGAAGGAAGTAGATGGCCTCTTAAGTGAGATTTCCATCATGCTTGGTCGATGGTCATTATACTCGAGGTTTCTTGCTGGAAAATGCAGGGTAAGCAAGTACTTATATCGATTTTCGACTTGGCAGCAATTAATTCATTCTAGGATCCCGATACCCCTGAAGACACCCCTCTATCAATACCAGAGGTCGTCACAAAATCCAATCTACACCGAAAAATCTCATCGAAACTCACAACACCTTACAATTCTTTAGCGATGTTCTTCTTCAGGAGATCCGTTGAAAAGGCATTTCAACTGGATGAATCACCTTCCGGCCTGTCCCTCAATATTAATAAGTCGATTGATGGGAATGCGCCTTACATAATCTCAGCCGTTGACGATGTAATGTATATCGTCAGTGCAATAATCCAAAAAGCCATGTCAACCTCACAACGCGACGTAACGGCCTCGGTTATTCCAGACGTCGGAAGAGTATTAGGGTCGGACTTTATTGGAATGGTGCAACGAAGAATGCGAGATGAATCTTATCCGCAACCTGTTGTACAAGGAGGGCTGCCACCCGAAAATAAGATTGTTGCCTTCATTGTGCTTATTAACAGTCTGGATGTCGCAAAAGACTACCTGGCCCGGATCATCACAACACAATTGGGAACTTCCTCTGAACAACCCAATGGGACATCCCAACCAAACCCTCTCGCCGCCTCATTTCCGTTTGACCACGATGTCACATTTGTAACCACAGCTCTCAACACATTGAATTCTACGTTCTCTCTTAAGACGGGCGAACTTATATCCGATGCCTTGAAAGTTCTTTTTACTTTCGTCGTCAAGCAAAGATTAAAACCTGTTCTTGTTGATGCCTTCCGAGATGCGGATTACTGGCGTTCCGAAGACGAATTAGCAGAAATTGCACAGCAAAACGATGAAGACGAAGATGAGGTTATAGATCGTGTACAGAGAAGATTCGAACACGGGTGGGACGCGCTGATGAAACCAATCGCGAGATTAATGACTCCTAAGACATTTACCGCACTTACAGACCTCACAGCAGCAGATCTAGCTAAGACACTAGAAAAGCGAGTCTGGAGTTATAGTGGGAAGACGAGTGCGTACGGAGCCATTCGAATGGATCGAGACTTTTCGGGCATCATTAGCACCGTTTCTAAAGATAATTATTCCGTAAGAGAAATGTTTGCGAGAGTAACGCAAATACTCATGGTCGCGAATATGGAAGAGGAAGAGTGGGAAGAAATAAGTAGTGAAGAGGGAGAGGATGGTATCCAATGGGTGCTCAATGAGGACGAAAGACGAAGAGCTAGGAACCTAGTCAGGGCATGACATGACAGGCGACCTCTATCTATATAAATATGCTCTGGATTTATAGCATGGGACCAGTGGAGGGTGTACTTAGTTCTAAAAAGTCACGATCGGAGGTAAAATAAAGGGGGTTTTACCACTCAATTCACTTTCCACCTAGCTACAAACTCCCCAGCCCTCATCTTCGTAATTCCACGTGTAGAAGACCTCCAGAAGAACATATAATTACCTGGGTATTTGACTTAATATCTTACGTTCATTCAGTGACTGCGAATACCTGGGCATCCCTATTACGTAATCGAGACTTTTAATTACGTAAGGATGCGTATACAGAGGCTTTTCCATGAGAGTAATTATCGATAAGCCAATCTTATCGATAGCCGACCGTAGACCGGGCGTTCTAGCATTCAGAAGCCAAAGCTTCATTCCTTCTTTCTTTCTTTCTTAACATCTAAACCTACCATTTCAATTACCCAATCCCTCCTCCCACGACCATTACTTCGCAATCGTTCATCTCAATTACTACGCCAAACAACTTATAAGATTGAGTTACAATTACGAAATCATGGCGACCACACATTTCGGCCTCCTCGAGGAGCGCGAAGAAAACGAGTTACACAAAACCCGCCTCCTCAACGTCGAAGAGAAACCCTTCAAACGCCTCACAAAGCGACTCGTCGCACCCGGTGCCTTCACCAGTCCCAGCAAACTTCCCACGCCTCCTCCCGACGCCAACAACAGCACCGAAGCACAAGACCACCCCACCACATCCTCGTTCTCCGCGACAGAGATAAGTGCGTTAAAAGAAGACATCATCCTAGATTTCGAAGCCTTCGACGCGCAAATCCTACGCTTGCAACTCCTCGAAACTGCTAACGCGCAAGAACGGGAACGGTATACCGCGGATAGAGTTCGCATTCTGGAGACTATGGAGGCGGTCAGGGAGGGGAATGCTAGACTTCGCGCGCAGCTTGATGATGCGCGGGCTACGCTGGCGCAGAGACGACGGTTTGATGAGCTGGCGGATCGGATTACTAGTAATCGGATGTTGCGACCTCGCGCGGAGCAGGCGGTTAATTTGGCCAAGTTGGCGGAGGAGTGTGATGATTTGCATCGCGAGAGCGAGACTTATGGTGAGACTTGGCGGGAGAGGAGGGAGCAGTTTGGGGTCCTGGTGGATGAGGGGAAGAGGTTGCGCGCGCTGATTAGGGATGAGAAGGAGGAGGTTGAACGACGTGAGGGTATGGATTCGGATGCCGAGGAGGGTGGTGAGGGGACGCCTGGGAAGGGGCTTGTTAGTGGGAATGCGACACCTAGACCAGAGAGCGGTGGTTTGTCGTCGGCGGCTTCGGGGAAGGGGGAGGGAGCTGGAAGTGCGACGCCGAGATTGGGTGCTAGGGATGAACGAACGCCTCGATCCGATAGTCCGGCTGTGGGTTCGGGATTGAAACCTAGACCTGATGTTAGTGGAAGCTTTTCACGATCTGGTAGCCAAGCCCCGAGTCAACGAGGTATGAGCCAGCAACCGCGAGACGAAGAGCCTGAGGAGGGTGAGGATGTTGAGATGGATGAACCCACCGCGCAGCAGCAACAAACAGGAGATACACCCATGGCCGAGGATGCTTCCCAGGACACACCGCAGATTACAGTTGAGGCGGCTACTAGTGGCGATAATATGGACATGTCTTGAGACACCACAAGCATGAAAATGGCGCGGACGGCTAGGAAGAGGCATGAGTTTTGATGTCCATCTTGGGCCTGGTTGAGTTTCGTCACGGCGGGCTCTACGAAGGCACATATATTTTTGCGAGGAATTTTTGCGAGGATTATCGTCGTTAGCTCCCAGGTCTACGCGTTTTCGTGCGGCGAAAGGAGAGGGAGGTCGTTAATATACCCAACAGAACGGAGCAGTACGCTAAGACAGAATAGAGAATGGCTTCTTGCTAGTATTAATCTACACTTATTCCTAGGCAAACATTGTCTAATCTTACTTATTTCTTTTATTTCTGCTTTTGCAAAAGATGTGGTATCATTGTATTAATTCACTGCTTTCCATATCCACACGCAACCACCTCGTAGCCCAAACCTGTCGGGTTGTCCATATTACACAACGGGCGGCTCCTCCACGGCCTTTCCAAGCTCCAAGGCTTCTTTCGCCTTCTGTATCTCGTCCGCTGGTCCGCTCTCGCTCTCGGCTGTTGCGATTTGCTCCTCGAGTCGTTGAACGGCTTGGGCGATGCGTTCGCCTAGGGGTACGAAGATGGCGCGGGTTTCGTCCATGGCTTTTTGCTATAAATTCAGAAAATAGCATTGTTAGCATAGTCCTCCTAAGATCTCGGGATTCCCAACGAGCTAGTTAAGCCATCTTGGTAGTGAACACAGAAACAAACGGGAAATAGAGAAGATAGGCAAACATACCTCTTGCTTCAATACATAAGCGGCATTATCGTCTGCGCCTTCACCAGCATCCTTAATCTGTGTCTCTAGCTTCTTGACGCGCTCCGATTGTTGCGTGAGCTCCTTGCGGTACGACTTTTCCTCCTTGACGAGGCGCTGGACGGACTGCGTCGCGATGGTGAGGGGTGACGGGGCCGGCATTGTGTTACGTTTGTTGTATGTCTTTTTCCGTGGTTTTGGGTACTTATAGGAGTATAATGGGGAGGCCAGAAATACTTGGCTTTCCTATCCTTTAAATACTAGTTTTGTTATATAGTTGCCTAGAGAAAAGCTGTTGTTTGGTGGGATGAGGCAAGAAGTTATCCGAATCGAGGAATATGTTTTGGTGGGGGTTGGCGGGGTAAAGGGGTATACTTATAAAGGGGAGCAAACACTCCTTCGATAAAGAAATAAATATTAACTTCTTCCCCCCTATTTTTAAGCCCCAATTCTTCCACTTTTACACATATCACTACTTGATTCTTACTCGAACCTCAAAGCGGAATTTTACCATTAACGCGATACCTATACTAGTTGAGACGACTGGGCCTTCTAGATAGTTTGATAAGGTCGCCACCCGAACATAATATGGCTGCCTAGCGTACAGGTAATACTCGGCTCGTTCGGCGAGAAGATCTACTGTTATATTATCCATTAGGTTAGAGATGAGTATTCTAGTATATTTATGTTACATCAAACAGGGACAATCAAGTCGCCCCCCGTTTTCTCTAAGCGACAAGCAGAATAATCAGGAGGTGGGTGTCTAGTTGTTACGGTGTGGTAGCCATGGATGTTCAATCATTCCGGCCTAGCAGCCACGAGAGCGCATTCCGGGTATCAAGCTCATGCTTCTTGATCTGCTCAATAGCTGGAAGACCCAATGCCCAGAAAACATGCGGCACGCCAGGATAAATATCGAGTTTTGTCGGAACACTGGCGTCCTTCCATACTTGCTCCATGACGAGCGTGCAATCTCTCGTTGGATCTAGTCCGCACGCTTGGAAGTATGTTCGAGGCATGATAGAGGGATCAGGGATAGTAACTGGGTAGGCGAGAGGGCTTCGGGGGTCTGGTTTGTAAAGTTCTAGAAAGAGTAGGATTGGATCAGCACCGAGTATCAACAGGTAATCTCGCTTTGGGTGAATATTTTTTACTTACCTTTAATACGTTTGACAGCTTCGGTATCCATGACAGGGACGTTAGCATTCTGCTCCATACTCACGAAGAAGGGCTTGTATTTCTCTGGTATTGTTTCGGCGGTCGCCCCTGAGCTTGCGCTGGCATAGATGCCTGTGATACGCAATGATGCGCCGTGGTCTTTTCGTGTTATCCAAAGATATGCAACGGCAAGGGCCATGTTTGCGCCTGAGCTCTCGCCAGCTACGATGAACCCTTTTGACGGATCAATGCCGAGGGTGTCGAGGTTCTCTGCCACCTATTGCCCCACGAATGGTTGTTAGTTTCTAGTTATTTCCTCAGTACTCGCGAAGTTAAAAAAGGAATGTGCACGGGTTGCTATGAAGGGTGCAGGGAGAAGTGGGATTTCATTGGCCTAACCACTTGGGAAGGCTTATAAGTAATAATAGGTGTATGGGTTTCAAGAAACAAGCCAGGGTAGACTAAAATGGCAGGTCATTGGAAGCTGTTCTTTGATGCTTGGCTCAGTGGTTAAGGTTTAGGTAATCCTCTGACGACGTTGGAAAGCCCTGGCCATAACCTCTGCGTATCCTGACAGATGATAGCTCACCTTCTGGGGGTGTTGGTTCGAATCCGGCTCCTGGCAATTCATTTTTTTTCTCCTTCTTCTTTTATATTTTTCTCTCTGTTGTGTTTTTTTTTTTTTTTTTTTGTACTTCCCCTCGCTCTTCCGGCCAACATCTTTTTCTCACCCCTTTTTCCCATAACACAATTAAGACGGCAGATATTCTCAAGCAGAAAAAAAAACACAGTATAAACTCACCCAAATCAGAGCATCATATGCATCCTCCACTGGCCCCGGAAACGGATGTTCGGGTGCAAGCCGAAAATCAACATTCACAGCAACGCCCCCAAGACTCGCAAACACACGACTAATCCGAGCTCCCGCGTCCAAATCCCCAATACTATACCCACCACCATGCAACATCAACATACCAGGACGACCACCTTCGTCGTCGCTCTGAGTCCGTGATCGATGCACGCGCACCGCGATAGATGCACCATCCCTCGTCGGGATTCTCCGATCGTCCTCCTCAAAGGGTTGGGGCTCGGTTGAGGCTTTTTGCTTTTGTGCCTCTGCTATGCGAGAGAGAAGTGCACGTACTTCGTATATATCCGTGTCTTTGTTCCACGATGGAGGTAATACAAGACCATTTTTCAGTAACTACGACATATACACATGGTAAGCTATCGTATACTACGCATTTAAGAAAGCAGTGGATAGAAACATACTTGATCTAGTTCGGGATCTATAATTGAGAGAGCCTTTATCTCTTCGAGTGACCTCATTTTAACGAGAACTTTTCGTCGGGGATGTATTTTGAAGGTATTTTCAGTTTTTTAAAAAAAAAAAATTTAATCCGAGATTAATTAATGGTTTACTTAATACTCATGTGAAATACCCTTGATAACCTTATAGATACGAAGTTGAGGTGCGGCCAGCCGGAACAGCCGCGTAGAAATATACTCCTTTACTCTGCTTCGGAGTCTGACCGATCTAAGCCCCTTTACTTATTTCGGAGTTTCGGTGCGAACCGAAGATTTTTCGGATCACATCCGAAAACAAAATAAAAAAAACTTCTACATTTCTCGTCGCAAGCATTGCAAAAGGTATAATCGCGATGTCATATCGGTCTATTGAGTCTTGTATGATTATTTATTACGTACGTAAATGCTCTCCCATGCATGCACCGATACACTCCAGTATTCTATGTATACGCCGTCGTAATAATGTATGCAAAGTCAAATCAAGTATGCGAACCACCTATTTTCCCTTTTATTACAAGTTCCGAATGAGAAACCCGTCATTCTGGAGTTTTTGGAATACCTGCGTCGGGTCGTATTTCGCTGCCGTCGCCTTGATAAACGCAACGTTCTCTGCGCCATAACTGTTGAGAACATTCTGCTTCTTGCCCGCCGTGTTCATGAAAAGATACGGTAAGGATAGGTTCTTCGCTTTTGCGGCGTCGACACATCGTTGGGTAATCCTTTGCGAAATATCCCAGATGGTTTGATCTTCTGTTGGATCCGTCCAAGTAATGTACCACTCGTACCCTGAGTAGCGAGTAATTAGTGCCGCGAATAGATGACTAAAAGGGAAAACAGACGTACATTGCTGTGGAACCTCCTCCATACCTAGTAAGTTCCCTCCATTTTGCTTTCCTACTGTAGCTACGCTGGCTGCAATTGGGTTCGGTACCCATACCTCTGATGCATCACTAGGGAGGTTGGCGGTCTCCTCGACGAAGATGTCGTATAGTTCAACCATCAAATCAGCATCGGCTTTATGACTAAATGTCTCGCCATATGTGCGGATGTTGCCGGTCGAAAAACGTGATCCAGTTAGGGCCAGGACGTCTAGAAGGGTGCCATTGAAAGCGGGTAGAATCGGCGTATACGATCCAAGGTTATAGAAGGCTCCGAATGCTTTCGGTTCTTCTACCGGCTCGTTATAGAGGAGGAGGATAGTGGGGCCAGATTCTATTAGCTGGATCTGCTACAATGTTAGTTACCCTTATGGAGTCGATGATACTCCCTCTCAGACACACGTCATCTGCATGACTGGAGAGGTTGTGGGAAATTTCGTATTAAAAAGCGATAACATACTAAAATGGTGTTAGTTTCTGTCGCATAGCGAGATACGATGGGTAATTCAGGGGCATATACATACCACTAACACTAGACAATGGATCCAACTGCCCCTCCTTTTGGTATTCGGCCACGGCGCGTAGGAAATCATCGGTCTGGTTCGAACTATATGCTCGCGCATCGACATAGAAGTTTCCGACGGGATAGGTGTATAGCTCATAATTCGTAACTATACCGAAGTTGGCAGCGCCACCTCGGAGCCCCTTATACAGGTCCGAATATTCGTTATCGGCTGAAACAGTAACAATGGAACTATCAGCGAGTACCACCTCGTACGACTTCACGTTATCCAGCCCGAGGCCACGTTGAGTTGCGAAGTAACTCAACCCACCTTAATAAATGTTAATATCGGATGCAATAGGAGCATGCTTGTAACAAGTGGCATAATTGGCTTACCTCCAAGAGTCAAACCACCAACTCCGACAGGCCCGACGCGTCCACCGACCACCACCAGCCCCTCGGGCACAAGGGCTTCGTAAACTGCTTGCCACCTATTTCCAGGCCCGACCTTAGCAGTTTTCCTATCCGCGGATAGTACAGTGGTGTTCAATCCCGAGAGCGAAATGAGAACTCCGTCTTCATCAACGCTTGCAAAGCCTGGAATATAGTTATGACCGCCACTTCTAACAGCAAACTTCGTTCCGGTTTGCGAGAGTATCTTTATTGCCGTAGATACTTCCTCCGCGGTCCTCGGGCTGACGATGCAAGCTGCCGGTAATCTGCACGCGGCGGAGCTAAGAATGGACGGAATTAATCATCGCTCCATGATCGGTTGGATTCGGAAAGGTCCGGGAAGGAACTTACTAGTTCTCGTCTTCGAAATCTTCATAAGTCGCTCCATCTGACGGATATACAGTCGCGTTCATATCCGTTAGGGTCTCTCGCAATATTTGACAAGCACACGTAACGTCACCGGCACATTCGGTTTCGGCGCGTAGCACAGGAGTCGCCGAGTTGCTAATTTTGACGGGGATCTGAGCAACGGATTGAACTACCGGTACCGCTGCGAGTGCAATTAGCATCGCATTTCGAATGCTCGTAGCCATGTTGTATCCGCGAGATATATGTTTCCAAAGATCTCGATCCTGTTGGCGAAGTGAGGAAAAGTAGACTGAGTATCACAGAGGTAACAAAAACATGGCACCAAAAAAGCACAAAACTGTAAGTTTGCTTTGCTGCTGCATGAGCAGCTCTGGTAAATTATATCAACATTATAGGGGATATATGTGTATATGACGCTAGATTTCAAGAATTTTAGAAGGAATGGTCTTTTGAAGTAGTGTATGGCGAATGCAATGTTCTTTTCGAGTTGGCTTTCGTATGTCCCTGGTTCCGTATCCACAACGGCTTCTGTGGAGTCTTAACTATGTTGATGCTGGCCATTGAGGCTGATCGGTCCATACAAGCTAGCACATGGTTGGCTTGGTAATTGAAGACGCTAGAAAGGCCAGGCTTGATATGTCTAGTATTAATAGGACTAGACTTCCCGAAACCATGAGTTGTCAAACGGCCTTCCATCCTTACTTGTTTCTCTGAAGGGTCGAAATAGAGAGAGAATGCAGCAAGGCTAGGCCTTCCTAAATCGTTCTCTAACAAGCGTCAGCAAAACAACGGAATCAATGTATCTAAATAGAGGCCAAATCGAGGACGATGCTCAAGTCAAATGAAAGATCACCCAAACTTGATAGCAGGCACCACGTAGTTGTGGTATAACACAGCACCAAGTAAACTGGTATAGAGCTTTACTTCCGGTGATTAGATCTAATTGAAGGATAGTCAAGCGATTATTTGGCCATTCAGAGTCTTGATTTCATTTTGTTTATGTCCGAAAGAGGAATCATGGAACTTTTGGGTTTTGTCCGCGATCGAACTAAAATATTGGACCATGTAGATTTCACTAGGTTACATAAGCATCATCGGAGTGATTCCGAAACCTTCAAATTGCTTACCTAATAATCTGTGGCTTTTCGGGTGTAACGCCGCAATCAGTCAATCAGTCATCGGGCTTTAGATTAGTTATCGGATGCATCCGAAGGGCAGCGGGGAAAAAGTCTTATCGATGAACCTAGGCAAGTTTTCGATTGCTGGAGCCATCAATTACAAATCGCGTCATACCATCCCATCTTTTTCTCTTAGTCGCCAACTTGTTCCTACCGTCATTCCCGCCAACAAGGAAAAACTCTTGCGACAATAAAAATTTCACCATCATCTACTTCTTAACAACTCCAGATACATAACTTTGTACATTAGCATATCGCATATTATCAAATATTAGCACAATGGCGTCTCAAGGTATCTCAATGCGTAAGAGATCCCTCACCGTTCATCAGCGAAATCCCGTCGCTAATACGATACAGCTTCTATTCCCTCGAAATCTGAGGCCCAACCTATCGTTAGCACAAGCACCGATGCTACATCTAAGCCCAAGGTATTCATCACATCACTTACATATTTAATTATCTACATAATCTCTAATTTCCATTTGCGCCTAGCCTTGCTGTGTATGCAAGAACGAGAAATCCAAGCGTGACGAATGCATGCTATTCTCTAAGGCCGCCGATCCCGCTGGCGATTGCAAGACCACCATCGATCAATACCGGAGTTGCATGGCCGGATTCGGATTCCAAGTATAATAGGAAAGGAGTAGCAGAAGCTAGCGTGAGAGAGCTTACCTCTTCTCAAGGAGATTGATTGCTGTATATTAAGGGACCGATTGATTTACGGCAAGCCGGCGTTCCGGAATGGATAGAAGAGGATATATACTTCTCACTGCATAGTGCATTAACAGGCGTTGGGCATCGGTAATCAAAATACGAATCCACTCTTCGGTATAATTTCTCGGCCGATTTGATATATGCAGTATTGCGAATCCACGAGCAAATTTTGGTCTATAGGGGGTAGGTATCCTCCGAAATATTCTCCGCTGCCTACGCGTACATATGGATATGGGTTTGACGGATATTATGAATTGCTGGTCAGGCTGAATGTGTTTTGAGATCATAACCGAGGCACTTACGCGGCTCGGTCAAATCGGTCACCAAAATAGCCTCAGCGAAAAAAAACGTGGAAAGGAGAGCACTGCATATATCCCTTACTTACAAGGCGGCCAATCAGTCACAATACCCACTTCAGCTCTGTCTGATTTCCCTCATTTTAAATACCCGCCCTCAGCTAAGTATTTTATAAACCGATATACCAAATCTGACGACCCGAAGAGCCTCTTCGATAATGATCTAACGATTTAACGATCGATGTGTCTGGCTGGTCCGCCCGGGTTTCCGGATCGTTTGCTGTTGATATTTGAAGTTCTATGGATATAATGGATCATATGGCGATCCTTCCTTTGGCCACTGCTCATAACATTCTCAGTAATCGAGATCTTAGCGAATTCGTACTAAAAACTTATGATGTTCTTCCCATAGGATGACTCTCAATTTCCGATGGCTCGACGCAGATGCTGTCCCGAAACTTCGAGCGGTAGCGAATTAATCTATTGAAAGCTAACAAACAAGTTGAAGTTCACTAGTGATCATCTAGTTATTTCTACAGGTTTCTCATCCGTGGACCTTGTGATTTCCTCAAACAAGTCTGTCGGCCTGTTTCGCGAGGTTACTAACCAAGCTAACAATAAGATACAGTGTACTATGTACTATGTTATACTGCAGCCCCCATCAGTCATCACTGCACGATCCCGTAATCCTAGCAGAGCTTGCATTGTCTCGGAAGCTTCCGCCAATTATCTCCCCTGGCCCTAAGACATGGGGACCCCGGCAAATGGCCGACCAGGCATTTTTGCCGTATTCAGGCTAAATGGACAAACCCACCAAGATCCACAGGTCTAGATTTGAGTCCTGGCCAGCTGAAGGCTTGTGATTTTCAAGAATATCTTCTGTTCAGCATTAACATATCGGATCGGGCGATTAATCCTATTCAAAATAGGTATGCGGCGCCTCGCCGACGGTCTAACAGATTCGCTTGAAATCTTAAGCTCTACCTACATATTGTAAGCGAGCGCCACTAGCAGCTCCTTCGAAAACGAAAAGTCCAATTGTCGTGGCATAAACATCTCGTGAGTCCGTGATGGCGGACCGAAAAACTCATTCCTTCGAAAACCTGGGGATCCCACGAAACTGTCTCCAGAAACTAACGACCCAATTCCCCAGATCTGGGGCAAACTAAAATGATGCGCGCAACTACAGTTGGTAACAACTCACGAGGAGATCTGCGGCGTGATGGAGACCAGCGCTTAGGCGCATCTTTGGCTGCCCCGGTGGACCTAACACACCGTTTCGGGTCAGTAAACCGTCTGGAATAGCAAACACATCATCATTATCATGCTGCCTCGGTCTAAATCATGACGACGACAGCAAGCGCATAAGCCTAGTGATTATTTTGGAATTAGCTCGGCGACTTAGATGCTCAACTAAGGCTTCACGATCTCCCAACTAGGATAATGAACCGCGGTGGGAGCAACCATGTGGCTTACTAGCCACTAAATACAGCTCTATCGTATTTTGAGGCTCGTCAGCAATCGTAAATTCTCTTGCTTAACTCAACTTCCCCCATTCCCCGGCTTCGCGGGACGTCAATCCGAGAAAGAGGTGTCTGCTGGCCAACAGCTTAACGTCTAACTTTACTTGGAGTTGATTTGTGATTCAGGAAACCCTTGTTATTTGTCCAGGTCCTTTTGATTCACTTACTCATCTAGACTTTTGTTAGTAACGAACTCGTAGCACCGTTGCGCGGGCACATATGGGGTAGGGAGAAACGAATTACACTGGTCGAAGCAGACTGCTGCATAACACCTAAATCTCTGCTGTTGTCACCCAAAAGAAGCTTGGCTTCTTCAACAATCTACCCGATGAGGCATGTCGTAAGCATTCGAAGCGAGTGCCGTTGGAGATCGAAGGAGGCAAATGCCAAGATGTATTTAATTTAATTCTGTTACCACCGCCGCAGAATAGTTCGGGCCAGATATAGCAGTATCCCAACAACAGGAAATTATTCTCTGTAACTAAACGTAGAAGCTGTGAATAATGGATTCATCTCATAGCGAAACACTTTTTAAATGTCGCCGGTCTCAGTGGTCAGATTTGCCAACCACATGAACAATTATACCATTGTACGCGTATGGTAACAGATATTGCTCTCTCGCAACCAATCCACTTACGTTGCTTGCATTGCAACCTCTTTCTTGCTATATTGAAAATAGGTCAATCTATTCCGGCCAAGGTGTGATTGACGAACCAAACAGAAAATCAACATTCAGATTCTTGCCCTTTTGCTTTTTCTCGACAGGGGACTGCCAGCTCTAGTGCTAGCACATCCCACGCCATGAAAAGCCTCCTTATAATTCTGATGTGCATAAAATATTATTTAATTATTTCCCGCCTAATACAAGAAGTCAAGGTATTCTATTCTAGGCCGTCTCCGACACTATGGTACCATATGATTCTAGGCTGGAAGCAGGATAGACGATCGTATAGTCTTACGGAATTCGGAACACAAGACGTTAATGAATTCTCGGTAGGGAAGTAATTTGAGAAAGGCAGTAGATGATCTGCTTGAAACACAGACTCTGTCCTTTCGCTATAGTGTCGCTAGAACAGTACCAAACCACCAATGCGCAGCCAATACCGCCAATAGGAGAAATGAATGCACTTGGGATAGGGTAACTCGTACAACTCGATCAAATTCCAAGACCCTCTCTATTTTCCAACCCGCGGTGGGATCAGACCCAGGATATCGGTGTTACTGGACGAGTATTTCCCCGCAAATCAATTATATCCAACCAAAGACAATTCGTATACCCTACTGGCTTACATGCTGGAACGACTCGTCACACACGGCATCTGCTTGGTATGGGGAATTACGGTGCTATGTATAGTTCAGGTGGACAATTATGCGTTCTGGAAGAGTTCCAGCGCATCTGGAACCCCCCTGGTCAATCTGACTGTCTATCATATCAAATCGTGACATGGTCGGCCGGTCGATAGTCCGGCGATGGCTACCCTCCTGCAGAATTATCCCGGGCACGGTAGAAGATCTACTACTACCACGACGATACATTGTATGTAGGGTCCATAAGCAGTATAAACAGGTATGACAAAGACATCAATTGCACCCATTCTCCGATGGCGAGTTGAGCTGCCGGGCCAATATACAGCTGCAAGTCATACTAAACGGGATGTTATGGTTGACCTGATGGTGTAAGTGGCGTCGCTCGAAGCGGCCGATGCCCCAGTAAGATCGCCCGTGCTCGGCGCATCCAGAATTTGGTTCATTAACCGAAAGTGACTTTTTTTTTCCCTCTCAATATTTTCTACGGATCCCAGATTTTCCCAACGACAATGGGCTTCCCCTACCTCTATACTACCCATACCTTGCCATCCTACCTAGTATCCTTACCTAGCAGCCTAGGTACCTATCCTATCCACTCACCCCCCCTCGCCCCTTAACTCTCTTTGTCAAATTCCCCATGGGTCTCATGGCACCACGGGGACTAGGATGGGGCAACGGGGGGCAATGGGGTAGGGCGGACCCGCAATCCACTCACACATGCGCGCAAGCTTCTTTCGTCTTTACCACGAGCGAACCCGTACCTATCCCCCAAAATTCCAGATCTCGCGTTGCCCAGGATTTTTACGTGCGAGATGGGAAAAACACGGGCTAGGTGCGAATCCGTTCAAGTGAACCTTCTCTACCGGTCCGCTCGCCCGTAGCTGGTACCCCTGCCATGACCCATGGGTCCCTTGGCCTTCCCATATAATCCAGGGCATGCGTCCCTTCGAAAATATGTGTTGACTTTTTGTTGTGTTCGTTCGTCGCCGTAGATCTTCAACGTCCTCCGTCTCCTACCCTTTTTCCTTACCTCGGAGACCCCATTGGTAGCTAGCTTTGCCGTACCTAGGCTCAGCAATTCTCGACGTGGTCGTTTCTCGCACACCAAGTCTCGACTACATACCGTCCATAATGGCGATTACAGCTATCGCCAGCAAGGCGCCGCGTAAGGATGAGATCACTCACGCGCAGGAGGAGGCCCCGGCTTTCGAGAAGGTCGACTGGAAGAGAGAGCCTGGTCTGAGGAAGCTGTACTTTTACTGTTTCGTGCTGTGTGTCGCTTCAGCGACTACTGGTTACGATGGGTATGCGCCAACCCCCAAAACTCTTTAAAATAAGGCATCAATGCTAATTTAAGTATCTTTGCAGCATGTTCTTCAACTCAGTGCAAGTTTTCGAGACGTGGAAGAAGTTCTTCAACGATCCGAAGGGATCCCAACTCGGCCTCCTCGCAGCGTTATACCAGATTGGCAGCTTGGGCTCGATTCCCTTAGTGTAAGTTGGAAATGCGCTTTTATGTGCTACGGGTGACGACGAGGTGCATTTTCTGACAACAACATAGGCCCTTACTCGCTGATAACTTCGGCCGAAAAGTACCTATTATCATTGGATGTGTTATTATGATCATTGGTGCCATCCTCCAGGGAGTCGCCCAGAACATCAACACTTTCATGGGCGGTCGTGTAATGATGGGATTCGGAAACAGTTTGGCTCAAATCGCTTCGCCTATGTTGTTGACTGAGATTGCTCACCCTCAACACCGTGGTCGTCTCACAGCTGTATACAATTGCTTGTGGAACGCCGGTGCTATTGGTGCGTCTCACCTTTTACTCATACCAAAAATGAGCAATGCATCGCTAACACTCTATAGTTGTCACATGGCTTTCATTTGGTACTAATTACATCAACAGCGACTGGTCATGGCGTATCCCCGCCATCCTCCAGGCCCTACCCTCCGTCATCCAGATCCTGTTCATCTGGTGGGTACCCGAGTCGCCCCGATACCTAATGGCCAAGGACAAGCACGACCGCGCGCTCGCGATCCTCGCCAAGTACCACGCCAATGGCAACGCCCAACACCCGACCGTGCAGTTCGAGTATCGCGAGATCAAGGAGACGATTCGTCTCGAGATGGAAAGCAAATCCAACAGCAGTTACGTCGATTTCTTCACTACCAAGGGAAACCGATACCGTCTCGCTGTTCTATTGTCCCTGGGTCTCTTTTCGCAATGGTCGGGTAACGCTATTATTTCCAACTTCGCGAGCAAGTTGTACGACCAGGCCGGTGTTACCGATTCCAACTCCAAGTTCGGTGTATGTTTTCCTCTATTTCATGAGCCCCAGTATGGGAACGATTTTAACTTTAAGCCAAACAGCTTTCCGGCGGCCAAACCATCCTCGCCCTCATAGTCTCCGTCACAATGGCCACATTAATCGACCGCTGGGGCCGACGCCCAATGTTCTTAACCTCGACCGCGGGCATGTTCGTAGTCTTCATCTTCTGGACTTTATGCGCGGGTTTATACGGCGAGCACGGATCCCCCGGCGCCAACTACGCCATGATCTTCTTCATCTGGCTCTTCGGTTTCTTCTACTCCATCGCATGGTCCGGTCTGCTAGTCGGTTACGCCATCGAAATCCTACCTTACAAATTACGCGCCAAGGGTCTCATGGTTCTCAACATCATGATCCAGGCCGCTTTGTGCTTGAACTCGTACGCTAATCCGGTTGCTTTCGATGCGTTCGGTGAGAAACACTCTTGGAAGCTGTACTTGATCTACACGTGCTGGATCTTCTGCGAGTTGGCTTTCGTGTACTTTATGTACGTCGAGACGAAAGGACCTACGCTCGAGGAGCTCGCTAAGGTTATCGATGGCGATGATGCGCCGGTTGCGCATCTCGATCTCGAGCAAGTCGAGAAGGAGGTTGCGATTGAGACGCATGATGTGCCGCACAAGGTATAACAGGACGAGTGAGCGAGTAAGCATTGTTTAGTTGGTTGTTATCATTATTACCAGTGGGCCTTTTCTAGCGATGTTCTTGGTTGGTTGTTTAATGTTGTCGTAGTCGATGTTGTTGCATGAGAATGCTTCTATTTGCATGCTGGATACCCTCACTTAGCGAAAAAAAAAAAATTGCATGCATTGGATGTTGCTCCCCTCCGTCATTGTGGACTGGTTTTTCTGGGGGCATTGGGATATTTACATATAGGTATTTATATATACCGTGTCTGGGTGGCTAGTTGAAAATAGCTAGGTACGATAGCTAAACATATAATGGCGCTATCACTGAATATTTATGTCTGAGTCTTGAAGTCATTGCCTTTGGAAGTCTACATGGTTAACCGCTGATTTAAAAGGTCCACAAATTTTATATGGCATAACTAAATAACTTCCTTTCCAATTTGTCTGATTCTTCTCACTTTCTCAACATTCAAAGACCGATACTCAATCATCTCAATGTCAATTTATTGCCTACAAGACCGATTGATTCGTTTCTTATTATGATACGCGTATACTCACCAAGATTCAACAACGTTCCTTAATAAATCAGCGTTACAATCACCCGATTCATTTATAACCAATCGGTCCACACGAACAAATGGAATCATTCTCCCTTGCGGCACAGCACGGAGGTGCAATCAACCACGTGCATATAATCCGCCTCGATCCGAATGCAGCTGCGGCTCTGCGTGAAATACGTATAATAACAACCGTCGCTGTTGCGGGATGGGTTGTTATTCAAGGACTGAAAGCATTACAAATTGGGTCCTATTTCAGGAATAGATGAAACATTGGTGTTTCCTCTCCTATTTCTCATACGAAATATGATAAGGGGAGTTCGAATGGGAACCCACGCCTAAGGAGATTCAGAACATAAATCTGTTCACCATGATGACGGCGACACTTCCTGTGTATTATGACTGTATGCTTCAAAGAGATTTTTATCTACTCAATTTGGGTTAATAGAGAGGTTTACGGGGCGGGTATATATCGAGTTCATATAGGATAATTTCCACTCAATTGACTTTACAATCAATCGTAAATAAGTTCTTCACCATTCTCGTTGTCGACGCAAAAGAAAAGTCGATATAGAAATACCTCGTTTTGCCAGTAAAGATTCCTATAAATGGATATATATGTATGTGTGAAGCAATATAAGACAATGGGGTTAATATTTACCGACCGACCCATATCGCCGCAATTGAATTGATGGCTTCCACTTAAACATCTTCATCTTTTCTACAATTTAAGTGAATATCCTCTTTCTCTATTACTTACCTTCATAGGGACAATTTAAAATGCGCCTCTCCGGCTTACAGAAAGAAGTGGTATCTCTTTACCGGAATTGTCTGCGTGAAAGTCGCAAGAAGCCAATTGTTCGTGATGTCATTCCCGTTTGCAAGGACTCACAGTTAATGAATGATGATAGGATAAACAACCACATTTTAGATCATTTATTAGGTATTAATAATTGGCTCTACTATTCATACTGTTGAGAACATTCTTTTCAAGCTAATTTATAAATAAGATCTGAATTTGAGAAGAGTATGGAAGTTGACAAAAGAGACTTCGGTGCCATCGAGTTTTTACTACGGAAGGGCCGGCGCCAATTGGAATTATACTCATCACCTGGTATTAAAGATATAAGGTGATCGATCATGAATAACTTATCGACTGTTAAATATCTACTCCTAATATACCGGTGTCATGTACGGAGAAGCCACAACGGCTGTCCCTTGCGTCGTATGATGATGATGTATGACCAAGCAGGAAATTGCAGTCTGTTCTCGAAGATGGTTACCTACTTCTAAATATCGATCTAATAGAGCTTCGCTAGAAGGCAATGACGACTGGTCTGATGGTGACGAAATCCTAATAATGAGGCCAGGGCAGACCTGGAACTTTTTTCCCCCTTCGTGGAACACGGCGCCAATTAGTACGATACTTTTCTCAACATAACTTTTATTTTTTCTTTCGATTTTTTGGGAACCCTTTTTGGAATACAGACGATGCATAAACTCAGTTTACCTTAGAAGGGGAGTTCGAGTCGTCGTCCGAAAACCAAACACCTATCGTCGGCGCAGCAACGCTCGCAACAAGCAGCCGAAGCAGTATTTCGTACCCCATTACCAGAACCACTAGTCATAGAACGACAGCGGCAACGCAGGATAAGTCGGAAGAGGAATGGTGTCCATGTCTGTAGACGCCTTCCGTCGCGAGGGACTAGAGGATCTTTAAGTGGTGATAGACAACATTCCTTAATGCAAGTTCCCGAGTTCACAGAGGATCATCCTTATTGGGGCACCTTACGACAGTCCCAAATACTCGATCCGAAGTTCGATGCAGTTAATGCTATTGAGAAAAGGCATTCGCCTAAACATCGCGCCTACCTTCAAACTCTTTATGAGGATAGTTCTCCAACTCAAGGGCCGGAACGTGGTGATCAAAAAGCTAGAGGTCGGCGACGGAAGGGCATGAGTGTTGTGGGGCGGAGTCGAGCAAGTAGAGCCCAAGAGAAACGATTTGGTCTTGCAGACCCTATCGTTTGGGATGCTATCAGCAGGTCACTCGACCAGCAACGACGATTATCTTCCATTATTGTACCGGAGGAAGCCGGACTAAACCCTATTCAAGAGTTAGACATCCCTTCTCGGACCTCGAGCCAGCGCAAAGCTCTAGATCGCTTCACAAGGCAACTTGGGAAATATGCGGATGTCGCTAAAGCAGCTGGTAAAGTTCCAATTATGACTCCCACTGAGTCCGAGTCAAAGATATCGTATCATACTGTCCAGCAATTGCTGCCATACCAGAAGGAATTCCAAGCTGCCGGTCTTGCTGTGACATCTATAGAACAGAGCCAGGGTTCGCCGCGGAAACTAAGGAGTAAACAAGCGCCTATGAATTACGCACTAAAAACAACGGCGGTACCATTGCAGATGGTCAGTGAATATGATGGGCAAGATGATGACACCGACGAACAATCATGTTCCACCTCCGGATCATTCGTCGAATTTACCCCAGCCGATCAATTAATCCAGATATTCCCGAGTCCAAAGTCCAAATCGAAGCAGGAGATATCATCTAAGGAGAAAAGGGGCATTTTCCCATGGTTAAAAAAGAAACCATCATCCAAGGATGTTCATGGTATTCAGCAGGAACAGCAGCAAACAAGACCTTCCGCCAGGGATAGACGAATTCAAAGCAGGATAAAAACGATAGACCCTCAACACCCACAGGATTGTCGCGGCTTGCGTCCGCGCCGCACTCCCCACGTCCGAGTCGCTAATGTTACGACGCCTATGACACAATCCCCGAAGTCAACGAAACCGGCAGTCAACATTACTACCCCTCAAATGCCACCATCTGGCGCATCGCCTTCTTCTGGGGCGAAACAAAGTGGCTATAGAAAACGCCCTGTACCGATGGATTTGGGAGCTAACCCGGGTAAACCATCGGAGGGGCATACCGGCTTGAGAAAGCGAGATGTAGCTATACGTCGTCCACCCCGCCCTGAAACCATTGAGGAAGAAGAAATGGAAGCATCACCAATTCATGCTAATCAGAAGACAATTCAGATATATCCACTTCCTAAATCAAGCGATGCGCAAGCTCTTACCCCTCCAACCCATAAACAGATTCAACAAGTGTCACCCCACACGACCCCTTCCACGGTTCCTTCACTGCCATACCCGGCGCGGTTTGCTGTGAGCCGACCTTCGTCGTTAGAGCGGGCACTAGATGAGGTTTCTCTACAGCTTGAACAGATGGAAAGGGAAGCGGATAGATCGACACAATTATTCACCCGTCCTCCTACCTTAATAGAGAAGACAAATAGAACCGAGTCGCATCCTTCTCCGCGACACTCAGGTCATCAGGATACCGAGAATGCTCTTCCACGTTGGCCTCGAAAGAACGAAGAGGTCATATATGTCAACCGGAGGATGCCTTCAATTCAGTCGCCAGTACCAAAACGAAAACTGAAGATACCTTCATCGCCGCCTTCGCCTAAAACTAGAGATCCTCCAGCCCCACCTCGGAAACAGCGACAATCCAGTTCTCCAGAGGACAAAAAGTTACCTACGGTACCGCATACGGAGGCTATTCTGAATGATTTGGATATCTTCTTCGATTATGACGATGCGGATATCAACGACAGAGATGTCATCAAAGGGCTTCAGGTGGCTATACATGCAGCAGCTGATAACGCGTATGATGCATTTATACGGGACAAAACAGGATTAAGGATTCGGCGGTTCTTGGCAGATTTGAGAGCGGTCGGTGAGATGCAAGAAGAAAACCCGACTAATAAAGTTGCGGGAGATCGTCACATATAGGATTAGTAGGCCTCGAGGATTATACCCTTCAACAATTTGCTTATGTCGGCCGTCAGACTCACGAGCTGTAAAATTGTAAGGTGTCTAAGAGAACTTGCTCTTAGTATGCACATGCAGTTATGGCTAGAAAATGATACTTATTTCGGATGATCATCCGGTTTGAATGCATCTCAGACTTATTCAGATGTGTTCGCTTACGTTCGAGTTTTCGTGTTAATATCGGTCTGCGTGTCAGACGTCTATTTCTTTCTTCGAGGCTCTACTCAATTGTAGTGCCTAATAGAAACAGAAGACTCTTAGTTGAGACATTATGTTAAGATTATAATATTGAAGATAGTAAAACGAAATAGTTTCGTAGAGTCTTAGTCGATGAATTGGAGGGGTATTTTATAGATAATTGTATCGTGGCGTCATAAGACCGACACCCGTCCCGGAGATATTGTTACACTAGCCACAATCCTTTTCAGCTCCAGGGCTATTTATACCTTCAAAAGGTGGGCTGGATACTCGCTCTTACCTGCTCAATTACTAATAAACTTGAGTACCTCAACCAAAGCTTTAAGTACCTGCCTACAGCCCACCTAAAGAGATTACAGATAAGCGCTGAAGAGATTCACGCTTACGAGTCATTTCAAGGACCAGGAAGGAAAGGACAGACACCCTCAAGGTTCCAGAACTTATAGGACTTGGAAGGAGCTATACTTGTACTTCCAAGTTCTTTAATGTTATGATAGACTCTTTCCCCTTGTTACACTTCATTGAACACTAAACGTTAATTATCAATTTCCCTTCTCGAAACATTGGAGAATACGATTTTCAAATACTTTAAGTGGAGGCTAGCCTCTGCCTAAAATCGAAAATGGCGACAGCAACAACTACGACGACGAGAACATTCGGCGACTCGGGTCCAAAACACCGAGCTTGTGATGAATGCCGTATGTTAGACATAACCGACACCTACATTCCCTACCTTTCCGTTCGTTCATGTCATGAAGAATAATGAATGAAAATTGATTGGGACTTACAATACATTGCCACAGGCACGCGCAAACTCGCCTGCACCAAAGAGGCCGATGGGTGCTCACGATGCAAACGCGAAGGCATCGCCTGCCACTACTCACCTCAAAAACCCATGGGCCGGCCGCGAAAACGGCCCCTCGAACTATCGAATGCCGAGATTATGGATACGGCGGCGCCAGCCTCTAAGACCGTGATGATGGACATACCGCCCGACACATCGGACCCAGGACTCGCGTTTATCAATCTACTCACAACAGGCGACACGAGCTATGACGCAGGCTCGCAAGAGCGGGGGTACTCATGGGCATTCGGGTACGCAGGTGATAGCCTGGGAGACGTAGGCTTCGACCCAGTACCGCAAACCACGCCCTCATACACACCGACTCTAATCGACCCCTCACTCTTCATATCCTTAAACACGAACACCAAACCCCCATGCGTCGACCAAGTCCCAACCCTATCTCCGAACTCCGCATCCACGCCCGAGAGCACACAAGCCGGGACCCCGCCACAAAATAGTTGCGCGCACACCGCGGCTCTGTATTTGGCGCTTGATTCTATGCAACATGTACCAGAGGGCGTCGAAGACGCGATGAGGCATGCGCGCCGCGCGACTCGGACGGCGTACGATGTGGTAAATTGCCCCGTCTGCTCCTTCAAACTCGAGCCCCCGGATCCGATGGCCATGTCCTCGGATGTAATGCGGAATTTCCAGAATTTGATGTTGCTTGCTGCGCTTATACCCAGTATAGCACATGCATATGATCGCATATTACGCGCCGTGGATGAAGAAACTCGACGTGCGACTGCGGAGAGGAGACGGTTGGTGTTTAAATTGAGGATGCTGGGGGGTGTTTTGTTGGATGGGGGCGGGTGTCCGATGAGTGGTTCGCGGGGTAGGGAACAGCAACAACAACAACAGGAAGATCCGTGTAATGCGGAGGGTTGGCTAAATCATCGCGAGATGGAACCTGCGATGTGGAGGCTTGCCGTGCGGGCTCTGCTTAAAGCGGATGTGTACGGACTCACGGGACAGGACGCAGCGTCCGCATCGGGGGATTTGACGCCGGTACTGCATATTGGGTTGAAGGATATCGTACTCCAGATGGAGCAGAGGTCTAAGGCTCGACATGCGGTGCTCGATGCTATGGTCCTGGCGGGTGCTTGGAAACCACCGCCGGAGGGGTGCGGTGGGGTTAATGTGCACCCGACGAATGGTGAGACCCCGACGTGTCAGAAGATTATTGCGATTGCGAAGGCGGCTATTGATAACCTTGTTATTGCGTGAGGTTTTATACCGCCTGCTTAGATGCTAGCTCGCCGTTTTGAGGGGTTTGGAGAAGTAATGGACTTCTGAGCCTTAAACCGTTGGGGTTATGGTCTCGCTTTGCCGCCTCTTCATTGAGACGGGCGGTAGACCGGAGCGGCAGCCTAGCGGTTTGCGCCCGTGGTCTACGGTATGGCCTCCGTGGGTGTATGGCGGAAATCAGGAGGGTTATAAGAGGTACCCGATACCACTTGGTCTCGATCTGATTCAGCCGCAGTATGTCAAGTGTGGAGATGGGGCATTTGGCACTGTCTATACGGTTAGAGGGGTTGACTGAGCAAAAGTCACTCATTATGAATGGATTTTTATGTTTGGGCAAGAGGCTACAAACGTGTTCATACAGTTGTGGTTACACCATGTAGTAAGGGATAAATGGGACGATACGATTCATGGATACGGGCAAGGGGCGTTGGATATGGGAGTGAACTGGATTGCAGATTTTTGGTAATTGATTGGGCGCCTTCTTGGGAAGAAAGGAAATGCCATGGGATGAGTGGAATGTTCAACTCAACTACCAATGATACAGTCATTAAAGGACATCGATAATCTACACTGCGAGGCATGATTTTGAAATAAGAGGGAAAAGCTCCTCATATGGGACTTTAGTGATGAACTCATATATATCGTAGCCGTAGATGCTAATTTGTATAGGATATATTAGTCGGTCCTGGTTATCTCACTTATTCCTCCGGCTATTTCTAGCTGTCAAGTTCCTGGGTTCCACGATGCCCTCTACCATCGTATTATAGAGCTTACCTAAGAAGCATTTAAGGAGTACGATAATAAGAATATGCAAGACTTGTTATAAAGCTCTGAGCTCATTGTCTTATATCCAATTAGAAATAAGTGAATTACTTAGATCTGTGTAAGTCTTCGTATTGTTGTATGGAAAATCAATGTGATTGGGAAGTATTTTTGGCATCATGCGGCGAAGTATCGCGTGGTTGGAATTTCTGGGACGGCAAGTCCGTTAAACCCGCCTGAGATTACTACAGGTCGGTAACGGATATACCCTGACCCGGACACATTTAAGCTCTAATAGCTCAGCAGCTTTGAAGGACACTAACGGCACTCCAGATTATATGTACCTAAGTGGGGTGATCAGATAGAATATACTTTAACTAGTGTGGGCTATTAGCTGGAATGGGAGTATTGAATTAACATAGGTAACGTGAGTAACATAGAATTAAGCTCGGAACGATGCTATGATGGTGCTGTGGTTGATGATCCGTGCGGCGTACCATGCCACTTTTGGTTCTAGCAGGGTTAGTGTGTTAAATCTAGGTCTCGAGTCAGCGAAGTTTTAAACCAATCTGGCATGTCGGAAGTTTGGCCTTGCATCATTGTCAATTGAGGACACGGTTGTCTAGCACAACAATTAAAAGCTTCCAGTTCTCACATTTCTCACACCGGGGGGATCAAGGTGAAATTATTTGATATAATAAAAGAAAAAAGTTCTGGTTCTTTTGAAGATAATATTGTCAGTTTATCCCTTACCCTTCTCCCTATTATCTCGAACAAGGGGGACTTACCTTCATTACGATACATAGCTATTAACTTGTCACCTTCGGTCACCTCTCGGCTTTCTCTTCTTTCCTCCCTCTCACTCCTCCCAACAAACCCACCTAACCAAACTTTCATTCCTACATTCTTCGCGCCGTTCTCTACGTTTCGCGAAATCACAGCTGGCCTGGGCGACATTCAACGCGACAATATACCCGAAATGGCCCAAATCCGAGGTACAGCAGGTTACCACCTAGGTGGCCCAAACCCCTTCGGAGGTCCCAAAAACGATGTCGCCGATCCCAGTCCCCTTGACGCGATTCGAGAACAAACCAGCAAGATTGAGGATGTCTTGGACACTATTAGCGAACCGATTAAGCCGTATGTAAACACCTCTATTTTATTTACGGCTCCCGCACGAGCTGTTACACATAATAGCTTTTGAAGCTGAAATTCACGGTCCTGAATCTTACGGCTAACGTACTTGTTTTGCTGTAGGTATCTACCAGCCATCGGACGCTTCTTGATCGTTGTAACATTCCTTGAGGATGCCCTAAGAATCATAACACAATGGAACGACCAACTAGTGTACTTGAATAATTATAGGCATAGTACGTTTTACGAACGACCAACCGTAGCAAAAATAGGCAACTCCTTGCTAACTAGGCAATCTAGTTCCTAGTGGTTTAACACATTTGTTCCTCATTGTGAACGTCTTAACCATGTTCGCCTGCTCCACCCTCGTCATCATCCGAAAGTATTCCGACTATGCCGTCGCCGGTCTCGTGGGAGTTGTTATCACCCAAGCCCTCGGATATGGTTTAATCTTCGACCTCAACTTCTTCCTCCGCAACTTGTCCGTCGTTGGTGGATTGATCATGGTGCTATCAGACTCATGGGTTCGAAAGACTAAGGCATTCGCGGGTCTACCCCAACTCGACGAGAAGGACCGAAAGATGTACTTCCAGCTAGCTGGTCGTGTGCTCCTCATCTTCCTCTTCATTGGCTTCGTTTTCAGCGGAGAATGGTCCGTCTGGAGAATTGGTGTGTCAATCATTGGTCTGATCGCTTGTATTATGGTGGTTGTCGGATTCAAGGCCAAGTTCAGCGCCACCCTTTTGGTCGTCATTCTGAGCGTTTTCAACGTTCTAGTGAACAACTTCTGGACTGTGAGTTTTTTTCTTGAACATGAATCATGATTTCTTGGCATTTTAATCAAGCTAATACCCCACGTAGCTCCACGAACACCACCCCCACAAGGACTTCGCCAAGTACGATTTCTTCCAGATCCTTTCCATCGTCGGTGGTCTCCTCCTGCTCGTTAACAGCGGCCCCGGACAGTTCAGTATCGACGAGAAGAAGAAGGTCTACTAAGCTCACCAAGCTACTTGGAGCTTATTGGAGCTTATTGGGGCATCAAAGAAAACTCTTCCGCATCGCGATCGCATAAGACCCTTCCTTGGCTAGGGCCTGCCGATGCCGACTAGGGCAAAACGCATTATTAAGGCGTAACGGGCGTAGTGAAAGATTTTGAAAAAAGAACCAACGGACCTTTGTCACTTTCATTTTTTTTTTTCAACCGGGAAGATAGGCAAGCAAGCTGAAACGGGCGCGGCGGCATATATCTCGCTCTCGCAAATGAGAGGTTCTTGGTTGTTAAAAAGGAAAGGAGGGGATTCCAGTGAGGAGTTTATACAATATAAGGGAAATGAGAATAGGATTACTGTTTCAGTTATGTGTGTGCTTTGTGATTGTCTTGATTGGCCCCTTTTACACTTATGTAGTTTAGGTGCTTTTATGGCCATGGTTGAGATACGCCCAACCTAGAGCACCACGATCTCCAGGAGACACTCGAAGGCCGGCAGCATTAACATCCCTACGAGGGACGACGAACATATTTGCTAATATTTGTAGGACAATATTGGATTCAATAGCACACAATGACAGTCGTCAAGGAGGCAACGAGAATGGTCTCATGATCGAGGACTACCACCGCCGACACCTACGATTTCGAAGTCTCAAGTTAAAACCCTTAGAGTTGCTACAGCAGGATTTGAACCCAGCCGCATTGTTCTCCTGGGACGAAGGGGTTGCTCAGGCATCTATACTAGGCACCTATACCACTACACCATAAGGGGGTTGAAAGAGCGCCGAGCCAATTACCTAGGTATATATACCACTATCCAAAAACGGTTCCCCGGCAACCTTATCATTACTCATATACCCACCCCCTAATTCTCTAGAATTCCACTATCCTAAGGCATGTAAGTAAGCTTAACCTAGCAGTTTCCAAGAACCCGGAGAGAAGTTGAGACAGAGCCCGTTAGCGATAGTTGGGGTTGGTGTCGTGGGCCCGAAGCCGGCCGGCTCCTAAAAATAGGGTGTCCTGCGCTATTAGTCTTCGGGGTTATCGCTCCGCCGGTCTCTTGACTCCTTCATTTGGAGGTCTCGGGTTCGATCCCCGGACTGACCATTCGGGCTGCTGCGAAGTATTTACGTAATTTAGTTCGTACCACTGTACCTAAGTGAATACTTTCGGAGCCTTTTTTTTTTTAAGTCTTTTAAGAATTTTAGGAGGCACCCCGACCAAGGTGGTTATTTCGGTATAGAGACGTCGGCGCCTACGTAAGTACCTAAAGGGTGTTGTTGCACCAACCTCACCGCCATGAACATATGACCCTTCGACAACGACAATGGTGATGCCCGCCTGCAATTAATATTTCACGACCTCGAACCTGACGACCCCGAACCGCCCGCTTCCTTCTCCTTTCCCTTTGCACTCCCTTCCTTTTCCTTTTCCTCCTTACTCTCTTTCTTCTCCATCAAATCAATAAACCTACTTATAAGACGCCTATGCTCCCCCCTCGGTCCACTAAAAATCTCCAATTTTTCCTCCTTGGTCATCGCTTTCCCGCTCTCAACCTGCTTCGCCCATAACCCCAACATCCTGTCCAGCTCCGCGTAAGCGGCTTCTGCCGATCTGCATGTGCCTGTCATCGTCAATGGTATCCCGAACGACGTTCCGAAATCCTTTCTCACGCAGCCGTTGTAGGCGGGTGGAAACTCGTCGCCTTCGACGTCGATGTCGTACGCGTCGTCGCTTCCCCAGATTTTCTTGCAGTTCGCTTCTATGCGGCGGCTTCGGGAGATGGACATGGTTGCGGGAGTAGATGTTTAGGTATGTGTGGATTTGTTGGATGGGTGTCTGGAATGGTGTAGATGTTAGCGAGGAATCTTTTGTAGGGAAGGATGGTACAACCTTTGAGGTATGTTCTAGTAAGAATTGTCTGTCTAGTGGAACATGAAATCAAAAAAGGGATGATAGCAAGCTATTGGGATGTTTCCTAGATATAATGAGGGGTGGCGAGCCGGATCGGAGGGAGTGGTGGTGATTTGATTGGCTATAAATACCTATTCTCCGATACGGTCGGAGGAAAATAGGGGTAACATTCGTGTAAATTTGCTGTGGCTACCTACATGTCTGTTGGGAGCGCCGGCTGCGAGATTAAATGATTTCAGTGTCCTCGCCTGGAGGAATACGGATATTGACATAGAGGCCGGCGGCTCGGCGCGTTTGGAACGCAAGGAAAAGGATAGATACATAACACATCATAGCAAAGACGCAGGTCACCGTATGCCTCATGCATAATAATACATCACTGAGAAGTGCGGGCTCCACACTGAATGACAACTCAGAACATCCTCAGTAGGTATTTTACATTTCCAAAATAATGCCATTCGACATTTGAGCCCTTACACTATATTCACCACCCCATGACACCGCTGATATGTCCTCCAATTTCGAGACAGATATTGCGATCACTCACTACTTCGCGAAAGACTTACTATGATGCTCTACAGAGGCCGATAATCGGTTCGTTAGGATAGAAATCAAGTCAAACATCACATTAGGTATATATCAAACACTAAAAATTCCTATTCAGATACGACAACAAGAAGCTTCAAAACCCGAGATTATAATTGTATATTCACACATCGGGTAGGAATTTCCAGTACCAACTCAGCGGACATACATAGCAGCACTGTTAAGCTGTGTCCGTTCAAACATGAAGTGCTCTAGACCAATATGCCCTACGCCCATAAGGACAAAAGGCTAACTGGATATCCACAAACTACTGCCATCCGAGATTATGCTTTTTCAGTTCCTTCGCATCACTTCTGGCCCTTTGTTTTTCGTATTGCTCGATGTACTCTCTGCTATTTGCCAAATCTTCTTATCGTGAATATGGGCCACACCCCTTCACACGAACATGTTCAGCGGCGTGGCACATATAAACGCCAATAAAATCGACCATCGTAACATCACCCAGCACAATATTGTGGTATTTATTAATCCTATTAAAAATGCCCTTTAAAATGCAGTTATCAACAACAGAAGGGAGGAAGGATATATCCGAATGCTAAGGAGCATCATCCTCATACTCGAATATATTCTACCCCCTTCAGTCCATGACGGCTGCATTTCAAATCAAAGGTAATTTTTAAAGGGACTAATAAATACCACAATCTTCCCTTGCGATGTGAATTCCGTATTTCGTAATGGACCTCAACGTTATGGATATTCATTGCGGTGTTCACTGTTATGCATACGTAGCATGGTCGACGTACCATTGATAATCGAAATCCAAAGGACTGCGGTTTGTAAGGCAGATGTTGATTAAGTCGAGTGATGATCAAAGTTATGCGAAGTTAAATAGAAGAGGCAACGGTGGTGATGGGCCAATCGGATTTGAATTTAGATTTAGATGATGTGGTTGACTAATTTGTTTGTTGAAGAGGTTATTTATCGCGAAGGTGATTCAACCATACTCTAGTCAATGAACAGAACGCAACCCCCCCATTACACAACAGCAACCTCTGGCTGGTTCAAGCAGAACTGGATACCAACCAGCGGTTATCATACGTGGGTGACAACAGAATAGCAAGAACTGAGAGAGCTTTTTTGTTTAATCGGGAGGGGGGCCGCGCGGCGACGATATGCCAATGAGAGACTAAGTATTAGTCCGAGGCACTTAATATATCGGCTTTGACAACCCAGCTCATTAATCTCTACTCGGCTGTCAGTAGTTGAGCTGTATGAAGCGATGCATCTTGGGAAGTATCGGGAGGACCCCTCACCGCCGACACAAGGACAAAGGAGCTCTTGGAACAAAGAGGCTACTTGTGTATGTATACGATAGTTCCCGTAGTAGTTACTTGCGATCTCTTTGCGCAACACAAAAGTTGTTAACCCTCCCTATGGTTGGTCTCATGGCAGTTTTTCAAAGTTTCGATGTTTTTGTTGAATTGATTTATGGCTTCTGTTAAGTCTGGTTGGGTTGGATTGAAAGTGATGGTAAGTTTTCTTATTTCTTGTTTGGTTGTGATATTACCAAACGTTTCTTGTAATCCTTCATCTCCCATAATGTCTACCAAGTTTATATTGATTGACTTATTGGTAGGTGAAAATTTGCTGATCTCTGTATGGTGCTTGGGTTCCACGTAATCTATTGTTGTTAGGCTTGTAGTATTTGGAAATATTTAGTTGATAAGTACTCACCCCTCCTGTGGCTGCAACCCTTTCCACCGCTATTGTGGTGATAGTTTGTATAGGCTCCGTTTAGGTAGTTCCAGAGGACTATACAATTCCTCCACATGCGGTGGAAAGACTGGAGAGACTAGGTATTAGTCCGAGGCACTTAACAGATTCGCCTTGGTATCCCAGCCCATTATTCTCTAGTCGGCTTCTAGGTGTCGCCATGAAATCCATTCCTTGCCAACCCTTAAGAGGCTCAATTGGAAATATTAGCTGCATAGTCAACTCAAAGAGCATATACGGGGTACCCCCGCGAAGCGGACCCGGGCCAGTTCGGTGACGCGTCCGGGTTGCGATCTCCGAACTTTTCTCGTCCCCTGAGGCAGAGCAATCAACGGGAGTCATGCTGGGTGGTTTGGAATAGGACTTGATGATCATTGAATTGGACCCAGTGCCCTCTTTAACCCCCGACACAACATTTTAGGAGTTGATGCCTTTGAACGAAACCTCGGTCGGGGTACGCTTTTAGGGAAGAGAATATCGTATGTGGGCGTTAGTGAGAAGGATATATGTGATGTTAGACAGCTCGCGGAGGCTTATAAATGGGGGTGTGGCGAAGATATCTCGTCGCCGTTATTGCTGTGCCTCCATGCGCTGGGTTCACATCCTCTCATCTGGCTTGTTCGATTGGAAAGTTATGGTAATTTCATTCCTTCCTTTATCCATGGTAATATTCGAAGTAAGGGGCCGATCTTTTGGTTTGGCTTGAACCAATATTAGGGTGCCCTCGGATTAGTATTAGGAATGGGACGTAACTGGCCTCATTTGGTGCAATTCGTGTTGTGATTAGTAAAAGGCGGGGATATTGTGCGTGTATCGCATTTCCATGACGGATAATGTCCATCATTTAGATGGACGATTTAATATATCCTGGAACTTTGCCATGGCCTGCAAAGACGCTGACAATCCGGTGATAAACGAACGTAGTATAGTGCCGACGACGACGACGAAGATTCACAGATGAAAAGCTCGTTACTGGTGTTTGATAATAGCCCCGTAGAAAACATAATGATGATGAGTATTCATTATCGGGGTTAGGAGAAGTTGCGTTCTTAAGGATTTGGGCTGAACGGTAACTCTGTTCGACAGTCAGAACAACCTTAAGTCTCTTTGGCCTAATGGATATTAGGGACATGACGAACCTCCCTCTAAATAACGACACCGGCCCCTCCTCAAACCTTCATATCTAATCATCATAGCAACGTGGCATTGTCAAGCCATGCATTTAGCTAGCTGGCATCGACCGCGTTTTAGTTAGGTTGCCCCGAATATATTTTATGGCTTCTTCTTAGAAAAAGCGGGGGATGTGTTATAACAACGATACGGAGGAAGACGAGCTAGAGGCAAAAGCAGATATGTCGACGTGCATGATGATGATGCGCGTTCTGCGCGACCGAGCCGAGCAACTCTTAAGAAACCCATCAGAAAGACGCTAATGAAGTCTGATAGTGTCTGGAGAAAGGTTGGTGGTTGTGCTTTGGATACGATGATAGGGGTTCGTTTTGACCATGTGGACAATGTACTTACATTATGCAGCTCGCCTCGGCGCCCTTGAGTGCTCAACTCCCGAAGCGATGAGGTTATGATCTTGAGGGCTGATAGAACGGTAAGCTTGCCCAGAATTATACGCCGGGGATTGTTAGCGACGGCGCAGAGGTCGGTAGCCCATGGCAGTTAAGTCGGAAATGTTAGTCCGAGAGTTGCGTGTACCTATCCAGATATGCATAGGTCCGGACTAGGAGGGCTCTTGTGTTAAGGTTCTTAATGATTACTAGGATTCGCCCAGCGGTGATGGGCGATAGTTAGGGGGAGCCGCGATATTGTCTGGGGAGATATTGATGTCGTCTTTCCGGAGTAGTATACAGGCCATTCTGTGTTACACGAACATCTGACGGGCGAGTCGTCAACAGAGGTACGAAAGAAATAGATAGTGAGATATGGCGATTAGGACCAAAAGATGTACATCATAAAGCCATTCAACCAGCTCCGATGTACTGGAGAGTAAGATAGCCAGATGGCATCTAGAAGAAAGAGTAGCTCGGGAAGGCCCGGAGAGCTATTGTGATCCTTGAATGAAGAACGACGGGTAACAATGCGAGGAATGCTCGACAATATATTTCAAGAAATGCTCCTGGATAGTTCTACTAAGAGCGTCTTGCCGGCTACAATAGCCGAGGCAATCCGCTCCGAGTATTCAATCTTTTCTCAACAATCGAAACAGAAGTTGATGCCTAGAGCCAATACAATGTGCGTACCTGCGAGGTTGGAAGATAAGAGAAGCGGAGATGGCGATGGCGATATGTGACACAAGCAGGATACTGACCGGTGATCTGATTTTCCACGCCTCCGCGCTTAGACCGCCTTGACCGGTGTCTAGAGACAAGCAGCTACCCGTCCGAAACCCATGAGTCATCTCAATAATTCAATCATGCATATACTTTTGGAAACGGCACGGTGGCCTAGAATCGGTCGAGTGCATATCGGAGTTTCGAAGTATCAGATACATGATCTCCGGACCCGATGATAAACGCAACTCACGAAGCCATGTGGCGCGGATGACCCGGTAGCCGCGCCATCCCCATTTTAGGCATCCATCTACGGTGAGGTCATTAGGTAATACAAGAAGGGGACCTACTTCTGCAGCACAGCTGGATACACACCGCCCACACCCCCTTTTCCAACGCCACTAATCAAAGCTGCGAATCTAAGGAGGGGTTGATAAGTTGTTGTCGTACAGACGGCTGCCCGTTAACTTGGCCGAATGTTGGTTGGTGTTAGAAAACCTTCGATCGGACGTTCAATCTCAGATTCCGCGGGAAATAGAGATCCTGCATGACCTGCAGACGCTTGACTACATTATTAGTTGCCTAAAGCATCGCCCCCTGCGTATTTCACGACGCCATCCTTATCAAAGCAGAAGATAAATTGAGTCATACCACGCGATAACAAATCTTCGCCATCCAATGAATACGGCTACACGGCAGTCTGCAACGGGAACTCGCAGAGGCGTTGTGGAGAAAACATCTTTTTAATTTGTAATTCTTATGGTACATATTATGGTATGAACACAACTTACAGCAAACTCATGTGGTTTTGACCTTGGATCCTAGGAATTTCTTCGGGATGATCCCGCTCTCCTGGACCAGCTTCCATAGGCACCACAGGTAACACAGCGCGAAGCCAGCAGCACCTATCCCGACGTTAGCCACGACCCACAGGTCGGGCTTGTCAGGAGGCGGAGTGACGAATAATTCTAAAACATGCCAGGCAGCCATGGACAGATAGAAAGAGCCATGAAGAATCGCTGTCAGCCATTGGGTCCAGATATTCTGCCCCTCTTCGAAGTACGCGCTGGTCGATACAGGGGGAAGACCTAGGAGGTACGACCATAGGAGCGTCAACACCGCGTAGGGTACTCGCAGGTCAACTCGTGATAGTAGTGGAAACATAGTCCATACACCAACAAGATTACCGAACCCAACCCATGATCTAACGTCTTTACCTAACCCCTGCTTTCCAGCAAGGAGTACAGTCATTGGAAGAAGTGGAAGCAGAGCACTTTTCTCATGAACCTGGTAGCTGAATAGGAAGAAACCCCAGGCCGTGGCGCTAAATGCATAGGGTAAGAGTTCTTTGCGCGGCTTGAAGAATATGATCGCACAGGCTGGGGCTATTGATGCAAGGGTCGCTAGAAGTGAGACCCGCTGTAGGAGTTCAGTTGGGTATTTTCGCAGCTTGATGACCACATTAGCCGCGCACCAGAAATTAGCAACCTTGTCCTCAAATAGCCCTCTCGCAAAAGGGAATATCCGATGAACCATTTGGGCAAATTGTTCAATTACTGGGTAATACCGAGCCTCTGTATCTAAGTAGGGTGAGAGGAAGCCGAAAAGGGGTAGTGGGGGCCGCAGGCCATCTAGATCGGGCCTCGTGTCAATCCCCCGGCTCGTATCATATAGTGTGCCGAGAATAATTGGTAGGACAAGCACTGCGAAAGATGCAAGAGTGACAGCTGCAATTCCGAAGAATCTTCCGATGTTGATACGAGGGAATATACAACTTCCCAGAAGCAACGCAAATACGGCTGGCGCATAATACAGCGCCATCTGCTTAAATCCCAAGGCGGAGACGAAGAAAATGGAAGCCCACATGTATCGTCCTGCTAGCATACTCGACATGCTTGCCAAGACGAAACCCAGCATGACTGTGTTGTATTGGAAGTGAACATGGTCAATGAGAATAGTGGCAGGTTGCATGAGTATGGCAACAAGCGCTACGGATGAAGTCCATTGGGCAACTCCAAAGAGTCTGCTGTATCTCCTGACGAATATGACAGCGGCGGGTATATAGATCAGATATTCGGATACGATGACCGTTGCTCTCATATATACCTTGAGCTCCGGATCTTCTAGGCCTCGCGACGTAAAGAGCTCAAACCAGGAAGAATTGACTAGGGATCCGACTTTGCCGAGTAACCAACTATGGTATGCCGTCAAAGGAGGATAGTCGAGACCCCACCATTCAAGATCGTGAAAGTACCATTGTGATATCGGTAGATGTGTCGTGATCTCCATCCAATGTCTCTGCGCCTCGTAGTCGCCGTGCATCGGGGGTTTCTGAAAGCCTATTATAGAGAATACGTTAGCTCAATCAAGCACAAATTGGACCGAGCGCATTATGTAGAATTGGACTGACCTGAGTATCCCCAAAGCCCAGCTGCCCATCTAAAGAGTCCAACCACCATAAGGATGAGAGGTAAAACCTCCCATTGTGAGAGGGAACTCCTAGCAGGCCATAGGAAAGCTGCCAGTGGAAACGAAGGTGTTCGGATCAGAGCTTCAGGTTTAACGCTGACGGTGCTATCGAAATGTGCGGTCTTCTTGGTTTTGCGCCGAGGCTTGTGTGGTGACGGTGAAGGTTGGGCCATGGCGTTCACCGGTTTATTGTCAAACAGGATCCCACGGATAGATTCATTGGGTAAGTTGTCCCAGAGTTGAACTAGGTGAGATTAAATAGGTGGTCCTCGAATTTTGGATCTGACAATTTGTTGTAGTCTGTCAAGTTTGGACGGTGCTCGTACTTTTTTAGATTTGGACAGGGATAGTTCTTTAGCGCCCTGAAGCTGGGGGAACAGGGTGACAGGGCTGAGGAAATTGTGGCTGGCTGATTGATGAACCTTAATTTCGTTATGTAAGCATGTCGTAGTGCTATCTAGGTAGGTACCTAAAACGCCGTGGCTTAAGCCCGATCCCCCGTTCCAGCGTATACATAGGTACACATAGGTACTCTTAAGAGGAACTCAGGCTCGACGGCCTTAGCCAAGTCACTTGGCAGTCGTGAACTTCATTAATAAGACATCTTTCATGTCAAACTACGATCAATTCAGTATTTACTGTATTTCTTCATGATATAGGAAACTTGAAAATCCTTAGAAATCATTATTCAAGATGCCTTTCCCATTCACATTACCTACTACATCGTCATTCTCATTCTCTTCTAGTTTCACATGCGAGTCTCATCCTTCACTAACCCTTAACGCAAGTACACATCGAGGGGTTGTGAAAGACTCATTAAAAAAGCATAAACGACTTCCTGCAGTATCTCAAGGACCAAATCTACCTTCAGTACTCGCTAATTTAAACACATACCTTCCATATCTTCTCGCAATCGATGCAGGGTTAAGCAACAAGACTGTGTCCGGTGAAGAGGTCAGCGTGGTTCTAACTTCAACTCCTACTCTTGAATGGCGGCCAACATTATCAGACCATGGCATCCCCGGGAAAGAAATAGCTAGGGTCAAAATCCAGTCCTTAGAATATGAACTATTCTTCGCCCTTTCTATAGTGGGATATACTCACACTCTCCTCGCCCGATCTACATTACATCCACTCTATGTTACTTCAGGAGTACCCCTTAGCACACAAGCACGTACTACGGCTATAACTACAGCTACAAAACATCTACTAGACGCAGCATCAGTTCATGACTACCTCGCTCGTCGAGCTGAGGGTCTAGCTACAATACCTCCCTGTGCCGATATCACCCAATCTACTGCCAGAGCTATGTCTTCACTTGCCTTGGCCGAAGCAACATTATTAGCCGTCCTGAAAGACGATCCATACCCGGCGGTTGTTGCGCAGGACCGTAACGAAAATGACCGGGAATGGATGTATAAGGCCCCTGAAATTCCCAAGGTCCGAGCTCACCTATTCGCTCGACTGTGTCTCGCAGCAGCGGATCATGCCGCTCAAGCTTCTTCTTTATGTCAATCGGCAGGAAAAGGACCGTCCAAACTTAACGAGGGATTATTGCGATATGTAGAAGATTTGAGGAAGACCAGTCGAGCCAAGGCTTGCCGGTTTTTTGGTATCGATGCGGAGTTATCAGGTCAAACTGGAAATGCTCTAGGGTGGCTACGATGCGGTCTTCAAGAACTCGGTATCGAGTCAAAAGAATCCAAGAAAGGCCTGAGTTTAAGCCGAATGAAGAAAGACTGGACTGAGAGGAGGGAGGATAAGAAGGTGGAAAGGGGCACAAATTGGGGCGCGGATGCCGGCAAGCTTGAGGAGACTCGGGTGATCGAGATGTTAGAAGCAAAATGGACGAAAATAAATGATACTGTAAGTTCATTCACGCATTTCCACCGAATCTATGGCTTATGTATAAATAGATGCTCACTCAAACCGTCACACCGCCCGGAACGTTACTAGCTAGTCTCCCTAGTGGCAGAGACTTGCACACAATCAAACCCTACCAAGCCCCAGAACTCAGCAGAGAATTACTCGAAGCAATGCGCACACCTCCAGATAGGCCCGATGATTATGAAAACGAGCAATGGAGTTCAGATGAGCAAACCGCCGTCGACGTACCGGTAGGAGCGTTCCCGGGTACGCAAGGCGAATATCAAAGTGGAAGCACGAGGTCATATTACTAGCCTTGATATTGCCTATCTGCATTTCACTTTCGCTTGCCAGAATAGAAGTAAGGAAGACACAGAGTACATAGCGGATTTCGTTTGAGGAGAGCAACGCAATTGGTTCAACTTGTGGATAGCTTCTTACTGACGCGGATGTTTTGATAGAGTAACTTAGAGGCGAGTCTCCTTTTCTAAAACGCTCTTTGCATACACTTTCTAACGTTGAATCTAGCATAGTATATACATAGGCGCTTGGACTTGAAAACACCAAAGCCCACTATGGCTAATTTTAGCGAGTTTGACTACCTAGGTAGTTTTGATAGATGAAAATAACTATACTTTCCAATCCACGGAGTTCTCGCTAAATCTAGCGTACGTGTATAAGAATTGATATGCCTTCGAGTACCATTAATTTTCCTCGCTTTGCCCTCGGGGACGCATAATATCCCTTAAGTCGGTGCCAAATCACACAGGGTTTTTGATGAAGATCTCTTTATTTTTGGTTCTACCTCCCTTGCAAAATAAAAGCCGGTTCCATTTCCCAGAAACGCCAATCGTTCGTCGGAGTCGCGAATTAGATAGAAAACGAACTCCTCGCATGCACCTTTTATACATGCAAAGGCAAATCTCACTCTTCTCTTCACCCTTTTGCTATATTTCTTCCTTCTTACTACCCCCTAGTCTAGTAAGTGTAGACCATATTCGTGACCTGTGGTCGCAGAACTTGGCACTTCTTCTTTAGGGTCTTGACAGCCTCAAGGAAAACCTCATCACCGTCCCACTGGCCCGTGCTCTCGATCGAAAAAATGAAGTGATCCCTCCGTCTACCGAGCTTAACCTTGCCCTCAAATTCCGGATGTCGTAGAACCTCACGGCTAACAGTATCTCGCATCGGGTTCTTGACTACGGCCTTCAACTCCCCCTCGTGTCCCTCATAACCGCTTCCTTTCGTACGCGCTTCCTGTCGCGTAACCGGCTCAAGCCCAATCACACCATCCATAAAGCATTTCGCAAATTTCTCAGCCTCAGCACCAAGAATAGGCTGTGTAATTGTAATCGTAGGCATAAGTCGGTAACTAGAAGTAGCCACCGGACTCCACTTAGCATGGTCCCAACCATAACCCTTATGCATATGCATTTCAATATCAATCTCCTGGCTAGGTCGTAGCTTAGCGATCAAGATATCCGGGTGGAAGGGTCGTATAACATCCTCGCCAGAGAAATACTTCGACTGCGCGCCTAACGGGTCGAAGAGAATATCGCGCGCGTATACATGCGCATTATGGTACAAGACCCTAGGATCGGTAGCATCCGCCGGTGCGTCCTTGTTGTGCGTGCACTTAACAATCAACTTCAGCGACACGGTGTTGTTATCATACGTGGTCGAGTACGAGTGTGCGCCCTCGGCGGGTTTTTGCCAGAAGCGCATCCATTCGCGAAGACCCTTTTTACCACCGGTAAACGGGATGAGACCTAGACGGTGTGCCAGAACTTCGTCTTGGATCACGCTAGTGTTGTTGTGGATGAAAACAAGGTCGATGGCGAGGGTTGGGATCTCGGCGATGGAAATACGGCGGAAGGCATTTGCGATGGAGGCGTCGATGCCGATGAGGGAGAATTGTGATTCGTATTGTTGGTTCTCGTGGAATTGGACTCGGAAGGATCGTCGGAAGTCTTCTTTATCCCAGGCGTGCTCTTCATTGGCGTAGTTATCGGGATAGTCGTTCGAGACGGTATCGGTTACCGTTTCTTTGTTGATGCCTACGATCTACTTGAATTGTTAATGCATATACTTGGAGATAAGTGTTACACAATAACATACATTACGATTATCTAGCTCTTCCGCGCTCGGCGGATGCCTTCTCCCCGACGAGGGTGCCATTGTGTGTATGATTTGTGAGTTGAAAATGAGTGGGGTGAATGGATTGGCGGATGTTTTTGCCCTGGAGAAAAAAATGACTGAGAGAAGAAAAAACAGTATCTTATCTTATCAGTTTCTTATCGAGACAGCACTAGGTTTACCCCACCTGCCTCACAATTCACCCCACTAGCTTCGGATGTGGGACCCACTCTAAGATTCCGTCTATTTAAGAGCGTCCCCCTCCAGAATTCTCTTCCTCTTTTCTTCTTCTTCTCCTCAAACTTACCTTGCGTTGCCCTTTGATGCTCATAAATATCAGAGGACAAGAGGAATGGCCTGCATTGCACATCGTGGAGCCGAACCTCTTCTATTTTCCTTCGTGGACAATAGAACGTGTAATTTTTGCTGTTTCATTTTCGTTATGCTCGATGCCTAGATGCATCGCCATGAGGAAGATGCTCGAAGTTATCGTGATGCTTCGACAACCAAGATACTATAGATTTCCATATCTTTAGAATGAGCCAGTCCAGTTTTCATCCGCTTCATCGTAATTAATTGTTATGCTTCGTTACGAATCCCACACTAGAAGATCATAGGGCTATGAATGACGTCCAATTCAAACACTAACGGATGATTTCTAGACTTGAATCAAGCGGCTTTCGCGTGTCATTAGGCTACGAATGATGTTTTCTACATCGGTTTTGCTTCTACAGGCTCATCTATAGCATTTTCTATTATTCGTCATACAATACAGCAACCTCGAGCCATTCCAGCTCAAGCTCGCGGGGTAGTAATTTATACACGTTACGTACCATTCCATCAACACCCCATCTAGAACAACTTAATCCCATTCCCGGCAGCCTGTCCCATGAAGAAGTTCTTCACAGGCGCCATCGCATTAACCGCGTTCAGCCCTAGCGACCTCAACGGGACCAACGGCCCAGAGCCGACCGAGTACAGTTTATGCAGCTTATCGCACACGCCGAGCAGCACATGGTTCGCCGCGTATCGCTCCGCGCCATATGGCTCGAGAGCTGTCCTAGCACCAATATCCTGCCCGTGGGCCACTGCGTAGGCTATTGTTTTTACGAGCGCTTCGACGTCGCCTTGCCCTTGATTAAGTCCCTGGCCGGCTAACGGATGGATAGAGTGTGCGGCGTCACCGACAAGAGCTACCCGCTCACCGGCATATGCATCGGCATGTCTCATGCGGAGAGGAAACGAAGCTATGGTACCGTCCTGTACACCGGTGACTGTCTGTGGTATAGCCCGCGAATTGAACTGCGTATGCTGAAGACGCCATAATAGCTCTTCTTCTTGGCCGGAGGTTTGTGTGTGCATGAATTCGAGATCGACGGGAGTAAGTCGGAAGGCGGCGTTGACGAGGGCTACAAAGTCCTTCGTTGGCAAGCCCTTCAATAATGCGGCGTTTGAGGGTGTCGTGGTCCAGACTAGTGTTGAGTAGTTCCCCGGTAAAGGCAACATAGCGACAGGACCCGTGGGTAGGAATCTCTGGTATGCGATTTTATAATCATCGCCTCCCCAGCCAAATTCTTCCAGCTCTAGAGTCGCTACAACACCATGTCGTTCGTAATCCCACCCTCTACTCTCAATCCCAGCGAATGTTCGTACAGGGCTATTCGCCCCATCGGCGCCTACTAGAAGTCTCGCCGCCAACTTCTTCCCACCAGAAAGATGTACGACAGGCCATTCTCTTAGATCTAGCTCCTCGGTTTCCTCTCCAAACGTAATACCCTCTACCCTAGCTCCATCAAACACTTCCGAGCCTCCCAACTCATCTAACCGACGCAACAGTCCCGACGTCAAATTCAAGTTCTCCGTCATATACGCAATCACGCTCTCCCCTTGCGCACCAGCAGTAGGTGGCGGGGAATCGAATTCAATCCTCGCATCCGTCACTCCATCCCAAACTTCCATAGCATGATACGGCTGTACACGATCGCGGCGTATGTGACTATTCCAAGCGCCGATACTTCGATCGAGGAATCGCGCGGAAGAGGGCGTTAGGGAACTGACTCGATTCGAGTATCGGTCGGGAGGTAGCTCCCAGGAGCGGATTTTACGCAGGTCTTGGGCTTCGACGAGGGCGACGCGGAGGCCGGCGGTGGTTGGGTTCGCTCCTATATTTACGGAGTTAGTACTAGGATTAATTTGCTTCCTCGTGTAGAGTGGCGTTGTAGCATAGGCAAGACTTACGGAGTGCAGTAAGCAAGCTTAAACCAGCCGGACCTCCGCCCACGCAGACAACATCGTAGATGTCCGGTTCTTGCTGGGAACCGACATTGGCGTAGGATCGAGCCAATTGGGGCCTAAGTCGGCGGCTACAACTCCTACATATATTCAGAAGCGGCCTTTGCAATTGGCGACCGGGTAGGACGACACAATCCATTTTTGTCTGGATATTCGTCTACCACCAGACTTCTGAGAATGGAACGACGATCGTCACTTTTTTGGCGGAGCTATGACATGGAGAGCTCGGACTAGGGTCGTATCTCCGAATATTTACCGTATAAATACAGTACGTCAACCCCACACGCCTTAACGCCGACGAGATACTTCACATTAGTTCGTTCACCCCAAAACAAGGAGCATATTCGTACCACTCTTATAGTTATCCTATCATATATATACAAACCCAAGGATTTCCTTAATTCTTAACCCTATTGCTATTGCCAGCCCCCTACTATATGTTGCCTGGGAATTACCACACCCCACGATTCCAATCTTATCCTTAGTAGGAATACAAATATCGAGAAAACTAAATATGCGCCCCTTTTCTTCATACACAAGACTTTCGGTCAAGACTCATTTTAATTCCGACGACTCGAAATAATATTATACCACATTAATTCAGACCCTTCTCGTTTCATTCTCATCAAAACTCGAAGTCGGCGTTGGGCTCACGTAAGGTAGCTCAGTAGCGGCAGCACCTGCATCACGACCATCGCCGTCAGCAGATGCACGACCAGCACCACCAGTCATTACGGATGTCTCACCTCTTCCATCTCTACCGCCGCCAGTAGTACCATCACCACCAACGGCGATGCCAACATCATCACCAGCCGGATCCGAGTCATAGCCGTCAATATTCTTCTCCCAGCTCTTGAGGTCGTCTTCGGCATCATTCAGGACCTGTCTTGCAGCAGGTCCATTCTCATATGCGCGCCGTGAATCACCGGGCGTGACGGGTGAATCGTCTAGGAGTTCTAGAAGACGGCGCCCATGCTTGGCGAGGATGATTTGCTTCTCAGCGCGCTCGATTACAGCGGCGAATTCGATGTCGTAGGCTTCTTTCAACTTGTTGCGAGTCTATTTCACATTAGCAAGCACATCTAACCCCAAAGGGTGTTACAAAACCTACAATATTCGTCAACTGCGCCTCAGCAACCAAATTCTCCGCCTCAGCCCTAACCAATTCCTGCTCAAGAATAACCAACCTAGTACTCTGCGGCTCCTTCAACTTCAACCTCTGAATCTCATCCGCAATCTTCCCCTTCGCATCACGACTAGGCTGAACACTCTTCTCCGTATTCCTCACCATCTTCAACACACCACGCGCCTCATCCAATCCATGCGCGTACGCCTCCTCCTGTGCTCCTAGTTCAGATAACACGACTCCGACTTTGTCGCTTATGTCGGATACCGCGTCGTCGCCGGTCTGCTCACCCCATTCGGATAGTTGCTTGGCGATGGCTTCGCGCTCGCGGCCCGCGGTTTCGTGGGATGAGATTAGGTTGTTGGTCGATTTGATGAGTTGGTATAGACGACGCGAGAGCTCGGGTTGGATGGAGCCGCGGAGCGAGGCGAAGGAGAAACCTTTGCGGCGTGAGGAGGGTGTTGCGGGGGTGCCTGGTGCGCCGCCTTTGTTGGAGCGGACGGAGAGGGAGCGGTTCCTAGGTGAGAGGTGAGTGTTAGATTATCGTGATATGTTTCTTAGGAAGGATAGGAATGGAGAGGTAGGTTCGGGAATAGGTTTACAGAGATGTCGATCCTAAAGACCGACAGCTTCCTGTGCGACTGAGCTGTGAGACTCGCTCGAGCTCGGCGACGCCCTTTGAGTTGCTGTTAAAGAATTGGAAATCCATTGTGACCTACATGATGAATTAAGGTAAGATTATAAAAATCGGATTCGATACGTTTGAATTATCATAGCTGTATGTTGGTTAGTTTGTTCTTTCCGTTATGTCTCCCCTATAGTTTCCCATTATCCTCTTCAGTACTGTGTTACATCGGAAAGTACGGAGAGACTCTACTCTATATCTGATAAGGGAAGCTCGACTCGACTTACACGATAATGTTTAAGTGGTCTTAGGTAATACCCAGGTATGATAGACCCCAGTATCCGCAGTTTCCACGCAAATATCTGGTGTTACCTCTTAGAGTGGGGCAAGATCTGTATTGCGTCGATCCGATTATACTCGAGCAGGGATTTTCAACAAAGAACCAGTTCTAGACGTAAAATTATTCGAGCTGTCACATTTAATATGTGTAAGTTGCAACTATATTAACAAGCAAAAAACTACATATACCGTCGATCAAAAAGAAAAGAAAATTACGTCTTACCCAAACCCCTCAACCCTAATTGTATACACACACATCGCATCACATTTACAGAAGGGGACATGGATGTGCCTACAAAAGACGTAGGTAGCGTTGAACTTTTCAAGAGAGAGCTGATGACGACGAATGCGAGCTAAGGAATTAACCATGATGTCATTTTTTCTAGAGCTATCGACCGTGGATCCTAAGCGTCGATTATTCCCCCGCAAATGGTCCAAGCGCCAGAATAGTTTCCCATCCATTCCCATCTTTCAATTCCATGACCATGACGGAAGTAGATCCTTCTAAGGAAATTATTTCTATGCCTAAACTTGTCGGAGACTCATTAAATCGTATAAGTGTAAATGTTTTTATAAGTGTCGTTTGAAAGAAAATAAAACATTAAAACCAAGTATTAAATAATCATATGATGTATAAAACTCCTTTCTCCAGCACCAGCTTTTTTCTTGGACTACTCCGATCTCCGATGTACGCCAAGCTAATATGCCATGCTTTGGGCGGATAGTAGTAGGTAGACATTATTTAGTTGTCGGTAGATATTGAAAGATATGAGTAATTGGTGATATATCTTTTTCAGTGATATCTCATCTGGCTGGTTCTCTCAACCAGTACCGGAGTGCTCCGGCGATAACTTGTGGTGCTTACACGCGGAGTGTGGTGGTGGTGAGAGTTGTAGCTAGCTCTTGGCGTAGAAGTGCGGTGGTGGTGGTGGTGGTTGTGGGCTTGTCTCACGGGAATATACTCCTCGTGGTAGTAATATTTGCGGGAGGGCTCAGCGCGGAAACACATCTTGATTTTTGTCGGCGATGGCGGGAATAGATATTAGGTATTCGTTCAGCGTTGTGTGATTATGTATAAGTTTCAAGTTTTGTTATAACTCTTGGTATGATAATCTCGGTGACGTCGGTGTGGATAGTGTAAGTGAGAGATAGGTAGGTGAAGAATCGAGTATTTTCGAGATCTTCGTCTATATTTACTAAGAGCTGTGGAAGTGTTGCTTGAATGAATAGAATGAAGAAGTGTCAACCGGAACCGAGAGGGCGACAGGCCAATATTTATCTAAGTCCATATGATCAAGCTCAGCCTTGCTGACCCGGAAAGCGTCACGAGGGAAGGGGGGGTAAAGCTTCGGTGTAACCCATCGACCCGCTTACGCACTGGAGAAAACAAAGTAGATCATCGGTATGATACAGCACTGGATAACTCAAGATCCTCAAAAGAAAGAGATCCTCGCACACCACAGGCCGACATACCTTATTTCCATGCTGCAATCCCTGCAATTAATATCGACTTACATACATCTACGTCCAGACCATAGAAGTTAGGTGGTGCGAGAACTGCAGAAGCCTCGACTCTTTACGCCACACACGCAGCCTATCAGACGATCGAGGCATACCCAACAGTTGGAGAGCAGACGGGTTTGCCAAGGACGCCGTGCCGATGGTTCTATACCCTATAATTCGACCTGCTCGACCAAGTCAACATACATCACATACACATATACATACACATACGCATACGCATAGTATCTGCATTAAACACGGGAGTTATGGAGACAAGGACCCGGCCGTGGCAAGCTATAACACGAGATGGGTCGGTGCATAAACCATGCATTCGGAATGATATGATATTATATCTAACATATAGGTTTCTCGTGTCAAGAACGAATGTTTAGTGCATCCATTTCCTTGTACCTGATCTCGTGTAGGTTGGAAATATCCGCTGCTCCGCTACGTATCCCTAACACTTACACCTTCGGTACTGCACTGCACTGTACTTATCCACCTATGCACGCGCATGTGTACAACATTCTCGCTGTATACATCCCGTCTCAGGCACCCTTGCAGATTGATAATCGAACACCAACGGTATATAAACTCGCATATTATAGTTAACTTGCATTCTTAATAAGATATAAGTTAAAATTCATATTTCACATGTGTTATACCGGTTCTGCAGTTACTGCATTTCCGTTCCGAAGTCGTTCAATGTTCGTCTTATACCTCCATGTAGGTACATACATTAGATACATGTAGCTAAGGTGCGGCCTATGATGTTGCGCATACGTCAACCTGCAGCTCGAATTGCAGTCGAATGCCGCTGGGGCTAATTTAGTTCGGTCGTATAGTGCTACCCCCAAGCTTGTTATAGGGCTGCTCTGGATAGGACCCTTGGACCCTGTAGAAATCGACAAGTTGACAACGGATCGGATCTAAACTTCCAAGTTTATAGGCTAATTGTCATATCAATTTATTTTAAAAGCAATTCGCATACCTTATTTGGTGTTGAGCATCAATGGAGCATCATCGATTTTCATGGACAGTTGGCCGGATCGTCGCCTACTCTTTGTAGTGACTGGTCTGAAAATTGGAAAATCATATTTCATTTTTGTATTCGTTCGTTCCAGATCTATATCGTAGACTGCCTCATTCTAGAGTTTTCCAGGCCACCATGAAACCTCCTGGGGAACCCTCCATAATGTACACGCGCATATGTACTTTGTTCCAGAAAAACCAAACACCTTTATTTTGTGGAAAACTTCACGTCCACTTTGGAAATCGCCCACATGCCAACAAATAACGCCACCGTGCTTGAAAATACAATCAATGGCTTGCGAAGGCTTGCTGCTAGCGAATAATCGTAGGAGACGATAAGATCGCGGTCTCGGAAGTCGTCCACCAAGTTTCTTGCCTTAATTGTTAATACTGTGCGACCAATGGTATCGAGGTACGTCTTCTGGAGATCCACTGTATGCTCCGTAATAGAGGACTCGGGAAGCGTGGTGAAAAATCGGACGTTCCTACCAAAAGATTAGTAAACAATTCATAGGACACATCCTCTGGGAATTACTTACTCAGCACCCTCGGGCAAAAGCACACGGACTTGAACCTGCTCGAACGCAATACCTTCGGACTGCTTAGGTCCTTCGATAAAGGGGACGTTCAACAGGTAGCTGTCGCCGGACTTCTTCCTCAAGAAGCTCTTTGCGTCAGCGTTCCAGCCGATCGTAAATGGGTATTTCCAACCACCGAAAACAGGGTATCGAGGCTTAAGTTCGAGGACAGCCTCCCGTTTGTTAGAGCGGAAGCGCGAGGTCGAGACATTGCCAATAGCATCGGTGAAGTACGCATCCTTGCTTCCAACTCGGAGAGGAACCTTAAGCTCTTTCAATGCGTAGCTTGTGGGGTTGAAATATTGAGCTTGTGCCCATTTGACCCTGTTGAATTGGGCAGAGAGATTGGCTCCGTAGTTGAAGAGAGTATATCGTTCCTCGAATGCTATGTTACCACCCCAATGACTGACTTCAATATCACGTTCCAATTCTGCCACGTGGGTGACAGGCTTAGTAAACTCGTACCGTACTTTGACCGGAGAGACGGCGCCAGCTGGGACCTCGGAGAACGGGCCGTAGGTAAGCTTCGAGCCTTGCTTCTGCGGAGATTCCTTAGTCTCGCCGCTAGCAGCAATCTTGGTGTAGTCGGTGATTTCAGAAGATGCGAACTTAACTTCCGTCTTCTGCTTCAATGTAGGGTAAACCGATGGGGTGTAAGCCGAGAATTCGTAAACGAGGTATTGCTTGTCGGATTGTTGGATCGCGGCGGGCAAAGGCGAGAGGGAATTGAGGTAGTAGAACGAAATGCCTAGGGTCTGTTGGCCCTTGGCCGGCAAGGGTGCGGGTAGTCGAATACGATAGTATTGGGTGTCGCTAAGACTGTATTAGCGATAGCATTATAATAACTTAAAAAACAAGATTCCTTACCTCGACGGGTCAAATTCGACAGCATCCACAGCGAAACCGGTTACGGTAGCATCCTTCCTGTCCTTTACCTCGATCCCTCCGATCTTCTCCATTTGGTCGCTTGTGAATGGTAGGAAGTATTCATCTTGAGATTCTGGCGATGAGTTCTCAATTAAAACATTGATATTTTCCTTCGCATAATTCTTCTCCAGGGAGATGACATGTACTAAGTTGGCGTTCTTAAAGACCTGGGGCGGCTTGAAGGTAGCTGGGAGGGTGACCTTCGACGACGAGGGCGTAGTAACATTATCGCCAAGAACCTGTGACAGGAAGGAGACGCAGACAGCTGCGACTGCTGCAGTGAACTTCATGACGAAGAAAGACCGGATGGGCTACTCATTAAAAATAAAAAAGATGAGTAGCGCCAATTGCATAAAAAAAGATCAACGGACAGGTTTGTGGTCTTTGACTTAGACAGCTAAGCTACCATGTGGCTTCTCCAAAGTCGCAGAGAGGTACGGTACACCTTTCAATTTCTAAGAAAGTTACAGCTTACGTTGCCAATGCGCGTCCAACCTAGCACAAACCCAGGATTGAGGAAGCACGTTAATCCGTATGCAGCTATAGATAACGCTAACCTGTTATAGGTTAGAGCTTTACGGCAAGCACCGTGAACCCCATATTTTTAATGGAGCCACCATCTAGACCTGTTGAGTTTGAGTTTGTCATTTCGATTCGAATTATTAAAACCCAAGCTCCTAGACCAGGGTTTGATTTTTTGAAACGTCAATCAATCTTGCAGTTTATTAAACATTCTTAAACCTTCCTATCAGGTCAATTTAAATAGTAAAAGACTCAACATCACACACTATTTTACGACTTCCATCACATGTGACACAAAGAGCAATATCTATCCAACATTTACAAACCAACAAATCGCTCAAATCCCTCTTTCAGTCTTATCCATTCGTGGTAGGTAATCACCCCACGACAAGAATAATCCAGGGTTAAATCTTGAAGGAACATGGTGAGGTTTTTGACATGAAATGCGGGGTGACAAGCCTGCAGGTTTTTAAAATTTTGAAGCTCAGCTCATAGAGAAAGCTAGGTACTTTCGGAGTTCCATTTTGACAAGTCCGCATGAGTGTAGGCGATGTACCTACCATCATCATGAGGTACATCCGGAATCCTTCTTCTCTTCTTCCATCATCTAGACGGCAGCTTTGGGGTATTGTATTGTATAATAGAAACTGGGCACACCGCTGTTCTTACCTGCAACCCCTTTGGAGTAAAATTCACCTGATAGGTAGCACAGCCGAATGAAAGAGATTATAACGTCTTACTTGAAATTTCCGATGATAAGGAATGGTCACACTAGAATTGTGTTGTGTGTAAAAATGTTGGAAGTTCATCTACATATATGTTGAGAGTACAAATCATGTAGAATGACATACACACTCGTACGAAGTACATATAGTAAGGTCTTTTTCGTGTAGCTCCGGGATCCACTAGGTCCAAAGCAACCAATAGAAGTTTCCAAATTTGGAAATGTGGACCAGGATGGAGGGGTACTTTCGTCAACTTTAAATTCCCCTCACCATTCAAAAGATCTTAAGCTTCCAGGTACTACCTACTACGCTATTCTTCGTTTTCCATTGCGTTAAATTGCCCTACCAAGACTTCCATCTACCCATTATTATGTCAAGGTCTGGCTGAGCTGAGTAAGTTACCTATCTAGAGTTGCATTGGGGTCATCTCATTGGTCTGTCCAAGCCCCGGAGCATCCTTCCAAGGTCCTCGTTATTTATAACTACATTCATACCCATAGCTGACTAGCTACTAAATTTCTTCGACGTTCTTTTTCTTCATTTTATTGTTGTTATCGCTGACACTAATACTAATACTTTATCTATCTAGGCTATCATCCATATATTTCGTCTTTTACTTACATCTCCTGAATACCTAGATATTACTAAAAAAACTACTATCAAAATGGTTGGTCTTGGTCCTCGAAAGCCACCATCCCGAAAGGGTACGTATAATATCGTCGCAGTTCTCCGAACTTATCATCGTGACTTTTTAAATCCCCAATACAAAGGGAGCTAGTCGTTCGACCACTCAAATGTTAAATTTGATATTCGCCCCCCTTTTCCTACTCATTGCACCTCCCCTTAAATTATCAGATCGAATTATGCGGCAGTTACACGTAACATTTTGAGCAAGTTGCTCTTTCTACATAGCAAACAATCACGAGATAATGGCTCGAAGCCCTGATCATGGGCTCTTAGAGCACGAGCCGTCAGTCTTTAACATATCACATATTCTATTTGACTCATCTAGCTCCTTGATTTACGAAATACTCGCCATCCTAAACAATAATCATCTACACTCTTCATGTACTTTACTTCGTTCATATCCCTTATTATTACTACGTGAAAAATATCATGGAGTCGGGACAGAGATCGACTGCGTTTGGGATTGGAACCCGTCTTCACACCTATCACCATCACCATCATAGCAATCCATATGATAGCATCAATGGTTTTTCGCAATTCCCAATTATTTTATGTTCATTTAACTGACATCTGTAATAGGATCTATGGCCGATGTGCCAAAAGATCTTCTAGCCGAAATTAAGAAGTTAGAAGATCAATTCACTGTTGGTACCGATAAGCTTAAGGAAATCACCAAGCATTTCGTATCCGAGCTTGAGAAGGGTGAGTTTGCCAAGCTCAATTGGTGGAGAACTTGTTATTGATGTCTTGACAGGTTTGAGTGTTGAAGGGGGTAGTATCGTAAGCTGCGGCCCTAATTAACGGAAGGACGCATAAAAAAACAAGTAACTAATTGTATTTTCTTCGCAGCCTATGAACCCTACTTGGGTTATGGACTTCCCGGATGGATCCGAGACAGGAACTTATCTGGCTCTGGATATGGGCGGTACTAACCTACGTGTTTGTGAGATTACTCTGACGGATAACAAGTCTGAGTTCGACATCATCCAGTCCAAATACCGTATGCCTGAGGAGCTTAAGACCGGGGAGTCTGAGGAACTTTGGGAATACATTGCCGACTGCTTGAAGCAGTTTATCGAGACCCATCACGGTGAACTTCCCGCATCACAAGGGAAAATCCCGCTAGGTTTTACCTTCTCGTACCCGGCTACTCAGAACTATATCGACGAGGGTGTTCTCCAACGATGGACCAAGGGTTTCGACATCAACGGCGTTGAAGGCCGTAACGTTGTGCCACTACTAGAAGCTGCGCTGGACCAACAGGTGAGTTATAAAAAGAGAGATTGACATCCGATGGTATCATTGACAAGATTTTAGGGAGTTCCTATCAAAGTTTCGGCTTTGATCAACGACACCACTGGTACACTTATTGCATCTGCCTATACCGACCCCAAGATGGCTATTGGATGTATTTTCGGAACGGGTTGCAATGCGGCTTACATGGAAAACTGCGGCTCTATCCCCAAGCTGGCCCACATGAACCTAGACCCGAGTCTTCCAATGGCGATTAATTGCGAGTGGGGTGCTTTTGACAATGAACACAAAGTCCTCCCGCGAACTCCTTATGATATCGTTATTGACAAAGAATCACCTCGACCAGGCCAGCAAGCTTTCGAAAAGTGCATTGCTGGTCTTTACCTCGGCGAGATTTTCCGTTTGATTTTGGTAGATTTGCATGATAACAAGGACGTTCACATTTTCGAGGGACAAGACATCAAATACCTTCGAAAGGCTTACACTCTTGATTCATCCTTCCTCTCAGCCATTGAGGAGTAAGTTATCAAAATTTCTTACGCCCTCCAATTTTATGATGCTAACTTTACGTAGCGATCCCTTTGAGAACTTGCAAGAAACTGCGGATCTATTCCAAGACAAGCTCCGCTTAGCTTGCACTCGTCCCGAGCTTGAATTGATCCGCCGAGCGGCCGAACTGATCGGCACACGTGCGGCTCGTCTTTCGGCATGTGGAGTTGCTGCTATTTGCACCAAGAAGAACCTGCAACCGTGCCACGTGGGTGCTGACGGTTCCGTCTTCAACAAGTACCCACATTTCAAGGCCCGAGGTGCCCAAGCCCTCCGAGAGATTCTCGATTGGCCGGCTAAGAAGACTATAAGGGAGGAGGACCCTGTTGAGATCCTCGCTGCCGAAGATGGAAGTGGTGTTGGTGCTGCAGTTATTGCTGCTCTTACGCTGAAGAGAGTGCAGAAAGGCAACATTGCCGGTATCCTACACCCCGAAAACTTCAAATAAATAGAGGTGGATTGAAGACACGGTGTGGCTCATCTGCAGATAAAAAGGAAGCAACAGCAATGTCCCCTTAGAAGGATAGACATAGAAAAAGACCGACCGAACGCGTCAGAAAAGTAATTGGGGCCTGGTTATAGGACTAGAATTAAGATGCGATATGGATTTATCCCATAAGGGTACAAGTCGGGAGTCGATATTCTGTCATGGGTTAGCTTGCTATCAAGAAAAAAAAAAGTTGGAAGAAAAATCGTGATTGACTTACTGTCTAGAGTCCAATACCGTCTTTTGACGCCTTTCCATTCCCCTTCACCTTCCTTGCCTAGGCCTTCCATGTCTACTTCTAATTCTTGCCATTCTACATCCATTCCCGCATCGCTAAGATGCATCTCGACTACTTGCGTGTAAACATCGTAGCAGATCTTTCGGTCGGCACCTAAACCGTTGAAGAATCCAAACCGACCGTTTTCTTCTAATAGTGCTGGTACGTATTCGGTAAAGAACATACGTAGTTGTCCGTAGGCCTCGCCGAATGTATCGAAGTAAATAGCATCGTACGTCTCGCCCTGCTCTATTAGCTTGGGAATGACATCCTGCCATCGCCCTGCATGGACTTTGAAAGCTCCTTCACTGGGCCCGCTGGCTTCCCAGTCTTTGCCGAATTTGGAGTCAGGGCTCTCTGCGATGTGTGAGAGGACAGCGGGGTGCGCTTCGATAATGTGGTGCCGCGAGGGATTGGTAGATGTGAACATTCCATCGATGATACCCATCCCGAAGCCGATATTGAGGATGCGCAGATTAGGGGTGAGATTGGGGAGTAGGGCGTCCACTGAAGCGCGCATTATAGAGGTCTCCCATGCCACTATTGAATGTTAGTAAGAAAAGGGTAATGGTGGGGTTTATACGCATACTCATAACGCCGTTCTTAGAAGAATCCACCAATTTTCCATCACTATACTCCAAATTCGAACGTAGATAATCCTCACTGTTGACATCAGGCCCAGCAGCTCGTTTCAACGGGATTATGTCGGGATCCGCATCCGCAGGTGCTTCAACCTCGACTTCCGCGCCGTTTTCCCCTTCAACATCCTCTTCGGCATCTTCTTCGTCTTCCTCACCATCATCGGACTCTAACTCCTCGTATCCATCCAACAACCCAAAAAGCAACTCCGCCCGCACCCCCGCCTCCACGCACAGCGTATACAACCCCTCAAGCCCCAACCTCGCAGCCACACACCCAGGCGTCTCATCATTATTATCCAGACCATTCCAAATCGCCCCGCTCATAAACAATTCCCGTACCGTTTCCTCGGCATGTTTTATATCACTTTCTTCATCTGAAAATGAGTCCTGGTTTACGGGCGCGCAGGCCCGGATCGCGGCATGCACTGGTGTTTCCCCAGTACTAGGCTCTTGTGCCCGCGCCCGTTCTGGGACTGTTAGGAGGGGCTTTAGGCCTGTGATGTCGTGGTGCCAGGCGTGGTAGAGAATTTGGGATATTTGGGCTGGGCAGGTGGGGGTTATGCGGGTGTCGAGGGTGTCGTTTATGGGTTGGGGCGCCATTGTGAATATTTTTTTATGTTGGTCCTGTTACTTATACCAGTTTTTTGATCGTCCAGCTCTTGAAGCTCAGTAGCTCGTCTGATTTTATTTTTTTCCTGTCTAGACTTATATAGCTTTCTGTCGTTCAATGCTGACGCGTATAAGTATTACAATGTATAGAGCTTCCCAAGAAATCTATACCAGTAACGTGTTAGTTATGAGGTACCGCAGTATCACAAGCTCTGCTGTCGTGATGAGAGAGCTTCAGCTTGGTGGGGTAATAAAAAATTCAGGGTTCTGACGGTTAGGTACAGGCTATTTGGCAGGTGGGGTAGCGGAATCAATTCCAGAAGCACAGTATAGAGGAAATTGAGACTGTATTTCTTGATCGCTTCGGCCTTTCCATTTTTTCTTCAGCGATCATATACGCTAAAGCAAGTCGCTGGAGACGCTAAAAATTAGGCTCAGGTCTGGGCAGATAGAAGGTTGACACGTGCTAATCCAAGCTTAATTGATTGGGCAATGGCAGTTGAACAGCTAAATTCTACTCTCACTGTGGAGATGCAGAAAGTGGAGAACATCCCCTGTATTCTCCCTGTATCATGACGCGAGGCTGGATTCTCTTTCCAAGCTTCATGTTTCCTTCTGCTTAATCGATCGATCGTGCAGCTTTCTTACCATTGATTTTGTACTATATCTACTACTAAAAACAGTATTTTTTCTTGCATACTACGCATCATAAGTACAGATCTAGTTCCAAGATCTCGTATGATTTGTTCAAGCGGCTTTTTTTCTGCAGATTATTACTAAAAGTTTCCTATTTTTCCTATTTTCCTATACCAATCTATAGGCACGCGATATAACGAGGTCGATTCTCTATAGGGCATTGGGTGGTTGGATTTCTCCTCCTCTCTTTTTCTCTCTTCTCTATTAACTAGTATTTCTTATTTCGTATGTTCAAACTATCAAGATCAAATCATTTCTCTCATGCTTCTCCATGCTAATTATTGAAGACCTGGCAACAAGGAAGACCTCGTGGCTTTCGACTAGATACGCTGATAGTACCAAAAAGTGGCGTGCTCGCCCCGGGTTAATCGTCATGAAGTTCGGCGAGCAACTACGCTCTAGCATCATCCGCGAGTACCAATGGTACTATATCGATTACGATGGACTCAAGGCCGAACTCAAGACCGCATCGGGTCCGCTCATAGAAATCGACGAAAACGCCCCTTCCGATGCTGGCAACAAGAAGGGCAAGGCGAAGGCTAGAAGCCAACAGAAGAGCAGATGGACCGAAGAAGATGAACAACGGTTTATCACGCGACTCTGGGCCGAACTCGATAAGGTGTATACCAAGACCAAGGTCAAGCAATCCGAGATCCAACGTCGTATAGCCGTAAGCGAACGAGAAGTCAAGGAGGTTGTTGCGAAGGTCACAGAACGAGGTTTGACAGAACAAGGTCCTTCTGAGGAGGAATTTATACTGCTTGAGGAAGACCTCAGCGATATTATTGCCGACGTCCATGACCTCGCCAAATATGTCCAACTGAATTATACCGGTTTCTACAAGATTATCAAAAAGCATGATGTTCGTACTCTTGTTCGAGTATACCGCCTTACGGAGGTGCTGACAGACTTGATAGAAAATGACAAATTGGCACCTCCGACCCTCCTTCGATACCGCGCTTAAGAACAAACCCTTCTACAACGAGGATTTTGACGCCGAAGTCGTCAAACTATCCAATATGTACAACAATGTCCGAACACGTGGTAACCCAGTCAAAGGTGATAGTGCCGCTGGCGGTTCCCAAGGCAGTTTTGTCCGTCAAACAACTAAATATTGGGTGCATCCGGATAACGTCACCGAGTTAAAGCTTGTCATTTTGAAACATCTCCCTGTGCTAGTCTTCAATGCTAGCAAGGAATTTGAGATCCAAGATTCTGCTATCTCGTCTATCTACTACGATAATCCGGACAAGTGGGACCTATACGAAGGCCGACTTAAGAAGACTGAGGGTGCTGAAGCTATTCGTCTAAGATGGTATGGTGGCATGCAATCTGACACCATCTTCGTTGAGCGCAAAACACATCGCGAGGACTGGACTGGTGAAAAGTCTGTCAAGGCTCGATTTGCTACGAAGGAGAAGAATATCAACGCATACTTGAGGGGTGACCTACTTCCAGCAGCTCTTTTTGAGAAAGCTCGGAAAGATGGTAAGAAGTCTGAAAAGGCTATTGCCGAAGACGAAACCCTAGCCAAGGAGATTCAATACTCAGTCTTGAAGAACGGGTATAAGCCTGTCTGTAGATCATTCTACAACCGTACTGCATTCCAGCTTCCAGCCGATGCTCGAGTTCGAATTTCTTTGGATACCGAACTCACGATGGTACGAGAGGATAATCTGGATGGCGTTAAGCGGTCTGGTGACAACTGGAGGCGGATGGATATTGGTATTGATTATCCATTCTCACAACTTCCTCCGGGGGATGTCGTCCGCTTCCCGTATGCTGTCTTGGAAGTTAAGCTCCAAACTCAGCATGGCCAAGAACCTCCTGAGTGGGTCCGCCAACTCATTTCTAGCCACCTTGTGGAGGCTGTCCCCAAATTCTCCAAATTCATCCACGGTACCGCTTCTCTATTCCCTGGCCGGATCAAGTTGCTCCCTTACTGGATGCCACAAATGGATGTGGACATTCGCAAACCCATAACCCATAATTTCGGTATTCACCGACCAACTCACTCGCATACTAGTGGCACAACCTCAGATGATGATGACGATGATGACATTGATTCTGATGCTGAAGAGACCACCGACGCTGGATCTGCCGGTGCCATTAACCACAGAAATGGCTTGTCACGTGGTGCCCAAGCTCTTGTCATCGGAGACATTGAGGGTCAAACTACAGAAGGCACAGTTACTAATGAGGATTATCCCCTATATGACTCAGATAATGAAGTGGATGAGGAAGATGCACTTGAGGAAGCAAAGAGGATTGGTGGGTGGACGTATTACTCGACCCTGGGTAAGAAGTATGCGGAGGCAACAGGCCGTGGGGCCCTAGCAGTTCTATCAACCGTCACACCACGTCCTAGAGCTACTACGGTGCCTCGCAGCAACCGAAATCAAATGTTTTTCGGTGATGCAGATATTCAAACGAAGAAATTCAAAGCCCCGAAGGGCAAGAGGATTTATGTGCCTGTTCGAGTTGAACCTAAGGTCTATTTCGCGGCGGAGAGGACATATCTTAGTTGGGTAAGTTGTTTCTTCGAATTGTTATTCCCTTCCGTTTTTTAACCCTTCTTAGCTCGAATTCTCAATTTACATCGGCACAATCGCTGTCACGCTACTCAACTTCGGCAGCAAGCCGAATGCGATCTCGTTCGTCGTAGCTGGCCTCTTTACTCTCCTGGCTATCTTATCGCTCTGCTATTCAGTTGGTATATACCTCTACCGAAGCAAGGGTATCCGCGAGCGCAAGATCATCAAGTTTTACGACAGAGTGGGCCCCAGCGTTCTATGCCTTGCCCTATTTGTGGGTGTTGTTCTGAACTTCGCGTTTGAAGGACGTGATAGGCAATTTTGGTGATTGAATATCTGGGTGTCTACTTAGCATTTAGTTTGGATCTTATTTTGGATATACCATGGATAGCAAAATTCTGTGTTGTCCGGACCTGTAGCGGTGCGATGTGCGACGTGTAACTGTATTTTATCTTAGCTAGTATGGATGTGTTGTACAAAAGCGATGTCGAATGTGTGCGGATCTAAATGATAGCTGTATATTTAACAGAGCAGACGGTTAGTTCGCGATTCGTTTACGAGTAGATATCTTTTATTCGCCAGCAGGCCTGCTATGCGCCGACCAAGCCACCCAGCCACCATAGGCCTATATATCTGCAGCCCTACATCTTGATATCCGTTTCTTTCAGCTACATCTTCAATTCATAAGAAGGCTTCGGTAGTTAATCCAGCCCAGGTAAATATATATCAATATTGATTAATCGGTTCATGTCATTTTCATTGACGCTATTCCCGTTTATCCTAGGAACTATACCTCTTAAATATTAAAGAGGAGAACTGATAACAAATGGACAACGAACCTTTCGAAATAATCCTCTCCGGCTCCAACGAAGAGGAAGCGCACTACCGGCTGCAAAACGAGCCCGGTGAAAAACAACGCGAGTACATCACAGGATACGATCGCAAAGATGCTCTTAGAGTCCTCGGTCGATTAACGGATGTCGTTCACGGAAAAGTAGCCGAGGATTCGGATATCCCATGCTCCCTACTTATCTTCGAGTTTGCCGCGGAGAGGGTTAGGAAGATTATGGGTAAGATACCATTTGATGATACGGTGGTCTTCGATCCGAAGATAGGTCCAACGACGGATAGGTTCCCTGTGGAGAGGTTGGGGGAAATCCAGTTGGCTGGCGTGTGTGCTGTCGAGACTAGGTATGAAGAGGATAGTGTTCCGGAATGATGGCATTTCTGGTGACGATGACTATGGCGATGACTACGATTTTTTTTTCTCGGAACGAATAATGATGTTATATTATGTAACAGCACAACGTACACTTAGCTTAGACAGGATACCCCTATTTTTATATAACCTAGTACGGTTACTTAATACTTATGATTTAGACATCTTTAACTTGCCTCATGCGTATGCAGAACATAATGAGTAGACATCTACCCGCCATAGAAAGGCTGGGATATGAATTCTAAAACGGATCTATCGAAGTATCTCATGCGCTGCGCTGGTATGTAGCCGTCTTGTAAAGGTGGAGCTAATACCATTCACCCTACAATAGTGAACTTCTGGGATCGGCGTAATTTCACAATTTCTAGTTGAGATTAACAATATTTAAGAGTTAGAAATTACTATTTCTTTTGTATTGACCTTTGCGTTATGTACTTATGAAGTCGACGTAATCTACCTCTGGTCCTCTTAGCTAGACACCGGTCTTGGCTTCACTTCCCGTTGCAAGACCCGAACCCCCTTTACGAGGTATACTTCCAAAATCTATACGCCAGGCCAAAGAAAATCCGCGAACCAATTCGAGGATGCTGCTAGTATGAGAAGTAACCTGCCAAGCCTGTTTCGAATACAGTAAACTGGTGAGATGCTCATCCGACGGAAAGCTGATAACCGGTTCCAATGCTAAAATATAAAGGGGGTGTAAGGCACATTCCCTGCAATGCGCCCAATAATCAGATGAATATTCAATGATCCAGCAAAAAAAGTAAATGAACGATAATTAAGGATTAATGCCCAGTAAAAACTGGCTGCATTAGTCGTAACGATTATACAGACACCCCGAACTGATCATTTGGTTCGATCTGGATTCGGGGACTGTTGGTCAACGCTTCGATATCATCGTCGATTATGTTGCCGCTGATGGGCGTAAAATGACGAATGCGCTTGTTAGCTTTATCAGCCCCACTTATAATACGGGAATCAGACTTTGCGTCGCAAACCGCATCCACACCCGAGTGTGTAAAGACATTAGAGACGCTAGGAAGGTCATTCCCAGAATCTGCTCCTGAGGTAGATCGACGGGAGAACATTCCTGACAACGTACTTTGGCTAGGTGGAGAGTTATTGGTGCTGGTGTCTCGGGTTTCTTTGCCAAGATTACCGAGTGACGACTGTGACACCTTGCGCATGTCAATGTGAGTGATGCCCGATACGTCTTCAATTGGGGAATCTCGATGAAGACGGTTCTCTTTGCGTGACTTAACTTCGGAGGCAGGTAGACCGAAGTTTCCGGCGTGGACTGGAAGAGGATGTGGTTGGTTTAGCAGCGAGTGAGTGAGAGAGGTGGCAAGTTCGGACGAGAAATTAGCGTGACTCGGGTTGAAGAAATCATTTACTGAAGCACCTATCATCATCAGCTTCACCCGCTACATCATCATCATCGTCTTTCCGGCGATTTCCAGTAGGAATAACTTAAAGGATTGAGGTAGCGGGCTGGCTTACTTGCAGGCGTATCAATCCTGCCCATATCAATATTCAGGTCATCAATGAAGTTCGATCCAACCATAGTCGTGGGCGTATTAGTCGGTGCTTTAGGATCGTGGGTGGCCATATCAGCATTCTCAATATGAGAAGTTGGCATGTTTAGAAATTGGTGATCCGATATACTTTGGGCATTGTGCAAATCGCCCAACCCATAATCAGGCATGCTGGTGTCGGACTGTGATATTTTACTGGTGCCAGTAACGCTCCGGTTGGCGGCAGGGTTGTAACTTGACTTGCCACTGTTAACTACACCGCATCCCACGGGTCCGAAGTCGCCGCTTGTCCAAGCGAAAGCAGTTCCCTCTGATTTCTGTGTGTTGAAAGGGTCTGCCCAGGTAGAACTAGGCCCAGCGCCACCACGCTGCAATAGAGCCTGAGTGTTAGGCATGGAGCCGAGTAGGTGGTTGGGATTAGCATTTGTCAATCCTGGGGGGCAGGTGTTATACATGGATGAACCGGAAATGCCTTTCATATAACTTGTCGATCGACGGCGAGGGGAATGGAGGTGAGCATCGGCGCCATCTTCGTGGTGGCGTGATGGGACGGGCATCGTAGGGTTGAAAGGGGTGCGGCGCCACATCCTAGGGTTCGGCCAAGCAATCCCGGACCCCTCAAGGACGTCTAAAATGCATACATATTAGGGTTGGAATTGCATTGGATTGGGGAGGAGTATGGATTCTCTACCAATTGGAGCGTGTTGGAACGAGAAGGCAACAATATTTTTGACCCGTTCGATAGGAGCAGTTAAGGAGTCCCTTGGGAATCCTTCGCTAATGACGATTTTAATCCGCCCAACTTCGTCCGCGGGACTCCAATAACTTTGCTGAAGCATCTCACGACGAAAGTGGGGGAATCTGAGGGTCTCGAGGTCGCCGTTTTTGGTAAATTCTACTAGCTATTAGTTGTTGAATGCTTGGCTAGAACATAGGAGGCTCACCAAAGCTGTGGTTAATCAGTTGAGGCCATGGTCCGGTACGACTAAACGAAGATGAACTATAGAAATATATGTTAGAGTCAGCTCGAACTTGACGTGCTTCTATAGGGACATACGCGACCAAACGACCGTCGATTATGACTCGTGCTTCGAACTTAACCAAATCAAGATGCTTGCTGAAATTCTTGGTGAACTGGCTCACTTCTGGTGTCTTCCAAGAGTGGAGCGAGATGTTGAACTGAGTACCCTGTGCCAATCCTGGTATGAAACAGGTCATAGTCGGCAAACCATAAGAGCCGTGTGTGAATGCGAATTCTAGATGAGGTTGAATTAGTATATGGCTAATCTAAGTCTATTGCGGGAAAAGATATCAATATATTGTTTTGGATTGGGAGGGACACATTGGTGAGTACATCTGCTTACCATTATCATGAATAACATGGCAATCGGTCTTGAATTCCTTCAATGGGATTTTGCAATCCTTAGGGAATAGAAGTACATCCCAATCATCATACCGCATCTTGACTGATGATTGACGATATTAAACAGACGAATGGAAACTTCAAAGAATAGATGGTTAATAAAAACGAACAAAATTTGGAACGAAGCCAATCCTCTTGAAAAGGCCTTTTCTTTCAAGTGATTCGAGGCTGGCGATACTTGGAAATTGGAATTGTAGTGGTTGGATATTGAGAATTAGAGAATAGAAAAGTATGTTGAAGAGATTGGAATCCCATGTGAAATGTTTATTCCGTTGGTCGCTTGATACTGCCAAGAGGTAATGCAAGACTTCATCGTGACTTCCCTTTTATCAGTACCCCATATAATGAAGTTGCTTCTATTAACTAGAGTGGGCTTTAACCTTCCACTTGCGATGCATAGTTGCGATACGTATTTCGAGTAGATGCGAAAATGGCCCTCGTGAAAAGGATGGAGAAAACCTTAACTTGTCATTGCGCATTAGTCTCCTGTAAATGGGGAAAGTTAAAGTTCCTAAATGGGGAGCTTATCTTTCCGTCTATGTTTCTCTGATAGCTCCCTACTCTGTCCTTGGGCGTATATCTAGGTACCTAGGTACGGGATAATAGAAGATTTTGCTATACGTTAAGTTGAAGGGTTGAGAGATTAGTCCAGTATAAGAAGCGCAGATTGCCCAACAGAATAACACGATACTTTCGGTTGTACAAATGGGACAATGATTGCAACTATTTGCTTCACGGCTGTAGGCTGGTCGAAAAGACTCGAGCTTGTCCGATGTAGTGAAAACTGTCTGGATATATATACACATATTATGCTTCTTCGACCTCTTCGATCTGGTACGGTTCAGGGTCGTCGGGAGCTCGTGCCTAGGGATGTTGTTAATATCACTGTTTTACTTGTAAAGTCGATTGTTGTTAGCTTACTCTTGTAGCACCAGCACCGCCTAATTCTCGTTCCAAACCACCTTCGAATTCTCGAGGGAAAGACGGCTTGTCAGGATATAATCTTCCGACGACCCAGCACACTCCCACGAAGGTAGCGATGAATGCGCCAATTTGAGCCAAACCCTTGCCGCTACCAACCCAAGTGTATTCGTACGGAGAGAACATGCCTAGTATATCGTGATCTTCGTGGGCAGGTTCGCCATAGTTCCGTCGATCTTGCTTATCCCACCAGTCGGCGTGAGGATCACGGAATTGTCGCTTGACTCGCGGGGGGTTGATGTAGCCACCGTTCTATATCGGTTAGTTATTCGTACGTCACCAAAACGCTTCTCGGTGTTGACTAACCATGCCCGGGTCTTGGGCCTCGGTAAGTTCTATTCTATCTGGGTATTTCTCATCGATGATGGCTCGGTCGTTTAATGACGGGGGTAAGAATGTTCGTTGTTGGATGATGGGTAGTCTTCGTGATGCTAGCGATGCTGATCGGAGAGCCGAAGCCCTCACGATTCGTTGTGTAAGCATCTAGAGAGGAAAGGTTAGTTATATTTAGATATATAGCAGGATATCCAAATCAATTGCGACATACTGTAGGCCTGGCAGTTCAGATACCTCAATGCGGTTGAATTGTGTATTGTTGAAGTACCTCGTAGCTGATTGAATCGAAACTGGAGCTAGGATTGATGATTGGACCACTGACGATAAAGGCTTAGTAATGATAGTTTTGGCCTTAATTATTAGGCTTCAAGCTAAAATACGTACCTGCGTGCAGTTTCCCGGATTGACGTCGTACGAATTACATAACGCACATTTGATAGAAGATTGGGGAAATTTGTGCACGGTCCACTTTTTGTTTTCTTTTCAATGGGGAACTCGGACCAAGCTTGCTATTCCTGTCCAAGGCGAGGCGGAGACCCAACGAAATTTTTGAATCATCATCAAACTGCTGATGAAAGGCAATTCCCGGACGAAAATCATCACATTTATCCTTCTAATGCCATGTGCATGATAAAATTTCGTCATGATAATCTCCAAATAATTCTCTATCTCTAGACGTACTTTTTACCCCATCAAATGTACATTTCATTGAGATCCGCGTCTTTTCCTTCTCCTACCACCCCTGGACAGCTATGACGGCTACCGCGTCGCCCAAATCTGCGCCTTCACACGACACTGCAAATCCCGCCGACTCAAATCTTACAAACGACGAAACATCCCAACTATCTTCCGAAGATTCCCCCATATCATTAGATAGCCCATCTTGTCCTGAAATAAAAGAAGAAAATACCAATACCGACCAATTGTCCTCAACAAAGCCTGAGACTAATGGTACCAACACGAGCAAATCAATCGTGGAAACCCCCATAAAAAATGGTGATACCGATGAAAGACCTGCCAAACGCCGTCGAACCCGCGAAACTACCCCAAATAATGCAAACCGCCGTCCCAAACCCGAATCTCCCCCTTGGAAGAAAATAGAGGCTGAAGGTCCTACGTCTTTCACAGAAAATGGCAAACGTAGGTCAGGGCGCACCAACCAGGTGCCCTTGGAGTTACAGCCGCAAGGCAACAAGAGGATGACAAGAGGTGCTCTTCATGGCCTGCATCCCCCTACTCCCGTTAAAGAAAAGCGACCTGCCGCCAATAACCACGTCAATGGAACACAAAAACACGTGTCGTCGGCGAAGTCATCTTTCTCTAAAGCTTCTACGCCTAGTGCCAAGCCTGCCACTAGGAAATCTTTGACTAATGGCTCTGCTACCAAGTCTTCGTCACGGACTCGAAAACGCTCACCTACTCCTCCAACCCCTCAGACAATCTCCCCACCCAGACGATCTGCAAGGACACGACGTAGCTCTAGAAATCTTCGCGATGGCGTCGACACTCCCACCCATGATTCCAACCAACCTCCGATCGAAAGCCCAAATTTACGACCGACTAAGATCAAATTGCGGGTGAGAGGTCCCACCATTCCTACAGTCCATCCAGCCCAGATCAATGTTTTCCCGGGACAGACTATCGCACGTGCCAAGATATCATCGGATTTCCGCGAATTCGTCGAACGCGCCCCCACCATAAAGGTCAACGATGGTGGCTGGCTTGACCTTGCTGATGAAGGAGAACCATATACGCAAGAGGCTGCTGAAAAAGATGCCAATGTTATCATGCGGATTGAGGCTGAGGTCGAGCCTGGTGGCCTTCTCAGCGAGGAGCGATCTACACTTTACGTCCCGGAACCAGTTGAGGAACCTCCACGGCAGTGGGCACATATGGATCATCTCGTGAAGCAGATGGCAAACTTCCGAAAATTAATGTTGATGGAGCAGCAAAGGCATAAGGCTACAGCAAAGCGATTAGCCGAAGCCTGTCGGGACGAATGGATACGACGACAACCCAAGTCGGCAGAGCAAATCGAGGCCGAGGCTAGGTCCGCATGGATTGGCCGTTATAGAACCGTTATCAAGGCTGTCAGTGGGACCTGGGAAAATGTCAAGACCGAGGTGAATCGTCGCCGTTTGGAAGAATGGGAGGCTGCCGAACAAAAACGTGTCAAGGCTGCTTTGAACGAAGCTGTGAATATGTCGGAGCTAAAGCTACAAGCTCGCAGAGCCCATTTCGATTCCGAACTCGCATCCGAGGAAGAGGACGATGAATTGGACGCAACAGACGAAGAGGCCGAAGATGATGATGACTTGATTTCCGACGAAGACCCTGCTTCAGACGAAGGCTCTGATCAAAACGAGAACGAAGATAATATGTCGTCATCCGATGATGACGACGATGCGAAATCAAACGTTTCGGACGAAGCCCTTACACAAGATCAATTAAGACAGAAATATGCGAATATTCCAGATCTACCCGTGGAAGAGTCGAAAGCCGATCTCGACAACGATAATGACCCTACGATAATGCCTACAGACGACCAGGGTGAAACTACCGATGAGTCCATCGATATGGATGATGATCTGGGATCAAGCGATGAAGATATGGAAAGTGGCGAGGACGACGACCAGTCCGATAATGAAGAGGAGGATTCGGAAGATGACGAGCAGCCTTCTGGCCTTCTTGGTCTTTTCTTCGGTAAATCCGAACTCAAAAAGATGAAGCAAGAAACGGCTGTCAATGGGGAATCATCCGAACAGGATGTTGAAATGACAGACTTGCCAGAAACCCCATCCATTAATGGGGCAATCCCATCCGATACTACCGCTATTGAGAAAGCCGTTCAAAACGGTATAACATCGGGGAATGCGGATTTAGAAGACGGGACGTTGAAGGAAGCAGATAATTCAGTTAAATCGTCTGCTCCCACCAAGCAAGATACAGCACTTGAGAAATTACCGAATGCTATATCAAAATCCGCTGCGCTACCAGAAAACCCACTGGACGCTAACGATCCTGACGTCCCCGCTGCTATCCCTGGACCCCTACAGGCCGAAGATGTTGAAATGCAGATTGTTGACGCTGTTGAACAAGTCAAAGAAGATGCTAAAACAACAGCGTCAATAAAATCCAATAAGCAACCTACGTCCACAATACCAAGTGTTGAAGTCGCAGCTGCGCCATCAGACCAACCACAACCAACCCCGGATACAGACGCAAATACAAATCCTCCTAGTCGTGATCGGAGCCAGTCACCCCAAACGTCCGACACTAAGCCTTCAGAAGTTGATACGGCTTCATCTATTGTCAAGTCTGGTGCAAGTAGGTCTAGTTCTCCTCAGTACCAAATACCTAGGACAGAGGTTCCCTTTTTACTCCGAGGAACATTACGTGAGTACCAACATTACGGATTGGATTGGCTTGCCGGTTTATACAGAAATCAGACCAATGGCATTCTCGCAGATGAGATGGGTCTTGGAAAGACTATCCAAACCATTGCCTTATTGGCTCATCTAGCTTGTCACCATGAAGTATGGGGACCTCATCTAGTCATCGTCCCAACCAGCGTCATGTTGAATTGGGAGATGGAATTCAAGAAGTGGTGTCCTGGATTCAAGGTCTTGTCCTATTATGGTAGTATTGACGAGCGCAAACGAAAACGCCAGGGGTGGAAGACCGACGACATGTGGAATGTGTGCATCACATCGTATCAGATTGTTCTGCAAGATCAACAGGTCTTCAAGCGAAGGCAATGGCATTACATGATCCTGGATGAAGCCCATAACATCAAGAATTTCAAGTCTAAACGATGGCAAACATTACTCACATTCAATACGCGAGCGCGACTCTTACTTACAGGCACGCCGCTACAAAACAATTTAACCGAATTGTGGTCGCTACTATTCTTCTTAATGCCCTCCGAAAATGGAGTTGGCGGATTTGCAGATTTAGCGGAATTCCAAGATTGGTTCCACAAGCCTGAATCCCAGATCTTGGAAAGTGGCCGAGAGCAAATGGACGACGAAGCCCGCGCGATCATTGCCAAGTTACACAAGGTGCTCAGACCATATTTATTGCGACGCTTAAAGGCCGATGTTGAAAAACAAATGCCAGCCAAGTACGAGCACGTCGAATTCTGTCGATTGTCGCGCAGACAGCGTGAATTATACGATGGGTTCCTCGCTCGTACGGACACGAGAGAAGCTCTGTCTTCTGGGAATTATATATCCGTCATCAATTGTCTAATGCAATTGCGCAAGGTCTGCAATCATCCCGATCTCTTCGTTGAGCGTCCAATCATGACATCTTTCCGGCAACGCAGATCAGTCCTTGCGGGGTTCGAAGCCACCGAAAGTCTTGTTAGAGGCAAGTTACTTGCTGAAAGGCCTATGAGCGTTGTCAGCATGGGTTTCCTAAACTTCATCCCTACGCAACACGAGAGCTTGTCAAAAACGCAGTGCGAAACAGTCTACCACCTAAGTTCCCATCGCCCATTAATGGAACTTCGTGAAGCCCAAAAGGAGCGGGCCCAAGCTGCCTACGTTAATTTGGATCCTACGACAGTAGAATCCAATATCGTATACCTAGAAAGCGCGTCGCGATGGAGTCGCTTTGAGGAGTTGCAGCATTGTGTTTACTTGAACGCACTTCGGCGACAGCAATGTCCAATCTACGGGAAACAACTCACAGATTTCCTCACTCTCGGCGTAAATAACCGCCCGCATAAACCCCGTCCGAAGATTCCGCAAAAGATCATGAGCTGGTTTGAAGAAGATTCTCCGGTCTTAAGATCGATGGTGCCGACACTTGACGAACGTGCTGCGTCCATGAAAACCACCATTTCCAAGTTTGCGTGTGTCACTCCTGCCGTTGTCACCCGAGACGTCGATCGCTTCGTTCTAGGATCAAAAGGTGTCGAAGTGTTCGACGAAACGAATCTCAAGTTATCGGCTCCAGTCCGCTATGCTCCATTCATACAAAAGGAAGCGCCGCTCGATCCATGGCATGAAGCCCGTATGAGACTTAGCATTCAATTCCCCGACAAGAGACTTCTCCAGTACGATTGTGGCAAACTTCAAGCGCTCGATCGTCTTTTGCGCAAGCTACAGTCCGGCGGTCATCGTGCTTTAATCTTTACGCAAATGACAAAGGTTCTCGATATCCTAGAACAATTCCTCAACATCCATGGGCACAAATATTTGCGACTCGATGGCGCTACGAAGGTAGAACAACGACAGATTCTAACGGATCGCTTCAACCATGATACAAGGATTCTTTGCTTCATTCTATCTACACGTTCCGGTGGTCTTGGTATCAACTTAACAGGAGCCGACACTGTCATCTTCTACGATCAAGACTGGAATCCAGCAATGGACAAGCAATGCCAAGATCGATGTCATCGTATCGGCCAAACGCGAGACGTCCACATTTACCGACTTGTTAGCGAGCACACGATCGAAGCAAACATATTACGTAAAGCCAGTCAGAAGCAAATGTTAGATGATGTTGTCATTCAAGAAGGTGGTTTTACGACCGACTACTTCAACAAGCTTTCTGTGCGTGACGTTATTGGCGGCACCCCAGCTGCAAGTGATGTGGTTGGTGATGCTATGGACCGTGTTCTTGGAGGTGTGGAAAGTAGCGACCAGCGTACCGTTGGTCGGGTTCTCGAACAAGCCGAGGACCGCGAAGATGTCAACGCCGCACATGTCGCTGAGAAGGAAATTCAGGAAGATGAAGCTGACTTCGATGAGAAGCCAGCGACGGCAAGTGCATCCGGAACTTCGAGTACTAGAGTAGGCTCCCCGACGACACGGGATGGATCACTCGCGCCGGGTATCGGGAGGTCAAACCTCGGACTGTACTCCGAGTCGGCAGATGCACTCGAGGAGATCGAGAACAATGCTTGGGGCGAGAGGATGCGCAATATCGATGATTACATGCTTGCGGCTATGGGCAAGCTACTCGAGGGAACAGCATTGGAGCTTCCCAAGGACAAAAAGAAGAGTAAGAGCAAAAAAGGCAAGGATACTCGAAAACGGTGATGTCATTTACGCAGCTTTTATTTCATACCGGAATCCAATTCGAAGACGTTCAAACTGTATTTATATTACGAAGTTCCATGTCGGCGCAACGCCACCGCATCGGCAATACGCGCGTGTATTGTAAAGATAAACAAAAAAGCCCCCCAAAAAGCCACGGAAGCGAAGGACGGGATCGAAGCAAGGTTTGCATTGCATATATTGGTGTTATTGTTAGCGATGAGCCAGTGGACGGGATGGATGGATGGGCAGACGGCGCATTGATGGGGTTCAGGGGAATCTTGCATTGATTAGGTACCCTAGGAATGATTTGATGCTTCTTCGCGTGCGAGTCGGAGTCTGGGGTGTCATGAAAACAAAAACAGAAGATTCAAGAAAAATCTGTATCTGTATGAACCAGATGGTTTTTTCCCCTTTGCCAGGGGGTAGTAGATAATTGAACGACGAAAAGATGAGATGACCGCTCGCTGCGGAATTCGCCACTTTTATTAACAGACAAAAACAGTTCGCTTTTAGGTGTATGAGATGTAGGTGTTGATGTCGCTGACGTCGATGTTGATACTGACACAGGGGATTAAGTAATGCCGGCCGCCCGCTATACAAGAGCCGATATATTTCCCCGCGTTGGATCGCGTCGGCTCCACTGCCTAAGGAGAGCCGATGGACCGTTCGATCTCTTACTTAGCACCGGATGGTCCCGATGATGATAATTCATTCAATCTTGACATTGCTTATGTTCTAAAGTGAGATTAGGTATTTACGATATTTTAGGGGAAATATTATCGAGACAGTTGCGTTCATAAGCTGTGGAAACTATTTCGGACCTTGTCCGAAAACTTGGTTACATCATAACGCCAAGCTTCGGACTTACTCCGAAACACACCTCGGTATACAGCATCACACCTGAGTTGGCAGTATCGAGATGACGTCTCAGGTAAAACAGGACGAGCAGCATAGTGACTTCAGGAAATACTTGCCGGATCTGAATACACCACGGTTCCAGGCTATTGCGCAGAATGATGCTTATGGCCATGCTGAGGAACTGCTGGAACACCATCGTCCACCGTGGCTCTATGGGTTATATGTGCACTGGCGGAAGTTGTTTCAGGAACCGTTTAAGGGTGTGACGAATGACGGTAGGTCATCCCTCACTCTTCCCTTCAATTGCCCCGGGCTTTTCGCAAATTAGTATTCATCCAGGAAGAAAAGGGGAATAAGACGGGCAGTTATTATGACATGAAAGGAGTCAGATGAGAAAAGAAAAGGGGTCGAGAGGATATACGAAAAAGCTACCTGTTACACAATCAGGACTAATAACACCTCCCAGGCACTATCCGCCCAAACCTCTTCAAACTCCGCGACGAAGGGATCCCCATCACCACCCTCGTCGCTAGCGCCAACAGCATAATCACCCAGCTCAGCCCAGCACAATCTACCCGCACCCTCCTACACATCGACTCACCGGAATGGCGCTCCTGGTCAAACCCGGAGTTCCTCGTAAGCGACAAAGGTATCCGGCTCGACGAACTCACCCCCTCCCTCCGGGACACCGTCCTTTCACTGGTAGAGAATACGCTAAGTCCCGAGGGCTACGCCAAAGCACGCTCCGCTATGCGCATCAACCATTTCCTCGGCGAGCTTGTGAACGCGGCAAAAGTAATGAATGAGTATAGTTACAACTTCGTGCTCTTCGGAGCACCCTCCGAGGACACGCCATGGGGGTATTCGTTTTACGGGCATCATTTATGTCTTAGCGTATTTCTATACAAGACACAGATCGTGGTGAGCCCATGGTTTACGGGCGCGGAGCCGAATTTAATTGATGAGGGGCCGTACAAGGGGACTAGGATCTTGCATGAGGAGGAAAGATTGGGGTTGGAATTGATGCAGAGCTTGAGTGACGAGCAGAGGATACAGGCTACGGTGTATGAGAAGATGAAGGATGAGAAGATGCCGAAGGGGAGGTGGAATCATGATGATCAGAGGCATTTGTGTGGTGCGTATCGGGATAATCGCGTTGTGCCGTATGAGGGTATTGTTGTTGGGTCGCTTTCTCAATTGCAGCAGGAGCTTGTCCGAGCTATCTTGTCGCAGTACTTACTTTACCTCCCAGCACGATCGCGCGAGCTGAAACTACAGGATTGCGCGGAAGTCTTCGGCGAGACTTACTTCAGCTGGATAGGAGGTAGCGGCGATGCCGACCCGTTCTATTACCGGATCCAAAGCCCGGTCGTTATTATTGAGTTCGATCATCACTCCGGCGTATTCCTGACGAATTCAAAACCGGCAAAGTTCCATATACACACGTTATTGCGCACGCCAAATGCTGGCGATTATGGTGTTGCCCTTAAGGGGCTATTAGGGGGAAGTGTAGTGCAGGATTACGTCTGGGGGGAGTAATTCTTGGACATATATCTATACGTATGAATATATAGAAGCTATTCTATTATTTTTATTACAATGTCTTCTTGTTTGGTGGTTGGGATATTTACTCCTCTTGTGAGTAGCCAGCATTTCGATTAAGCTGTCCGAGTCCGCGAAATACTTATCATCAACTTCATAAGTCAAAAAGAGTTCAAACGTTGCGTTCATTAAGTAAATACATACCTAGGTAATCTTTCAACATTATTTTAACCCCCCTAGTTACTATTCCAATTGACCGTATCCTACTTTAATTCTCTCTTCAACAGCTCAACCCTACTAATATTCAAATACGCCCGAATAAACTTCTTGCTTCATTCTTCAATCGGCAGCACACGAACATCACAATATCAACCCTTCAACATCAACTACCGTAAAATCACATGGATCTTTACCAACTCCCCACTCAATTATAACCTCCTAGACTTGAGTCTCAACAATAACTCCCATAGTATCACCAAAGACTTACCGGCGTTACATCAACTGAGTCACCGTAGGCTCCACTCCACAAGTCATAACCCCGTTGTTAAGTCATCGGCAATTCCACCGTAAACGCATGCACACGCACAAAATTTCCATCATAAAAAAAAATCCCGAACCCACGAGCGAAATGCGAATACGCCGTTCCATCCTTAAAATCTCTATTTCTAAACATAACTAATTGCCAACACATGCCCCTCTCCCTACTATCATATGCCAACGCCCAACTCCCCACCTCGCCCTACGCGTCACCAACATAAACATCTCCATACCTCCATATCTCCAATTCCCATCTCCATACACCGTACCCAGGCCCTTCGCCCCTACGGTTGCGCTGGCTAGCCGATGCAAGTAAGTAATAAGTATGCAGTAAACTGGAGCCCGCCCCATTCCCAAAAAACCACCAACTACGGCTAACACATAGGTAAGGTAAGTAAGCCATCCAGCATCGGAGCCGGACCACAACGCCAGGCGACAGACAGCCACATCAGGTTCATGCGATTCACCGGAAAGGGGACGAATGAACAACCCATTATTACCATGGTTCCTGCATGCATGCATAAACATTGGTGCCTGATTATAGTCTATAGGTAAGGTCGGGTCCGGTCAAGTAAGGTGAACCAAACCCCCAACTCACTGGACAATTACCAACGCAATTCCATGCAATGCGAGGTAAGGCATAAGGCATCAAATCGGGTTCCCTAGACAAGCGCATATCGATATGTAAGTGTCTAGAACAGGCTGTAAGGCCAGCTATATAATACCTATTCCAGCTTACCTAGACGGTGTGTTGGCCGAAGATTTCGGTGGTGTGCGTGTAGAAACTGGCCTATTTATTCAGGTCTTGGTACGGAATAGCTTCGTTGTCGTTTTGTTGTGGGTTTCTTGTGGGCCAATGTTCCCCCAAAACAAGTTTGTTGCATAGTCTAGGCCTTGTACTGCGCATATACGAACATGTATTATATCTACCCGTAGTCGAGTGGCAAAAGGGAGGTTGAATTTTCATTGGAATTGCTCTCACATGTCTATCATGTTCGACACAAAAGCATTGACAATATAATGCAGAAAAAATGTAATATTCCAAGTCAAATGCTATACAGTACACCAATTGATCTAATACACTGTAATAAACAATAATGCAGCATGTATATCCACAATATCAGACCAAAAGTAACGCCCAAATGCTCTAATTGGTATACCCTCCTTAATAAAAGCCCCCGTTGCGAACTCCAGTGTAAATCCAAGTCAGAGTAGCGGTCTCCAACCCGGGTACCTTAAGAGAAGGCCCCAAGGTCTCATCTTCCGCAAACTTCCGCAGCCAGCTCTCGAATGTGCCCTTTAAATCATGCACTTGGTATCCACGCGGCTGCGGGTCGTGTGCGCATTGCTTAGAATGTCGTGGTAGTGGTATTTGTGCTTTCTCCATTTCTGTTCTATTGTCATCCTCAGGGTCGTATCTGACGAGCCTACTCTGATACGGTCGTCGCAGCCAATAGTTGTCAAAGTTGAAATTGACATTGAAATTGAAATGGTACGACTCGTACAAATCGTAATGGCGCCAAGGTAGCCCGCGCTGATTTGGATATTGGGTTTGGTGTTGGTGGTGTTGATGTTGGTTGCTCGGACTTAGACCCGAACCCGGTCCGGAACCGCAGCACCGGAGCCGAAGTCCGAAAGCCGAGCGCTGATACACGACGAGTATGATGGTGTCGAGCTGCCGAAACTTGGACACGTATTCGAGGAACCGAGCCATGTTGCGTTTTGTCTGAACGCTGCGGTGAAACATTCGCAGATGTAACCCAGTGTGTAGGCCCCACGATGTACCGAGGGCTAACCTAGTAGCGCTTCGGCGTATCGGTTCAATTTGACTCAGTAGCCGGATTACCTTCAGGAGCCTCTTCACTTGCAAGTAGGAATCGAGCAGGATGATGTCTCGGCGGAGGTCAAGATGCTTGACTGTCCCGGAGAAAGCGATAGGCTTATAGCGACGAAGGACCGCTTGTCGAGCATCGCGACAGACTCGTGCGATAGAGGGCGGCGGTTCGTTGCGGACGTCGGCAAACATCAGACGACCCGAGGGACTAGTCTGTGTTTGCTTCGAGGACGGAGAGTCAAGGACTTCATACACTCTTGGTTCAGGGAGGGCGTATCCCCATATCATGTCTCGCAATTCTAACGGCAATTTGGAAAATTGCGGAAAGCTGGGCGATTGGGACGCCATCGTCAGCTGCGCGGGTTTCCTTGTTTCGCTAATGATTTTTTTTTTGGTGTATTGAAAGACTCGGGTTTGACTGGAAATTATTGTCCCTCGCTTCTAAATAGTACGTTGGTTGTCTCTGGGTTGGTTCGGGGCCGCAAACTGGAAATTCGATATAAGTGCGTCTCACTAGTAGAATCCAGCAAATCCAGCAGCATGAACTTCTGTCAGGTCACAACCCCCGGGCGCTTTCAGCCGTTTGTTCTATCGATGGTGGACCTCAAAGTCTCTCTTTTCAGCTTGAAGATCCCTCAACCAAAAATAAACGTCTACTTATATATCCTGAGGTATATCGCAAGCCTTAAGGGGAAAACGAGCAGGTAATCTTAAGTTGTTGTATAAGTTGGCCGATAATTAGATTGCTAAGTCGATGTTGGGAGGACCCTAAAGCAATAATACGCCGTTACTCCAAATAATAATTACGCCTTGCTCTTTAGCTCTGCCACTGGACGCAATTAGAGCAGAAAATTCTTTTTTTTCTTGTTATTGATGATGACGGAAGATAAGCAACTGGATTCCAATAGGAATACTAAATAAAATTGCAGATTTAAGTCACCAAGGAAAAATCAAGGGGGAGCCGAATAGCAGGGAATGATGTAAGATGTTTATGACATTAAGAAATCGACTAAGGTTACGGTGCAGCCATGTACCCAAGATTGCATGGTGCTTGATCACATGGAGTGGATGTCTCCAGAATATGAGAGACAGTGAAGCCCGCTAAGGGAAAGGAGTGGCTTGGGATAGCAAGCCATTTGCTTCTTTTCCGTGGATGGGAAGGGGGTAAAAAAAAAGTTGGGGGTTAAGGAAGGGTACATAGGTATAGGTAGTTATTGTTCTGTCATGCGGGTATGTAACGGACTTGTGAGCGAAACATCTCGAAAAATGACCTAACATCTCTCAAAGGACGCCCGAACGGCGCAAACCTTCCAGAAAGAGACATTAGGGACATTATGGGGTGAGGGCGAATAGCGAATAGGTGGTGGTACACTCAGCTATAAGTCGGTGGGCGCTGACGTACAACCAACGTAGCGAAGCAGCTCCTGAAAAGGGAAGCTGAAGCGTGCTGGAGAATCCTATTAAATGGCCCGGGTTAATAAGACTGCTACGATAGCTATAAGTTTCGTGACGGGGGCAACGATAGTGTAAAGAGGGCTCTGCATAGCGGTGTCCTGTAAGCCGAATAGGGACGAATAGGGAGCCATGGCATGCGACGGTCTATAAATGGAACAATTAAGTTGGATATTAATGCTGCATACCACGTTCGATGCTCTTCCCAATGCTGGCTCGCTTTTTTTTTCTTCGTGCTACGTCGGAACCCTGCCTCTGTGGCACACGTGCAGATATCACGCAGCCGGCCTTCATGTTTAAGACGGAGGCTAGAGCAGCTGACGAAGTCCCAGGGGTGGTTTAGTGCTGCTACCGTGTGTGCGGCTTCTGACGACTTAATAAAAAGCCCCGTGCTGATGGGATAGTGTAGGATAGTGTACGCACTTGCGTGACGTTGCATGAGAGGGGGAGGGAATGGGGGTCAATAATGATATGAATACAGTAAAAGAAAGACCCAAGTCTGGGGCTGTAGCAGGACGAGGCTTGCTAATGCTTGTCAATGCTTGTCAATGGATCGAAATGCATAGCTGGCGACAGACCGGAAGCCTTCCTGATGCATATTCGATGGCGAATATATGTCTGTATATGTAGACCGAGGCTTGTCTTGTCAATTCTCATTATTTTACCCCTTGAACCTTGAAAAAAAATGAAGAAACGTGCATACATAAATCCCTCTTTCTTCCCACTTGGGTTATTTGAGGGAGGGTAACGCAGTACCGTACCGCGGACGGGATGAGTTGACGAAAACAGGATGAGGCGCTTTTTTAGTATGGAAGTAATCCAAGTGGATGGGTATATTAACGCCATCATTTTCGTCCCGGGTCTAGTGGTTCCAAGGGTCCTTAACAAAAGGAAGAGTCGCATCTAGACTTCTAAGACATGGGAAGACGACTAAACAACTATAGTGTATCCGCTTGTTGCCGTGGTATAGTAAGAGGATGATACGGATGATGATGATGATGGAATGGATGGGGGAATGGTCTGATGTGATCAATATCTTGATCTCTTTTGCTGCGTTTCAAGAACATTAGGAGGTATGGATGGATCAAATGTAATGTTGGAAGAACTTCTGCAGTGCAACGAGGAAACGAAGAATGAAACGTCGGAATATTTGAGAAAAAGGTGGAAAAAGTTGGAATGAGCCAATCCAATTTCATCAGAGGAAACCGGATAAACTCGAAAAAGCAAAGTTTCATCTTACCTCAGCGTCGCCGAAGATATCCCGTTCACCCGTTCTCGGTTATCGCACTAGCGCGACAACCGACCCACTAACACATTAATTACAGCTGTAGATAATCTAGATAATCTTCTGTCAGCTGTCAAGGACGCTAGCAGCGCAAATGAAAAGTTCGAACGCGAAATCGCAAATTTGATTTTTCTTTCTTCTTTTTCTTCTTCGTGCGGCTGGCATGACAGAACATTTCCCGTGTTGCTCGAATCCCTTCTTCCTTCAGTGGAATTTTCCATGGATATTTAGCGTCAGTCATGCCCCAGAGTGATTATAATTGCAAGCCGGCGATCTCGCTTTTGATGTCGGTTCGAATTCAATTGAAGCCTTTGGTTGCTTCTTCGAACCGCAGTGAGAATGCTGGACATACCATATAATAGCCCTACCGGGTTTAACCCCTTCGCTTACACGTCGTCAGAGTTACAACACCATTCCAATTAGCTAGATGCGATACTCGTATAAAGCGTCAAGAATACCATGCGGCATGCCACGTATCCTAGGAATTATCGTAGTTGACCTGCTTCTGAGATTTCTCAAGGTGGCACAGCTTTTGTCCAACACCAGACCCCGCAAGTTGTAGTGGCCATGGGAAAGGAAGGAAATAATGTGCGATTGATGGTGAGATGAGCTCGAAACTCGACGAACCACACGTCGCGTAATTAATTTGACAGCCATTTTTGCATGTGAAGTGACTAGAACTAGTTGGCAATGCTTAGACGCTAGAAAGATATGTTTGTATGTCTCAAAAGTGTGGCATAAGTATGATAGGAATGAATAATCATGCACCGAGCATGGGATCCATTGGGTGATATTATCTATATAGCTGCAGCGCCGTGGTATCCGGAGTCTATCACCGCAATCCATTCGTTGTCCTCATTGTCCATGATCGTAACCGCGTTTGACGCGTGCTTATAATTTTTCTTCGACGGTTTATTCACCCATTTCATCGCCGATCTTCTCCAGCTTGCCCATCTCCCTTTTCTCTCCAGACTCGCCGATAAGTCTTATTCGGTCTATTCGTACCTTTTCGCTGTCGCCGTCACCGTCCACAACGAAGATTATAAGACTCGTGATGTTCTGGAATCGAACAAATCGTAAGCCTAGGTTCGCAGTACCGTTAGAGTTCCAGTCGTTCTCGCCAATTTCGATAGTCTGAGTGGGGGTGATGTCTTCTGCTTCATCAAAACCTAGGTTGTGGGGGCGATTCGTGAATAGTTTAAGGGTCTTGGGTCTCATCGGTACTTCGTCGTCGTCGTCGTCCTCATCGTCATCCGTGGGTGGTAGAGAAGTGATCTAGGGAAGCGTTAGCTTATTGCGTAGTTGAGTATAAGGGTTCGAGTATATATGTACGTACCTGTATCGTGTGAAGCTTGACGGCAGAGTTGAATGGGATATAGAGTAACAGCTGCTCGTCTGTGTCACTCTCTATCCAGTCCTTCTGATCGCCCGAGGCCTTCTCCTTGGACAAACCCGAAGGCTTGCTCTTGTTGAAGAGGGTTCGGACAGAGAAATGGGTTTCGTCGGCATTCAACAGTTCCAGTCCGCGTACATCAATAGTGTCCGAGACATCGGTGTAACCTCGAGGTAGATCGGCTCCTTTCCAAGCGATGCCCCCGTCGTTGCTACTACTGCTTCCCCCTTGCGCTGCGTTCTCGATGTCGCCGCTGAGTTTTTCGACTACAGCCTGGAGCTGTTTCGGATCGGCTCCTTTGATTTTCTCGACTACGGAGCCATCGCGAAATACGATGAAGGTAGGCAGATGTGAAACGGCATACTCGGCGGCGACAGCCTTAGCTCCCTCAGCCTCGGTGTTGATTTTGACGAATGTCGCGACTTTGGGGCGCGAAAGACTTCTTGAGAGCTGTTCGAAGAAGGGGGCAATTTGTTTGCATGGAGCACACCAGTTCGCATAGACTACACGTTAGGTGGACTTGTCAGCTTCGCGTCGCAGAATGATTATGACGATGATAATGACTAGGATGGCGGGGCGAAGCGCATGGTACCTGAAAGGATTCGGGGGGCTACTTACAATCGGCTACCACAATACGCGAGTTCTTTAGCAAGTCGCTAAATTGTTCATGCGTGGTGATCTCTATAGGCTTGGCCATGATTCCTACGAAATGAATGAATAAAACCGGACTTGGGAGAAGTAGGTAGTTGTAGGAAGGAGACAGAAAGCTGAAGATTTGACGAGGGTCGGAATGGTGGGGGAGAGCACCTAGTTAATCCCTGTCAGGTACGACAAGAAAAGGTGATCCACAAATGGAATAGCGTCTCAGTTTCGCGTACGCTGCTCGCAACTTCCTCTTTAAGACAGTTCAAGTTACATGTTTCAAGTTACATGTATGACTTCAGATGATGTATATGAAGGTGATACCTTCCGTTATGTGTCGTACTTATAGGAAAAATCTAAGGTTGTACTTGTTGCTTTGATGTTTTAAGGTTCCTACCGGCACCTGCTAGGCAGAGCGTATGTACCTAAGACATCCACTATTGTGTGCTAAAATTCGCGGACTCGACTCCATTGATCGAAATATTCCGATAGAAAATGATACACAGAACACTTTGACTACGATTACACTTATATATCGTACATCTAACTTCATGGGTTTTTGGTATATGGATTTCTTGATAATATCATTCTCATATATGGATTAAATACCAAAGAGTGTTTTTCCTTTACACCGATAGCCAGTCTGATAACCTCTATGATACGGTATGTACCCCCATCCATTGCTTAGTCCTTTAAAAACGCAGGCCTGAACTCCACGCAACGAATTCTAACATTAAGGATGAGCCCGAACGTATGTTACCTCCAACAAGAGGAGCATGTCATAAACCATAATCATAACCAACGTATCAAATTCCAACAGCATGACTAAACACCCTCGTAGCAAGCTGCGCTAGCAACCTCGCACGATCATCCTGCGGTAAGTCTTGGAACACCGCATACACGCTCTTACCCTTCGTGTCCCTTATAGCGCCCAACCTATTCCCAGCAACAGCACCCGCGACCGCACCGGGCATGTTAGCTACGATGAAGCCGATGACGCTGCCACTAGCCGCGCCGAGGATACTCCAGAACTTAGACGTAGGTCTATTACTGCCCTCTTCCGCAAGCCCTTCCTCTCGCAGCATTTCCTCGAACACGTCTCCAAACTGTTCATCTTCTGCCTCTTGCCGTTCGCGCCGTGCGTTCGGCTGGGAATTCGTGTTTCCGCCCGTGAAGAAGTTCCACGCCCATGAGTACGGGTTCTGCCCTCCGGCCCCGGTCTGGGGAGGTACGGATTCTTCGGGGTCGTCGAAGTGATCGGTATACGTGCTACGTCCGCCGCCGCTACTACTATTACCGCTGCCGTAGTACATCCTGCGTTGGGCATCGTATTCTCGCCGCCGGGTTGCGTCGGAGAGTGTATAGTAAGCGTCGTTCACAAGTTGGAACTTGCGTGTCCTAGCTGCGCGCTCGGGCGAGTCGGCCGAAACCCTGTCAGGGTGGGTTTTGAGAGCTGCTCTATGTTACAGGGAAGAGTTATTAGTACCACAGAAACAGGTCACAAGAGTAAGAATGATAGGATAAGATAGAACAACACACCGTTTATAAGCATCCCGAATTTGCTGCGTGCTTGCAGTCACGGAGACCTCGAGAATTCTGTCTATATACGGTTCATCTCGTGTTAGTGGGGTCTGGTAGAAGGTTTGTCGGTGACGAACAGTAGTCTGGAGGGGTCTTGTCTGCCATTTTGGATATACGGGGAGTGTATTGATAAAATTGGTATTTGGTCGAAAGGGTATAGGTAAAGAAGGATAAGAAAGGAATAATAGGACCACGTCGGTTTTTTAAGGTCAAGAACTTGTCGTCGTCACTTGAATCAGGCTGCGTTGGGAATTCGATATAGCAGCTAAATCGATGGGTATAATAGAGTGCAACCAATAAAAAGATAGAAACGTCATAGTTGTGGCTTTAAAGCATAATGACTTACCCAAAGAAGAAACAATTAAAATGTTCTAGCCACGGTGGCTTAATCTATATGTGAGCTCCGTTCCTTCTTAGACCCGCCTTTGGGCCGCAGGTGCTCCAGTTCCAAGGTTCCACCTGAAAAACTGCAGGTGGCCCAAACTGTCGAACCCACATTGTTGCAGATTTGGCAAGAACCCACCAGTTCCATAAGTACCCATAAATCCCATAAGATCCATAAATTTGCCTCGGAGCCAGACGCTAAAGCGGAACCGTACTAGCTCAAAGTCTTAGGGTAGTTTTAGAGTAGGTTGATCGTTCAGGGGTGCGCCCAGCCACTTCAAATTGTCGGTGAAGGGACGATCCCTCTCTTCTCATTCGCAGTTCCAACTCACGATGCTCTCCTAAGCCTTAAAACCTTTTTTTTCTTACATTCGAGTCCATCGCGTGCTGCCGAAGTGGGTAGTTCTAGATTTCAAAGGTTTCCCCGTTTGATTGTTCGTAGACTGGCCGGTGCTTTGCAGCTCACAAAAAGGGATCGTCAAGACCAAGAAAACGATACGATACGATCTTGATCTTCCACAAACGGATCTACTGAGCAGCTGTGAGAAAGATTGATCTTCGAACCGAGCTCTCTCTTTTCACTCATTTTGGACCCGCTGCAAGCAACAGGAACAACAGCTCTGTGAGACTCGACCTCGACGACAACGTCTCACGACCTCACACAAACACTTGAGTGAAACATTCTCATAATCATCTATTTCATAAATATCCCGTGTATATATACCACCAACATAATATCTGCAAATATGGGTTCCTGGGATTGGGACGGAGAATCCGTCATCTCAACCTCAACACGCAGGTCGCGATCCGGCCACCACAAGACTTCCAAGTCGCGGGATTCATCGCGCTCCCACCGCAGCAGCAAGCGACACTCAGGTCTTGCGTCCTTCTTCGGTGTCGGTGGCAATCACAGCCATCGCAGCACCAGCGGTAGCCACTACGCCAAAAACAATGCCTCTAAGAGCTCTCTCTTCAACCTAGCTGGAGGCAACAACAGCACGCGGAGTTTCTTCAGTTTCGGTGAGTTTTTCCCCTCCTAGTTTCGCATGCAGTGTGCTCGCCTGTCAAGTAACACCTGTCCCCTCACCCACCAACCTCCCCACCGAGAGTAACACATACCACGTATACACAAACATACTAACACCCCACCCCTAGGTCGTTCAAACTCGTACTACAAACGGCAACCACGATCCTCCTTCCTGCAGCGCACGCTCAAGAAACTCAAGCGTCTCCTCCGCGACCTCGTATACTACGCCAAACGCCACCCCCTCAAAGTATTCATGCTCGTCATAATGCCCCTCATCACCGGCGGTGCCCTAACTGCGCTCCTAGCGCGTTTTGGACTCCGCCTACCACCAACCATCGAGCGCATGCTCGGCGTAGCCGCACGTGCCGGTTCAGGCGATAGCACCGGTCTAATGAGCGAAGCCGTACGCATGGCCGGTGGTCTAGGACGCCATGAGTCCATTTCCATTGAGCGCGCTCCGCACGGCCATCATAATGATTACCAATGGGAGCGCCGTCGAGAGTACCACGGTGAAAGCAGTGGCTCCGGCGGTTTCTTCAGTGGAATACGAGATTTCTTTTCTTAGGCGTGAAGCCAACTAAATAAAACAAACAACCAAAAAAGAAAATCATATAATCACACATTTCTCATCTCTGGGTATGTATAATTCGGGATACCCTGGGGTTGGGAGATTTAACGCCTGGCCGGCCGGACGGATGGATGAACGGACGAGCAGGCGGGCGGAATGAGTTTGATACTTGAAGTATCTACCTAATATGAGGCGTTCCGGTTTGGGCGGACCTAGTTTTTGAATTAAGAGTTCTTTTCTTCACTTCTTATCTTTCATTACGTATACCTTTTGCTAGAGTTGGGGTTCACGATTGATGTCTGGAAAAAGAAGAATGGTTTGAAAGAATCGATACGATACCCTAATGTTAGACTTAAGAATTTAGTCACATTTTTCCATTAAAATATTTTAAAATCGCATGTGAATCGTATGATGTGAAATCATGAGTGGAACGAAGCGCCCGCGAATATATCATTAAAAATCATTCTATCAATGTTTTGGGTATTACATGTACCTAGGTACCTTAGGTATGCTTTCTTTATTAAGACTATAACCAACGACTCTACTCGACTCATTTCCCTTTTCGTTTTTTACCACTACTAGTTGCTTTCCGTTTGACAGACGCCTGGCTAGACGAGGGTTTCTTGGTCTTGGGCCGCTCAGGTGAAGGTGACGTTTGTTCAACGAGAATCTCACCTCGGCTACCAATTCGCCCGCCGTGCCCTCCATCATCACTTGTTGTCTCATCCTCTAATTCCTGTTGAGCTCTCGCATCCCGGCTCTTAGCTCTCCGTGGACTACTCCTGACTGCAGTAGGAACAGGCCTGCGATGTATCACACCATACGGCACTTCCGAAGCGGCCTCTGGTCCCGCAGTTTGATATTGGAAGGGATCTCTGGCTTCGTGAGACGACGATGAGGAAGGAGGTGTCCAATCCTCGTCATGTGGGTGGGATAAGCGAGAAGATGTAGGTCTTCCTGAAGGATCGGAGGCATGTCGGGTATTGGGGGGTGCGTTTACGTATTGATAATCAAAGGGTGATGTCTCTCTTACAGTGGATTGAGGACGAAAGGTAGATGATGTAGATGATGTTCCCGAACGAGGGCGGGTACGAGATGCGTTAGGGGGAGGAAATCGGCCCATTGGTGGGCCAAGTTGTCGGTCTTGTTCGTCGGTCGAAGGTAGGGCACGTCGTGATAGGGATTCGTTGGAGCCAGATGGACCCCCGAAATGTGAAAGGGGAACGGCATAACGTTGTTCTTTTTCTTTCCGTTGTTTTCCATTACGTCGTTTTGTAGCTTCCGCTTCAGCCTGTAGACGTTTCCGCCTGCGTTCAAGAGCTGCAAGCTCTTGCTTATTAAGTTTAACATCCTGCTTGCCCTTGGCTTGGGCCCTTCGCATCCTGGCGAGAGCAGATTGTACCAGGGCCTCGTCAAGTTCTCTCGTAGCGGGATCATCCTCTTGGTCTGAGTCGTCAGATGTGGCCTGGGAATCGTCTTCCGTAGAATCATCGTCTTCGTCCGAATTTTGATAAGCATGACCATTTCGTGGTTGAGCACCACCGCCTAAATCTATTCCTGTGAACCGAAGCGGATCACTCGCAAACCGCCTATTACCAGATGTAGTCACCAAATCAGCACCTTGTGTATCCGATTCGTCGTCCTCCAACAACTCCTCCACAACCCTGCGCCCGGTACTCCATATATCGTGATCCTCCTCTTCTCCCCATCCTCTTCGCGGGCGCCTCGATGGTCTTCCCCATTGGGGCGCAAATTTGGGAGCTCGCGGCCGACCATCTAGACCGCCTCCCCGGAAAAAGCCTCATCGATAGGCTTGTCCATCAAAGCAGCGTGGCCAACAATGACAACGCCGCTTGCACCAATCAACCATAGGACAGTGGAGAAAGGTGATGCAATAAGAAATAGAAGACCGCAGGTGACGAGCAAACCGGTATACAGCTGAGACGATGTAGCATGGAAGGTACCGATGGTGAGATCTTGTCCACCGAGCCGACCAAGAAGCCACATGCCACCAATTAGAAGCACGAGATCGAAGAGCAAGAGAGGATTCGTAATCAAGGCATAGATGCTGAGGAGCACGAAAACCAAGGCATAGTTGCTCGAGAAAGTTCCAAGGTTGTAATTAACACGCGACTGGACTTCGGAGAAATTTGCTGGTTTCGAGAGGCGCTTGAAGTCGAGGAATTCACCAACGGGGCGCATGTTGGCAAATCTGCTGGAGAGTGAAGTGTTTCGGAACCCCTCGAAGCGATCCGAAATATTCAGGCGCGACGTTAGAACGTCGAGAGGAATCTGGATACGAGCCATTACGTCGAATGGGAGCGTATGAGGGAGTTTCGACGTTGTGCAAAAGAAAAGGGAGATTGAATCGAAATCGACGTAGTACGAAGAGTGTGTGGCTTGGCGACGTCGGAAGGAGACCAATGATGTATTTGGAATTCCAGAGTAAGACGCTAAAGATAGCAGCACGGAGGAAGACACTCTATTCGAGATGTATCAGGTTAGATGCGTGCGGAAGCGTAGGATTTTTTATGTATGGATTCTGGTGATATCGTTGTCGATGTAATGGTGTAAGAAAGATCTGTTAAAAAAAAGTCCCAAGGTTAAAACTGGACAAGTATTTTTTAAAATTAGATGCCGCAAAGCCGGGTTGCATCCACAAATAGGGGCAGAGCTAGCCGGCTTACATATTTGTCTTTTACCACCATCAATTGGCCAGCTGGGATTTTAGGCGGTGGACTATTGTAGGTGACTCGATGAAGTTTGAGCTAGTGACTGTAGGATTTATAGAAAATAAGAGGATAAAAGTTGTGCCTGATTGCCTGAAAAAAATAAAGACGTTGAAATTGGTGAGGCCTTCTGAAGATAGAGATAGAGAGCCTTGGTTGATTTTTTTTTCTTTCCTTTGAGCGATCTCCGGAGTAAAGAATGGCGATCCTCGTAAGGTGACTGGTCAAAGCCCAGGGGTAATGCCGATTTGCACTATCCCCCTGGTCTTTGAAGAATTAGTGTTTCTAAGAACAACACTCAGCTGGTGCCAAGTATCATGAAACTCTACTTCGCACACATAAAACCTTTCATTCACCACACACGCATCTCCAACGAAAAAACGAAGGAAGATGATGGTGTTGTGAGAAAAGTAAAAAGGAAGAAAAAGAGGGAAATCGGGGAAGGAGTAGTAAGAGCTAGTGCCACAAATCCCATTATATTATTCTATTTTGACGCGCCACTTCCCACTGCTGCAAGACAAGAACGATGCGGTGTGAAATCTGGCAGTAGCTAACTGGCGGTCGATCTTGTGTAGATTGATGGAAAAGTGGATATTTTAGCTGCAGGACTCAAGCGAGTGGATATATGCAACCTTGGAACTTCAAAAGCACGGACCACTTGCGTATGTATGTATCTCCAATTTGCTTTTTCTTTGTGCCCGACAACACCAAATTCCCATCTCCATCTCCGAACTTTGTCTCTGTTGTTTCTTCTAAGAACCAATTACTCCGAGTACCCATAGATCTATCCGTGGCACTCGACTGTACGATATCTACTAAAGTAGTTATAGTTCGCGACAGTTGTTATACGTTACTATATTAAGCAGCCTTGTGTATCATAGGAACCAGCGTCAAAGATGCCGAAGCCAATCGTCTTCAAATCGGCGCGTTCTGCGCCAAGTCCTTCATCATTAGCCCACCTCTGAAAGTCCGAGACATTCGCTCGAATCGGCAAAACCCAGGTCTACAATCATCGAGTCAGATCCAAGTATAACAGTGGTTCGGCAGTGGTCTAAATCAGATGACGTCGAAATTCAATATCGTATTCCCACACAAACTGCAGCCAAGTCACAACTCCGATACACAATATGTACTACGATTTAGTCACAATGAGCATTATTTTGAAGATAACCTCAACTTTACTGAGTTAAATAGACTTAGTAAACTAAAGAAATAACAAGTTTGGCATTACAAATCAATCGGGTATAACTGTTAGCTAAGAGCTGCGATGTAACCAATAAGTTTTTTGTGAGTACAGATTCGGGTTTGTAACCACCATTGGATCGTCATATCCTGGTCTATTATCCTGGGATTTGATCTTCCAACAACTAACATAGTATGTATGATGCCGGCACATGGTACGCCGAGTCTCCCTTTTAACGCTGGTCTCGAAACAACGTATTAGAACTCTCTTCGCTCATTTGAACGCCAATGGTAATTCAATGAGTAGTTAGCAGATGCCTTCACGCCACCATGACACTAAATACAGATGTCAAGGGTGATACCTTTACCGTAACTACACATGAAATACCCTACCCGACCATCATATCACGACCCAATTCTTTGCCCTCGCCTTTCCATGTATGCATTATAGGGGCAAGTCACGATATCGGCGCCTATGTGGCATTTTCATTTGCGAAAGCTGGCGCCACGGCTATTAGTATCTGTGCTTCGGCTGCTGAAATCGAGGTGTCCCCTATTCCCTCCATGCTGCGGAGATATACCCGGTCTACCCACTTGAAATTTCATCTATGCGACATAACAATCCCCTCGGAAGTCGAAGCATTTGCTTCCAAGATCCAGGACGAATTCGGTCATGTTGATGTTTTGGTCTACACCGCTGACTATTTTGGATCGGAGGAGACTCGCGTCGCCAGCACGCCTCACGACTTCGCCACCGCTCTAGAAGTGAATTGCAATGGGCTCTATCTAGCAACTCATTTCATGCTCCCGCTGCTTAAGAAAAGTCCCCATGGAACCGGTGGTGCGGTCATTGCTATCTCTTCGGATGAGATGCATGCAACCGGAGGTCCAGGACACGACACAGCATACAGCGTTAGTAAACTGGCGCAATGTCGATATATTGAAATGCTAGCGGCGATGGAGCCGGACATTTTTACCGCCGTGGTCCATCCAGGAGATATCGAAAGCCGGATGGGTAGGTACAATGACCCTGAGGGTATACGTGATGACAGTATGATCCCAATACATTGAGTGCCTGTTGTTTACCTACTGATAATTCCGTTAGTACCAAATGACCCATACCTTTGCGCAGACTTCATTTTATGGCTTACCAAAGAGCGCAGGATGTGGCTCAGTGGCCGATATTTATCATCTAATTGGGACGTAGATGAGCTAGCATCTAGAGAGGCCGATATTGTCGGGCAAGATAAACTAAAGATGCGAATGGTGTGGTGATATATACCTAGATCTGGATATAATATCGACTCTCCTCGTCCCGATTGTTTTTCTTTTTTTTCCTTTCCTTACTGAAACCCCTACTTTCAGAAGCATTGATGAAGACAACAGGTTCAATATGTGGCATACCGAAAGGCAGTCGATTGATATCGGACAAACTCCGAAACCTCTCAGTCCCATACTTCCACCCGTGAATATTATTTATAACTGCAATGCCAACTGCATCTTTAATAGGACAGGCAAATATTGAATCATAAAATTCATTACAAATTAAATCGAGATATTCAAACTAGGGTATCTAAAGGACTTTTCTTTTTTTCAAACACGAGTTCCAATCGTTTTAACCAACATTGACGACCTCTAAAACGGCCACCAACCTCTCCTCTGCCGTCCCTCATCCTCGGAAGCATCGCTCTCCTTAACGACCTTCATGAAAACCGACTCCATAGTCGCGGCCGAGATCGAATAACAATCAATCCCCAGCTCATCCTTCCTCGTCTCCAGCGTCTCAATCAAGTACCTAGTAAAACTCTGCGTGGCCCTCCTATCCCCCTCAACAACAACCCCATCGGTCTGCTCCGCAGCGGGCACAGGCGTATCAGCCGGAACCACAAACCGGACTTGACCACCTAAACTCTCACCCTCGAAACGCACGGCATCGTTAAACATCCACCGTGCCCAATCCTCAATCGCGCGCATCTCGTCCGCGGTGGATGTGGGTGCGCTGCGTAGGATTAGGTGCACGTGGTACTCGTTACTATGCGTTTTACGTAGCGCCTGCGTGGATCCGACTGCTAATACCTTACGCGCTATAATCGCTGCGCGCGTGGCTAAGGCATCGGCTTCTTCCATGGAATGCGTAGTTAATAATACCGAACGACCCGGCGCAACAGCCGCGAGAGTGCGCCATAGGACACGCTTGGAGGCTGCGTCCATGGCGGAGCTAGGTTCGTCGAGGAGCAGGACTGGTGGGTCACCGAGTAAGGCAATGGCGAGACTCAACTTGCGCTTGTTGCCGCCGGAGAGTTTGGCGGCGAGTTTGGATGCGTGTGCTGTTATGCCGACGCGCGACATTACGTAGGATACGGAGCCCCGGATGTCTTCGACGCCTTTGCAGCGCGCGTAGAAGGTTAGGTGTTCACGGACGGTGAGGAGGTCTAGGGCGTCGAATTGTGGGCATACTGTTGTATCACCTGTTAGTGAATGGGTGTGAAGAAAGAGGGGAAGGGAGGGGAGACTTACCACCGAGGTGCTTCTGTGCTAGGCGCTTGTTTCGGAGGACGTCGACGCCTTCGAGATAGATTCTGCCGCTGCTTGGTGTCATGTCCCCGCGGATCATATTGATGGTAGTTGTTTTGCCGGCACCGTTAGGTCCTAGAAGGGCTAGAATCTCGCCTTCTTGTAGACCGAGCGATACATCGTCAACCGCGACATTTGGACCGAAGTTCTTAGATACGTGGAGAACGCGTAGGAGATCTGAGTCAGAGGCTTCTACACGGGCGGTTTCCGCATCGACATCCGGTCGGCCTGAAGATACAGAAAGCTTCTTCTCGGCATCGGAAACAGAGTCAACTGCTGGGGGTAAGGGCTTCGGCTTGGAGATCCATGCAAAGCTACCACCCTCAAGCCATAGTAGCAAGGAGAAAAGTCCGATGATTTGTAGGATGAGTAGCATGATGGGACCACCGAAAGCGTAGATCGAACCCGGCTGCGAAATCATAGTTGTTCCGCGGCATCGCACGATGTACATGTTTAGACTGACGGCTAAACCGCGCATGAGGTTCTGGATCGGGAAGATGATACCGAGACCGAAAGCAGTTCCGTCGTTGGTTACTTGGTTCCCACTGTCGTTCATTTGAATGACCTTTTTGGTGTTAGTCTCGCTTGATCATTAAGTTGAAGAGAAAAAAGATGGATGGACTTACCAATAACGTAATGACCGAGAGGGCATACATAATCGCCATAATCAGCACAGTGAAGGCGAAAGCCGCAGGCTGCGACCTAGCCAACAACGAAATCAAGTACGCGCACAGAACAGCCGCAAGTCCATACAGAACTTGCACGAACCACACATATCCCAACCCGAACCAAGGAGCCGCCGGAGCCATCAAAGCAGTGCAGACAGCACTAATAATCAACACGAACACGAAATCAAACATCCAATACGCGAACAACAACGGGAACGGACGAATCCCATTCGAGTACTGCAACGCGCGGACCTGGGACCGGCGTTCATACGTCGGATACAAAGCGAAGAAAGCCGGGTACAGCGTCTGCAGGAGACAAAATATCGTCACGTAGAACATACTCGACCCGCCCTCGGCCTGGTGGTACGATCGTAGACTTGATGTATACCCAGCTATGGACTTTCCGCTTCGCACTTGGTTGACTAGGTTTAGTAGACTGGTCGCTCCTTGCTTACCCGCCTGTGCGTCGTGCGCGACGAACGGTGTCGAGTCGTTGGTTACCCATACCGCGCCGCTGTACGTTATGTTAATCGAGTGCGTACGCACGAAATCTTCGACTTCGTCGCGCGTGTTGAAGACGTAGGGGCCGTTGCCGTAGCCGCGGTAATGGTATTTGTTCGTTGCGTTTATAACTTCGGCGATTGTGTTGTTGATGGATGGGGGTCCGAGAGCCATGTGGCTAGAATCGGAAACGCTCATTCGGCTGTCGTATGAGCCGTAGGTGATTAGGTTGTTGCAGTCGGGGGTTTGGTATCCTTCGAGTGAGAATCCGATGAAGTAGGTTGCGATGATGGGAATGGCGAGCGCGAAGAGGTAGGCCCACCAGTTTGAGCGGAGGACTTGGACTCGCTTGATGAAGAGGGCGTTGAATTGCTGCGAGTATGTTACCCATAGGGGTGGCTCGACTTGTGGGCCTTTTACTCTGCTAGGTTGGGAGTCGGCGATGGAGATTTCTTCGGGGGTTTCGCCGATGAGGGTGTGTGGCTCTTCGGATACCTTGAGGAATACATCTTCAACAGTCGGTCCAGTGATAAACAGTTCTTCATCTTTCGAGTTCTTAAGCGAGGCTAGTACTCTAGCAGCGGATGTAGAATCTGGTGTTCTGCAGATGAACCGGTCGGACTTCTCCGTTACTGGGTACGATATCTTTGTGATGTCTTCGGTCTTCGGGATGTGAACGCGGTAGCCGCCTCCGTAGTGATTCTTCAATTCGGTTGGTGTTCCTTGACATTTCAGCTTTCCTAGAGTGATAATGACAATATGGTCGGATAACACCTCACATTCATCGAGGAAGTGAGTAGTCAACACCATAGTCCTTCGGGATCGTTCGCTTAGGACAACGTTCCAGATTGCTCGTCGGGATAGGGGATCAAGACCGGAGGTAACTTCGTCCATCAAACAGATAGAAGAGCCACCAACAAGCATGCAAGCTAATTGCAACTTCCTCTTCATACCACCGCTTAGGTTCTTCGCAAGGGCGTTCTTCTTAAGCGTAAGATCGCACTGCTCAATTAATTGTTCAAGAGCAGCCTTATCTTCAGCGTTGCCTTTGAGAGTGTTCCAAACAACGAGATGTTCGTAGACTGTCAAACCATCCCACAATACATTGCGTTGCGGACAGATACCTAGTTGCGATGGCGAAGCATTGATGTTCACCGAACCTCCGGTTGGTGTTTGGAACCCCGCTAGCATATCGAGGGTTGTTGTCTTTCCAGAACCATTGGGGCCCAGTAAGCAAAGGATTTGACGCTTCTGGCTGATCAAATTTAAACCATCAACAGCCTTCGTCGTCGGGTTACGAGCGCAGCAGAAAAGCTTCTTGAACCACGAAGGTCGGTATTGCTTCTCTAGTTCCTTCGTTTCAATCGCGATATGAGAGTTATCCGCTTCCAGGCCTTCGGTAAATGTCCGACGGTGGCGGTTATTCCCATGTAGGAATATCTCAACAACGATAGCCAAAAGCCCGTACACAACAATATGCACAGCCAGAATAATCCAAAGGAAATACGGGCCCGTGATATTAACCCAGTTAAGTCCACCCCTCTGACCCGACACAAGACTATCTAGATCCGATGTTGGGATCGGCTTCTGCATGTCGAGTTGGATCCCCGCGATCTCGTTTTTAGCGATGGCGTTGAAGAAGTAGATGAAGTTCATGCTAGGGAAGAAGAAACTTAGGGCCACGATTTGTCCGAGAGGAGCGGGCTTGGAGAGGTTCTCTGTGAAAGCGGCGATGATGGAGAGGAGCCAGGGGATCAGTGATACCCATAGACTGGCGAAGGCTGAGCGCTTGAAAAATGCGGTGCCGAAGACGCTGGCGCTTGTTGTCGCCCAGCCCGTGAAGATTTGCCAGAATATCGTGACCGCTGCGCTTTGGTTGGGGAAAAGGAGGTTTTGGTATACTAATAATCTGCGTTAGAAATAGAATTCCGTGAGAATTGATGGTTAATAACTTACAGGCTCCCATGATGATCCAAAGCGGCAGATACAACAGATCAAAGGTAAGGATATAACTCAATACTCTAGGCCAAGCAACACCTCCACCCATCGCATCGATCAAATCTGACATACCGGATTCTCGCTCCGCGGCCATCATACCAGAAACGTGGTGGCTTACCGGGATGAAGGTCATGTAGTAAATAAAAGACAGGAGATACAAAGCCAAAGTGATAAAGCTCTTCCGCGATTCTTCATCCCTTTTCTCCTGCGTCACGGCTGTATACGCCATGAAATCTGGAGTGTCAGTCAAGTTCAACATCGCGTTTTCGATGGCGAGTTGAAGAGGCAAGTAGATCTTGTCGGTAGCGCTGTTCGTGTCGAACACGTTGAACGCCCAGTTGTCAAGGCTGGGATCTGTCCGGATAGTATAGTTCCATGTCGCGTTGATGTTCCCACTGAGAGGAGTGTCTTTGAAGATTACCACGGCGTGGCATGGCGAGTTCCCGTGGTAGTCGACTGGGCAGGTCGAGTCAATCTGGGCAGAGTCATTGAGGTAGATTAGTCTATTAGAGTTAAGGGGATCCGTGATCTTGTTGAGGACCGGTTGGAAATCGGGACCTAGACCAGGCTCCTGAACTAGAACAAGTGATTTCGTGTCGGTTCCTAGACTGTCGGCAAGGCTCCGAATAGAGTGAACATCGCCGATTCCATATCTATTGGTGTCCTTAGAGAAGTTTTGGATTTCGAGTAGGATTACTAGGAGAGCTATGGGGAAAACGAGAGATCGTAGAAGTGTCGTTAACCAGTTTCGAGCAACCGCAATGAGGAGGTTCTTCCTCGTCAGGGCCCAAGTCTGGCGCCCGAACGATTGGAAGTTCATCTTGACAACGAGAGTGTAGTAAATAGAGATGAAGATTATGCCATGTGTGTGTTGGGATAGAGGGATACAAGATAGATGATAAAGAGTGACTTAGTCGTCGACTTCGTGATATATGGTATTAGGAGTTGGACTGAGTAAGCGTATATAGCATATATGGAGGTGAACAAAATTGCAACACAATGACAATTGGCCTTGCCCTCGCTTATACGGCAGTCGGCTCACGATGTTCACCATAGGATGATTAGTACACGGCAATTGGGCGGGATGGATTCCATATTAATGTTATATGTGTGTATGTATGTTACGGTGATTCTAACTATTTCTCGCCCAAATGAGCCTCGTCTTGCACCCGGTCAACAATAACATGTTTCTCTTGCGCTTTCGAGAAGCCCAATAAATCCTTCCCTTTCAGTTGGAGCGGTATGGGACGAATGAGAGGATGCGATTAAATGGGGCTATCATGAATGTTCACTTTGACATGCAGCGGTCAGGGGTATGAAGTTGCATGGGTCGGGTGGCTTTGCATTTTGGGGGCTTCCAGGCAGCAGAATTCTTTTTATTGGAATGGGGAATGGAGTTCCTTAGCGAGCTTAGGAGATTTCGGCGGCTCTACTACCTTGTTATTTTACCAAGACGTACCTACAGGCAGAAAGATATACTAGGAAAACTTCCTAGGTTGGTTATGCGGAGATAAGCTCACGATACATGTCATCCTTGTTACTTGCTTTATTCGGCAAGGAGGAATGTGTGCCACTGGCTGGCTGATTTATGTCGATCGATTCTCACTGCCACAGACGAGGTAACAACCGCTCACCTCTAATATTTTTATCGAAAGAAGTATCCCGATACGGCGATCTCTGTACCTATAGCTGTTATGGCCTTTCAAAACACGGGGGAACCGCGCTAAATCGTCTTTGCCGTCTCGCTCAGCCTCAATTGAAGGTCGATTGTATTACCCACGTATCTAGCGCCCGTAGTTCTCTCGTGTAGTGTGGACCTTGGAAAAAGATATAGGATAAGATGTCAGCTCTACATAGAGCAGGTAGATTTATGTGGAGGTAGGGTTGTAGGGATACGAAGTTGAGTTACCGTCACAATAGGCAAACGAATAAAATCCATCCTCATAGGCTGCAGTTCAAATGAAACGTATCCGAAAATGCTTGGCTCTAACCATCATTTACATCATTCAATGCTAATAAATTGATTAAAATCCTTAGCGCTATTGGGCACGGTTACGAATATTTAGTAACCTTTACTGCTGTTCTGAGATATTTCGAGTCTACCGAAAAATTCATTATACTGAATTTGTTTCGTGTGAATGGATGAAATCGCCGTCTTAGTTGGTCGCGGGGATTGATGTCCGCTTAGTGTACTTCGAAATAGTCCAGGACTTTTTGTAAATCTTCCGTGTACCTCAGGTACCTACGTATGTTGGTAAGGAGGACCGCCTGGTAAGGATTCATGGATGTTGGTCGCTGATTGAAATCAAAATTCTGAACAACCCCATATTTACGATGTCTCAGCGCTGGCGCTGTATGTAGGCTGCAATCAATGCATGGCCTATGGCGAGACCTTCGTACCGGGCATGCTCTGATATAATTATTCATGTCTATCTGGATGAAATCAGTAATTGATCGAATAGTCATGGTCTGGCTATGCTGAACGAATGGAAATAAGAAGATAATCAGTTAAACCCAATGTTTTACATCAAAGTCAATAGACTCAAATACAATCTAGCATAAAGAATTGGTGGTGTCATCATGAAAAGGAACTTCCACATTCTGTGTATAGAAATTGTTGACTTACCAGCTAATTCGAATGGCCCAAAACCAACTAGCAGAAGGGTTTCCGCGGCGTCGTAGATTATTTCGACCTATATGCGATATGCTCTGGAGCATAGTATTGGCGGTTATAGATGCATACATGCCTAGAGCTCACACTGATATTGTTAGTATTCGCTGGCGTATAAAACAGTCCTAGGAGACTTACCAGACCAAAATAACAATTCCTCACTCAATTGAGTGAAGAATATTATACATATATACATATTATTACCTATTTGAATTGGATACTGTAATGGGCTTAGAAGCGGTCCTCCGGCTTTTTCCAGCCTGCCAACCGGGTAACTTCTCCGATACCCGAGAGTACATTATCGACTATCACTTTCACCATGCCCTGTCGCTTGTTCTTTCCATCGCTACCGTCATGCGAGGGTTGTTCGGTCCCGATCGTAGGCAACACATTATCGCTAGCGGATAGACTGACGAATAATGCGAAGGGGATAAGCCAGACGCATAGCCCGAAGTAGGAGGCAATTTCCGTGAAGCTTGGAATGTCTGGCTGGTCGTACATGGAGGACATGCGTGAGTAGGACCGTTGCTGCGCCTCGGAGAAATATTGAAACCAAAAGTAATGGTTGACAAGGACCAGCACTGCCATGGCGTCAGTTCAACCTTGTCTGTAGCCTCGGGCGAACCGGAGGAACCAATGACATACCGCATGAGGTAATGAACAACGGATCTGACAGCTTGACGAAAGGGAAGCGTCGCATGTTACCCAAGTATACGACGTGCGATACAATACCCATTAGGGTTAACACAAAGGGGAACCCATCAATAAGGCAGAGTATGAGCTGTAGGCCTATGACGAAATAGATAAGTCTGGTTAGAAGTCGTTTCGCGATAACTGTATGCTCCTCGACGAGCTCCGATAGATAGTATAGTCCGGAAGCTATAAAGAAGCTGTATGTTAACAAATGATTAGCTCTTAGGTGATGATATCAGAGGCGCCTACCTATGGCTAGCGTCAAGAAGCAGAAGCCCACGATGGAGCCAAGATACCCAACAAGAGGTAGAATCCACATGTTTGCAGGTTATGAAGATATCATTGTATGTTTAAAGAGAGAATTATGATAGCTGCTGCACTATATGAAGACAAACGTGACCATCATGACTTTGCGAAAAGATCTTTGCTATTCATAGAAATAATTAATTGGTTTGGCTTGGCTTCGAGAATCGACCAGCGCGACTGAAAGCGTGGCCTTCCGAAAGACCCGCTTTTATGGCGGAACGGCGATTCGATTACCCTTCAGCTAGATGACATAATACTATATATCGCCGAAAATTACCCGCCATTTCGCAAACCCGATAAGATAGCGATAAGGATCACCATCCGCCCCACAGAAAAGTTCAAGCCGGTCGCATCACAAGGAATTGACAAAATACCTATACCTACAGCAATTGAACAAGCACAAGTCAATCAAATTTCTTGATTTTTCTCCGATGAACCTATTTACATGATACCTTAAGATCTACGGCAAAGTCAACGCAAAAACAGCAAAATGTCGCGGCCAGAGGACACACTGTAAGCAAAACCACAACCCCTCCACCGCCCCCCACCAAAAATGAGAATATGAGAATATCGTCACATCTAACACAAGAAATTCAGGTCCGCCGACGTCCACTATAATGACTCCGAAGCGCGCAAATACACCACATCCTCTCGTATACAAAATATCCAAGCTTCTATGACACACCGCGCCCTCGAACTTCTCGACCTCTCGTCGCCCTCCTTTATCCTAGATGTCGGCTGCGGAAGCGGTCTATCAGGCGAAATCCTCTCCTCGATACCAACGGAAGAAGGCGGGCCCCACGTATGGGTAGGAATGGACGTATCTGCTTCCATGCTAGATGTTGCGCTACAGAGAGATGTAGAAGGCGATTTATTACTAGCGGATATCGGACAAGGGGTACCGTTTCGGGCGGGTACGTTTGATGCGGCTATTAGTATCAGCGCGATACAATGGCTGTGTAATGCGGAGAGTAGTGATGTATCGCCCGCGGGCCGCCTGTCGAGGTTTTTCAACGGTTTATACGCGAGCTTGAAGAGGGGAGGACGCGCGGTTTGTCAATTCTACCCGAAGAACGACGAGCAAAAGAAGATGATCACGGGCGCGGCGGTGAAAGCTGGCTTCGGTGCTGGTCTTCTCGAAGACGATCCCGAGACGAAGAACGTCAAGGTATACTTGGTATTAACAGTCGGTGGTGGTAACCTTGATGGAAATGGAGGCGACATTACAGGGGTAATAAAAGGCATGGATGGTGTCGACGTGATGGACGCGAGGCGTGGCAACCGAAGCGGCAAGGGCGAGATCAAGAAGGGAAGTAAAGCATGGATCGTTAAGAAGAAGGAGCAAATGGAACGAAAAGGAAAGGTTGTTAAAGCGACCTCTAAATATACGGGCCGCAAGAGACGGATTGCTTTCTAGATTCATGGCGATACCTTTTGCATTGCGCGGCGCTATTGGAGTTCTAGGCTTTGGGGAATGATCGAGATGATAAATTCACTTTCTTGATATCCAAGTACTGCTCGTGTTGATATCCTCAATATCTTGTCGCTAACCCCTGAATCGTGATCCCCTCCACTCCCCTTCCTCATTACGAGCTAGATTTTCCCACTGCGGGGATCACTTCCTTCGCCGCAGACTTCAATCCATCCCTATACGCCTCAATCTCCGTAGTACGAGCCCACACCACTTCGATCCTCCAATTGACCAACTGTTTCAGCGTCCGAAGCGCAGTCTCGCATCCTACATCTATCGCCTCCCTTCGCACGATCTGCTCATATCTGCGAATCAACCAAGTGTGCTCCTGCCGTAGTAATTGTAGGTGCTCGTCCAGCTCCATTCCTTGGATCTTCTTGTCGAGAAACCAGCTATACATGCTCTTGTGCCAGGTTTCGTTGCTCATGGAGGCCTTTACTTCTTCTAGGGCTTCCGGACTTATTGCCAGTAGTCCTGGTGTGCAGGGTGAGGCGACGGGAGGTGGAGGTGCTGTGTGACGGCGCTTTGGTCGTCGCCATACCGAAGAGCTGTATAATCGTACGTATTGGTTTGTTGGGTTAATGGAATTTAGGGGAGCTAGAGTTGATATAAACCAACTCATCCGAGGAGGTTTATTCATTTTGACTGTAAACATGACTGTAGTAGGTGATTTCCACTTAGAAGTCAACAAGACATTTGCTGCGTTGATATTAAAGTGACGATATTCTGCCGTGGCTACATCTTATACTGCGCAACGTCTAAGCTTATACCTTCAAACCCACAGTGTAGGAAACCAAACCTCAACAAACTTTATGGTCTATAGGGCACCTTGTTCAGGTTATCGGGTTTACGAGTACCTATTTGCGGTGGATGGCTAGGTCCGTGGGCTTGAGCTTTGACTCTCAAAACTTTGGACCTCGGGACAACCTGGCGAGATGGCTCACAGATCGATGGGCAACGCTGATGATGTATAATCCGTAATATGACATTTGAATTGCTATGATACTATTTGACTATTCTTTAAACATCTAGGATAGATTAATGCCGGCTAGAGTTGCCAGATATACTTATATGTTGAATTGCAACACTTGCGAGTGATGGGTTTGTATTCTGAGCTCGTACTTAGGTACCTAGGTAGGTAGGTAATGAAATATTTATCCAATGATGACAGTTCTTTCAACGCCCTGTAATTCAGGTAGTGGTAGTGAAACTTCCCGAAAGACTTTTCCTTCTTCATTAATAAGAATGAAATCTCCTTTTACACTCGGTGGGAAAACCCCAATATGATACCGAAAAAAACCCAACTCGTTCGTAGATGTTATCACGGGCTCGAAGTAAGAGAACTTCCGTTCCACTTGTTTCCGACTCGTTCAATACGAATCCGACGACGTCGAGTTGGGCTCGAATGAGCATTCGTATATTATTGCAGATTTTCAAATGAGCATAAAATCCATCGGCCAGGTGTCTCGTGAATACTCTCTCTCCATATGCATTCTCTACCGTCTGATAAGCCTTGAATCGGTAGGATCTGTCCTGTTCAATCCATGCCGTATCCATCATAACCGGTTCAAAGACTTTGCCAGTGAGATGGAGACAACTATACCTTGTCTCAAGGAATTTGAGCCTATTATCGAATAGACTATGAATATTGTAGAATGCTGTTTTTGTGTCACCTATCGCCATTTTCTCCGTCCGGAATCCAGGGATCGCACACCACTTTATGGGGCCAACCCAACCGAGATATGACCAACTCGGGAAGCTGGGCCGCCGTTGTACTGGTTGTTCGTGTTCCCACTCAAGCCATATTGCATAATACCTGTTATAACGATATACGATCGGAACGCCCCAGATTTGACCTATGTTTGCATTTGCCATCTCCTGAAGTATACCTAAGCATGCGTCGAATGCATCTGAATTGTGTGTAAGGTTACGCCGACTGTAATTCTGGAGCATATCCTGAGCGAATTTCTCGATTCGATCTAGCCGAGGCATGAGCCCCTTCATCTTCTCGGTAGGCCATTGCTGCCAATGTAAGGGTTTTGGCATGATTTCGCTGTTATGAAAGAATTGGCATATGTATGAAGCACCATCGTCCGTGAATATAATTTTTCGCCGGGACAAGACACCTTCTTGAAAGGTCCAGCCACGAGTGGCCCATTTCGATGAAGCTATCGCGTAACTACTATTGGGAAAGCATTGTAGTAATTCGGTGTTTCCTATGATTTCTTGGAGTTGGCGACGGCGAGGGGTAGTACCTATCCCTGGGATTCCATATTCAGCATCTTCACCGGCGGCGACAATAAATGTTACTTCTGAATTACTGTAGATGTTTCCCATTTGAGAGACCTGGTCCTTTTTATGGGTTTCGTCTTCTTGATTGATGATTGATGCACTATGGGTGTGAGTAAAACTACCGCAAAAGTTTTGTGTGAATAACTCACATGACGATCAACCCAGAGATATCGAATACCCATCGACAATGTGGCGGAAATAGCGTCTTCGACAACCTTGGAAGGAGGAATTGGACCGGACGCTGCGCCGGAAGAAGAAACTGGCCCGTTGGAACCCCAAACATACGAAAGTGCTGCGTATCGACAATTCTGAGGGGCCTGAATGCTACCTTGAGATAATGGCCCTTTGCAGTCAATCACTCGAAGATTGCGAATTGCTGTAGTTTTAACGTTGCAATTATGGTGGTACTTTTTCATTAATTCGAAGTCGATGGAATCATGCTTAATGCGTCGTATGCCAACATTACGATGCTCTCCTCGATATGTTATGCCTAATGTACCGTTCTCATGGAGTGTGTACCGACTGAATTTAAAATTCTCATCGTCGCTAAAAATTCCTAGCACGTTTATTGTGGACATTGCTGCTACTTCTGGGTTGAAATCTTCGCGTGACCAATTATGTTCGACATGTAAATAAAAGAGTTCCCATATCGGGAATAACGACAGAAAAGTCTTGTAGACATCGAGAGAAGGGGGCTTGATCGTCGATATTATCCTGCAGATACGGCATGTAGACGATCGAAGAAGTTCGTGAGGCTCGCTTATTTCAACTATACGGCAGTGTTCAGTGCATCTACTCTTTTGCTAGATTTTTAAATCCCAGGCCACCCCTGTGGCCAAATAATCCCAGTTAATGGACGAGCAGCGCGCGCAGATGTTGTCATCTGAATCGCTTGATGGTTGCTGTGTTGTATGCCCTACAATTCTACTCCTATTATATGGGCCGACTATCGCGAGATCTGGCCGGTAATTAGAGGCGGGCTGCCGCATTTTGGCGTGATAAAGGTGAAGGACGAAGGACCGGATCCCGGGGCGGGCCGTGGAGCGGGCCGCTCTATGAATAAGTGGCTTGGTGGCGCGGCGTTTAAGAGTGGCTTATGACAAATGGACTTGAGCCAATCGTCATCAGGCTTGAGTCCTAGGTATTTTGAAGAGGAGGCCCAATCAAACAGTACCTATGTGCCAGCCCTTGGTTTGATTCGGTACGCTATTCTCCCTGAAGAGCTTCATAGAAATAGCTCACACGTATCTCGGAAGATATTCCTACGGATAGTAGCTGTTATAATGCCAATATCATACGAAAATAGGGTATACAACTATCCTCTGGCTTACGTAAGTATCCAATACAGCTCTGTACCGAGAGGTGGCTTAGCTAAACGTAACATTGCTTCTGGATACGGTTACTGTCCGCTCTATGGGAGCCTGTTTAGCTAGATGGATATTGATTTTATTTCTTACGTAGTAGGTCGGCTTGTTAGACTACTGGGCACCTAGGTATGTTAATCGGCTTTAGGACTTAAACATACTATTTCATAAGCTACTACTTATTTTCATAAGGGACTCCGTGCTGAGTGAGTTATTACTATTTTTGGCCGTGAGATAGGCTCCTCGTCCAATCGGATGGCACATTTGGTTCCCGGCCGAGTGGTGGCGCCCCGGACCTCCGGACTCGTACGGATTCAAGTTGATTACATAATTATAAGAGACAGCGAAATCATAGTCCTACGTATACGACTCAACCAATCGAGGGTTAACTTGATTTTTCTGCGATGAAGCAAATCGCGCAACTTTGTTTGCATCCAATCATTGTGTTCGGTTCGTATATTCTCAAACCAAGAGTTTACAAAAGTACCATGCTGTTTAGGAACTGCAAGATGGGTTTAGCGGTGTGGGTTTTTTATCTTGGAAAGGAGTACGTTGCCATTATAGCTTGACCTCCTCAAGTTGGTAAAGATTTACTCTTGTGCCGTATGGAGTTCTATCAGGTTGATTTACTCTCCAGGTGCTAGTATATTTTACGTGCCCCAACAGTTATGTGGAATCGGAAGTCTTATTAGGATCAAGGAATCTAAAATGACGAATAGGGCGTTGGGCTTAGGAGGAGATGCGCGTCCACATAGTACCATTATACTAATGCAGGAGGGGAGGCGTAGATAGATGGATCTACGATGCTACCTAGTACGCATTGGTATAGCTCATTCCGACAGGGGGTAATATCGAACCACTCTAGCGCTTACATAATGGTATATATTGTTTTGATGTACGAACATCCTGATTTCCTATTAATATGTCCGTCCTCGCTACATTCTCTCGCGGGAGATGGTATCCTAGATCACTATCGCTCTTCATCAACTTATACGTTCACTTCTTAGCACTATGTCGGCACAAGAAAAACCCACCGTCCTCTTCATCCATGGGGCTTGGCATCTACCCATTCACTACCGCGCTCTTCTCGACGAGCTACGGAGTTTAGGGTATCCCATATTGGCTCCGTACCTAGTCACAACGGGATACGATGACACTATAGATGATAAAACACACGTCGAGGCCACCTCCCAAGTCCGAGATTTCTTGACCCCATACTTGGACCAGGGCCGCAAGGTGGTCGTGGTAGCCCATAGCTTCGGCGGCATCATCGCATCGCAAGCTTCAGTCGGCTTGACGCTGGAGGATCGGGCAGCTCGGGGGCTCCAAGGCGGCATTGCTAGTGTCGTGTTTGTCGCAGCCCTCACCGAGGCGAAGCATGGAAGGCCCGATCAAGTAGTACCTTTTCCACCGGGATGGACAGATGCAAGTGACCAACCCTGCAGAACTCCAAGAAACCAAGTAGCTGACCTTTATTCAAGTTTAAAAAACGACCAGTGCCGGATGAACTTGCGCGGGTATTATTCTATGGAGGCATCGATGAGCAGCGTATACAAGACGCCTTGAAAGCGCTTGTGTGGCAGAGCGAGAATACGTATGGTCCCGCCGGCTTGAATACGCCGGCAGAGGTTAAGGCCCCGAAAACTTATGTGGTATGCAAAAAGGATGGTATCGTCAAACCGGAGAGCCAGTACGAGCGGGCCAAGGCGGCAGGAGCCGAGGTCGTGGAACTAGATTGTTGTCATAGTCCATTTTTATTGGATCAGGAGAGATCTGTACTGGTGGACGTCATTAACAAGGCAGCCCGAGTATAGTGATTTATCTGAGGAAGTATTATAAAATTAGTTGGACTATCTGCGTCATAGCAATGGTAGAAATTACTGATCGGAATGCAGTGTGTCATCGCTACGGGAAAAAGGAAATGCTTTCACCAGGTTCAAGCCTGGATGTTGAAGTAATTTTATAGGCTGTGTAAAGCTCATAAATAAAAAGGGGTATTGAGACCCAGCTTTGGCTTCGACCACCCAGTTTGTTTACTTGCATACACGAAATCCACAGAAGTGAAAGGGTGAAAAAAAAAAAAAAAACTATGGATGACTGGCTATGCTGCAGGGGTGAGTGACCTCCTGAATCATCTACGCGGGGTTGTTTACATAGTGCCCATGGATTTTAAGCACCTACAGCGCGGGGTTGGGAGCAGGTGACTGCTAACAGTGTATTAAGAAGGTAGAAGATGCTCTTAGAGGATTTTTAGGTAGTAGCTTCAACCCATAAATGATGGCTTTCTACTTGATGTACCTAGGTATATACGTATAAACACTGTTTTAGGGGGGGGGGGGAGGGGGTTCTAACCAATGAGCGCCGTAGGAGGTTGCGGCAGGTGGCGTAGCTTCGCACTTTCCTTTTGTTTGCATTGCGGTTTAGTTCTTTCACGGACAGTGAGTGGACATATGAAGTGGACATATGAAGTGGGCAAATCACCGTGGATACCTACCCAGATACTTAGGTCCTTCCTGGGAAGCTACTGCTCTTTCTATTTACAATCAGTCGGCGGGGCTTCCTATTTATTTCTTCCCTCTATTATTTCTTACGGGTGTTTTCAAATCCTAAACATTCACACCAAACTAGAGATCTCTATTCTCTTTCATCAATCATTTGGCCGTCGTTCCTTCGTCTTCAGCTACCACTGTCTTTCACTTCACCTATCCTCATCAAGCTTCTATTGGCAATTCACTTGCGCATACTCTGTGCTTGACGCAGCTCATTGTCTTCCAACGCCTATTGGTATGTAATATTATCTCCTAAAATTTCTTGTCGCCGACACGATTGGCGAGAGCTCCCCGAGAAAATTAATTTCGGTACACCCGTCTTTATTCTTTTATGTTCTCACTTAGCCTACCGTTTGCGCTGCGTCAGTTTATTTTATCGGTCGTGTTTGATGGCATTGAAGGTGCCTTTTCTTTTGTATTTAGGACGCCGATTTATTATTGGTGTTTCGGGGGTGAATCCCCTAACCAAATGAACGGATCCATCTTGCCTAAATAAACACTACCGACATTCCAATCGAAATTCGCTAACCTCCATCAGGACATAGGTCTTCAGACAAAATGTCGCACCTTGCACTTCAGCTTGTTGATAGCCTTTTGGCTGCGTACGAAGCTGAAGACAACGACATCACCCTTCTTCGTGGCTACTTCGAAGAGAATGTTGACAATGTCAATGGAAATGCTTTGGCGTCGCAAGTACTTGGGATTGTGAGTATCTCCTTTTCTTCCGTTCGTTTACTTCTTAGGTAGTAGCACAGGGCTAATTTACCAAGGTACTTGAGTCAATTGAGTCGAACCCAGCGACGACCACGCTTCATCGCCGTGTTGTCAAGAATCTAATTTCTCTACTTCAAGACCAGGCAACCGAAACCGATACCCACAAGTCGGGCAACTCTGCCGTTGCTGACAGTCGTGGCCGAATGTCTGGTAATCAAGCTGTTCTTGATGGTGTTGCTAATAGAAGCTCCCCGTTTGCTTCTTTTCATGTTGGGAATTTGTTCCCTTCCACGCCGCGCGCCGCGCCGTCTCATGCTGTTGCCCTTCCAGCAACTGTGGCCCCCGCGAATGGGGCTACAGTTGCTATTTCTTCGGCCCCTACCGCCCCTACCAATGGTAACCGTAACGCCCCTATATTCGGTACTCAGAACTCGTCCGTGGTCGCACCCGAGCCCCGTTCTAGCGTCAAGGGAGTCACTGAGATGGAGAGTACTGTGGGATTCCAGGTAATACTTCCAGCAGGAATGCGAAATGGCCTACCTCCATCTACTAACAGAAGTACTCTCCCTCTCCACCAGGAGCAAGAGAAGGCTTCCATCCCCTCTTCTCAGCGCAAAGACGACCCTGAGAAGCCCGCTAGGCCCGCGAATTGGATCCCGCCCCATTTGAGAGGGCCTGACCCCGAGCGAATAAGACGAATGAGGGAGAAAGCAAATGAGGAGTTGTGCATGACCGATAAATTGGCACGTCTCAAGTTTAGCCCGGAAGGAAGCGCTACCGAGAACAAAGAGAAAGAGCGCAAGAACGCACGAGCGAAGTTCGAGGAGAATATCAATCGCCATCTAGCACGCCGAGAGGGACGCTCGAGCCTAACCAACCATTCAGTTAGCCAGCAGGCTACGGCTACGGCTGCGGATCCTGCTCCTGCCCCTGCTCTCCAAGGCCGGGCTGATAGTGTAGAGAGGGCACCTGAATCCACCGAAGAGACGCCCAAATCTGTGGGATGGACTCCGCCTAAGCTACGGGAGCGCGATCCCAATGCCCGCGCGGTCTTGCCTGCCGATACGTTAAGCGAGTATGATCTGTCCGACGATGACCCTACCATTCCTCGGGTCAACAGAGAGAGTCCTGGTGAACGGAGTCGACCTCAACAGCAGAATGGTAGTAGTTACCCCGGAGGAAGCACCCGTTGGGCATAGGGTAATAAGGCGGACGAGCTATCTTTTGGGAAGTGGAAAAAATACCGTAAATGGCAAGATGGACGTGCAGCTAGCCGCGCGATTGAGGCAGGAGACCCGGGCGCTAAATGAGCTACGCTAACATGTCAACCGACAAAGTCCTGACCTAAAAGCCGTGGCTTGCCCTTTTCGTGCTAGGGTTTGACGATATTGATACTAGGGACCAGTAATATCAGCATTAATGTTGGTAGCCGACGGTACTGGTTAAGGCAAAGTTTGGTATGGTGAAAAGGCGTTCTAGGGACTTAGGTTGATACCCTTGTGCTTTTAGTCATGCTTCACGGCTTTCTTTCCATGTTAATTGCTTTGATTATGTTTTTGTTCATTTCGATTCTGGACTTGCACCGAGGGAGGGAGGGAAGGGTTATTTGCAGTCCTCTGAGTTCGACAATAGTCTATATGCCTAGTCCGCTACGTCCGGCATATCTCCTATGTGGACCTACGGCTATTTGACATCAGTCATGTATAATAGGATGGAATCACAAATAGGCTAGGGCTAATCAACGTCGATGCATTATATTTGGTTTTATCGTGATAACTTCGATATGGATTACAGTATGATGTCGCACGAGGAAAGTTTGTAACAATACTTGAAGTCGCGATAGTGTCCATTTGTAATGTGTTTTGTTCAAATTTGGGTTTTGTCCTATATATTACAGAGTAGAGCTTATCTAAAAATCCCCTTCGAAATGCGGGACTGATCTATCGCCAACTTTACAATGGGTATAAGTAAATACAGATTCATCAGTGTCGTAATACGGCCTGTCCATATTACGAGGTAATTCCAAACCAAGTCTGCAGAGCGGTCTTGGCCGCCTCCACATCCGGTTCTCCATCGGTCACCCAAGCGACGACACCATCGGGGCGAACTAGCAAGGCGCGAAGACCGAGCTCATCCTTGGCCCTTACGCCGACGTAATCAACGGACTTGTACTTGTCGACTAGTTCTTTAAGAGTCGCGTTGTTGCTGAAGTCGACTAGTAGACCTTGTCCTCCTTCCAGTTTGGAACCTAATCTTGCTCCGTCGTTAAATTCAAAGTCGGGGGCGCTGTATCCGAGGAGATCATGCTTCATGTCGCCGATCTCGTAGCGTTGCGATAGACCCCAGACACGGTCCACGAAAAGATTGGTGCCGTCCTTTGTGTCGATTACGGAGGTTATGAGTTTACGGAGGGCGAGGGCGGTTAGACCGGGTTTTAGGGTTGCGACTTGGGCTCGTGACCACTCGAGTACTCCGTTTCCAATTGGGTGTCGTTCTTTCTCGTATGTGTCGAGGAGAGTGAAGTCTACTGGTCCCGGGTTGGTTTTCGAGGCTTGGATTGTTGCGGCTAGTTTCCAGCCGAGATTGATGGCGTCTCCTAATCCTAGGTTCAGGCCTTGTGCTCCAAGAGGCGAGTGAATGTGTGCTGCGTCGCCGGCTAGGAGGATACGACCCTTTCGATATGTCGTGGCCTGCTTGCATCGATCGGTAAATGTGGTGGCGGTTTCAAGCTTCACGACCTTGGCATCAGTTTCTGTCACACGGGCCAGAACCTTTTGGATGTGCTCTATTGTGATCTCCCCACTGCGATGGAAAGCTCCGCCGTCGAAATCTAGTAAATGAATTCTGTCCTTGCTGCCTGCTCGGACATACATGCCTGTCTTGGTAACTGTGAACCAGTCGTGTAGTTTATCTGGGTCGTCGAATTCGAGTTTGATACCATAACCGGTGCATTCAGGCTCTGAACCCTCAAATGCGAAGCCCGCGGCTTTTCGGACGGTGCTGCGTCCACCATCGCATCCTACTAGCCACTTGGTACGGTAAGTCTCGCCTCCTGCTTCCACCGTAATGCCGTTATCATCTTGCGAAACACCTGTAACACCTTTTCCTCTTAGTATGGTTGCACCAAGACTTTCGGCATGCCCCGTTAAAGCGGCTTCGACCTTGGCCATGTATGTGGTGCAAGGATCTAATCCGTGTCCCGGGATTCGATATTTCCAACGGCTGATGTCGAACTTCTCGCGGTCTAGGAGTAAACCGGCGAAGTGGCCGCCGAACTTGAAACCGGCTGGCATTTTGAGGATGTCGGATGGTTTGACATCGCTGCCGACCACCTTATCGAGTAATCCACGTCGGTAAAAAGCTTCGGTGGATGCCGTGTTCAAACCACGAAGACCTAAGCGTTCTCCTTTCCATGGTGAATGAGGGTCAGTATCGCGCTCTAGGACAAGTACGGAGGCTTTGGCTCGTGCCAATTCGCAGGCTATGAAGAGCCCGATAGGACCTGCACCTGCAACGATAGCGTCGTAAGGTTCGGCCATGGTAATATGGGTATGAGTAAAATGAATATGATTATTTGGCTGTGTAGTAAATAAAGGCGATGGTTTGCGATGTGGTTTGAAGAAACGGACGGGTTGCCAAGCACGGCACCCGCCATATATTTATATTCAAAAGTGAACCATCTTCCGAATTTGCGGATGGTCACCACCGACCCGCCGAACCACATTTCGGTCTCGTTTAGACGCGCGGTCTCATGTAGCAGTGATAGGACTTGACCAACAAATAACAAATACGGGGACTACCAAATCTGACATTTCCAAAGCTGAAAAATGAATCACGATGAACGTGACAAAAAATTAGGTAGCCTCGTTTAATTCCCTGATTAATTGGAGCATGACTCACGTATAGATTGTTACATGTTAGCACCGCAACCCTCTTTTGCATTACTCCCCTATTTTTAATTCGCTGCCCGGAACTAGGATTCTCGGTTTCGTACGGGACCGAACGGCGCCGAAATTTTACTTTTCACCCCGAGCATCCGACAGATGGGAAAATCGTAGATCCCTAGTGTCTGACGCCGTTCTTCACCACTTATGGAAAATAAACCGTTATACGAGTCCGAAGTCCGAATGACTCTAATTTCACTCCGTGGGGGGTATTATTTTTGAAGGAATTGTTTACCCCTGAGCTATAAGTTCGGTGTTACACTATTACATAATCCCGAATTGCTACCTTACCTAATTCTGTAGCTTGCGAGCATACTTAAGGAGACAAGGAGATATAATTGAGTTATTTAATCTCTTTCTAATATTCATGGTTTTCTTGTGAAATTCGTTCCTTCCCAAATCATGTTTTTAAACCTTTCATTCAGAATTACTGCGCAAATTTCTACGTCATGGACAGCGGACGATGGTGCTGGACCCACTAAAACATCGATCGATTTTCAGCTTTATAGCGCACGCTTGCAGCACCTTCATGTCCTAAAACACCTAGAATGCGGGACTTTAGCGGCAATATTCTAGCGAGCTTTAGCTATTGACTCCCTGCAGTTATACCACATAAAACTATCGTTTTCTACTGAAATTAATGTGTTAATAACACTCTCATAGGTAACTGCGAGGAATATGAGTACTGGCACTAACATAGCATAACCTCGACTAGGTAGGTAACATATGTACTCTGTCAGGTTTTATCACACACAACAATACTCCCGGTCGCAAATGTCCCGTTATTCTGCGAAATTGAGAGTGCAATCGTCATAACGAATCTCGAGTCCGTGGAAAGTGTGCTGACTAACATTAGGTAACCTGAATTGTCAAGGAACATCTCAACTGTTATTTATTACTGGATTCCAACTGTAATCGTGAATCTAAACTAACCCTAGCAAGTGATTCGCCCATACGGACCAAAAATGAAGGTTCTTAGGTCCTAAAGTCCAATAACTGGTCTCAGTTTCACAGTTTTCACGTGATAGCCCTGAGCGTCAACGCTGCTTACTCGGTGCTTAGTAAGCATTTATTCATCATCTAATATATACACTCCGTTGATTCAAAAAAGGGATGTTCTCATTTTACAGCGTGCACGCCGAGTTTGTTGACTATCTATGTCATTCTTGGTTAAGACCAGAAATGTGCCGTAGATTAAAACACATGAGGTTAGCGGCACGGATTTATGGCATATACGTACCATGAGGTATTGGGTTAGTGTGGATGCATGATCACTTCTAATTACCAACATTGGGCCATTTATAATGATTTACGACTCTATCACAACCCGTATAATCCTTCCAACGACCACCCTACATTATACCGCCTTATCCCCGCCCTAAGAAAACGGGTTTACGCCGACGTAGCCGCAACCACAAGAGCAGGAACATATAGAGGGGAGAGAATATTTACTACTCACGTCAATTGATCACAATATGGCATTTAGACCAAAGCAAATAACCAGTTATCAGGCGGAACATCTGTCCGAACTCCAGGGCGATGTGAGCGAAAAAGCCATCGAGTACTTCCTAACTCTGATTCCTCCTTTCAACGACGGGGACATAATCCACGACAATGCATGTGGTTCCGGAGCCGTCACCGAGGCGATAATGGCCAAAAATCCTCCGAAGATCCACATCCACGCTACGGATATTAACCCGCAATTCGTTGCCGGAGTCCAGGCCTTATCGGAAAAGAATCAGTGGCCCGAAAGCACGGCGGTAATGTCCGCGCAGAAGCTCACTTTCCCGGACAACATGTTTACGAAATCTATTACGAGTTTCGCGTTCCACTGTCTCGGCGACCACGATGAGGCGGCGAAGCAAGTCTACCGCACGCTTAAGCCTGGCGGCGTGGCTATTGCTACGGTTTGGACTTCCATGCCCCATGTCCGGGCTTTGCAGCACGCGCATTGGCGGACTCGGGGTAAGGAAGGGCCTATGCCATCCTTATTACCCTTGGAAGACTTCACGGAGGAGGACTTGAGGGCTGCTCTTCGTGTTGGTGGATTTAGGGATATTAGTTGTTCTGAGAAGGCGTTTTATCTGAAGGTATCTGATATGAAGCGCTGGGCGCAATTAGCTTGGAGTTATTTGGGTCATTTACCCACTGGATGGTCACAGAGTGATGAGGATAAGTGGGATGAAGCTATTGATGATGTTGTGGAGCAGTTGAAGAGTGGTGATGGTATTACTACGGATGACCGGGGTGAGGTTGTGATGAAGATGATAGCTGTTGTTGCGGTGGCTAAAAAGTAAAATTTCGAAATATGTCCAGAGAGATGATCTAAATTAAGCGAAGACAATTCACTGGTTGTGAATACGGTCAAGTCCTGATATGTAAGCCCCCAAACGATTATATTGCCGAGAGTCCGGCTTGTTGTAGGCCTTTGATAGTCTACACAGTAATAAAACACAGTGTCAGACTGTCTCTTTTATATTCCGCGTGAATCCTTTGCTCGGGGAGGCAACCAATGAGGCCGCCTATCACGGTCGCTTATAAATATCTTCGGCCAAATTAGCCTGTCTATTCCTCTTAAATAATCTTGATTGTAAATAGAGCTAATTCTTAATGAAATAATCGCGATCCGAGACGCGGGGATCGGGATCTCGGTTACGTAAGGGGTGGAGTGCATGGGCTTTATTAAGACGACCGACGGCTCTCCTAGTGAACACCGCTGTTCGTTAACATTCCTGTAGCTATTTCGGCATTCTCAAAATTTACGATGGCGCCGACCGGAAAATCGCCTCTGAACCTAGTTTTAGGTGTATCAAGTGTAAGTTAGTTTAGTGGTCGGGATTGAGATTTCAATTGTCTAACTAAGGCACATAGGTCGGGGATACATCAAAGGACCCCATGGCACGTTTCGATACACCTGATGAAGTAAACAATTTTTTGGATACATTCACCGCGCGGGGCTACAATCAACTTGATACCGCGCGAGCCTATCCCCCACACGCCCCCGGAACTTCCGAGCCTAGACTCGGGGCAGCTGGCGCGGGGGATAGGTTCATCATTGACTCCAAAGTCTGGCCGGAGCACCATACTAAATCCGGCATCATTGGGGACGTCGATAGTTCGCTTGAGGAATTGAGGACAAAGCAGATCAACATCGAATATTTACATATGCCGGATCGGGTAGCCAGTTTTGAAGAGATTTGCGCGGGTATGGACCAAGCGTATAGAGAAGGAAAGATTAAGGGATGGGGCGTCTCGAGTTATACTGCTGAGGAAATCCAGAAGTTTGTCGATATTTGCGAGGAGCATGGGTACGTTAAACTCAGTGCATATCAGGGGCAATATAATGCTATCGTGAGAGGTGGTGAAGAGGAGCTTTTCCCGGTATTACGCAAGAATGGTATTGCTTTCTATGCGTACAGTCCGGCTGCGGGTGGTTTTTTCTCTGGCGCTCATAAGAATATCAAGCCCGGTGGACGGTTCGATAAAGTGGTGCGTATAACCTAATCTTATCAATCTGGGAGGTGTTTGATCTAATCTAACTATCGCGCGTTTAGCATGGTATCGGAAATTTGTATTCGGGGTATTTCTTGAAGCCGAGCATCATGGAGGCGGTAGAGAAGGCAGTGGATGTAGCGGCCCAGCACGGAATTAACGGACACGAGGCCGCATTGCGATGGATATCGTATCACAGCATCCTTGACAGGAAGTATGGGGACTCCATCATTGTCGGTGCTTCTAGCTCGGAACAATTGAACTCGAACATCGATGCGATTGAGCGGGGTCCGCTCCCCGAGGAGGTAGTAGCCGCGTTTAATGGCGTATATGGGCAAATTGATAAAGAGAGTGAAGTCCTGTATTACCGGTAAAATCCCGATTGAGTTAGCCAGAGAGTCCCTCTATTGAGGGTTAAAATTTTGGATTAAAGAATTGACGGGGTTAACAAGCGCGAAACCCCACCATTGTCTCTCTAAGGGGTGTCACGTGCACATGAGGGGTCTTTAGTGAGGGATATCCCAGTTGCTAAGCGGGAATGCGCTATAATTACAGGGGGCTTAGTACTAGTCTTTCAGGTGAGTTTCTTGAGCTCCAGCGCATTAGTCATCTCGTATCCATGGATCCTTTAATCCCATTGGTCAATTTGTTATTAGAAGGTCCAGGGGAAGGTGAAAGCCCTAAAAAGTATGGAGAAATAGCGCTAAGTCCACTGTAGATATAGCGCGGGGTACTACCCCGGGTACATACCTGGGTAACTTATAGGTCTTCTTTATAGGGGCATCTGGTTATCACATCACAGCCATGTCAATACTGCAATTTCCACATTTTAGTTTCAAAATTTCAAACAGTATCCAGACAGTATGTAGCCTATAAGGCGCAAGGGCTAAGGTCTATTTCAGCGCCAAGGACTCTAGACAATTCCTAACGATGCAGTCACCCCGCAGCTGAAAAAGGACGACTTCTGATACTACTTAGAAGGGATATCTAATTAGGCAATTAAGTATCACCATATATAAGAACACACCTATCCCTATGAGCTACGCTCCTTTTCGTTGAGCTGTTAAGAGTTACGTGTTTACGTAGATTATCTTCCACTGAACAAGTACATGCTAATAACTATCATGACCCAATCTTCATAGACGTTCCTACGATGATACCAAGATAATACCCCCCAAAGATGTTTGAATACCGCCCCCTCAACCCAAATATTCGCGAAATACGAGTCCTCAATCTTTTACCTGGTAGCTTTGACGAGCCGCTTAGAATTAGCATAAATGTCCAAAGTCTCGACTCAAGTCCTGCCTACAATGCCCTTTCATACGTATGGGGCGATGCTGCTACTGCAAAAATTCCGGGAAATACTATAAACATCGATGGGTGCGACTTTCCCGTAACGGCAAACTTGTTTGCAGCTTTGCGGCATTTGCGACCCCCGAATGAGGCGGACGGTCCGCTTACGCTATGGGTGGATGCTGTGTGTATCAATCAATCAGACCTAGATGAGCGAGGGCAACAGGTTTCTATGATGCGGGATATTTATGCATCAGCTGAACGTGTGATAATATGGCTTGGAGAAGCGGATGATGAGAGTGACCGCGCTTTTGATACATTTCCGATTCTTGCCAACCACAATCAACACCGAGGTAATCAAAAGGATGAGGAATTTCTAGATGAGACGCATCTCTGCAGCGGATTCTTCTCCGGATTGGCTGATAGGCGCCCTTGGTTCTCACGTGTTTGGATTATACAGGAGCTGGCGATGGCTAAAAATGATCCCTTAGTCGCATGTGGACATAAATCGGTAACTTGGTCAACTCTTATGGGAGCTCAGGAGTTTGTTTCTAGGAAAGTTTTTACGGACGTAGGTGTGACGCGACGCAAACCGCGGGAAAGCGACAGTAACTTAACAGGGAATATTAATGGTCTGCCCGAAGAAGACATCGAAGTGACAGCGAAATTGAAGATTGACGTCCTTGACGATCTTTATAAGGCTATGAGGACCCAGGGGGGCGAAAGCTTGTGGAAACTATTATTCGTCTCGAGGACATCCGAAGCTACAGACCCGAGAGACAGAATTTACGCATTGATTGGGCTCTTAAAGGCTGCTGAATCAGATTTGCAGGAGTCTGAGAACTCTATCGTTGTCGATTACCACAAGCCAACGGCGGCAGTTTACGCAGATGCCATGGCTTACATGTTCACTCAAGGAGATGGTCCTTATTTCCTGTCGGGAGTATTCTTACCGGGGATTTCAGCTCCCGCCCCTTATATCACTAGCTTACCCTCGGCGACTTTACAACCTCCGCTCCCATCATGGGTTCCTGACTTCTCAAGGCAAGTCGCCGGGAAAGCAACACAGCCAAGCGGATTTTCGTTCCACCCACCAGCAGGCACTAGCGCATCAGGACCAGGGGCAAATTGTAACAACGGAAGGCGACTGGATGACCGGAGAACACTACAGGTAGAAGGGCTTTTCGTGGATATTATTGAGGAAGTGGTGTCTCTCGGCGTGTCTCTCGGCGTGTCTCTTGGCGTGTCTCTAGACTCCCATCTTGATCAACTCGTTCGTATCGAAGCTCTTGCTAAAGCTTCTAGGAAACGACCATGTGAGATGGAGGAAGCAGTGAAGCCTTACATAGAGCGGTATAAGAATAGCGAGCCTCTATGGAAAATATTGGTATCAAACAAGCGTTTTATGTCGGGTTATGATGAGGCACCATCGTCGTATGAGGGGATGTATGAAAGCCTCCTGAGGAATAATAGGGAAGGTAGGAAGTCGGAAACAGGCAGTAACGGGGAATCGGACGAGTATATGGAGAGCCTGAAGTCAAATGTTGGTAAGAAGTCTTTCTTCACTACGAAAAATGGGTTTGTAGGTACCTGCGTTCCGGATGCTTGCAAGGGAGATATTGTTGCCATTTTATTTGGATCCCCGGTTCCATTCGTGTTACGTCGGGCGTCGGATGTGGTTGAAACAGCAAATGGTGAAAGGGAGACTCATTATCTTGTGGGTGGGTCGTATGTAGGGGGCATCATGGCTGGTGAGATGGTGGACGAGTTGTATTGCGAGGATTTGATGGATTCTATAACATTCTTCATTAGATAGCCATCATGAAATTATTTGGGAATTAAAGGGCGTGTGTCAAATGCGAGCTCTGCAGATTGGAGACTCGGTTATCCATGTAGGCGTTTCAGAAGAGTATTTGCATGCTAGGACTTATGTTTAATTGGAAAATTTGCCTGTGTTTTGGTACGAAATATTCCAACCAACCGTAAAAATTAATTGGAAGGTTTATAATGCAAAGTAAAATTGAATTCCAGTAATCGAGATCTACTTGGCCATTGCAATGCGCTCTGGTTAGGTTATGATGGTCTTGGGAGTAAAAACCCTGTGGCTGGTGCACTGTGGTCCTGACCAAAAGGTTTTTCGCGGGGTCTAGGGGGTTCGATTACATCCAGAGGTAATCGTATCACCTATTCACTGTCTTTTTTGTTTTTTTTTTTCCCTCCTCCGTCGTAGACTCGCGCGGATGCCTGACGGTAGCTTTTATTTCACTATTGTAGAATCTAGAGGATAGAGTAGGATACTCATTACTAAAATGTGCCTATATATGATACCTTGACGATCATTTTACGAGGTTTTTTCCACGGCCAGAGCTAGTACTGGCCCAGTGCGTGCTTACTTACATTTCGGTAGATCATCAAGGGCAAATTAACTTACAATAACACATTAGCTATGCACTATGCACTATCTGATGGATTCTGTCGATACCTTAGTATCTACCTAGGTAGTCTAGCTCTGTGAGGCTTTATACCATCAGAGATGTCGGGAGACTCCACTTCTCATAAGGAACCTCTATTGACGGGAACCGAAGCTATTGTTGATGGGGGATACTCCCTGTGTATATACGACGACCTTGAATGATCGTATGTTCCTCTCGAAACAACAAAAACTATTACTTTTTCTTTTCTCTTCGTTGCAAAAATTCAAATTTTAAGTGTGAATATCCACTAGATTCCTTGATACCCTTCAAAGGATTTTACACGGAGTATTGATAGTAGGGGACTTGAACTAACACGATGCTTGCGTTTATTAGAATAAAGGAATAGGATTGTTGTACTTCTGCTTCAAGGCTGTGGTTTTTTCTCAGGTCTATGGGCAGTAGTAACCTCGGGAAATAGGAATTGTGACGTATCATGAAAGTCAAATAAAATTCCAGGCGGCCTAATATCTTTTGAAGAAATATGGGAAGGGTTGAAGGAAGTTGTGTTCTAAAGCAGGTAGTGAGGGTGTTGGGATGGGATTATCCTGAACTGTTTATGGCTAGTCATTCGCATGATAAAAAATAATTACATGTAAGCTGGAGGTATGATGCGCGCAAGTAATTAATTAATCAATCATTGCAAAATATGTGAGCGGGCGGATGCATCGCGGAAAGGGTAAATGTACAAGGGTACAATGTCCCAAAATTGGGCAGTAGACATATAATAGAAAATAGATGTAGATTCCAGTAACCAAAGTCGACCCACCCACACGGCGGGTAGGTCACCGATGGCTTTGGGAGTAAAAATGTCGCGGTTGGCTCATTGGTTCATCTCTAGGTTTGAATTGATACCAACTTTCGGGTTTTTCGCAGGGTCTAGGGTTCGATTGCCCCACGCGGTAATTGTATCGCCTATTCACTGTCTTTTTTGTCTTTTTTTTTTAAACCTCTTATTGACATACGTGGATGCCTGACAGTATATTTTTCCTCTCATTTTATCCCAACAATAAATATACCTTCCGTGTAAGTTTTCTCTACCGATTATTTCTACGGCCTTTAATAATCTTATGAGGTCACCGCTACTGGCTTCATGATTGAATTCCATCACCTCTTTTTTTACATCACTTCAACTGACAAGGCTCCGATCGTACGTACTGCCCACCAATTAATGCAATCTATCCTGTTTTTATCTCAACATTTTATCTGACTTGGTGGTTCGATCATACTCATTCATCTTCCTCCATATACTAGATATATCCGGTCTATCGTCAATTACAACGGCTTGTTGCGCGACTGGAAAACAAGTACGCTTCCTCCCTCCTTACATCTGCAAAAAAAGACCAATACGCTACGCATTCTATACAAGGTCCACTCGTACGCTCAATTATATCCCACAATAGTAGCCCATACCGACGGCACCAACCTTTAGAGATGGGTTCACAATATAACATGGTGTTAGTTTCTGTATCCTGCGCTGTCCCCGTTATGGTATGAGGTGCGGGCCCACGTAATAAGTATATCAAAACAGAGTTACCCGGATCCGATCTTCCCCATTTTTACCCGGCGATGATATATCTTGGCAGTCGACTCCTATTGGTTCTTGCTAAAGATAATGGCCCAAAAAGGAAGTACGATCGCGGCACCACTACCGGGCCTCCGACGTCGTACAAGATTTAAGTTTGCGGAGTAAAATCGAGGAGTTACCGATAGTCCGGCGGCCTGAGAGGATGTTACGTCATAGGGTTATTGCGACCCCTGCGTAGAAAGGAACCTGAGCCGGGGGCGTGAGAACAAGAAAGCGACAAAGAGGACATTGTTGTATACTTGCTCAAAACCCTCTTTGCGACAACGTAGTTCTCGACCTCAATTATTACCAGTGTCGCAACAAGGCTGAAAGATATGGTTAGGGCTCTGCTGCGACATATCCTAGTAGGTTCGAAGGCCTGGTAGTTTACGTCATCCTTTGACCACGTTTAAAGGGTGCTACTAGCTAGCACTTTCTGGATTGGACAGCATGATTCCTCGATAGTCTCGTGGTCGAACTAAGGTTATGAAGCCCGGCTGTGATAAAGGAAGAAGGAAAGGACGGGAAGGACGGAAAGGTGGGGAGGCAACTTTGTTATGGGCGGGATGAGGAATCGTACAAAGGTGGGGCAATGTAACCCCTCTATTTCTTATTCCTGTAACAGCACTTATTTTGGAAGGGATCATGGAAGTATCTCTTGCAGTCGGGCTTTATCTATTACGAATCGTGCGCAGGCGTGAAGTGTCCAGGTTAGATACACCACCCTACTTCTGAACTCGAACAATTCAGTTATTCGTTCCCTCCTTGGTTTATTGATTCCTGCAACGTACGCCTCCGAAGATAGCCTCCCTCTCGATTTCGTCGCTAGCCTCCCTCATCATACGATGAAACAACTTGAGTGTTCCCTCAGTTAGCCAACAGACAATGTCGTGGGATCCGATCTCGAATCTTCCGACTTTTGCATCAAATACTGCAGTCCGATATTCTAATCCGCTACCAGGGCTGTCGGGATTGTGAGCACGAAGGATGAGCCTTCCCTTGCCCGGGATCAATTTGTTACTTCCCTCACGCACAAGACCAACGTCTAGTAACTCGCCATCTAATGTAGACCAATCCGATAGAAGCCCAAAGCTTTCCTAAGCCTTCTGGCCACGCCTATAGTCTAGAATCGGCGAGTCTCCTTTATTCAAAGCACGAATAAGCTTGTTCTTGTGGTTCATAAGTCGGTTATAGGCGCAACGCACAATGCGGACGTTGTTGTCGGTGGCCATGATAACATAGACGTCTTCCGTAGCCCCTCCGTACGTGTCTTGGCGGCCGATCGCATACCACTCTCCTCGGTAGTTTCGCCGTCCGATGCTTATCTCAGGAAGAATCTCGCTATCCGCCCAGCCGAAGGTATTCTGAGTCAAAAAGTACCAAATTCGTCGTTCCAAGTGCTGGTAGCCAATGTTGACGAACAGGTTGATTTCGGAAGTGCCTAGACGTGGATTCAGGTGCAAATTTGGGTGTTTGGCCGTAGCCTCAAGTCGGTTGGTCGGTCGGTCGGGGCGCGTTACATTGGTCGAATGTCGTCGAAGAGAGGCTTCAATTGAAGACCTAGATTGTTTTGCTTCCTCTTCTAAATCGATAATATTCTTCAGGCAATTGCCCAAGAATTCTTCTTGGTCTTCGGCTGTAGAGAGTAGTTCTGTCTTCTCGTACGCTTGTTCGACTACTCGCGAAAGGTAGGGCGGAATGGAGCGGAGGGCCTTCTCGGGGTTGCCAATCGGCATGTTTCGCGACAATATACTTAGACTATTATCTACAACAGACTTGCCCTGTTGCATAAAAATTAGCATATTTATCATTTAGCGAACAGTATCTCGAATTGATTTACCTTGTATCTCGCGGATGTGTTGGAGGAATTTCCCCCGCTGGTACGATCCATTATGCTGTGTTGATAATCATCGTTTTGCCCGGCCACGCGCGAGAATCGTCGGTGATAACCTTGGCACACTAGCTAAGGTTGAAAACAGGAGAGCTAGGACCTCGCGGCTCCAATAACTTTAAAGGCAGTTACGGTGCACCTACGCCAAATTGCAAGGGCAACAGAACTACTAAACTTTACGTAAGGTACCCTGTTCACCCCATACAGATAGATGTAAAAGATACCTTTATCATAAATACACCCAAACATTCACGGCGGCATTAGCAAATTTCCTTCTAATAATACTTTCTCGAATCAATCGTGCCGAATTCATCAACCGAAAATTACTCAGTATTGGCAGTATGGATTCACGCGTAGCTGATCAGATAGCCTCCTTGGGCTTGGAAAGCCTTCCACCGGATCAAATGCTACGGTGCTGCTTGAAAATCAAAGCAATAATCACAACTAGCTCATCTTATTCGGCGCGTCTCCGGGACACGGATCATTTTACAAGAATTCAAAACTGCCAGGAAATTGGCGCAGGCCTACAAGGAATTGTCTACGAGCAACTGGGTACCGCATACGTCACCAAAAAGGAGCTACCTACAAATCAAGGCCGCCACTTACGTGACGAGTTCGCAATGCATAAGAGAGTATCAGATGCTTTCGAGAGATATGAAGAACACGGTGGTGGTGTCCGTGTCCCGAAGCCATACGAATTCATCCCAAAGTCGTCGCTATCACCCGAACTTCTTTCTCGACTGCCCACAAATGACCAACAACCCAGCGATATCGCCACGATGGAAAGGATTATACCGCTGCCAAAGGTGGTACGGAAGGCCTTGATTCGGAAGTTCTACCCCGAGAAAAACGAGCACCTAGTCGCCCAAATACTGGGAGAGAGGGCAAACAAGCATTGCCTAGCACGTATTTACCTAGGGAAGGAGGCGGTCGCGGTGTTAAAGGAGAGTTTTTGCGGAATATTCCTCTTGCACTCGACGCCATGGATGATCTGGCTTTAGACGCCGTACACTTCGCTGCCATGATCGGCAACGCATATGCTCTCATGCATTGGGCCGCCAACATTACAGGGGATGATGTCGAGTTTGTCCTCGGTACATCGGCTTCTGGCGATTATGATTCTCAACATCGAAAAGTCCATATGTATCTACTTGACTTCGGTCAATGCGACGAAGCCGACATGAACGGGGAGAAGGAGGACATTTTCCAGACCTTCAAAGGGTCCATGGTTCTTCAACAAAATCAACCATACCTATCACACCCCAGGAGACGCGCTGCGTTATATCAGGCTTGGAGATCGGCGTATCTTAGTATTGCTCGGTATGTTATTGAACGCGAACGCTTGTTATTTGACTCTGAGGAATTCGTAAATGAATATGAGGAGTATCTAGAGGATTTTGATCCGTAAGTTGGCGGAGTGAAGAGGGATAGAGGCAGAGTAGCATCGGATATATCAATAGTATAGTTATTTTATTAAATGCCATGAGCCTACATTGTCCCTGTGATTTAGTCTTTTAAATCCCACCTAAAATACTGGAGTAAATCCAGACCACGTAGCTAGTTTTAATTGTCGGAAGTGGCACAGATGAGTAATTCTATTTGATATGTACAGTTACGCGGAGCATGCAAAAGTCTACTGTGGAATTAGACCGACCGTAGCTTTATAGTACTAAGTAGAGTGTGGATCTAGTAATCAGGGTAGACTCATCTAATCAGGGGTGAGCCAGCGTGGGCCCTGGGAGCAAAAACGTGTCCGGTGGCCCAGTTGGGTTGGCCTCCAACGTGACCATCGGCGGTTTTTCATGGGGCTAAGGTTCGATTCCACCAGCGGGGCAGTGAGGCCGCTGGCGGCCCTGTTTTTTGAATAATTTTTGTATACTTTTTTTATTTTTTCAGTTTTGGAATTGTACTGTACGGATGTGAAATAATACTATATTATTGATTTGAATATTCTGAGAGTGATTTCTTTTGAATAACCTAGATACACCTAGCCATGCCTGACAGGCGAGGATGTCGCGAGAAGGTAGAAATTATAGTTGTAGCAGTAGAATTGCCACCTCTTATTATTGATATCTTGATGGTTGTAGATGTATCTCAATAGTACGACTCATCCCGAGTGAATAAGAAACACTACCCGGGTGATTAAAGCAGCATCGAGAACCAGATATTCCAGTTACAGTGGCATTTCACGAGTTGTATATATTGACAATCCCGGAAAGAGATCCAGGTACGAAGAGGATAGTCATCAATGATTCTTTATTGAGGAGTTTGTTCCGTGTCCTACCCTACGCGCAAGCAATACCTATGCAATCGACTGCACTATGGAAGGTCAGAGCATACAATAACCAGTATCGGCAAGAGGACTATTACGACGTCAATGGGAATAGTGTATCCTTCCTTCATCCGTTCCTAGCACTTTCGCAAATTCCTGCGGTGAAAACCTAATGCCGCAAGACTGGCGAACTAAGTGGAGGTACCCTCGCCACGATCCTCCACTTTGGACTCCTCGTCTCTCTCAACTTCCGCTTTCATCTTCTTATGAATCTTATAGAACTCTCGGAGGACCTGTTCCTCGATCCAGAATATCATATCGTTACGATTGATGTCCTTGGGTTCCGCCTTTACGCCACTAAGAGGATCTCTGATCTCCTCACCGCCATTCTCATGAATGTCGCGAAAAAAGATTCGGGCGCTAGTAGTGAAGGTGCCATTTTCACCAGGGGGGACGATTCGGATGGCCAATTTTCCACCCATATTGCTACTAAAACCGTACCGAGAGTCTTCCTAATCTCCTCGCTGGTGGCTGTCTAGCGAAAGGTTCTTGGAATGAGCGAGTCTGCGGACAAACATCTCTTTATGGCATCGCAGGTAGCCATAGATGTTACGAACGTGACGAAGGTTGTGCTTGGTAGCTAAGAGGGCGTGAATATTTCCCTCACCGGCTCGGGGGCGCCAGCTGTCTTGCTTCCAATTCTCGAGCTTCCATTTGCCTTCAACTTGACGCGCGAAGGACAACGCGGGGGCAGTGAAGGTTTGCGGACCAATGTAGTTGAGAACAAAATGGAGCCGGTTGTTTGAGTCGTCGATGAAGTACGAAATCTTCTTATTCACGAATGCCTCGAGTTGAGCGGTCTTCTGGCCGGCATGCTTAACATTCGGTCCATCAGCAGCGGTTGTCATGTGTCCACGAGAAGAAACAAGGGCCTGAGTAACCATAGGAGATCCGGGTGCGACGGGTACTTCAGCTGCGACAGGAGCTGCGGCTGCGGCGGGCGGCTCTGGTTGGTTAAACTGCTCCAATGCTTGTCGAATGGCGTTCTCGCATTGTGTCTGGTGTTGACGGGTAAACTCGAGATCGTCAAGATAACGCTGAAGAGTGCGGTGTCGCGAGTTCAACCAAGTCGCGTCTCCAGTGGCTTCGTAGCGCTGGGCCAGGTCGCCGCAATATCCAAGGATATCACGGGTTCTCGTAGAAAATTGCATTTCGAATAGAATCGAAATTGACTCCATCGGGTATGGGTCCCGGAACGCCCTATGCGATAAATTTAGTATCACCCTAAGCCAGTACATGAGAAATTTCTTACCTGGATGTGAGGCGGAGGCGGCATGATGTTGTTCTGGGAAAAATTGAGGGAACTAACAATATGGTTAGTAAATTGGCTAGTTGATGTGAAATCTTTTAGATTTCAAGGAAATAAAAAAAGAGAAGGGATAGATTATCACCAAGGATGAAATGTATTTGATTTGGTGACTTCCTAGAATTGATCAGGTACAATGTATCTACCTGCCCAGGTGCGTAGGGAAGTTGCAGTGGCTTACGTACTGGGTAGGCCGCGAGCAAGTGCACTGTTCGGGTATTTGGGTACTTGGAGTGCCGTACCTTAAAAAAATCAAAATCTTTGATTGGCTGACGGTGCAAAAACCCTATTTTTACAATCATTCGGGTGGTAAGGTTATAATACTAAATAAGATGTAGTTCCAGTAACCAAGACTGCTTGGGAGTAAAAACTGTGGCCCGGATGGTCCAGTTGGCTAGCTCCCCAGGACCACAAGCTAGCTAACGTGACCGCCGGTGGCAGTTTTTCACGGGGTGGGTTCCATTCCAGCAATGGGTCCGGTCCATTTTCCAGCTTCTGGCCTGCACCGTTTTTTGCCATTTTTTCTAACATCATACTTGTCTCTATCTTTTCTCTTGCCTTTTTTTTTTTTTTTTTTTTTTTTTTTGGATATTTCAGTACAATTTACAATAAACTACCATCCATCTTAAAGTTCCTTTATACTCTATAATACGATTATAGTCGACATGTCCTTCATGACCTTTGAATGAAAGCCAATTATGTCGACCAACATTTATGAATGTCGCTGCCTCTATGAGCCCGAAAGACCAAAAAAGATTTAATAGAATAGTATTATTCTATCTAAATGTCTCTCTTTCTCAAAAAACCATAAATTTCTACCTACATATGTAGGCAATAAAAATAGGGGGGAGCGATTACGTGATGTCAATTACATAACAGCATCTTCACGATCGTGAGTTTTGACAGATGAGTCAGCATGATCTTCTGTGTAAGAAATTATGTAATTTGAAGCAGTTTTTTGCTGACATAAGCGAGTACTGGTTACATAATCGATTTCCCATCAGGAGACCTGATTAATAATCAAATATGACACATTGTGAATTTAACCAGCAAAACTTCCCCTTACGACGATCAAAATGTATCGCCATACAAATATCTACCGCTTACTCTGAAGTTGACGCGCGATACTCATACTCGTGGAAGATAGAGTCGCGCCTCCTAATATTTCAAACACGGGCATTTCCACCCCGAACGCCTTACCAACCCAGTTTTGAAAGTCAATAGCCGACAATGAATCAATCCCATAAGATTGCATGGGCTTGTGTGGGTCAAGACGATCCCAAGCTGTCCCAAGTAGAACTGATACCCGTTGTGCCACAGCCTCACTTATTACATCAGCAGCTTCGGCAAGAGACTGTGTTCTAGCCAATTTCTCTAATGTGTCTCCTATGCGCTTCTGACTTCCAGCCCCTTCGCCCCCCTTTGCGGTTTCACCTCCGTCCGAATCTTCCGGGGAGGGTAGGTGGTGCATGTGCTTCCAGAAAGGTTGGGCGAATGTATGAGGTACATCTTCGAGGCCCTTCCAATAACTCGGTGGGCGAATACCTATAATACACTGGCTTGTCGAAGGATCTCCCTGGAGATTGAGATTCGGATCGCAGTATATGTCTAAAAGCGCACAGAACTCCTTCACTACTATAGGCGTCAGCTTCGGATTGTACTGTAAGCTATCCCTATGATGTTGATGTTCGGTGAGATAACCGCTGTCGACAACAGCGCCGAGGTCGATAGAGACAGCTCGCTCCCCGGTCGACACGCGATATCGCGCAAGCGCATCTTGGTAGGTGTTCCCCGCATTGTATCCGGCGAGCGATGGAGTTCCCATTACGCCCATAATAGAAGACACGAGAATGAAGAAGTCAAGACCCTTCGGAAGTTCCGTATGGAGGTTCCACGATCCCTTGATTTTAGGGTCAACAGCAGACTTCCAATCTGGGAATGATAACTTCTCGAAAATGCTCTCCTGGAATTCAATCAGTTAAACAAATTTCGCGGATGTATCTAGTTAATCTACTTACCGTCAAAACCATGGATACTTGGACGCACCCTCTTATTGGAGGCATTCCGGAGCAATTGGCCAAGACGGATTTCACAGCATTTTGGTCGCTGACGTCGCATCGGGGTGCTTTAATATGAACTCCACTCTCCTCTAATTCCACGATTAAGTCTTTCGCTTCTTGTGTTCGAGGTCCGGACCGCGAAAGTAGGATCAAATTGCGCGCGCCGTGACCGACAAGCCAACGTGTTATCGTTCGTCCGAGACCTCCTAGGCCACCTGCTACCAAGTACGTGGCATCACTTTCGAACGTATAGGTAATTCGCGTCTCGGTAATGATCTAAGAACAGTTTAGCGCGACATACTTCTATGGTATTACGTGGTTCTTACATCTATCGTATCGGAATCTGCGAAGTTCATCACTATTGAGTCCCGGTGGCTCGCGTCTTGCAGCTTATTAAATGCACTCGCCAATTCGGAAGAGGTATAATCGAAGACATAATCCACGGGAAGTCTGATAGACGACACTTTCGGGAAGTTAACTGCATATTGTAGAGCTTCCTGAGTAGCATGCATTTGTGCAACATCGATAATGGAGATGGAGGCGTCGGATAGCTCCGATCTAGTCGCCCGCGCATTGTGGCTTGCTGGCGCCAACGCACTTTGAAGAATGATATACCTACCTCGAGAATTAAGGCAACCCGATAGTAGAGGCGGCATCGAATCCTCGTCCACTGAAAGTATAATGTCAAACCGTCGGCTAAACTCCAAAGAGCCCATCGGATGATCTCCGAACCACGCATTCGGCAATATCCGATCCTGTGTAACCCCAATTTTCGTGGATATCCATGTGCATTCTTTTTGCGAAGATGCTGTCGCCCATATATCAGTCACTCCTTGACTTGAAATCAGTTGGAGGGCCGCCAATCCAATCGGACTAGCTCCGCCGTGTATTAGGATAGAGTCGGTGGTTTTGAAATGTGCTTTCTCGACCATCAAATGGTAGGCGGCGGCCATCGGCGGGACAATATGACAGGCATTAGAGAACGATAATCGGTCGGGTATCTTCATCAATGTGCTTGATGGTGCTCGGATGTGCGAACTAATTAATGCGCCCAATGTAGCAACAACGCGATCGCCGGGATAGAGCGTCGCATCAGGACCAGTCTTGAGAACGACGCCGGCGCAGTATCTCACATATCTAGAGTCTTTGTCATTTCCCAAAGCGGAGCCATGACTATGCGGTAAGAATTGTGCTGATTTAACCAAGACGTCGACCGCATCTCCCTCCAGATTCCCTTCCAGGGGTGGGGAATGCACATAGCGGGGAACTTCACCCGCGCTACCAGTTATCATGGATATTTCAAATGGTGGGGCGGTCGCAAAAGGGGTACGGACGACTTCAAATGGATTTAACTTCGTATCCATGAGTGTCTTGACATGATGCGATTCAACAAGTCTTCGCGTGTGCAAGAGTCCGTCAATCTCGATGTACTCCTGCTCGTAAGGCTGGCCGAGTTTCCTGGATATCATCTGATGGGCGATCTGTTCGATGTAACAACTTTTCGAGAATGATTCGTTCGGGTCGAGAGCTAGGGTGACCAAATGTCGGTCGAAATATTCAGATCTCAGAGTTCGAGCCAAACCATCCACCATGCCAGCGCCGGGACTGGGATTGCTGCCTCCCCCACTAGTTACCCAGAGCAGGTGGCGGGACTTGCGGGCGAGGTTTTGCAGGAATTTCCATGTTCCCTTATCAAGTGATGAGAGGAACAGCCCCTCGTAGTCGGCGAGGAATATGGTGAATTCCTCGGTCGGTCCTTCACCACTGGCTGCGAGCTCTTGTACACTCAGAAGTTTCGGAGATAATCCGAGTATCGGCGTTAGGGACGATAATAGCGTTCCGGCAATTTCATGCTGCTGCGTGCAGGTTTCATCGATAATAATCTGCGCGGGGATTCCATTCTTCAAGATTCCATTCGTATGTGCGCTTGGGTCAATGGCGGTTGTTACCAACCAACCATAATTATGAGCCACTTCTTGTTCGAAATCGCGGAGGACAATATCGGGTCCGGAGTAGCCACATTCTTTCAACAGAGTGCTCCATTGGTCCAAATCGATACTCGGCGACAATGGTCGATTGTCGTCAATACCTAACCACCACCCGGGGAACAGACCGAACACGAAACCTAACGTCCAGCCAGATGCCTTGAAGGATTCTTGTATAATCAGCTTACCGCCGGGTTTCAGAGCTTTTCGCACATTCTTCAAGGTGTTCTTGAAGTTGGACGTGATATGTATCACACCAAGGGCGATAACAACGTCGTAAGATCCCTCCTTGAAGCCTTGTCCCTCTAGGCTTCGTTCAATGTCGAGGGTTCCGAATGTCATTTGAGATTTGAAAGCCTCGAACTCAGCGCGCGCATCCTCTAAAAATGCAGCCGAGACGTCGGTAAAATCGTACCGATTGCAGCGCAAGAACCCCTTTGAATCGTCGGTGGTTGGTTGGGCGCACAGCCCGCGAACCAGGTTACGAGTTGCGGCGCCGGTCCCACCACCAACCTCGAGGATATTTAGGCCTGGTGTTTGGTGCGCGAGCAAGTCCATATAACTAATAGCTTGTTTCGCGCACCGATATGTTGTGAGTTCTTCGTAATAGTCTTTAAGCAGGCCAGTTCGCATTAGGAGCTCAAGGGGGTTTGCTTCCCCTTTCACCAGCTCCACAATATTCAATGCGACCCTGACGTAGAGTCTTCCGACAGGGTTGGCTCCCTCAAGTCGCTCGCAGAGTTCTTCGGAAGATGGCATGGAAGAAATGTGTCCATTCGTATGACGTTGGTGTTCGTTTTGTGATAGATGGTGCTTGGCCCAATTCAAGTAATGAATTTTCCATTGTGGCTGGTCCGCGAGGGTGGTAGGATCAATTGAAGCCATCAGGTTTCGCAATGACATCTCTACGAGAAGATCTAAATCATGGAAAAACCGGCTCGGATCTTGCGCCGCTGGGTGTAGTTGATCTAGCAATGCAGAGACCTGAGGCGGAGTCATCGCTTCCAACGAGGCCTTACAATCAACTCCCATACAGAACTGCTGCGGGTTAGGGAGCGAGAGTTCCTGCGTTGGAACAGGCCCCATGTTCGTCAACTCTAGACCTTCATACCATAGTCGCAGTTCGTTTGTGGTGTCATCCAGAGCGGACCCTTCGCAGGTGAATCCTCGCTTAGTAATCTGTGCGACCGTAGAACAGGCTTGGACTGTACTACTTGCCGGCCAACTTAACCCCTGGTTCGATAACCAAAGGCAGTCAATTCGAGAGGGGACACTTGTCGCCATGGCTTTAGAGCCACCTGCGGTTAGAGCTGTGAAGGCTAGGTGGAATATCGCATCTAGAGAGGTCGGGTGGATGACATGGTTTTCCTCTAGGATATTCGAAAGGGAGACTTTGGCCGTCGCCTGTTTCTGTGTTTCATGGCAATACTGATGCTGAGCGCCCTGGAACTCCGAACCGTATTGGTATCCGCATCGGCCTAGGTAGCTGTACATCTGTTGGGAATCAACGGGGGTAGTACAATTCGAAACTAGGGAAGTATAGGATTTCGCAATGTCTTGTCGCCTTTCCGCGGACCTTTCGGATATCCAGTCAGTGTCTGGTTTTGATATCTCGACGAAGAGTAAACCTCGGCAATTGATAACCCAGTCGTCGTTACTATACGTGCGAATCGTGAACTCGTACCCAGGCCCGCTTTGGTTTGGTCGCGTGATTTCATGAAGTGACGTTTGCACTTCTAACTGCCCGGCACCGGCGGTCAAGTTCATGGAAGATTCGAACTGGATATCGCGAAGCGTATATCCATTCACCATTTCGGTGCTATTGAGCTGTTTTGCCGCCTCAATAGCCATGACGAGCATTCCAGCTCCAGGGTATAAGATCGAGTGGCCAATTGTGTGCCCCGATACCCATGGCATTTCACTGGTCTTAATATAGTGTCGCCAACGGGCCTCGGCCGAATTCCAATCTCTCGAGCGTACTCCGAGCAGCTCAGCCGGCGCGTATTCTCTGAGCCGGTAGTTCTTACTTAGTCGGCTTTCGTACCAGTAGCCTTGCGAGTGATCGAATGGGTATTCCGGTAGATCCACGAGAATATCTTGTTTCATCTCCCCTGTGGGTTCATTAATAGCCCTCAGGTTCAACTTATGGCCGAAGCTGTGCAACTCTCCTAGCACAGGCAGTAGTGTCTTCAATGAAGATTGACCCCTTCTTAAGACGGAGTTATATTGGATAGAACTCCCTCGCTCGCTAACGCGAAGAATATCTCGTATCGGTCCCTGAAGAGCCGCGTGTGGACCTATCTCCAAAAGGTAGTCTACCACAGAGATGGATCTATGACTCCCGTCGATTTTCTTTACGAGATCGGCCCTGGATTTGGAGCACATGTTGAGTAGAGCTGGACTAAATCGGACGGTGGATACCATGTTGAGAGACCAATACGTTGGATCTAGGAGTTGTTTTGCCGAGACGGGTTCTCCTGAGACAGTTGATATTATGGGAACGGTAGTCTTACAGTCTTGTGGTCTAGATAATGTTCCGACAAGAGACTGGAACATTGCCGTAATGATAGACATCTGTGGCGAGTGGTACGCTAATGGTACCCGGAGTTTGCGAGCGAACGTCCCCTCTTGGTGTAATTGCACTTGTATCTTGTCGATAAGGTGTTCCTCGCCTGAAATGGTGACATTGTTAGGGCTGTTGATGCAGGCAATTGAAAGGCCGAATGATATAACTTCTTGGTCGAAAGTTGCGATCAATTTCTTCGCTCGGTCTTCGGATAATCCAACGGATATCATTGCGCCTTGGTCCACGTATTGAAGGTTGTCGACTAGACTTGCTGAACAGACGCCTCTGAAGTAAGCCAGCCTCCATGCGGACTCGATCGACATGTACCCGCCAGCGTATCTGCAGAATAAATCTCGTTAACTAAATGAAACAAGTGTGGTGTGAGGGGTACATACGCGGCTGCGATCTCGCCGGAGGAATGACCTAGTACAGAAGAAGGTCGGACGCCAAACGTCCTTAAGAGATTGACCAGTGCTATCTGCAATACTGCACAGAGGGTCTGGCTGAGTATAGGTGCATCGATCTTTGAATCTTCCTCTGGTCTTTGTAACTCCTCTGTTTATCGTCAGCTACGATCCTATCCGGGTGTGTCAAATTCCCTTTGCACCTACCTATTACCGACCAAGAACAACCGAGATTTCCAAGATATCTTCCAGCTCGCTTTAGTTCCGCTCTGAATTGCGTGTATTGCAGTAGCTCCCTTCCCATCGCATACCACTGAGCACCCTGACCAGTGAAGATAAATCCTATGCGGGGTGGTTGGGGATTAACCTGGATCGGGACCGATATGCGTGTATGTAAATTCTCGAGATGGCGGGGAGACGATAAGAGTGCGTAAGACCTCCACTGAAGGTGACTCCGACAACTATCTAGGGTATAGGCCAAATTTTGAATAAAATCACTTTGCATTGTTCCGCGAGGATGAATTCTAGTGTAATATTCTTCGTATGTCTTCGTGAGTCTATTTATTCCGTCTTGATCGGCAGCGGACCAGACGAGTAGCTTCGGGCGTTCGCAAGTTTCGGAGTCGTCGCTAGTACCATTCGTGATCGCTAGACTATGTGAAGGATATGGGACAGTGCAGTGTTTTCCTGGCAACGATCGAAGCCGTAAATAGTTGTAAGCGTCGTCCATGACTAGGTGCCAATTGGCTCCTCCATAGCCAAACGAGTTGATTGAAGCCCTCCTGAGGCCAGGAGTTGGCCAGAGATGGCTCTCTTTGGGGAACTAGACCAGTCTCAGTACAGTCTCGATAGTAACACAAAGCCTCATGATGTCATTCCTTCGTAATCCATGAACCGGTCAATTTTCGATGCCGAGGCTTTGAGCGAAGCCAACGAAAACAATCTCAGAGGCCACTGGCCCAACGTTTTATCGCCATGCTAGGGAAATCATGAAAACTTACTCTCAATTTAAGCCGCTCCGCATCGATCTTAGGATTTATGTTTTCGAAGTTAGCATTTGGGGGGATAATGCCCTTTTCTAAAACGAGAACGGTCTTAATGATAGCGGCTAGGCCACTTGCTCCCTCCAGGTGGCCAATATTGGATTTAACCGCACCCCTACGCATTCTATTAGTATCACTGATAGATTCGTTGTATTTTTTGAAAGCTTACACATATAGCGGATCTTCCGTTGGGCGATCCTTCCGGAATGCCGCCCCGATTGCTTGTGCCTCACGAGGATCTCCTATCGGCGTGCCCGTGCCGTGAGCTTCGAAATATCTAGTATGCGCCTTGGATAGTTTGGCTTTTTGATAGGTTTCTGTGATCAATTGCTCCTGCGCAGTTTGACTGGGTTGTGTAATGCCAGGTGTTCGACCGTCTTGATTAGAGCCGGTCGATCGGATTACTGCTCTAATGGTATTTCCATCACGAATAGCATCAGAAAGTCGCTTCAGAATAACAACACCAATTCCTTCCCCGCGAGAATAGCCATTACCTCGCTCGTCGAAGGAGTAACATTTACTATCCGGAGATAAGAAATTGACATTGCTCATCCAAAGGTACATCTCTGGTGTATGGGCAAGATTGGAGCCTGCCACCATAGCCTGGAGCTTTGCGTTAATAAAAATCTAGAAATAGTGGAAGGTGTATATACCGTGTCACAAGAGCCGTTGCGCAGGGCTTGACAGGCTATATCTGTTGCCATCCCTGTACTAGAACAGGCAGAGTCAAGCCCTATACTCGGACCTCGCAAGTCGAAAAACCAACTGAGCCTATTGGCAAGCATGCTAAGACCCAAACCTAGAGCAGCATATGTTGGAGGGCATTCAGGATCTCGGGCTAACTGCAACAGATAGTCCAAGCTGAATGAACCGGTGTAAACAGCAGTTCGAGATCCCGCTACGCTTTCCATTGAGATTCCAGCTTTGATTTACACACTAATCAGTACATTTTGTAACCAAATAATACCGATCCCGTCTACGTTACGTACCATTCTCAAGTGCTCTATACGCCGTTTCTAGGAGCCACCTTTGCATGGGGTCCATTGAAGAAGCCTCAGTAGGTGATATGGAAAAAAATTCGGCATCGAAGCGGCTTAGGTCTTCTTCAATGAAGTGACCCCCACGGAGCGGTAACTTCGAGTGGCTATCAGCTACTATTACACTTGGCTGATAGGAGATATACTGACGGTATTTGCTTTGCTCTTGGCCTGGTAGAATCCATTTGGATTCAATCGGCCGGCGGGAAACTCTGTGGATGAACAGCGTTTCTCAACCATCATTTTCCACAGATTCTCGGGCGTTGTAGCATCCCCTGGGAACTTGATGGAGAAACCGCATATAGCTATGGGGTCTTCATCGTCACCATCAAGTTCTCCGTCAATAACGGAGACATCCTCGGGTCGGTGCTCAGGAGGAAAGTCCTCCGGAGATGCCACGCCTGTGGGCGAAGAAAATGTGGGCATCGTACAAGTTTACTGGCTGTAGCAGTAGTCTTGGTCCGTGTACGTTTTGTAAGTCAAGGCCAGAGGGGGCTGCCGTGTGCGAAGCATGATCTAATAGAGAGCCCACTACACATTGACAGATCCCGCAACATCTCTACAGAGGGCGGAGGGTTCTTAAACGGGTTGAGAGCCCGAGACTCTAAATTATATAATATCCCACGCGGTGATGGCGTCTCGGGTTACACGCACGGCGTATGCGATTATCCAATAGTCGGATGCTAAGTAGCATTCAGGTTGATATAGGGCAGAATTAAGTAGTGTCCTACGTGTAGGCTACTTAAGGAAGTACTTAGGCGTGTACCTAGGGAGGTACCTAAACCGGTGAGTCAGATTCCAGAAACTAACAAGTCCAAGAATAAGGGCCTGTAGATCAGGCCTAAAGCGGGACCGGACTGCCGAACGTCACCAACGAAGAACTAGGCGATACCCTGGTCGTACCCCGGTCAGTTAACTAAATCGCTGAAACCATCAGTTGACGTTCGAGATGCAGAAGACCCTGCCTCGACTTACCTAAGTTGCTCTTTTATAAGGACGACACCCTATGTGAGGGATCGTAAATCTAAGATATGAAGGAAGGAATGGCATATAAGCCTCCTCCACGTCGGAAACTTGCCCTTATTTAGATATCACCCCAACTCTATAAGTAGCTCTAGAGAACCGCCTCACGGAAAGGGTCCTGTTAAATCCTTGATTGCGATTGCTACCTACCTAGGTACCTACGAATTTAGAATATCTCGTATAGATTCCTCTATAAACGGTCACACCAACAAGAAGCATAGGCGACTTGAAGGTGGATTCATCGCACCTTGTAGCGATCCTCGGATTTCCAACATACCTTTTTGCCTGCAGTTGCCCAGCATGAGGTTTCTGTGTTTTCATGGAAATGGGGCAAATAGCAGCGTGGGTAATCTTCCGATCTTCACATGTTGCCATAATCAGACTATCTTGTATCTAACCTTGTCCATATCATCTTAGATTATGGAGTCGCAGACGGGTGAGTGACAGCATAGAGGGTTATTTGGATTAGCTAAGCGCTCATGTTACATAGCGCAGTTGAGGCACGAGCTCGAAGGCGGCCATGATTATGAATTCGTTGAGGGAGTTCTAAAAGCCCCCATGGGAGAAGGTAACGTCAATTTCCCTTGCATCGAAACATACTTCTAATTTCGTAGGTCTCGAGGCTCTTTCATCTCCAGGCCAGTCCTTTTACGCATACTACGATCCTAAGGATCCTAGCACTTTGTTTCAAACGATAGATCACCTAGACCGCTACATTTCAACCGAAGGCCCCTTCGATATAGTTATGGGGTTCTCGGCTGGCGCAGCTCTCGCAGCCTTGTATATCTTGGACCGGCAGCGTCGGGGCGAACCATCGCCGTTCAAATGCGGGATCTTCTTATCGAGCGCCGTAAGCAAAGCTGAATCAGCATTTCTCGGCTTAGAGGGTGGCTCTGATAACTTAATCCGAATTCCGACGGTACATATATGGGGCTCTGAAGATTCAACAGCGCCAACAGGCGGGGAAGACCTGTGCCGACTGTGCGACCCAAATGTCCGATTCACCGTTGTTCACGATGGTGGCCACGAAGTTCCGAAAAAACAGTATCTCATTCAAGCGGTCAATGCGATCCAGAGGGGGTTGGACTTAGTTGATTAATCAAAAATAATTGCTGAAGAAAATTAAACCTGTACGTTGATCTACAGCAACAGCAACACAGCGGCTTTATGGTATGGTTGTATTTGAGGGTGCGACTTTGAGGGGTGGTAAGAGAAGGATTACAAGCTGTGTCACTACGGCTAGGCAATAATGTGGCGAAGCCGGCCACTACAACTCCAGGCAACTCCAGTACACTCGCGAAATATACCCAATCCAGGTAGGTCAGGTAAGCGTAATAAAAGCCACGCTTACTTTCCCGTCTGTTGTGTAACTCGCTGTACATAATTTGTCTCAACTGCCGTTACAATGCTAAGTCCCTAGGTACCTTACCACCCAATCCACTTCGAAAATCGATGCCTCTTCCATAAAAGCCCCCCGGACGGGTGACCCCCCTGTGTATGGTCTATCTGCATATCTGTGGTATGCAAGTAGGGGAATACTTGGAGTAGAATCCGTAGGGGTTCCCGTACTTACTATTACTACCAAGATCGAATCCATTGCTATTAGAAAACCTACATCTGCTCCCCAATGCCATTTTCCAGCCATCCTTCTGCTTTTTAGCACATCACTAAAAGAGGTATGCTATGCTTACCATGGCCGACACGTCTAGAATTCCTCGACAGTCGCCCATCAACAACGATGAGAATATTGGGCCCCCATTTCGATCTTTCGTTATTGTTCTAGTCATCATAACCATCTTATCAACCATCGTACGATTCTGGTCGCGAAGTATAGTAAAGCCGAACCAAAGGCAGCCTAAGCGCTTCTGGTGGGATGATTGGACCTTTCTAGCTGCTGCTGTATGCATAACCCTTCCATGTGAAAGGAGCCTCCTGTCACTCCCTAGTATATTCTTTCTGACTATAGACTATAGACGTTACTATTGATACAGCTATCATGTACGCTTGCCTTGGTTGATGCCGGCTTGGGTCGCCATGTCACGGCCCTGTCGCCTGAGGCTTTACTAGCCTGCTCGAAACTCATCGTCGTCATTTACTACGTTTACGATGTTGCTCTATTCACTAGCAAAGTTTCGGCACTGTTGTTCCTCAGCAGGATATTCCCCAAGTATACGAATCCAACTTGGTTCAACACCGCGCTTTACGTAGCGCACGGACTTAATGTTACTTGGCTCATCGCTATTCTCTTCGCGACGATATTCCAATGCAACCCGGTTCAAAAGGCTTGGAATCCGGATCCGAATCTACCCGGAAAGTGCAGTTCGAACGCCGTTCTACTGACTGGAAGCGCGTTGCCTAGTGTCGGTATTGACCTCTTTATCTTATTACTGCCGATGCCGAAGATCTGGCGACTTCAAATGAGCCTGGCGCGCAAAGCCGGTATTACACTCGTATTTATCCTTGGTTATTGGTGAGTTTATCTAAGTGCATTAAGATTTCTCGCAACTAATTCTTTCCCTAAGCGCTATTGTTGTGTCACTAGGCCGAACGATTACCATTCTCACAACTGGTGGAGATTTGAACGCGGATATCACATGTAAGTACAGGCTAGAGGACTGCGGCTGGAGTTTGGCTCCCGTAATTGCTAATACTGGGTTAGACGGCGGATTGCCAGTCCTTTATTGGTCCTCGGCTGAAATACCGACGATAGTGCTCTGCTTATGTCTCCCTTCTGTACTCCCGCTAGGTCGTCACCTCAAGCACCAAATCAAGAATCGTGTTCCGTTTCTCTCTAATGATGGCACTCTGGGAAGCAGCCAAACTACGACACTAAAGAGCAGCACTGGGGAATTTTACCATTCGAGCGATGTTCAGGGTATCCACGAATTAAACGGAAGGAGGAAGACAGCGAACCTTTCTGATGAGGTTCTGGTTGGGGCTAAAGGAACACGGGAATTAGAAGATACAGGTACTCACGCGCCCTTAAAACTATCGGCCGCTGGCGAAACTCACACCACCCAGGTGCACAGCTGGGAGTCTCCTGGGGAGAGAACTTACAATCCGCTTGATAACTCAATACACGTCGAGGACGAGTTCAGCATCACCTATCACGAATCACGGCGTACATGAAGGATGCCCACGGTAGGGCTTATTGGTGTTATTTGGAATATTGTATTTAAGGGCAGGCTTGTGTGATATTTGGTACACATTTTGATTCCCCCATGTTTTGGGATGGGGTTCCGGGAAAGCTGGACATATCATAAGGGCTATGGACATACGGACAAAATCAAGGGTAATGAAATCCTGTAAAATTATTCGATGACGGTATATAATGATATCTTTCATGATTTTCAAATCAGCTGTTACAATTGGCGAACGTGGAAATTCCCTCATTTTCGGCGTCGCTCCTAATAGCCTACCTGGGCAACTACGAAGATAACCGAATACGCCAATCCAGAAGCATACGTACCTAGGTAGGCATACATGTACTATGAAGTATTTTGTTACCGAAAAGTCGCATAAAGGATGTATGTACATCAATATAAATATGCTGACTCTTAACGATTTAATTAAATTGCCTCCCTCTCCCTACCTCTATAGTTAATGCGCCTGGCTTCGAGGAGCCAGAGCAATTTGTGTACCTCTTTTATGAATACCATACTAATATTATATTAACCAGAAATAACCTACCTAGTTATCGCGGCTGGTACTCTGTTACGATGAACTGTTGATCTTTTCCGTAAGAAGTTTCCATTACATCCGCTATCTGCATGTAACCTCCCTGGGTGCCACAACAGTAGGCTGTGTACACATAAAAATAAGTCCTACCTAGTACCTACAGTTGGGGCAGTACAAGCACGTTGTGGTGGACCATAAACGTCACGTCCCCACGGTCAAATCCCGGTTAACCATCCACTCGAAGTACCCTTGGATGACACATCTATTTTCTTTCTGGTTCGCATAAACAATCGTCTTATGGTTGCCGTACCTAAGATACTACTCTATATGCATTACGCCTGCTTATATAAAGGGATAGAGTTGTAGCCAAGTGGACAGCTCACGATATTTGAGTATCAAAGCGGTATCACAACGTCGAAAATTTGTCGATTGGTTTCAATGGGTTCCAATTGGTCCCATACCAAGTTTCTTGGTTTTCTTAATTCGCACCAATGGAAGCGCGATGCTAAGTATTTACGGCGGGATCGCTGGACACTCAGCCCTATGCGGTAGGACCATGTGTCCATGTTTGTTCTCCGCCATTTACCTGCTCCAAAAGTGCTACCCATCGATAACCGCCAATCAAGTGGGTAATTCCTACGATTTCGGTCTTATCCATGCTCTTGGTAGTTTCCCGCCATTTCTGCTCATCAAGTGGTCCAGTTAGCGCTGCGAGGATGCGACCTAAGCGGTAGGCCGTCAATTCTTCATCGTCCAAGCCTGTAGGTTCTGTGCCACGTAACCCGTCCTCAAATTGTTCTAGAGTTAAACCAACATGGGCGGCTACTCCACGATGGCAGTATACCAGGTACGGAGCATCCACAACGGAACACAACCCTAAGATAGCAAGCTCGCGATTGCGTGGCTTCACTACATTCGGATTATATACAGTCTTTGCCATGGTGAAAAAATGGGGGGTCATCAGTGGGGAATAGCTATACGCCGCTCATCAGAGATCCGCACGTTAAGAGATACAAGAAGTAAGCGGCATGAAGGACTTTTACCATAATGGTGCCCAATTCCCCACCAGCGATTTGCCGTCATCTTCGATCCATTTGAACGTAGGGGAACCGCCATGGATCGCGACCAGAGATTCTTCAACTAACTTCTTAGCATCCTTATCTGGCGCATCATCTAGCGAAAAGCGGTGGGCCATAGTGATGTGGATTTTGGGGGCTAGGGAAAGAGACTTCAGAAGCCAATCGCTATATGATGAGTCGCAGCGGTAGTATCTTTCGGGTACTACGAAGTTACCAAGAAGAGTGAGGATTTTACGAGTTAATATACAGCTAGACCGTGTTAAGATAGTACCCACGTACGGACTGCCGGATCGGGAAACATTGTTGGTTAACATGCTTACCTCTTCCTAGTGAATACGCGGATTCATAGTATCAGCACTAATGGAATTTGGACATGATTAGATGATCGTGGACCGAAAATGAATTCATATTCCCCGTTTATGGCATAGAGCTATGCAATCCTAATACTAATTCTCCTTCTCTTTCAACGATCTATTCCATATTCAACTGCCAGTTCATATCACCGAGATAAACTCCACTTCCAATAGGCTTCTAAACCTTGGCTTCTACTAACTATCACTGAGTCTAGTGTCATGACGCAAAGTATGGAGATTCAGAAGAAACCCCTGGACATTGTCATCGTGAGTAGCTCACCGCCGACATACTGAGCATCTTTAATGTGTTTACAGGTCGGTGGCTCACTGGCAGGCCTCATGTGTGGCATAGTCTTGAGGGATGCTGGTCACACAATTCGAATTCTAGAGCAAGGAGACAATGAGCGACAAAGTCATATGGCGGGTGTGTGTCTAGGGCCAAGCGCCGGCGTCTTCCTAGCACAACACGACCGTCACAGCCGTCCATTCTTCAAAAGAACATTGCGGCTACTTGTTCTCGCTACTAGCGGGGCTATTCGCTTTTTCGTTAAGGGTCGTCGCGATATGACAAGTTGGGATGCATATTACTTTCGCCTCCGCTCGAACTTCGATGCCTACATAAGCTCATATTACCCTAGGCCTCCACTCTCGTCGGAAAGGGACGGCTCTGTGTCTTACGAAACGCATACTAAAGTCGTCGATCTAGCATCCGATGGAGATGATAGGTCGAAGATGAGACTGTCGGTTCTTAATCTTGAGTCCCAAGATACGTCGGAACTTCAAGCAGACTTAATCATTGGTGCAGATGGTCCGGACTCGTTCGTGCGGAATAAGTATCTGCCTCATGTACAACGTGAATACGCCGGATACATTGCTTGGAGGGGTACAGTTCCCGAAAGCCATGTCTCAGACGCCACACGGAAGCTTATCGAGCAGGGACCTACGGTTCATTTGATGCATCGGAATCACTGCGTTATTTACTCCATCCCAGGTCCAAATGGCACTCTCGAGTCAGGGGAGAGGTTCTTTAATTTCCTCTGGTATACGAATCAGTCGCAGCAGGATTTGGATGAGATACTTGTTGATAGCATCGATGGGCACCGGCATCACAACACCGTTCCCGCGGGGCGCGTGCAGCAGAAATCCTGGAACAGGCAACTCGAACTTGCTCAAGCTGCACCGTTCCCAAGCCCGTTCCTTGAAATAATCATGAAGATCGAGAGGCCGTTCATACAGGTTGTCACACATCTCTGCTCGCCGCAAGCCACGTTTGAGGGCGGTAAGGTGTTGTTGATAGGGGATGCGTTATCCCTTTACTGTCCCCATACTGCATTGAGCGGAACGCAGGCAGCGTTTCATTCGATGGCGACAGAGAAGTATGTGAGCGGCGAGATAACATTGCAGGAGTATGAGCGGAAGGTTTTGAGGTATTCTCACTTGTATTGGTCTCAGAGTATTTGGTGGGGGCGTTTCTATCAGCGCCATATCTTGGTGGCGTTCTGGTCCGGTTTGTATTACTGGGCTTCCTTCGGCATTAACAGAATCAGATCATGGTCCGCCGGAATGCGACAGCGGGCAGGAACCGCACCAGAGATCGCAGATGAGTATGCGACATAGTGGTGTGAGTTTCGAAAAATTTTACTCGAAATACGCTAATAAGACCGAGGCATGTAATCCTACTGGTACCCAAGGTAAAAACTCTGTAATAGAATTCTTATATTGTCGTATCAATGAAATCGGATGGGCTGAACCCCATACCCGCGAAGCTGGGCATCATAAAGGGCACGTAGTTTATTGGTTGAGTTTAAAAGGCTACCGAGGGAGATGAGACGGGGTAGAGCCGTCTCCTTGGGTGAGATGGTGTGCAACTGAGGTCGAAATAAAGAACAGGGGTGATAAGACACGGCAAGTGATTTGAGTAACCCCAGCTGCAAGTCCTACAATTCCGGTCTACTACCTCGTATGTGGGTGTAATTGGTCAAGTTTCTGCCACCATCATCATCATCTCAGGCCGCCCTCAGCTCACCGACTTCCAATTACTATGATGCCGATCTCCGAATGGGCTATCTACTTGCTGACTGCGTCAAAACTAGATTGTTAAAATCTTCCCATTCGGACCGCTATAGTTTAGTACATGTGAAAGGGGTCACCGTTCTGCTTGGAATCAAACAGCCGGATTCCGGACTGACCGCGTGCAGATGATTGTGTATGAAATACGCATATGCATTCCTTCGCTTGTACCCGTACCATCATCCAATACGACTAGGGGTTACCTCTCTAGACCGAGGTCATGAGATATTTTCCCTTACAACACCCAATCAGGACCACTCTGTGACACACTCTTTAGCTATGTGCATATTTCGCATAATAGTGCGTAGTTGGTTAGCAGGACACATGCTGTTATTGAAAAATGAAAGATCACAATGGCAGTCCCTGCGTTTGTTGGTTGCTTATGGCAAGATCCACGGCAGATCAACTATTTTTAGTTTTAATTATTGAAATTCGAACCCTACCTTATAATACGACATCTCTAGGATTCGCTCACGGACTAGTGAAAATAGCATCGTGGCACAGACAGTGGGCTTGTTCAACGCGGGATTTGAGAGTGGGATGCGCTTCATCTGTTGTCTATCTTTCTAACTAGCACGCATCTCTACGTAAGTATGCTTCGGCAATTATTTGCTAAGGCCAAGCTCCTTGATGAATATATCGGCGGCTTTCTCACCAATCGCCAAGACGACACTGTTTGTGTTCGCCGCGACGTTAGTCGGGACGATACCTAGGTCTGCAACTTTCAACCCCTCAATACCATACACACCGAGGTTGGCGTCAACAACACCCGCCTTATCGCGGGGTGCCATTTTACACGTGCCTAAACCATGCCAGACGCTGTCAACGTGCTCACGTATCCACTGTTCCAATATCGCATCGTCTTCGGCACTGTACTCAATGTCGCGAACGTCAGTAAGTGGAGCGTCGATCTCAATACATGCCGCCCGCGATCCAGCGGGAAACGGTGGGTGACGACTAATTAGTTCGCCCCGGACTATTCATACGTCAGCGATTCCGCTCTTTTCGTAAGATCACTTACTTCAAATGAAGCCCCGCCGAGAGCGAGGAGGCACTGAAGAAGAAATCGGGAGGTCGGTATACGCACTAGATGAAGGAGGAGTTAGCGATGTAAAAGTCCGACGATCCAACGTAGCATGATTCAATATCCCAGTACGTACCAGATATTCATACGGCGCAATAGCTCGCGCTGTTTCTTGTATGCCCAGACATGCGTTTTGATGTCAAGACCCTCGGGATCCGAGAGGAAACCAGTATCGAAATCGGGAGGATCGCTCAAGGTTGGTCCAGTTATGTGCATATGCCCACGCGAGTACGGATACGTACTGAAAGTGGCTGTCCCGACATACTGCCCTACTGGGACACCGGTCGGGTCTCCTGGGTAGCTGGTCGCAATCAGAATCCCACCTTCCACACTCATCCGTAGGTGAAGACTTACCAGCCAGTTGGCGATATTATCGTCAGGGGCTTGTTCGAATTGTTCTTGAAATCGGCCTCCCAAGCCGCCTGGAACTTAGGGCCAAGCGCAGCCACCTCAGCTTCGGTCGGCCTTACTTTACAGGTAAGATCTTGCGCGTTCCAGCCTAAAACGGGTGCTTTATTCTTAATTAGCTCGGCGGGATCAACTCGCCTACCAATAACGTCGTCCATGGTCTCTTCAGGCGCAAGGCTACTCCTGTACGGATATACTAGGATCTGGTGATCCTGATAGTCCTGCCCAACTCCAGGGAGGTCTTCAACGATCTCGACACCTGCTTTTTTGAGGACTTCAGAGTGCCCTATGCCAGACCTTTCCAGAACGAGTGGGCTTCCGAGAGCTCCGCAAGAAACGACCACCAATCGCCTAGCTTTGACGGTTCGAAGTCCATTAGGATCTCTTTTTGGTTGATACGTTACACCGACAGCCTTCTTGTTCTCAATTAGAACTTTCAGGACTTGGGATTCCACGACAACGTGTAGATTCGGATACTGTCCACTCTGTAATTTGGGATGTAAGTACCGATGAGCTGTATCTTGTCGCACACCATCTGGTGAGATATATCGCAGAGCAATCCCCACCCCTTCATTAGAATCGAGATCATCGATATCCTCAAACTCGGGTAAGCCAAGTTTGCTTGCAGCGGCGATGAAATCCTTCCCCGTTCTTTCGGGTCGGAAGGTGCCGCTGGATACATGAATAGGGCCCGTCTTTCCATGAAGCTCATCTTTGCCAGGGCCGTAGTAGGTTTCGAACTGAAATGGAGTCAGTACATGTCGAGAATATCTTCGATCTCAGACATTTGGTGGAACACACCTTTTTCATGTAGTACAGCATATCTTCGGCTGTCCAGCCCGGAGTATCCCAAGCATCAAAGTCCATACGCTGTGCCCGGACATACTTCAAATAATTGATCGAGGAACCCCCACCCAGAACGCCACCAGTGGGGATTATGATCTCCCGGTCGGCAACGTGTTTCGTCTTATTCCCTCTGTTGAAAATGGTGTTCTTGCTGTCTGAGAGTAAATGGCTGAGGAAGAACACTGGGAAAATGATGCTGGGCTCATTGAGGTTATTTGGGCCACCTTCGACAACCAAGATGAAGAGTTGCGGATCCGCTTCAGCGAGTCTCGCGGCGATGACACACCCGGCAGTTCCGCCTGAATAAGATAGTTAGCGTATGAATGTCAACTCCAGAAACTCCAGCTTTTACCTCCGGCTATGATAACATCTACTTCCTCAATATCCTTAGGGAGTTCCGTGTAAAGTCCCATTTTCTATACCCTTCAAGCCCAATATCAAAGTAAATAGTCAAGGGTATGTTAATAGTAGAAATAAAACGATGTGGGAAGCAGTGTCTACTTCGATGGGATTTGTAACAATCTTACCAACCAACCAACGACAGCTGTTATATGGGCCAATGCAGTTCTCCTGCACTCCCAGTTGACGCATGGAAAATGTTTTTCGATCTTTTTAAAGGATTCTATTGCAGGACCACCTACGTAAGGTACCTACATAAGCACATTTTCAGCCGTACCTACGGGGTACTCCTGACCCGCTAACTGCATTTTATGTCGCAAAGTACGGGATATCCGGTGATATTAAAAACGCGCGTAAAAAGGCTGATATAATAATGCGAAAAAAAGCAATGCACTTATAGAATACAAAACGCCAGGTAATAAGACATCTGTTAATTTCTCTTCAGTGAAATCAGTAATTATTCCTCGTTCGTGTTTCTATTGAAATATCTGCTGACCCGTCGACGCCCGCTATATACCAAGCCCATTGTTACGCAAGGGAGCATGTCGAGCGCTTGTATCTGCATACATATAATAATACCATAGCTAATTATTCCTAGTGTTTGACGTCCTCTAAACAACGTTGGGAGAGGAGTAGCCGTTAGCATTACCCAATGGGAACCCGGCGTCTTCGCACCATGGTGGTCCCAGTAACATCGTCGAGCGAAAAGCTCTCTCGTAAGAATGGAGAGTTGGCGTTAAATATTTGAAGAATTGGTATTTATTAAGCTGGCGAATATAGAACGAAAGCGGCGCCCATCAGGACTTGGTAAGGCAAATATGGAACGGCCCAACGTAACGAATCGAACTCTGTCGCGCCCTATTCTAATACATTTTTCGTCCCATCAGTCTTCGCTTAATTTTTTCAAGTTTCCTAATACTTGAAGCTTTTCCTTCTTATACATTCGCGAATCATCAGGCGCCCCAGGTGTTAAAGTAAGGTCAAGGGACCGTCTTCAGGTACTGTAGATGGTAACACCAGTGGTGTCAATATACGTAGATACCTAGATATGTATCAGGACTTCCCCCATAGACTTATTAGCCAGGACAACGGTCAGTACTTTGGATATACAGCCCATATAGAGCACCGGCATGGATAGCCGAGAGAAAGTATCGAAGTGCGATGCTGAGTACATCGTTTATTGGTGGCATGCCGAGTGGAGTGATTGCATACAGCATGCAGAAAGACATTCGGCTCTAGCGGATATTGAGCTGAGTGAGCTACATATTTCCATATGCTAGCAGCATAGGACAGTAAGGATGCTATACCATTTTGCAACGTAGTTGGTGTTAATATGTCTGAAGCCAACGAGAAAACACTTCAGAAGAACGTAAAGACTGACAAAACTTAGAAAGGCAAACTATGGTAAAGTGTAGAAGGGCCAAAGCCCGACTCCTACGATTAATCTTATTAACATACCCCTGAACCTACCTAACTGTAGGTAGTCTAGCTATATGAAACGATATATCGTAGGGGGTATCGGGAGGAAACCTTATTATCGATACGAGTATAAAGGTGCTTTTCGGACGAAGAGGCTACATGTGTATGTATAAGATGGTTCCTGTAGTAGTTATCAATGCTCGACAACGGAGTTGTTAAAGCCCCCCGACCCTCCATATGGTTGCCTTTATGACACTAACTTTGATAAGTGATTGGGAGCGAAGGGTGCAGGCATTAAGTTATTATTGCTTGTTGTATTGTAGTTTTAGACTATGTAGGATAGCTACTAATACCACACCCTTTCTTATGGCCATCTATGTCTCCCACAACGCATCTCAGTTATCAAACTTGTTACTTTTGATCTATACGGGCGACGACATGCTTGAGATCTATACCCTTTGGGCAATCATCTAACGCAGTACATATGTTCATAGCCCAATTGTAAAGGCAATACAATACGTCTTAGGAGATATCGGGAACCCCCCTAGAAAATAAGAGCCTGGATCTAGTGCGTAATAGCAAAAGAGTTATCGGAATCAAAAGGATGGCTGTGTGAACATACGAGGATTCCAGTAGTAGTTACTTACACCTTCCTTGCGCGACGACGAAGTTACCTCCCTCTTTCATGGTCGGTATTATGACAGTACCCTTTGCTACATTATCGAGTTCTTGACTCGGACTAGCCCGTCTTCACAATTCAGCCCAGGATGAAGCATCCCTTTATTACTAAGCTATGAGTCTACCAAGCGTTAGCCTCTTTGCCAAACCTTAGGTTTTAGGATTGCGATATAAGGGGGTATGAAGGCAACCCCTGGCTTGGGGTAATTGGTTCAAACGGTTACCTCACCGCTGAACATAACTTGTTTTTATTAGAGACTACCCTAAAAACTATCAATTTTGGGAGAGCAACGTTAGGAGGGCGCCTAGCAGCAGAATGTATCTGTCGGTAGTCTGGGTATATGGAGTTATACATCATGGGAAATATAGGGAGAAGACCGTATGGCGAATGGCCCCTGTCGCCGCCATGAGTACAAAGAGGTTACTTGTGTACCTACCTAGGTAGGTATGAGGTATGTATATGGTAGTTCTTGTAGCAGTTGCTTGCGCTATCTTTACGCAACGACTCTACCCCCAGCTCCCAATGTGGCTAGGCCCATCACAATATAGGTAATAGAACTTGACCGAGGTGATGCAGGAAAAGTCTGCTTGGAGAGCTACGGGAGGTGGGTGGCGAACAGATAGGGCAAGTTATATTCGAGAACAAGCTATCTAATATCTAACTCTGAGAAGAGGCCTTGCCAGATATAACCAGACTTAATACGAAAGGATCGAGCAAGATTCTAGCTAAGATTTCACGACCTAAAGTGATGCACTTTCATGTCGATATTCTCGATGTTGCTGCGGGCGGGGCGGCATTGAGGAAGACGTACTTGGCCGAGTTCTATCTCTCGCGGCTCCCATTTAACTATAGAGCCGGTGACCGGTCAATACCGAAGTCCAGTGTAGTTGCAGATCGGACATCCCTTCCTCTTGTTTTGGTTTAAGGCTGTGGTGGGAGCGATGGGCCTATGGCTTTAGGGATCCTGGCGCCCCATGACGCGATAGACTACCAACACCTCGTGACGATCGCGATAGGAGAGGTGGGGGGTGTGGTTATAAGTATCTAGGGAAGCTTATGGCGGAGACAGCATCTTAAGAATGCATGTAATGAAAGACGCCGCATCAATTTTAAATGAAGCCTTGACATGCATCAGGGATGCTGCTAAGATGGCTACGAAGATCGGTGCACCAACGAATGATAGATATCCGGAAACCGGAGTTGTAGTCCTGTGCTGATTGGCTAGCAAATAATGCTGTCGAAAATCAACGAGAAAAAAAGCTTCTCGGAGACCGACAGAGAGGTCGGCGCTCCGTGTTAGTGAAGGCTCTTTGTCTCTTCGTACGCCCCTCCCTGTTCTTTTCCATACTCCCTGGCTCCATCGCGTTACTCATTCACTGGCGAGGCTTTATGTCGCATATTAAATACAAAGACTATCGCCGCCCAACAGGTATCACCTGTCGGCCATGAGGCTGCATCCGTAGCGGCGCACCGGCATATCTTGGTATTCACCGCCATTTAGTTCCAACTTTAATTTGGTTGAGAAACATATTGCCATCTTCGCCATCCGAGATAATTAATCTATATCCCTATCGTGCACTTTCAGCCACCAGCGTAACTTAGGTTAAGTAAGCAGGAATCCTAAAACCGTCGAGTGTAGCTACTACTCCGGCTGCTACCCCGCTTCCGTGGTTACCCACCCCCACCCGGAGCTACATGGGTAGGTACCTAACCTAGCCTGAGTTATCAGTTGGTGCGGGGACCCGGACCGCCGGGCTAAGCATGTAGGGGGTAGGTAGGAGTTGCAAATAAAGCAACTATTATATCAATCAGAAACAATGGCTTCGAGGTACGTATCATTACGACAGCAATTAAGACAATTAGCAGATCTGGTAAATGACACTAATGGGGGCCGAGGTGTGGTTGGTAGCAAAGGTGGGACGACTCACTCCCTTTTTATTGCTATGCACATTTTATCAAATCCTTAGAAAACAAACGATTAATAGCCCTACACATATGTTCTATTTATGGACTACATAGGGATGATATTCCTTATTTCTCCCTAGGTACCTAGATAAGTACCTAGTTCACCGAGCCAATATACAACATTTTATTGCCATACACCTTTGTCGCAGATTAGGGCGCTGGGGCTTACTTTGAATCCCTGCCCCGATAATCTATCATGTGCAGCTGCAACAATACCAATGCATACTAATATGATAGATGACCATTCAGCAATCACTGACTAATCATGAGCGAGGCTCTTTGAAGCAGCAACAATGCAGCAGACCCAAGCTGCTAGGTCGACTGTAAGGCTTCGCCATGTGTGAACACGAAGCCAACTCTCGAGTTCGGCGACATTTTTCTCCTTGCCGTCGTTCTTGATAGCTTGGATACTAGGGAGTATGAAAGGTACAAACACCTGATGTCCTAGAGCGAACGAGAGACCTAGAAGCATTATTTGTCACTACTTGATTTGATAGGGGTAGGCATTTTTGGACTGACCTGCAATATACCATGGTGCGCTATCGCGGAGGATAGTGCTGGGAGAGTACCGTAGAATACTACCACACGAAATGACAGTGGTGGTCAGCAATGCGAGGACACGAGGTGCACCACGATTGAAAAACGACGTAAAATACGATGGTAGGAGCTCGTTGCTGAGACCTCGCAAGTCGGGCTTGCGGAACAGCGTCAGGAATTCATATTGATCCCATGCAAACCAAAGAGAAGAAGTAGTCGATATGACTGGAACAAAGTGAAGTATAGTTGAATAGGCCATGGTATTCATGATGTAATACGAATTGCGATGTGCGATTTTGATATGGATGAAGTAGAGAGGAGGTTGAGACGGCGAACAGGAGAGAATCTGAATGCGAGCGGGAAGCAAAAGGGCGTTATCAAGTATTTGCATGTATTCATTAATCACTAAGATGTGTTACACAAACGCAAACACCTGATTTAGATTTAATTTGGGTACCTACACGCCCTTCCTGGGGTGGTTACACGAATTCGACCGGGATCATCTAACCTGCCTTCCTGAACATTGAATACTAGTTACACAGAAAAATAACCTCTTTGCCTGCCTGACTACCTAGGTACTTCCTAAACCTAAGGTATACAAAGCACACCCCACACCCCCCATCGCCCTCCATTGACGAAATTGTGTTCTTTCCTACCTAGGTAAGTTCTGGGCGGAGGCCCATTACGGAATCTTCCGAATACGTGGTGTTATTCCCAGTAGTAGTAGTCGTGGTACTGAACCAATGCTCTCTCCGCTTTGGCTTGGCAGCGCGAGCTAGTTCATGAGCTTCGAAATAGACTTCCGAATCATTGATGTAGGTGATATCATTCCTCAAAGTCATATATTGTCTGAGCTTTCTCAGTGCTTGTGTTTCTTTGAGTCCCATTATGGCCTTTGGTACGTAAGGTGCGCATAAAATCAAATTTGCACAGGTTGTTTCGCACATAGAACACAGCGCCAGAATTGAAAAGTAGTAGCTAGTGTCGCTTGATATATAGAAACGTGTCGCAAAGTATAGTCGTACGAGACTCGACACGCAGCCACTATTTCATAACAATATTAGAATCGCAAAGTTGGCTGGATGACTTCTTGGAGACGTACGTTATACCAATGAGGAATATAAAGCTAATTCCCAGTTTCTTCTTTCGTGACAGACGTAGGCCCCAAATTACCTTCTGTGAAAGCAGGAGAGGGATGAAGTCCAACGTAAAATTAGTGGTGGCCGATGCTAATCCGAATTTCGGGACATCGAAGCGGCAAACCCCTCCAGGAATCAGCGGGTCCCAATTCCTAGCGATGGGAGTGCAATTGACGAGATCCATGATAAAGAGGATAATACAGAGGCAACAAATGGCAGCGGAGGTTGCGTAGCATGCCCAGGCGAAGTAGTTATGTCTACCGTCAGGGACGAAGATGTGCATCCATTCCATTAGTATCGCGGACTTAACCAAGGCTAGGATCCATAGGTATAAGAGGGTGGCAATCCAACAAACCTATGGTATCCGGTTAGATACGTAGCTCATGAAGTATAAAGGGCAATTGATAGTGTACATATGAGAATGCCGCTATATCTTTCAAGCGAATATCCCACTCGTGAACGAGATAGCCTGACGTCCAGGTCAGACGGTAGCTGTAGTAAACATATACCCAGAAAAGCGGCTGAAATATTTATTAGCGGATATTGAAACTTGAGAGTATTCATCTGCTAGCCGACGTACGAATGCTACAACTGTCAAATCTAGATAAGAGTTAAGAGTTAGCCAATGCGTGGATGGAATATTCTGAAGAACTTACAATCGGCTATAATGATCTTCTTCGTGAGGTACTTTGCGTAGAAGCGAATAGGATAAAAGATCGCAGAAACGATGACACAAACTGTGATGACTGGAATGGCAATGTGATTGCCATTTGGCGGATCGTCCAGCTTCGAGACGGAACCGACTGGGGCAGGAATGGTCGGTCCTCCTAAGCTAACATCCGCTCGTGGATAAATAAGTAGCGGCGTGGGATACATGTTAACGATGCGGGAGACTTCGAGTAGCCAGATATTGTTCGGGTTGAATGTGTGAGGTCCTATACTGAGAGAATCCGAACCTCTGGAATTGAAGGTGGTATCTCGATACTTCTACAAAATTGCAACAAGGTTCGAAATGTCACCAGGTGGCTGACGACCAGCATATAGGAAGCAATATATTAAATTATCCGCCCCCGACGCTTTTCAGCTCTAGGTCGGATGTACTTCCGAGGTGTGATGAGTCTTGGGATTCACGGATAAGGCACATCCCGCGCAGGTTCCAAAGCCATTGTAAGCCACAATCAGCCATTTTGGCAGTGGAATCTCTCAAAAGGCACATTATTCGGCTTCCACTGCATATACGATGTCTCATATTAATCGCAAAAACTCAGTAATAGTTGGTACGAGCCATACTTAAAATTAGAGAACTGGAATATGATCACACCTTCCGTGTTAGCCGCTCGTTATGTTGTTATCATTTTCCACTACTATATACCATACTCTCCGTACCTAGGTATTCCCCGCCGGAATATAGCCAATCGTTATTCAGATAGCCATAATAAGGGCTTGGATATGTTAATTCGTCGCGAGACACATTTATTATTAGTGACACACCCACTTATGTCTTTCTTTAGAAGGGAAATTTGGCTTGGTACCGATGTTTGCCTACCTAGCAGGTACCTAAGTACACTTCAGAGTTTCGCGTGTTGATAGAACTTGGAAGTTATCGTACAAATTTTACTTTGATCCCAACATCGAAGAACCACGACCCAAAGATATCTAGCATTCAACCTTTCCCATATTTTACAAATCATTATACTTAGTATTTTGAACACGAAGTATATAACTAAGATCGATATAGCGACTAGAAACTTAAAAATCCATTCGGAAACATGTCACAAATTGACATTACCGCTCCCGAGACGTCATCCTCAAGCCATGGCTGGCGCTTCTGGGTGAGTATCTACTGCTCAGGTTTCCTCCTGGAACCATGGTAGACTGAGGCTAAAATTCTTAAAGGCGATTATGACATCCATGGCAGTAGCGAGTCTCCTTGCGGGCCTGGACGCCACCGCCGTCTCAACAGCCATGCCATCTATGATCAACGACCTTGGGACCAGTCAAGGCTTCATGTGGATAGCTAATTCATACTTGCTCACAACGACTGCTTTCACACCAATATTTGGGCAAACAGCGAACATCTTTGGTCGACGTGCGCTTACACTCTTTGCTATCGCAACCTTTGCCGTTGGGTCAGCAATTGCTGGCCCTGCCCCCACTCTCGCTGTTCTTGTTGTTGGTCGTGCTATTCAGGGCATTGGCTGTGCCGGGCTCAACACCATGGTGGAGATGGTAGTTTGCGACTTGGTGCCCCTAAGGGAGCGAGGCAAGTTCATGGGCTTCATCTTCGCCATCTACGCCATTTCCACCACAGTGGGACCACTAGTTGGTGGTGCATTCGCTAGCTATGTAACATGGAGGTGGATATTCTACTTGAATATTCCCATAGCCGGACTGACGCTCGCAATGGTCATTGTATCTCTCGGGGCACTACCGAAGGGGTCAAATATATCCCCAACCTCGCTTAAACGAGTCGATCTAGCGGGGAATTCTTTACTTACAGCTTCTATCACCTCAATCCTTATCGCTTTGACCTGGGGTGGTGCTGAAGAGCCTTGGTCGTCGTGGAGAACCGTTGTACCCTTGGTCTTGGGATTAGTAGGGATACCTTTGTTCCTCCTGTTTGAGACGAAGGTCCCCGAACCGACCACACCCTTCAGGCTATTTTCCAACAGAACATCACTTGCTGGCTTTTGGTGTGCTTTCACCCACAATATGCTAGTGATGTGGATTTTGTTCGTTTTGCCTATCTATTTCCAAGCCGTCCTCGGCTTTTCAGCGTTCAAATCGGGTGTCAACATATTACCTACAGCGGCCGTTTGCATGCCATTCACCATAGTAAGCGGGATCGTCATGTCTAAATTGGGGCGTTATTGGCCACTGTTAATGGTTGGCTTCGCTTTTTTCCCTCTTGCCTTTGGACTGTTTACCAGGCTCGATGAGAGCTCAACTACGGGCTACTGGGCGGGGATACAAATCCTTGGTGCACTTGCCATTGGTATCATCACACCGATAACCCTGCCAACAATTCTAACCCCACTTCCGGAGTCCGACGTGGCTGTTGCAACGGCTACATGGGCTTTCATGCGTGGATTCGGAACTATATGGGGTGCTGCCATACCTCTCGCCGTTTTCAACTCCAAGGCTGAGTCCTTAGTAGCCGCCCGCCTTGGAGATGATGAAAAAGCGCGTGCACTGTTGAGCCACGGCGGGGCATATGCATTGGCAGCCGGAGGGTCCGTGTACTCCGATCTAGGTTTGGATGATAACCCTAGCCTGGAAGCCACCGTAAAAGAAATCTACGTGTCTAGCCTTAAGTTGTGCTGGCAGGTCGGGCTTGCTTTTACGTTGTTTGGTTTCCTCTTGACTTTTCTCGTTAAAGAGATATCTATGCGTACTGAACTGGAGACCGAGTTTGGGTTGGCTGAAGAGTCGGAGAAAAAAAGTGAGGGGGAGACGGGGGTGGAGCCGGAGCCGTCCCCCATTCAAACACCATGATAGTGGAGACCTTGTTTTGTTTGCATGTCTGATTTGGGTGGGGGTGAATAAGTGTTAGGTTGTGTAACCACGGATAAGTTGTAGGCTGACAGGTTAGGATTTCGAAATATTTCCTTTTTGTGTATCACTACATCATGTATGTCGCCGAATTGATTACTAGGCACTTATGTACTTGCCTACAGTTATGATTTTGTATTAAGGACTGTTAATCCTAGCCTACCAAATAGGTACCAAATCCCAATAAACCCGTCTACCTACATGTAGGTACCTAGGTAGGTATACGGTTGAATTTGATTTGCTGAGTTTGTGTCAGACGAATATATAACATATGGCCCTGGAGATAGACCTATAAGGCTGTCGGCAATTATGGAAACGCTTAGATCCGATCCGATCCGATCCGTAATCCCGGCGATCCTTCTCGCGTCTTTCGGTGAGCCAGCCACACTTCCAGGCTCGGATAGTTGGCCCGGCGTTTTCACCCCATTAGGTCAGCGGTGCATACGGAGGTAGGTATGCACATATATCACAATGTTTATCGCAGGATGTAGGTTTCAAATATTTATTAGCTCATAAACATGGCATGGTTATTGCTTTTAATGTTGCTAAGGACTCAAGACATACACACTGTTACGCAAAAAGGTAGGCTGCAGAGTTGCAACAAACGTAAAGCCCGCCGATTATACCCAGTTCTGCAGCAAATTGGTACTATAAATAAACAACGTAAAATTATCAACTTAACTCCCCTGCCCCCCCTGCCCTGCCCTGCCCAACCATCAAGCTACCTATGTACCAGGTAGGTATTAGGTAGGCGCATAAGGATTAAACATCATCATAGTAGAGGCCACGACCGGTCTAAAACACAAGTCCAATCTTTCTAGGCTACGATATTCTTAGGTTCCACCAAATATACTATACTTGGTCACTATTTTCATATCTAAGCCCCATTAATCTACGTGAATAGGAAAGGGGAATGGTACTGCATAAGTACCTAGGTACATAAATAAAGCTAGCTACCTAGGTAGGTACCTGGTATAGACTAGAGTACCTACATGTAGCACATAGACCCTTAAAATAAGCAACACCTGCAGCGCTAAACCGATGTAGCCCTTCCCCTGCCTTAGGTAAGGGAGGCTGCGACAATGAAAATATCCCCCTGAACAACATACGAATTCGTCCTGTCGCTAGCATCACGCGCACCGAGAGATTTTTGTTCTTTGTTCAAATGCTCAAAAATGCTCAAGATTCATTCACAGGGATGCCCAATAATATGCGACAAGGAATTTAATTCTAAATCCAGGCGATGAAAGATTGGTTCTACTAAATGAGCTGCCCAAATACCCAGATACTGATCGAACGAATGTAAATTATGTAACAATTCCAAGTCATGTCAATTTCCGTTAAGTGAGATGGCATTACATCGCCGCAATTACTTCGACTTTGGTAGGTTCACAACCTCGCCAGTCTCGAGTAGGTACGGGGTAGAGTATCCCAGTGAAACCAAGGCCTTCGTAGTGTCAACCCAGTCTTCCTGGTCTTTGACAGCTGCATGCCAGCCCGGATCCGCCATAATGTTCCTAATAGTCTGAATATCGGGGAGTGAATACTCAATGAAGCAGTCAAAGTCGGCAAATTCCCAGGTAGGTCTGACCTTGCCGAGCTCCTGCTTGATTTCTTCATTGAGATGGGCCGGCGTAACGAACTAGATTGATATATCAGCGCTTTAGGTAAGTTTGAACTTTAGCCAGAGCTACCTACGAGCGAGTAGCTAAGAACTCCGTGCTTCTTCAAAACAGGCATGGCGAGAGGGAGGTGCTCCTCAACGATCCATTTAATGAACGCCTCATGAGTGTGCTGCTTTTTGCGGCCATGAGTAACGGTATATTTCATAGCTGTGTTTCCCTGTTGGGCGGATGCTTCGGCCATTTTCACAGAGTGGTAGGTGGTGTATCTAGGAATGTTTTGATCAAAGAAGACTGAGAGTAAGTTGAAGAGTAGGATGAAGAGAAGCAGGGTGAGATTGTTCTGCCTAGAGATATTTAGATACCTGAAGTTTCGATATTGAGACCCCCTTAATCTAAACCTCGGGCCCGGTCTTAACGCCACCGATGGTTGGCCACGTCACCTATCAGGTTTTGTGTAACACTTACGAGGTTACCTACATAGGTAGGTAGTACGGCCCGTATTTTAATACACCCCAATGGGGTGTATTAACTACCAAGGTACACAGTACAGGTCATATTCCGATGCCGATTTATGCGATCGACCAGGCTCGATGTCGCGCATGGGGCCAAACGCCATATATTGTCTTACAAAGTTTCAGCTAAGTCCTGTTTTCTACTTACTGGCAACCCATGTCCCGAATTGCTACTTCCAGTAAGCATACTAATTACGGAAACGTTGCCCCCCTATGTATTTGCACCTAGGAACCGAATCAGTCCGAGATACATGCATGACTGAGGCGGTAGGTACCTCTATGAGAGTGATCTTGGTTGCTATGTCGACTCAATCTTCTTGTAAAGAGAGGTGCGGCGGAGTTTTGAGGAAGCCCCCAAAAGGAAGTGAGAGTGACACGGGAAATCGAAATTTGATGCTTATAATGCCCCAATATCCCAATTTCCCACTCTTGATTCATTCTCAGGCCGAGAAACGGAAGTTCACAAGATGTTTGATTCACAAGACAGTACAGCGGAGCCTATCGCCATCATTGGCAGCAGTTGCCGGTTTCCTGGCGGCTCCAATTCTCCAAGGAAATTATGGGAGCTCTTGGAACAACCTGTCGACCTTCTAACGCAAATCCCACATACCCGATTCAACCCCACAGCATTCTATCATGAGAGTGCGGAAAATCCTGGTGTCAGTAGGCCTAGAAGATCTTGAATGATGATTAAAGCTAATGCGAGATTGTAGACAACAAACGTAACGAAAGCATACCTCCTTCAGGAGGACCCATGGGCCTTTGATAATGACTTCTTCAATATCAGCCCTCGAGAGGCCGAATCAATGGACCCCCAGCAACGTATAATACTAGAAACGGTCTACGAATGTATAGAGTCTGCTGGGTACTCAATGTCGCAACTCAGGGGTTCATCGACCGGCGTATTTGTGGGTCAAATGTCGGATGACTATCGTGATCTCGTACTGCGTGATATGGATTCCCACTCGCGGTATGCAGGGACAGGTATTGCCCGTTCAATGTTAGCCAACCGTGTGTCTTATGCCTTCGATTGGAAGGGGCCTTCCGTCAATGTAGACACGGCCTGTTCCTCCAGTCTTGTTGCCCTGCACCAAGCAATTCAATCTCTTAGGAGTGGAGAGTCTGAGATGGCCGTAGTTGCTGGAGTGAATTTAGTCTTTAGCCCTGAGTTATTCAGCCTCTTGTCTAGTGTAAGTCGAGTTCCTCTATTACCTCGACGTCTACCACATACTAATATCATCAAAGCTAAACATGCTTTCCCCAACTGGGCGCTCACGCATGTGGGATACCAATGCCGACGGATATGCCCGTGGTGAAGGCTTTGCTGCTGTCATTATCAAGACATTAAAGAAGTCACAAGCCGACCATGACTCGATAGAAAGCATCATACGGAACACAGGTGTTAACCAAGACGGCCGCTCGACAGGCCTCACCGTACCTAGCGCGACCGCTCAAGCCCAGCTCATTGCGTCAACGTATGCAGGGTGTGGACTAGACTGTCAGACTGAGAGTGGCCGTTGCCAATATTTCGAAGCTCATGGCACAGGTAGGTCATCTCCAGCTAAGCTTTCTTAAAAGTTTTCTGACAAGACTTAGGCACTCCGACTGGAGATCCAAAAGAAGCAGAGGGAATCAGCACTGCATTTTTCCCTAACATTCGCCGTGGAAACCTCAGCAACCAGTCAGCGGAAGTGCCCAACCATACGAAACTCCATGTTGGCTCCGTAAAGACCGTTATAGGTCATCTCGAAGGTACAGCTGGACTCGCGAGCCTTCTCAAGGCCTCACAGGCCGTACAGCACGGATTGATACCACCAAACCTTCATTTCCACCAGCTTAACCCAGAAGTAGAGCCGTTCTATCACCACTTAGAAGTGCCAACAAAATTGAAACCTTGGCCTAAGCTTCCGACTGGAACACCTAGAAGAGCCAGTGTCAACAGTTTTGGATTTGGAGGTATATGACTACCGTCCTGCAGCCCGTCTAAATTGAGATCGAAGGAGCTAAACTATCTTAGGTACCAATGCCCATGTTATAATTGAAAGCTGGGATGATTCTTCCAAGACCGAAAAGTCTCATTATTTATCACCTTGTTGGGGACCATTTGTTATGTCCGCTAAATCCGAGACGGCTCTCGTGGCTACCGTCGCGTCTCTATCGTCAGCACTCAAAAATCAAGATGACATTGATCTTTCAAGGCTGGCGTGGACCTTACAAACACGACGAACACAATTCACATACAGGGCTTCATTCTCGGCCACAAATAAAGAAGAACTCATCAAAGCGCTAGACTTTGCCATAGCACATAATGGACAGTCTTCTATAGTTACCAGGGCAACCAAGACCCCCAAAGCTCGTATATTAGGTATATTCACGGGGCAAGGTGCCCAGTGGGCTACTATGGGTGCAACTTTATTCGAACACTCTGCGTTCTTTAGACGCACTTTTGAGAAACTCGAGTCAACTCTTAAGGGTATTCCATATGGTCCAACTTGGTCTCTTACCGAGGAATTACTGAGAAAAGATGATCCGACACGAATTGAATCTGCTGAGATCTCACAGCCTCTTTGCACGGCAGTTCAGGTTGCTTTAGTCGATTTACTTAACGAATGCGGCGTAACGTTCAGTGCTGTCGTTGGCCATTCATCAGGGGAGATTGCAGCCGCGTATGCAGCCGGTATCCTTGAGCCCACAGACGCTGTCTTGATTGCCTTCTATAGGGGATATCACTGTCACCAAAAGCAGCGTACCAACGGGATGCCCGGTAAGATGATGGCTGTGGGTATGGCACCTGAATATGCGGAAGCTTTTTGCCAACAGCCCAACCTCCTGGGTAGGATCATGGTAGCTGCGAAGAATTCTACCTCTAGTTTCACGTTCTCGGGAGATGCTAAAGCTATTGTTGAAGCCAAAGCAATTCTAGACGAGAAAGGCGTATTTGCTAGGATACTGAAGGTTGACAATGCATACCACTCCCATCATATGGATTCTATTCGAAAACCTTACCTTGAATCGCTAAGAAAGGCCGGTATCAAACCCAGAAGAAATTGTTTCGAAGGTGATTGCAACTGGTACTCGAGTGTATACGACACGGAGGATGACAGGGGTATGACTACCACCACCCCTTTCGAGGATATATACTGGGCCGACAACTTGACAGGCCCTGTGATGTTTTCTCAAGCAATAACTTCGGCTATGCAGAGGAATAAATTTGATCTAGCTCTCGAAATTGGACCACACCCAGCATTGCGAGGGCCTGCCACTGAGACCATCAAACATGTCTCGGGCAGTGACCTCCCATACCACGGCGTACTGGAGAGGAACAAAGACGCCCTTGACACATTTTCGAGTGCGCTCGGCTTTATTTGGAGGAATATCGATTTGCCGAAGACATACATTAACTTTGCAGCATTCCGAGAAGCCTGCGATGGACCGGATTTCGTAATACCACGTGTTGAAAAAAGCATCCCACCATACCCGTGGGACCATGGCAAGCCCATGCTGAAGGAATCTCGAAAATCAAAGGTATGGCGCACGCGCAACACTCCAACACACGAGCTTTTAGGTTATGCAATACCTAGTGAAAATGGCCGGAAGGTCCATTGGCGTAACGTCCTCAAACTTAGCGATGTAGACTGGCTACAGGGGCATCAATTCCAAAATCAGGTCCTATTTCCAGCAGCTGGCTATCTGGTAATGGCTGTGGCCGCCTCACTTCATCTCACTGGGAATGGCCGGTCAGTCCAATTAGTCGAACTGCAAGATGTCATTATACATAACGGAATTGTGTTGGAAGAGGATTCTCCAGGAGTTGACATTGACTTTGTTATACACCTACTAGATGAGAACCCAAAGGAGCAAGTGGCTGAGTTCTGTTGTACTTGCAGTAATGTTGATGCAGCATCTCCTGAGTTTGACCACAAGATTTTCACAGGCAGAGTTGTCATCAAGCTAGGACTTCACGAACGCGATGCGTTGCCAAGCAGGGTAGATCCTAAGTTACCTATGGCGGATGTTACCGTCGACCGCTTCTACTCATGGATGCAGAAGGTCGGTTTTCGGTATTCGGAGCCCTTTTTACTTGAATCGATCACAAGACGGCTGAACCTGGCGACTGTTACCACGATGCGTACTGTTACGAGCAAGTACACAATTCACCCGGGACCGTTGGATAGCATATTTCAAGGCCTGTATGCTGCATTTTCGTACGCTGGTGATGGGCGAGTCTGGACCACCTACCTCCCAAAGAGCTTTCGGCGAGTCCGCTTCAACATAACCAACGACAGGCATGCGGATAACCGCTCAGTTTCGCAATTAGTCGCCGACTGTCACCTCACGAAGTCGTCGGCGCGTGTTATATGTGGCGATATCGACGTATTTCGTGGGGAGGACGGCCAAGCTGAAATCCAGGCCCAGGGCGTCGTTCTTTCGTCTCTAGAAGTCCCTTCTGAAGATAACGATCGTAGCATGTTCTGGCAAACAAGCTGGAAGAGAGATCCACTATCCGATCTCTTGCCAACTGACGAATCGGATACGCAGGTATCATCTACGGCTGATCACGAGCTACATGAAATATGCGAGAGGACTGCATATTACTACCTCAATAGGGTTTGTTCGGAGGTTGGCCAGCAAGAGATAGAGTCAATGGAATCGCATTTTCAATGTCTCATGCATTGGGCCCTCGACTGTGTCCACTTGGGCACTCAGTCAGACCGGCGCCCCCGGAAGGAATCCCATTGGGACAACGATACGCTGGAATCCATCATGGAAATTAAGAAGCATCGGTACGATGGTCAAATTGACCTTGAACTCATACACCATTTAGGATCAAACCTTCCACTCATAGTACGCGGTTCAAAGTTAGGATTACAAGCCTTGAATGAAGAAGAAAGGCTACGAAGATTATACCAAGAAGGCTTAGGAGTCCCCGAAATCAACAGGCACTTTAAAATGCTCATTGATCGTCTAACACACCGTTATCCAAGGATGAGAATTCTTGAAGTTGGTGCTGGCACTGGAGGAACTACATCTGTCGCTTTGGAATGCCTGGAGTCTAATTTTGAGAACTATACTTTCACCGATCTCTCTCCTTCGTTTTTTTCCACCGCTCAAGCTCGATTCCTACCCTACGAGGGCTTGCTAAGATACAAGGTTTTGGACATTGAAAAATGCCCCGTCGAACAGGGTTTCCGGGAGTGTTCATACGATCTCGTCATTGCTGCTAATGTGCTCCACGCAACTAGGTCCATTTCTCATACCCTCCAGCACTGTCGAAAATTGCTCCGTCCTGGAGGATATTTAGTCCTTCTTGAGCTTACAAACCCGATGACATTACGCATTCCATTTCTATTTGCCAGCTTGCCAGGATGGTGGCTTGGTGGCAAAGATGGACGAACCAAGGGGCCAACGCTTACAGAAGCACAATGGGATACGGCTCTTAGAGATAACTTCTTCTCGGGGGCAGATCGCTGCTTCAAAGACTTTAACGATGGCTCAATGCATACTTTCTCCGTTATAATGAGTCAAGCATTAGACTCCCGGGTTAGTGTCTTGAGGGATCCCCTTCATCTAGCAAGCGGCGTGGCGCGTATTCAGAATTTGCTAATCATTAGCGGGCGTACCTTGGTGTTATCTAAGATGGCAGCCAGGATTCAATCTCTTCTCAGTCCATTTTTTGAATATATCAATGCCATTGACAATCTAGAAGAGGTACTAGGTGATAGTTTGGAGTATGGGACCGCTGTCATCTGCCTTTCCGGACTAGAGGAGGCAACTTTTATGCGGATGGATCCAAATCGTGTCTCGGCGATTCAAATGTTGTTTCGGAAATCCAAATACATTCTATGGGCCACAAAAGGGAGCCGCTCAGTTGATCCATATGCCAACATCATAGTCGGTATTGGCCGCTCAGCGTCGAGAGAAATGGCCCATCTTCGACTTAAATTTGTCGATGTTGATTACGTCCATCTTCACAAAAAGCAGCCGGAAGCAGCCATGTTCTCCGAGATGCTCTTAGAAATGATGATTCTAGATCTGCCGGGCTATAGAGATATTCTGTGGAGCAATGAATCGGAAGTCGCAGTCGAAGATGGAGTTATTCTTACTCCAAGAGTTGTCCAAGACAAGGCCCTAAATGAACGTTTCAATGCACAGAGACGTTTAATTACCAGGAGAGTGTCTATTAAGTCAACTCCCGTACAGATATCTGCTAGTAATGACAGTATCGCTATCGAGGAAGTGGACGACGACTTCCAAGGAGATACACAGGCCGACTTATGTCTACTCGAAGTTCTCTCGTCCTCGCTCTTCCGTTTTGTCTGTTCGGATGGTGGACAGCCTTTCTATATTTCTGTGGGCTACCTAGAAAACGCAAAAAACTTAACTTTGACCCTATCGGAAGCAAATAGACCTACCGTTATGGTAACGTCCGACTGTACGATTCAATGTGAAGACCAGGCGAACCCTGATGAACTACTCCCTGTTATCCTCACCATCATTGTATGCGAAGATGCATTATCAAGTACCAACGGAACGGTCTGGATTCATAACGCCGATAACTTTACGGCTGGGATTATCCGAGCGGTAGCCCGTCGCAAGGCTGTACATATATTCTTAACCACCAGTATGAGCGGATCTTTGCTTATATCCGACGAGGTCGCAACCTATATCCATCCTCGGGCAACCGAGCGAGAACTGATATCCTTACTTCCTCATAACCTTAAGCGATTCGTGGATATGGGGACAGAAACAGACTGTCTCATTGAATTTGCATCCTCTTTTCTTCAGCATAGAGTAGAAATCCACCAGGGTCTACACAATATCAATGCGGGGCAATTTATTTCCCTGTCGTACAGTCGGTCAGATCTTACCAAAATATTAGAAGAAAGTTGCTGCCCATCAGATTTTCCCCGTGGACATCCGACACAGCAAGTTAGAGTTAGAGCTGATCTAGCACATGAGCAATCAGCAACAGCATCGGTAACAAGCTTTATATCATGGACTGACGTTCATTCTGTTCCGATGAAATTGATTCCAGCTTCTGACAAACAACTTTTTGGAGATCACAAAACATACTTCCTTATTGGTCTTACAGGCGAAGTTGGGCTATCCCTCTGCGAATGGATGATGGGTCACGGTGCGAAATACTTCGCTCTTGCTAGCCGCAAGCCACTCATTCCTCCAGAGATGCTTGCGCATTTACAAAGGAAGGGCGCCACCATTCGCGTCTTTTCGCTTGATATTGCCGATATGGATAACCTAAGGAATGTACACGAGTCAATAGTGTCTTCCATGCCTCCCATCGCGGGTGTAGCAAATGGCGCTCTGGTAGTCCGTGACCATCCCTTTGATGCCATGTCCTTCGAGGACCTTGAGGCGGTTTTCAAACCTAAGGTGATCGGGACACAGAATCTCGACGAGTTATTCTTCTCCGTACCCCTAGATTTCTTCATACTTTTCTCGTCCGTTGCAAGCATCGTCGGTAAACCCGCCCAATCTAGCTACAATGCCGCCAATTTGTTTATGTCGACTTTGGCTATTTGCAGGCGTAAACGAGGCTTAGCCGCGTCCGTAATGCACTTTGGAATGTTACTTGGGATTGGCTTTCTACATGGACAAGCCGGGTCGAATTTCGAAGCTCGATTTCGCCAGGACGATTTGTCAGCTATTCCGGAGCCAGAATTTCACGCAATCTTCGCCCAGGCAATCCTATCAGGCCGCCCAGAGTCCGGCCTAGCTCCTGAACTTATCGCTGGGATTGGTACCGAGGTAAATACCCCTTGGCGTGATATGCCTAAGTTTAGTCATTGTCGCATCAAGGGCGAGGAAAGACACACAGGAGGTCATTACGATCGGGAACAACCGACTCAGAACATACAAACCAAACTTAGAGAGGCTTCGGAGAAGGGCCAGTCATTGTCTATTTTAAACTCCACAGTAGCCAAAAGGGTCAGCTTAGCACTTGGTTCCCTCGATGGGGTCGTAGATAACCGCGTTGGTCTAATTAGCATGGGTCTCGACTCATTAATCGCTGTCGAGATTCGTTCCTGGCTTCTCAAGATACTGGATGTGGATATACCGGTTTTGAAATTCTTGAACGGTTCGTCTTTACATGACATATGCCAAAATATTCTCGAAAACTTACCGGTCGACCTAAAGCCGTGGGACAAAGACAGGAGCACCGACTATAGGAAATCAAATGAAGAAATCAACCACAGCGAGCCCAACTCCCCTTCACAGGATCTTGATAGAGCCCCACGATTACCCAACGGATCGAATAGCCGCCCGATCATAAAGACGACTGCCATTCAAGTATCCAATATACTACCTCCCGCTCCTCCCTCGACAATCGCTATCGCCGAAGCAGAAAGAAAACAGAGCAAGAGAGATAAGTATGAGAGATTCGGCGATATGTCTCATGCTCAAGCACATCTGTATTTCTTGCACGAAGTTCTTCAAAGCAATGCTTATAACATATCTTACTTTGGTCGCTTCCATGGCCTGCTTGACATGGAAAGGTTACAACAAGCCCTTCGGATCGTTGGGAAGCGGCATGAGGCCCTTAGAAGTGCTTACTTCGTGCACAGTGCCACTTCTCGGCCTATACAAGCCGTACTCCCAGAGCCAAGAATCATATTAACACACAAGGCGATCGAGGACGACAATGAGATACAAGCCGAGATAAATAAAGTCAAGAAATTCAGATTCGACATAGAGAAAGGAGTCATCATGAAGGTAACAGTCATGTCACATTCAACAACTCTCCATTTTATACAGTTCAGTCACCATCACATCGCCCTCGACGGAGCGGGTTGGGGAGTATTCATCGCTGAACTCGCGAGGGCATACACGGGACAGTTAACTAGCGTACCAGGACCTAATATCCAACAGTCTATCGATATGGCTAAGAGACAATTGCAAACATCTACACCTCAAGATCTTTACGCCGACCTTGCCTTCTGGAAAACCATCTACACATATATCCCTAAAACACTACCTCTTTTCCCTTTCGCCAAAGTCAAGGCACGTCCGACTTCTAAAGATTACAGCATCAATACGTCAGATGCTAGGTTACCTAGAAATATAACCAATCTCATAGAGAGGGCGGCCTCTGAAGCCGGTGTTACGCCGTTCCACTTCTACTTTGCTAGCCTAGCCGTATTTCTGGCACGATGCCTTGGTATTGACGATGTCGTGATTGGGGTGGTGGACGCTAATAGACCGGGGGCGGAGGACTTAGGAACCATCGGGTATTTCCTGAATATGCTACCCGCGCGTATCCGACTTAGCCGTTCCGATTCGTTCGATGCAGTAGCAAGGAGGTCACGCGACACGATCCTAGCCTCTTTAGCTCATTCACGCGCGCCTATTGATATGATTCTCGATGAATTGGCTATCCCTAAGCCGTCCGACCATCATCCTCTATTCCAGGTCGCTATAAATTATCGCAAAGCACCCTTGAATGAAACTAGCTTTGGGAGCGACGGAAAAATCGAGTGGGACGGCGCCGTTCCAGGAGGGAATCCATACGACTTACTTCTAAACGTTGCTGCGACAACGGATTGGACGTTCATCTCCTTCATCACGCAGCAAAATTTATATCATAAATCTGACGGCGCGCTACTATTGAAATGGTATACGCGTGCCTTAGAAGCCTTGGCTCAAGACCCATACTCTGAAGTAGGTGACTGCCAAATTTGCAACGAGACAGACAGGAAGGAGGCCATAGGGACTGGTTACGGTGGCGATATAGAAATACCGTGGAACGGTACCATCGTAGACCGCATCGATGAATTAGTATCCGAACTGCCGGAAGATATCGCAATCAAGGACGACCGGGGCGGGGTTCTCACGTACGCACAAATGGCAGCCAAGACAGCCGAAATAGCACAAATGATAGGATCCGTTCAGCCCTCGCTAGCTCGTGGCTCATATGTAGCTATGCTACTTGACCCGATCGCCGAGACTATCTGCTGTATACTCGCCATCCTGAAGTTGGGTCTGGTATGGATTCCCTTGGACACACGGAACCACCAACAACGGCTCCACGCTGTGGTCGAGGAGTGTCAGCCGAGTGTCCTGCTATACCATACTGCCACCAATGAGTTAGCAGAGCAAGTTGTCGCAGGCACGAAATCAGTATCCTTATTCAACATCGACGAGGCGAGAAATGCTCCCCATGTGACCGAAGACAGGATACACGTCCATCAAACGCATATAAGAGACGACGGCAATGAAAAGAACCAACCAGCGATGATAATATATACGAGTGGATCTACGGGCGTGCCAAAAGGTATAGTGCTCACGCATGGTGGGCTGTTGGGCCAAATATATGGGACGACTGCTACTCTAAATCTTGGGCGCGAGGTAACATTGCAACAAAGCCCACTCGGATTCGATTTGATGTTAGACCAGATATTCTTGGCATTATGCAACGGGGGTACAGTGATCATAGTTGGAAAAACCGGGCGGGGTGACCCGACACGGATGGCCGAGCTCATGGTCCAACATGGTGTGACCGTTACACATTTCGTACCATCCGAGTACCTCGCGCTACTGAACTATGGGCACCATATTCTCACCAAGACCAAATCATGGCACTATGCGATGTCAGGGGGAGAAAATCTGGGCCCAGAATTGCGCTGGGCTTTCCGCAAGCTAGACTGTAGGACCTTGAAGCTCGTCAATGTATATGGGCCGGCAGAAATCACAGTGGCTTGCGCTAGAGGTATTGTCCCATATCAGGACCTGGGCGATACATACGATGATAGTAGCGATTACCTCCGTCCGTCGCCAAATTATGGCATTGAGATTACCGATAATAATATGAATGTTTTACCTATCGGATATCCTGGCGAAATATGCATCTCAGGGCGAGGCGTTGGTCTTGGATATCTCAAACGTCCCGGAGAATCAAATCATAAATTTATACAGAGAGAATCCCCATCACCAAATACCCCGGCAATTAGAATCTATCGCTCTGGGGACATGGGTAGGCTGCTGCCGGACGGCACACTCAAGGTGTTTGGACGATTAGACGGAGGTAGCCAGGTGAAGATTCATGGATTTCGAGTCGAGCTCGACGAGATCGCCAATGCTATTGTGCATACTTCCAACGGGGCGATCGTCAATGCCGCGGCTTCATTACGGACCAATCAACCCCATGATGTTCTCATTGCCTTTGTCGTGTTCGATATCGAATTTGCAGGGGACAAGGTCAGTTTCATAGAATGGCTCTATTCTAACCTTCCCCTGCCACAAATCATGAAGCCAGCCTCAATAATTCCAACCCACCGAATACCAGCCTCTGCCAATGGGAAGACCGATAGGGTTGCCGTAGATAAGTTACCTATTCCAAATTCCCCGGTGCCCAGGACAACTGATCATCCCATGCGCGCGTTAAGCCCTATAGAAAGCTCAATGAAGGAAGTCTGGGAAGAGGTTCTCACGGCCCGAGCGAACTATTTTTCTGGTCATATACCAGAACAAGCAGTCCTACACCCTGGTTCGGATTTCTTCCAAGTCGGGGGCAGTTCGATATTGATGATCAAGCTCAAGTCTCTGATCGAGGTACAATTCGGAGTGACGATTTCCATGCTCGAGCTTTTCCACGCGAGCACTTTAAGCTGCATGGCCGATCTCGTTTCAAACGCCAGAGATACCGCCGAAAAGGCCGATTCGAGGTCGGCAGCAGTATCGTTCTTGAGACCTAGAGGAGCCCAACGAACAATCAACTGGGACCTGGAAATTGCTGGTTTAACCGATGGACTACCACAAACTACAATTACTACCTCACCGTACGATGCAAGGTCTTTAACTGGAAATGGGGGTCTCGTGGTCGTCTTAACGGGCGCTACTGGATTCGTTGGTAGACACCTGCTATCACGTCTTGTCCAAGAACCAAGAGTTGCACAAGTGCACTGCCTAGCAATGCGACCAGACGCATCTGGCAAGCCGCGCCACGTTTCGGTAAAAAGCGACAAGATCACCGAGTATGTCGGCGACCTCTCAACCTTCAGCCTTGGCCTCTCGGATCCCCAATTTGCATTCCTAACCGAGTACGCTCACATCATAATCCATAATGGCGCCGACGTATCTCTCCTGAAGACATACCAGTCCCTGCGCCGTGCAAACGTTGTGTCGACGCGTACGCTCTGTGAAATGGCCATTCCACGCCGTCTACCGCTACACTATGTATCGACGGCATCCGTGGCGAAAGTCATTCAACACAACGACACAGAGCCACTACCTGAGGTTCCTGCATTGCCGGCCGATCCCGATCTATTGAATTCGGTTGATGGTTATGCAGCCTCAAAATGGGTTAGCGAGATGCTTTTGGGGAAAGTAACGGCGGACAACGAGTTACCTACCTACGTCCATCGCCTGGCACACGTTATGGGTGAAGATGCATCCGAACTTGATGCTGTAGGTATGCTAACCAAGTACTCACCGTTGATTGGCGCGTTGCCGCGGATCGAGAGGGAGGACGTTACTGGTCAGTGGGATTTCGTCACAATAGGGGATGTGTCGAAGGATATAGTAAAATCCGCAATTGAGTCTGTGGTTGGAGATAAGATTTCTACGCCGCTACGAGAACAGAAAAACAGGGACATACACTTCATTAACCACTGCAACCAAGGCAAGGTTACTCACGAAAAACTTTCGGACTTTCTTGAAGACACTTCTGGAAGCCCTTTACGAGAGATTGCGATGAAGGATTGGTTGGAAGCGGCACGCGAAAAGGGTCTTCATCCGTTGGTGTACGAGTTTTTTAATGCCTTTAATGAGGGACGGGGTAAAATGGTCTTGCCTCTCATTTCAAGAAGTACCTGAGTTATCTCAAGTTATGAGTGGGTTGGGTTTGCAGGGTGTATTATCGGGGAATATTTCTCGTTTGTGAATTTGATGACTTACTCTTTCATTTATATTTATACACGTAGTTTCGTAGATACACAGCATGTGACCTAGTGTGAGATATATGTGAAGTGAATTGAATACTGCCATGGTAAAGCATTGGCATCTGGTGCTGCAGAACGATCAGGATTTGTTAGAAAGTATCTATCCCTTTCCCTACTACCATCAGCACTGCCCTATGAATAGTAGGAGAAAGATGGTGCCGAACCCCTCAGTCTAGGACGTCACATAAAGCATCAATACCTCTAAGGTAGTGCATGTACTGTGGATTGTAGTCGCGCGTCTGTGGCGGGAAGCATAAGCTAGCTCTCGAAGGGCGGAAGACAATATGATAGAACAAAACAGAGCTTTGAAATAATGAAATTGATGCAATGCAAACATATCCTATTCTACGTACAGTACATGTCTAGGATCCCCCTACTTTCGCCTTCCGTGACTCCATTAGTCATGCTATCGTTTTGCCCATCTACTAGGTATCTATCAGAGTAACACGTAGGAAGCGGGCCGTAGTCTTAAAGAGGTTGGGTTTTAAGGTATGGTATCAGGTCGGATTCGATTACAAAGTCTCCATCTTGTCTAGGATCGCGCGGGTGAATTCGTGCGTGGTGGCGTCACCGCCCATATCACGAGTACGGTACTTGCTGTAGAAATTGTTAGTATTGACGATAATTGACTTCAAATTTAGTGGGAAAAGCTTACCCTTCAGAGATGACACCGTAGACAGCCTTGGAGATACGGTTGGCGTGCTCGTCAAGACCAAGGTGGCGGAGTAGCATAGATCCGGAAAGGAGAAGAGCAGTGGGGTTGGCCTGGTCCTTGCCCTTAATGTCAAGACCGACGTGTCGGCAACCAGGCTCGAAGACGGCAACATCGCGTCCCATGTTGCAGCCGGGAACAATACCGGGGCCGCCGACAAGAGCAGCGCCAATGTTGGACAGGATACCACCGTACAAGTTGGGCATAACTAGGACGTCGAATTGCTGAGGTCGCGATACACATTGCATACTAGCGTTGTCTACGATCATGTCGTTGGTCTCGAGGGTGGGGTACTCGGCGGCGGTCTTCTGGAAAGTGCTTCGGAATAGACCATCGGCTAGCTTCATGATGTTGGCCTTGTGAATACAGGTGACCTTCTTGCGGTTATTTGCTAACGCAAAGGAGAAAGCGAATTTGGCGATACGCTCCGACTTGGCTCGGGTAATGATCTTGAGGGACTCGACGACACCGGGTACGCTCTGGTGTTCTAGACCACTATATTCACCCTCGGTGTTCTCTCGGATGATGCATAGATCGACGTCCTTGTGGCGGGTGTTGTAGCCAGGGATGTTCTTAATGAGGGAGATGGAGGCGTAGATGTCGAGTTCTTGTCGCATGGCGACGTTGAAACTCTGGTGTCCTGATCGGCTAATGGGTGTGTGGAGGATACCCTTCAACGCCAGCTTGTTTCTCTTCAATGAAGCGACAGACTCTCGGAACATGTCCTCAAGGCTGCCAGGCGAGCCACTCTCCACACCCGAAACGTCAACCTGTTCCCAATCGATAGGTACACTGTCTGCCTTGAAGACGGTCTTCACACTCTCAGCTACCTCGGCACCGATACCATCACCAGGGATAAGGGTGACGGTGTATTTGCCGCCATATTTCGTGGGCTTGAATATGTCGGACTGGACGGTCGCGAAGGAACGTGAGGCATTCTGGATGTGCGATTGTTGGCGAGCCGCAGTTCGCGCCAGGCGCTATAGAAGAGAACAAAGTTAGTTAAGTTGCCCTCGGCAGAACATGGCATGTGACAGGGAGAAGAGCTCGAGCCATTGGGCTTGGTAAAGGTGGGAGATAGGTACCTGAGCGGCTCTGGTAGTGTTTCGCGACAGCATCGTGTAGAAATTGACAATAGCAAGCTAAAAAGGGAATGATGCGTCGGAAGTGCTCGAGAAAAGAAAACAGTGATGCAAAGACTTGCAAATGGCGCAAATACTAGGTATTGGTAGGATGGATTTGGTGGAGGATGGGATTGGGTCCAAGCCGTGGCATTCCGATCGGGTGAACGGGCGAGCACGGTTACAATTTTTTTGAAGAGAAAACAACCTTGATTCCGATAGTCTAGTAACCTCACTAAGCCATTTAAGGTTAGCTTTGACGGAATTGTGTGTGAGAAGCCACAATATACTTGCAGATGTGGCAGTGTATCTTATCAGATCTGATCAACATTTAGCGAAGATTCCCGAGGTCCCCACTCTTCTTCATTTTCACAAACATTCATCATCAAAAGATAAACACGCCGTATACCTAATGGATTAAATATCAAGTCCGACTGAGGCAGTTAGTGTTTTGTGTTATTACTTAGAAAGAAATAAAATGCATTTAGTTGTTATTTGCGATGCAATAAACACCCCCTTAACGTAACCGAATCTTCGAGTATTCAAAGACGTCAATGACATCAGCGGCCTCCGCCCCTCTCTAAACTGTCTATCCAACGCAGTTTTGGCAACTATCTTCAGCTTGGGGAAAGGTTTTAACCATCACCATCGGACTTTAAACTTAAGAGGCCATGTCTTTTAAATGATTCTCAACTGGTGTAGACCACATGTGAACTTAATTGTCTATAGTTCCTCCTATCAACGTGAGCTATTGATTTAGTAGCTTCAGGGCGGTAGTACGTATATCCTCGGGTATACCGGAGAGCACCTACCATGCCGTCGTTCAAATCAGCCTTGGGAGTCTCGCCTGCCTATCAAGTGCATCCAGATATCTCGCGAGAAGGAATCGTTCTACTATGAGTCACGAGAACTTTCTTTCTGCAAATCCTAACTCAAGGTTCCTCTCGTCATTGCTTAAGGGTTATCAACGTAGCTGCAGTCTCCATTATTTCATGGGAAACGGTTCTCCATGGAGGAAGTGATAGGCATTGCTTAGTGCCATGAGTCTTCAAATCCAAATATCATGCCTCAATTCCATAATTTGTGCTTCTTTAACTCACCTAGATGACCCTAAGCCTGATATTATACTATGGGCAAGAGCCAAGTGCCTCACAAACCGTGGTCGTTTCATATAGTATCTGTCTCAAAGTGGCTCAATCAACGTCCGCCTATATCAACATCTCAGCTCTTCGGCCGAATTTGCTTCTTTTATGATTATAAACGTAAATCAACAGCCCTTAGCAATACATCCTAAAGGAAAATTCTGACCCATCGATGGATACGATACGAAGCACTCATCGGTAGGGATCACGAACTACCTAGACCATATAGAGGAGAAAAACGATACGAATATTTGGGAGTAACTCCTTAGAATTCCCCGTAATCTTCTATACTTAGTAACATCGAGTTTTTACTTGCCATGCCATCAGCCCAGCTTCGATAATAACCCACAGACGCACCGATTAGCCGCTCGCATCCTCAACGATATCACAAATGGCCCAGTACACCGCAGCAGCAGCAACTATGTCAGCCATCTCAGCGGCAGCAGCAATCGTCTGCAGCGCAGAGTCATACGCTCGACATGATCACCTATACAGGACAAGTCGTACAGACGAGAACTCGCCCTTCCAACCAGGCCCTCGACAACGTGCCCCATTCGCAAGTATGCGAGCTCGTCCCACTTACGGCTATTATGATCAACCCCTGTACTATCCGCCCGGGTTACACGAACACTACATACACCACGATGAGTGTCCAGGTTCACAATGCCATTATCGAGCTTTCGTAAGTTTTACCCGCGGGGTCTATAATCCCACTCTTTATACGTTTCATTCATCCCCTTGAAGAAGAGTATCCAAACTAACCCCCTATAGCTCACGGACTCAATCCAGCGGTACAACCAATCCCGCCGTGACCTCCGCCAAACATACGTATGGAACCTACACGAACTCGCGCGCCTACACGCCTCCCAACCCCAAAAACTCACCAAAGACAAAGACGCGGAAGCCGACCGACTCTATGCATACTACGTCTCACGGGTCCGCGACGTATTCGAAGAACACCGACAGGACCACCGGCGCCTCTTCGGACAAGATTACCTCTGCTGGGCGCAACCCGAGCGCGAGGATCCCGCGCAATTGTTACGCAACGGAATAGGAAGCCGGCTCGCGAGCCGCATGGGAACAACCGCCAATGAAATGATGCGCAACACCTTAGCACCGAGCGCTGCCGCCACACCTGCGATTAAGGAAAGCAGGGAAGAAGAAAGGTCTGAATCGTCTTCAAACAACAGGGTGATCAACGAAGGTTGAATTAATACAAATCTTTTTTGTTTCTGTGTTTTTGATTTCGTTATACACGCCTCTATGATTCCTTTCCTATCCGTCAAACACCGTATACCGATGCAAAAACAACCCTTTGCATTACATCCAGATAGCAGGGGGGTAGGGTGGGAATTCTCTAGAAACCTAAAACAACGCAAGCAAAACAAGCAAGTCTGGCTGGGTACTAACAATGGGGGGTGATGGTAATGGAGGTGTTACAAAACAAATAGGGCACCTTTTTCTCTCCTGAATCCCTTAGGTATCCTGTCCCTCGATAGGTAGATATATACTTACACGGCACGTTATTTTTAAATAGTAATAAACACGTGCTCTTTCTTTAGCGTTCATTCACTCACTTCACTCATCTCTCGTCTCATCTCTTCATTCATTCCCTTATTTCACGTAAGTAGGTTATTAGTAGTTCACATCCCCTCATCCTCATCTAATGGCTCAACGCGAACCAGAATCTCTTCAAGTAAGCCCTCGAGGAAAGTGCCCACATCCTTCCCCATACCTACGGGCTCGCTTTTGTCGAGACGGTCGATCTCCTTACATACGTTGGCTAACTTGTAAACGTGCTTGCGAATGCGATCGTGCGCGGCCTCTGCGCGCTGGCGTTGTGGCGTAACAACCTTCTCATGGCGATATACTTGCTGTAGCCGAATCTGTCGTCTCTTTAGCGCCTCTTCCAACGCTGGGAAGATGACATCATTCAACGCGTCTAGCTCGCCATTCGGGTTCGCGGGACCCGGAGGTGGGAATGAGTCTGGTGCGGGTGTCTGCTGTTTCGGTTGCACAGCGGCAGCTTTCGATGCGAACGCTTGCGAAGGCTGAGATTGTGGTTGCGGCGTTGCTCGGGAAGATGGCGGGGGTTGGTGTTGTGAGCTAGGACCGCGGTATGGCGGGATTTCGGGTAAGCTATATGGATTGAGTTTGGGGATGCGCTGTTGTTGTGAGTTCCTGGGGGTTATGTTTTGAGCATTCACGAATTGGGGTTGAGGCGGAGCCAGACTGAGAGCGCCCATGTCTTGTCGTAACTGCTCCTTTAGCGCTCGGTCGTAGTCGGCGGAAGTCATAGTGGGGGGAATGGCGGGTATTTGCTTGGACAGAGGACGTGGGGTGCTCGGATCTTGCGCATGCTTCGGTGGCGATGGAGGTAGAGGAACCTTCGAAGGTGATAAAGGCGCCTGTAAAGGTACAGGTTTTCGCTGGGGCGATGATTGACGGGATGTTCCCATCATTGAGGGGTTGTTGGCTTTTAGTGTGCTAGATACGGACGCGTCGGCGAAGTCTTGCACTTGAACTTTGCTTGGCGACATCGCTCTCGGGCTCTCGCCGTAGTCCGGCTCTAACGGTCTTGATGCTCTTGCGTTCCTCGCTGAATCGTCCATCGGGTTTAACCCGGGGCGATTCACCATTCCGCCTCTGTCTCCAACGAGACGGACCGTGCCAAAATCCCACATATCCTCATTGACACTTTCTGGGACTACTATGTCCTCTCCCGGATCGTAATTCTCTTCTTCCGACTTGTGTGTGGCGCTCCATCGATTGAAACGCTCGATTAACTCCGTCAGAGCGGTGGTCCTCTTCGCCTTTCGAATGAAAGAATGTTTGAGCAGATCTCTAGCTACTGGCCTTTCCTTCGGGTCCCTCTGTAGACAGAGTTCGATGAAATCCTTAAATGCCTTGGTGAAATTCCCCTCTAACCTCGGCGGGGGATTCTTCGGGATGAGAAACAAGACCTTCATGGGATGGATGTCGGCGTAGGGAGGTTCGCCATTGGCCAGTTCCAATGCTGTAATACCCAACGACCAAATATCCGCCTTGTGGTCGTACCCAGATTGCTTAATCACCTCCGGGGCCATCCAAAATGGGGTACCGACGAATGTGTTCTTCTTGGTCATGGTCGCTGAAAGCTGTCCAGAAACACCAAAATCGGCCAGTTTTACCTGACCATTGGAGCTAAGCAGAATATTCGCCGCTACATCAATATTATGTTAGTATCTCTACATTAGTAACGGGACTCAGACGCATATTATATACCCTTAATATCCCGATGAAGCTTCTTGTCCGCATGAAGGTACTCAAGACCCATCAACAACTCCCTTATGATAATTGCGATATAGTCCTCTCCTATCATGCCTGGTTTCATCAGGTCGGCGCAACTCCCGCCGGAGCAAAACTCCATAACGATCCATAGCTCAGCACCCTTCGCGTATGATCCGTAATATTTGGTAACGTATGGCGATTGTAATTCGGAAAGGATAGCGATTTCTTGTATGATATCTTCGACTTCGTCTTCGGCGCTCTCAATATCGATAACCTTGATAGCTACGGCTTGTCCACTTCGTTTTTCGACACTTTACTCTAGATTAGCCATTGACGCCCTAGCACAATTGCAATTATGGGCACAAACCCTTTAAAGACCTTTCCAAAGCTGCCTCCACCTATAGCGCACTATGTAAGCATAAATCGCCAACCGGTAAGCCTAGAGGTCTGACCTATGCAGTATTCCTTAGTGTATAGGAGCTCCGGGTCCAACGCCTCGTTGCTATCGTCATAATCTCGTTCGGCCATGTTGTCACGTAATTCTCGTTATTCGTAAAAGATCGTTTTGGGAACCGTGATAGTATAAAAGGGTTTATTTAAGTAGAGAAGTAGAAGAGGGGCCGAAAGGAGCGAATCGTGGTGACGGAGGATTGGTGGGTTCCGGAAAGGAGGTGAAGGTTGATATTGTGCTGAGAGAAAGGTATCGGACCTTCACCGAATAAACAAGACACTTATTGGATGTCCAATAAATCCAAGTCCGTAGCAAATTGCAAGACAAACGGCATTGGCTAGTCAAGAAGACAAATGAGTGTAGGGGCGCACCGTGGACCAAAGAGCGAACGTCTAATTGTTAATTGTCTTAATACAAGAAAATACAAGCCAAGCTTCAAGGAGAGACGAAAGATGGCGAAACTACCGGTGATTCGGTAACGTGCATGGATCAATGCGACATACAAAAAAAGTAATGTGCTGTAATGTCAACAAACGCGGCAATGTCAATCAATGCATGGTCCAGAAAAAAAGGGTATGGGACAAGTGACGAGTGGGCATTCGCGAGTTCAAAAAAAATAGAGGGAGATGATTTGTTATGATGAGGATACTAGGGCATGGAGTACAGAATACAGAAGCCTGGCAGGGCAGCAGGGCTACATTACAAGGTCCATTAGGTTCAACTACAGGGTTGCCCGCCGTGGGGTTGTTTGATCGATGGATCGATTGGACGGGAGGAATGCGGTGAGTTTACTTTAGTGCCTTAACTCCCTGTAATTCGTGCCGTGTCCCTGTCTTTGAGGGGTACCTGAGCAGCAACGCAGCGCTAACACTAGGCTGAGATTTCATGTCACATTGTTACGCCGTCACGTATTGATGTTTACTTTTGCTTAGTAATATAATAGCGCTAGCACCATTAAAGGTTAAGTCATGAAGCAGAAGCCGCTAAGACCCGCCAGTAGCTGGCCTTGGCATACATAAGTACATATGTAGCTCCACGTTACACTTGCCCCTCCAGCTCTAGCTTAGATACTTCACTAACAGCTCTCCCTCTTTTTCTATCTGTCACTCAGCTCCATCAAACATTCGATCCTAACATTAGGTAGTCTAGCCGTCGACATCATCTTCCTTGAAGTACAAACTAACCCAACCAATATTCTCACCAATATTCGAGGACGCGATCAACATGACTACTTATAAACAGTTACAGCGCGACCCTGTTTCGAGGGACCTTTTCGCAAATAGAATCACGACTCTACAAGGTCTACAGGAAGTTCTCAAGGACTCGGCCTTCATTGCAATAGATACCAAGCATGTCGCCATTACAAGTGAGAAGGACCGCGTCCTACATCAAGTCGGGCTCGCACATATTCCGATTCTAGGACAATAGGATTCAACGCACACGGATGTCGCATCATCTAGCACAGGCCAACCATATCTTGGGGATTTTTATACTCGAAACTGTATCCAAGCATTAACCCTCAATGTCAATATGAGCAAACACAGACAAGATGATATTATCCGTCTTGGAGGAGTTAAAGGTATGCCAGTTCGCCGCTCTCATCGCTTCGGCCAGAAACTGCAAGTCGATCCCGAAGACTTAGAGCCAATTATTGTGGATTTTATCCAGAGCTGTAAGAATAAGGCGAAACTAGTTCTAATTGGATTTGAGATGGCAGCTGAGTGGACATACCTATCCGAAATATTCCCTAAAGCCATACCTTTCTTCTCAGCTTGGGTGGATCTTCGTGATATCGCTAAAGATATAACGTCCTCAGTCGGGGTTATCCCGGGGTTGGTATCTTTACTTCAGATTTTCGGGTATCACTGGAAAGACCTCCAGCCCAGCAAGAAGGACTCAGGTGGTGGCATCACCGATAATGCCGGAGACGACGCCATAGCGACCTATGCTTTAGCTAACGCTCTCCTCAATTCAGAAAATCACGAGAGGCTAAGGTTCCGACAAGAATGTGGCCGAATTGCTCGCACCTTCACCAAGAAGAAAGTATACATGGTTTCCGATATATGAGATCCTTATACTGCGACAATCCGTGCTTCAGGTCAACTCCCGTCGATGATCAATTCAGGGATGAAGCTAGCCCGTCAGTTCTTCGTCTTTTCGCCCCAGTCCGTAGGAGTTATGAGTACCGAGATAGCCTACTTAACATTCAGGTGTCAAGACCAAATGAAGCAATTCGCCATTGCTACTCACGGACTAGTGTTGCCAACGGGTGAAACACTGTCGGCCCGGGCTTATGTCCAAGGAAATGGGGCAGCCGAGAGTGAGGATGATGAAAAGAAACAAAAGCAAGAGCTCAGGGCAAAGAAAAAGTTGGGGAAGACCGAAAGAGAAGTCGAGGAGATAGGGGATCTTTTTTCCTGAGCCGAGAAACCCACCCTTTCTTGTTACACCTAACGCCACGGCGCTACATCTCCTGCAAGCCACCCGATTCCGGACACCCACGTAAGCTAAACAGGCCATGCGACGCAGCCACAAATAGTCTTTACACGGTTGATTTATTATGATCAGTGAAGAGAGAACCAGGGAAAAAAAAAATGTTGGAATCAATTATAAATCTATATCGCAAGGACTGAAACTGATTCAGTAGTATGATTATGAAAAGGCATGATGGGTAGCGACGGTAGGATTCCCAACCTATCCCTTCCAAATATTCCAAATACACAATCTCGTTTTCAGGTAGTACACACGTACTAAGGTAGCATTGCCTGATCCAACCCCGACGAAAAATATCAAACCGAACAGTTTCGTTTATTCCTCTAATCTCCTACCATGTCAACGACCAGATTCGAGTATCGCAAATATACTTGAGGGATTTTAAATCGAAGTAAAGTCAAACTCGACTTTCTCTCTATGGCGGATCAAGACCCTAATTGCGGGATTCGCTACAATTCCGGTTCCGATCACTTTGGAATCGGCGTCCACCCCGGGCGATAGTTTCCATTCGTATTTTAATAATAGATGGCATAGGACGACTTTGAGAGTATTTACCGCGAAGAATCTCCCGGGGCAGGCATGCTTTCCGTACCCAAATCCAAGGTGGTAGAGGCTTGGGGATTCCAATTGCGCCATGCTTTCCATTCCAGGCTGTGATCGAAGCTTCAGGAAACGAGTTGCGTCCCACCGATCGGGATTTTGATAGACAACTGGATCTCTCATATAGGAAGTATCCGCCAAAGTCTGGGTTCCCTCTTTGAGAACGAGGCCGTTCGAGAGCTGTGTTTCTTTCTGCACGAGGCGGCGCAGCATGACTAAGCAGAGATGTTATTAGACACGCTCCAACGTAAGATGTTGTCAAGTCAAGTAGTACTCACTCGTTTCGAGGGGGTTCATGCGTTGCGACTCTTTCATGGCACTGTCGAGTAATTGCATTTTATAGAACGACGTCTTGGACATCCCTTCGGCTTGAAGTTGTTGGAGGACTTCTCCACGGATAGACTCAACGGAGTCTTGGTGTTGCGCAAAGTCGACCACAATTTTCTTCATGGTATCGCTTGTCGTGTGAAGTGAGAAAAGGGATACAGTTATACCAAAATTCGCTACCAGAGCCTCGTCATAGACCAGACCCCGAGCAGCCGCTTCATCTTCCAACCACTCAAAAGCATCATCAAATTTGGGTACCTCGACGCCAGCCGCGAGCGCAGCTTGTTTCATCTCTTGACGCTTAGTCATAGTTGGGGTCAGCAGCCGGCGTGATTCTTGGAGCTGAGCACGAAGTGCCTTGAACCCCGGTAACATCCAGTGCACAAGTCTATGGAGAGGCCGCGGCCATACGTGCAATTTCGGTGACTCGAAGAACCAACCATACAAATACTCCTTAGTGACACGGATCCAATCATCGTTTCGGCAAAGCTCCTCGCCCAAGAGGACGCGTGACGTTAGGCGAGAGACTATATCTACCAGTATGGGCAGTAAATCCATCTCATGCCAATCTATATTATCAGCCATCGCCATATGCGAATCTATACCACTTATACAACTCACCTGTAGAGTCGCCGATTGCATTAGACAGGATAAATCCAGCTTCATCAGATACGGCCTTTATCATACTGGCTATTACGATATTCAGCGATGGTTCATGTGTACGAGGCAACATGGATTCGATATACACATACGTTGCATCTTCATCAAGTGCTTCTTAATAGTGCTCAAGAGCAGATCACTCTCAGTGGCCAGGTGGATGGGTTCATACCCTGGTATCTGGTAATGATAATCCTATACAGATTATCAGGTCCAGTCAGCGAAATTTAGTGCATCATAGGTCAAGGGGACAAATGTTGAGTTAGAACACATGCCTTCCCGAAAGCCCCCAGAAACGACATGTCGGACTTATTGTGGATTTCCTCGATGAAGTCAGGCGACAAGACAAGTCTTTCACCCACGTCCGTCATAATACGACAAATTTGGTTATCTCGCAACTTCTCCCTGGCTTGAGCTGCTAGACTCTCGCCGGAAGCCAAGAATTTTCTCTTTTATGTGTCGCACATCAGTAGCTAGTTTCATATCCTCTATACCAGACTTGGCTACTCACCTTTGCTCTAGCACTAGAGAAGAAGCCAGCTGGGTTGACATAAGGGGTCCCCTTCATGGTGTCATTCGACAAATTCCATGAATATACCAACATCGCAGCCAATATACAGACAAGAAGCAAGTACGAAGGAGACTCGGTAGATAATGATGCCCATTGGGCTCTATCTTGCCCCACCACTGGGAGTTGGGAAGGTGAACTCATCGTCAAAAAGCAACTGGCGATCGAAAACCGATTGATTGGCTAAGGGTTAGAAAAAACTAGGTATAAGAAAGACACCAAAGATATACTATCTCCCTCAACCCTTTCCGCCTTCCCCAGGTCATGGTATATATAGACGATACAAACGTGGGATATCCTCCTTATCTAACCATTTGTCAGTCAACACACCCTACTTGTGCTCGTCAATACCCCCCCGCGGTGCGGTATGAGGTACTCTGACATGCATTAGTTATTACCAGTCACATCAGCTAGCAAGTTGCGACTCAGCTCAACTGCGAATGAGCCCCATCAAGATTGATCTTGGCCAGTTACGGCGCAGCTCTGAGCTATTCATACGTCAAGTAGATGTAGGTCTCGAGTGATCCCCGGTCGGCCGGCTCGAATCAAGCTATGTCTCGCTGTCTCAACCTGATTGTTGGGGGCGTTTCTTGCTTTAATTCCCGGGTGTTTATGGTTAAGACAGTGCTGTTTGACTCTGCTGACGCTTATAATAACTACCGAAGTATTGATATTATATCCTCGCCCGGGGCAAATGGATTCCGTTCAGCCGAGTTGAGACTCATCGTGTAGCCCAACCCCGAAGTCTTACAATCATAGGTTGACGCTCGGTGAGAGTATACTAAATGGAGTAGAATAGTTACACAAATGACGGGTCATGTAGCACAAGCTCCTATCACACCAGAGTTGGAGGTTGCTTGCGCTCAAGATCGTTCTATAACCTACCTTCATGGTAATAACCTGGAAGCAGATACAATATAAACTCCGTAAGCCTATGAAGTGGCTGCGGGGAGACATGGGATACTCATCTTTCTGTTTACTCCGGTCTTTCTCTAAGGACAGGCTTCGGAAGAGTGGTTCCACAGCGTGAGCCTAAAACTAACGCGGAGGTAAGCAATTCGCCATCTACAAGCAAAAGTTTAGGATCATCATCAATGATTCCCCTTCAGCGAACGCCACAATCTTCTAGTCGGATGTCGGCCACCAATGATACTTCTCGGAGGCCACAAGAACACATCTGCACATCCCACTCTGAATATCAAAAAGCAATGTGCAGATTTGAGATACGTGGAACGGTCGGATTCCAGGCGAAAGAAAATGCCTCTTGTGGATTCCCCCCAGCTATTTCACGTAATTTCAATGTACGGGGCTTTTTTTTCTGTTGAAGAACGCGATGGAGAGCTCCAGCGGGGAGGTCATATAAAAGGGGGGGGGGTGGGGGGAGTAGACTAGGATTATCCCACAGAACAAGATTGCTTTTTTTCTTCATCGCATCCCACCCCGGTTTGCCCGGTCTCAAACTAGAGCTACCCGACTGGTGGCTGGGTTACGCACTTTCCCGTCTATCACGGCAACCATAGCCATATTCGGTAGGGTCTAGCTGGGTCTGACGTCTAACCTAGTAGTAAACGCGTTGACCCACGGGGTTACTTTAGTGCTAGAGAGATCTCTAAAGCTTATCGCATTGCTTCTTTGGAAATGTTTGGCTAATTCGCACGACTAAGATTTACATATAATTACAAGCTAGAGAGCTAAGGTAATCTGAAGTCCATTTATTGGTTGTCATAGGTATTCAGTTGTCGCGGTCGCTCGTTATCTGGTAGGATTCAACCTTATCAACAAAACAGCATTAGTTACATGGATATCGGTGATATTGAGAGATGATATCACGATGGGTGACGAGAGCCTCACTTTTACCACGTGATGTCAATGACACCCAACACCTGCATCTCTCATCTATTGTTTTTGTCGGGATCGCGCGAATAATAGTAAATTTTTCGATTCGGCCCACTTACTTACCCATTGATACCCATACCGTTGCATCACCCACGCTTACAGTATTATTGGTCAATTCCCCTAGGGGAAGGAGAAAAAAAATGTTTTCAGTGGAGCAGCATTCCAAGATACGCCACTGATAGGGTGAATTAGGTAGATTTTATGCCGAACACATAGCGTAGCAATGGATGGACCCGAGCGGATCATGAGACTTTTTTCGGTCGTGCCGTTAATAGTCAAGTCTCGAACAATTAGGTTATCAATGGGTCGAACGGACGCCATTTTCGAAAAGTTTTTCTAGACGCTCATAATGTATCTCCGGCAGGGGGGGAGAGAGAGACGACGGTAGCCGTGCCCAGCAACTTTATTTATTTATATGATTCATCTTTTTCTTCGTTCGGGCATACACCACTGAAGTCTTTCTTTTCCGTTCGTACTCATTTTATTTCCCACAGGCGACCTATTACCTAAAAAGGGCCGTTTTAGTGCCTCGCCACAACCCCACGGCTCTCTCGTGAAGTCGATCTAACTGTGCGAGATGGACCCATCAATTTCGAGTGAAGGCGAAAAGAGTCCGGGGGAAGCTTCTCTGACCGCGAATGGCCAGAAAGATGTCGAAGCCGGTGAAGACCAGTTGCATCGTGGCTTGCAGAGCTACCATCTGCAATTCATCGCTATTGGAGGTACCATAGGCACTGGTCTTTTCCTCGGAAGTGGAGAGGCCTTGGCGACGGCTGGTCCTGTAGGATGTCTCATTGCTTTCATCTTCGTCGGCTCGATCGTGTTCTCCGTCATGACGAGTTTGGGCGAGATGGCTGCCTTCTTACCCGTGGCTGGAAGTTTTACCGTTTACGCATCTCGGTTCGTCGATCGCTCGCTTGGCTTCGCGATGGGATGGATTTATTGGTTTAGCTGGTCGATTACTTTCGCTCTCGAATTGGTCGCAGCCGGTCTTATCATTCAATACTGGGACGCGAACCTCAGTATCGGAATATTCATCGCTATCTTCTGGGCAGTTTTCACCGGGTTAAACTTCCTTCCGATTCGGTGGTTCGGCGCGTTTGAAATGTGGTTTTCGAGTATTAAAGTCGTTACCATTGTCGGGTTTATTATTTTCGCCATCTGCATCGATGCTGGAGTAGGCGAGAAGGGATACCTCGGTTTCGACGCCTGGAAGAACCCCGGCCCTTTCGCTGAATACATAACGACTGGAGACTCTGGGAAATTCATTGGGTTCTGGTCAGTTCTTGTCACTGCGGGATTTTCTTACCAGGGCGCGGAACTTGTTGGTATCGGTGCGGGAGAGACCCACGACCCCGCGAAGAACGTACCAAAGGCCATCCGATGGACTTTCTGGGGTATCGTGTCGCTATTCGTCTCGACTATATTCTTCATCGGCCTTCTCGTACCCTCGGACACCGATGCGCTTTCGATCGGAACTACGGATGCTTCCGCCTCGCCCCTTGTTATCGCTGCCAACTTGGCCGGTGTCCCCGTTCTTCCTCATATCATCAACGCCGTTTTACTGACAGCCGTTCTCTCTGCCGCTAACTCAAACGTGTACTCGGGAAGTCGAATTCTGGTCGGCCTCGCTACGGAGCACAATGCCCCGGCCTTCTTCAAGAAAACGAACAAGCATGGAACTCCTTACTTTTCCGTTGCTATTACGTCGGCTATGGGGCTTCTCGCTTTCCTTAACCTGTCGGAGAATGGTGGCGACGTCTTTGACTGGCTATTAAACATTACAGCCATAGCTGGCTTCATTACCTGGTCTTGCATTAGCATCTGCCACTTGCGGTTCATGAAAGCCTTAGAAGCTCGAGGTATCTCCCGAAAGGAGTTGCCTTATGCGGCTCCTCTCCAACCATACCTAACGTGGTTTGGACTATTCTTCTGCGTGTTGATTCTTCTTACAAATGGATTTACTGTCTTCATTGAGTGGAAGACTAGCGATTTCTTTGCAGCATATGTTTCGCTTATTCTTTTCGCTGTGCTCCTTATAGGACACAAGATTATCTACTGGAGAAGGCCAGTTAGGGTGAATGAGGTGGACCTTGACACCGACAGGGTCAAGCAATAATCTTTTTAATTGTATAGACATATTATAGATTCCTTATTTATGATACCCTTCATATCAAGCATCAATATCATCAACTCCATATGTATCTTGACGTAATCGAAAACTCGTAGTTGTTGCCTGTTTAGCAAATACCAAACTAGGATCTCCTATGTAGATGCCTGGTGGAGTTTGTCTGAAAGGGAACGCTCTACCCCTTATCTACTTGTACCTCGCTCCTACTTCATACCTGATACAATATGATATATAGATTCAAGTAGTTAAACTGTCCTAAATTAAGATTCAATAGTCTGAAGTGTTGAACGTAGAATAGAGTTGTTGAATAGGCGGCGACTAGGGTTGCTACAGGGGCGCCCCCCTTTACTACCACATACGCACCCGCCACCTCCCATAAGATTGATAGGTAAAATATCCACTGGCACCTGTAAAACACCATAATTAAGAGGTTAGTAACTTCTTAAAGCTTATCGAAAATTTTCAGTGGACAGTGCATTGTTTGGACACCTCGCGCTAACGACTATTTCTGTTCTGGCCGACTGGACGTTTCTTCTTCTCCTCTCTTCCTCTCTTCCTCACATCCAAACATAACCACCAATTTCACCGGAATCTCCCCTCAAGTCAAACAATTAGCACTCCTACTTTCACTAAGGACCCGAGGCCTAAGCTATATTTCTAATCACAGCAACAGTGTCAATCTCGAAATATTTTTCTCCACACATTAATCTTCCGGCTTCCATCAAATACAATATTCTTCTTCGCACCTCACTTGTCCAACGCAACTGGTTTTCTATCACCATAAAAAAAATAATTCAACTTCAGTTACACTAAGGTTAACAAGATGGCACCCTTAAAGCCACTTACATCAGGAGGGAAGAAGCGCTCGTACGATAACTACAACGAAACCCAGACTCCTTCTCTTGAGGATGAGACTCCCTCCTCTGAGGAGCCTGACCACAAGGTTAAGAACCAAGATTTCCAAGACGTCCACGCGGATCGCGAGTCAGAGGTAGGTGATTCTTTCCAGTGTTCCTTAACACCCCTTCAAACCTATCTCGAGAGTAAAATTGCCTATCCTCACTAGACACAAGAAGTTCTACCTAGGTACTCCTGAATCAGAGCCTCAGGAATTCGGAAGTTGTTTGATATAATAAATACTGACACGTATTAATACAGGACCCGCGGGACTTCGTTACAGAACCTGACATAAAAGTAGAACCCCCAGAAGATTCTTTCCACGACTACTGCTACGGCTACGGCTACCAGTATGGTGTCCAACATGCCATCGACGAGCTGTCCGAAAGCGATTGCAGCATCGACGGCTCGGCATCAAGCGACGACTACAACGAGCAACACATTGCTGAACAGCTTGGCGGCTACACTACGGGGTACCACCACAACCATCACTTAGCTAGTCAGACTCAAAGCCCTCTCTCTCACTTAGGGACTATCATCCTACCAAGAAACGCCGATATCCTTGTGCTCTCGGATGGTCGCCAAATCCCCGTCGAGGGACTTTCATTCAACTTCTACTCGTTTCACGAGACCGAAAGCGTTTCTTCGCGGACGATGGGTCGTAGCCCTGCCAGATAGGCTTACCGGAAAGAAATAGGGGACTCCGAATATCCCCAATACCCAGTACACCAACCCCAGCACTCGGTCCAGTATCCCGAGTACCCGGTTGACTATCCCCATCCCCTAGATTGGCCTTAAAGGAGTTTGCGCGAGCTTTCGCTTTGGCGTGTCATTTTCAACTCTTATCTTCGTAAAACAAACGTCGACCAAATGTCGTGGGTGGTCACTTTTTAATCATGATTTTGTTTAATAGGAAGATCCCCATGTCAGGAGCCAAGCCGATCGACTCTAAGGTGGTTCGGAACAAATCAAAACTAGGGAGCGTAGTGAACGGCAAGTACAAGGCAGGGACGAGTGTGCCGTGGGGAGTACCAAGATGGATACGGATTTTGCGCCTATGCCGCCTGCGATGTTTATAGCCTTTTGATTCTTTATTGTGGATTGTTTCTACCGCGGCGTTCATATAAAGTTGTAACACTTGAGATAACAACCGATTGGTAACACTATCTATGTGTTGAAGTAAGGTCAAGGAGCTGTCTTCGGGTACTGTACATGGTAACTCCAGTGGTGTAAATATACGTATCAGGACTGCCTTAATAGACTTACTATGTAGCTAGTACAATAGTCAAATATCAGACGTACGGCTCGTACACCATGCCCTTCAGCACTATAGACTTATGTTTGTACTGATATTCATACATGCAATGTATGAATCGGTTGCTTAGTATATTGAATACCGAGGCAAAGAGTATGTCCTTTCTCCGCGATATTCACAACAAGCATTTAGCAAAACCCCTCTCTTGCAGACAACAGCGTACATCACCAACATAACACGAGAACAAGAACAGTAATACTATGTAGAAAACGGATTCGGATGCTACTAAGCCCACCCTAACTACCTATGTCTAAGTATCAATAATAGTCACCGCCGCAGCAGTAGCAGTAGCAGCGAAAAAGCAAAGCCGGCCGTTACGTAACTTCGGGGGGCTTATGACGTTAAAAATCTATAAACGCAACGAGTCAAAGTCGCGGGAAAAGAACAATGCGTTTCCGATTCGTCCAACTCCGGTAACCTCCCTATTGATTGATTGATCGATCCCTTGTGTGCGGGCAAGCAATGTCCATGTCCATATCCGTCCATCGTATGCCCTTCTCTCATGAGTCTTCGATAAACTCGATCATAACCGTGCCTTGCTTAAGCCCAGCCTCCTCGATTGTCTTCTCGAGTTCGTCGATTAAGTCTCTGCCTGCTGGCATAGCCTTAAGCTCGAATGTAACACCTTGCTTGCCTTCAAGCGGCTCCGCCTTAAGCCACTCGTAAATACGACGAACGGGGTCTGTGATGGAGAAACGTCGAATGATACGACCGCCCGCGTGCTTGAACTGTATCCTCGTCGTAGTCGCTGGATTATTCTCAGGCTCGGTGTGTGGGTTCGTTGCTGATATTTGCGTAAACGGTGATTCGGGTTGGGCTGCGCTAGTTGAATCAATAGATTCTTCGCCTTCTTTACCTTTACCTTTTCCAATGTCGTCGTTCGATCTCGTAAGCGCATCCGGATCCTGAACACTAGGTCCCGGCGAATCACCATCGTCGCCTAGACTGTTCTTCAATGCCATCTCGAGCATTTCTTCCTCCGTCATTCGTCCGATATCCACGGGCCTAGCCTTAGGCTTTGACTTCACTACTGGATTCTTGCTGTTTGCTGCCAAGCTATAGCGGTCAAGGAACTCAACAAGATCCGCGTGAAACTCCGTCGGGCTGGGGAACGATTCGCCCGACCAAACCTTAACCTGTTCTCCTGTGCGAGGATCAATGATAGATACGTGAGGGTAGTTGTTCTCGTCTTCGTGTGATTGGTTGAGGAAGTAAAATCCAGTGTAGGATTGTGCCAACGGGTCGTCAAGGGTGTACTGTAAGAAAATGAAATGCTCCCGTATTAGAGATACGATACTCTCATTCTTCCAGTGATCTCTGTTAAGCACTTGGCATCGAAAGTCATCCAGCTTTTGAAGGTTGACAAGGATCCACTTCTTCTCTTCCTTTCCTACGTCTCGCGCGGCGTCTAAGGGTAGGCGGCTGATTAGACCGTTGGGCGGTGCGAATAGATCTCGTAATCTTCGTGTGGTAGAGGATGTCGGTTCTGGGGCAGGTTCCACGTTACGCGATCGCCCGGACGGGCCGTCTTCGACGTCGAACCATTCCACCGAGGATTGGTTGAAAGGGTTGGCGCTGGAACCTAGTAAAGTTAGCAAGTCGAAAACGCTAGGCGATTGTTCAAGGTACGAACCACCCTGAGCCGCTCGTCGTCGGTGACGTAGTTGCTCTAGAACAGCGGCTTCTCGGTCGTCTTCTAGACCCCACGAAGGGTCGGGCGCCGCGAGTGTCTCAGTCGTCTGCGCTATCGGAGCTCGTACTCCATCCGTCGACCCGTGGTTCTCCGAGTATAACTCATCCTGCAATCGCCTCGCCATCGCCTCATCCTCTTCTTCCTGTGCATTCCTCGCTATCGCTGCGACATCATCGTCATCGTCATCCGGTACGCCGAAATCATGGTCCGCCATCTGGACGTCATCGTCGTCGTCGTCTGAATCTATGTGAATAACGCCCCGGGCATCTTCGCGGCCGGTAAATCCTTGGCTTCGACTCGTGCTAGGTTGTCTTGCCGTCGATGTAGCAGTGGTCGAGGAAGCACCGGGCGCATTAAAGCTCGCTTGAAGCTCTGGATTCTCGAAAAATAGCTGGATGGCCTGCATAGGGTCCCCACCTGAAATTTCGAGATAGCCGCGAGCTACTTGTTCGCGTGCTACGCCGGTGATGGCCATGAACTGCTCTACGTCTTCGTCCATGGTGTCCATGTGAATGGGTTTGTTCGGAGTCGGGATCGAAGGCGAAGGGATGATTCAGCGGAGTTAGGTGGAAGGATCGAATGTGAATATGACTCGGTGCGGAAGAATGATACTCGGTCGGCGGGATTAAGTCGAGTTCCTATCGTCAAAGGTGCCGGTAGAATAGTAGTAGGTGTGCGATAGAAACGATCTCGTTATTGGGAAGCAAAACGAAGGGGAGAAATAACGAAACTTAAGAAACCTCGGAACACAGTGGTCCAGCCTGAACTCCTTGTTCGTTGTTTGCCTGGAACAATGGCATGGATGGAAGATTATGAATGGTCTGGTATTCTCGAGAAATGAATTCAAGTGTTGTAGTTGTAATTGTTTAGCCAGCTCGGCAAACAAATAAAATCAAAAGGGGTCTTCTTCGTTTGTTGTTTCTGGTAAGAAAGTTTGGGGGACGGATGACTTTGGTGCGCAACGGACGCAACGCTCATGTATATTGTATGTACACTATCATGGGCTCAAAGGCGGCTATTGTGACGCAACACAATCTTGTGGGGCCGACCACCGATAGGTAGATAGGGCAGATAAGGTACAAATTAGTGGGGTATCAGAGGTATCAGAGCCTTATCTTTTGCCGGCGAATCTCCGTCGCTGACCACCCTGCGACCTTACGACCTAAGATTTTTATTTTCTTGCTGACGTAAACTCAATTAAAAGATCACACTGTGGGATGTGTATGTTTCTCCGAGCGAATTATCGTAGCAGTGGGCGTAATGAGGCGCAATATTAGGCGTATTAACGGGCAGAATTTTTAATACTGCATATTCATCAAGGTATTGTCTCAGTGACTGTACCTTGGTGTCAAAGTACATATGTACATGGTTACGAATGTTAATGGGTACCTGAGGGGTACATAGCGGATCGGTGACGGCCTCTTGCGCCTGCCTTTAGGTAACGAACGCCAACCTCGGAACGCCACCGACAGCACGCACCTACCCTAAGTGATGCAGGTGTGAATCATAATTTTTTCCTGCGGATATCACGACCAAAGAATATAGAGGCAAGTAGGCAGTAACAAGTCACTAGCCATAATTAATTATCACTGAGTGGATGTGGAAAGACGTCATAACATGTTACAACATCCGACCTCTATATCCATTACTCTGTAAGCTGATTCATATGTGAGATGCAAATCAATTAAAAAAATCTATCAAACGTCTCATTTACTCATTATCCCATCGTCCTCTAAGAGGCAAGCTGTTGAACTACCTGGCCCAAAAGCTTCTGGACATCAATCGAACGCTCTCCCTCTATCATCGCCTTAATCTTCTGCGCCATCTCCTCATGCAGTGGTCCTTGTCCACTAGCTGGGCCAAATATGCCCTTCTTCCATGCCTTGACGAACGAGTCAAGTGCTTTAGCCCTGCTCGATCGCTGGTTTTCAAGAACGACGTTATTTTCGTCAGCTGCCAGTAAGCGGAACCATCGGGTAGCGACTACTCCACCAGATGGATCAGAAGAACCTTCCGAAGATGCTGCTTGATCTATGATCTCGGTCGCACCCGTGAACCAAGTATCCTTAGCCAGCGAGATCGCCTCTTTGGCACCTTCCATCGTAGTAGCTATCTCGCCGAGTACAGTAGCCGGGTTCGCTTGCATCTTTGGACGATTGTATGCCGTTAAGGCCACTTTGAGTGCCGCATCGGCTGTCCTCCGCTCCAGCTCCGTGACTTTATGCGCTTCCTCGTCAGGTTTCAAGTGTTCCGAGACCAAACCAACTGCTTCCGCGTACATATCCAAGTCCTCCCTGGCGCTAGCAAACTCCGCAAGTGCTTGGAAAGCATGGGGTCTATACTCGTCGTTATTCCGTTTCGCCTCGCGGATAGCGATCTTCTTCAATTGTGCCGCAAAAGCCGAATCCGACGTCCAAAGCTTCTTACCGTGCCGCACGAAGAGGGGATATGCGACCACCAGTTTCTCCTTGCCCTTGAACGTTTTGAGCGAGAGCGCCTTATCTAGTACTGGCCATATTCTCCGTAGATCCGCGTCGGCGAACTGTCCATCCTTGCCTACACCACTACTCAAGGCCGTAATCATAGATGCGATTGTTAAGGCAGCACCGTGTTGAAGAGCCCACTTCGAAGTATTCAGACCCTTTGACACCAGGTCTGTGATTTCATCCACAAAACGCTTTACACTATGGCTTCCTCCGGCATGTTGATTCCAGACAGCCTCAAACTCCTCCGAGACATAATCATCGGTGTCATGTTTTCCCAAGTATGCAAAAGGTAGGAGGCGGGCCTCTAGGTCGGTGAATGCGTCCGGAGAAACCTTAGCTATAGCTAATACCGCGTCGGAAATCTTCTGTCGCCTAGTATCGTCTTCAGATCCAAAGTATAGATCTAGAAGCCTGGAAGTGAACCGATCTCGAGTTTCTAAAGTCGCTGATCGTAATAAATAAGCAGCACTCCTAGCGTACGCTTTACTCGTTTCGTGATTTCGATCAAGGATCTGTGTCTCCATTGTCTTTAGGAAGGTCGCGTTATACGGCGGCAAAAGAATGCTGTGCCGAAGAGCCAGGGTGCTGAGGACTTCGGCGCAACCAATTTTCGTCTGCATGCCGATGGCCGACTTTATAGTCGAGACCAGTTGTGGAGCTAACTCCTTCATAACATCATCATCAACGAACCGTAAGCAGTTAACGACGCATTCGAACATAGGCGATCGCGTAGCAGCGGTACTTCGCAGCTTATCAAGACCTTCACGATCCTCCTCGCCAACTCTTTGGTAATAATAATTGACGACCTCGGGCTCCACCGTGCTAAGAAGCCCAAGTGAATGTGTAATGATGACAGGAATGAATGGCTTCAACGCATCGCCTCCATTCTTGACAACATCTAGGACTGTGGTGATTGCCATAGCCTTGACTTCCTGGACTGAATTCTCGATACCCTTATCGGATAATAAGAATGGCAAGACCTGAGCAATCATCGCCTTTGCAGAGGCAGAAGAATTGTTCTCTGTGAGTTGTGTAACCAGGGTCTTCGATAAACCCATGCACAACTTCAACGCCGCGGCTCTGACTGAGCCCTTCTGGTCATCTAAAACTCTCAAAGTCACTTTCCAAATATCCGTATAGTACTTTTCATATTTGGGGAATGGCTGCCCGTAGATGAGTTCGGCGATCGCAGCACAGCTAGCTTCTCGTACGCGCCATTCTCTTCCATCCAATATGCTTTTCAAAAGGTCGTTCATGATAGCATCGAAATAAGTGTCGAGAACGACTGTTTGGTCTTTGACAACAGCTTTCCAGATATCATCCATCGATCTTCGGACGTTGGAATTTGGATCGAATCGGTACCGATACAATTTCGGATATATCTTGGGATCCAGTTCAGCGTCAGATAAGATATTGCTTAAACCAAATCGGCCAAATGCGGAACGGGCAGTCCATGTCGCAGCATTGGTGGCTAGAGCCATGAACTTGTAAATAAGGCTTTGATCACCAACTTCGTTGGCGAGGCTGATGATATCCTTATATGAAGTGATAGATTTGCCTTCCCCTGTTGGTAGGGCACCAGCGTCAAAAAGCTCAGTATCATCGTCAACCTTCAATTGAGTTTTGGTTCCCGTAAAGCTTGCGACAAGGTCCTTCACAAGATCGCCCTTGAGCGACTCATCTCCCTTTTCGTACACCAACGCAAGACCCCGCGATGCAGTTTCTTGTACAAGTTCGTCGCGAGCTGTAAGCAATCGCATAAATGCAACTTGACACTCACGTAAGCGAGACTGGATCTCGGGGAGATTAGAGCAGTATTGAATGATACAGAACAACCATATACCGGATGCCTTCAAAAGCGACGGCTTGGTAGTCTTGCAGTCAGAAATGAGTTTATCAAGAGTGGCGCTGATTCTAGCGGGCCGTTTCCTAAGAACTTCGATGACGTCGGTTAGACCAGTTCCCTCGGGTCTTACGTCCAGCTCAAGTTGTACGGCTTCAGAATCCCAACGAGCAATTGCACATGCAATTGCTTCTCCCGTGGCAAAATGAATTTCCGTTCTCTTAATCTCATATAACTCGAATAACTTGTCCAAGATTCGTAATACAGGTCCTGTCGCGTCATCCGACGCATCGGCTAGAGACGGCACAGCTAATCTTCCTAACGCACGAATTGCTTTTTCGTTTCCTGCGGTCGCAAGCTTAGCGAGCGAGTCTATAGTCTCCGTCAAATCATCCTCCTTGGCAGGAAACAGGATGTTCGCAGTCCATAATTGAGACATGGACTCCATGGCAACAGCTTGGATATCCGTGCTTCCCTTCTTCATCGCAGATATGAAGCTCTCGTAGATAATCCGGGCCTCGTCGGTCGCCGTTTTATGGTCGAATCGGTTGTAGTAGACCCCTCGAGAAAAGAAACTGGCCAGACAGGTAAGCGAGCCTTGATATTCCGCAGACATCGAAGCCGAAGGCTCTTGATTGGACTTGACCACATCCCGTAATTGAATAACGAGGGTATCATAATGGATATACCACGGTGCAAGTTGTCCAAAAACTTGTGACGTCAGCTGCCTCACCTTTTGGTTATTCGACTTGATTGTAGGGAGTAATATTGGTACTCTGTCTGGGAGGCATCCAGTGAGCATTGCCGATTGTTGGAGTGATTTGAACGGAGAAAATGTCATGATCTCTGCGATACAGCGAATACTTTCCTCCGTGCCAACCTCGGGGTGATCTTCAAGTCCATTAAATGCTGCTTGGAAGAGTGATATAAAGGGAGTCTCGTCTGCATTGGCGAAGTATTGTCTAACGGTATGGCGGGCTTCCAGACTATTCTCTATATTTCGTTCTAACTGTGACTCCCAATCTACCTCGAATTTCTTCTCGTTCAAAGCGGTAAGAAATAGTATTTGTTTGACGAAATGCAGCGCAATTGGGAAAGCGTTTATAGAGTTCTTTCGGAATAGGGTATATCTAGATGCGTGGTCTATGTCCATTCGATTCTCGTCGCCGTCGTCATCATCGTCGATTGCAAAAAATGTATTCGTTAATTCTATCCAATCGGGTAAAACAAGCGCATCGTCGGGGTGTAATTTGGTGGCCCACCATGGATCAAGTCCGCGCTGGCCCTCTTCTAGAACGTCGCGTCGCTCGGAAGAACCTCCACTACTGCTTAATGCAAGAATATTGATCCACCGAGCTTGAATATTATGGTAAGGAAGGCAATTGTTTGCAAAACGTGCCGCGACATGCCGTGCCGTCCTTCTACCTTGTACTGCGGGCAACGTCATATAGTCGAGGAGTAATATTTCAAGATCGCGGGTTTCTGCCGGAGTAGTTGGCTTGAAAAGGCCCATAATACTCGACAAGGCGCTCTCAATATAGACTACTATGTCCAAAGTTGGATCGGAGACGAGGGAGTCGAAGAGCCACTTGAGAAGAGAAGTTTTCGCTTTATGTTCGAAATGGCTTCCTCGAGCTAGAATACCGATAGTTTCGTATGCATTAGCTCGTAATCTCTGTTCGTCTTGAATTTGCGATTGATTTCCTCGAGGAGTATATTCCGGCCACCCTTGTCTCAGAATATAGTCTTTCAATATTAAAACGAGAGCAGGACCCATGTCATTACTAGCATCAGGGGAAGTGGAGCTATTTCTAGCGATCCAACCTAGAAATGCCAGCAATGCCTTGTTAAGCCGGAGTGCTTCAAGACCTAGGACAGAAGCAGCATCGCCAGATCCCAGGTCAAAATCCTGCTTGACAGCTTCTACAACTTCATCCTTGAAACTGCACGCAACTGTAGACTTAGACAATAGCTTGAGGATCTGTATTCGGTGGGCGGCAGGATATTTCTTATGCGCACTATAAAGCGATTTGATCATATTTTTATCTTCGAGACTGACGTTTGACCGCTTCAAGACGTCATCAGCGATCGATGTGATACGTGAATCTGCGGAACCAGCAGCACATATGGCCGGTATATAACGTTCGTGGTCTGTGAATGCGCCACTAGCCAGAAAATTGACAGCCTTAACTTTGCACTCCGGCAAACTCAAGCTAGCCGGACTACCCGGTTGCCAGGCTTGGGGATTGTTATTCCTGAGGAACGCAACATCTTCTCTGGAGAGCCCTGATGGCAAAGCCTTGAGCTTTTCATCGAGTTGTTCGTCTTTTGCCAATGCTAAGTCTTGTCTTAAGAGGAAGAGCTTGCCAAGCCACTGCGATACATAGCTGGCATCGGCCGGGTCCGAGAGCCCGGTACGCTCCCGAAGCGTAAGGTCTTCGTTACTGCCCCGTCCCGGGATCTTAATGTCAAGGAGCAAGCGCAAGAAAATATTAAAGAACCCAGCTGCACTAGCTGGGCTACTCTCTTTGGATATTCCTCGAAGAACAATCGGAAGGAGTTCTCGTCGCTTCGGTTGATCGAGTCTCAAAATTCCCTGCTTTATGAGGTTCAAGTCTAGTTGCTTGACCATAGGTGAACCTGTGTTCTTGTACTGATTCACAAGAGCCGCAACCGGCAGAACAACGCTGATGTATCGTTAGCACAAGACTATCTTCACCGATGAAACAATAAACATACCCTACGGGCTTAGCAAAGTTATTGACACTGATGAATGCTTGAAAGGCCTGCCCGAAATATTTAGCATCATTCTCGTGGTTATACGGGATTATTGATTCCGTACAGCATCTCGAACAGCCTTATGAGGACTACCAGCTTTCTCAAGGAGGGGAACGAGTTGAGCGTGAAGCGCATCGCTGAGCTTTTTCTCATCTCCGGAAACACTAGCGAATTTGTAGCGTATAGATGAGACGAGCCTTAGCTCTGCCCCTTCGTTGGATGAACTCATGATGGATTGGCCCCGCGAGGGTAAGGCTGGCGCTAAGGTATGCGAGAGAGCCTAGAAAACCGATCGACTTATCGCAACATGAATTCCGCATAAAATACTGAATTATGTAATGTAGAAATTACCGATAGTCGATCATTTGCTGAAATAATGTTCGTAGACTATCTCAGTCCATAGAACGATCTTATCGAGTGAGATCAGGCATTAAACTTGGTCTCATATCTCCGACCGTAAATTAAGTTGAAATGAAAAACGAATCAATCATGATCCTGCCTACTGAAAAGGGCTACAAGATCTTTTATTTTTGGCCGTATCCCATCACAATACTTGGGAACCGTTAGCCAGCAACATGCGCACGTAACAAATCAGCTGGTGGAAGCAGGTAGAAGGGTGGCGGCGGTACGAATCCCATGCCCAAAAAGAATGTGGGCCTACAAGTATGGCACAGCCACATGTGGCTTCCAATCACCATCAACCCCTCCAGGCTTCAGTCCCGCTTACGTGAACCTTTTCTTTCAACAAACTTCCCATCGAGAGGTCAAGTAGGCCAAGTACCCAGACCCATTTCTGGCTATTTGTCAATATTAATTCTATATCTATACGTATCGCTAGTCTCCTGTTAATTCATAAGCCGATATTTCAGAAGCAGAAGAGACGCGTGCTCGCACAACTATTCATTATACACGCAAATGATCATCCCAAGATTGATAGGAGGTTCTCGGTCAAGTAGGAAGCCGGATTCATTAAGGCATCGAGAGCAGCCGATTACTTGACTGCGACAAGTTTATAGCTCGTATCTGAATTATCATTAGTTTCGCCTGAGACTGTCCGAGATACAGCAACTCTCTCATGCCATGATAGCCTCTGCATCCGCAGCTAACCTACTCCAACCACCCATCCCTCTCAGCATTTTCCACACTCCCGGTGCGATGGATTACTTTGACAGAACGCAGATCTCGCAGAGACGACTTCTAAGATTATAGACGCAGAATGGGGCCGAGTTCGGCCTAAACTCCGATAAATTACGTTTTGCGATAAAATTCTAGTGTGGCGGATCTGTGTTCTGGATGATGCCGTACTACCCTAGCTGGATGATCGATGGATCTTTCATTTCCGTATCTACGCTACCGACTATAGTTCTCGACGAACCGACATGTTAGATTTCATTCCATAGAATCAACATTCAAGGCGAAGTGACTGTAAGCTGATAGAGTTGGAGCAATATCTCCTTGGACGCGAGTAATGCGGAGGTGCTCAGGCTAACCATGGCCGAGAGTAACTCATCATTGTGATGAAAGCTCAGTCACAGCGCACACCATTAGCTTATATAGCAAAGCACCACTAAAGAAACTTAAGCTTTGTGTGCTAATAATTGTTTGCGTGACTCAGTGACCTCAGATCTCATCTAAGCTTAGGGCAAAACTCGGAGAGCCGGAAGAGCTGTTGAAGACAAAGCGGAGCCGAATTCCCGCTAGCTTTGACCTTGGCTTGACCACACTACCTAGGTGCGCGGCACCAATTGATGGCGCAAAAATAGCACAGGCAAGCTTTCAAGCAATCAGGATGTAGTTTCGGCAATTAAAAAGATTTGTATTCCCAGATTTCCAGGTCTTAGGTATGAAGCTTTCCCAGCTACGCCTTGGCACGCCATGACTAGCTCGTTTTGAAAGAGAAAAAAGAAAAAGAAAGTTGACTCCCGCATTTGCAGAGCTCAAGTTGACAAGCTGCACCAATGATGTGAGGTAACTATATTAGGGATACGAAATAACCCAATAGAATACGGTTCTTGTGCCTTGCAGACAGACGTATTTCGTACGATGTATGCAGACCGGAGCCTATAGACATCATCACACAAGGATAATTAAAGAAAAAAAAAAGGATCCAGAATGCAGACCAAATGGTTAGGTGCATGCGCGTAATTACTTACAAGGTAGGCAGATCAGGAAAACCAACAACGAAAGAAGAAAAAAGTTTGCTAGTCTAAAATAAAAAGGAATCGGGAAGATACATACAGAAACGCCCTTGTCTATCTGTAACTTGGATGTATCTTGAAGTACTTCCTTTTTCAGGTTCTCAGTAACACGAAGCTAAGACTCGTCCGGTCGCGTCCTGCGTTGACTGGAAAACATTGGAAGTTTATTCGGTAATACGAATTTATGTGAAGCGATAGATATATTATATCGATAAGTACAATTGATGTGTATAGTATAGAATTGATATTTTATTCGTTTTATTCATTCGCGTACTCGTATTGACGTATACTTTTAACAAATCTAGTATTGGTCTCCCTACATGGTTTCCTCTTGCATTAAGGTACCGCAACCAAAAAAAGAAGCCCACTGTTTACCGCACGTTAAAAAAAAAAAAAAAAAGGTACTTAAATACCTATCATTTGTACATACTTTAATGCTTGTCATTTCGCAAATCTGCATTTAGGTCACCAACCAAGCAGGGGTCTTGCAGATCGTCGCATTTCCCGGGGTGAGAGCTATTTTGTGATTTGAGATCGGGTTCCAGATTTTGTAACCATCCCCTCGCACACACGTGCTGTTGCTCCGTCACACAACCAATCTGAAGTCGTTTGCGGTAGTGCCCGAACCAGGACATTGATACCATAGCATAGTACCTAGCATAACTAGCATGCCTAGGAAGGCGACTAGGTTCATACTCCAATTATGGAACCCACCTTGCTAGAATTTCGTTATTTACTAGTAAGGAATGTGACATATTTCTCTTCCTTTCGATAGCTTCATCTATACATCTTTTTTAAGTAGGTGCCCCCTTCACTGTACATGTATATAGTGCATGAGATTGTTCTAGGTGCTACCAGCGAACGCAGGACCCGAATTAAGACATATGATAGGTTACGTAGGTACACTATTTAGACGGATAAAAAGACGCGTTTCGAAACGAGACCTGCGGAACAATCTCGAATTATCACCCCTAATAACAGATGGGGCGGCCGCATTAAGCTTTCCCTATACGAATGGGTATAGATAGATAAGAATTGATATATTCATTGAATCATATAAAGTAGATAAGCAAGATATCGTATTCCTGTACTGCAGCGAGCTATGCGGGTGTCGGGAAATTTGAGGTGAATGTTTAGCGAACGGACACAAAGCAATCTATCTACGAAAGCCTCTTCTCCCCTAACAAGGCATTCAAATTTAGACTTAAGTCCAATTCACTTACTATAGTAGTTCCGGGTAGCCGGGATATTATCCAATTGTTCCTCGGTATGGATATAAGATAATACCTAATACTCAATAAAGAAACTGGGCATCAGCCGTGCTGCCGTGTCATTTCCGCAAACTTATGGCGCTGGCGATATTTTTCTTTTCTTTCCAGGGTTTTATCAAAAATTTGTCTAAATAAATGATTATAATTGGCTGCACCTTTCGCTTATATACATTGACGTACTTTAACCCGGTACCGCACTCATGACGGAACATAAACGTACATACATAATGTATAGGAACCTTGAAAACTCAACGGCACCCACCAACAGGAAGTTTAATTGTATCTTAATTTTTATCTGATCAAATACAAATGAAACTTCTTTTATTCTAAAACGAACATAACCTTTGGTTATGCTTCTGTGCAAGTCCAAGCAAATTCATTTGAATTCCCGTCTTCAAAGCGACTCATAGTATTTGGATATCTGGCCACATCAATTTCGGCCATGCCACATTCCGCTCTGTCAAGTATGAAGTACCTTGTAGTACTATTACGTATGTAGCTATATGTACCTAAAATATTTAATGTTCCTCGCGTGGTGGGGGCACTGACCTCACATGCATGTACAACACGATACATACACATACATGTACATATATCCGTGGGTAGACATCTGGAAGGAGGCTTGAGGTCATAACATCTCGATTCGATGGTACCATTAATCAATACAGCGCATATAAGCAGTGTACTTTCACTGTACTTCAAACTCTTGGGCACAAGCCTACATCCAGTTGTTTACCTACAGGCTGGTTACAACCAAGGCAGCAGCGCATTATTTCCAGGGTATGTACATAGATGCCTTGCCATTTACATACATTTGATGCACCTTGGTTTTGTTTTTTTTGATTTTTCTATTTTTTTTTTCCTTCTTTGTTCGGAGTTCAACAAACTCATACTTTTTTTGGTATCTTGCTCCGATTGAGTTCCTATAGGCCATTCTTTGATTTCTTTCCAGTTTGTTACCCTCGGTAGGCATTTTACAACAGATCGGATATGGTTAGACTATTTCTATGTTGTATATCATATTGAAAAGAATTTGGTGCTTAAAGAGTGGATAATCTGCCTGGACATGTCATATACTTTGAGGTACATGGATAGGTTGTAGGTTAGGCGGCTCATGAGAATGCTTGCAATGGAAAATGTGGAAGCTGTAGGTGATTGTACACAATGTATCCAACTGTATATAGCGCTATACCTGCATGTACATCATACCTTATCTTCAATATTACTGGATAGAAAGGATTATATGTACATGTAAGTTCCTACGATTCAGGCCCATCCATCGTTGTTTAGTCGAAAGCTACTAAAATAGAGTAGTTAACTTTGTTAGTGGCATCCACAAGAGAGAGGGCTTTTTTTTTCTGCTATGATTTTGAATTTGATGCTGCAGCGAGTGCAGGTGCGCGCGCCTTGGTCTGGCAGCTCCACCTTGGCAACTGATGGGGGGAGATTTGGCGGCCATGGCTCCGTTGGAGACTCCTCTCTCTCCTCCACCCAAGGGCCCCAACCTAGTCCCATTCCACCTTTTTCCCACTCACACACATCCACACTACACGCAAACCCGAACCAGCACTATCGTTGTCTGCTTTTGTGTTTCTTGCTTGCTGTTTTAATTCTCCTTCTATCTCGCTCTCTGACTCTCTCCACCCTCACACTCTTTTTCCCTTCTCTTCCTCTCTTCTCTCCAACCCTAATTAACGTCGCGAGCCCAATCCTTCTTCTTCTCGTCTGCTACGCGAATTTGTTGGTTGCGTGCGTTTTGCAAAAAGAAAAAAATAAAAGCGTTTTCCTGTGTGCGCGCGGCCTCCTCGGTATCCCCTCTTCCCCCATCATCATACTCGCTTCATCTATCGCATCGTCACAACGGTTCAGTGCGGGTTTTATTTCCCAATTGTCACGGTTCCCCTCAATTCTTGTCGCGGCGCAGGTTGAGCTCTAGGAGTCTAAAAGGATCTAACCTGTCATTTTTTTAACGAGAAAAGACGTTCCTCGGTGCCCTCGGATCTTGCTGGAGTTTGCGAAGGCGCTACATATTTGCTGCTTTACTCGGAACTAAAAGTGTCATTCGGTGTCTAAAAGTAAGTGCACATCCTTTTCCTTTAATTATTACTCTTGCCCAATGGTACTCTTTGGCATTCGAACTCCCTCCGAGTCCCTGGAAATTTCGCGAGTAGTCGATATGGAGGGTTTGCGGCTGTGACACGCCATCCTATGGGTGCGCTCTTCCAGCCGTGAGAATTGGGTGGATGGGGCTGGACTGTACGCTTTTGCTACAATGCCTTGATTGTCCCTCGGATCCTACATCCCCGAACCGAAGCTGCGTCATCGAGCCCAAGCTCCCTTTCCTGGCAATGAAACCAAACAGAAACCTCAAACCGAATTGTTATTTCGACTACAAACGTCAATGTCGTCGTGGTACGTATTGAGCATCGCGGCACAAATTTTCAAGTGCCCAATGCCCCGCATTGCACAGCATTTCGTTGCGCGCGCAAAATTCTTGATCGACTTCGAGCTCAAGAAAATCCTCGGCGATCAGCCCCACCTCCACCGGATCATCTCTTCACAACGACCGAACTTTCGACATGTGCGATATATCTATGCGATACTCCTTTTAAGGAGAATGCATCGTTGCGAGAATTCAATTATATGCGATCCAATAAATCCCGATAAGCGTATACGGACTCGCATTCTGCTATCTCTATTCGAGCTCCGATATCCTATTATATATCTGCCACGTATCGTTCAAATCTATCTAGTCTTGTCCCTACGCGAAAGCGCCGAGATGTATGGTACTCCCATGGGCTAGTTGGCCTACTCTTTTTTTCGAAAATATATAATTACAAGGTCATCGCCGATGTGGGGGTGGATAGAATTAGAAAAAAGAAAAAAAAAACGAAAGGGTTAATATGAGGATATGCTTGATTGGGCTTGTCGATTTTTTATAAGAGTACGAACCTTTCACGAGGGAAGGATAGTACTCTCGCACATGGCTCATTGAACGTCTGGCACCGCATGCTACGCTTGCCCAGGTTGGATCCTCGATTATTCCTCGTATACCTCGCTATCCCTCGTGGTTGTATGTTTGGCTTTTGAGTCGTCTTTAAAAGGAGGGTTTTGATTCGTGGCTTTGTGCTTTGGAGCCTATCCACTCGAAGCTCCACTAGCATGACGGGGTGGGATAGATCTGCTTGTTGCAATTCAAACCCCCACGGTTTCGACTATTCTCTTGTTGGTTATAGCTGATTCGAGTTGGGCTTTTAAAAATGGTATGGTGCTCCTATCGCCGCTAAGAGAAAATACATTCATTCTGACAACCCTTTAAGTCCCTAAATCTCTCACCGATATAGATGTTTAATGGTTGAGATCTGTCCCTCCGACGCGAGTTGTTGCGGTAGTCGGTGCAAGTATATCCTCGCGGGTCTGCTATCCGGCTATTATTGAAGTTATCGCAGTCCAGATGTGTAAGTAACATCCTGGTGCATAATACTGTCAGGTTGCATGGCCGCCCCTCATTCCAAGCTCGAGCGATAAAGCGCAGTGCTTTGCTATGGATCACGACACCGTGATCGCTAGCATTGCTGCCGAATTGCATCTACATCTCCACAACGCACCGCATATTTGATACGATCCTCAAGTCTAATATCTTGTAGGGTTAGATGATTCCGGTGAATCAAGCTCAAGCCATTCGTGGACCACTTTCCACTTCGCTACGCCGGTCCAGAAAGCCGATTTACTACCGCGAACGCCATGGAGACTCGGAGTTTGAATGCTGAAGATGCTAACCCCATCATCAACCACTTACGTTCCGGTTTACTTAATCTGGCGAAACTAATGGAATCATAGGTTTTCTAAAATCTTGACCGTATTATCATTAGACCCCGTCACACGACCTGAAACGCTTGACTCTGTTATCTCAGTTGATCAAGCATCTATTAATATCACGGCCGGCGAAACGGGAAATTAGGGACACAGCTTCAGATTTCGACTTTTGCATTCTCATTTGCATCCGAACAAGAAGCCCGAGGCGTTGGCGTTCGGTTCCTGGTCTCTCTCTGACTTACAGGATCTAGATATCAGCTGGTGTTTTCTACGGGTAAGTTTAATATGTTTCGAGTGTTTCCATCGGGCCCCAAGCTATATTCAGGTTTCTTATTTCCTTCGAGAATCTGGTTGCATAGCACACCTATCTATTCTCCATCATATCCTACATGCAGGCTGGAATTTTGGGTACGTAGAGGATAGTGGGACAGGGTCCGACCCAGCTTAGGTCAGGCCTCCTAAATTATGTGAAAGTGAAGCCCTGTGCCTCAGTGGGCTCAGGTAATCAGAAGGTCGATGCTTTAGCAGCCTGCAGCTGAGCAATGTACCCTCAACCGTCAGGGCTCTGTGTCCTTGGTCGGATTGGCTACCCAAAGTCCTCATCAGTTTTACCCGTTCTCCTGGTGCAATTGACCGACCTTAGTTAACTCTGATGAGCTGCATCACCATCCACAACTTTTTCCCTTCATGTACCCATGATGAATTGGCCAACCCTTCATCTGACTTTTCATTAGTATCCACATCGAGAAGATCTTTGACTTCTACTTGAACATACCCGGGTGCTTTACTTGATATCTTCAAACGGTGGTATGTTGCTCTAGCTCCTTCTTATCATTTACCAAAGCACAAATGAGCAGCTAGTCACGAATTATCTGCCGGGCACCCTTCCTCTTCCTATCATTTTATATTATTCCTTCCCTCCCTAAGATCGCTTCCGCGGTCCAATGTCTTTTTCAACTTCCTTTCATCTGATTCCGTCAAACATCTGTATTTGCTACGCATTGCTATTCTAGTCTCCTTATGTGGTTCATACTAATGCGGTTTTTAGAAACGAGCGGTTATTTAACACGATACAAGGCGCATTTGTGAACGACTACGGAGTCTGTAAGTGAATTTTCAAACCAATCGTTTCTTGTTGCCCATCTTTGTCATGAGGCGTTGTTCGCGCCAAACCTGTTTATTCTAACCTTTTCGACACTTATTGACCACCTCCTGTCTTCACACTCATGTTGAGAACATTTTCTAGAAAAAAAAAGTTTGGTCTCCTCATCTCCCCACTTTCTTCATTCTTTCCTCGAACTCTTGAGTCACTCTTTTGGTAGTTTCCATTTTAATGATATATGCGCGTTATACACCAACCAAAAATACCCCTTCCATCTAAGCACAGGACACTACCTAACCCCTCCAGTTCCCCAAATCTCCTTCTACTTAGTTGCCTAGCAGTCGCCTTACATCATTCCTTATTTGTCTGCACATTGTTGCCACTTCCTTTTCAGCTACTGATTTCCTAATCATCACCACCAACCCACCTAAGAATATTAGGGGAAGGTTCTACTTTATTAAATCGCACACTAACCATCGTACTTCCAGATAGCTGTCTCTTTCCCTTGATATATCTACGTTGCAATCTGAATTCTGAATTCTGTAAGTACATTCACTCCATTGTTTTTACCGAATGATACTCGCGCATCTCGAAAGGAGTCATTAGAAGTTGTAACTCCCATCTCGATTCCCTTGTTCCTTTCATCCCCTTTTTTTTTCAATGATACGAAGGTACCATACGCAGGTACTACATACGGCAATCGTGACTGACATATTTCATAGATCGTCATGGACGGATTTAATCCTTACAACGGCAAAGCCGCTTCCAACGGATCTGGTTCTCAAGGGGATGCTGGTTCTCAGGGCGCAAGTGGCGCCCCTGTTGCTCCTGGTGTCCCCCAGCCAGGCCTCGCTATGGCTCCGACCAATGGCCAAGCGGGTGGTGATATCGCTCAACCCTTCCCGTCTGAATCTGCTCGCCAGACTCTATGGTAAGCAGGCACGACCGGCTACTGCCAATGATGTAGAATGCTAACTAAGGTTTTCAACAGGATGGGTGAGTTAGCTGGCTGGATGGATGAAGGCTTCATTCGCACCCTCTTCCAATCCACATTGAACGAGAACGTCCAAGTTAAGATCATTCGAGATCGTCATTCTGGGTAGGTTGTTCCTCGCGCTAGAATTATTTCCGACTCCTTCATTCCCCACATGCTCTTCGCAGCTTCTATCAGCGCGCTATGGTCTTGGTATTTCGATTCCCCCTAGACCTTGAATTCCCATTACTTTTCATCGCCAAGAATTCCCTTTGTTTGCGCGTTCGTTCGACGTGCGCCATTTTTGACGATTTCTAATACGTGCATAGAAGTGCCGGCTACTGCTTCGTTGAGTTCACCAACCCGGACGCCGCTCAAAAGGCACTCCAGCTAAACGGGACTCCAATTCCCAACACTGATCGCGTTTTTCGTCTGAACTGGGCTTCTGGCGGAGGCTTGATCGACCGCCGAGACGATCGAACACCTGAATACTCCATCTTCGTCGGTGATCTCGGTCACGAGGTGAACGAATTCGTTCTAGTAGCTCTATTCCAAGCGCGATTCCCCAGCTGCAAGTCGGCTAAGATCATGACTGATCAGCAGACTGGACAATCCCGTGGTTACGGCTTCGTGCGATTTTCCGATGAACAGGACCAGCAGCGTGCGTTAGTGGAGATGCAAGGCGTCTACTGTGGCAACCGACCCATGAGAGTCTCGCCGGCAACGCCTAAGAACCGGTAAGCATACACGTTTTCATTAATTATACCCGGCTACTAACGTCTCGTAGCAGCCACCAAGCCGGCACGCAATTCAACCAGTACGGACATCATCAAATGATGCAACCTCAGGTCCCCCAACACGGAAACATGGGTGGCCAGTGGGTTCAGCAGCAGCCTCCCAATTACGGCGGTTATCAACAGCCGGGAACGTTCAACCCGCTAACGATGAACCAATTCACCGACCCCAACAATACGACTGTGTTCGTGGGCGGTCTCTCGGGCTACGTAACCGAGGACGAGTTGCGATCGTTCTTCCAAGGCTTTGGCGAGATAACATACGTCAAGATTCCTCCTGGAAAGGGTTGTGGATTCGTCCAATTCGTTCATCGCCATGCTGCTGAGATGGCAATCAATCAGATGCAGGGCTACCCAATTGGTAACTCTCGAGTCCGTCTGTCATGGGGTCGTTCTCAGAACAACTCTGGCGTAGGTACCCCCTACCGACCAGCACCTCCTCCTCCTCACTATTTCCCACCTGGCCCTCCCGGCCCTCCCGGCCCCACGGGTCCTGGCCCATTTGGTGGCCCTGGCTTTGGGGGTAGTGCTCATCAAGGCCCGCCTCCTGCTGGCTTGGGCCCTCAGGTACGGCCCTTCAACAACACCTCGCGCAATGTTATTAGAATTAGCTAATTCTTCTCTAGTAAACCGGCTCGCAATGATTCTGCATAACCGGCATGTTTTAGCATAACCGGCGTCCTGCGTTTCTGGCGTTTCGACATGCTTCTCCGTCTTCCAGCATCACTATCTCTCTGGTTTCGGCTATTCGGTCTCTCAATTCGTTTACCTTCCGCTTGTGACACCATCCATCTCCGGTTATTCGATATTATTCTCAGCGTTATGACATTTATGGCGTTAGGGAATTCGATATGACCAACGAACGGTGTGCATGAAACGGGGGGATCATGCAATTGGTTCTCTTGACTCACATTGACTTTACGGCATTTGCTCAAAGTCGGTGTTTCGGCGAAGAGAACCTTGTACGATTTGCATTATTTGCTACGACATCGATTTTATTTCACGATTTCATACCTGGCACCCTGCCCAACCTGACCGACTCAACTCTTCCCTTCGTCGCAATTTTATGGCATATAATCGAGATGTTCCAGAAATTGGCGTTTGCAATTACGTACCCTGCAACTGCTTCCGTCCTGATGCCTTGCCATTTTGAACGCATAGCCTTGTTCGCAAATTGCGCAATTCTCTTCGTTTACCTTGGCATATGTTCCTCGCCAGATACCCCGTTCGCCTACGTTTCTTAAGCTTCGTCCCCAAGAAGTAAAACGACACGGGATCAAACTTGGTTACTTTCTAAACTTGATCATCCCAAGGGACATACATCTTAGTCCCGGCGACAGATACTCTAAGCCGCTTAAGATCATATTCGTGGATCCCTATTTCACATCCGTCTTTACTCGACACACAACAAAGGACCAAGATAAATTTTATTCCATATGCGGCCGTCTATTACAACAAGCGAAGTAGCAACTTTGATTAGTCGGTCTACGTCTGTTTCGGCATTTTCATCCCATGGATTCGATGGGCAACTTGCGATACTCCAGCCAATTTTCATTAGCATATGTTGAAATGGTGCATGGCCTTGAAAGCCGCGGAATGATTTTTTTTTTCGCTTGGACTCGCCTCGGTAGCGTTCTTTCCCTTTACACCCAAAAAATGGTTTCGTAGTCGGTCAGTTTTCCTTTAGTCAATACACTGGTTTTAAAAATACTTCTCATGCGTTGATTCATGGTTAATCGCTCGCTGGATGTGGCTATTTCCGTGCGTCTGTCGTTACACATGCGTCGGCGAAATCTTGTTGGTTATCCGTGCCAACAATGTATATCGTAGCTCCGCATCAATGCTCGTTCGTAGTACCAACCTAAAGCATTGGCCGGTTTCAATTTCCATGCGATGTCAGCATTTTTCCAACGGTCGTGAGCAAAACTAGAAAATTCGATTAATACAACCGGTGGTTTTATACCATTTAAAGAGTACAGCCTCAAATAAAAGGTACATCTAAGCAATTCCTAACAATTATTGTAAACCAATTATTAACTCCAAAATGTGTCTTCGCTAATACGAGCTCTATAAGCACAACATCGAATTCCGTTACGCGTCACGCATGGGACGTTGACGTAATCCCGGTTTTCGTGATAGGGCGGATTGGGGGTACAGGGACTTTTTGTTCGAGAACTCCGGGGGTACGTACCTACCCAATAATATGTATGGCGTTTTGGAAATCGGTACGTGAGGGTTTATTGGTGGGTTTGGCTTACGTTTGCGGCGCTCGGTCCCGAGGTTTGGTATGGATTTGTAGGTACTTACTTAGTAAGGTAGTGGGTGTTTTTTTTTTTGGTTTGGGTCGGGAGAACGGCTTAACGGCACAGGAAGAGGAAGAGAAGGTTCCCCAGGCTGGGATCCGAGACATGGATTATTATGTATAGACGGCAGTCGGAAAACGAATGGAAACGAATGGAAACGAACGAAGGAACGAGCGATCGGGAAATAGATAGGGGGGGATATGGTGTGACGACATGAAAAATGACCTGGTTTGTTCTGGTTTGTGTGTGCTGTGCTGTACTTACATACTGGTAGGTACTTATAGGTTGGGAGAAGAGGTACATATAGCGAAACGACCGGTCTGATAAGACTGTTGCGTTACGTCTACGTCTGTGGGTTCGCGGGGAAGAGACATGTAAAAGAGAGCGGGCACCCTGTTTGATTTTTTTGAGGTGGGTTGTCTGGACCGTTATGTTGTCTGTCTGTCTGTCTACCAGTTTATCAGTTAGATTACCTATCTTACCGAGATATTCATACGAGAGTTTTCCCAACTGCAAAATCCCGCTCCATGACAGGGCTTCCTACTTCTCCGTGTGTGTAGTTTGATGTGGTACTGAGAGTATTTCGATATTGTACGAATATAAGGTCAGGTTGAATTGGATTGAACTTGGAGTACTGATGCCAAGTTGAGAAGTGGTACGTCATCATCATGAAGTCGGTAACCACCTTCGTTCTATGTCTTGCTTTATTAGGTAAGTAATGTCTAGCTATCTCTTTACGAACCAGTATGTCGACATTCTTCATACCGAGAACATACCATGGCTCACCGTATCTATCTCTACAGGAGGCAAAGTTTACGCCCAGAACCCTTATTATATCGGCGGAGATGGTGGTGATGATGACGATGGCGATGGTACCATATGGTGGAGTTGGGAGGGAAGTGGTGACCCCAACAGCAATGGTGGTGACGGATCTTCAAATGGTTTCGGCTCCACAACAGGCTCAGGTGGGCTAAGCAGCGTATACGCCGGCTTCGACGTCGAGCAAGCGATGCGATATCGTACCGCCCACGCCGTCATGGCCGCTTTATGTTTCGTCGTCCTATTCCCAGCCGGCGCCATCATCATACGAGCATTCCCCGGTCGCCATTCTTGGCTCGTTCACGCCGTGACCCAGGGTGTAGCTTATGTCCTGTACATTATCGCTGCGTCACTCGGCATTAAACTCGTTCAGATGGTGAAGATTCCTCCTAATGGCTCCAGTCTTGTAAGTCTCAGTATATTTCCCCTTTCTAGTGTACCTCGCGCCTCCCTAACACACACACAGTTACAAATGTCCTCAACAAACGCCCACCCCATAATCGGCATCCTCCTCCTCGCAGTCCTCTTCCTCCAACCACCCCTAGGGTTCATCCACCACTCGAAATTCAAACGCCTCAAACGCCGAACCGCATTCTCCTACGCCCATCTCTGGCTCGGCCGCATCGCCATAACCCTCGGTATCATAAACGGCGGGTTAGGTCTCAAACTCGCCAACGCATCGCAAGACGTCATAATCGCATACTCTGTAGTAGCCGCTTTCGCATGGCTACTATGGTTCGCAACCAGCGTCCTCGCGGCCCTACGACGCCGAGAAGAACAAGATATAGACCCGCGGGGTCGTCCTGGCGGTCCTCCACTCCCACCTTCTCATTACCCTGGCCCGGTTCCGCCGATGCCTGTATACGCGGCGCATAGTAATAACCGCAGTATGAGTGTCTCGGATGATCCTAGTCCCCCTTACACGCCAGGTCGTTTCTACGGCAGTTTATCTGCGTTTAGTGGATCTAGAGATGAGGAAGCTGTGGAGATGCGACCGGTGAAAAACTCTACTAGTAGAAGCAGATCGCCGTCATCGCTTTCAAATGAGAGGATGCCGGCTGAGAGTGTACGAAGGGTATAATGGGATGGTTAGTACAAGATAATTGTTCATATCACGACGGGGAAAGGGTTAGGTCACTTAATATTGGTAGGAACGGTAGGTATGATGGTATTTATTAGGGATAAATTCAGGCTGGGTATTTTGTGATAAAATCAACGTCAAGTTCAATTTGCTTCCTTCCTCCGAATATCAAGCGCTTGTGACGGTATATCAACCATGTGCAATCAAATAGAGCAACATTTTTGATAACCTTCTCTAGGCTTGGGTTGTAGCCTGGGCTCGCTCACATATAACACCCTGTTGCGCCCAACCCTTTTCATATTTTTTCCCTTTTCCCCCCTTTATTTTCCTTCCTGTAGGTGAAATACTCATGAGCAATAAAGCAGATGCCGAAGATAAGAATCAAAGGCAACATCAAATTATTCTCCTTATTATAAACAAGGAAATCCATCGCCCTCATGTCAGGCCCCTCTTGAACCCGTAGGTTATATTTCCATTCCTGCCGGATCCTGGACTTGGTGCTGTTTAGGGTTGGGGTAGGTAAAAGCTGAGGCAAACATTGCGTTGCAACCTTCTAGGGTCGCATTGACACGAGCTCGTACGACGAGCTCTTCGGATGGAAGTTCACCTTCCCAGTCAACTGTAATTCCGACTAAGACAATGTCAATATTAGACGAATACAACCATCTAAGAGATAGTGGCTCAATTTCTCACCGAGAACTTTGGCATAATCACGAAATATAGCAGAAGATATTCCTTCTATGTGATCAGCCATTCCCTTTTCGATAGCATCGCAGAGATCGTCTAACTGTTCCTTTACTGTGTCGACGGCTACCTTGAACATGGTGTGTCGTGAGCGCTCGACATGCTTCTCCATTGCTTCTTTCACTAAGACGAGTCAGTAATTACTATTTGAGCAGAAATTTACGAGTGCTGTGTATGTTTAGGGAGCCGAAGCTCCTTGAAAGGGCCTGATGAGAACTTTTTGGTTCATAGGATAGTCGAGAATTGAGTTGAAAGAACTAGGAAGAGAGAAAGAGGGGAGAGAGAACGACTAATGCAACTTACTACGAGCATAGCAACCAAGTCCCTTTTCCGCTGTGCAAGTCACATAGGCAGGGGTCATGGACATACAGATGGAAGGGCAGAACTGACGAGTAATTCCTCTCTGAAGCTCATTGGTTCTGGCGTATAAAGTAGCTGGAAGTGACTCCAACATACGCGTGTGAGTCTGCAATTGATGGGACAATGTCAGTATCCGGGGTATATTTATATGATGCTTCTGAGAGCGGGCTTTAGCGGCTTCATGGAATGACTCTAATTGCATCTTCGCCTTGGACACAAACTCGTCGAAGATGGTTGGAAAGCGGCGTTGGAAAGCGCGCTCCCACCCCGTTGTTAGGTTGCGGCCAACAGGCTCGAAGAGCTCTTGGTTGAAGTCACGTATTCCTGAGGAATTTTGGAAGACGCCATTGCGCCGAACAATGGCCTTGTAGGTTGCCCAAACTATACCGCCTGCTGATTTAGACGCACCCCAACTATTGGCAGTACCGACTGCGGCATCAACCGCCAGTGGGATTGATGAGTCGAAAACATGATATATGTGTTCAGAGAGAGCCTGCTTGAGTAATTGAATAACCTCCTCGACGGGTGCATTAAGATTCTATAAAAAGTTAATTACCTCAGAAAGACTTGGGTCATGATACTGTACCTTCTCTAGGCCTTCCAGCAGTTTGCGCAGATGTATCTCCTCAATTCGCTTTTCTACATCCGAAAGTGTCGCTTCACTTCCATCACTTCCGACCCATATTTTCATGGAATTGATAAGCCGGGTTAGACCATTTAGAAACTTGCGGCAGGCGTTTGCTCGTCCTACTTCTGTTATCTTCTTTGCATGCTGTTGAAGCTGGGGGATCTCGGTATCATCTTTCAGAAGTGTCCCACTCAATTTTTGATAAGCGCGGCTGCTAACGCAGAAAACATGAAGATTACGGGCAACTTCGTCGTAGTCGCGAATGTCTTGATCAGGATCAAATCCTGTATCGTCTTCCTCCATCGCATTTTCTTGATCAAGCCTTAGTGTGTCAGTCAGAATAATCAAAAAAGAAAAAAGGTATTGGAATTTATTCAAAACATACTCTTTGATTCCCGCAGCGAAATCCTGCTTAATCGCAGCGCGGGAATACTCGTTGCGCTCCCGAATACAGCGACCTTTAATTCTGTTGGAGATTTTTTGATATTCGATATCTTCCTTTTCTATTTGCTTGCGCATGTCGGTGATTTCCCTACTCAGCACTTTGTATTCATCGCGCGTCTCTCTTCGCTGTTTTTTGTAGGCCAGAAGCTTCTCCTCAACCTGCTCTTCTGTGAGTTTTTGGCGGTCCTTAGCAAGCTGCGGGCCTTCCTTATCAGTCTGGCTGCCATAGGAGTCTGAGTTTTCCGAATATTCCTCGTCGTCATCGCGCCTGTGCGCGCCGCGGTTCTTACGACTTCGCATCAGCTTTTCAGCCCGTTTCCTCTTCCTAGCATTTTCTTCCGGCGCGTAGACTTCTTTGCCATTCCAGGCATGATATGCCATATCCTCCCATAGTTCAACCTTATTCTCAAGGTCCTCGATTTGTCCTTTTAATTGCGACTTCTCATCCTCCAATTGATCGAGTCTCTCTTGGGCTTCTACCTTGGAAGTTTCCAATTGATCGGCCTTGTCCGATAAGTCACCGATTTCTTCCTCAAGGTCGAGACTGTCAACAGCCTCCGTGATAGATATATCATCGGTCTTGGAACAAATAAAGCTGACTGCAGAATATGCGCCATCATATTTCAATTGGCGTTTAAATGAGTCGCCGAGCAGAGACTTGGCAGTCTTATCATCCACGGCGCGGGTGATTGGTGCTACAATCCATAAACCAGTACATGACTTCATGTACTTTTGTGCGACAGCAGCTCGTGCTGCGTTCGAGTCTTGTACACCAGGCTAATTTGAATTAGCAGGGAGTTGTCTTGGAGCAGAAACCTTGAAATAGCTTACCAAATCGACTATCACGGCCCCTGTAGATAGAGCATCGGCTTTAGTATAGATCCGGACGACCTTAATCAAAGGCCAGTATTCCATTTGAACATTGGACTTCCTAGAACCAACCCTAGTCACCTTCTCCTTACTATCAACATAGTGCTGGAGTCGGCCGTAAATCGATTTCGCAGACTTATCTTTGAGCACCTTGGTATCACCAAGGACACCTCTCACGGCTGGTTCATTTGCGAAAGACTCTGGTGTCCCTTTGACAATCATCTCCTTAGTCTTGTGCGGATAGACAGCCCTCAATTTAGCAAATGCTACACCCGCCTCACTTTCGGCATTTTTATATCTGTTTTTTATTCGACGATTAATAAGTAATCTTCCTTTCGTAGGTAGAGAATTGTTTAATATTATTTGAACAGAAAATTCTTTATTCTCTTCGGAAATAATAAATTATAATCAGTGAAAAATGAAACTTACTCTCGTAAAATCTCCCCATTGCCATCAAATAGGTCACTGAACAGTACCTCAAGCTCGCTGACCCATTCCTGTTTTGTCAGAAACTCCACCTCAGCTCTGTACAATTCAGAAGGGTCCTCTGAGTGGTTGAAGGAGATTTCGGTTGGCGATGCAGTGCACGCGCGCAAACAATTAGTGGGTAATAATCTAGGTTGTTATCAATGTCAACATAAATACCCGTGAATTGCATTATGATGCATGTCATTCTGTAGTAGATCTAAAGGGGCAAAAAAGTTATGAAAAAGATAGGAAGTATACCTCTCTTCATCAAGGATAGAATTGATGATGGAACTTTTACCCCCGCCGGTATTGCCCACAACACCTATGACAGTCCGCGCGGGCTCTGCACTTTTCTCCAATTCCTCGACTGCATTGAGCCATACCGAAACGGCGGGTGCATTGACAGTGCTTAGGGAAGCCTCGAGTTGGTTTAACAAGGTGACGCGAATTGCGGCGCCGGCTTCAAGCGCTTCGAGGCCATCGTGGGTGACTAATTGTTCGAGATAATCAGGATCATTCGTCCGATCCTTCGTCCCGGTCTCGTGGGTCTTAAGGGATTCATGAGATTCGGCCTCTAATGTGTCAGGATCAGGCCTGATGGGTGCAACATAAATGCAGCGGTGTGTTCCATCTCGATCACCTTGGCGAGGGGTAGCCGAATCACTGGTAGGCAGGGCTGACAGGGGTGTGCTCTGCACTAGCCATTCGGATTTGACGCGGGGTTCCGACCCCGATGGAGTTGTAGTACTGAAGAGTTCTGGCGGATCCATTATGGGAGAGAGTTGTTTGAGTTGCACCCTGTTTACCTAAACAACTTGAGTTATTGTTAAGTTACAATTGTACGATAGCTTGACAACAAACGCGCCACAAATTCATTATGACTTTTCTAGAAACTTAAATTATCTATAATATAATTACTTACCTAGAAAAGAAAACTACTAAAAAAGTAGATAGTCAGAATAAGAGAGGAGGGATCTCTGTCAAATCTCAACGTGGGGTCGAGTTAACATGGCAGTGAAGAATAATTTAGGTAAGAAGTAACGTTTGAAACGAATGCCTCTTGATTTCACAGGTTCCGTTCTTCCTTATATAGGAAAAAAGGCAAGGACAATTCTGCTGTTGGGGGCCGATAACATCGACTTGATGAAAAAAATGAGGAGAGGAAGAAGTGATACAGTGAAGAGAGGCAGGCATGAAGAAACACGGTATTGAGTTCACGACGATCTTAGAAGGAAACACCAACTGTTGTGAATTGACTACGAGGTGCATAACGGTTGCCTTACCCCCTCAGAGAATTAAGTAAGCACATGCATCCAAAAAGCAAGTCTAGTCGTCAGGTCCAACCGGCTTCAATACCTACCGCCACCTGGCACGATGCTTGGTGTGAAATGATGAGATAAGGTCTTGAGAGTGATGTACTTTATAGCCTAATTACTATGGCGGGGTACATGGGAGCGTTTCTCAGCACAACATGAAAAGTACCCCGCCATAGTACCTAAGGCATGTTGGTACTTCTAGACATTTGAAGCTTATCGCAACATTTAACGTTCAACATCTTGGTGTGTTGTACAAAGTAAGTGCAAACGGTTTAGCCCGAATTATATGCACGATCTATCACACAAAGTCCGACGATTATCCCACTTTATCACGTGAAATCTTTAGTCCTACATGCAGGCAGCCACGGTAGCTTTCCCATTTCCCCCACTAAAATGGCTAGAACATCGCCCGACCACTGATACAGATTGCGTTCTTAGGTACCTTCTAGCCAGTTGCTGGGTAAGGTTTCTTAGACACAATCAAGTCTCTATTGTCTCCATCAATTCTACAACAATAGTTTTTGATGCCTCGAATTGATTGATGAATCCGTCTTGCCATTCCGTCTCCTATCGTTATTACTTCGGTCTTATCCATGAAGACGAATGCTCAAAACAGAACATACACAATTGCCAAGGACTTGTCGCGGGCGGAGACATGAAAAAAAGAAAAAAGCAAACATAACGGACTTCTTGGTCGGTACCCTACAATACCCGTGTCCCCTTTTCGTCTTCAGTATATCACCACACCACCATCATATTGAGTATGCTTCTATACTCTCTTGGATATTCATCGTCATTGTGCTTTTCACAGTTTCTTTTTTTTTCATCTCCCATTCTCTGGTCAATATTCCATTCATTTGTAGAAGCTACCAAATTACGTGTCCTCGGTGTCAATTGGTGTCTACTCACTCAATTTTCAATTTTTTGTCGTTTTCTCAGTCGTAGGAAGAATCATCTAGCAACAGATGTCAAATAGAATAAAAACCAACCAGATGGTTGCAGTCATATATATCCACTGTCACTTTTTACGTAACGAGATGAAATCTCGATATTAATTTCGGTAGCTAGATACGGAGGGTAGAGCATTCGCGAAGCTGTCGTCGGCTGCTACGACACCCGGCACGTCATGCAGAACTGGCATCGCACCACCTTTATTCACCTCTACAGTATTCGGCGTCTTTCTCATATTTCCATCTGAGATCTTCTTGGTCGTTGGTAACATTGTAAAGTAGTAGTTGCATGCATTCAAAATGCCATCGTTCGCGCGTTGCAACAGGTCTGCCGGGGGGTGGGCAGGATTCGTCATGTCTATATTAACCTCACCCGCCCCAGGGTAAAAAAAATTTGAGACTTGTGTTCGGCAATCCTACCTACTTTCCTATCGAGAGTGTGTGCAAGGGCATCTGTTCTGAGACCAAGGAGAAATGCCGTCCGCATAAGTAATATGTGTACGTTGTCTTCCAAGCCTCGTAACCTAGCACTATTTATCCGGTCCAGTCCGCTTCTGTCTCTGCCCCTGACGACGATCCAGATCGGGATATTCCCCGCAAGTGATCCCCTGCCAGGAAAAGCTTATTTCATTGCTAAATATATTGTACATTCGAGCTGCCCTATAGCCGCGCGGCGTTATGGGGCACTCTCTGTTTTTCCGACCAGTTCTAGATTCCCCTGAGCCGTCGTTGCTAGTCGTCGGCTTCATATCGAATGTTAGACCGAGAGGCAAGATATAGGAGGGTTCATCATGAAGATCTTTCACATGGTTCCCTCCTTCTACCCTGTTTCCTTGTTCTATTTTCGGTCTGTGGCCATCACCTTGCATCTTCTAGAGCTATATCTTACCTACAAGTAACCTCACTCATCTGAGCCCACTTGTTGAATGCTATAGCTACCTAGGTATCAGCTGGGACTGCGAAGTCAAGAACCACGACAAGGACTAAGGACTTACACAGCTGAGTGGAACGGCGCATTGGCTTCAACCCTTAGAGATGGCTAAAAACTGGGGGCTCACGACTACATTGGTAGCCATAGCGTCGATCTTTTCCGGCGTATTCGCGCAGAACTACCCTCTAGTCACCGATTCAAGATGTAACTGCTACCGAACCAACACGACGACCTCTCACTACTTCACTCACCACCGCTTCTTCGACTTCCGGGAAATGTCCCAATATGTCAAAGTACCAGCACCTATTAACGACCCAGCAGGTGCTGCCAACGCGCCTGTGACGAACAACTACTTCAACGACCCTGCTTGGACAAGTGTGTGGTCCATCCAGAATTGGAACAACAGCGCTCTCATGAACGGAAGTTCGGATGTTACCGGAAGCGACGCAACGATACTAATGGTGAACACGGCGAACAACATGTACTTCGACCAAAACAAGGATCCAAACCCATCGTCTAAGACATATCTCGTAATGCGAACCACGCGCCACGAGAAGTTCCAGTCGGCTTCCGAGATCGAGTCCATCTCACTGGGTTATCGATACATATCGATCCGCATGTACGCCCGGACCAGGGGTCCCCCGGGAGCTATTACGGCTATGTTTACCTTCCGCGACGCGCAGAAGATAGCACAGGTCCAGGAAGCGGATCTCGAGGTTAGGACTTCGGACCCGAAGTACTCAATCCAGTACACGAACCAACCGTCCTGGAACGAGACTGGAGATATCCCCCAGGCGACCCGCAACGTCTCGATCCCGAACCGCGTGGATTGGTCTAACTGGCAGTACCACCGAATGGACTGGACCCCTGGCTCCACCAGTTGGTTCGTCGACGGACAGCTCATGTCCTCGATCCAATTCCAGGCTCCCCGCGACGCAAGCCGTATTATGTTCAACAGCTGGAGTGACGGCGGTAGCTGGAGCGGCAACATGACGACTGGTCAATCGGCCGAGATGCAGATCCAATGGATTGATATCGTATACAACAGCACGGATCCGACCCCCGGAAACCCGTTTACTAACCCCGGAGCTGGAGGATCTTGCGCGAATACCTGCAGTATCGATTTGACCTCGAAGACCGGCACCCCTGTGCTAATATCCGGACCTCAAGGTACGAGACATGTCTCCCTCCCTTGAAAAGTATCTGGCTGGAAATTTGCTAACGAGTTCTTCTAATTAATAGGTTCGAATCCTAGTCCCGGAGGCGGCAATGCTTGCACTTCAGCTAAGTGGGGACAATGTGCCGGCAAGACATGGAATGGATGTACGGCCTGTGCCGCTGGAACCTCCTGCAAGTTCCAGAACGACTACTATTCTCAGTGCTTGTGATGGATTTCTGGTTATGTTAGCGTTGATATTTATTGATTTTCATGCTCGTTTTGCTTAGCTGATACCAAGAATGAACTTAGATATAACAATAATTTATACATAAAAATTTCTCTACTAATTTTGATGTTATATGATGGTGTATTTGTACTATTCTTTCGATAGAGAGTCATATAGGTGTTTAAGGGATACCCTGCGATGGTCTTTAATATCGGTGTGAGACAATACTTGTAGTTGGGCTAATGAATCGTCTTGGACATTGTATAAGCCATCGGTTGTCTAAAACCTATCAATTGTAATTAATATCATAAACATAGATATAGTTCTCGGATATCCACGTGAACTAAGACAACGCTGTTTCCAATCGATCCAATATACAGGCCTAGAACTAGAAATGTCTTGTATATATGACCTCGGGTGAACCGTTAAATATCCAGTATATTTAGATTGCTACGCCAGTGTGTATTACTTGTGATTATATATTAAGTTGTAGATGCGTCTCTGTTTATGGATAACGGACGGGGATCTTTCTGTAGTGCCTGGAATTCTAAAGGACTTGGCCATTTGCCTAACCTGTGGAATAATATCACCTATGAAGATATCATGCAGATAATATTTATAATTGTGATTATAAATTTCAAAATCTCCAGCAAGCTGATCTCGTTCATGAGATATTACTTTCTTATCCCCAAGTTGTCAACTGGTGTGAGGACAACGTCGTACAGAGCAATGAAACCGTAGGGAATAGAAAAGAAGCGCTTGGTTAACCAATACCCATTGATATTGATAATGGTTACCTAAAGATACCCAACGTAATCTTGTGTAATACAATGACTCTCCTACTACTAATAATTATTATGTTACCGATATTGGCGGCCTGATAGTGGTGCGAATTCGGACCCGAATACGGTACAATTCCTTCTCATAACCTTGTGAAGGCTCCTATCCTCGAAGAACGGAATCCCTATAATAAACACACTTACCTAGTACGGACGTAGTTGCAGTAACAGTACCTGATGACCCCCAACTTGACAATGACGTGGATCTACTTGGGGGTATCGAAAAGTAGTCCTTCATAGCCAACCGCCCAGGTACTATTGAATCGATTCCCACTTTCTCAACCCCCCAAACCTTCCTGTGGTCCCCCCAAGAGTTTTAGGTCCATTATTCAAAAATTTGCAGTCATAGCCGATACTCAAGGAGTTATGATAATCTTCCCCCTCTCAGTACCTTAGGTACGCATACGTACGGCTTTGAACTGCAGCTCATCCTCGTCCTCAACCTCAACGAAACCAATTCCTAAGTCGGATATCTAGTTTTGGTAACCCGGATGATACACCGTTTCTTCGGACGCAAGGCTGCAATACATCCGAGGAAAAGCGCCAGCAGACAGATACGAATTTTGGGCTAATTTAGGTATGCCTGTCGTCTTCCTCCCGTTTCCCCGGTGGCGATACGGAGTGAGATAATGGATCCCGGCCGCATTAGTCGCTGCTGCCTACTACAGAATCGTAGAAATGTAGGTACTTAGCAGCTTACTTGTGTCTGAGACATCATCGCGCCTTAGACACATCACATCCAAAAACCAGTTTGTATTGCTAATAGCGACTCGCGTATTGGTCGTTGGCTAGCGACGCCCTTATCCGGAACATGAACAGTTGCATGGAGAAGCCCTGCAAATGCATCACCAGAAGAAAAAAAAAGATGTACGAGGCACCAATCCCGGTTGCTGGCTTGGTAAGAATACTCCGCGTCGAGTATATATAGGTTCAAAACTGCAGTTTTTTCCAAGCCACACGGGGGAGATACGTTATCTGTGGGCAAGGGAATGCATATCCATTACCAAACAAATTCCAATGTTTACGCCTGCGATTGCCTTTTTGTCGGTTGCATGGAGGCTTATATCCTACATGATAGATAGATACAGATACGCGCGGGTACTTTTCTTCGTCCTTCGACGCGAGATGATGCAAAGCGCGGTCGATACGTCAGAAAAGATCAATCAATTAATCGGTCAATCAGTGGTGATCCCACGCTCGATGTGATGGGATGCGATGTATGCACATCAGCAGGGAAATCCTACCTACCTTCTTACTTTACATGTACTCTCTCCTGCGAGCCTGTCTGCAGCCAGCTACACGTCGCCAGTCGAAATTCGCCGGTTATTCGAGAGAAGTGGCCGATCCCCCGACGTGTTAAAAAAACCCTTACATTCGAACGACGACTATTGGTTCGATCCGTGGGACTTCCTGGTTTTGGTGCAGGGGTCCTGTCGACTCAGATCTTGCATGGGACTGCAAATAGGCTGACCCAGATCAACAATATCGTGGACGATCGATCTGACATTGGACTTGGGCAAGGCTGCAGTCTTCTGTTCTGGTAATTGCTAAATTTCCTTGTTGATTCTTGCCGGGTTCGACATCCTGAGGATGCGGGATGTGCGTAGATGCATAACCGCCCACGCAACATCTGGACCTCTAATCTGCAATCCTTCGTGGCGGTCGGGCTTGGTGTATTGGTGCGAAGTTGATAGTTGTAGGGCTGGTTCTGGTCGTGGCTGTATGTAGCCACTATGGTGGGTTAGCAAGCCATTTTCGCGATGAAGGTCGAGCTTCTCGATCGTTGAAGTAATGCGTCTCACAAGCCTCAGACATGAAGGAAACGCGGCACAGCATATATGCTGTCCAATGATCTCGCATGGTGTCAGCTCCGAATGAACAGATAGGCCGTGCTTGTGGCGCCTGTCCGGCCTGATACAGGTTTAGTAATGTAGGTAGGCGGATTGAGCTGAGCTGAGCTCGCTGGCTGGCTGGCTGTTAAGGTAAGGTGTGGGCACGGGCGGGCGCGGACGAACCGGGACCTGTTAAGTTCCAAGGTCACCGCAGAAAATTGTTGCGTATGACTAAGACGAGATAAAAAAGCAAAAATTGTATGTACTCTGTAACACGACGTGGGGGTTTCCCAACCTCTCTGACGATGGGATTTCCGCCCGTGCTCACCCAAAGCCAGTGAAAAGAGAGGAAATGGAAAACGCCACATGGGACCCCGGTTTGGCAACGTACTGTACTTCCTAGGTAAAAAAAAGGTACTTGCAGATGCGTCTTTTCTTCTTCTGCTGCTTCTCTTCCTTCCAATCTTGTTTCTGGTTTTCCCTTTTGACGAGGTTGTCGTGGCCCCCCTTGCGCTGATTTGCTGGCTACAGGGCAGTCAGACGTGGGATGTCCAATGATTATCGTGGTCCAAGACTCTGTAGACGAAACACGCGACGGGAGCACCCGTTCGCCCATGCCCTTTTAAATCCAGACTTTGACCGCCGGATACCTATTCCGGCAAGGGGTTGTCAATCCTAGCATGTGTTCTGCCAATCCTCGTCGGCGCCAGTGGTACGGTACGAGATACTGATGGAGGGGACCCTTGCCGCTATAACCGAATAGATTTATGGTGGCTGATCCAGTCGTTGACTCATCAAGTTCCCAAATTGTGTTACCGGTGACGCAGGTGTGATGAAAGTTTTCTATCGCTTTTCCCCTTCGATGGTAAAATTGTTAATAATAGGCACGCAATCAAAGGCATTGGAAAATTGAGAAAAATGTGACAGAAAAGCTGAAATGAATGACCGTGCGGCGTTCGGCTAGCCCCCTATTCCATTTCCATTTCCACGGAAAAGCAAAAATGTGTTCCATTTCAATCACTTTCCCAAGCGAGAGATAAGAAAGAGGGAGGAGTTGTTAGGTAATACATTGCGCGCCCATCCTCGGTAGAGCTTTCGTAGAAATTCGGACGGAGTGATGCCGTTATTTTCCCCCTTCAATTCATTAGCGAGCGAGTTGTATCGTATCTCAATATCTCTCGCGGTTTCACTCAAATGAACGAGTTGCTCCGAACGAATTATTACCTAACCGCTGTCGCCTCGTGGAATTATTTTTTTTTTCGAGGTAGCGCAGCTCGGGAGGGACCACCAATACACAGGCCACCTTACACAACCCCCCTTTTCAGTGCTGACTGCATATTTGATTGCATTGGATTTGCATCTCCCAGGTGCTTTGCCACGCAGCGCAGCACCAGCCGAGGCAAACGCAAAGACCCCACGCACATTCTACAATTCTATGCATATTTGAGGCAGTTCGTCTGCCGGATGCCGGCATGCTTGGGTCGCATCGACCATTTTTGCCCCCAACGTGCGACGAGTTGTATTCGAGGTAACGCCAGCTTGGTTCAGAATTATTAAACGCGGTCTTGCATCCGCATGTGAGCGATTCGAGCAGGTGAAAAAGGGAACACCGTCGCTAATAAGGAAGAGGGGAAACCTGGGAAAATGTCTGATGATCAGATTAGGTCGACCAACTATTTACAGCGGAGACCGAGAGAGGGGGCCTATTTGTCACTTTTTATAATTAGATAATCCACCGCAGAAACCCGTTCCGTTTATGGGAAGTGTGGGGAGGAGGAGAAATGGTAGCAAACCTCCGATACAGCAAGACTTCTATTTGCGGTGTGGGGGTCAATTAAAATCCTGTCCGTCTATTCGGGTTCGGGGAATAGATCGCGGACTCTGCATGATAATCTACGCGTGGGCGGACGTGGAGGAAGAATTCGAGAGGGATCCTATGATCTATGAGGTCTTTTGTTTGCTTGCTTCACATGGCGGCGTAAGCCCTAACACCCCCTTCGAGTTGCCCAATCCGGACTCGTTCAACCCTCAGATTGACCAATACCGTCACGCGACCTACCCGAGACCCGGGCAGTAGGTTAATGATATACGAATTCGCTCAGCATCACATAATCCGTGTCATCATATCACGGCCATTTATGCCCCCTTTGGAGCGCCTTGGAGCCCTTTTGAAGAGGGTCTGAAAGAGCTAGACAGAGCTAGAGAGAAGAGGGGAAAAACGCCCGATGTTGGATTTCCCTTACCTTTAGGTACCAGACCGCATTACCACACGAACAGCTCTTTTCGTGATAGTCTCTCCGCAATCGCAACACACCAACGCAGCATTGCTGGACTCTGGCCCCTAAGAGGCCGTCCTATTACTAAACTACGTTACAGTGATGCCGGGCTCGTAAGACTATATGTCAGACCGATCCGGCGAGAACAGGGTCAGTAAAACAGGTCAAATGGGGTTGGAAAACCAGGTCGCGGAGAGCAGGTACCGAAGGATTTCCCCATCCGCATGGCAAAGGGTAGGTAATAGTGGCGGTGGCCCGTGTTCTGTGGCCTATGGTCTGTTCGTAGATATTTTAGGTAGCGTATTCGTTCCCGTTGGTGTTAGTGGCTTCATATAAATACGCTGATAATAGTTGGAAATAGGTATGTGGTACTTGAACATCACATCAATACATACCTACCTACATACATATACACTAGTATACGTACAAACCATACATACCCAAGCTACAGTAACAATAATGCTACATAACCTGCTTGCTTCCTGCAAGACATTCGCCAGCTCGGGTAAATATACGTGCGGGAGGGTTGTCAGTACCTAGGAGGTAGGTAGTAAAAGGAGGGACTTTGCGCATAGATGATAGCGCGACAAACGCCGCTGACAGGAAAGGAAGATCGCATCGTGCGTTTATTGTGTGCATTTCCCTCTCTCGTGTTACTCCGTACCAAGCTGGCAACCTAGCAACCCAACCCAACCCCCAAATTTTCCAAAGTTCCTCACCAGGGATGCCGATTTATAGGACTAGTGCCTGCAGGTCCAGACGCGGGGTACAGGGTTGGGGGGAGAGTCCTCGGGGTGATCTGCAACGACTGCATTTTTACGATGGATTGGACGAGTGGCCGAGCCGAGATTTAACTGGATTGACTAGATACATGATGCAAAAGGGTCTTGTGTTCCTGTCTGGGTGTGCTAGAGCCTGCTAGAGTCTCGGGTGATGGACGTGTTTCCAATGGATGGGAGTGGTGATCTTCAGCTACGTAGCACGCGGCATGCGATGTGCCGTCATGATATGGTGAACCGGGCACCCTGGGTTGGGGTAATGTGGCATGCAGTGATGCTGTGGCAGAGAGGAATTGGGTGGCGCGCTGTCGCCAGTCGGGAATATGGGGGGTAATGATAGCCGATGTTCTAACCGTCCACTCTGCCTAACAGCTCGGGTCTCGCGATATTCTAGTAGTCCAGCAGTTCAAAAAAAAAAAATACTAGAAGAAATCTGGAAGGAAATAGAACCATATGATTCCGTATTATCATTTGGATTTGGCCACTTGCCTCCTACAATTGCCGAAGCATGCAGCTTGTGATGCGTCTAGTAGCATCCATAGTAGTGAAGCCGTATCGTATAGTAGACCTACAGGTGGTAGTAAGTAAGGGATACGCGCTGTAAGCCCGAGTCGAATGTGAACTGTAAAGATCCTCGCGGATCATATTCATACTGAAAGGTCTAAACAACTAACAACCTCTCGAAATCAATCGATACCAATTCAAATGTCAGTTTTTTGAAAGCCTTTCATCAAAAAAATAATAATAAATTTTCACTAATGGTCAAGGATAGCTTAAACTGGCAAGACTAGTAATACCTAAGTCTTTTCTGTCCATGATTTTTATGCGCTATTCCGTCCAAGTAACGCCGTTCAATCTCGTAACGCCAAGCGCGTGGTCCACTCAATAGCGAACACCCCATTGAGAGCCCCATGATCCTTAGTAGGACCTTAGCTCTAATTCCCCAGATTTTCCTTTAGCTCAGGCTCCGCTCTAATGCCATTACCTCTTCAAACCCATTGCTAATCATGTTCATTTGTTCGGTGCTTGGCAGTCCACATGGTTTCCTCGGTACCCCACCGTATCCCTCGAAGAACTGCAGAGCAGCCTTCACTCCGGCAAAGCCGGTTTGGATGGCGACCCAGTCTGCCTTAGCAACGATTGCCTGCAGCCTTCTAGCCTCCTTCAGCTCACCGGCGTGGAACAACTCGCAGATACGGACACAAGCTCGGGGCACCAAGTTTGCTGTGCCGGCTATGGTCCCGTGCCCGCCCACGACCAGGCCCTGAAGGATGAAGTCTGCGCTGCCTCCGGCAACGAAGAAGCCAGGCCTAGCCCCATCAACAATGCGGGCCAGCTTCCCTGTGTTTCCACAGGTGAGTTTGACACCGTAAACGTTGGGGTGCTTGGCGATTTGAAGGATTGTGTCGGAGGATAGGTCTAGACCAGAGCAAGCTCCGGGGTAGTTGTAGATCATGACTGGAATTGGACTGGAGTCGGCAACATCATAGAAATGCTGAACAATCTTGGAAGTGTTGAGAAGGCCGCCGTAGTATGCGGGAGGAAGTATGATGACATAGTTGGCGCCGGCGCTGGCAGCATCCCGGCAGAGCTGAACTGTCTCGCGGGTGGACTGCGCCCCACAGCCTGCAATGAGAGGCACAAGGTGGTGGTCCGACTCATCTAGAGCAGCTCGTGTAGACTTAATCACGAGGCTACGCTCTTCTCTGCTCAGATGCACTGCTTCTCCGTTTGAACCGTGTACGACAAGACCTGCAACGCCAGCCTCAGCCAGGTGGATAGCATGGCGTTGAGTGGCTTCTAGGTCTATTTCATCATTGTCCTTGAAGAAGGCCACGGTGGGGACGTAAACCCCATCGGGCAGAGGACGAACTTGAACTAGAGATGCCGTCATCGAGTTTGTTTGGATTTGTGACTTAGTGAAGTTAAAGAGAGATGGGAATTGTAAAGCGTATAAATCAAAATACGATGTGGCAGGAATGGCGAAAGTAATGTGAATATGGTAAAGATGGTAAAGGGGGGGAGGTAATATAAAGTATCTTAGAGACTATGTGGTTCAAATAAATTGCTGGATAAGAGAGAAAGTAGTCCGGGCTACGAGAGGTACTATTTGGGTTTATATAACACGGAAGGTGGATAGGATGGAGAAGAAGGAAGAGGGGGGTGAGAGGAAGTTTGAGTACGTGTGAGTACGTAGGTATGTGTAAGGGGAAAGTTAATGGCAGTACGTGTGAACCCTCCGGTGGCAGGGGGGCAACATCGGCTTAAATGCCATCATACCTTTTTTTCTTCTTGCCTTGCCTTGCATTTCCTTGCCGGCAAGGAGGTGTATGGTAAGGTTAGGTAGGTAGTTGTCTGCTGCCTAGGTACGCTCAAAGCCGACGAGACTAGGAATAAGGCGAGGACTAAGCACACAAGACTTACTGAACTGGCTAGCTATCCAATCCTCCTCATATTGAGGCAACCCAATGAGCTCGCAAAGGATTCAATCAAAGACCCGACAGAGCCGCTAGACATTTTGCGGGTTTCTTGAAATGTAACTGGCGGACCTGACTACCTGACTTGACTGGGTAATGATGGTAGAAGAGGCTAACATCTCCTAGGCTAGCGAAGCGTGGGGGGTCATGTGGTGGTCGAGGTTTTTTTCCCCTGACCAGGGCAGCCAAGGTGGAAAGAAGCTAAACAAGAAGTATGATTGATTGTACCACCGAGGGACCGTAGGTGGCTTGGATTCTGAATACCTTTTTCTGACAGCGGACGGCTTGAGATGGCGGTGATTGGTGATTGGTGATTGGTTTAATCGAGAAGCGGTTCAGGCAGTCAGGCATGAGGAATTGACATGTGGGATGTTGAGATGCAGGGTCCTATGCCCTTCTACTGTCTAGTCCATGTCATGTTGTATGTATAGTCGTGTATGTACGTGCGTTGATGTGTGCGTATATGCGTGTCTCTGCGTGTCTATGTAATATGTAGTAATGTAGCATGTAGCATGTATGTAGGTGTTTTTTTCAGGGTCATGAACGCATTTGGAGAGCTAGGCTATGTTGTTGGATGAACGAGCGAACCATGGGGGCGAATAGAAGTGTGTATGATCCATGTGGGCTGTGGGTTGTGGGTTTGGATTGGGGAGAATGCGGTGAAGCATTTCCTTTTTGTTCCTATCGAAAGAGACAAATTGAAAAATGAGGGGCATCTTATGGATTTGTATGTAACTTGGTGGGGAAAACACGCTATATTAGGTTTGCGTGGGGGATGTGCGATGTATATAGATACATGGGTTGCTTCTAATATCGTACCTACATATGTACTTAGGTACATGCGTTATCCCACGAAAATTACCTTGGATGCGGTACTTCAATACAACAAGTACCAGGCTACACGTACATGTCTACATGTATCAAGAATTACTAAGCCTGCATCGATGGCCTGTCAACTTTTGTAAAGCCTGTAAGAGCCCCCCGTGTAACGCCTCCAGGGCTACTTCATCCTTACGCATGTAATAGTGGGTATGTAGGGTACATATGTGTAGGGTAGATGCTTTCAAAAATACAAGGTATAATAATGTACATATGTACCTAGATAGCCCTAGTCCGTAACAAGGTCAGGCAAGAGAGATGGGGCGTTCATCGTCACCCCCACGCCAACCTAAAACATGCAAGCCCTAACGCCTCCCCGGCTCTATTCTTATTCCGGCTTTGACTTTGAACTAGAACCGGGGCAGGGGCAAGAGGGGGAAGGGGGGACCCTCATTCTTTCATAGAAACATTCCGTGATTTGGTCCGAACCCGTCTTCTCCTTCCTTGCCAAGCCAAGATCCGGATTTGGGGGGATGCCCCAGTGCCCCGGTTGACAGCTTGGAATAGGAGTGGGATTGGGAGCAGTAAGAAGAGGGGGAAATGTTTTTTTTTTTTTTTCAGGCTGCACCTGATTTTCTCCATGCCCGCTTCTTCATCATGCCGCATATCAACGACAAACACGATGCCACTACATACATATCGCACATACGGACTTACATACATGTACATACATAATATGTAATCCTCTCGTCAATCACCAAGCAATAATGCACGTTCAATCCCCATAGGTAGTCTGGTAGTGCAGCGGACCACGAAAAAACTAGGCAGTTTAGCGCGAACACCGCTCTTACACCCTTCAAGGGTCTAGGGGTCCGGGGCTGTGCGCCGGGTATGATGTAGCGGCTCCGGAGCCAAGCTAGGGGACTTGCAGCAGCTGCTTCTTCGTACTGGTACCCATCAGGCCATCTCAGTCAATAGCTGCCCAGATAACCTCGTTGGGTTGCAGACACATATTTACGTCGTTTTCGGGGTTCCATTGTCCTGGTTGACAGTTCCCGAACACATTCAATTGGGTGGCCCGAGCAGCCCGGGCTAGACTCCAGCAAAGGGCTGGCTGAGAGTGGGATATTCGTCACACCGGGATCCCACTGGTTATCAGGCCATACAGGGCTGTTAGACGAAACCCAGCGGTCTGGCTCAGCGAGTTTTTCTTGGGGGTGTGAGCGCGTGCTACGCAGTCTTGGCGATCTATTCGTCGATATCTATCTATCTCCGGGTCCCCGTTGGTGCTTTGCTCCTAATACCCGGGCGCCTCCTATCACATACCGAAGCCAATTATGACGTTCGGGTCCGTCTACCTTAAGTATTGGTACTAACGATAACCCCTTAAAAAAAAGAAAAATGCTTAATCTTGTTTCTACCCCTTCCTACCCATTGTAAGACGCACCTGACTAGGGCAAAAATTTCTTGAAAGAAGATACTCACGTGAGAATAGTTAAGAGCGTGGGGGTCAAGAGCCAATACCGGTACGATCGACGCAGGGGGGTAGAATGGTTATTCCCGAGAGCCCTTCTCTCGGGTGGACAAGATCATTGGTTCTATTCATGTTATATGGAATATTAGGCCATCGCTTCGCGAGAGGGCGTTTTGAAAAGTCCGAAGCTACCCTAAATACTTCCGCAAGAAGGATTGTGGTGGACAATCATTCTCATCAGGATGACAACATCGGGGTTCGTGGCATGCAAAAAAAGAATGATCTTCTATTCTGAGACAAGCCGATGTCTACCCCATATTCTAATTTTCGGAGCATGTCGGGGAACTAGCGCATCCGGAATCACCGGAATGAGCCCCATAGGTCACACTACGGATTGACCAAAATAAACGAGATAGATGTTGCGAAATCGCACGGCACAGTTAGGTATGCAAGTGGCGTAAGCGATTATACCAACATTTAAACCGCCAAATTCGTATTTCTTAAGATAAAATTCGACTCATAAGCTCTATCAACGAAGCAAAGACTGTCTTGCAGCGTATGATATAGGAAACCATAAATTACTCATAAGCAGCTCTGCTTATGTATGAATCCCAACATGAAAACCGAACACTCACGAAGAATTGCAAGAATACCTACCCAGGTAGATTGGCGCCCAAACAAATAAAAGCTGTAAGCACAAGCCGTTATCACCTAATAAAGTACCTAAGTAGTAATATGATTCGAATATTTACTCGAACAATACAGCCTGCCTTAGGCATGATGTCTCGTTCGCATCAAAGGATGGAGGTACATGATATCTAAACCCATATTTGATTGTTTTTAGCTGATCTATGCAGGAATCTGCGTGAGTCTTTGTTGCCAAAGAACACGATACAACGGAACCGTCATGTTTTTGTACAGCCTGGCAACTAGAATTCTAGTCTTAAATAGTGTCGCCATCTCCACTCGTCCTAAGCTCAAAAAGGCCTCGCTTCCTTCGCTCACTCTTTCCTTCAACATGTGGAGCTCAATTCTTGTTGAATGGGTGCTATCAAACAAAATAATGGACATTACCTACAGGCTATTAGGTACCCTTTCTATCAATATCTCTACTCAGGCGCTCATAAGTTATCTGATATCATCATACTATAGACAAAAAATGTATTACGTACCCTAAAATTACCTTTCGTAGATAGTAGTATATGACTTCCTATACTAAGTTTGACGCCGGCATAAAAGTCAGCATAATGAGTGTAATAACCCTATCGCGACTACATATTCCGCGGGAAATAAAATTAGACTCGCCCCCTTGATCGGAATTTTTGTTCACGTTTTGAGTTAGAGCGTCATACCGCCGATACGGGGATACCTACTTCAAATATACATACGGCATATAGTCCCCAAGTAGGAAGATATATTAATTAAAGAGAAGTCTGAACCTGACGTCGAGTAATGCTATAGATGGTATTCTATATAGTGATTTAGCTAATACAAGTATTTTTTTAAGGTAGTATCTCATTTACACTAGCCACCATCCTCGTCATGATTAACCCCCGCTATGATAGCTACATCTAGGAGATCTGCTAGGGAAAGGGGTACCCGATCGCGGTGCGCGTGTTCCGGGAAGCCCCCGGTTAGCTCCGGTATCCACTATCCTCCTAAAGATCTGTGTAACGCGAGGTAGTGGCTAGCACTTGCGGTAGAAGGTAATAGAACTACTATACCAGTGTTCCATTGCGGGAAGGTTTCGGTCCGGGAAGAACCCTGCTGAAGGAGCTATAGGTACAGCTATAACACTAAACCCACATATCTATCCCCCGTGTGCGTACCTGCCCGGATAGGAGGTAAGCATGGTTTAGCGGCCGGACCTTTAGATCGGACGGAGATTGCGGGCTACGGGGAAGGCGCCGTATGCCCATGACCCCTGGAGACAGCCTCACCTGTTGTTTGCAACCCCCTCTTTCGCACCTTCTCCCTGCTGTTTGGCAACTCAAGCCTTGCCCGCGCCGTGTAGTGCCTGCCATTTGGCCTTGGACTCCTAATAAACGGTCCGTGCTGTGGAGCCGGCTTGCGATTCCTTTCCTATATAAAGTCGACCTTCTCAATCAAAAGTTCTGAACCTAACCTTTCTTAATCGCTTTCACTAAGATTCTTCTCATCTTCCAAAGTCTTTTCACTACATCCTGGTGACTCAATATTCCTCATTGTCCTTTGAGCACTCAGCATTCACAGTCCTTCCAGCCCTTGCACAATCTATCACGCACTCCGACCGTGAGCTTTGCTTGTAGTGTACACTCCGAAAGAAGCCATACTCTATGGTAAGTATTCTTTCGTTATAAGCTAGTGATCATCGACCCAATTGACCATGTCGCTGACACCACAATTATTAGAACATGTCTTCGCCCAACTCCTACCCCAATGTCGCGCCCGTCCAAGAGATGGTTCCCGCACCCCATCAACCCCCGTATGTCCAGCGAGTATTCTCCAATGCACCCTGCTTAACGGGGTATTGGACATGTCCTCGCCGGTACTGTTACGAGCATGGCAGACAAGGTACCGGCATGTCATGGATCCGAATCCCACACCAGACCACACCATACAATCCGAGAAATCCTCGACAAGTGTGTCAATTGGAAGACTGCCCGCTACACCATCCTTGGAAGGCAGTGTGCCACATCGTGAAGCATGAAGAATTAGACCTTCAGCTTGAGGAAGTGGAGCGCTTGGCTGCGCGTGGCAAGCTTGTCGAGGGTGGATTGGTTAAGCCTTCAAGGGAATATGTAGTGTCGTGCCTTTATGAGGTATGTTTACCGGTTTTTAATATCTCGTCGGCGATTGATTGACTGATGGTGAATAGGACTACGTCGATACCAGCAGAAGGGTGGCGGATCTATCTGAGCTTGTGGCTACCCCTGTCGTCGAATCTTCGCACGAGGAAATCGTAGAAGCCGAATGTCGCACCGTTATTATTGACGGATTAGAACCGTCTACGTATATCTTCGACATAATGACAAAAGTCCGATGCGGACAAGTCATTCGGGTCACCACGGTGTCGAGCCCGGCACCTCTCGGCCGCACGGCGATCGTTGAATTTGTCTCGGGGTCTGATGCTTTAACATATGCCGAGTATATGAGGTTTCATGCTACCGATGTGTTCGGTCCTGGCGTCCGTGTCTTTCTCGCGAACACGAAGTCATACCCAATGGCGACCGAGACGCAATGCGATATTGAAAACGGCTTCACCCGATTGCTCGTCTTGTTCGACGCGCTGCGTCGCTCCCCTCAGGCCTTCCTGGACGATTTCCAGTCATTCTACCGGGACCCGCGGGAAGTGCTAGAAGACGTGTGGATGGGCGAGCACGGATTGATGTTCGTCTTATTCAAAGACATAAAGTTCGCCAGTCGCTTCTACAAAGGTTCGATCTGGCGCCATGAATACTTCGAGCGACAAGATTGGGTGTCGAATCCACACGGGTTTGCTAAGGACCCATGCGATAACCCCATAGACCCGTTCGATGGCTTCCAACCTGCTCGGGGATCGAACACGAGCGTATTTTCAGAGTGGATTTTGTCGAAAGAGTATATCGCAGGATTGAAGGAGGCCGGGATACTCCCCGAGAACGTCGATTCGAATGTCCGCAATCTGGACATCGAGACCTTGGGAGATCCCAACGAGTTCTTGGTGTGGACCAATCAAAATCCCGAAGTCGTGGCTGCGAGGGAAATTCCGGAGGAGTAGGAAACTCCGGAACCCCAAAGCCACAAGAGGACCCCACCATACCAGTCTCAGATGAATTTCGTCCCTTTTCCCTACGAAGACTTTGATGACCTTGCGGATACTTCCTTAATTGACCTACAGCCCAAGCATGCTGTCTCTAGTCTGGAAGGAGTCTTAATAGATCTTGGCTTAGACTCCGAAGAGGAAGACCAAAATACCCCCGTTGTATCCTCCCCAAAACAGTTCATAACACCACCCGGCGATGTGCCGTACAACACACCGGAGAGCCAACTCCCGCTCGAGCGTAGCCCTGTTGCCTCTAAGCTGGGTTTCCCTTTAAATGGGACCCCAGAAGTGCGACGACATCGTCCTGCCAAAATTGCGATCAGGCTTTACCGCAACGGCCTTCGTCTGCCCACTAGTAGCCCAACCCTTTGTCAAAAGGACGACGATGAGGGTTGGTGCACCACTGACGGGGAATCGGAGAATGGCGAGCTAGGTGATGATGAATGGTGATAATACCCATTCACCTATATACTACTCGAGTGGAATAAGAGTGAGTGTCTGAATCCCTTTAACCATTGTTGTTAGTACTAATATCTCTCAGTGCAGAATTGCTACCCGCTCTGCGAATTTCCTTTTTTTGTTAGGTTTTCACAAGACACGGCTTGCTTTTAGAATTTCACCTGTTCCTTTATTCCCGTCGCGGCTTTGGAGTGGGGTACATTACACGTCGTCGGTTTTAACCGAATGTGCTCTCATAGATGACGGGGATCTCATGGGAGGGAAATTCTATGGGTCAGCTTGCATCGGCGTTTGGGGGGAGGCGTTTATGATCTGGGCAGGACATCTTAAAGATTGATGGGAAGATGTAGATTAATTCTACCCAAGAACCACCAAATTTCGCGAGTGGTTTTCTGAATTTAGATTCGCGTCCTGGCATATTTCCTTCCTATAACTTGCGATTCAGTAGTCTTACGACTTTATGCCCTTTCGCTATAATTAATAAGACGGGGGGTATTTGATCAACTTTGGTAAAATTATTCATTGGTATCAAGGCTTCGATGCTTCTAATTCGAGCTCTAGCAGATACGTTAGTAATCTAAGTAAGTGTTTGAGAACTGATTACCTAGGAAGACCAAGATATTCATGCCCGTAGCTCGTATTCCATCATGCATATTGGGGATTTTTTCCCCTTGAATCTCTCGTCCACTCCTCCAATAGCGCGTAGCTACTCCAGCAACATAACGAACGCAGAATTGCGTTCTACTCTTAGTATATATCATAATCGGCCCCCTTTTCCAGTAGTCGGACTGCGTTGAATGGCGGCGGCGAGGTCTCTCATAAAGGCCGTACCTATTGCCTCTGGCCTGGGTCTCAGTTTCGATTTAGCCGAGGTGGGGGCGACGACGAGCATCTCCTCTTCTCCATCATCCTCACCGTCCGCGTATCCATTACCACCACGACCATTAACGTGAGACTCTCCATCGTGGTCCACATTATTTCGCAGCCCCTCTAAATCTGCTTCATCACCTGCAAACGCTTCGGCTACGCTCGAGTACTTCCTCTTTAAAGTAAAGGGATGCTGTGCTGATGCTTTTGTAGGCGTTCGGGCGTGGTAACTCTGGTTCGGGGACGCCGTCTTCCGACGAGCTGTTTTTCTCTTTAGGTATGGTTGAATTAATCCCGGAGGTATGTTTTCCTCGGGCTCCCAAGTAGGGTTCTGATCTGGTGGCCAATCGCCCTCCCAGCGCACTTTGTAGTGGCGCACCCGCACACCATCGACGTTAATAATTTTATCGCCTTCAAGCCGTTCTACTACCCATACCTGGCCTTGTTCTTTCTCTTTTTCCTTCAATTTTGGGGTTTTATCTGCGCGCGAAGATCGCACCTGTTTTGTTCCATTGCTCCGGCCGGCAAGTGGCGACTCCGCTGGCATGTCACCAAGTGATAGTGATACTGCCGAGGGCCACTTACCTAAGCTTCGTCCTGCAGGTGTGAAGCCGTAGTGTTGGAGTGTGGATTGTATGGACGGAGCAGATGCGGGAGGTTCGCCTTTCTTTGTGGTGGGGTGGGGCCATGAAGGAATTGGGACTGGAGTTATAGATTGCTTCGCATTGGCAGATTTTGCCTGAGAAACCCCCTTGGCCGATTCTAATGACGTGGGAATTGGGATAGGCGTTTTGGAATGTTTCTTATTAGGTGGCTTGGAGTTGGGTATCGTTGTATTTGAGGCAAATGGTGAAGGTACTGGAACAGGTGTCATGTGTAATCGGTTATTCTCTTGTTGTTTAGATTGTTCTGCGATTGAGGGTTGCTTGGACGATGGTTGGGGTGGAAACTGCTTGCTCGATCGAAGCGGCTCGGGGACTGGGACGTGACTTGTGGTAGACTTGAACGCAAGATTGCCATTAGCACGCTTCATCAATGTCGGATCCTTATTAAGCCATAGTGTTCTAGCATACGGTCTGATTTCGGGGCCTGACGATATGGTCTCAGGGATGTTATGTGGTGTTATGTCATCATCCTCATCGTCACCATCTACGTCCATGGCCTCGGCGAGATTATCACCATAGCCGCATAGTTGTTTGAATATTGCGCCATCAGGGTCCTCCTCCTCAATTTCTTCTTCAACGTCGGTCACGAGCTCCCCCGCTGGTTTCTTTTGGGGAGTGGATAAGGACGGTCCTGATCTGCTCGCGGGGGGTAGTTCTACTTCGATCTTTTGGGAACCGCCGATGCTCGCTCGTTTTGCAAGGTGGCGCGCTTGAAGCTCTGCCTTGCTTGGCCGACCACGCCTCTTCTGACTGGAATTTGTTGGCGTACTCGGTCGCGTTGATGTACTTGTCGCGCTCGTAGATTTTGCTGCTTTCTTTTTCTTAGCTGCCAACTCTGCCTTGCGATTCTTCTCCGCTTCTTGTCTCTCTATTTCCTCGTCTCTTTCAAGTAGGTCCCTATACTCGAAATCTTCTACCTCTCGGGGTGAAACATATTCATGCACTTTTGTCGCAAGGATAGTCGCGCGCGCGGCAGGTAGGTCTCGCCAACCCACGACATAGTACATCTGCAACTTCGGTTTGCCATTAGCAGTTATGTCGGGTAGAACGCGCTTGTCGATTATAAACGCGTCTGAATCATTTTCGGGGACGATTCTAAGAGGAGCTAGCGGAGGACCATCGCCAGGTCTGTACGGTCGAGGTTTCGAGGGTAAAGATATTTGGACCCGCGTTTTAGGCTTAGGAGTCGGTTTCGGTTTCGGTTCCATGAAGGCAATTCGGATGTGTTCCGCATGGGAACAACCCGAGGGGAGGAGGATCTGTTAACAGTACTGATGATAGATCGCGCAACTTCTCCAGGGTAGCTGGGCTGGGTACGGTCGGGGGTTATTCATAAGTAGCTGGGCGCAACTAGCGCAGATCTGAATAGATTCATGAACAAAAACATTATGGGCTTTCCGCTAAACCAGAGACGGATATTAGCCCTTCGATTTAAGGAATTCAAAGCCAAACTGGCGGATTGGGCAGTCTTTGTTTCAATAAGTTTGTCTGTCTTCAAATATTTTAGGGTAATTAATAATAATCTCTAAAACTATCCGCCCGTACTGTACAGTGCTGTACTTACAAGGGAAAGACACTGAAATGTGTCGGACCTACCCTGCCAACTTTGACAGGGTTAGCCTGAAGCTAGCCCGTTATAAGCAATCGTTACTTCTAACAATAGGGCTATTACAACACCTAAAATTAAACCTTGTAACCTCCAAACTTAACTAAGGGACATAATCAATTGTAATAACGATTGGAAGTAACGAATAACGTCGACCTTTTTAATTCATTATAGCGCCAACTTAGATACAATTAAGGTTCCAGCGATCCACCAATGTCCTTCGTACCTGCTTCGGCAATTTGGTATTATAGTAAATGCAGTAACGTAACTCCGTCCACCGCCTTCCGTTTCCGTCCCGAGCCGTTTTCTGCCAAGGTTGTGTCATTTTTGTGACTCAAGTGCCCCTCCCCCTCCATCTCGACATTTTTGACATATCTGACATACAACACGCCCTATTGTCGACCCATTTAGCATTTAAATTTCGTGTTAAAATCTTCGCGACTTTCCGTCTATATAGGAAAGGGATTGTGAAGTAACTCTCAAATACGTCGCAGCGCAAGCGAAATTGCGATCATGAGCGAGTCACAACCGAAACCGTCTTTGCTACCCGAGGCGGGTAAGCAAAGCATTTTGATCACTAGTGCCCTACCCTACGCCAACAACGTTCCTCATCTTGGCAACATCATTGGCAGTGTTCTTGTAAGTAAATATAAAAGTGATACCCGATACCAAATCAATGCGATATCTAACACGTTAATGTATGTAGTCAGCGGACGTGTTTGCTCGTTTCTGTAGAGCACGAGGCCTTCCGACCCTCTACGTTTGCGGTACCGACGAATATGGTACAGCTACCGAAACACAAGCACTTGCCGAGGGTGTAGATCCAGCTACACTATGCGCCAAATACAATGCTATCCATCGAGATATCTACTCTTGGTTCAAGATCGATTTCGATATCTTCGGCCGCACTCCCACTCCCCAGCATACCGAGATCGTGCAGGAGATATTCAGCCGGCTATGGGAGAATGGCTTCATTGAGGAACGAGAAACCGAACAAGCCTATTGCCCGGCCCACTCGTCTTTCTTAGCCGATCGCTTCGTCGAAGGCGAGTGTAGTCTGTGCCACGCGCCCGGAGCACGTGGAGACCAGGTAGACACTACATTCTCGTTATTGCTACCACACATAGTGCTAATATCTTCAAAAGTGCGACGCATGCGGAAATCTTTTAGACCCTCTAGAGCCTGTCGAGGACACCAAAGCGGAATCGGGAGAAGACAGGAAAGCCACTGGCTGGCTTATCAACCCTCGGTGCAAACTCGATGGCGCGGCACCGGAAAGACGAAGAACGAAGCATCTTTATCTTCGCCTAGATGCCCTGCAACCCGAAGTCAAATCCTGGCTTGATAACGCTAGTAACAGCAAGGATTGGAGCTCTAATGCCACAGCCATCACTCAATCGTGGATCCATGATGGGTTGAAGCCACGTAGTATTACGAGAGACCTGAAATGGGGTGTACCAGGTGAGACTTACCCCTATTGGGATGAGAAATACGTTAACCCAATGTCTTTCAGTTCCTACGGGCCTGCCTGGTTTATCGGGAGGCGATTATGATGGAAAAGTCTTCTATGTTTGGTTCGATGCCTGCAGTAAGTTATATCGAATGCGCCACGTTTTTGTGAATATGATTTAACGTAAATAGTTGGTTACCCTTCGATTACCAAGTGTTATACCGATAGGGACGACACGACTAGCAAAAATTGGGAACGATGGTGGAAGAACCCAGAAGATGTCTCTCTGTACCAATTCATGGGCAAAGACAACGTCCCGTATGTTATTAGATACCAATTGAGCTGGAGGATTACTAACCCCTACGATCAGGTTCCATAGCATCATCTTCCCCGCATCCCAGCTAGGTACCCGAGAGAAATGGACTCAAGTTACCAAGTTGTCTACTACGGAATACCTTAATTATGAAGGTGGAAAGTTTAGCAAGTCAAAGAATGTTGGTGTTTTCGGCAATAGCGCCAAGGACACTGGTGTTCCCGTCGACGTATGGAGATATTACTTGCTCTCGAGACGCCCAGAAACCAGCGATTCGGAGTTTAGTTGGCGGTAAGCCACTTTCTCATTTTCTACCCTCACTGAAGCTAATCACACTGGTCGCACAGAGAATTTGTTGATGCCAACAACAACGATTTGCTAAAGAACCTCGGCAACTTCTGTAATCGTGTTGTCAAATTCGCTCACGCGAAATTGAACGCCGTGGTACCCGACTATCGCACTTACAAAGATCCCACTGGCTCATTAGAGCAGCATAAGGAGGAAGCCAACAGCTTGCTTCAAACTTACATCGCAAACCTCAAGGCTACTAAACTCCGAGCCGGTCTCTCTACAATTCTCAGGTACGTACTCCGAATTAACCGAGTTCTTGTCTTCCGAGCACTAACATAGCATTTCGCAATTAGCATATCCGGATTAGGTAATAAACTGCTGCAGGATAACAAGCTGAGTAATCAGCTTCTCTCCGAAGATCCAGAGCGCTGCAATGCCGTCGTCGGTGTGGCCTTAAACCAACTTCACCTTCTCGCAAGCCTTTTATTCCCATACATGCCAGAGACAGCCGAAGGTATTCTCCACCAACTTGGCGTTCAAGGCTCCGGCAATGATAGGTTCTTAATCCCCGACACATGGACAGCCGACGCCATCCCAGCAGGACAGGCCCTCGGAGAACCAAAACTACTTTTCTCTCTCATTCCATCCGAGAAGGCCGATGAATGGCGTGAGGCCTTCGGTGGAGAAGAGCTTCGAAAGCAAAAGCAAATTGAATTAGAGAAAGCTGCAGCTAAGAAGGCAGCGAAAGAGAAGGAGAAGGAGCGGAAGCGACTCAAGAAATTGGGTCTCGCCGCTGGTGCCGGCAGTGAATCATCAAAGGTGCCAACAGAACAATTACAGAACCTAAGCGTAGCGGATAGCGCTGGAGGTCAGGACTCATCAAAATAAAAGAAAGCCTAAGCTCACCATTAAATTGTTTCCGCATGGATTGGATGTTGTTGATAGGGCGCTAGTATAAAGGTTTCTGCAGAGACACCTTCGGTTGATTTGGCGATGCGGTTGACGCATAGATCTGCGAAGAATTCGCTAAAAAATAGGGCTAGGATCTTCAAAATGAAACAGTCGGTTCTGTTTTTTCTTCATATGCCCCAAAATCTTCAAGTAATATCTTCGGAACTTCGCCACAGTTGCAGCCCGGTCAGTGTAATGACAAGATTAACCTAACACCTTTTTTTCATTTATGCATATATACATTGACATTTATGTACAGGCTCGTAATCTCGTCCGCTGATTACCTCTTAATCACAAGGCCATCCTATCATTTATATCAAACGTCGCGTATTTACAGCTTCCTCAGCGATCGAGGAGCCGCTCCTCTAGCACGCATATTGGCAACACGTCAAGGTCCCGTCAATATTACCGAGGTGTTCGGCAGCACCTAGTCTCCCAATTAGCAACCAGGTTATAGCTTCTAGCCTAAATATACTTACGTAAGTTCACTTCAACTCCCTCGTGGCCGTTACAATTGCAGATCATAATCTTGCAGATGGCCTCCCATTCATCTACCAGACGGTCTTCGAGGTAGCAGTTATTGCACGATGCGCCGAAGTTTGAGCCTAGCTGTTTACCAAATTTAGTCAGCGCCCATCACGGGAAGATTCCATTTATGAAATAGCCCGGAAGCGCAATCACTTACATTGAAGATGCTGTTGCTTGAAGAGTCATAGCCGAAGCAAGTATTCAAGTCGAAAGTGTTGGGGACAGAGTTTCCTTTCTTGTCGTTACAGTTTGCTGTTAGGACTTCGTTGCTTGGGTCCAGAACCAGGTCCGAACAGGTCTTGTCAGCGTATAGGGCTGAGGCGCCACTGATGAGAACGGCTACTGCAGTCGTGGCTACGGCGATGAACTTCATGTTGAGTAAATTGGGCTCGATCGTTATCGCAACTTCTTGTAACAAAAGAGGGTCGCTTTGCCTAATATAGCCAACAAAGGGAGACCATAGAACTTAAGAACCAATTTATGTGATGAATGCATGTTCTTCATAGTCGAAGCCTATACACAAAATGGCACCGGCATGGACGATGACCCCTAACCCAAATAGGAACCTACCAGGTGCTGGATGGAAATATAGCTGAATAATCGATTCACTGTCATCACTAAAATTCCGAACCTTCTTATTTCAGATATAATGGCCGTTTTAACTGGCTGGGCACCGATCCCTAACAGTCCCACTTATGTAACATGACTTACACCCGGATACTACGTTTCTAAGTAATAATAACTTTATATTTACCACATAGCTCCATTCTAGACTGTTTCCCTCTAAACCTCGGAGAGATTCTGTCTTGGCGCGGCAATACTTAGCGAGCTGAGATCCTCGACCACTCGTCACGGATCTTCCCATAGCCGTTCATGCCCTAGTCAATGAGCGTCCTGGGAACGAATCCGACGGTCAAATATGCTTAATTCAGCCCAGTTCCCGCTGGAACCGGGGTGGAAGCCTCGGTTTGCTTCTCTTGGCTTTTCTCGATAAGATGAAGGCATCGGAATCCTTCCCGATAGCCTTCCGACAGCCTTAAGGACAGATCAGGCCAGATCACAGCCAGACTTGAGGTTATCGCGCGCTATACACCTCAGGTCCTGGCAAATTGAATGGCATGGCCCTGCTGCGCTGCCCTAGAACCTCCTTATACATGCTTGGTCATGATGAGTCCCACCATGAGAATCGTAGTTCTAGTATTCGCTAAGAGAAGGAACTGTGCAATTATCTTCAAAAGCAATGGTAATTCATATATACTAAGCGAAGTGTAGAGCTAGCTAGCTGCTGGGTGCCTAGAAACCAAAGGTACTATAGTCATTTTTATATACATAGTAGATTGCGCTGGGGACTTTCGAGATTGTGGGTTGGAATAATATGTACACTATGGCGACTTTCCACCATACGGTTTAATCGCCTCAAAATCCGGGAACTTGGTGAATAAATCTCGGACTTTATCAATTGGTGCTGTCATGAACGCGACAGCTGTCTCGAACGGCGGCTTATTCGGAGCACCGGGATGACTGCGCGTCGGCGAAAACCACTTCGTTTTCTCGAATTTCTGACACAGTTCCTTGGATCGTGTTAGACCCAGCGCGTCTTCCAGCTTAACGAGATCGCCTTCTTCCGCTTCCTTGATATGGCGCTTTAGGTCTTGAAAGAGATCTTCTAGTGTAGGGAGGAACTTCTTATCGCCGGGTTTGAGCTTCTGAAATTCGTAGAGCTTTTCTTTTACCTGATTTGCATATTAGCCATGTTTTCCTATTATGTGCAGGGATATTGGTGAGTTCCAGTACCCTCTGGTGATCCGCGCGGACCTTGTCCGCCCTCTGCTTTCCATCCGACATGGCCTCTTCTAAGGCTGGATATACAACGATTTCCTCTGCCACAGATAACCGAGCCAACTCCCAAATAAAGGCATTTTGGAACCTCCTTTGCTCGTCATGGTCTTTGGATTTTTTTATTCGATTATAAAAGTCTTGTAGCTCATCGTGGTCCTGTTGAATAGCCTGACTGATCTTAAAAATCTGGCTATGTTCGAGAGATTCTGCCCTGTTTCCTGGGAAATGATGCTCCCCAAACGCGCGTCTCGAAATGCGCGACGAGGTTGGACCGTAAGCTCTCGCCGCCGGTCGCACAGCGCGAACAAAACGAATTGGCTGACGATACATTTTCCCTTATTTTGAGAGGTTTTATGCGCAAGAGATGTATTCGCTCGAATCGGAACTATTTATTTATAATGAACAAATGTATGATTATATCTCCGCGTCATGGTTACGTCTTCGGCGATATGTGGGGAACGTGGTGATGCTTACCCCTTTTTTTGTAGATCCGGGGCGGGCCGAGAAGCACGCCATTCCAGCAACAAATCCGGGGAATAGGAGCGCATTACCTCCTGGAAAATCTCATTTATTCCTGTATACCCCAAGAATTATTTCGGCCCAATCCCCATGAGTCGACTCTCAGGTCAGTCATTTCAATCGCCATCGTTTCAGTGGATTCTAGCTCCCTCCTTAGGCAAGCTGAACGCCCTGTTGTAGTAAACAAGCATTGAAGTTGACTTCCCCTTATCGTTTGGATCAATTCCTCAAGATAAGGCTCTGTATCACGGTCACCCAACCATTGAAACCCATCAATAACGCAGAGAATGGTGCCTGGCATAAGAGCTAATAAATCTCGAAATAAATTCAGCATCTGCGACCAGCATAAAATCGACCCATCAATTGAACGCAATCGGCTCGAGGAGAAATCTGTCGCGGAATCGAACTTCGGAAGCAAGAGTTCTATCATCTGTCGCAACAAGGCGCATAGTAGAGATACGCATGATTGAGCTTCGCGTGTATCATTTCCAGGCCTTAAACGTTCTCCGCGACGGATCTCACAACAGCTAAAGGGGGATAAGTCAGTAAATTCCAAATACAAAAGTTGTCAACTTCGCAGAACTTACTATGAGAGAACTGGAATATTAGATTGCTCGGATAAATCCATGACCTTGTTAGCTAACATAGTGATAGGGTTATCAATGTCATCGGCCTCAATAGGCGGTCCCTCCAGCCAAAGTAAGTGGGAGGATTTATCCTTCATCCACTCACTCAGCCGCCTCAAGGACTCGGGATTAATTTTGGTCGGGTTAAAATAATCTCCACCCACTCTCACTCGATCCCGATGGAAGAAGTCTTCCAGATGTTTAGAATTTAATATGATCTCCTCTAATATCCACTCGGTGGAGCTAGGTGAGTTAGCCCTTGAAGGCGAGGCGAACCCCTGAAATTGTTGTGGTGAAGCAAGTAGCTGGACGAAAGGGAACCCTGGCGGCAAATCTTCGACGAAAGCATTAGCAAATTCCCCTAAAACGGAACATAAAATAGCTGCTTACCGCCATTGGTGGATCGCATGTCCCCAATCCATACCATCGCTTTATCCTGAAGCATGCTAGTGAGACGATCTGCGAGTTGCTTAAACTGTTGACCGTCCTCTCTTAGGAGTTGCCTCTCTTTTCGCCCTTCCGAAAGCTCCCTCTCGATTTTCTCCGCCATATATACCATCTCAGCATGTCGTCTTTCGTCGCCGGTCAATCCTAGCCTAACATCCCGCGCTAGTTCCTCGACATTCAACCTAGTTACCCGTTGCTCTGCATGGGAACTTTGGTTAGCCAAGTTTCGAATCATATCGGACTTGCGCCGAATCGTTTCGATTTGGTTCTCAAATTTCTTGTAGAAGTTTTCGTTGAATGAGTCTAACAATCTCTTCCGCCTTTTCTCGGTTATCCAATCCATGGTGTCAGAAAGGAACACAAAGACGTGCGCATAGAAATCCGCAACCAATTCCATCATGGCTTTAGTTCTGAACAATTGCAGCTCCGATCTGCATTCGAGAATGTACTCGCTAATGTGGCACAACGCCTCCGAAAGGCCCTCGGCAATACGCTCATGGTTAACACTGGCCTACTTCGCATTAGTGAATGCTATAAGAGTCCTTGATTAGGGTCTCGGCTTACCCTTATGATGACGTTCAAAGTTCCCGCGAATATTGAGACGTACTCACTGCCTTCAGGGATTAACTCCAGCATCGACTTATGTGAGTCTACTGTGCCACAGAACTTATGAAACATATTCATTGCTTTTCCACGGCGACTATTGTCTCTCTTTGCTTTCGATGTTGCCGCGATTTCTTGGACGAGCTCGACTACACCTTGCATAGTAGGCTCGGATCTTCCTATATCCAGGCGATCTTCGCTAGAGCTGTTCCTAAGAAAAGGGGCCCATTTCTCGCGGAGTTTATTCGACTCGACAGTAATAACCTTGGTAATAGGGTCTCTACTCAGCAGAAGGCCCCGTTAGTTGCAGGTATGGGTGTTTGGGGCATGGCGTAGTTATCTTACTGCTCGCTTGCAGGCGCTTCCCAGGACTCGAAAAATATGCGCCATGGATTCATCAAGTCTCTTGAGTCTGATTGGCCTTGGCTCAGAACATGACCTAATACTTGATTGTTATGGCCATAAGGAAGCCGTCCCTCAACATCTCCACTGTACATCCTGACGAGCCTCCTAGATTCCCTAACATCATCCGTAGAGGTCGCCATTGGAGATTATTTCGATGCTCGTCTCGCATATATTTCTATAGCCTTAGGACTGAGACCCTGACCCGTCACACTTTCGAATGAGTCAGGATACCTCGAAACCGAAATCATTAGGTAAAATACACTCGCAATTCATACACAGAAGTCTTAATAAGGCTCTATGGCTAGCAGCTTTAATTACTCGAGTAAACGGACTTTAGATGTTCTATTCTATTATGGTACAATAAATGGTTCATACGCTAATAGGCGTAGTATAAGGGAACTCGAAAAACCCCCGCGGGGAGCTCCAAAAAGAACGCCTCAGCTGGAGTCAGCCTGCATATACTCATACCAATAGCCAATAAAATAACAGAAATATGTTTCACTGCAGGCTACTATAGAAGCATGGATCCCATTCCTTGGTGGTTATGTCATTGGCTGGAAGTGCTATGGCGCCCCGTAATAACTACGACGTGACGATGGGGGCCAAATCTTAAGTAATATGCTGGCTCCCGAGGCTCTGGCGTTTCGGAGGGAAGAAGAAGTTTTCGTCGATCCTCGCGTCGGTGGCGCTCAACTTTATAATTACGATTTACTCCGAGAATCATCTATCTGAGAGCCTGAATGGACGCCACCACGAACCAGGACTCGAAATCCGAGAATAAAACTCCGAGCGGGGGCTGGATTAGATACAGGGTGGAGCACCGAGACCGTGATACCAACCAAATATTAGGCCAATACAACACCTCGGGGCTTGAAACAGATGATATTGAGGTTGGACACGACGGTCCGGCCTTTGATGTGGTCACCACGTTCAGAGTGGCGCCGCCACTAGCACCCCCGCCTACAGCAGGAGCTTCATCTCGGCCGTCCCACCTATCCCCTCCAAGTTATTCTCTCCACCTACACTCTCCCGCCATCATAAACGCTCTTCAAAGCGTGGTCCAGTACTAGTATGTGGTACCGAGGTGTTATGCTCAGAATATGCGCAAATACCTCAGTTAATCAAGCAACGACGGTTACTAACCTCCCGTCTTGGTAGTCCTTCTCAAGATCTCACAGGTAATATCATAGTCGATTGGCCATACGCAATCTTAGTCCACCACTACGATGAACTCACCAAATTCCGCGACGATGCCTCGCTTAAAAATGAAAATGACCTTTGCGTTCGAGAAATCAGGGCTTATGATCATATCGGTCTGCTCCTCAAATTCCTCGACGACACCATCATGCCAGACGTACTAGCCGAGAAGGAACGTAATAATAAAGGTTTCTATACATTCGAATACGCTTGGGTCGGCTTTAAACCCGGCGTCACGGAACTAGGCCAATGGGTGGAAACGAATGACCTACAGCCGCGAGTGATACATTCGGTTGCTGGTGGTGTGTTCGAATATCCTCGAGTACCTTGGACAATTTTCTTTTGGGACATGCGATACGAGGGTGAATATCTTGGAAGATACCTAGGAAGCACCATCATTGAGAAATTTGACGGACAGGGTGATTGGAAGCATGTGAAGATAGATGATTTAACTGGGGGCGACCTCCCCGAAGAAGTCGCGATCAATTTGAAGTATGGGGAGATGTATTGGAATCTGCTGCGAAAGCAATGTAGGCATTACAAAGGGAAGACTCAAAAATTTCCCTATAACGAGGTACAGTACAATGCATTCCAGTCATCCAGCGCCAATGAGCTAAACAAGCAAAACTTACACGATATAGATCGACGGTCTAGTGATGGCGGACCTGAAAAGCTACTACGAGGAGGGAAATGCTCCGCCAACCTTAATGAATACCAAAGACTGTCGCAACTGGACATCGGATTGCAAGTGTTCGGTGTGTAAGAGTAGGAACGCACAAGAGACTACTAAGCAGGTGGTATCACTTTTTGAGGATTATAACTGGATCACGGTCGAGACAACTGAGAAACTTACGCCTCATCAATACATCCTTTGCCATTACGAAATAATGGCCTTTGTGTTCAAAACCCGCACATGGGGTGAGTTAGAATACTTGTCTCGTCCTAGATTTTGCCCGAGCACCTTGGCTAACTTCTAAGTAAGAACTCTTGCATGTGCGCGACTTTGCCGAACCACAATTCGACGAGAACCTAATAGACCATTTGGTGATGGATCCTCAACGAAAGCGGACGATAAAATCATTAGCGAAGAGCTTTGCTCGTTTGAATAAGCATGGAGATACATTGACACGTAACCCATGGGCCGCGGACTTTGTAGAAGGCAAGGGGCAGTACGTACTTAAGGGTTCCCAAGCAGCAATTATTCAGGGGTACTGATACGTCTTTTGGACAGTGGTCTCATCCTCTTACTACACGGTAAACCGGGTGTAGGCAAAACGTGTACAGCCGGTAAGCATAACCCCAGCCCCTGTCTCGCGAACTCGACTAAACCCCGCTAACAACCCCTTTCTCAGAGTGTATCGCAGCGTTTACCAAGCGTCCTTTGATGGTATTGACATCTAGCGACATAGGGACAGATCCCTCAACTGTTGAGATTAACCTTACAAAGCATTTCAAAACCGCAAAGAGTTGGGGAGCGGTTCTTTTAATTGACGAGGCCGACGTTTTTATGGAGCGCCGCTCAACAGCTGATTTAGTAAGGAATAGTTTAGTAGCTGGTACGTCGTCAATTATATGCCGCTCGAGTCCCTCGGAAAACGAGGTTAATCACGTACTAATCGGTGACATTCAATGTGTTAGGGTTCCTCCGCGCCCTCGAATTCTACGATGGTATACTATTCCTTACCACCAACAGAGTTGGGCTCTTCGACGATGCGTTTGTCTCAAGGGTCCATCTCCAACTATATTATCCCGACTTCGACGACGACCAGAGGCGACAGGTCTGGCAGACCTTTATCGACAAACTCGCCAAGGAACGCGGAGACTACATGCGACTTAACGTTGATGCGAAGGACTATATCCGTGGTGCGGAAATGCGGGCGCTAAAGTGGAACGGGCGAGAAATTAGAAACGGTAAGTCATTAGCGGATTGTGTACAACAAAATCCCCCTATTTTCGCTAGTGCTAACCAGTTTCTTCAACATAGCATTCCAAACGGCCGTTTCATTAGCCGAGTACGATGCCGAAAAAGGCGAAGACGGGAAGATTCTGGTCACGGATGAACACCTTCGAGCTGTTGTCGAACTCTCTAGAGACTTCAAAAACTACCTAAACGAGCTTCATAAGGGCGATGAAGGGAAACGAGCCGAGCGAAAGTACGAGCGTTTGGATTCATATGATAGAAGTTAAATTTGAGAGTTGGTTGAACATCTAATAATACAATATCAATGAACTGTCACTTGCCTCTAGCTACCCTCAGCGGCATACAGATCACGAAGATAAATGTATGGGTGTGTATATGGATATACTATACGTACTGATGGCCAACAATAGAGTACATTAGATTGATATTGTAACTAGATCAACCCATTTTAGGGATACAGCCCAAGTACCTATGAAATAAAACGTCATAACTTTTACACCGTCAAGCCCTCGAAATGGAACCCCTTGTACCCATTAGAAGCACAACTCTTAAGTTTCTCCTGATAGCTCGGCAAGCCACCCAAGTACATCTGTGAAGCTCTTGGCTTGCCTGGGACACCGTCGCCCATGTACCACTGTTCATTTAGTATTAGCGCTGTATTCCTAGAGAGGATCACTTCGGGTATCACTTACAGACTTAGCCTTAGGCAAGAGTGACGCGTAAGCCACCTTCTCTACGTGTTCAATCCAGTCCTTTTCGCTCGCTTCATCTGCCACAATGCTTCTTATCCCTGCCCGGCGGAGGTTATTCATAACATCGGCAATCCAATTCCCCTGCAGCTCAGCACACGTAGGGCCATTGCAGAAGGCTGCCGGTGACTGCGGTCCGTATGAGAAGAACAAGTTCGGGAAACCGGCAATTGAGATACCGCAGTAAGTTGTGGGTCCGCGCTCCTGGAACTTGTCCTTAAGACTTCGGCCTCCAATTCCACGAATGTCGACTTTAGTTAGGCCTCCTGTGACGGCGTCAAAGCCAGTAGCAAGAACTAGACACCCAGCATCAGCATTACTGCACTAATCCACTCAGCCATAATGGGAGTTGAACAGGATATACTCACTGATTACGTCGAATTCTATCTCCTTTTCTGTTGTCCGAATACCCTTCTCCGTCACTTCAACAACCGGGGTCTCATTAACATCGACCAGGTGAACATATGGTTCGTTGAACATCTCGAAGTACCCCCTCTCCAGCGGTACCCGCTTGCAGCCAAACGGATAAGGCTGTTTAGTCGGAGCAAGGAGTTCCTTCAACCTAGGGTCGTTAAGGCGTGCACGCGTCTTCGCACGCCAGAACTTATACGCCTCGTAATTTGCTTCTTCGGTAAACATCATATCGGTGTATGTTCCCAGCCAATACGTAAAGTCACCCTTTTTCCACAGCCTCTCGTAGTTGGCTAATCGGTCAGCCTCGGTATCCTCGAAGGTGCCCTTATTGAGGAAGCCGAAGTCAAATCCCCAGTACCCTTCAGATCGATCCTTGAAAAACTTCGCCAATTCAGACTTGGGAACTGGCTCTTCATCGTCGGCGTAGTCTACCTGACCCATGTATATTGGCAGTGCGGGTGTGCGCTGGAAGACGGTGAGATCGCCCACCATCGTGCTCAAGGTATGGGCCAATTGAACGCCAGTTGAACCCGTTCCAACGACAGCAACTCTCTTGCCCTTGAGGTCCGGTTCGTCGTGGGGCCAGTATGAAGAATGAACTATTAAGCCCTTGAACGAATCAATTCCCTTCCAATCGGGGTACTGCCGACTAGCAGAGATACCCGTGTGGGCTAAAAAGAACGTAGTCCTAAAAGTCCGGCCATCCTTCGTCTCGATGATCCACTTATACTGGGCTTCGTCCCAGATAGCAGATGAGACGTAAGTGTCGAAGTAGGTGTCCTTCCTGAGATCCCACTTTTCAGCTACGAACCTGAAATACGCTCGTAGTTGAGTGTGGTCAGGAAACCTTTGCTTCCAGTGCCAGTTTTGCCAGAGTTCAGGAGCCGAGAACTGGTAGTGGGGTGCGTGGCTATCGACACGAGCACCGGGGTACCGATTCCAGTACCAGATGCCGCCATAGTCAGAGCCAGCCTCCACTAGCTTGACGTTGTAACCACCATCACGGAGCCTCTTCAGCTGATATACGCCACTAAACCCGGCTCCGATGATGAGAGCATCCAGCTCCTCGACCTTCTTAACCTCGATAGAACCCATTTTTGATATTGCTAAGCCCACAATATTAGTTAGGAATGCTCATAGAGATCATAAGTCGCCAGTAGCTAACTTACACTTCACGGTTAGTCCCAGGAGACACTCGTTATCTGGACATGAATCTCTCTAGTTTCGAAAGCAAGACCAGGCGATCGAACAACCCAGGAACCGATCTCATGTCCTCAGCCATATTTCAAGTATCACGGGAAGTGCTTAATACATCGGCGCAAAAGACGGCACTGCACTCAAAGGGTGGTTCCACTATTATCCAAGGAGATTGGTGGTAAGATTGCCATACTGCACATCGGCGAGCCCGACCCAACGGCTCTTTGAGAATCATATAACTAGCGAACAAAGATCCCAAAGTAATCTAAAGGGTCTAAACTCGTGGCAATATCACGTTCTATATCACAACAAAAAGTATCTAGGGCAGGCTTATGGCCGTATGAGCCTCTAGCGTTGGTGCTTCGGGCATGCATCCCCGAGTCGCTGATCATCGTACTACCTCAAAGAGTCGACCGTTAAACTTGTGTAGCTCTCGTGTATCGTAGATGCCAAAATGGTTGTTTTCGGTTCCCTCTTTGTCGGCAGTTAGTGTATCTAACCAAAGGCAGATCGCAATCTTACTCCACAGATCAACAAACGTCTTAGTGGTCTAGCGACGCAAGTTTGAAAAAGCGAATGCCCTCTTTAAGCGATCCTTGTGTTGGGGAAACACATTCCTATCTAGTCACCAGCCATGGTACTATATGCAAGGCAAAACGGGATCTGGACACTATTAGTTCTTTATCTCGCTTCGTTTTGCAGTCTCCTCGTCCGGATTTGGATACGGGGCCGTGCTAGCCCTTAGAAAACCAAAGGTCAGATAGAATATCATGAAGTGGAGCAAAAAATCGAGGCAAGTCAGGTTATCGCCTCGACGTATTCGATCAAATCATCTTCCATCTCTCACTAGTGAAGTCAAACCCTTGTAAATGTCTTTGTTGTTGGAGCGAGATTCAACGCCTTCGAATTCGATGGTTAAAGTCCCGAGCCACTTATTCAGCTGAACATATAGCCAGACCCTCATCTTCATCCTTCTACGTCTTAGTTTCAACTGACAAAGTTAGGAGGAATGGTAACCTCCATAAATGTGAGATAAGATGATAGTCAACACCGCTGACCAACGTAACGGTCTGCGTCGTCATCACTTTGTCAAATGTATCGTGATCTTGTGTCACATATCAATTTAAATATTGATATCTTCATGTTGGACACGTCTTACGGGTCTTATTTATAATTCTAGATTATGAGTGAGACGATCTACAGTTAATTTTAATTTTCTGGGTAGACTTACTATGAGCGGGTGAAGTTATTTTAGTATTCAGGATGCTATAAAGAGATGGACGAGTATCGGCCGAGTCTTCCCTTTGTTGACTTACCAAGAGTCTGGATTTCCCTTTGCGTCGCGTGCGTCTCTTTGTTCAATTGTACTTTTGGGGTGGTATTTGACAAAGAATAACCTATAAGTCACATATGACGTTGGTTCAATGCCAACGTCGTTGACCCCGTGAGTATTGCATCCCGTCCTCATCAAAGGGACCCGAGTCATTTACTAAGGGAGCCTTGGATTCTGAGTTGTAAAAGTAGGAAGTATAATGTGAAGTTAGAATTTTCAACGCCAATCTCACAACTGTAGATATTAAGCCAAGAGCATCATAAACTCTTCCATCTAATTACCCTTCTCTAAGGAGGTAGGTGTCCGCGATCGTAAACGGGAAGCAAGGCAAAAGTTCCGAGAATAGTCAGCATAAGACAATGGTAACCCATGATTTGAACTAATGTCCGGCACCGGAAGCTTTATAATTGAAATTGAAGGTATATAGTAGAATATCTTATCATTCTGTCAAATTGACTAGAAGATGTTGAGGGAGAAAGGAAAAGGAGGCGTCGTCAGTGATGGGCGGGGCTTTACCTAATTGAATTATATAATCCAAACCAGCCCACCTAGCCACAAATGGCTAGTGTGTAAGATAAGATAGAAAGTACTTTGTACATTTAAGGCTGCACTAGCCACACAAGCTATGGCAGCTCCAACTGGCAACGCGCAGCTTCGGGTTGCCTGATGAAATGAACATTGAAGCTTCCCTCTACAAACATCACCAAATCCACCAAATCCACCAAGCTCTACTCTATACCCATTCCTCCTCCAGATACCTTATAAAACTCATTACTTCCGCAATAGACCACATATAAAATTCAACATGGTAAGCCTACTAATTCCACATTATTATAGTTCATATGCTTACAATTCTTCCAAAATAGACGTCAATAGGAACAGGCTACGATCTCGCCAACTCCATCTTCTCCCCCGACGGACGAAATTTCCAAGTCGAATACGCAGTCAAGGCAGTAGAAAATGGCGGCACATCCATCGGTATCCGATGCAAGGACGGTGTAGTCCTAGCGGTCGAGAAGGTCGTCACTTCTAAGCTACTAAAGCCCGGCGCAAACAAGCGAATTGCGACTATTGACAGACATTTGGGTGCTGTACGCTACCTCCTCCCCTTTACCACATACAATGGAATTGAAATGGCTAATTGGGTATGTCTATATGATAGGTTTACTCCGGCATGGTACCAGATGGCCACCACTTCGTAGACCGAGCCCGGGACGAGGCGCGCGCTTGGCGTGAGACTTTCAAGACACCTATTTCGACGTCCGATCTAGCGAGCCGTATGGGCGGTTACCTACAAGCCTACACTCTCTACCAATCTGTCCGTCCATTTGGCATCACGGCCATCATAGGCGGTTTCGACTCGGAGCTCGAAGCACCCGTCGACGGAGAAGTGGGCTCCGGCCCTTCTGTCGGTGCGGGCGGCAAGGTAGAAGGCAAAAAGCACGGTGGCCCCGGTCTATACATGATCGAGCCGAGCGGCATGTACTGGGGATACTACGGCGCGGCAACAGGCAAGGGCCGACAAGCAGCCAAAGCAGAACTCGAGAAGCTGAATCTAGCCGAGGGGACACTAGACCTTAAGCAGGCGGTGAAGGAGGCGGCACGAATCATCTACGTCGCGCAGCAAGATAACAAGGACAAAGAGTTTGAGCTAGAGATGAGCTGGATCAGCGGCGTCGACGGACCCACTAAGGGCCGGCACCAGGATGTGCCCAAGGACCTCCTCGAGGAGGCCGAGCGCTTAGCGAAGAAGGCTATCTCGGAAGATGACGAGGAGGAGGAGGAGAAGGAAGATGATAAGATGGAGGAATAAGAGAAAGTATTTTGACCTTCCGTTGGGAGAAAGGAGTTTGTACTTGTACAGCAAACAGCAAACGTGGCGATACGCTCGGGATAGGGCGACGGTCATAGACGAATTTTATCTAAGAGCCATGGTTCCCAATTGAGAAACGCTTTGATGCTGGGTATTTGCCTCCTATCTCAATTGGAGTGGATTTGGTGTTCTCAGCCACATGAAATAAAGGTCGTGATAGTACCAAGGTATGTTTTATCGGTCGTGTCTTTCTCACAGACGTGTCTCCATTGATTTTCTTAGACTTGTGAGCTATCCCAGTATCGTATTAAAACCCCGCTACTTAAATGATAACTACCCTCGCCCCGGAGCAGAAAACCCCTGTGAAAGTAGAAGACAAACGCAGATTCAGATCATTGTGCTGGAATTACTACCTTACGAAGATATAACGGAGACATCACGCCGCGAGTCGTTACCACGGACGCCGATATCCAACCACCTACCCTCTAAATACGTAAAGTAAAGCGTCACAGCATCTCCCCATGCCAACCATCCGGCACTCATCCATTGACCATCCAAACCACTAGGCCAATTCCTCGGAAGAGAACGTCCAGGTATCATCGCCTGTGTTCAAAAGTCGCCAGTGCCCCTTCAGTTCCAACTTCTCACCCTGCAACGACGACATCACCGCATCATACTGCCTTGCCCAATCTAGGATATCCCGTCTCGGTACCCGTAAGAAGTACTTATGCCACTGTCTGAAATGGGTCGGCAGGATCGGTCCGTGAATCTCATGTTCAAGACCACCCAAAAATTCGATCCACTGGCCGAAGGCGGCATCATCCTTCAGAGCTTGCTCCCAGCTTTCGATTGTTTCCTGGCTCGCCTGGGCGCGCGCTCTCGGATTTAGCGGGCCCCGAATGAGGAAGAAGTCCTCGACAAAATGAAATAACTTCTGGTGGTTCATGGAATTCCGGTTGAACTTTAATAGCTGGCGGGGACCATTGACGTCGACGGGGCAGCTCCAGGGATCGGGTTCGGCTCGGGTGGTATCTCCTCCCCAAACGGAAGGAGCATAAGTGTATTTAACGAAGACAAGACGCATGCAATGGTTGGCTAATTCGGGCATATGGAGCATCACCGCCGCGTTCCATGCGCTCTCAAGGGTACTCTGGTGGCCTACTGCCGCAGGATTCATGATTGCTGGTTGGATTATCATGCCACTATAGCACCACATCACAACCATTCCCCAGAGTATGCGGCTGTGGGTACTCGGCTCGAATTCAATTGATAAGCGTTGGACCGGCTGGGTGGTGTTGTAGAGGGCATCCCGGATGACACTGGACCAATAACATAGAACAATCTTGTGGCAAGGGACAAAGTAGCCGTAACTGCCGACTTCGAGCACGTCCCAGGCCGAATGTTCTAGACTAATTCATTCCGTTAGGATTTGGGGCCGATGCTTTCGCGATGGAGTCGAGCAGAGCGGTATCGATACTTACAGGAAAACAACCACTCGTTCGTGGTCAGAAGCTAGTTGGTTTAGCTTACATTGATCTTTGAGGCCTTGCGAACAAGCCTCACATGAGCATAGAGCTTTCAGCGCGTCATGGCCAGGAAGGCTAGACATGATGCCGCGTAGTATTGCTAGATAGGCGAATATCAATCAATACTACCAAAAAACCGAAGGTGTATCGGGAAAAGTAGTCGAGGTGAGTAGAGCCTAGCGGGGCTCTGTAGAGTAGTGGGATGGGATGGGTGTTGACGAGTAAGAGCAAGGGTTAAACACCCATTCAACGACACACTGCATATGTGCCCTGGAATATGGTGGAATTGAATAGTAAAATCCAATTAGCATTGTTTCCCATAACGTCTAGGAAGGAACGCGTACGGGTCTCCGCGAGTGAGCAAACATATGAAGCAGTGACCATAGTTCGCCCTCGCACCCTCGCACATTAAGGTCCACACTGTTTTAATCACTTAATCACTAAGATAGTCTGCAAATCGAATAGAATATCTAGCCAAACAGAAAAATCACATGGCAAGAACTTCGGAAATTTTCATTTTCCCATTAAACAAGCTCCTACATATGCACATCGCATCCCGGGCGTAGCTCAGCAGAAGCGAACCTACCAGCTTAGCTAGGCCCCCGGCGTCAAGTTTATCTGCTCGAGGGCTCGGCACTGGATTAAGGTGCTGTGCCTGAAATAATTCCTACGAGGGAACCCCCCCCCAAAACCACACGCGTATGATATGATAAGGTATATAAAACAAGCCCATTAATAACAACAAATCTAAACATCCCTCCATTCCGGCGGTACCCTAAACATATCCCCTTCCACCCACAGCGTCTCCAGCATATGTCTATGTTCCTCCTTAGTAACCTCCATCAACTTCCCCTCCTTCTTCGCATATAACAAAAGCAGCGGATGGAGTCCGCCATCTCGCTCCATAATCGCTGTAAGCCCTTGGTTAATATGCTCGGGGAAGGGCTTAGGCCACTCCCATTTCTTCTTAAGCGCTTCTTCCAACGCCTCCATCTCTGCCGCAAACTCCGCGGGATCCTCAACGACTCTTGAACTGGAAAATTGGTGTAGGAATACTTGGCCGTGGTCCGTGATTATGAAAGCCTGTGGGTGGAGGAAACCCAACACAATCCCCAGACTGTGGAGCTTGGATAATACATCCCGGCAAGCATCGAGGTCCTCGGGGGTCGCAGCGCGGCCGTTCATGCCTTGGACCATGTATCCGATAACCCGATCACAATTTTCGGTGACATGAGCAAGAAATTTCGGTGCGATGCCGAGGCCGTCAATCCGGGAGAATATGTCCGTGACGATATCGAGTGGGTATACCAAACGCGGATTCCATTCATATTGGACCATAGTCCTAGACTCGCCGAAGTGAGCACCTCGAATTGTCGCATGCAACTTTCCCTGGCAGAGTAGCTCATGGTCCCAGGAATCAGCTACGGGATCTTCGAGATCGATAATATCGATCGAATTAGGATGCCAGGTGGGATTAATAGCACAGAGTTTCGTCTCAGATGTTTCCATCAAGATAAGCTTTCCAGTGATTGGACTAGGGGTGAGGCTTCCGATGCTCCAACTACCATCGGGAACGGTTTCGAAGTCTAACTCACGACCATAGATGTCCATCTTGTTAGGCTTGATCCCCTTGACTCCAAGGTACTTGATCTGATGGGAAGCCGTGAGGATTCGATAGTAAAAAGGACCTGTGAATTTGCTGGGGTTGTCTAAATCGGTGCAGCCACAGGTATCAAGTAATTTGAAGGTAGTTTGCGGACCAGCGGTCGAATTATCCATGGTGAATATAATGTCCTAGAAAACAATAGCTAGAGGAAATGAACAGATACTTAGATGATAGCAACCCAGAAAGTGAGAAGCCCTCGGGGAAAGTCCCTCGGGATTTTATACCCATCGAAGTCTCATCCTCTCTTCAACTTACCTAAATCCTTTTCCCTCTGACTATTCTATCATCGTAAACTACCTGCAACAATACCCATCCCGCATATCACAAGTCCCCTACCAGGTCATGATTGGCCGCCCCAGTGTACATCTAGTAGCACCCAATGCATGAGTCGCAGCTTCGGTAAGGGTGGGCTGCAGCGGTACTTCTGCAAATAGAGCTGCATGCATATGCAGCTTTAGATGCTGTGCATGTGCAGCGGTCCAATAGCGCTAACCCGCTAAAGCATAGTGCAGAGGCACAGTATAAGGCATGTAGAGGAGATGTACCTAAGTGCGTATGGGCGAGTATACGAAACATTACGCTCGATTTCCGAATAGGAAAAACAGTGAAAGATTCCGTCTTTCGAAAAGCGGATTAAAAGAAGGTTTTCAAACCCGGAAGCTCGCCGAAATAGCGGGTCCACACGGATCGGACCTAGTCCGAACTTTGCGGATGAGAGTGGGCCTATTACCCAAGTAGGTAGTTAGACGTTTATTAACAGCCAGACTCACCGTCGATGGAATAAAACGTCCGCGAAATTCAATTCCGAGGAAAAGAGGAAGATGTGTAGATGCCTACAGAACACGTAGAGAGGAGGGACGCGAGATTTAATGAGGAAAATATTCCAGTCGAGCTCTGAAGCGTGTGGAGCAGGACTTGCCTGACGTAGTCACGTGCAACCGCGTTCCCCCTCTAACTCTAAGCACCATGACACGTTCATCGCATTCCTCAACGCACGTTTTTCTAATCTTCCACTAGCATTTAACGCGGGTTTCTCCGGTTTTGACGTCGGCGAAAAGGCTAACGCGGTATGGGATAGCTTCACCAAGCCTCCATTCCAATGCCTTCATGACTCAAGGCAAGCTTCAAGATCTAGATCGTAAGTGTAGGAAGCAGGTAGCTGACGTAGTACGTTGGGGTACCTACCTAGGTAAACAAGCATCGAGATAACCTACTATCAATAAGACAAAATTAAAAAAATGCTTACCTAAGACGACAGGATGTGCAGTATCACGAGAATGTAGTCGAGGCTCACCTACTACCGTTTTCAGAGACATGCACAACAAGCAGGTGATTTCAGATGCATTGGCGATTTGTACTTCGTATTACTAAGTAGCTTTATGATAGCCAGCCCAGCCCAGGGGAGTCCAGTAGGTATCACCCATGCCTTCCATCCCTGGAGCACAATCGCAAGAGCCGTCCGTAGATCGGCAGTAGTAGCAGTCCCCTAGCAGACCAGGTATGAGAGCAGTAAGAACTAGTGTACAGAATAGGGCAAAAAGAAATCAGGATGATCAAGTGAATGACTCCCGTGCCCGAAACTGGAAAAAGGATGATGATGAGGAAGGTTTCTTTTACAAATCCTGCCGGAAACCGCGAGACTGACGCCAAATACCAGTGATTCCCTTTAACCCTGGAAAATAACGCCCTCTCCTACCCTGCTTCCAGCAGCTTGTAAACCCTCCTAACTGCAGTCAATCTGGTCTCCTCACGCCTGCCACGCATCGTACACATTCACCGAAACCCCCCTTCACCCTGTCCCCTGTGCATTCATCAACGGCGTGTCTCCTATTCCTGAGGCACGCATGTAGTCTCGTCTCTATTCGGGCGAGACAACAATGCAGAGTTTTTAGTGTCGGAAAGCTCAAGTGTGTGTAGTAAAGAATATTAAAGGAAAAAAGTCGTAGAGGCAAGTATTTTTTCGGATCGTAGTGGATCGCGATCGTAGCGGACGTAGTGCTTCCTATTTGTCCTCAAGGAAACATCGAAATCGTAAGAAAAAGTATGTGCGGATTCGTATGAAATAGTAACTCGTGAAAAAAGCCACTCCACGTTGTGAGAGGCACGGAACCGAAGCTCTCGAAGTCGAAGTGAGCAAACTCGATGGCCGAGAGGACGGACCTTTTTTGGTCGAAAACATAAAGAAAAAAGAGGAAAGAAAATGAAAGAAGGCCGGAGTCCTAACCGAACGCCATGCTTTTTTATAACACATTATGAGAATGAAATAAGCGCCGACCGATGAGCAGATCAGATGCCGGATCTAACTTAGCTCAGAGCAATGCAAGCGACCTTGTATGTGATGCAAATGCCTGTCTAATGCTGAAGCGAAAAGGGGGTATAATGAAAACAAGGCCGGCATCAGCCGACGAAATCAGAGAACCAGGGCGGATATAAATGTTGTGAAACGAAATCTTTGTGTGCGGTAGTAAATGACCGGTACTAGTGACTTTCGGTCGTGTTTCGTCTCAAAAGGCTCCGGTACGTTTAGTAAGAAGCCATACGGCGTGCAGGCGATCGATTATTGCCAAGAATTGGTGAATTACCAATCATCATGGTAGGAGATTGGTACTCATGTCGTCTGACAGGAGCACAAGGAGAACCGTCTACCATGGAATCCCGGTGGCCAAATGCGAATGTCTTAGCTCTTCCTAAGCCCTTGCGCTTCTGCTGCAGCTTGCCCAACTCGCGCTCGCAGGTGTTGGCATGCTCTTCAGCGCCCATTGCGACATATGCTTGAGGGTGGCATCTCTCACGATGCTCAATGAAGAATTCGCTGTATCCGCCATCCAGGATATAGACTTCCGGGTATGTAAGTCGAGGGTAGTACTCGGCGTTGACAGTACGGTCGGAGGCGCGGATATGGCGGGCCATCATGGGAGCACGGCAAGCGGAATACTCGCAGTGGAAGATGAGGAGCGTTCTGCCATCCATGGGGTTCTCGAAAAGCTGTCGTGTAAGCAACTCCTTGTCATTGTAGTTGACAGCATTCTCGATGTGTCCACCATCATATTCGTATTCGAATCGACAGTCGATGATCATCTTCTGGGTGTATTGCTCGTTAAACTTGCCATCCAACACCTCAAGGAAGGTGTCCCTCGAAATTCTGGGGATGTTATCGCTCTCGTCATCGGGAAAGAAATGAGGCAATACAGGGTCCTGGGTCTCTTCAACATCCATTACAGATTGAAGAGTGCTTTGAGGCATGGGTTCCTCGTTAGCCTTCATCACATCGCCCGGGTTATCAAACATGCTGAGCGATCGGCGATATTGCCGACGAGGTCGGGCAAACGGGTTGGACAAGCGACGAACATGGCTAGGGATCGGCGAGCCGGTGCGAATGTCCCGAGTCCCAGTAAGACTCGCAAACTGAGGCTTCGGTCGGGCTGCCGTAGCACTAGTAGGAGAAGGGCTGTGAGACGTTTGTGGTCGTCGATCTTGAATGGGAGAGTCTTCGAAGCAATCGCCGGGAGACATGGCCGCAGACGTAGGACCCATTAGTCGAGATTCAGAACCAAAGCGAAAAGTAGACAATTGGTTCTCTGGGTGTAATCGCGAAGAAAGAAGGGTACTAGTAGAGTGAACCTTAGCTCGACTCAACGACGGTCGTCGTAGCCCCGATCGCTTGTTGCGGTTGCTGCTCCTTCTATTAGCATTCACACTATCCCTTAACTCATGGTCAGTGCGATGGACTTACTCCCACAACATCTTCGGCGGCTCAAGGCCCATGGAGGATTGGCGAGTCATCACAATAGGAGACTCAACCATCATCTCATCATCGCAAGGGTGTCCCAGAGGGGTAGGAGACGTTATCTCGATGGAGCTGTAGAAAGCATCCTTCTGGGGTAGCGGAGAGATATCCATCATGTCTTCTAACGGCGCAGGAGACGATGTGGCCGGCAAAGGCGGCGTTGTGACATAACCTATGCGAAAGTCAGTATTTAATGCCAATTGTCTACACTACGAGCTTCGCGAAGCATACCACGATTCTCTATAGCCTCCATCATATTGGAAGTGAATAGAGCTCTGCGCGGTGTCGGAAAGCGAGGGCTAATTGAACAAATTGGTTAGTTAATGCAACTCTTTTCTTTGTTATACATAGAATCTCTTAACATACCTGTCCTCACTATCAATTCTGAAATTTTGCGAGAGATCTGCAGCAAGACTTGCAGCCGGAGATGAACCTCGAACAGACTTAATGTTGAAGTAATCCGGCCTCGATCGCTGCAATTGCTCACGGATACCCATGTTACCTCCGAAAGGGTTACGAGAGGACATACAGCGAGGACCCCAAGATCCCGCTGGAGCATGATGCATAGCGGCTAACGGTGAAGAAGCATCCATTTTGGCTAGGCGATAGACTGACAAGAGGATAAATGATAATAATCACGATCCTCGACGTCTAAGTACTTGCGAAATATTCGTAAGGTAGAAAGAAGCACGATTAAGCAATGTTCCCCGTGTCTTGCGCGCAAGTGAATTATATCCCGTCTCTTCTAAAGTCTCTCCTTCTATGTTCCTCAATCGTTCAATAAAAGCAGATCGCATGTAATACTGCTGAATGATCGTTCGGTTCTAGGACATTTAAGAATGCTCGGCGTCGTCCGCGATACTCGTGTGATAGTAGGATTCGAGGGTAAAGGTAGAGAGAATTAATCGGACTCGGACTAGACTCTTCAACTCCGACTTTCTAAATTCTACAGCTCGCTATAGTTACGAACATCAATTCTTAGTTTCCGATCTCCAATTGCCATAATACAAATTGTGGGAATACATGATTGTATGGGTATAATTAGGTAGGGTTTGCTAGTTAGGGGGGAGAGGCTATCGCTAGCTACGTCTATGCCTGTTTGTATGTACTCACCTCGAGTCGCGAAAAGCTATGAGCTATGTGCGAATTACCGAGATAGGAAGGTCGGACGGGATTGGTGCGTAAGAAGGATGTAAGGTGGGTAGGAGTGTGGGAGGATGTAAGAAATAGGTAGGTAGAGAGGTAGAGGTTAGCTGACGAAAGGTGTAGTACCGCTCCCCAATGGAACGTGTGAAATAAAAAGTCAATTGCTGGTGAATTGACTCTATTAAATTCGGTTCGACCCTGTTAGTAAAAGAAAAGCTCAGCACTGAAGAGCACAATCGAACCCCAGGCCAATTAACTATTACTTAGGGATGTCGAAGCAACACTCTTTGGTGAAAATGCCGAATAACACACGTCTTACCCCTAGAAGACGTGTTGTCGAACTTGTCAATGGTAACGGCACTTTGCGGTGTTGTTGTTTTGGGGAGGGACGTCGACTTCTAGAGGTCGGCTGCTGGAGTGAAGAAGGAGAGGTGAAAGAAAGTACGAAGGGGCTCTGATGCTTTTTGTTCTCTCCCGCAGTCCCGCCTGGTGGTTTGCGAAATCAGGTAGGTGGAGTTTCAGTTACAACAGTTACAGCAGCTACAATGGTGGTTGCGTGGTAACACAGCCTGTACCTGGCCTGTGCTGGATTGGTGCTGGTTCTTGCTGGCTCGTGCTAGCAGGTTTCACCCAATCCCGACGCCGGACGTGCCTGTAAGAGATCCACTAGCGCTTCGTCGCCAGGGCAATCTAGTGGGCGCTCGCCGTTGCCCAGGTTGCTCTGAAGCTGAAAATGGCAGCTACCGGGTCGTTAGCGTCCTTCTTTGCTCTTCCTCACTATTTTAGCCGCCAAGGCGCCAGGGTCCCAGGAGGGATTGGTCAAATTGGTGGAATTGGTGGGAACGGCGGGGCGCTAATATTGTATCCTAACTGTATCTTACCTACCTAAGTATACCTACAACACTAAACTCTAGTCCTTGTAGCGGGAAACGTGCATGTTGGTTACATCATAACCCGTAAAACCAGAGCGGTGAAAGCCTGTATTGCCCTGTATTTTCTATTATTTCTGACCTGGGGGGTGCTGCATTTTGTGTTTGAACTTGTAAATTTTTTACCTACCTAGACCAAGCTACACCTTGCTATTTTTGCTATTTGTTGCCCATAGCTCCTACTAGTGCAGGCTCACTTTCGCCCTGCACCCTCCTAGAGGGTGCAGCGCTTTAATTTACAAATGGTGCATTAATTCGCAACTGCCGAGGTACTTCCGGTTGGGTGGGAATTTCATACAATTATAGGTATTTTTCCCAAATTTAAATATTGATTTAACCAGGACCTGATTACGCCGGAATCCACAGTACATAAGAATGCCATACAAAATGTATGGTCCCGGATGTACTTCGGATGACTTGCGAATCAATGCATCATTTGTAAATTAAAGCGCTGCACCCGTAAGGGTGCGTCGAAAGTAAGACTGCACTAGTACAAGCTTACGAAATTTACGATATCTGTATTTTAGGTACATACGATAGGACGCAGATCACCGGATGAAAATCTTGAATTGCTTCACTTTCTAATACGAAATTGGTTTCTCTATTCCTCTAGTAACATGTCTAGTAACTACTTAGTAACACGCAGCAATGACACTATTCGGCCATGTTACAAGAATTTTTCACGACTTGCACATATCTGGGTAGCATACAACCGAAATCAGGTAAAGGGCAAGGCATGCTGATATCTATCAGGATCCGACAAAAGAGCCGCCGGATCGAGTCCGACTGAGACAAACACATCCGTCCGTGGATCAGATCACCCGTTACCAGAGACATGTTCATCCAAGTTGGTCCAAGTTGAAGAACGACCCTGGAATTAAAAGTAATCCATCCTATACTGGATCGAACTTGTCTAATATCCGAATAATGAAAGTAAACCGAGATAACTGTACCGTCATTATCATTCTTCATAAACATATCCACCTAGGTAATGATGGTAATTACAATGACACTTCTTACATGCTTAGGTACACATTTTCCATTTACAGGATTCGCCCACTCGCTGAAACTCTCAGCTTGCCATTGATCTTCTCCCTCGACTCTCGACTTGCCCATTTGAGCTTAATAGACATAGCCATGCTACCATCTACATAACACGCTAACTCTATCGCCGATTCCTGCAACGATCATGCATTTAATGACTTGAATCCTACACGATCATCTTGCAGATACGTTAGCATATCGCATACAAGCTCAAAACGCCGAGGAACATGTTCATCATCCGTTTTAGGCAATGCCCTTGCTAGACACAACCTGACTCTTTCATCGTGGACCCACCGACTTGTCCTCAGCGTTTGGTTATAAGCCCTGGTATATTGACAAGGTTACGGAGGCTGAGACGAGCTATTCGGACGGAAGTTTCGAATATCTCCCAAGCATGGCGTGTTCGTCAGCGACCTTCACGGGATTACATGCCTTAGGTAATGTAAGCAATACACGGGTTCCAGCGACCTAATCGTGGACCTACTTGTTCACCTGCATACTCAGTACAACACCTGGTAATTACTATTTTTCGCATGCGAGACTGATATTTAGGGTGTATTCCTCCGAGCCGCCTTTGATTCCAACTAAAATTCGAATGCTCGAGTAGATATAATGTTTGCCTAGGACATATTGACATATTGAATGAGTTGGCGAGCGAAGGGAATGGATTGTCCCAGTTCATATTACTTTGGTTCATATCCACGTGTGGTTCATGTCTTATTATTTCTCAAGGTTTCAGTCCTTTTGTAAAATTTTGTAAAATTGCTGGATAGTTGTCCGGGGCAAGGTAAGGCTTTTTTCAACAATACGACCCTTTCTGGCTGAGTGGATGAACCCTGTTACCTGCCAGCGGATGGCCTCAGTACACATAATAAAAGTACCTATTTTACAGGGCTGACTCTTCAGAAAATTTGTGCGACAACTTGCCGGCATTTCAACCCGAGTCCCTACGATTCTCGAACCGCTATTAATTTATCCACAATTACCTAACGTTACCTCGCTACCCCGGATCCCGATAGGTGCTTGAAGAAACATGAAGTCGAAACAGAGCGACGCATGGGTTTTCATGGGTTTTGAACGGGAATTTGCTTCGAATATATTACATACATAAATTCATCGTACGTACTCCATAATATTGTACTTTCTCGTAGGATGCGAATTGTGTCGAGGTTTTAAATGCATCCCGGGGTTACCCGCTACACTGTGCCGTAAGGATTCTCTGGGGTTTTCTTTTGCTTCGTTTCCCACTCTCTGGTTGCTCTGGTTGCTGTGGTGCGCGTGGTGCAGCAGTAAGCATAACCCCAGTAAGCTATGAACATGGATGACCATCGTCTATTGCTAAACGTTGGGGATAAAATTGCAGGAATTTCTTACCGAACTGCACCGATAGGGTAGATACCGGGTATTAAATGGATTAAATGGGTGTTTTTTTCTTTCTTTTTCGCTTTCCCGGCTCCTACTAAATCCTCTGCGACCTCGAGCCCCGTACTGTACTGTACCTATATCCATGGATACCCAGATACCTAGGATGTAGGGAGCTAGGTAGTATGTAGGTAAATTATTATGACAGCGGGCGGCTAGCTATAGTACAATTTTTTTTCGGCATCGAAAATGACACTCATTATCAATCCCGAAATCATTTGTTGGCGTGTCTTGTAATGATTGGAGTGTACAAGCGCGAGCCCCATCAGTCAATTTCAATTTTTCAACCTCACCGACGCTTGCGGTCCCTGTGCCCGCAGACAATCGGACGTACTGTACGACGATGTGGAGGAACTAAAAGGATGAAATTGAAAATACGTAGCTCTAGACCCCTATCTAAAAAGCTCAGGTGTTCTTAACGAACTACCTTAAGACCGAATTGAGCTTCCTTCGGAAAAATCATGTTTGCTCGGTTTCGCACGGTCAATTGAGAAGAGGGAGAGAGAAAAACGAAAAAGAGGCTAGAAGGTTTAGGAATCCTTCCCTTAACATTCGAATATTAAATCGGATCGAAATATCGGCTCGGCACCGCGAGGCTTGATCTGTCATACAAACAATAAATGAATTGAAAGTCGTCCCAAGCCAAGGGTTCCCCCTTAGACCAATTACAACCCAGATTTTGTCTGATAAAAGCTTCCCTTTCGTGGTATTTTAAACAACAATATGAGGGAAAAATCAATAGTATGTGGACCATCTTCGATCGCACATGAAGAGCTCCGATCCTTCAGCTCCCAACAGACGTCATACACAAAGGTGGGATCTTCATACTCGGCCCTGCTTACACGCGACCGAGCTATCGTCATAGTCTCTAAATGGTTTCGCACCAGCGCTTTCTAAGGGCAATCCGTTCAAGGAACCCGCCTGTCCGCTTGCCCAACGCACGCGGGGGACCTTGTGCATGCTACACGAATTCCGAAATTCTCTTCCCGCTGCAAACCCAGATCCGGAAGTTTTGAGATCTTGATTGCTGTTGATTGTTTACATTTTAAGCCGAATCGGGTTTCTGTAGTGCTGACCGACTCGGATGACCTGCATGACAGGGCGAGTCACACGCGGCCAAGAAGGGAGCCAACGAAAGATCCAATAAGAACGACCAGGCAACCTGTCCGACTTCGCGCTTATCATCACCCCGAGTTCAGGGCGCCTATCAGTGAGACCTTCAGCTGTAGCAAAAGAAAGCTTACTTCCTAACCAGGCAATCCCTAGTCAGAAAAATCGGGAAGTCCTACAGAAAGCATACGACACCTCAAGCCACTAGCGATTAGTGAAGCAAAGAAAATATAAGCGGCTATTTTCAAAGGATCCAACAAATAATGCAAAATGCAAAATTCTCCATTGGACTAACTCGTCGATGGTTCAATACGACTGTGATCAAATAATCGCGCGTGATTCAGATTGCACGGTCATGTTTGATATTTAGCAAGGGGGGATCCTATCCTTCATCCATCCCGAACCTATGTACGTATATACTATGGTGTATGTATGTACTACATTACCTACATTACTACTGGTGTGTACTTTGTACTATGGAGGTAAAGTGTGGTCGCCGAGATGCGGAGTCGGAGTTGCGAAGAAAGAGGGGTTGTTGAACAGGTACAAAAGTAAACAACCAAAACCGCGCATGAGCGCGTGTCACCGTAAACATATTCCCTTGTTCGTCACGATATCACGAGGAGCGGCTAAGCTGCAAATAGCTTAAAGCCGCAGACAAATAACAGGGGAGCGTGGGGAGAGTTGGGTGAGCTCGGATCTCCAGAGTCGCATTTTCCAAATCCTAACGTAACCTTGCAGCCCTGGGCGTCTGGGCTACTCGACCAGTCAGATGCGATCGTCCATTGCGTTCTCCTGAACCAGCAATGGTGAGATCCAGGGTGGCCGATTGGCCCGACTCAACCGGACCTTTCACTTGCCTGACTTGCTTGCTTGAACAATTCGCACAGCCGGCTTAGCTCACCTGATCGCAAGTGCTGACGAGCCACGACGCTTGAAACGACTCCCTGCGGTTTGGATCTCAGATCATCGGAAAATCCTGTTTAGGGCGTTACCTACAGCGAGATACATACGAACTCACAGACACGGCCGCTGTTTAAGCCGCAAACGCCGTCCTGAGATATTAATGCACTGTCCTTTCCTATTTTCCGAAGGCGGCAGCTAATCCGTACCTCTTGCAGCGCCGGGCGGCTTAGTTAACAGATTCAGACCATGTTGGTATCATTTAAAACACCATGGTTCAGGCATTTCGCGGTAACAAGTCTAAGCAGGGAAGCTACCGACTAATACGTAACCGTTCGCACATGCAGTTTCAATCGAGTAACCTATCGACGTTCCCTCGACTAGTACGAAGTTCCCTCCCGACCTCTACGCCAATAGAATGCTTTATCCGGGTTCGATTCAGCCATGTGGGAGAATATCCGATCCACTTTACGACAGCAAGCTAGTCGTGCTAGTGTTCTCTAGGAGGCACAGATACTTATCGGCGGGGTTCAGCTGGACATTCACTACGATGGTACGACTTCCATATGGCTACGCCTAGTCGAGTGGCTGTGGAGTTTTTAGTGAATATGCGTTAAGATCTGGCCAAGCTTTACTTTAGGTATGCCGTGCAGTCGCCTGTCTAACTTGTAGTACTGACATTTGAAAATAATATGGATCCAAGAATTAAGCTCATTCTGTTAGGATTGAAGGCATTGAAACGAAATAGCAAGGTGAGGCCGTGTAGGCAATTTATCATAAACAACCATCCATTGAGACTTCCTACATCAGTCCAACTTATCAATTCCGGTGGTACGAGTATTGTAAGGTTGAATTAATTGGGTTTGAACGAATAGAGTTGGCCCAAGAATTGAAGGTACTCTCCGCGCTGGTCATAGGCCAATCAGCTTAGTCATATAAAGAAAAGTGGAACCACTATGTACAACCATAGAAGACTTGAGCATGAGATCAACGAAGACCGATTTTACCAGTCTCCAAGAAATATTCAGATAAGAATGAAGTATGATAGAATATTATAAGTAGATAGCCATATGATAAATAATGTTAGAAATTATAAGGCCAAGTTGCTCCATTAGCCGGACAAATCCCTTAATTATATAGCACTATATATAATCCAACATATGATATACGAAAGTCATCATATTTCAAAAGGGACACCAATAGAATGCCACTGGGATACATGGGGAGCTATTTAAACCCTAAGCCCCAAGGAGTCTTACGTTTGAGATCTTTGCGTGGCGATTGGAACCGTAAAAGGTTGGGAAGGAATAGTGTAAAGACCAGTTAAATGGTGATTCCACTTACCTAACAACATATTAAACGCAAAATACCCACCTAGAAGTCATATTTGTAGTGTGCGCTCGCCCTCTAACACTCTGGGTGCAGTTACTACCCAACAGATCCAACCTGCCCCTTTATCCACTGGCAGGAGTACAGTGTAGCTACCCCTTTTATAAAAGAAGGAACACTTTTTAACGATTGCGCACGCCATTGATAGGATCCTAGATGTGACGCGACATACGAACCTAGGTAGTTACCAGTTTACTCAGGTATTGCAAGCATACTGCGTGAGTACTCCTTTCCCTACATGTATGGTACAGTTCGGTATTATGACGCATATCACGAAGGTTTCTATGAATGACGTACCAAAAAACGTTATCGAGCGTTACTTGCATGTACTAGAGGCATATAATTTGCGCATATGGCGTGATCTGGCCAGAAACGCGCTAAATATCCGAATAATTAGGGTGAGGCATTCATCACCTGAGCCTGTATAAACTTTCGCTTATTTGGAGGCGTTATTCGGATGTCTAGATATTATTCGGATCGTCACTGGGTACTTGCTTAAGGTCGTACGAGAGTTGCGCTTGATTATTCGGAAACTTATTATTATTATTCGACTGCTGTCGCCCAAATCTAATGCACATAATGCGCGTCGTGTTTCGTGATGACTTGCTGCTTCCTGAGATTCAGATCCCCCTCATTCCAAACGTCTATATAAAGGGCCTAATCCTCCCTCTTCTCTCCAACATCTTCCTTTTCCCCAGAGCATCCTCTCAACACATATTCTCAGCACACCTCAGCTCACTCTTAAAGCATCTGCAAAATATACACTTGACACATCTTCCAGACATATTCTCTTCATTGTCTTCTTCAAACATCCTTCTTCGGCCTTTGGCTACCTTTGACGTCTTTTACGTTATGAATATTACTATATAGCCATCCAGACGGAAGCGAATCCTACTCACCATTGTCGATATGTTTCATGATTATCTCTTTCACTGAGAGGTTCTCTTCAGTTAATATCTTATAGCTATGCCGAAGGCTTCGCTCCCGCCCAAATACTTAGGCGGATACACGGCGGCGTCACTCTAGTCACGCCGGACTCGACCAACTTCGCTCCCCCCGGTCTATTCTTTCCTCTATCTCATTGTGTTCCCAAATCGAATGATGTATTACATAGCCCCTGTTTCACTCTCTATCAAGTTTACTCGACCTAAGAGACCCCTACTATGTCCAACACCTTAATCCATCATGGCGCAATTATGTGGCGGTTCTAGCATCCTTGGCATCTATCATGGAGCATCAGCAACCTGCCGCACTTGGTGTTTCTCCGAAGTCATCGTTGAGCAGCTTTTTCACCAATTCAACTGGTCTATCCACTGGTTACCAAGCGGCCTAGGTACAGCGCAACTACCGATCGTTGGCAATTGCCCAGTCTTAGCCGGAGTCCGTCGATGTATTCTCTTCAAGTCTACGGTTAAGATTTCTGGCGCCTGAAGCGTCGTCGTCGATTAGATGGACGCGGCCGCCGTGCTCTGGCGTAGAAGCACAAGGGTTACGAAATTAGGTTCCGAAAAGAGACACCTCTCGAAAGGGTCTTCTTGTCTACACCAAGGCGACATTGGCATATATGATGCACCAGCATAAGTAAGTCAATTACTATATATGTCTCTGATCGATGCAGCGCAATTTCTAACCATTCGCAGGATGATCGCTAGCGCCTTCGCCGGCGTATAGGTGTTGCTCCCAGCCCTGGGCCAACCGTAGGCCGTTTCGTCGCTTCAACTACATGAGTAGGGCATTCCGCAAGCTCATCTTCTAGGAGAGTGCTTTCTTATGAGAAGCAACTTGGTAGTACTTGGGTGTTGGGAGAATTAGAGGGAGAGAGGGTGAAATTGCTTTGGGATTCGCTGACTGCTAACGCGTTACTGTAGTTGTACTTAGGGGTTACTTAGATGCTTTATGATGGTAGCCCTAATAGGAGTCGAACCCAAATCTCAATTTCAGATCCTTTATTTTAAACACTGCTGAGAGTTTCGTATTAGTGATTGTAGTTGGCACTTAGGTAATTTTTACAGCGCGTCGCGTTTGGGTGGGGAAGATATAGCGTCACACTAAGACTGACCGCCTTCCTTCTTTGTGATAGAGTGGATACGTCTGTGGCAGAATTTTTCAATTACTGAACCAGTGGAAAAAAAAAAGTTGAATTTCATCGTTCATGTTCGTCGCATATTAACAGTGCCATAAGGATAACTTACCAAAACTCAATGAATTAAGTCCTTCTAATTTAATTTCCAAGAGAGGCTCACATACTTCCATCTCATCTCAAACGAACCTTCAAAACTAAGGGCGAAGTTTCATTCACAATGGGTAAACGAAAGCGCAGTTCTAACAACCAGTCTTCACAAAAAAAGGCAAAAGTCGATCAATTACTCACAAATGATGCCGAAACGTCAAACCTCGATCTGGAAAAGTCGCCATTCACCGAAGCTTTGAACGGGGAAGCTCGAAGGCGGGAAGCGAAAGTCTACGAATTACTCGGAAGTGCCGATGGCGACGAGCGCATCGCTGCTGCTGATGCACTTGTTACTGGTCTTCTAGCTTCGTCAGAAGAAGCTTTACAGAGACATCTCGATAATCGCCTCTTTCGTGGGCTTGCGAGTTCGCGGAATGCATCGCGTCTGGGGTTTAGTCTTGTTATCGCTGAGATCCTGAGTCAATTGTTCGGATCTAAGAAACCTGCTGAATCGAAGTATCCTGGATTGACGTTCGATAAGGTCCTGGATATTTTGGTGGAGAAGACTACGCCCAGTGGTCATGTTCCTGGACAGGAGGAGAGAGATTGCTATTTTGGTCGCTTGTTTGGTCTGCAGTGCTTTGTGGAAGCTCGGATCCTTTTCGATGAGAAATCGCGATGGCCGAAGGTTTTGGACTTGCTATTGGGGATGGCTGAGAAGAAGGTGTGGATGCGATCGCACTGTGGATGGGTGATTGTGGAGTCGCTACCTCAGATGGGACGGGAAAAAGCCGAGGAAACACTGCAGGGACTGTCAAACATCGGACTTGGGAAGACTGCGGAGGGAATTGGTATTTGGATGAGGGCGCGGAGTTGTTACCCCGATTTGAAAACGCCTGCGAAGCCTTGGCATGATCCTATGAACCCCGCTGTTCTTTCTGAAGTCGCACGAGTGCTGAAGGATAATGTGGCGCAAGATAATGGGGAGGATGCGGCAGTCACAAAAACTAAGCAAGCTGGCTGGACTGCTCAATTACACTTCGTATGGGACTTGATACTTGCAGTATTGATTGGGAAAGGGGAAAACGGGAAACAGAATGCGGATCAATTAAAGCTGTTCTGGACTACTGTGATTGATGGTAAGTTTACTCCTGGATGTGAACCTGCGGGGTTTCTAACGATTTCTCATAGATGGACTGTTCTCCAAAAACGCCTCTGATGCACAGAAGTTCAGGGGATTCGTCATCTTCCAGAAGTTTCTTCAAGGCTTTGCGGCGGAAAATCCGAAGCTGGTTAAGGAGCTTTTTACTCGTAATTTGATGAAATGCCTTATGAACCAGGCCGCAAAGGAGGATCGGTATCTTCATCGGGCTGCGCTGAAAAGCCTTCAGTCGATGGAGAAGGCCGTACAGACTTCACCTGAGTTACTGTTCCTAGTACTAAAAGAATTCCTTGGGAAACAAGGTGCTTACGACTTTGATCAACGGACGAACACTAAGACGATTGAGAATTTGCTGCAATGGGCTACTTCGGACAATGCGAAGAGTGTCTTGAAACTACTTCGAGATCCTATCGTTACCGCTAATGAGTAAGTCTCCCTTTTTTTCAATTTTAATTTTAATTTTCACTTTTATTTATTGGTGGCTTCATTGCTAACCATTATAAACAGGACGGCTGGCGAGCTTGAGAAGTTCAGGCAAATTTATGCCACTTACGTATCCAAATTGGCCATCCAGGCAAAATCGGTTCCCGAAACCTCCGGTGATGGCGATGATACTACGAACGTCGCGGAACTCGGCGTTAAGGAATTGGCAGCTTGCGCGTATTCAATTCAGCCACAATTCAAGCCGGATCTGTCCGAAAAATCAAGGGAGGTCTTCCGAAGACTACTTGCGTCCACGATTGGAAAGGTTATGAGGCGACGGGATGACGCTGAATACCTGTGCAATGCAGTCATTTCGGTTGAGCCTACGGCAGTGACCATGAGCGACGAAATCAAAGCCGAGCGAGATAGTGCACTGAAAGTTATGCGAAAACTCCTAAAAACAAGTAAGAAATCAGACAGCAAGAACAGTGGAGCATCGGCTGGTCTTGCGCTTCTGTATGCGATCACGATATTACAACTTTATGATGGTGTCCCGGACGCCATTAGTATTCTTCAGGACCTGGAGCGATGCTCCGAGATGATGAAGACTAAAGGTGGTGGGAGCTCGGAGCTTTTGGTGGAAATTTTGCTTGCATTGGTCTCTAGGCAATCACCTATGATGCGCCAGATTAGCGAGCAAGTTTTCGAGGCGTTTACTTCCCAAATATCACCCGAAGCTCTGCAGCTACTCACGGAGCCACTTGCTGCAGAGGAGAATGAGAAGGGGTACCAAGCGCTGTTTGAGAACCTCGAGGATGAAGATGTGGAGATGGATGATGCCGAAGATTCTGATTCCGAGGATGAGGATGAAGACGAGGCGGAGGACGTCGAGGAAGATGAAATCTCGGAGATTGGCTCGGATGTCGAGTTCGTTACTCTGAATGGTGCGGATGCGACCGGCGATGGTGAAGATGAAGATGAAGACGATGACGAGGATGAAGAGGAAGGGAGCGAGGACGAGAAGCAGGCAGAAGCTGACGCTAAAGAGCTTGCGGACCTAGACGACGCTCTAGCGAAAGTCCTGAAGAGCCATCGCTTGGACAAGGATAAAGACGCTGACTCATCGGATAACGACTCGGACATGACAGACTCCGAAATGATGGCATTAGACGACAAGCTCGTCGAAGTCTTCAAGCAGAGGGCAAAGAATACAGGCAAGAAAAAGGAGAAGAAGGATGCCAAGGAATCGGTCGTAATGTTCAAACACCGCATTCTGGATTTCCTTGCTCTTTACGCCAAGCACGAGGCTGCTAATGCGCTGGCTTTCGAATTACTGCTGCCTCTGTTGGAGGTCGTACGAACTACCACGGCTAAGCCACTCGCTAATAAGGCTGCCTTAGCGATCGAGAATTTCTCGAAAGCTTTCAAGAAAGCTCGGACTAGCGCGGATGTGAAATCGGATGCCAAGCAGATCGATTCTGCGGCACAGTTCGAACTCTTAGAGAAAATACATCGGGAGACCGCGAAGGATATATCACACGCCTACGGACGTGCGGCATCAACGGCTAGCCTGCTTGTTGCGTCAAGTTTATTGGCGGTGAATCGAGATCGGGAGAATGTTGATGGTGTTAATGCTTTATACGCCCAAACATTTAGCAAATGCCAGAAGGGTGAAGTTAAAGTGCAAGGATTCTTCTTCTCTGACTGGATAAACTGGGGGATGGGGCATGCGGCCAATGCACATGGTTCGGTACCGGTATAGGCTCTTTCCTGCGTGCTTCCCGGCCTATGTGCTTCTCGGGTTGTGGTGTAGTCATGGCCGAAGAAGAGGAAGTATGGGAATATCGAGGCGACGAGAATGATAGGTAGTTGGGGAACGGAATAGCTCACGAAGACCCTCATTGGTGGTAGCAAACTATACTTACGTACACATGCCTTAGTGAACGTGCGTACGACACTGCATGTGATGTATGGGCATAATTACCTAGGTAGGTGTGTATCTATATAGGTAATTGATGACACCAAGTTATCCGTGGCTACTAATATATTGGTGTTTAGAATTGATAGGGGATTGCTAAACCCTGTATGTATGTTTACGCTTTAGCTCCTATGGATTGGTCCGATCTCAAGATCGTAGATGTCTGGGTAGCTATGCATATGTATAATCTTTAAGGTAATGTTTTCGAATATGGCTTCGCTTGCGCATTGTGATTAGCAATGGCCCGAATTTAAACTGTATTGCATCTTCATTGGTTTGAATGAAGATCTCCTTAGCTAATTAGAGAGCGCAGGTCGATTTTTTTGTGTTGTGTCTTCCAAACTTTCATGAAAAGACAAGGCTGTGGAAACGAGTTGCTCAACTCTGCACATGCAGCCCACATGCCCTGCTGCCGTACCACTTGCCCCTTATTGATTACCATGCAGCTGCCTAGGTACCTATTATCTTGGGCAGCCACGGCCCGCATTTTTCGGCATTTGCGGTACCTACCTACCGACATGAACTGGTCTGCGAAACAGGTTATGCTATTGGTTAGAAGGTATACAGTATCATACTGTCTAATCTGAACAGTGGCATCTTTTGTTTAAACTTCAAACTCTTGTCTACATAGGTATACGGGCTTCTGCAGCTAAAAGGCCGACCCGCTGCGTGCAACTACGCCGCCATTATCAGGTACCTACCTACCTATCTCGCTCCCATGTATAAGGAAATGGACAAAAGGAAATATGAGAAATGACCATACCGGCAACCGCAGATAAGTTGTACGCCTAATCTTCAAAATTCCCAAACCTCTGTACAACTCCAGAGTTTTGGATGAGAATATTTCATGGAATATATTCCTATTCACCGTATCTCCCCGAATCCGTTATTAGAATCCACACGGGTTATTTATCGGCGCACGTCGGCCCAACTTGTGCTTTTAGGTATATATCAGGGGTATCATTGTGGCTTCATATAATGGGCGTATGTGCAACTCATCAAAAGCTTACTCTTCAATCATGATCGCCCTACTTGTCCCTATATATCGAGCACAGCGCTTCTTCCAGAGGCCCAGTAGTGGATCAAAGTCGTTTCCTTCCTAAGGATGTCGGATCGTATAACGCCGTCGTTTGAGTCTGGCCCATCAATTGGGAATTACGTCACCGTCAGAGTTTCTACGCGCGCTGATGGGAAAGCCTTAATAACGTGTCCTTGGCCCGGTTGTGATGAACAGTACATGACACTTGGGCCTTTCTATAACCATATAATGACGACCCATTGGGAGCTAGGGGACTGGCTCAGGGGAAATATGAGTCAACTGGAACGGCTTCTCGCTTGTAATTTGCACGTTGGCAGAGTAGACTCTCCGTCCAGCAACCCGGCGTTATCCCGGCCCCCAAATAACAACGGTTCTAGTTACCTATTCCCAGACATTGGCCCCAGCTTAATTGCAGCGAACCCCCCCTATTCGCATATGCCTCAAGGGGGTAGACTCGGGACGGGCGATTGTCGGACCCGGCGATTAGTTCCAGATGCTCTCCAGCGACAGTTTCCTACGGGAGGATCGCTTTCGGCCGTCTCAACTTATGCTACCCGATCCCCGCCTGGGTCAGACTCCCACCAAGCCACACCTCAAAGGCGTAGATTCCCGATGGGTTCTATGCACTCCCAGCCCCAGCCCCAGCCCCAACCTCAGCAATTCGCCATGGCTGCACAGCAGCAGTGGCCTCCTTCCACAGAAGAACCCCCCTCAACGATCTCGTCTTACCCTACCCAAATCCCAGCTTCGTCGAACCCCGACTACTACAACCAACCTAGGCTCCAGAGGCGTGCATATGATACCTATTCTGCTCAGCACGAGCCCCAGCAGCTTACTACAAGTGTACCGCAACAATGGCCTTCTATCAGAAGTGCTCCCTCAGCAACCATGTCTGATTATACCCGATCTTTGACAACGCCTGACAATGGCGTGGATTTCTCGTTTGACTACTCTCTCCTTTCAGATCGTGATAATTGGTTTACCTCGCCGGCTGGATCTTCGAATTAAGCAACGGAGAGCCTAGGAACCATCACTATAGGTTTAGGTCGTGATTAGGATGACAGAACTCTCGACTGATCCTTGTATCTGTAATTGGGTGGAAGGCAACATTATGTTATGATGAATTAAGCATTGGTGCTTAGATACCCCTTATCTTGCTAAGCCATTTCGAGACTGGCGCCTTTCCGACTCCACGGCAATCACAAACATGGCTCATGCTAATTCGTGGGGTTTCATCGTGGATGGTGGAGAAAAGATGTACTGGGTATATGTACAAGGTAGATCAGCAGGGGCGTTTATTACACCGTCAGATTGCACATTGAAATGTAGCACATAGGAGTTTGCTTAGAGGTTAACGAGAAAGGGGTTCCGGGAAAGATATTGAAGAATTAGTAACGTCTACCTTATTTTTGTTAATATAATACGTCACGTTTTTATTCAGTTAGGGTGAACACCAAAACTCAACATGATGATCAGTGAGACTAACCTGTAGTTGCAACGCTAGATACAGGATGCATAAGGCCGCATTCGGACATCGCGTTGGGCTTCTTTTGCGAAAACCCGATTCCGAATCTTTCGTATGAAGGCCCGCTCGGTCGTTGTATGACACCAGGAGGGTTCCTTTCATTTGCACCACAGCTAAGAGATGTTAGCAAATTTGTCGAAGTTGGCTTTCAGAGTAGCCAAATCCATTCCCTGTCGGAGGACGGCCTCAATTTCCGCTCAAGAGTGCTCCACGCTCAAAACGCCTCTATATGCCCCCCTTAGCCGAGACCAACCTCACGTGAGATTTATCAAGATTCTACCTTCTGATACCGACGACCAACCAGTGAGCTGTCTGCTTGAAACCGTCAGACTCACGCCAAACATTCGTTACTCCGCATTATCATACGTTTGGGGCGATCCCAAGGTGACTAAGGATATCATAGTCAACGGTGTCACGGTACCCGTGACTACCAACCTTGAATCTGCATTATGGCATTTCAGGAAGTTTGGCTTCCCAGGAAGTCGGAGCCAGGCAGTTGAAAGTCAGCGGCTCTGGGTAGACGCCGTTTGCATCGACCAGAAGGATATTCCGGAGCGCAATTCCCAGGTGACCCTAATGGGGTCAATATTCAGCAATGCCGCATCGGTTTTCTCGTGGCTTGGGCATCCTGGAGCAGATCATGTTGATGTTGGGCTTCAAATAGTCCGTCGAATCGCATACGAAACGACTCATGTGATTGGTATCAAGCAGGGTGACTTTGATGAAGATCCGAAATATCATGAGAAACTTGAAACAGGCTTTGAATGGTTGGTGTCCTTTCTAGGTCCCCTGCTCGATGAGGCCAAGCTTGGCGAAATCAACCTCCGCAAATCCAAACTCAATAGATCTGCGTTTACGCCGAAGTGGAAGGCGTTGGAGGCTTTCAATCTCAGCAATTATTGGAAGAGAATATGGATCATCCAGGAGATGGCTCTAGCGAGATCTCCTAAGGATCATTGGTTCGTGTGCGGTAGCGATGCGATCACCTTCGAAGAACTGGAAGCATTCAACTCCTTTATGCGTTCCATTTATCGGCTGCCCTGGCCGGGACCTGCGAGATATGGTTATTTCTGGATCGTTTTCGCTGATAAAATCCAATTATTCAATCCGACCGCTATGAAACGTATAACATGGTTGAAAGAATCTAGGCGGGCTGAAAATCCAGAGAAACCCCAATTTTTGGAGATATGTCTAGTGATGAAAAACGCGTTTGCGACGGATCCTCGGGATTATGTGTATGGAATGCTGGGGTTACACGCCAACAATATCGTACCGGATTACGCGAAGCCCGTAAAGGAGGTGTATCTCGATTGCGTCTTGAGTGATGGGACCGCAAATACAGAAAATATCTGTCTTCAATATTCCGGTAGGGGGAATTTTTCAAAAGGGGACCATGACCTTCCGTCATGGTTACCGGACTTGAGCTTGAAAGACATGGTGGTGGATTGTAGGGACGTGCGTGATACAAACGAACGCCACGACAAGGGACTGTTGGGCGCAGATCTCCAACCCCCTCAAATAATTCAGCGCAGGATTCTCCGGACTCAGGGGGCGGTCTGTGGTCGCGTAGAGCGCATCAAGCGTCTTCGATTCGACTCGGACATCGTCACGAATAGCAAGAGATTATATGAGCTTTCTGTTGAATATCTCTTCGAATTTGTTGGTGTCGGAAATGTTCTAGATAGTATAGAAAAGATGCCATTGCAGGAGTTGATAGACGTGCTAGATTGGCGGCAAAAGGACTCAAGGAAGACAGTATCATCGTTCTTCTCCATGAAGTTTCCTCAGTTAAAGTTATCTGTAGTATCCTGGCGATACCTTTATATACTTTTCCATTATGGGAAGGAAATGGAAGAGAGAAGATTCGGCTTATCCATTCCTGATGTGCGCCACCCCCGCCATTCCGCCAAGATTGCAACACTAATCAAACAATACAGGAGGGACCATTCCACATACGTGATTTCTTGATTCACTGTCTTGTTAGACACTTTCATGTAATGGAAGACGAAGACGAAGAGAATCAGAAATTGTTATGGGACCAGTCGCGCGTCGAGCTCGAGATGCTCTTTATTAGAAGTAATGGCATGGTTCTTTTCAAAACTGACAGAGGTCACCTGGGTATCGGGCCTCCTAACCTGCAGCCCGGAGATCTTGTCTGCGCCGTTGGTCGGTGCACCCTTCCCGTCATACTGAGAAAACAAGAATCACCAGGGGTCGATAAATTGCAATTTGAACATATGGGAACCTGTTATGTTCAAGGTTTATCTGATGGAGAGCCGGCCGGCATGGTTAAGAGAGGAGAAGTGAATACCGAGGCGTTTGATATACGCTGAAGAGTTTAATCTCACCTAAGGCCAGCTGGATTCGTAGGCCGGTAAGATCCGAGATACCTAGCTGAGACGCTGGACCTTGTGTGACACGCTGCCCATTTTTCACTGCTTTGCCTCGGGTATACTGTGGGTAGTAGGAGCATTTAAGAATTAATAAACACAGCTATTTTTTATATTTATAGTAACTACCGCCTCGAGCCTCAATTCCCGAGACAACTTAGCCATCACATATGACGTACCCAAGTACCCAGGTACCTAGGTAGTTTTTATTCAATTCACTTGGTTCATGGTTTTCAACCCGTATATAACATCAAGACGTATAATATCCGATCCATTGAATGGGTCTTATATGAGGTTTACCATGGATGTGAACTCTGTGAATAAACTGCTCAGCGCCTACTTTAATAAGCCACATATTAAATCTAGAGATTTCGACTACTAGGTATCTACTGATTGTCAATGAACGACGAGCTACGGGGACATTATCGACCTGACCGTGCATGTTCGGGCTCCTAGCTTGAATTTCGGCGTAGAAGTTTCCGGATTGCGCTTTACATCCCATATCATTTCGTCGGCTTTAAGATGAATGTTATGTACAAACGGAGCTACTTTTCAGCCGCAACCCCAGCTCCGGCCAACCGTCCACAGCATGAATTTTCCGCACCGGACTTACAGTACCGGGGTTACCCCCACAGCCGGGTATTTCCGCCGGTACTTTGGAACTTTTAATAGTCCAACTGGGTAATCATTACTCCCTTTCGTAGAATATAGAGAATCCGTTAGACGAGTGATTGATATATTTTCAAAGTATAGAATTACAGTCCAACACTCCAGAACTCGGCTTAAATATCTACCATTAGTCATTGTAATTCTTACAAATCTTCATACCTTTATTATTTCAACCTACGTAAATGCAGCCGGAGGTGACTCGGCGTATTAGCTATCAACCAGCCGGGCTGAGGCTGTCTAGAAATTATGGTAGTATGACCTTCTGATATGACGATATAATCTGCATTTCTAGCGGTGACTGAGAGCCGGCGCCGCATATCGACTGATGAAAACCCCCTTTCAGCTCGAATTAGTTCGGGATTCGGGGCGAATATCTAATCAACTAGAAGAAAAAGTATGGCGGGGTACATATTGCAATGCGCCATTTCGAGGGGCAAAAGAAAACGACTTCGATCTTCGATGTACCAACATACGAATTCATAAATTTACCAGCTTAGGAGATGTCGCAGAAACTCTGAAGTTTCCCTTAAACTGCAATTTTCTTCGGTTGCTACCCATTCCTCTGCGTCTCAGCCTTCGGCTTTACCGGGGAATATGACAAAGCTATGCAGCCAGAGTTTTCACTACGTAACAATTATCAACATAAAATACTGAGTATATCACCTCAGAACTAGATTTTCAGAACTCGACAAAAAAGTCTGAGCTTGATCTCTATACCTCCGTCACGTTTCCCGACTACATTCGTTTTGCTTATGCCTAGAGAATAAATATCTTTTTTTTTTTTTCTTTTTTTTCTGACGTTAATTTTCGTCTTCTTTCCCGCTCGACCAAGAGGCGTCGAGCGTCGACATGTCGTCTACTGGACGTCACGTCTCAATCAATATGATTTTGGACGGGACGCTTAAATTTGTTTGTCCCTGTTGTGACGTACCGCCATTCTGCAAGGGTGGGAATTTTATTAACCACTTGGAAAGAGTTCACGGGTCGTTATTGAATTGGCTTCGTGGGGGTCCTAACCAGATGGTACAGTGCCAAGCTTCTCACATGAGCTATGGTGTAACGAATCCCACGTCCAGCGGTTCACCTTCGCCTCATCACCCAAACTTAGAGAGGTTCCCGAGCCCTAGTCCTAGTCACCCGCTTCTCGCCGCTGGCTTCGAACCAAACGCAACGCATTTTACTTACCGCAACTCGACCACACTCCAAGGCGATAGCCTTGAGGCTGCCTTTCAGCCATCACAAGGGTATATGATTCCTTCACATACTCCCACAAGGGGCGGCCCCGCACTGACACCTTATGTCGGACAGTCCTGGACTGTAGCGAACCGCGGTCCGACTTTGACTCCTAACGTCGGATTGACTTCGCTGTGTGCGCCTCCGATCACCACCGACAACACTTATTATATCGATGGCCGCCTTTCGGAGACCAAGCTGTGATAAAGGAGCGACTCATTCGCGAATCGTGGATACGAGGCTGGGTATTCTAGACGGATCGTTTTTGGAGGATTTTATCATTTGGATAGCATCATCTTAGTATCTTGATACTTTGCGATGTATTTATCAAAAAAGAGACTTAACTAGATAGATAGAAATATCTAGGTAGATATGAATATAATGATTTTTTTTCCTTTAAAAAAAGCCAACTATAGAATATTCAATGCATTTAATTGTACATGTGTGTGTGTGTGCCCAAGCCATAGTGATTTATATTATAGAACCCTGAGCAAATGAGTACCTACCGACCTACCTAGGTACATATTTAGATGCATGTTGCGGCAATAATCTGTTTTACCTTTGGATAATTTGGATATGCTTTTATTTCGTTACTAAGGAGCTTTCATCTAGTGGCTCGCTGCCACGTTGCGGATATGAACGATTGAATGGTTTACATACTATCAACTTCCATTTTTCCCTAAGGGTCTAGGACGTGTCTCGGATTGATGAGCTGAAATCTTCATTGGGTTAAAGCAGAATGTTCACCTCTTCTATAACGTCAGTGGAGCCAACAGCCTTGCTTCTGCCAATTTTGCTTTTCCTCTACGTGATTGCGCGAAGGCTGGCGTATCGTGAGACATGTACGACGCCACTGATGCGGAGTTCGGTGTCTTCGTGGGGGAATCGTCGTGGTTTCCACGCAGGAAATTAATACACCGCTCCCGATGTCCACGATCTTGTCTGATTCGGTGGTGAAAGCCTCGTGGGGTTTTATGCATGATGGCGTTGCGCAATCCGGGTCCCTGCCTTCGTGGTTCTTGATATATATTCATTGGATCATCTCATCCCCGCCCCCTTTTCATCATCTCATTTAATCCGCATTTACTTCTACGCGACAGAATAGGCTGGGTTTGAAAAAACACTCAAAATGAGTGTAGGGGACCTAATCCCGCAACTAGCGGGCCTCTCGCATCACTTACTGGGCTCGCGACCGGTTGGACTCGGTGGACAGAATTTCACACACTGCTGCCTGCTGGCTCTAAACGACTCACTGACTATTGGTTCTGATGGCAACCTATCATACGCGCAAACCTCATTCGTGGCGCCCGGAGTCGCGATCGAGGATTTCGAAGCCGCAGTTCAAAACGATGACTTTCCATGCGGCGCGACCTTTAGCGGGGACATGAGCGGAGCGCCAGTAGTCCGGGTCCCATACCACTGGTGTGAGAGACAGTGTCCCGGATGGGAAATTTCGAATACAGACGCCATGCAGCAATGGATCGGGCCTTTGGTACAATTCATCGTACCCAGCCTCGCATTCTGCACCAACGTCCCGCGAAACCGTAAACTCGCCATCCCGGAAATCGTCTTCAAAGCTCACCCACGCACTCTGATCGGTTTCATGACATATTGGATTCGGCTGTTGGGTGCTGTTATTCTTATGACGATTGATACGGTAGTCTGGCTCGCGATTTGCTTCGCGTTCGCGGGACCTATGTTGTTGAGCGCTATGTATGAATATGCGCTTGATCGGAAGGTTCTTGAGTTTATGTCTCCGACTGATGGGAAGCCGCCGGATATTTCTGTTCGGTTGAAGGCACAGTTATTGCTTTCTGTTGTCGTTGGGAATATTCGAATGGCTACGCTTGAGAAGGATGAGTTGCCAAATCCTAGGCCTGGGCGACATGATAGTGCTATATCGGCCGACTTGGAGAGGAAATTACCTGCTCGGGGTCGCACGTTGAGCAAATTCGTACATAATAGTGTTTTTAAGAGGGTTATGGTTATGGTTGATGAATACGAAGCGGCTAAGGCGGCTGGACGGCGTAATGATGAGGTTGTCACTTTGTCGACGAAACTCAAGGCTCTCCTGAATTCCCAAGCAAGGTAATTCCTTCGTCTTCGAAATGAGCGACGAATAGCAAACTGATATTTGATACAGTTTCGGGTCGGCTGTTGGAGCGCCTGTCTTGTTTTTCTTAGGAGGCTTCATTTACACCGTTCTGGACTCCGATAGTAGCTTAGGCGACAACGATACCGCACACGCACTTGCGTTTGGATTGTGTGAGTGGCTTCTAACCAGAATTTCTAGTTGTTGTGCTTGCTAACGGTTGCTTGCAGGGTGGATGGTGATTCCATACCTTGCTATTATCGTATGTATCTATTTAGCAGGCGCCCGATGAACACTACTGACCCTATATGATATAGTCTTGCGCAATGTTAGCATCCAACAGCCCCAGCACACTCGACGGAATCGTATACGACGGCGGCACCACCGCCCTAGAGGACGAATACGGAGTTAGCTTCTGGGGTGGATACGTTAAGAAGATCAAAACATACAAAGGCATCGGAACCATGATAAAACAGCTAGAAGGTTACAGCCCGATCGAAACTGCCTTCGAAGGCCGCTTCAAAACCGTAAAACTCTGGAAGCGCGGACTAAACAAGCGTGAATGGATACAAGAAGCGATCAGCGAGTACGCAATCTCATCCGCCTACCGAGGAACAACCCGGATATCCCCGATCGAACTGCGTAAAATGCTCAGCTTGAACTTTATCGACTGCTTCTACGTCTTCGTATGCTCGCTCTTTGCGGTGCTGGTACCTTGCTGCCTCGCATTCCTCGTTTCGTTCACGACCCCTCAAGCAGGGCTCTCCTGTCGGAGTCTTACGTATCTCGTCTATGCCATTAGCCAAGTCTGTGAGATGGCGTTGTGGACTTGTGCTGCGAGATTGAGGATTCGGTATGGCACGAGATGGTCCGAGACGAACCCGATGGCGAAGCGGATATGTTGGTGGGGTCAGGTATTTGTGGGTTTCTTTTCGATATTTGCAGCGGTTGGGGGTACGTCTATGCAGTTGCTGGGTGTTTATCGCAGTTGCGCATGCGAGGTGAGGACCATACACTGATTCCGGTTAATGATATAGTTGACTAACATGTTGAAAGGTGCCTGTGAGATATTGGCCACGACTAAACGACCCTGAAGCCTATATCGTTCTGAGCGATAACTCCGCCGAAGACATCGAAGCGGCACAACGTTGGTGGACTATCACCGGTAGCACAGGTGTGGGAATCGTCGGGATTGTGTGCGCGCTCGCATGGTGGCACCAAAGGCGGCTTCGGAAGGTGTTTCGGGATGAAGCCGATAAGCTAGACAATATAGTAGACGAGCCAATAGTGAGGCGCCCAGAATGGTAGGAACGGCTAGAGTCAGTATCAGATAATGTGAAACGAATCTGAAGGTATTTTTTCTTTATAACTCAAATGCATTCTCCTTTGGGCTCAATAGCCAGAACTCAACGCAAACTACCTTTAGTGTACAATATACATAAAGGTGATAAATGCTTCGCGATAATATGCCGAGATGGCGACAAATGCAACCCTTCGCCCATACACATCGAGCAGCCTTAAATCAATCGCGAGTGTAGATTCCGCGAATATCTGGCCACCGACTTAGGTAGGCAGATATAAAAGTATCGCCTCGGATGCGTCATCTCTTTAGATATGCTTGATGCTTTCCCGAACTCCACAACAAATGATAAAAAATCAAACGCGGGTATCAATCGTTTCCCATCCAGTAACGCCACTCCCAAAAATGCTCTCGATCTAAGTCTAAGTTAAAGTGAAATCCCAGGGTTTAAAAGCGACCTTGAACCTCTCAGCGTCTTCCGTCTCGTCCTTAACGAGTTGAACGACATCCTGCCAATTGGCTCGGTCTTCTAGTCCGAGAAGCTTTGCCATAACCCGACGGCCAAACTGAAGGTCAAAGCGAATCTTTCCATCGAAACGCATAATTAACTCCTTGCTTTGGATGCCAGTGTCACTATCATCGGTCCAAACCCAAAGTCGAAAGAAGTCGGATGTCTCATCAACGCCGGATTCTATGTTTGCTTCTTCAAACGGCGGGTATTGTTGGTTCTGAGCCTCCACCTTGAATCCTGCCTCAACAAGACCTTTCCGAATCAGATCAACGGGTACGGGGATAAATTGCCAATGATCATGGATGCCAGATTGTCGACTAATCTCAAATGTTACTGCGCCCAACTTGAACTTGGACTGTGTCGCAACCATTGCTTGCATAGCCTCCTTGAAGCGCACCATCTCCTGATAAGTCTTATCCGCCTCTGCGCCCATTGAGCGAAGAGTAGGTTCATGAGGGAGGGGAATGATGAGTTGGTGACTCGGGAATGAGAGACCCAAGGAAGCGAATGTATCGGAGCTAGGCAGTGGTCCCTTAGCTGTGGTGACGTATGAATCATCTCCTATGGAGCAAATCATATGTGTCTCCACATTCTGGTTGCTGAGACAGAAGAAACATCGATCGGGACCGGGAGGGGGCGGGCGATCCTTTCGGCGGCGGGTGCGGCGGTCATTGCCGCGGTAACCATGGCCATGTTGGTCTTCGCCATCGGTAGGCGCGGGTCGTTTCTTGATATTGGTTCTGGGGATAAACGGGGAAGCAGTGCTCCCGGCGGGTATGGGACCGGATGACTCGCCGGGCACAAGATTGAAGGCATACATGGCCTTTGCCTTTGCAGAGTTGCCATAAGAAGCAAGTGAGATGAACCGTGTAATAGGATGTTGATCGGAGTCGGGGTTGGCGGGTAGGTGGAAGAAAGGTTCCCGCTCATAGAAAAAGTCTACTGGCGAGACTGACAAATGGTAACGCGGCTTAAGAGTAGCGCATAACTCAGCGACCTCTTCGGTGCTTATAATCGCATTTCGACCCTCAGCACTAGGAGCCTTGCTAGAATGTTCCCATACCTTCGAAGGCCAGCAAGTCGTGAGCAAGATGTCGGCGGTATTAGCGCCACGTAGTATTTTAGCATCGTCGGCGGTGTGGAAAGGGAGATGTTGGTCTTTAGACGGGCCAGCGATAATGGCGTTGTCGGGGGCGCCTCCTAACACTACGATTCGGATTCCCTCCGAGGTCTTGGTGACGCTGCGCTTCGCAAGGAAATGAAGATTTTCGCAGAGCTGTAAACAAATTTTAGTTAGCTACTTCTAGGACACATATCTCAATCGTTGGGAAATGAGTGTTTGGACATACATCTTCATCCTTCTCAATCCGCTCAATAACGCGCTCGGGCAACGGGATTGTGCCTACTGTGAAGTAGGTGGAGAACGGTACGTGAATATCGCCATTAAGAAGTTTCGAGATCGTATCATCGTCTTGATCGGCACCGAATAGGTCGCCTGCTATAATGGCAAAGGCGAAGTTTTGCTTCTCGTGTAGCGTTGCGAGCTTCTGGAAGACGAGCTCTAATTTGCCATTCAGGCTACCTAGAACAACGCTTATGTTTTCGTTAGATGCTAGCTAAATGGGACTCGTTAGAATTATTTACTTACATCTTGGAAGCCATGATAAAGCAAAGATTGAGCTGATCAAGTCGTGCGAAAGCTGATCAAAGCTCAACCTCCAATCGGAGGTTTATTAAGTTGTTGTTTGGATTGGGAGATGTTAAGGATGAGATGAAGATGCGACGAAGATTAATTTCTAGGTGAGCTCGCGCTAAAAGAGCTACCCCAGACCCATTGAAGACAGTGCCTGCTGTTAAAAAAAACCAGGAAGGTACCTAGGTACATCAGTACGCTAACCCAATATGGTATATCCACCTGCATTATCGCGTTATCTTAGCGTAAAAGATTAAAAAAAAAGTTGCGACCGAGAGTCTTTGGTTGTGATTTATGTGGGACAAGAATCCAAGACTTCTAGGAATCAACTACAAGAACAGCAACAGCGGCAAGCGGTTTCTCTACCACGGTAGGGAACTACGGCTGTCAAGATGCGTTCAACACAATCGGGACGTATAGTCAAGTCCCGAAGAGGAAATACAGGAATTCAGAAGAACCATAGATGGGAATCTTTTACGACCAAAATCTCCAAGCTCCATTCCCTCGATCCTCTTCGCAAAGTACGACGACATGACCTCGAAACCGAAAGCCTCGATACCACAACCTCTTATTTTCGCAATGGCATGGAAAAGTGGGCAGATACCAATATCTCCAGAGAGTTCACCTCTTTCCGACGAGAAGTTCGACCTTTCTGCGACAGTCTACCACAAATCCTACACTTCGAGGACAAGATCATGGAATTACTAGCCAAATACATTTCGGCGCACGAGGCAGAATCGCTGGAACCTCTCCTAGACCTCCTTACAGCTTTAGCACATGACCTTGGGACACGCTTCGAGAAGCATTACCAAACCTCCTTATCATTGCTCACCGGAATCGCGAGCAAACCCCAAGATGCCGCGGTTATTGAATGGACCTTTGGTTGCTTGGCCTTTCTATTTAAATATCTGTCGAAGCTCCTGATCCCAGATATTCGACCGACATTTGATGCTCTAGCACCACTGCTGGGTAAAGCTCGGACTCCTCCGCACATTGCCCGATTCGCTGCTGAAGCATTAAGTTTCTTGGTCAAGAAAGCAGCCGCACCTGCAAACCGAGAGAAAGCTCTGCTGCCGTTGGTTGAACATGCAAGACAGGATCTGGAAGCTAGTAGGGAGAATAAACAGTTCGGATTGTACCATCACGGACTTATGACCATGTTTGCGGAAGCTATCAAAGGTCAAGGGCGTGGCATGCACACTAGTGGTCCCGAAATCATCAAGTCGCTAATCGCGTCTGTCCCGGATGAGGAATGCATTTCTTCAGATCCCGTAACGTGGACTGACCTCGTCTGTGGCGTACTTGTTAGCATTGTACATCATACGACATCCGAAACGTTCGAGTCTGTTCCGAAATCTATAGTCGAAGTAGCTACCAACGATTCACGGCGTGGCGAATATCCTTTACGCAATTGCCTGTACGTCCGACTATTAGGAACAATATGCGGCGTTCGAAAAGGTACCCGAATTGCAGACTGGTCAACAATACTAAGTTGTCTATTAGAGTCTTTGAAGGCACTCATGAAGGCCGAGAATGACTTCGAAAAAATCGATTCATCTGCCATATGGCAACAACTTATGGTTAACATTGCTATTGTGTGGCAGCAAGCGCCGATAGATTCTATCATTCCATATATCACTGATTTCACGAATATAATGACACGAGAGCCTTTGATGAGATGGTTTATACCCTTCTGCTCATATTTTTCCGATCTTGATTCTACCAGGTTTCGCAGCCTTTTACTCAAACAATTCCAAAAGTAAGTAATCTCTAACCGTTTGCCGTGCATGATTATTAATATTGGGGAAAAGATTTGTTGTGACACATTGGTCTGAGAGTCCTAATGAGGAGATGCTGTGTATTTTACTACCCCGAATGGTAAAATCGAATGCACTTCCTTCAGCCACAGACGCCGACAGTTTTTCATTGCCCCAATCCTGGCAAGACCAAATTGTCACCAAATTCGAACGACTCGAAATTTCCCCTTTTCCTGAGCAAGGAAATTCAACTGGATATGATAAAGATCCCAAAACATGGCGCGACAAATGTTTACCCAAATATTCGGCTCTTCTCCACGTATTAGAAGCTACGAGCGTGCGTCCTTCAACAAATGGACCGATCGCAGAGCTACTATTAAGAAAATTAAAACTGGCCCTGAAGCCCTCCCAGTCCTTGGCCAGCGAAGAGGCACATTTCATTGTTAGCCAAGGGTTTTCTGCATACCTACGACTGAGCAAGGCTACTGGGCAGATTGATGGTTCCCTAGAGCCGTTGCTAAAAGCGGCAACCCCTCGCTATCGGCTACTCACTGGGTTCTTAGAGTCAATGATTGCCTATGAAGAACAACTCAGTCACAAGAAGAGCCCCCACTCACAGAGCGAGAGGAGTTCCAGCGAGGAAGATGAAGACCCATTCATGAAGAGTCTCATTGAAAATCTATGCAATCCCTCGCATCAGCACCGATTAGCCTCCTTGAAATTGCTCAATCGACTTGATACCGCTTCCGATGAGTTAGATTCACTGGCTACAATGATCCAGGCGGAGGAAACTCCATTGGAGTTACAGAATGTCCGGCTTCTTTCGCTCCATATTCGAAAGTTGGGAGCAAACTATTCTCAACTCAGCAAGGACTCCTGGCTTCGGCGTGCGATTCCTTCATTCCTCTTTGGGCAAATGACGGTACGCTTAACTCCAGTTTGGGATACCGCGGTAGAAGCGCTACGACAAATTAGTGAAGCGAAATCCGGTGAAGAGGCCATATCTAACATTGCATTTGACTGGCTTGATGTCCCCTCTAAGCGATGGGATGGGCCACCGAAGGAAGCCACTGGCTCATCAAATGCCGGTGCGACAGATTTCGAATGTCTAAATCTATCAAAGTTGTATAGGCGAGCTCAAGAAGCGGAGCATGTGCTGAAATCCTCTTCCGAAATTATGCTAGAGAGTTTTGAGGAGAGCCAGACTCTCGTCCCTGTTACACCTCCTAACGCGAGGTCTCAAGCACTCAAAGTATTTTCCGCTGCACCTAGCATAGCAGAGAAACGATCTCGGAAATTAGTTCCCTATTTACTATCATGGGCGAAAGATTCCGATGAGCAGGATGAAGTGGGGCAACTCGACCAATTAACTGGTGCATCATGGTCTCTCTTTGATAAGAAAGCCCTCCTTGGAGTCTTCGCGCAATTTACGAATCCCAAAGTATTGTACCAGAGCCACCATGTATATGATACCCTACTTGAGTTACTTGCCAATGGTGATATAGAGGTTCAGAAATCTTCCCTCAAGGCCATCTTCACTTGGAAACAAGAAGGCGTCAAACCTTTTCAGGAGAATCTAGAGTACCTTCTTGACGAAGCCCGGTTTAAGAACGAACTAACTGTCTTATTCCAAGGCGATCAACAGATTCAGCCAGAACAGCGACCTGAAATGATGCCTGTGTTACTTAGGTTGCTCTATGGAAGAACAATTTCGAAGAAAGGTGCTGCTAGTGGACGTCATGGTCTCCACGCAACTAGACTTGCTGTCTTGAGGCAGCTTAGTCTCGAAGATATGGGGGAATTCCTTGACGTCGCTCTTGGCGACCTCCGTGGGGTTAGGGTTATTGACGACACCCAAGTACGTGACGATATTGTTAACGACGAACTGCTCACTGTACGAAAACAAGTCGGCTTCCTCAATATGATGGAGGCCATGATCAACGAAATGGGGACTGGTGTTCTACCTTTCACCGATAAGATTCTCAATGCGGTACTCTACTGTCTTGTATTCTCTTCACGGCGTTTAAACCAGACCAGCGAGGATACGGAAGATAACGCAACTGCGCAGAGCTCTCTATTGCGAGTTGTTAGAGGCACTTCACTAAAATGCTTGGTTACACTTCTCCGGAATGCCCCTGGCTTTGACTGGACTCCTTACAAAGATACATTCATTAAAGAAGTCGTTAGCCCCCGTATAGATAAGCTTCCGTCCGAGACGACTCAAGGCGTATCTGGTGTCCTTCAGTTCCTCTCCACGTTGTCGCAAATCCCAAGAACCGCTTTCTTCCTCTCCGTCGATAACCAGATCATTGAAAAATTGATGGAGTGCTTGAAACTAGAGAAGACCAAGGACGAGGTTCAGATATTTGCGTTAGGCATCGTGCGCAGTCTAGCAGACCTCTCCCAACAACCGGCAGCGCAATCCGAGTTCAATGAACTAATCCAAGAAGAAATTTTGGAACCCAATATCAATGTTATCCTAGAAAGCATTAGCGTCGTGCTCAAGTCTCAGGGTGACGTTGGAAGAGATCTACTCATGGCATGTGTCGAGACAATAGTAGAACTGTCTCCCATCATACAACAGTCAGTTCATGTTACCGATCTTGTTGATATTTCGGTTTCCCTCCTTAACCAGCCTTCCCGGCGCGTTAATCCGAAAGCCAAGGGCCTTGTGCTCTCTATGCTTAAAAACTTCATTAGGCTGGCGGGAGACGATCTTCAGACCGAATTGAGAAATCACATTTATTCAACAATATCGTCGCTATATGGCTTTTTCAGGGACAGAGTTAACCGACAAGCACTTTCGAATGTGTTGGCCGTATTATACCCTAATGACCCATTATTTCTTGAGCTGTCTACGCTCTGCGCTGATATCAATTCCTATGATAGTAGCCGCATCGATGAGCCAGATTATGAGAAACGATTGGCGGCTTTTAACACCATTTCACAACCGAGAGACACGCCTTTCACGGCACGGGATTGGGAACCTCTGATATATAACATGACTTTTTATATCAAACATGATGAGGAGTATGGCATATTGTCTGCGAACTCGGCCGATGGTCTGTGCAAGTTCATCGAGGCAGCAGCATGCTCAAAAGCTGAAGAACAAGTCAAATTCTATGATATGCTATCCAATATTTTGATGCCCGCCTTATACTCTAACGCGCGAGAGCCATCGGAGACAGTGAGACGAGAAACAGTGAGAGTGTTCGGATTTTTAGTGTCGCGGATGCCATCCTGGTCTCCGATCGCTGATCTTGTGGCGATCAACCCCAAACCAGACGAGGAGGACCCAGACCCGAGCTTCTTCAATAACGTTCTTAGCCCCGCGACGGCGAGACAAATGCGAGCTCTCCAGCTATTGTCTAAAGCAAATCACCACACGCCGCTGAACAGCAAAAACTTGACCCATTTCTTCATACCTCTTCTCGAGCACTTTATCTTCGGTCGAGAGGAGGGAAGTGATGATCATGGCGTTGGTGCCCAAGCAGCAACAACGATTGCTGATATAGCCTCCTCTCTAGAGTGGCCTCAATATCGTGCCACATTCCGCCGGTATATCGGCTACATCGAGTCGAAGCCAGAACTTCAAAAGCAATTGATCAGACTTCTGGGCAAGTTCGTGGACACTCTTGCGACAGCAGCTTCAGAGAAAAATCAAGATGCAATGGATGTCGACTCTACAGCTCCGATGGCGAAATCCAAGTTGGCGACGACAATGCCCGCACATGAGAAATTAAACGAAGACGTTCTGACCAACATCCTGCCGCCTCTTCTAGAGTATATCCACGAGAAAGACGAAACCACAGTCAGCTCTCGTGTTCCTATCGGTATTATCATTGTGAAGATTCTGAAGGTGCTTCCGGTAGAATCGCTTAACCAGAAACTCCCTGGTGTGCTTACTGATATTTGCCACATTCTACGAAGCAAGGCATGGGAGTCTCGAGAGATGGCGCGAAGCACGCTCTCAACCATGACATCCCTTCTAGGATCGTCTTATTTTGGGTTCGTTCTCAATGAACTCCGAGGTGCTCTCGTTAGAGGATATCAACTCCACGTGTTATCTTATACGATGCATACAATTCTAGTCAATGTAATTCCCCAATTCAAGCCCGGGGACCTTGACTATTGCCTTGATAAGATTGTTAGCGTTATTATGGACGATATTTTCGGCGTCGTGGGCCTGGAAAAAGAAGCAGAAGAGTACGTCAGCAAGATGAAGGAAGTTAAGAGCAGTAAGAGTCAAGATTCCATGGAACTTATCGCTCGAACCGCTTCTATCAACCATCTTGTTGATCTTGTGCGGCCTCTTCAGTCACTCTTGCTTGAAAAGCTTGACCTGCGTATGGTGCGAAAGATTGATGACTTGTTGTCTAGGATCGCTTCCGGCTTATTCGGGAACTCCGCTGCTGATAGTCGAGATACCTTAGTATTCTGCTACGAGGTTATCCAGGAAGTATATGAAAGCGAAAAGCCACGTGCAGAACTGAAATTGGATCCGAAATTGAGGCGATACCTCATTCAAAAGGGCGCTAACAAGAGCGGCGACCGTAGCACAACCAGTAAATACACATACAAACTAGTGCGATTTGCTGTTGATGTGCTACGGTCCGTGCTGAAAAAATACGACAACATTCGCAATGCCGTCAACATTTCCGGATTTATACCGATCCTTGGTGATGCTCTAGTTGGAGGCGAAGAAGAAGTTAAGATAGCGACTTTCAAGCTTCTAACTATTCTCGTAAAGGTTCCATTCAAGACCGACGAATCCACGAAACTTTACAAGGTCGCGTCAAAGGAAGCCTCCAAATGTATGTCGACTTCTACGTCAACTGCAACGGACCTTGCCCAGAGCGCTTTGAAACTCATGTCCGTCATCATCAGAGACCGTCGTGATGTTGTGGTCAAAGATGCTGCCGTCGACATACTTCTCAATAAGGTCAAAGACGATTTAACAGAGCCTCTCTATCGACATGTCACATTTAACTTCTTGCGATCGATACTTGATCGCAAAGTTGAAACTGCTACGGTCTACGATACTCTAGACTACGTGGGAGGCATCATGATCACCAATGACGACAAAGATACACGGGATCTAGCCCGGGGTGCCTTCTTCCAGTTCCTCCGCGATTATCCTCAGAAGAAAAACCGGTGGGCTAAACAACTTAGCTTTATCGTCGCGAATTTGAAGTACGAAAGGGAAGGAGGTCGTCTTTCGGTTATGGAAGTTGTACATCTTCTATTGATGAAGTCGGCTGATGACTTTGTCCAGGAGGTTGCTACAACCTGCTTCATTCCGCTAGTCTTCGTCTTGGTAAATGATGACAGCGAAAAATGTCGCTTGGCTGCTGGTGAACTCATCAAGGAAGTATTCCGGAAAGCAGATAAAGAACGAACCTCGAAATTTTTAACGCTCATGCGATCCTGGACGGAGCAAGATGACAATCCTTCGGTGCTGCAATTGGCGATTCAAGCATTTGCTCTTTACTTTGAGGCTCGGGATCCTGCACCAAGGGACCGCAAAGACCTAGACCTCTTATTAGAGACAGCAGCTAATGTCTTGAACAATTACTCGACTTTTGCAAAAGATTCGGAGTTGATCAACACAATCCTCCAAATGGTACCTATAGTCATAGAGAAGCACCCGTCAATTACGCTGGCGCACGAACGATTATGGCAATCTGTCTCAATTCCTCTGACACATCCGGACCCTAATGTCAAACTCTCAAGTGTGCGTCTATTGCGGATTTATTTGACCGATTTCAATGAGAATAATAAAGGTGCCAATAACGCCCAGACCATCCTCGGGTCGCACGGCCTTCAATTACAGCAACAAATGGTTGGTCAATTAACACTTTATGCTGTCGGTGTTCTTGGCCCCGCACCTATCAAAAGATGGAAAAAGAGAATGCAAAGGAAGAATAGTACGTCTCTTGATGCGATCAATGAAGTGGTATCTTCTCGAGAAAGCCCAGCGGACCTAGATGAAACCTTGGCTACTGAAGTTAGTAGGATCATTTTGATGCTCAGCAAGTTCCTGGATGTTGGGTCATCAGATGAAGAATCTGCCAGCAGCGATGCGGAAGGTTCTGAAGAGGACGAAGAGGAAGAATGGGGTGGCATTGATGCGGAAGAAGAGAACACGCATAAAATCACTCTTCATACGCTATTCGTGTGGCTTTCCGAAATTCTGGTTGAGGAAACACGACCGAACGCCCGTGCGCTCATACCTAAAGTGGCTGCATTAGACATTTTGTCGATCCTTACTTCAACATTACCCGACTCAGTATTGCGCCCCTCTTTCAATATTCTCCTCACACCATTACACCATCTCACTAACCCCTCAATTCCTACACCATTTTCGCTCGACGAAGTCTTTAAGACGCGACATGAGGGAATAAAGACCAAAGCCGGCGAGGTCATGGATCTACTGCAGAAGAAATTCGGTACTGCTGAATATACCAAAGAATTACTCGCAGTGCGGGAGCGAGCTAGAAGTCGTCGTGAGAATAGGTCTAAGAAGAGGAAGATTGAAGCTGTTACACAGCCAGAGCGGTTCGGGAAGTGGAAGAAGGGCCGTCTTGAGAAGAAGGTTAAGAGGAGAAAGGAGAAGGGACAGCAGAATAGGAACAGGAGGAGAGAGTACTAAGACATGCGTATCATTATCAAGAGATATTGATCTCCATTTTTGGCGTATTTGGTTCAAAATAGAGGATGGGAAAATACCCAATTACCTAGGTAGCTATACTAGCGTTATATAAAAATGCTAGTCGTAAAATGATCATTTATTTTACTTAATTTGATTAGAAGTCATTAACCGTGCTATGTTGATCCTAACATGTCGCCATTTAAGAACTCGGAGTCGATCTAAGGCGATAAATCATACGCCTTCGTATTTTCTGCTGTACATATGCTTTCCTCTGCTTTAAGGCTTAAGTTACTTCCGGTACACCTGAACCATGTATATTATTTGCATTTTTTCTTTTGTATATTGAATTGCGCTACGAGCTAAGGCACGAGCAATGAATCACCCTCAAAGATTGACCACGATAACTTCGGTATAATACATTATTTCCAAAATGGAGTGCTTCAGGCTTTTTATATCAAGAAGGAATCACGGTATATATACGCTTTTGACGGCTCCCCCAATTCTTTTTGCGCGGAGCAAGGGGCGAAGCGGAGGAGGAGACTCTGTGTTTCCGAATGGGTGGCTTAAGGTAGTCCAGTTCTTCGGGCTTCTCTAGAGGACGCCATAGTTCGGGATCGCCTTTTACTGCGATTTTTCGGATGCCTTTGAACGGGTTCGCTGGTTCTCGGTCCCACTTGTAAGACACGGTTTTGGGGGGTTGTAGGCTGTCCCCTAGGGCCGCGAGCTTTTCGAAGAAATGTTTGTCTTCTCGCTTTAGAGTCCACCTACTTGTTTTGTCCACGATCTCACCGTTTGAGGCTTTTTGCGATGCGTCTTCTAGGGGTTCACGGGATTCTATATATCTGAACCGGGGAAATTTTCTGTTGGTAGCTTCGTTGTTGTTAGGTTTGTGGTCCTGACTGTTCCGGGAAGTTGATTCTGTCGAGTATTTACGCCGTGTCGACGGTACTTCTTTTGTGGGTTTGGTGGCGCTGGGTGACGGAGGGGTAGCTACATTTCCGTGCGGCGAAATGGGCTGATACGGGAGCCCATTTTCTTTTCGATATTTTTTCACGTTTTCTTCATGCTCTTCTAAGAGATCGTACCAAGTTCGCTCCTCGTCATCGGTGTCTCGTTTCGTCGTAGTTCCGTCTTCCCAGAATTCAACGTCGCCGTCTTCACCAAGAGTTCCTCGTTTCACTAGTTGACCCTTTTCCCGCATGAGGTCCTCGACTGTGATTTTGCGATCCCCAAAGATGTTGAGATGGTCGCTGATTATGTGTCGGTTTCGGCAGGATGGACAGGTGATGAGGACGGATCCTTGGTGATATCCTTGTTTCGATATGTGGTGGGTTGAGCGGTCGCCGCAAGGCACGCATGTGAGCGTCAACTCATAATGGGGTTCGGAGAGCTTTCGCGACTTCTGCTCGGATGGCGATGTTTCTGACTTCGCGAGTGTCTGGTTACGGGGCTTCGGTATATTGTGGGCAAATCGACGGGTAGCCGGTTGTGAGGTTCGAGGGAGGCAGGAATAGGGTCGGAGTATACGAGGAGTTACTCCCCTTGAAGAACGTAAGATTGGATTGAATAAGAGGCTCGATATTGATTTAGACGCCATTTCCTATAGTTAGGAGAGAAAAAAAGAAGATTGGATTTTAGACGTCGAGCCTTCGATAGTACGAGACGAGAAGGCAAATTACGCAATCTATAGAATTTGGTTGCACCATAATATCTAATCGATAAGGTTCGATAAGAGGACACCCCTGCATGTCTTCCGGAAGCATGCTTCCACAGCATTACGTCTGTGGCTAGGCACGGATTGGCGGGGCATAGACCCACATTTATCGCGTTTGCCCTGCCGCCTAAGCAATTCGTCCCTTCCATGATCACTAAAGCTCCCAGTCGACTTATGACGCCGAAGTGCAAGTACGGCCTTACATACCTACGCCTCACCTATAGTTGTGGTGGAAACAGCAACTTCGACATTCCCTATCGTGCTTGCATCGCGTCTTTGTGGCTCATTACATATACATATGCAATACGTCCAATCAAACCCGACGCTTTCTCAATCTTCTTTCCCTCAACATGTTCTTCACATGTAACGCTTCCTAACACGCCCAACTTTTCGGATTTAAGGAATTCTCCAGGATCTACCTTCGCAGCCTATCTAAGTCCCGATCTACTTACGTCTCATAACCTTCCCCGATCAACTCGATTCCAAATAATTCGACCGCTGGCATCAATAGTATGAAAACATGATTAGTGGACGAGGAGGTTCCATGATGCGGAGTGGTCGCATTCGGCCTCCTCGAAGGGTAGGTCGCATCCCCACCAAGCCTGCGTCCCTTTTACTCTAAAGCGCCTATGTCACTACAGTTCTGCGAGTGCTCTTCATAGTTTGTGAGCGCTCCGTAGTATATCGCCTATTAGTACCTGTTGGTAGCCTTGTCGCCAGCTTACACCCTAACTTTCTTTAATCTACCCGTGAAAAGGCTGTGTTGTAGTAGCTGGCTAACAACTATACAATGTAATAGCCTGTGGTTCAATCCAGTAACGTCGATGAATTCGAGGTGTGTTGGGAGAAGCTTCGCGATGCCCTACATGCTATACATACCCGTAACGCCGGTGACCTTTCCTTCGAGCAGCTATACCGGTACTCATATAAGATCGTTCTTAAGAAGGCGGGCAATAAACTTTACGATCGCGTTAAGGACTTCGAGGAAAAATGGTTTGCCGACGAAATACTACCCCCTATTGAGGGTCTCATTACCGAAAATTTAGTCTCCACTACACTTGAAGCCGTTCCCGGTTCAAGCACGGTCGAACGCCGTGCTATGGGTGAAAAGTTCTTGAAAGGAGTCCGAAGCTCGTGGGAAAACCACAACATGTCTATGAATATGATCGCAGACATTCTTATGTACCTTGAACGTGGTTGCATTCAGGATCATACTAGGCCTTCGATCTATACTACCACCATCGGTCTATTCCGCGATCATATCCTAAAAATGGGACTATCGAACGGACCCGGATGTTTCGTCTACGAAATCCTCAACGCCACAATAATCGACCAAATAAATATGGAAAGAGAAGGAGACGTCATCGACAAGGCATTATTGCGCAGTTGCGTCTCTATGCTAGAAGATCTTTTTGAGACAGATGAAGAGAATCAGCAGGAACAATTATATCTGACTCTCTTCGAGCCTAAATACCTTGATTCCAGTCGAAAATTCTATAAGGCCGAGTGCGATAAACTCGTTCGAGAAGGTGATGCAAGTGCGTGGCTTCGATATACGCAGAGACGACTCAACGAGGAGGTCGAGCGATGTCAGACCACGGTTTCACCATTCTCCCTACACAACATCACACGTGTACTTGAAGAAGAACTCATCGCCAAGCATATAGGGGACTTCTTCAGCATGGAAGGCAGCGGTATAAAGGCTATGATCGATAATGATAGAACCGAAGATCTCACAATCCTTTATCAACTCGTCTCCCGCATTGACTCCAAGAGAGTAGTTCTGCGTAACGCTGTTTCCTCCCGAATAATCGAACTGGGAATTGAAATAGAAAAGACACTCAACAACACCGACTTCAGCATAGCCCAGCAACCCGATGCGGAAGAGGCGGCCGCTGATGGGGCAGAAAAGTCAAAGTCAAAGGCTTTGGGTGCCGCGGCTCAACAAACTGCAGCGGCTATCCAGTGGGTTGATGATGTGTTGCGTCTCAAGGACAAGTTTGACCGAGTCTGGAGGACCTGTTTCGATGAGGATCTTATTTTACAGACTGCGTTGACAAAGAGTTTTTCCGATTTTATTAACTCATTCGACCGATGTTCGGAATATTTGTCACTTTTCATTGACAGCAACCTTAAACGAGGCATCAAGGGCAAGACCGAAGCCGAGGTAGATAGTGTCCTCGAAAAAGCAATAACTCTCCTTCGCTATCTTAGTGACAAGGACATGTTCGAGACATACTATCAGAAGCATCTAGCACGTCGCCTATTATATGCTAAATCCGAGAGCCAAGAAGTCGAACAGGATATGATTTCACGAATGAAAGGGGCGCTAGGAAATAACTTTACGCGTAAATTCGAGGGTATGTTTAGGGATATGAGTACTTCCAAGGAGACAACCGAACAATATCGAGATCATATTCGTGGTCTTGGCGAAGTTGATGACAAGCGTATCGATCTAACCATAAATGTCCTTGGTGGCAACACTTGGCCTAAGAACATTTCGGCTCAAACATCTTGGGCCGAAGATGGATCGAGACCTAAGATTATCTATCCACATGAGATTCGGGCACTTCAAGACAGCTTCTTCAAGTTTTACAGCATCAATCGCAACGGGCGTGTGCTGACTTGGCTGGGGAACATGGGCGCAGCAGATGTTAAATGCGTGTTTCCCAAGATTCCTGGCAAGACTTCCGGTCCGCTCAGCAAGGAGCGTCGCTACGAAATACACGTGACGACCTATGGCATGATAGTACTTTTGCTATTCAATGATCTCGCTGAAGATGAATGGCTATCATTCGAGGAAATTGAGAAACGGACAAATATTCCTCACCAAGACCTTGTTAACGTGTTGACCTCCCTTGCGGTACTCAAACCATGCCGTGTTCTTCTCAAGGAATCCCAGACGAAAGAACTCGTGAAAACTACTGACAGGTTCACGTTCAACCGCGAGTTTGTAAGCAAGGCTATCAAGATTAAAGCCCCTACAGTGAATTCTGGCAATAGGGTTGAGAACGATGAGGAGCGTAAAGAGACAGACAAAAATAATGAGGAAACGAGGATGTACGTCACGGACGCCGCCATCGTCCGTATCATGAAGTAAGTTCAAGTTCATATGTGAGCATAACAAGGGGGCAACATAGCTAACATTGTATAACAGGCAACGCAAGGAGCTTGCTCATTCCCAACTCATTACTGAGGTTATCCAAGTCTTGGCGAGTCGGTTTAAGCCCGATGTGTCGCTTATCAAGAAACGAATTGAGGCGTTAATAAATCGCGATTACCTCGAGCGAACAGAACTAGCTGATGGCTCACCGGCCTATAAATATGTAGCTTAAGCGCTCGTCTCAGCATTTCAAGCACCAACGGCATACAGAATCACGACTGGACATATAATCCCTTGATGAGACTTATCTACCAATTGGAAGATGTGGTTTGTCTCGATAGATTTATCTCTCGAGGTATAAGCGATGGATACCTACACATCCATCAATCTACCTTAGCCTAGTAACGGCCCCTATCGCAATTGCTACCGCAATCCCGATTTGCACGGCGCCGTCACTATGGCTATTACAGATATGAAGAGGTTCTTCAGGGGTTTAAGCTAGGGTAAGATCCCTTCATACTTCACCGAGAATCAAAATTCCCCTCGATTGCATAGCAAAGGCGAAAATGGCGAATCGAAATTCTTTTGCTTTTACCTTAGGATGATGAGCACGTCTTTATGTCCCGTAAGATTATGATGGAAGGTACCTAGGTACTCTATAGATGAGACCCATGGTTAATAGAGCACCTTAAACAAACTGTTCCCTGCTCTTTTTTAATGAAACTTAGTGGATTAATCTGTGAATTGTTTCTTATGTATGAGTTGATGCCTATTGGAACATGGTGGCCTCCTATCGATATATGGGCTAACAAGGCATCTAGGTCAATAGCCCCAGATTGAGTCCTCAAAACAATAGTATACTTTTCTTTGTCTGCCCCTCGACAAGTATATTAAAAATGGTGCTGCTAGTAACCCATTACAAAGGCCTTGGAAACAATGTTATTATTACCAACATACTTTTTATGAGGTTATCGTATTTAGTGAATGGGAGAATCTACCGGCTGTTTGGTTGCTTTCGAACGGGTCTCGTGAAGCTCGTCGGCTACCGCCAAAACTCTTTATTCTTGTGAACAATTTCTTTGGCCAATTTTGCCCCGTTCCAACACCCCCGGCATGTACTAAGATAGTTCTCGCCAGAACAACACGCGTGTCATTTCCCTCCTACTCTGCTGTTCCACTTCCACTTCTATTCTAGTTACATCCCTGGGTACCCTTCACCTCATCATTCTCCTTCCTCAAAAGACAGTGTTTCGTACCATCACGATTCTTCATTCACTCCCTAGATTCTGAAAGGAACTCCATGAACGTTTAATCAGACCTTCGTGAAAACGAAAGCGCAGACTTCACGAGAGAAAAAAATCTAGGTCGGCAGCATTAGCTTCAAACAATCTCACCATGGAATCCGAGCAGCCGAGAGGACGTCGTGAATCGACGACCAGTAACACATCTAAGGGCATCGCCGAGACTGATACGGCACCTGAAGTAACCCGAAGCTCATCGCGTAACGACGCCGAGGAGAAGGAACAGAAGATGCGCGAGAAGCACCGAAAGCGTGCTCTTAAAGCCCTAACTGGAACTTCTCAACGCTCCAAGACACCTGTCAAACAACCACAGCCGGCAGCGTCTCAAGCCACATCGACTACTTCTCCCACTATGGCTCCCAACCAGCAGACTGAAGATAGCTCTACCAGTGGTGGTGACCATTCTTTTTCTCAGTCATCAACATCCGGTACTACTCAGCCTGAGTATCGCGGCCATCGAGGAAGACCTCGCCCACCGCCTTTGGACCTTGAGCTTGTGCGACAACGCGAAGTCGAACCCCCTCTCCCAACTAGTTCAACATCATCGTCGATTGGAACGGGACTCCCATCCCCCTTTATTGTTTCCAATGCGCGACGACTGATGCCGGCATCGCCAGGCCTTCCTCCTACATATTCCACCATAGATCTCGTCCCAGCCTCACCCAGTTCATCGACGACCAGTTCCCAGCGAGGACGTAGCCCGACTCGCGGCGCTTGGTCGTCCGATACTCCGCAGAAGGCACGAACAGGTACCCTCACCAGAGCTCTCGAGAAGATGGAGCAGAAATGGGACTCGGGCCTACAGAAGGCCGGCTTTAGGCCTAAGCCAAGCTTTAAGGTGAACAGTGTTATGAAGACTCACACTAAGGATGTGGCTTTCAAAGAGTTCCCTTCAATGGGCCCGACGCAATCCCCTGCCGCGCCGGGCGTTTCTCCGACGTCATCGTTGAGCAGTTTTTTCACCAACTCGACTGGCCTACCTACCGCCTTCCGTGACGGACGTAGCGCATTTTTCGACGACGGTAGAGAGGGTAGCTCTAGTCTTGAGGATCGAGTTGCGCGCCACAACGTCCGCGAACAGCAGAACATCGCTCCGGAGTTTAAGCTTCCACAGGTCCGAGGTAACCACCCTGCTAGAACCAGTTCAGTTCCCCAGGCCCCTTCGGCTCCTCTCGAAGAACGCCTTTTCGGAGCGGGAAGAGGAAGAGCTCGAAGTTCTGGTCCTGCTTACCGAACGCGAGACGATGATCGTCGACTTCTTCCGAGTCAGAGTCGCAGACGCGCAAGACACTCGCAGGATGCGGTTTGTCCCCAGGATGTTGCGCCTGAAGCTTCGTCGGCGACGGTGGCAGAGCAATCACAGGCTCGACCTCAGAACCGTTCGCTTAAGCACAAGAAGAGTAGCGAGAAGCTTCGTAAGGATAAGATTGATTAAGGTTTACGGGAATGGTATACGAGATATGAATTATTGAGAAGACGAGCAGGAGTTGTGGGGATGAACAGGATTGATGAGTGGGGGAGAGTTATGAATAGGAATGGAACTCGACGAGGACGAGTTCACGGATGGATTTGTGATACGATACTGCAACGTTGAGATTTCGAAATCTCGAATCATCGCGGCGATATCGCGATACTGCAGTTCTCCAGTTGCTTGTTTTATAGAGAGCTACTCGTCACTTGCGCGATTTTTCTTTTTTTCGTTACTGATTTTGCCAACATTACGACAATATGGCATTTCGGTACTATTCCGAAGATTGCGACTATATCGGCTTTCTCCGTCAGGTCTCAACACCGCTTCGAAGACTGCGAGTCGCCTACGCTATAACAACTTTCTATTTCAAGTTGCGAACAGCATTTCGAATGCTGCAAATTGTCTAAGTTGTATCAACTTTCAATCCGCGCAAAACGATATTTCGGAAAGTCCCGGCCGCCTACGATATGACGGCCTTTATTTCCCGAATCACAAACACTGCACTAACACGACTGCTGCTTCTCCACGGAGCATTGCCAAGTCGTCTGCTTTTCTGTTTTTCTGTTTTAGTTGCGTTAGTTTACATAGACCGAGTACTTTACGTGCTCAAATCCCTCGCGACTTCGTCGCCATGATCGAACGATCGGGATCAATACACTGCATAATGTTTTATGTCTTAATGCTATTTGTGATATATATGTGCTTCTATAATATGTACATTGAGAAGACTTCACTACTTAGTTGTGGAATTTCTGTTAGTGTAACGCTACTTTTCTACAGGGAAACGCAGCCATCGGCGCTGTCCTCGAGGAAAATGCCGCCGTAGATTTGCCCCTCGTTAATACCCGTCTCTTGGAAACCCGAGTTCACGACGTCGGAGGTGCCTGTCGGCTTCTTTAGGAGACCGATTTGGTACTGGCCACCACCGCTGTTGTCGTTCTGGAGAGCGTCGGTTACGGCCTTCAGGGGTTCGTCGTCTTTGGAGTAGTAGACTTGGAGGGTGCTGTGAAGTACCATGTCAGTGTATTCATATATAAGGGCAAAGATCAGATTTCATACTTCTTGTTGAAGTCAAGAGTGATGGCAAAGTTTTGCCACGCGGTCGCATCAACGGGAGTAGACCACACTTGAGTGTTCTGGCGGTTGAGAACCTTGAACGAGTTCTTGTCGCTGTCGGACTTGCCGATGATGGTGCCGGTCTGGAAGTTGAACTGGTTGGCGCTGTAGTCGGAGGACTCGTGCCAGACATTCTATTTTCTAGTTAGCTTGTTTATTCTTCCTTTCCGATGAGTTTGTTCATACCAAATACTCGTGTGTGAGGTTGAGGGTTCGCTTAGCATCCTGCTTAACACTGAAGTGTAGGGTCCTGACACCCGTTGTTCCCGGACCATTTTCGTTGGTGTCGCCCTGAATTTGTAGACCTGCACGGCGGAAACCGTTCTGCTTCTGGAAGATCGACTTGTCGTTGATGGTGACCTCAACCGACTTGGTGCTAGCATTGTCAAAACGCGAGCTTCCGGCGTCGGGGAATTGGAGGATCGTGGAGAACTTCTCGTCGCCGCGGATGTAGTCCGGGTTGAAGGGGCTCGTCGCGTACGAGTCAAAGTCCGTCGGCGTCTTGTCTGCTGGAACGAACCCGCTGAGTACTACAGGGCACTTGACCTCCCCGGTGCCACGCTTCGCCGGACGAGCGGAAGCGGAAGAGGCGAGGAGAAGGCCGGTCAGAAGAATTGAGGATATCATCTTCGTCTTGGGATCTGCAGAACTTGTCCAGACTAGGTGGTTTCAACGCACAATCAAAGAGGTGGGAACTCATGGTTCTTATATATGTGAAATCATATTTAGCATTAGCCCCTGTCGATAGAATGTAACCCGACGGTCCGGGAGATTTAATGCTAGCGCCCAAACGTGGAAAGTAGCCGCGGTGGGTTGGGAAGATCTACCCCAGAATGGAGAATGATGTTCCGAGCAATCTATGACAAACGGGGAATTTATGGAGGAACAATGTGGAGGAGCCAGTGACGCCATTCGGAAAGATCCAGAGATCTTGCCGAACAATAATACCTATCCTAATTTGGTAGACGTTCATTACCCCTGGCTAAAATGCTCCCCTGTAATTGGCGCAGCATATAGATTATGTATCGCCATCACGCCAACGGTGATGTTCCCTACGAAATAGCTTACGTGCCCGCGCGGTTATTGTTAGCTTTAGACGATGTTTTCATTGGTATGGTAGGCGGACGTCGCCTACAGCATCTATAAACGCCGACGGTGACGAGCCGCCTCCCTAATCGCTCATCTCCCTCTACTCCACCGTCCGCCGCAAAACAATCATCCTCCGGATTGCGATTTCGCACGTGCTAACGCACAGAAACATCCTCCAACTTGCCCCTCTTGAGCCGCCTTGCTGAACCCTCAAAATACTCCATTCGCCTAGCGACCAAGTCCCGGTGTGGTAATCTTGAGCTCTCCAAAAGAAAAATCCCCTCCCGGTGGTGGGTTTGGGTAATGGTGTGTCGCCCTGACTGGGTGGTTCCTGTTCGCTTGTAACTCCGCGATCTGGTTAAAAATCCAAGCCTCGTGGAGCTGGTTCGGGTATATTGTAAAGAGATGAATGTGCTCTACTAAATTTGGCAGCGCATCTTTAAGGTCCAGAAGGTTATCTTCTTCACCGGCTTCCATGGAAGGAGGAAACGTTTTCTGCGCTTGCAGAAGGTACTTAGGCATGCGCATACCAAGTAGGTCTTCTAGAGCAATATAGATGTGTCTCAAATTAATCAGCATTCGGAGGGAGCCCAGGAAATCATCGCGGTGTTGTGCATATCGTTTATGATAATCCCATCGAGTCCCCGGATCTATTATGAGCCACTGAAGATGGCGGAGCCCACCATGCATCACAACATCGCCCAGTCCATTCAACATTTCAAATCCCCGCCTTTTTTTTTCCCCACAAGGATAGTTTGATTCTCAAGTAAACCAGCTTGGGGAGTCGTATCAGTAGGCTGATTGGTTCCCGTCGGCTTTGGAATGTTGTAGAATGGAGGGCCAAATACTCAATTTTCGAGGTTTGGGGCAGGGTGTTGATGAGTGCTTTATCCCAAACGCAGTCAGTCAGGTGAATACTTGTGAGACTAGGAAGCCTAAAGCAGTTCGACACGAGGGAAGGGTTGAGCAGGGGCTGCTGTTGTTGTCCGGTTTTCGCGAACATCACTACCTTAAGCCTCGAGAAATGGTCCTCGGGTAGTTGCTGTATACCAACACACTGTTTCGAGTTAGGCGGCCCGTGGTACGGCGCTGACCCGAATTTCCGCGTAGCTAGCTGGAAAACCCTCGCTATCAATGAGGTCGTTGCTGGTAGGTCTAACCATAACATTTCTAGCTTCGGTACCAAGCTGAGGATCAATGCGACCTCTTCGTCGATTAAGACTCCATGGAAGATGTCCAGCAAGCCTAGGAGATCTGATCTTGAGTTGCGTTGTAGCACGGCTTTTACCTCTCCGATCGCGTCTGCTACTGCTATTGCTCTTCGCAAATAGCCCGACGAGGGCACAAATTGGTCCTCGTGGTAGGTCAACTGGAGAACTCGAACATGGCCGCAAAGCTCCGGCTGTTCGCACAGCGTCGTGAGAAGGCGAAAAAATCGGAGAGAACTTTGTACGATTAGTTTCTCGTATAAAATAGGTTGGGCGATACGATGAAACTTTTTTGAGGCTTGGGTGACCGCCGAAAGGGTTTTGAGTGACACCTGCTCGTCCGCCGGGCGATCTATAAATCCTAACCCAGCTGTTGGTCGTAGGAACTTGAAGATGTTTTCCCAAATTTCTTCTGGGAGATATTGACTATCCATGGTAGCGGATTGTATCGCTTTGAGTACCGGGGAATGGAGTCAGGGATGGTCGGGGGCGTGTCTGGAGGCAGAATCGGCTGATCCTGTTCGGAGTGATGGTAGGAACGGCGTACTATCAACTGGTTTTGCGGTGTTCGTTATACCTGTTCATCGTCAGTTCTATCGTTCATTTATTTTAGGAAGCTAGTATGTTCACCCCTTACCGGCAATCCTGGTCCGTCAAAGACGTCCTTTCCTGAATGGGGAGATCTTTAGATCAACTGGTTCACCCAGTTGTGTCTTTATTAATCGGCCCGCGAGTCGTGACAAGCCTTTGAGAATGTGGAAAAGAGGCTGTTTGAGGGTCAAGTATCGTAAAATCGAAGCTTCGGAGTATCGAGTAAAGAAATGGGGTGTTGAGGTAAATGTCAAAGGAAAGAATTAAATCAGTTTTGTAATGAGATATAAGTAGGAAATCACTACTAGCAATGCACAGGCCACTATGAAAGGTTGATTTAACGTATTTCACAGTTCAAATTGTTTGTAATTCACGAATCTAGTAGTTTCTCACTATTGTGAGTGGGGCGAGTATAGTGTGTGGCTACGGACGAGTTGTATTCAACTTTCTTACGGTGTAAATGTTAAGAGCGACCTAAGTATCTATAAAAACACCAAGTGCACAGTATACCCCGAAGGTCAATTGTACGAATCGGATGGGGTGGTTCCCATAATCTAATCCTATTCAACTGCAAACACAAATCGTAGGGATAAGGTTATATATAGTGAGTGTTATTATTACCATGCACTTCCCTATGCTGTCGCACTGGCTAATTCGTTACCTAGGTATTTATAGGCGAGATGCACCGTTGTTATAGAAAATTGTACTGTTTACCAGGCTTGCTTGTTTTGTATTGTAAATAGCTCTAGTTTGTATCACGTACACATTCCTCCCAGTTAAGGCAAACAGAAGTAGGATTATACATACCCTCAACGCTATCGCATAGGCGTTCACCACGTAATATCGAAAATCTAACCACGGAGAGTATGGTTTTTTTTTTAGCAAATATTCTGATCTTCCAACATTGCTTCTATGCCCCCCATTGATTTTCTAGGGGATGATATAAGAAATCACAGTGGACAGTTTAGGGTTATTAGTATGAGAAGTTTCATGTCCGAATTAGAGGTATGGTGTCATGACACCAACCATATAAGGGGGTTAATAACTCTGTTGTTGCGCGAGGAGATCGCAAGTAACTGCTACGGAAGCTATCGTATATATACAAGAATGACTTCTTTGTCCTAAGGACTCCCTTGCCTCCACATCGGCGACAAGGAGTTCCTCCGATACTTCCCAGGATGTATCCCTTCGTATGGCTTTAACTACTGACATACGGAATATAAAAACGAGGATATTTCGGTAAATAACAACCTTCGTCGTTGACTAGATCTGAACAATCCTCAAATCCTAACGGCCCCATGATACCAGTAACATAGCCAACTCCTACAAGAAGGAATTATTACCACAATTAGTTATTGAGCTGTGGCGGAATATGCGTATCAGGGTCGATCTTCTCAATTACGGCAGCGGTGCCATAAGCACTGCATTGTGAGAAGTTACCCATGTCGCCTGTCTCAAAGCGGAGGCAGATGATGGCATTACCGCCGCGTGCCTTAGTTTCGGAAACAACTCGAGTAATAGCATCGTTTCTTGCTGAGTAAAGCTGAAAACTGTTAATAAAAGGAATGGCCACGGATAAGTGAGGCTACGCTTACCATGCTTGTGAACCAGCGTAGCTCCCCGCCCGCAATACTCTTAATCACCATACCCATGCTTGCAGCCCAGTTGCGTGAACGAACTGTTAGGCCGTAGACTGTGCCAAGTACTTTGACTACTCGGTACCCCGGAATGTCAAACATAGTCGTCGTGACGACGCCTTCGGTCTCGGTGAAGCAATGTAGATCTGACAATTGCGGTGGGATGTCGGCTGGGGCGTTGGAGCGAGGCGATGTTGAAGCCATCTTTGCTGAATAATTTTAATTGGAGCGTGAACGAAAGATAGGTCGAACTGTTAAGGATACGCTGTCTGGGCTGGAATGCTTGAGCCCTCTATTAATATTCTCTTACTAATCAGCGTTACACAACGTAAATAGAGAAACGGAGGAGGATATCGTTCGTGGTTACTCTTAATTGATGACTTAGAAAAGAACTTAATCAATGAGTTTTTTGAAATACTTGAATCATTTCTGTCCTTTATACTTATAAATTATCACGTACTATTCAGCCGGGCGTTCTTTTCAATATTGAGTGAAGTCATACGCGGAAAGCCTAATGGTTAGCTAGCATCTGATTGGCCAATTTGACCCTTGGCTTGCCTAAAACGGCCATCGTATAAATCGTATTTCACTATTATGGGGCCAAATGGACCGCCAATTCTGCTCCGCCATATTTCTAGATCATGCCACTAGGTGTAGCATATTGCGCAGCAGAAATGGGGCTTAGAGAGAAGAAAATACAATTTCCAATTGGTTATGTCTTGGTTCGCCCCTGAGCAACTACTCTGCGTGCCTAGGTATCTGGGTACATAGGTGGACCAGCTGTTGCGGTTGGAACTTGGGTACCCACATGATTTACCATCATCAGAAATATCAGATATATCTTCCATGAATGGACCTGTGGAGGGGAAGTTGGCGGCGGCGGCGTAATATGCGGCTTGTGATATTTTCGGATAGTTCCGATAAGAGGTGAATTGTACAGCTTGATTACTAAGGTCCTGCCTTTTGTGTGAAGTATTAAAGAGTCTGCCTCCTTGTTTTTGCGTTTAAAATGAGCTTCTCTGTCGAAAATACAGAATTAATAGGGTACACATATTCATCTCTATAAATTCTCGTAATTCATGTACCTACCTAGGTATTTAACGACGGCTGAAATATGAAATAGTGTAAGGAGAACAAAGGGTAGCGGATAGTTATCCGATTGAGATTATGTAAGCAGCGGATAGATCCGAAATTAGAATAAAACCGGAGACCTTCCGAATTCTCGATTCTTTCCTTCCTTCCATTACTCTCCTCACTCGGACCCATTCCGAGCGGTAAAGAACTCCGAAGCCAATTAAATCGGCCCAACCTCCGAAAGATAAATACGACTGCCGTAATCCGCTAGATATATCAAAGGAACCCGGGCTTCTTCAAACATGTCGGATAGCACACAATATTATCGCGTTTATAAACTTAAGTCGAAGGTCTCTGTTCCGGACCCTGACATCGTCGGAGAAAGATTCCATCATAGCATCTTTGTTGAATCAAATGCAGACGGGTCCGGAATGAAGTTCCATGTTACAGGTGACATTACGGCAGGCATGAAGTATGAAATTCAAGAGCGCTTCAATCCCGACGGTGCCGATATGGAGCATACGAAAGAACCGCTTGGTTTTACCGATCGGGGAACATTTCCGAAACAATGGGATGAGATTCTTAGTCAGCAAGCACCCCCTCCGAAGCAAAAAGCCTTCAACATCAAAACACTGAAGACAGAACCTGTTAAAACGTGGGAGCCTCTTACATTCTATGCACCCGGGGAGCAACGTGAGCCCTTGTGGAAATGCACTGAATGGACGGAATACCAAGCCTTACCGGCTCTGTACGACGCAGGCCTCATCGTACAACTGTCGGCCCACACATCCGGATCATGACAGAAGAGCATCGGAAAAAAGGTTCGCTATTTCTTTCATACATGAGAGATATGAATACTTCTACATTTGGATTGGGCAATGGATCGTTTCTAAGTAACAATCTAAAGACATGGCGAAACCAACAGAAAATCCATACGCCAATCAAGCTTTCTGCTCATTCCGCTCAATCTCCAAGAAAAATCTCGCAGTATCCAATATCGTTTCCTCGAACGGTCGGAACTCTATTCCCAACAAGTTCTTGACCTTAGAATTATCAACGTTGTATGCACCTGGAGGCAGGGAGCTAGTGCCGGGTTTACCAAGTGGCACGCGCTCACTGAGCTCCGGGAAATGCGACCTGAGGATGTCGGAAATCTTCTGGAAATCAAACTGTCGGGTGGATATTGCGAAACGTTCATTTCCGGCTTCTGGAATGTTTAGAGCTTGTACCTGGGCGGTAGCTAAGTCCTATTGGGATGTTAGATGGGCTAAGAATAAGGGGATCAGAAAATACTTACTCGGACATCGATGTAGGTATGCACGGGCATGTATGCGACCGGGCTATCTTTGGTCGCGCCAAAAGTAAACTTCCACAATCGGCTATTCGATTCGTTCAACTCCTTGATGCTTGAGATAGAATGTCTCGAGGGACCAAATATCGCAGGGGGGCAGAGAACTACAAGATCAAAATGCGGCTTTTCCTTCTTTATAAAGTCCCAAGCTGTTTAATGTTAGCAAATTTATGGTCTGATGGGAAAGGGCGCGCATTACCTTCTAGTTCGGCGAATTTCTTGCTTCCTCTGTACGCTTTGGACTGATCGCCTTCTAAGGCTTCTTCCCATGTGACCGGGTTCCAGTCTTTCTCCGTGAAGAATTTGGGCGGGTCTGAAGTTAGATTTTCATAGTCGACCACGCTGGCGGAGCTGCCGATTAGAACGACCCGCTTCACATTAGGAGCGTTCTCCTTGACGGATTTGAGAAGGTTTAACGTCCCCTTAATGGCCGGCTCTAGGAATTGGAGATTGCTTCCTTCGATACCGTATGTGAATGGGGATGCGACATGAATTACTCCGTCAAAAGGGGGTTGGCTCTTCAGAGCGGAATCGTAGGTGTCTGGTGTGACGATGTCCGGAACGATAGCGATATCAATTCGAGACTTCTGCTCGGTGAAGTCCGCGAGGATCTTGTCGCCCTTGGCTTGCGTTCTGACAGCACAACAAACGCTATATCCTTTTTCAAGGAGTTGAGCGAGGGTGTGAGATCCCACGAAGCCATTGCCTCCGGTAAGAAAGATGCGACGAGACATTTTGTTTAAAAGTGAGATTGTGTGGATTGGTATATGCTTGGCTGAAGATAGCAGACGAAGATGACGAGCGAAGGTAGTTTATATAATAGATACACACTCAGCCTTGAACATCGATCGCGTATATCGCGTCCTCATCGCACATACATCGCGGATTCAATTAGCAAAGCTCCGGGAGTTGGCCGGTATTAAATTGATAAAATCCGCGCCGCACGCTATATTGACTATCCCGGCCCCACTACGGATTACTGCCCCTCGCGATAATGTAACAGGTCTACCTCAACAGGATTGTCTAGCCAGATCAAATATCTCCTAACGCCTACTTCGCCATCGGACCCATGAATCAGTAACTTGGAGGGCCAGGAGGGCCTACTACACACCGCTCGTTTGATTGGGTCGTGTGCTTTTTCTCGACCAACATTCTGATAATGTGGAGATTCTCTGTCGGTTCAGCTCTGCTATCGCCACTGTCCACTTGTTGTAGATCATATCTGGGTTGGGTAGGATTGAATGTAAGCTTCCGACCGTACTAGAATCCCTCAAGATCTATGTGGTAAACCCGGAATCCCATGGTGCCGCGAGTTTAACCACTGCCGGGTTACTGAGCACGGGGAAAGGAGGCTCTTGGTGTACTAACTGGTCCGCATATCATCGCCACCATAAGTCCGACATTCCACGGTTGCACTTGTGCTGACAAAAAAAAACGCAAAAATATGAAATAATTGTTTTCCAATTGAAGTTAGGTGTGCGGTTCTGTATGTACTTTTTGAGGTTGGGGTTGTGAGTGGGTTTCGAGCAAACGGCGTCCGCTCAACTGAACAATCGCAACTATTGAGCGACTTTCGGACTGCCATGCATTTCAGCAATAGTGTTCTCGCTTTCCTTTACGCCATTCTCCCACTTGGGGTGCCTTGAATCGTACCATCCCCGTATACCACCTGGCCCGTATAGGGAGATACACTTCGCCAGTTCAATTCCATCCGTAATAGCTCGAGCGGCCCCCTCTCCTCCGAGGATAGGTTCCGCGTGAACGGAGTCACCCATAAAAAACACGCCTTTTTCTGCAAACGCGCAAAGCTCCTGATGGCTTACCAGCACGGTACGCATGAGCCAATGCAGGACCCGTTCCATTCTTAACTTCTCGACGTCGAATATCTCCATGAAGGGTTGCTCCAACCCCTGGAGGGCTGCGATCTCTTCAAAAAACTCCTCTGAGATATCTGTCGCACCTGAAACAGGGCGATTGGGCTTATGGAGAGGATCGGTGGTCCCTCGAGCCGGGCGCGAAAATGTCCAACCGATATTCACAATGCTTCCTTGTTGTTCATTGACGGATACGTGGAGGACTACATCTCCCTGTCTCATTTCGATAATATTTGAGTCTCCCATCGCCGGGGCGTATACATTGTCGAAGACCGCGCGCTCCACACGGCGCTTACCATTGAATGCGACATAAGGAAGGACGTTGAGGGGTGTATCGGGGGAGAGGTATTTGCGAGTGTTAGAGTGCGGACCATCGACGCCTATTATACATTCACTCTCTAGTCTCTGGTTATTTTGCAGACAAAGTAACATCCCTGACGGAGTTTCTTCCACTTTTTCGAGGGCATTCTCCCATTGAACATCGAGGCCTTGGCGAAGTAATCCCTCGAGTTTCTCCCGATGCGCTCGAAAAGACGTCGAATCTACTGTTCCGGGACAAACGAGCAGATTGGGGTCTATCTTCCCGCTACCGCCGACAGGTCCGTCCACGGCTACGCGACGCCTAAACGACAATTCGTCTAAACCGAGTATGTTGAGAAGTGGGCGGTAAGAGGACGCGTGTAACGTGATACCGTAGTTATGGCGCGTAGTTGCGACCGCAGGTGCTTTTTCGTAGAGCACGGCAGGGATGCCGTACCTCAGCAGGCAGCGGCCGAGTGTCAGGCCTCCAATTCCCGCCCCGATGATATGTACCAATTGCTGTGTCATTGAAGTAATAAAGCCACGAGTTACGTGGGAAAAGGTGATATGGGCAATAATGCAAGGTTATGGACACCTCTGTCCATGTTGTTGGCGCAATCGGCGGGAAGAAGCAAAATGAGAGTCGAGATCGAGATCGAGGTTTGAGTCCCGTCCCGCTTGTGCAGGTGCTTATCTAACACGTGAACCATGTTTTACTCTAGATACTCCCTTACTCCCTAGCGTTCCTACTGCGATGGTAGACTTGGAATTGGCTGGTGTGGAAGGATCCGAAAATCCGAGAAGGAAGCGGAAGCCTCCCGGGAAGCTTCAAACGAGCGGGCCTAATCTATATATATATCGATTTTTTTTTTTTTTTTGGCGACGGATCCAACCGATGCATGTGGGCGCTGATTTTTGCGACCGGATCTGTACCGATGTGGTAATGTTTAATATTTCGGAAAAGCTCCGAAAAGAAGAAGGGTAATCTGGATTTCGGAGTGTTAACCGACGGAACGCATCCGGTTGTGTAACTCATCTGACTGTCCGTCGGATGTACTCCGATACCTTCGGAGCTATGCGCCTACAATTATGGCTACGAAATAGTATCGCATCGGGCGTCGCGGGTTTCCAATTATTCGGAATCACCTTGCGGGAGTGCACATACGCTTACCCTAGCACTTTAGCACCTTCGGCGGCTCCTGTCATATAGGCAAGACCACCTTCGGCATCTACCCGAAATTCGTGTAACACGAGCCTCTCAAGCGAGTAAAACAACAAGTTGAAATTTGAATAAAATGGTATATATCACATTGCCTGCCAACTGCATAAGCAAGATACTCTACATATTGGAAATGAACAATGCCACCGGTACGCCATGCCATGCCATCTAATGTACGTTTAACCCGCTAAACTCGACAGAGGTAGCCTATGTCCATGGCTCACCGTGATGCCCGATTTCCTCACTAGCTCCATATCCCGCTTCGCTTTATTAGGCGTGGGTCTTGCGTCTGTGACCTTCAACCATTCCCCATTAAAGGCATTGATGAGCCAGTTATTCAATTCTATTCGTGTGTTAACACATTGGTCTCGTAGCGTCTTATAGGAAAGGGTTAGAAGAGTAGGAAGCTTACTATCATATACAATGCGATTCGCATTATGGAAGTAAATCCCATGATTACTGTCGGGGAACATATGCAAATCGTAATTCTCAATGCTAGCCATATCCAACTTATCGAGCAATGTTAGGGTATTTTGCATATGCACATTATCATCCGCGACACCATGCATGATCAAGAAGCGCACATTCTGGCCGAGCGCCGTCGCGTTCGTCACCGCGCTGCTGTCATACCCTTCCCCGTTGGATTGCGGTGTTAACATATACCGCTCGGTATAAATGCTGTCGTAGAATCGCCAATCAGTGACGGGAGCCACTGCCATACCGTATTTGAAGGTTTCACCGGCGTCTTGCTCCAGTGTCTTGAGCGTCTGGAATCCTCCGTACGACCATCCCCAAATTGCGATTCGAGATTCGTCTACGTATGGCTTCGCCGCCCAAATCTTGGCCGCTGCAATTTGGTCATGTGCTTCCGCGACTCCTAAGTTTTTACGCACAACCACACGCGCCTTCCGCCCGATAAACCCGGTGCCCCGCCCGTCGACCGTGACTACAATGTAGTTTAGGTTACCGGCGACGTATGATTGGAAATCAACACCGAACGTCTTATCCACAGATTGCGAACCAGGCCCGGAGTACTGCTGGAATAGTACGGGATATTGCTTCTTGGGATCGAAGTGTGGTGGGCGGCGCTCAACAAAGTTGAGATCAACGCCATCAACGGTGATAATACCGTATTCTAGAAGTGGCAGTTCGTGCTTCTTAGCCTTGTCTGTCAGATCCTTGTTTTCCTCAATGACGTGCTCGTATTTCTCGGTGTTGCTCGGTGTGCTGATGACCTTTTGCGTCGGCACATTCGGTCCCTTGTACGTGACAAGGGCGTATCCGGCCTTGCTAGAGAATGATACATCGTAGTAACCCTCTCTAGTCGCATCCGTCAAAGCTTTCGTCTCCGACCCGTCGAACTTGACGCTATATACATGTCGTTGGGTCGATGCTATCGTCGTAGCGACGTAATATGCGAGATTATTCTTTAAGTCAACCGCAGAAGGCGCTGCGACAACTTCCCAATTACCCGAAGTCAACATGACAGGCTTGTCAGTATCCAAGGGGCTGAAGTAGGCCATGTGATCTCTATCTTCGTAAATGATAGTATCAATGTAGCCGTCCTGAGGTCTGCCGTTGGCGGGGTCGGCCGGGATGTAAGTAGTATCATGCGAAATCTCGAACCAGCCGCCGTCGAGTTTTCCAACGTCAACTGTCCTGACCGTCTTGCCTGCTCGAGCCGTGACATCGATAAGAATCACCCGCATAATATCACTAACACGATTCGTCTCCTTAACCAGAACCTGATTCCCGGCCCAGGTAACATCGGTGATTAAAAGGTCCTCGGGAGGAAAGCTTCCTTCAATCTCAACTGAAAACGTATCGCCTCGCGCCATATCGTAGAACAGAAGATCTACGAATGGGTTTGGCGAGCCCGCCTTAGGGTATTTGAGCTGCTGTACTTCGGGGTAGCTATCCTCGCCAGGAGGAGGCTTGTCGCCACTCGGTCTGTCAATGAAAAATTGGATCGGATACTCTGGCACCAGGGTCTCGTTCGTTCTCAAGAAAGCGACAAAGTCTCCGTTCCCAGACCACCACGTCGCACTATTATCACCAAACACCTCCTCTTCATATACCCAATCCGGAATACCATAGAAGTACTCTGGGCCGCCGTCTTTCGTGACCTGAACGACACTATCACTTCCCAACCGTCGCACGTACAAATTATTGGCACTCGTATAAACAACCGCATCGCTCTTAGGGCTCCATTGCGCAAGTTGGACTCGGAGATTAGGATTTTTCGGGTTTAGAGGTTCGGCAGTCTGTGTTTCCACGTCAAATATCCAGTATATCCCCGTGAAAGAATATCTCCAAATATTCTTGGTATCGGTAGCAATCAACACCTTCTTGAGATTAGGACTCGGCCACACTTGATCGGGTATCAACTGTCGCCCGCCAACATTGAACCATGGTTGCTTGATAAGCGTCTGCGCTGAAGCGATCTTCCCTCCAGCCGCAGCATGGTCCGCATTCTTGCTCCGAACATCCTCTACTATTAAATAATCCTTGCCAGTGGCAGCTCTTTCTAGTAACAACCCATCTTCTCCATTCGCACCCTCGATCCAACTAATTTCATGACTTTGGGGTCTCCAGTACCCCTGCATAACCTGATCTAATGTAACCCTCTTACCGGAACCACGGGACGCCGTAGCAGCAGGATCGTGTTCTTTTTGTGAAGAATGTTGATACGATTTTGTCGATAAATAAGTAAACAGCCCGACAAGCCAAGCAGCAAGAAAAACACCAGCCAGCACTAAGATAAACCTCTTCAGCGATTTATCAGGACCGACAGCCTTCCGCTGCGCACTCGAACCGACGAGGTTCTCTTCTTCGTCATCGGAGGCATTATGTAAAGGGTCTTCGTTTTCTAGGTCGGAAAGGTCGCCGTTTAGCTTTTCGCGTTCACCGAGTCGTTCGAATACTAAACTCGTCGTGGAGACGGAGGAAAGGGAGTCGCGTGACGGTCTCGGGGACGCTGGAATCGAAATCGGATTAGCGAAACCTGGCTACTTACTCTCTGATTCCTTCTGTTTTAATTAAGAAATTGTATCGCATACCCATTATTGCGTATTCTTTTTTTAATCAATTATAGGGGCCATCCGTTGTTAGTTTGGCCGGTCGATGTCGCCTTACTGACCGAAGTTGGTTGATTTAAATATGTTTCTAGGAGAATGAAGTTTGTCAGAAGTGTCCAAATACCTATCGGAAATGTGGCGTCAGCTTCATAAACCACGACGCGTCGGTTTAGATGTGGCTTGTACACTTATGTAATAGTTGTGCATACACTAGCCACATTGTTAGCCACCCCCTTTACTCCTGTATATTCACCATCTTCATCTTCGTATTTGCAAAAGTCAATTTACTAGTTAAGTTGAAGACATATGTTTGACTATAGCCGTCATCCGTAGTTGAGTTTTGCAGAACCCTATTTTCCCTAGCATTTCGGGATACCAACCACACTATCTCAATCTTCCCCTTACTTTGTGCCTCCTTGATCCTATTTCGTGTTCGCCTTATTCAATTCTTTCCTCATTCTGCCTTTCTCCCTATGGCATCATTGTTTCCGCGGCCAATCAAGCTCCGAGCTCCATAACTTCGTCCTGCCTCATTCGTAGAGCATCCGAAACATCTTTATCTCCCCATTCCACCGCCACATGGTACTAATCGGGGTGTCGGGACTGGAATTGCAACACATTATGTTCAATTAGTACCATGGCGCCAACGTGGTTCTTGAGGTAGAGAGCCCTGGTAAATATGCCTTCCAACCACTCTAAAGGTCCACCACGATCCAGAAAATTCTGAATAAATTGGCGAAACTGCACGGCGTGGGGATCAAACGGGGCGATATGCTCAGGACGTATTCCCACCATCCGAAACATGCAATCCCAGATATGACGGGGCTTTTTCAACGAAATGTCGTACTTCATGAGGAGTTTTATCGCACACCAAGCTGCAAACCCGAAGTATTTCCAGAGACATTCATCGAGGTATTCCGGGTCCACTACCTCTGGCTTTGCTCTGTCCAAGAGCCACTCCAATAGATCTGGTTTTTTGTTATAGTGTACGATCGCCCAATCCAACAGGGAGCCCTCAGTCAAGCACCGGTAATCCATCCTAGCGCCGCCCCCGAATAACGTTTCCAGAACCTCTAGCCAATGCTCTTTGCTTTCAAAGTCGTCACGCGATACCCAGGCTCTCAAGATATGCTCCCTAGAACGGGACGAATCATTTACGTCAGCTCCCATTTCCAAGACATGCTTCACCATTCTCGGTGACCCCGAAATGACAGCCATTCCGAGGGGACTGCATCCGTTTCGAACGACTTCGTTGATACCACCGCCGGCGTCTATGAGACGATCAAGCACGGCGCATTGCTTTGTAAAGGTCTCATCGCAATCATCCCAGTTGGACCAAACACAGGCATCGATGGGATCTTCTAATACTTGGGATATCGGTGCTGTGACATGATCGAGCGCGCCAGCATCGATCAAGGCATGCGCGTGGTCGTATACTTCCTGTTCTAGTGCTAGTGTCACCAAGCACCCCGTGCTGCCTTGGTTTCCAGTGACGTCTGCTCCAAAGGCAATCAACAGGTCGAGCATAGCGTGGTCATCATCGTCGGGCCCCGCCATCAAATAGGTAATGGGGCCGTCGCCATGCTCCTCACGATCGTTGATCATCACGTATTTCTCGCGTAGAAGAATATCTGCTAGTCGAAGCATATTCATTCGAGCTGCCGCGTGAAGAGCGGTAGTCGCGCGTTTTTCGACGAAATAAGGGTTAGCGCCGCGCAGGAGTAACATGACAGCGATATCCTCGTGTCCACCGTTAATCGCATAGGATAGGGCTGATTTCGAAGTCACGGCCGCGGGTTTTCCGAAGTGGTCAGACATGACTACCGTGTCAATCTGCGCGCCGTGGTCTAATAACCAAATGGCCATATTGTCACGACCAAAGGAGCAGGCCTTGCGGAGAGGGGCACTGGAGTCATGGTGGATGTCTACGTCGAGTTCCAAGGCAATCTCCAAGATGTCGATTCTCGAATAGGTAATTGCGAAGGTGGTGGCGTATGGGTTTACGTATCTTTTATAGAGAACAGACTGAACTGTATTAGATATGATCTTCTTTTGGGCGCGGGCAAAAGACGCGAGATCGGTGGGGCCTAAAATATCGCATTCGGCAATCAGCTGGATGATCTCGGTGGATAGGTCTGTGATTTTCGCCATTATGATGGATTGTAAAAATATTATCGGCGTAAGAATAGACTAAGGTTGTAAATTTCGCACGCCGAATTGTGTGTGTGAAGTGTGCTAGAAATGTTGCTCAAGTGGAAGGAAATTTAGAAAGGACGGCGTTCATGTAAAAATTAAAAAGAAAAGGAGCGTGGGTTAATGGTAACAGCGGGTGGAAAGAATAACGCGGCGTGGTTAATCGTGTTATTTGAGTCGCGACCCAGGAAACTACACCCTTCGACGTTCTTTCCTAAAGTTAATTGACATTTATATACATCCGATGTATATACATATGTAGGTAGTTCGTTTCTTTTTTATTGGTTGAGGGTTCACACTGTTGTTATATACCCATACAAACGAACTTACCTACATACCCAAACAAGTGTAGAAGCAAACTCACGAACATACTAACAGATCTCTACGTGAAAACAATAGTACAAGCAGTCAGTGTAGACCACGTCGTCATTTAGGATAGTTGAATTACTCATACACGACTATTTGCACACTTGATAACGCTGACTCTATCCCTTATTATTTCCTTTCTATATATTGAACGTAGTTGGGTAGCCATTTTCTCGTTACCGTAATAGTAAGCTCGCGCCATAAAAGTTGAAGGAAATATTTTGAGATCCGAACATAGCACAGTTTACCTCCTAATCCACCCACCAAAAGTCCCAAATCTATAATGATACATGATATAAATTACAATAGACCATACCCCCTAAGAAGCACTTCGCTCTAGCAGCTCAGCTATCTCCGGTGCCAACCGTAATACAGCGGGCACCCATTTCTCTTCCTCTGTAAGCGCTCGCGGGCGATACTTAAGAATATCCTTGAGAATATCGATTCGACCAAGCCGGATCGCATGTTGGATGGGCTTCAGGGTTTGTTTCGTTCCTTGACCTTTACCTATCGTGGTAGCCAAATACGGGTCAGCGCCATATTCTATCAACAACAAGGAGGCAAGCCGATTCCTGACTCGTATGGCCCGTGTCAGAGGCAAACATCCTTTGGAATCGAAGCCATTTACATCTGGTGAACCCCTCAGTAGCTTGCGTATAATTCCAACGTTACCCCAAGATGCTGCTTTTTGAAGCCAGATATTTGGATCGTGACCCGGGCCCTTCCCAGTTATACCGCGATCCAAAATCATGTGCGCTACCCGCGGATCCCGGCAAACCAAGGCTTGTGTGAACAGCTTGTCCATTTCTTTGAATGGCAAACCAAGATCCAGTAGCATTGTCATTAATGGTTCAAAGTCTGCCGAATATGTGAGAGCGAGATAGTCTGTATCTACTTCGTTGGGCATTTCAGGGCATCTTGGCTGCCGCCGAATTTCTTTCATAGCCCAAGCAAGCACATCATCCGAGCCGTTTCGTAGTTTTGCTCCATATTTCAGGAGTAATTTACAACACCGAAAGGATTGGCGTTTAACAGAAGCTGCTAGTACTTCGTCGATGTGTTCCGGTGCCATATTCTTAATGGACGCCAAATGAAGTAGCGTAGTAAATTTTCGTGCTGGATAGTTGTGATCTTCATCATCGTCGTCGTCTTCAGAAAGATCATGCCACCACCACTCACTGCTCCTCCATTCCACCATTTGTGCATAATATTTGGCTGCATGTTCTAGAATACTCGGACTGTCCTCATTCTCGCCAAACCGCGAGTCAATGCGAGCGCCATTTTCTAGGAGTATTTCTATTTTTTTGAGGGCATCGATTTCGAAATCATTATCCCAATCGTCCTTTTCATCAAGCTCCCACGCCACGCGCACTGGAAGTCTTCCATCCCCTATGTCTCTGTTCACGTCGGCGCCTGCATTAATAAGCATCTCTACTGTACCGGGAGACCCCGAGAGGATGGCCTCCCCCAACGGCGTCCGTCTTTGGCCAACCATTCCGTTGACGTCTGCACCTAGATCAATGAACCTCTGCAGCAAAGTAGACCTGCGAGGGTCTACTCCACAGGATCCCATCATCTCATTCCCACCTGGCTTGTATCTCCATTCAACTTCCCGCCATGTACACAGATGGATCGGACCCACATCAGAAAGCGTAAGGTGGTCTAGTCTAGAGCCACCATCAATTAGGGCGAGCGCGTGATCTAGTTTACCCATGTAAAGAGCATCACAAAGAGGGCTGCAATCTCCCTGATTATGGTTCACATCGGCACCGAACCTTATTAACTCGCTAATTACTCGCGGATCTTCTTTGGCGCTTCTGGCGGCGTAGTTGAGGCATGTATCGCCCATCCCATCGATCGTGTTTATATCAACTCCCCTCTGCACCAGGAATTCTATCACGGAAACCAGGCCAAGGTCAGCAGCTATATGAAGAGCTGAGACGGGCTTCGGGGGCGCGGGAAAGGCTCGGTCTGTGTATCCCGTATGCTCGAGTACCCCCGTTGGTGAGGATGGGAAGTCGAGACATGCGCCTTTCTCGATAAGTAAGCAGGCTACCGAAGCCTGTCTGAGTATTAAAGCAGCTAATAGCGCCGAGTATGCCATGGGATGATGAAGGTCTGATTGAGATAAGAAATCCATTTCGATACCGTGGTCTACCAGCCAAGCGACCGTAGCCCTGTGTCCTTGGTCAATTGCAAGGATGATACTTGACATGGCTACAGTTACGAAATATTGAACGCCTAACACATCTTCGGGAATAAATCTCTGCACAGCTAAGTGGGATTCGTAATCGATAATCTCAGAAACGTCAGGGTTGAGGTCTAGCCCAAAGGTATGTGCTTTTTTGAGTGTTTCAATTCTCCCATGTTGAGCAGCCCACTGTGCGAACAATAGTTAATAATCACCGCTCCACTCATATCTTCAGATCAACGACTGTTCAACAGAGTTGAATAAGGGGGTTAGATAGACTAAAGATAGAAAGAAATCACCAATTTTACATACGAGGACAGCAGATGAATTCTCTTCATCTCTGTTCCGGCCATAGAGAATCGGGTTGGCCAGTAGATGTAACCGCCAGCTTGTGCGAGCTAGGGTTGCTAAATCGCGCGAGGATGGAAGGAAATCAATGATTATAAATAGAACTTCATTGGATAATGAATCAAAAACCGCCATTGTTCGGTGCGAACGGTGTCATGAAAAGTTCCAATAGTCCAAATTGTCTAATTGCACGTCTAGCGTTGCAGTGGAACAACTTTCGCGGTCGGAGACTTCACATTCCGATATGGCTTGATAGCGAACAATAGCGAATGATTATTGGGACGAGGTGTTGTTTGTTTATCATTGATCGCGAGTTGACTACCGCGGTGGATTTAAGAGATTTAAGGCTGCAAAGTGTTTACAGTGTTTACATGCTAAGGTTACAGGCCCCTGCTGTGTCACGTCGGACTTAATAAGCTACCTCATATATACCTAGGTACCTAAGTATGTTCGGTTCGGCGCACGGTAGAAGACTACCACTGCTGTAGGTAGGTACGTGACAATGTCAACACAACCACACGATACACTTCGAAAGCTAACGGAGAAAGCAAATTGGGTATTATTTAATTACATAACTTTTTAGAATTATTTTCCTTTCCAAAACGCGCCAACACGCGCAAATCCACCAATCTATTAATTCCAGCCATAACAATCCCCAACCACCTCGAAGTTCCAATCATAGCGCAGCCGCGACACCCCAGACACCGGCAGCGGCAACAGCACCGATAACCATACCAGTGGGATGAGCACCAAGTCCAGAAGAAGTCGAGCCACCGCAGCCCTGGCCAGCGTAAGCCTGGAGCGACGAGATAACAGCATCGCTATTGCCACCAGCACACTTAGACGCGATAGCCTGAAGGTCGCTAGTGTGCTTGCTGAACCAGCTGCTAGCCTGCTGGTCGAAGGAGCTGTACTCGGCGGAGAGCGATTGCGGGAGGGAGGTAGTAGCCTGGCATAAGATGGACGGGTTGTTGGTGTCTGCGGTCGACATGAATTCGTCGAAGTATGAGTTCAAGTCGCTTGCGGGCGTAGGCGCGTCCGTTAGCAGCCCTTCTAGCGATGCCCAGCATGAAGTGGCGGCCGCGACGTCTGTGATGGTTGCGTCGGCGCTGTTGCTGCTGCTGTCGCTTTCGACCTGGCGCACCTCGACGATGACATGCTCCTGACGTAGGTCGCGAAGACCTTTCAGAGCCTGCGGGCTGTAGGTAGCCGCGGCCGTGGAGGCAAGGAAGAGGGCGACGACGGTTTGGGAGAGCATTTTGATATTAATTCGAAGATGTTGTTCCGTGATAAGATTAATTGATTAGGTGAGATTGTCTAGTGATTTCTTATCTTTGTCGAATTAGATATGCGAGGTGATAGGGCTGAAGGAACTGAATGAAGAAAATTTTGTAGGATCCGAGATCATTTTATATGATTTCTACTCCGTTGTATCTACCCGCGTGCCCGCTGTAATAGCAGGGGTAAGTTACCGACTTTACACAATAAGCTTTCAGGTACAATACCGTTACCTGCCTAGAATGGACCCCAGATCTACAAGGTGGGTTCGCCTAGACCCGACTAAGTCTCTCAGCCGCTATACCGTATGCACAGAATTGTCAGGGATAATGAGGGTTATGGGCAGATGGCTCTGCGTCAGGAGATGAGAAGGAGACAAGTCAGGCAGGCGAGTACAGCAGAATGCTCCACTTTAAGCTTAGTACGGGGGTATTATGTCATATTAAGCTTTAACTGTTAGTGCAGACTACTAATAAGAACCAATCAGCTTCATCCGCTAGAACTAACTAGGTAGTATCATCTAGCGCTAACGGTTTCTATATCCTGTGCCACTTTCGCCCCCGACCCATTCTACTACCCCTTAGCTAACCATTTCTAGGCAGATAGATGATGTCTCATTTTATCATAACGATTTCTGTGAGTTAGGTAAAACGTTCTATAACATTAGCCCCTTAAAAGACTAAATTTGGGGGATTCGGCCTTTGTGCGACTAGGATAGTGCCTGTAATACAGAGTTTTTCTTCGGCCACTAGAAAGGCCGATTTAAGGCTGTGTTGTTCAGCTGAATAATTAGGTGGATTATAGACTTTATGACGTCAAGCGTCTGGATCGTACAGTGTAGACAAGTCACGCTCGTTTCCGGTGGCGTATTGAGCTTAGTAAATAATCGAGACAGGTGCGACTCACACGGTGTGCGGCATATTCTTCGTTCCGTATTACAATTTTTAAAAAGTTCCCATCTCAACCTTTACAATCCACATCGTCAACCAGGATACTTTACATAAGTTAGACCGATAGTGGATTCAAGGAGATCTACATGTTGGGTCAGAAAATAAGCAGTTAAGATTCATCCGATTTTCTAGTTGCTGTAAGAACTTTATAGTCCGATCGCTAGGACTTATACCTATTCCGTTTCATGCACTGATAGCGGAGATTACACGGGCCTCAGTCCCTTCAAATCTTTCGATGAGAATGCCCGGAATATGAAATGTCTTCGGGTTATTTATGGCCAAAAAGCGACCGAAACGGAATAAAATTCACCATTCATGATGTTGGGCCCAAAAACGAGGAAAACGAGAGTACAATTATCTTCACCTACTTTTCACGTCAATGCATCGATATTAAATTCGGATTTAGGAGATACTGATTTATTATGCTAAACTAACCAGGTACTTGAGAACACCAATGGGTATACAACAATTACCCTCACTCCGTAGGTTTCTCGGACTTTGCAAATTGAAGTTTCCAAGCCTCCTTACGCTCTTCTATCCTCTTCTCGGCAGCCTGAGCCTGAGCTGGAAGACCGAGGTCATCAATCAAATCGATAACATCGTATATCCCATCCTCCTTCGTTGACATGGCACATTTTTCTAGTACCTCCATATAATCTACGAGAGGCGCGTGCATAGCAAATCTGACAAAACCAACACAGATCTTAGCCCAATCAACAGCCCAAGGACTGAGGGTACCTTCCGAGCCCCTGAATTCTATCGTACGCTTGCTATTCTTGTACCGAAAATCAGCACAAGAATATGCTGCAGTACTGATATATCCACGATCGCCGGGATCCACAAGGGACGCAATTCGACAGCTACTAGATGATCCGAAGATGGGACCCACCCCTTCGAAGACGCCCGGATCCTCAAAATATTCACGGTTCTCTTTGTCGAAGTAATTACGAGATATAAACATCGCATCTAGCGCCTTGGACATAGCTTCGAGTTCTTCATAAGTGTAACGAGGAGTCAGAATTCTTGGGATTTTTCGTTCCCGACTCCGGTCCTCCTCAGCCTTATTTTGTGGCTGGGCGAATTTCATGCGGCGCATGCTTTCTACAACCCTGGCGATGAGTTCGTCTTTGGGATTCATGTCGTTCTTTCCTTTGGGTTCTGGAGGAATCGGCGTGAGATCGCCCCAAAAAGGTTCGTAATGTCCAGCCTGTCTTGTTTGTGCGAAACCTTGGACGTATTTCTCGTCTCGGTTAGCTTCCCGCCACGATATGGGTTCCTCCCCATGCCTAACATCGCTAGCAATATACTCGTCGATCTCCTTTGTACAATGCGCAAACTTGCGTAGATGGTCCTGGGCCTTCTCACCCGCATTCACCAGTGCTAGATTACTCATATGACGAAGTGATGGAGCACTCGCATTGGCTCTTCGCCAAGGATGATGGAGGGCATACAGTAAATGTTCAGCCGCCCAAGCCAGCGAAACTATGCGCTTCATAGCTCCGAGAGGAAATCTCTCACCTGCCATACCTACGTGCACATGTAAACCACAGGAATGGTTGACACGTACTCTTATGGTACTCGTTATAAGTTGTCGCACATAATCGATAGCTTTAAAAGCAACGGGGACTGCGGTCACGGCCGGGCTCCTAAGTTCAACACCAACCCAGTTCCTCCAGTTGCGAAAGACTGACATCTTCCTCGACTGTCCACTTAGTATATGGGTCGAGAACCTTCTTGGCACCATTCGCATCAACCTTCCAGGTTTGAACGGCGGCCTGAACACCGTGCTTCTGCAAGAGGTCTAATATTGTATCTCGGATTACTTTGTCCGGGGCGATGTTGGCACTTCTTTTCTTACCTTTCCTTTTCTTGCCTCCTATCCTCATTACAGGCGCTACACCTTTGACACCCTGAGCCTCAAGGGGATCCGAGTCGCCAGGTTTCAGCCATGGAACCAAGAACTCAAATTCAACACCGAAGGTCAACCGAGGTGCCGGAAGTTCTGGTACAGGTGGCATAGAGGATGTCCCCGATGAAGGTGTAGATGTAGATGTAGGATTAGTCGATGTTGACATGCTTGCGTTTTTGTCTGTTTTTAACAATGAAAGAAACGCTTGTTGATAAAATCTTCCAGGTTAAGCTTGTTATTTTGGTGAAAGTTCACACGAACAGTATGTAATATGAGTCTTTTTGGTCAAATAATAAAATGATGCGGAATGAAGCTTATTAATGTGCTTCGGAGCCGTCACCTATTCACCTTATATATTACCAACCTCAGGGAAAACAATTATTGCGATTACTATACAATGTGTCTTGCTAGATATTGTTTTCATTTGTTTCTATTTATTCGTTTTGTAGCAGTGCATAGCTATATGTTTTGGCCTTTTACAGTTGATTATTACTAAACATCTGAGTGAGAACAATGAGACAAAAATATCTAGTCCCTAGGATCTTACTACCTAAACCGCCCTAGGTAGAAATCTTCTGTTGATAAAACCCTTCGTAGCATCTTGGTAGGGATTAAATGTTTTTCCTCTGTATAAACCGTACCCCTTTTGTTCCGTCTTACGTAATCCACGTCCACAAAGAAATTTCGCAATACTTTTGTTTCCCTACACATTTCCTTTGTTAGAATCCTCCCATAATTAATTGCATGACCAATAATATATATACTGTACTGCTTGGGACTATCGTGGATGTCCTCATTGCCCCTGAACCTTTTACAATATTTGGGGTTGCCCTTTTTCTAATGTAGCTCGTAAAAGGGGTTGTTGAAATAAAAGCAGTCAATAACATATCACTATTTCTTCACAGATACTTTGTGTAAATCTATGAGAAATATCAAGTCATTTCTCAACGACTTTGAGCTACGCGACACCTTCATTGAGGAACGCACTACATTTATACTCGTTCTTTCAGCGTCATTTCAATTATAAATATAAGCCTAGTGAATAATTCCGATGCATCTCCGATGAGGGGAGCGTTTGACACCATTCTTAATAGATATTCCGACATGACGGACAGATGGAGATGAGTGTAGTAAGCTTCCCGGTAATAACGTAGCACTTATTTATGGCGCTCGAACATAGGTTACATAAATACGAGGACAATGCAAAGTTCCCGCTCAGATCTTTAACGTGGGACTAGCCAAGTGCCGCAGCGCCAATGGCACCGACAGGACGGACCGTGGTTGGTATCCACATAAGCTAATGGTCCGATGCGGAGACCCGAGATCGCCCCAACTTCTTCATAACCACAAAGGGACTATCGTTTGTTGAATTAATGAATTACTTCTCTACATACCCTCATATTTAAGACAAGGGTCTACTAACCATGGCAGAACCTCGCCCAATAACCATCCAAGACGCGCGGGGCACCCTCTCTACCGTCTTCTCAGAAGCCACAACCCCCGAGCAACGCCTCCGCGGCGCACGTCTAGCCGCCACAGCTTTCGGAAAGTCACTCTCGCAGGAAGGGTACCTTAAACGCGATGAGTTTCTTAGTAAAGCACCATTAGCGAGTGGACCAAAGGGGTGGCACATTTGGAACTTGACGGTGGCTGATGATCCCGAACATGTAATCGCAATGTGCAAGACAATGCACCGGGATTTACTGTTACGGGAAGGGGTGGAGCCAACAGTACGCCAGGAGCAGGGGTATTGTGTTTGTAGCGTGGTGACGGATTCCCGGTACCGTGGGCGCGGGCTCGCTTCAGTTTTGTTGAAGAGTGTGGCAGAGTGGATCGATGGACCGGGGGGCGCGGCGGCGAGCATGCTGTACTCGGATGTTGGCGACGTGAGGCTAAAACAGCTCTTTTCTTATGATTTGATTTAAAGTACTGATAAAGACTATTAGTTCTATGTTAGTAAGGGGTGGGACATTCTTGACGCCTTTCAAACCGTCATGACCGTTCCCTCATCTCTCCCCCCGCGGGACAAAATTCCTAAACTTCCTTTAACTCGGCCCATTACCAGCGCTGATATCCCCAGTCTCTGCGAGCGCGACGTAGAAAGTCTGAAATATGACTTCGAAAACAAATCAGATCTACCACCAGACACCGTCCTCACAACAGTCCTCCCCACTCCGGATCTAATCAATTGGCTACAAACACGAGCCGACTACATGAACGACAAACTCGCCAACCAAGTCCCCACATCCAAAGGCAGTATCTGCGAAAGCGCGGATGCATGGGTATACTGGTTCACAGACATCCACGGACACAAAATAACCATCCAGCGGATCAAGCCACCTAAGGACCAAAGCGAAGAAGTCACCACACATGTATTAGCGGCGTTACTATTCGACGTTCTAGAGGAAGCCGCAAAGTGGAAGATCTCAGAAATCATCATCTGGAACCCGAGCCCGGAACTACATACCGCGATAAAATCCCTGGCTGAGAAAATAGGGGTTAGGGTTGTGAACGAGAAAAGGGATACCGCGCAGATACCCTGTCTGAGGTGGCGCGGCGGCGAGAAGAAAAAGACTGTATTTTCGCCGAATGAGTATTATGCATGGAGCTAGATATTGGCATATAAATAATCTGTCGCTATTAAATCATTAGAACTAGATGCTCGAGATTCAAACATTTGCTTACGTAATCACTATTCTCAGGGTTAGGGTTGGGGTTAATCAAGGGGTTCACCATTATGTCATCACCAGCGAAAGATTTTAATTATTAAACATTAATTAATCTACCTATATAGGCTAATATGTGTACTTATGCGTGTATCTATATGAAAAATGAAAAGTTCGTGTGCTTTGTAGCGAGATCAACGAAACAATCTGATATGATCTTGACGTATGTACGGGGTTGATACCTACCTGGGTAGGTATCACGTTCACCAATCATCCACCCGGCCGAGGTGGAAAACCAGCTTCTACTAAGTAATTCTATGGTAGCTATACGCTATACGCTATGTATGCACTCAGTTCCGTACAGCCCTGCAGAAGCATGTACGGAACCGAACCCTTCCCAGCTGCAGGCAGGAAAGGGGCAAAGTGGGTCATAAGTTGAACAAAGGAAAAATAATAGGAAATGTGCCGCGTCGAGGGCTGTGGGTGGCTAACCTGCCAAATGTCGATAATGAGTGTGTCGAGGTTTTTTTATGTTCGCGAACTAGTTGATAGGTGATGTGAATCGCCCAGAATAAGGGTTGTCGATGTGATATGTGATACCGTTGGCGGTGGGGAAATCGCTTAGCTGCTATTTACTTACAGTCGCTCCCCTTAGCCGCCTCTTTATGGCATCTTATTGTTTAGTGTGATGGGAAAGGGTGTTGGAGTTGGTGTCGTGTATGTGATGTAGATGTTCTTTGTCGAACAGGTGGGGATGGGAGCACAAGGTGTGCGCGGCTAGGAAATTGCTCCGGATTACAATATCCTTGAACCGCCTTGGCCACTTTTTACTGCTTTGTCTAGGTCGCAGTTTACCTTTAAGGCCTTATTCACAAATGGCCTTCATGATTGCGTCACTACAAGTAGACGTAACGCTCGGCGTCTAGGGAATCACTCCCTTCTCGTCGCAGAGATTCAATCTGGTCCTTAAGCCGCTGAATGGTAGCTTTACCAATAGCAACCTCTTGAAGGGCATTGTCACGGTCCAGAAGAACCTTCTTCAAGGCTCGATGGAGAGCCTTGACGTCCTTGGCGTCCAGCTTCTGGTCCTTGGCCAATGTCTTCGCCAAGGGGAACAAGTCGAAGAGCTTATCACGGTCGTCAATGATATGCTTCAATGCCCCATGTACAGCAACCAAATCATCCATGTCGAGGTCCTCTGCCTGTGCAACAAGGAATGCTAGGACGTGCAGGCAGTCTACCCTACCTTTTAGCTTTCTGACCTGGCTCGTCTGCTTGTGGTAGAGAACCTCAAAGCTATTGTCGACGCTTAGCTGGTTCTTGTATTGCATACGAGGCTTCTTCCGGTTTTGCTCAGCACTTCCCTCGTCATCGGGCTCAGTAATGACGATTTCAGGAATAGTTTCGAGGCGACGGACTAATGGCTTCTGTTCAGACGCTGGTTCTTGGATATCATCGAACCCAGCGTCTTCCCAGAAGTACTCCTCTGCCTCATCTTCGGTAACCCAGTCATCAGGGCTGGGGAACTCATAAAGATCCTTCGGAAGATCTTCTTCATTGAAGACCCGGCCCTTCCGTCGCTCAGCCTTGAGATCCTTCGTTTCCTGGGATCCAACGTTGGTCGCCGGGTTGGAGGGCACGGGTTTCCGGTACGCCGGGTCAACTACACGGCGGATTGGCGTGTCAGGGACCACGTAGTTAGAGCCATTTCCTGCTGGACTTAAGACAACTTCCTCGCCGGGAAGTTCGGGGAGGTCCTTCCCGGCGGCAGTAGGCCATGCAATGGAGTTGGAAACTAGCGCTTCCTTAGGTTCACCAGAAGACTCCTTCCACGAAGGGGCCGACATTGATGCCCGCTTAACAATGGGGCGCATCGGGTGAAGAGGGGGCTGAGGGGGGCTCGGCGGGCCCAATTGAAGTCCCTCAATGTTTACAAATCCCTTGCCCGTGTATTTCCCTAGCCAAGTAGTAATGGGGTTGGAACCCTTTACTTTGTCGCGTTTTGGCTTGGGCGTATTTCCCAGTACCCGATCCAACGCCTCAGCTGACATCGGAGTAGGTAACTGAGAGTCTGACCGTCCGCAACGCAGGTCATACGCCAGCGTAGACCCGGCCGTGGACGGCACGTTTTCGCTAGATACGCTGCGGTACTGCTGCTGAGCGTATCTGGATCCCATAGTAGTTTCCAAAATAAGAATAATCGTAAAATAAAGTCAGTTTGGTTATGTAGTTATCTCGGTGAAATATGTGAAGACAGTCCACAGAGAATAGAAAAGAATAGGAGTTTAATTCGAAATTCCCATTGGCATGGCGTATATATACACTAAAAAATAATCTCACAATTAAGGGTTGATTCGACCCCTTTGTTCGAACATACATAACATTGTTTTGCTCGGGCGATGAACAAAGACTTACACATAGAGATTGTTTTCCTTCAACAATAGATTGTTCGCTCAACTTGGGGTCTCGCTCGCCCTACGTCATATTCCTTTGTAAGTATCTACTTTTGCGAGTCTTGTATTCTACATACTCAGAGATTCGTAAAACCACCCCGAACCCCGTTGATCATAGTTTCCGGTTGCCCACCCGCCGGTCTTCGACTAAAGGTTGAAGATACTGGTGTGGGTCGTTGAGCAACTACTTCCGAGTTAGTAATTGAATATGAATGATCGTTAATGATGAATACTTGCCTCGCGGCCTTATTGACGAAATGCTGTGTCCTTCGGGATTCCCGCCACCATGGCTAACCTTCAGCCCAGAGCTTAGTCCTACGGCAGGGAACCTTGTGTTACATTGAGAAACATTTGCAAGCCCTTCACTTTGCGGCACTCGCGTTACTATGCTAGTGTGCTGTACTCTAGGAGTCCCCGCGACAAGACCAGGAATAGTCGATAAACCCGTAGTTGTCGGATCCCCGAGTCGCTGGCGATGGCTGGAAGGGGTAATTGGGACATTTGCTACTAAATATTAGCTAACTAAACATATAGCTATAGCAACATCTTGCTTCATGACTCACATTGAGCACCTATAGTCCTAGGCCAGGAGGTACCATAATCCTGCGTCGCTGATTGATGTTTTTGTCCCATCGGCATCCTCTGTTGTTCTTGGAGTAATGAGTGCTGTTGTTGCTGATAAATTGCCTCATGGTCGCCGTAGTCAACAGAAGCTTGTATTCCTGTCTCGAACTGTGCACCATGAAGTGTCGAGTCAACCGCATCTTCGGCCGCGTCTTGTAACTGTCCAAGCATGGCTTTTCGCTTCAATTTGTCGTATAACTCTTGAACTTGGAGGAGTTTTCGGTTTTTTTCTTTGTATGCTTGACTTAGCTCGTCGTATTTTCTGCGCAGGCTGTCTTGGTCCGCCTTTGTACCTAAAAACAGTCAATAGAGAATTCTTGGGAGCTATAGGGAAGAACTTGCCATTCAGTCTATCTTGTAGATTAGTAATCCGTAGATTGGCCTCATTAATAACACTATCCAGATGAACACTAAGATCTGAGTATTTTTCTGTGAGTGTTTTTCCAAGATATTCTTGGTAAACGCTGTCGTATCCATGTTAGCTTACCCTAGTCTACTGAATCTTGTAGCATATTGAGATAGAAAAGGGGGATACTAACACTTCTTGTGTAACCTGATATGCCCAGAAGCTAAGACCCCTATTTGCGCATTCAATAATAATATTAGGGTTTAAACCACTGAGAACACTGGTTTTATAATCCTCACTTGGATCCAGATTCGAAATGACGGCATCGTCGGGGTTTGTTAATTGAGCTCCACAGGCTGGACAGGAGTTGCGATGCTCGTGCCTCTGTCCTGTTAGGCCCAGACGAGAAGCGCAATCGATACAGAAAATATGACTACAAGTAGTCACCAATGCTCGATCTCCAAGTTCCTTCCGACATTTAAGGACATTGCAGCGTAGTCTGTGGTCCATTGTAATGAGTTAGGGGTTGCAACTGACAAGAAGGGTGCAGCTATTGTAAAGAATTCTGTTCGTTCAGTTTAAATAGGATGATGTAAAAGTTTGGATTTAGTTTCAGAGTACATATAACAACGAGAAAAGCGCTTTGGCGTTAGCCTTGACAGCACCTCCCTTATTAGTGTAAATAACCTCCTTCCAAGTGCCCATGCGTACCTTCTAGAGAAGTTGCATCCCTATGAATCACACAATAAGGTTTCGGCCGATACTAATACTAGACAATTTTATCCAGTAATGCAAGGTCTAAGGGTAGAGTTTAAAGGTTCTAATCAATCTCAACTTTAAGCTTGGTCGGGAAAAAGGGGGTTCTTTTGAATTATTTCAAAGCCCCCTGAGCATGTATCTAGGTACCTAAATACATGAACAGGCCAAGCACAGAGCAATATGAACGACACAATACAACGCATTTACACAATTCAGTTAGGATTAAGATAATATCATTAATAATTGGGCGCTACCTAAGGTGTACTCGGAGGCTCGACTAGATGCCACATTGAAGGTTCCAAAGTAACCTATATGATTTATCGTGTACTCATTCGGGGACTTATTGAGAAGATCAGATGCTTATATCCTCATAATCGGGCAGTTAGTACGATGATGAGCAACAAACCTAAGCATAGTCATGCTTTTGACTAATTGTTCGATTTATCCCTTTATTCCTCCACGTCGCTGCCTCCCGTTCCTTCATATTCGTAACCTTGGTTTAAAAGGCATGCTCGTGTCCATGGCTGCGCATACGCCATGACATGAATGCGGAAACGACCTAGGCGGAAAGCACGGTATTTCATGATATTCTCCTTAATCGTCTGTAGTTCTAAGCCGTAAAATAATGGGCCACTTGTCTTGAAGATGATGACGAGACAAGGGGTTCCATCCACATCTTCTTCGTGTACAACCTCGTGGACTGGGTCGTATGTCATAGAGAAGCTGTATCGAGCGATAGTCATAACTCTTGACCTCGCCAGGCGTTCCTTTCTAGTTGGTCCCGCCCAATCTACAACGGTATCAGTTACTTGAACACCTTCCATGGGGATTAAAATGAGAATTCAGCTATCGAGAAGGCTGCGAAATTTTGTCGATGAAATGGATCACTATACCCTTTAGAAAGACATAATCATCAAGATATAAAAGTAATTTTACGGCAACCTTAGATATACCTGATGTTCGTGATACGAAAAACCCCCATCCCCCTGATTCACTGTCCCGAGGGCTTCATATACCTGAGTAGGTAGGCAATTCTAATAATGAAAATGTTTCCAGAATAATCGCTAGAGGCGCCATGGGCCTGATAAAACTACACTCACAACGTATTATCCTAATTAGGGTATTAAAATATGTGATGTTCTATTCTATTATACACATAAACCCCTTTTTTGCTTCTATCGTGACAAAGGGAACAGGTAAAACTAGGGGACCTTAGTCACCAAAGGATCCCCGTCAGGGCTGTAGCCATCTAACGAAGCACAAATCACGCTAGTAATAGTATCAAACCCATTATTACGAGACAGTCCTCTTTAGATGGAAACTGGAAGCCGACGAAATGGCCCTGCCCCATCAGCACAGCGTCGGGTACCCCAACATCCGAGAAGAACCTTCAGATCTGTCCTCTTCCCCTTTTCTCTTCATTGCATCTCATCCAAGGATCTATAGAAGCGTCTCAAGTTAAGAGGAAGTGATTCACACCGCGCAAAATTCGATGTAAATCCTCGTTCGATGCATCCTTGTCACCGCTCTCCCATCGCCCACGTGTAGATAGATTATCCGAGACGATCACCATGTACCACCACGCGATGGCAATCTGACACACGTGCGATATAGAGTATGCAGTTGGGATGAAGGGGGGTAAGATGTGGATGTCCCCTGAAACCATTAATAGCCTAGGACCAGCTCTTCGGGTCTCCCTAGCCGGGGAGCATTTCACCCTTATGGCTTATTCTATAGAGAGCCGGCGGAAACGTGGGACTCACTCTCCGCCGGACATAGCCAGGTGGTGAGTTCCGCCCTAGAAGGCCCCCGGCAAAGAGCGCTCGCGATCCCGATTATCCCGGCCGGCGCATGATTTCCCAAAGCGGGCAACGCCGCCGTTCAGGGGTTGGAGTTGGGGAAAATGGAACCCACGCTAACGGGATAGGCCAGCCAGCCAGTATTTATGTAGGTAGGCAAGTAAAAAATATGCAGGTTCGTGTCTGATGCATAACTAATGCGGGACGGCCGATAATGTTTCCCTAGACCCTCCCCCCTTTCATCTCATAGGCGGAACTCGCTTGAGGACCAAGTGGTCCGGGATCGGCGACGCAGGTACGCCGGGCTTGCAGTAAGCGACGTGGTATTCTTAGCTACCAGCCGGCGGCAGTGTATGCGTGAATGCCGATGAGGCCGGTAGGGTAGGTAAGAGAAGATGGTGCTAGGCCAGCTTGAGGTGCACACCCTCAGGGCATATAAGAACGGCACGCTGCCAAGACATGTCGGGGGATACTTGCGAGTTGTCAAGCCCTACATACATCGAGGTTGCAGGGGCTAATTGGTGGTGGTGACACCGAAAATGACGACCAGCAGAATCATACCCTATACAGCTGTATTCTTGTAACGCTATTGAAGAACTTTTGTTTGGAGTGGTTGTCGAATTGTTCGACAATTGGACTGGGGAAAATGTTATCATTGAATCAAAGGGAGGATTTCTTGCGCCTTTACACTTTTAGAGCAAGTTTCTTCCTAACCGATATCGCCGACGTCAGTTTGGAGCAATTCTGCAAACTCCAAATCCTTTTGAGATCATGATCGTCACCCATATCGTCGTTGTGCCATCTCATAGGCCAGATATCCACATCATCGCGAAGAAGGCAAGGAGCGGCGAAGATGCGTCACTCCCGGTGGAAAGGAAGATTCTCTGAAGATCCAGGTAGATCTCGAAAGATTGTACCTTGACCATAGCAAAAGTCTTAACCTTTGCATCCGAATTGGAGCGCATCAGCACCACATCGCATCCAGATCCCAATGGATTCCTACTTGCTTCGTGGTCAACCCGTCAATGGTTAGCAATTGACTAAAAGTTTCCTTTCTTTGAGGTCTCCGACGCGCGTCGCGCAGCGGTAAAAGCAGTTAGGAAGGGACGTGTTCAACGAAGCCGTCTTAGAATACCACGATAGCAAGGGCAGAAAAAAGGCATCTAAGAGCTCAGGGCTAAGAGGCTTGTCTCATTAGATCTAAACCCCAGCACCCCATAACCCCAGATGTCACAAAAGCTTATGTTGGTGGAGGGAAAGATTTTCCCTCAATACCTCAATTGCGACTTGACGTCGCAGTTTAACACGGCTCGAATCGCTCGACTGTGGGCTGGGCTCTTGGCGACCCAACACGAAACCCACGATAATCATCCCATTATCGCCATCGCCGGACCTCTCGACCGGTTCCTCGAGTACTCGGTGAGGTAGCGTAACTTACCTAATGACCAGCGACTATTGTCGTGATAAGTGTAATAAGTCAGCGCTTGTAGTTAGTTAGGATTGATATAACAGGGGGTTTAATGGGTTAGGTGCCCTCGTGAACTGCGCATGGGCGTGGGGCAGATTAAGCGAATTATCGTGAAGTATAGACTAATCTCTTTAGATCTTAGTCGACGGTATATCGGCTGTGGGCACGAGGCACAGTTACGGTACTGAAGTGTCAAAGTAGCTAGTTCAAGCTAAACTAGCCTTGACCTAGTCTACTATACTTATCCCTTTCTAGAAAATGCTTCTCCAAAACTACCTACTTAGGCATAAGAAGAGGTATAGTCTAGTCTGTCGGTTGGGATGCGCATAATTACATCTTAACGATGCTCAACTATGATTGTTGAACGATGTTAGGGGACAAGGGAACCATGACACCGCGTAATAGAGAAGTAGGAGTCGCCGCCATCGTCGTCAGACATCGCTGAAATTACCCACCAGTCTTGGCGACGCAATGGCCACGGCTCGTATCTACAGCCCTTATTGAAATTAACTTATTACGAATCTCGTAGATTATCGCGTGAGATATCGATGAGCCATCTCGTCTGTGTAACGGCGGGATCCTAATAAAGCTAGCATGGCATCGGACATTATGAAGGCCAAATAAGTTCCCCGGGTATATGCCAAGGCTCTTCCAGACCAGCAACATCATAAGGAATAAGACGGGTCACGGGTGACGACATGAATGTATGTAATTAAACTTGTGGCGGCGGCGAATTGGGCGCAAGCGGCTAGATCAGGGCAATACGAGAGAGCAAAAACCTCGATCTAGCGCAGGTCCTTGCATGGTGACGCAGTCCTAGAAGGCCGTGGCAGATCATCATTAAGAAACATCTCGTTCGTGCGGCCATACGCGGCCTTGCGATCTTGTCTATCTACTCGTTTCGATCTTGGCATCAATAATGACTGCCGCTGTAATCTCGCGCGACACGACAGTCGGTAGATACTTCATGGCAGCAGCCGTGAAACGTGGGAATCTTTGATGCCGACAAGAATAGAGTAAAGGCCAACTGCCTTGAAATGTGATAGCTCCTCAATGAGAGGGGGGTTACTGAGAGGAGAGAGCAAAGCGATGGAGGGCAGATATGAATAGAAGATAATGATAGGGTCATAGACTTACATCCTCGCCGACGATCTCAAGCCTTCTTACCCCGCATCTCTCCATCTCATAGTGATCGTCGCTCTCGCCAGCCCTCCATCAAATCATCGTGATATCTTTCTCCAACGCGACAGGGCGTGCGTCTTTGGAGTGGTAGCTGGCGTAGGCCTACCTATCTAACCTCCATCGGTACTGATGCCAAGTCTTTTCACTTCGCAAGCGAGAGGTCTCATGATCACGAGAACCATAGGAATAGTCTCTAGCGAAGAGGAGTAGTATGCTTCTCCAGCATGGCTGTCGCTTGCCAGACTAGAGTCTCTAATCGCGGCCGCCACGGAAATTATTTTAGAAAGAAATAATTTTTCTCATTTTTCTTTTTTCTGCCCTTCCCCGCACGGGAATTTCCGTTGTCCACTGAACGCACAAACCCCAGATGGGGAATGGCTGGGGAGGGACAAGGATGGCTTGCAGCACATAGCGGTACTTGGGTAACATCGTAACACAGCACTGTCGGGAAGTGTTACCGGCCGAAAGTAGGACTAGCACCAGGTACCTCTTCACGAGTAGCCATTGTGAACCTATTGCCAACCCATCCGTCGCGGGCCGAAAGTCCATATTGTGCCGGGGTTGACAACCCTTGCCCACAGAGAAACCAATCACGACGATGCCTTCTTCCCCAGTCCCTTTCTTCGACGGTCAACAAGCCGATCAACCAATCAGGTTCTCATGGTTGCTTATTAACATTCTTCAAGATTGCCCTTGCACATGCAAGACATTGTAGCTGCTTTACTGCATGTCTGATTTCAATCTAGCCAATCAAAATGCAGAGAATGGAAAATTAGTAGTGGTGGGAAGATATTCTAGGAACAGTACAGACGCCATTGTTGTCATTAGTGCGACTTAGAAACACCAAGGAATTATGACGGACAGTGATGTATGCGTTAATAACGCTACCCAGCATGAAATTGCCCCTTATCATATTGACGTTGTCAGGTATTAATTTCCCTCAGCTCAGAAACTTGTTTCATTCATCTCGCCTCAGTATCTCATGACATAATTGACGCCGAAATGTTTTCGTCTGGTCTAAGCTCACATTCATACACCATCAAAGAATTGGAGAAAAGGGGGATCTACTCGTGAACCTAACAATGTTCGTTATGGAACAAAATCTCACAAGACTATTTTAATTGGTGTAAGAATTTTTCTTCTCCAATTCTTGTTATCTTTCCCCTTTTCCCTTGTCATTTTTCACTCTCCTTGTTCCCGGTAGCCCACGATCCCCTCGAAGGAACACTTGGTCTGCACTAAGCACTAAGCACCAACTACCTCCTAACCCATACCTCTGCAGTATGTAGGCACAGACAGATAAGGTTAAGTTGGTTAAGGTGTTCAAGTAAGCATATTTACCCCGGATTTTCTTGATTCTACCTACCGGCTTTCCGTCGATGGGGATCCACTTCCTTTCGGATATCAATTCCTTCGACCACCCTCCTCCAGACATCAAGTTCGCGATGCCAAGTACGCTACGTATGTCTATATGTGCGTGACAGAAGATACCAAACCCTATCCGGTTATCTTCCATTTCCCCAGATGACGCCAAGATAGTCAAACGCATTCTCGGTGCTATTTCAAGTCACTCTCAAGAAAGTGCTTATGTATCTGTAAATTGCCATTCGCCTAATAATAGTATTATGCATATATGTATGTAAGTTGGTAGAGATATGTGTGTGTGAGTGGTATATGTTGTATGTAGGTATGTATGTAAGTCTCGTACACTTTTTCTCCATCATCCCGATCGTGACAAATCATCATCCTTCGTTTAAAACTTTTTGATACCACAAATTTCCCCGTCATGCGACACTAAGTAAATGTAGTGGCAGTAGTATTGGTATCAGTAGCACAAGCGGCAGCGAAGAAAAGCAAAGTAACTATTCCCCAGACTCCGCCCCCCAAATTAGACCAGTCAAAATGAGGTTGGTTGAAATTTCTCGCTTGTATTTGTCGAAGAAAAAAAAAAACACGACGTCTTGTCCGCCGGCCCGGTGTCCTTCCATCCCATCATACCCCCCCTTTTAACCTTTTGATAATTTGTTGTAACCCAACCCATGAACGCATCCAACATCAAGAGGTATCATCGCTGAAACGTACATGCATAGTGTGAACGACGATCATGGACCCCTAAAAAAAGAAGAGAACAAATGCGGAAAAAAACACCACCACCCAAGTAAAAAAAAAAGGTGATCAGAAAAAAATGATTTTTTTCTTCTTCTCTTCGTTCTTCATCCCGTAGATCCCTAAGACGCAAAGAACCGAAATAAAAAAAAAATCAGAAATATCATCGTAACAAGTAGTATAGCCGCGTAGCCATGCGTATCTGTCTGTTCATACACAACACACATATAGGTACACAACAACAACAACAACGTAACATAACATGACTTGACATAATCACCCCCAAAAGAGTAAAGTAATCAGTGAACGAAAGAAAACGCCGAGCTATCAATCCCGTAAGCGCCAAGCTGGCCCATGAGGCCGCCACAGCTTCCGCCAGGCGTACCATCATGCATATTTCCAGGCCCAGCGTTATTGCCGAAGTGCTGCTGCGCCCACTCCATCTCATCAGGCGCGCCCCAGAGCATGCCGTCGAGATCCCAGAGGCCATGCTGGTCTAGCATACCCATCATGCCGCCATAACCCTCGGGTTCGAGGCCAATAGGTGACATGTGTAACTCGGAACCATCACCAAGGGGGTTCATAACGCCACCGTGCTCTGTGGTTACGACTTGTAGCCTTTGCATCGGGCTTTGCTGTTGCTGTTGTCGTAACAGGGTAGGCTCGAGTTGGCGGGAAGCCTCGTACATGCGCCAGACAACCTCGCGCGAGCGGCGTGCAGCTAGTGACCAATCTTCCATAGCCTCAAGCAATTCAAGAATAGTCTCAATCTGCTTCTGCCAGTCAGGCACGCGCGGGCTGTCCCATTGCCAGAAGATAGAGACAAGCGGGATCATGGCGGCTTGGTATAGGAACCAAACTGCGTTCCAGCCAGACATTTGGTTGCGCGACCACTCGCGCGAAATATCCTCAATAGTCTGCTTAGCTAGGTCGCGGCAGGCTTCGATAGCCGCGATATCGTGCTCGGCTGCGTGGGAGGCGCCGCTGCTGGCTAGGTTTAGGAGGACGGGGCGGTGCAGAAGCATACGCAGGTTTTGGTATCGCCACTTCATGATGCAGCGGGCGATGTAGAGGGGTTCGGCGCAGGGGTCGCTAGTGCGTAGGAGCCAAGGTAGGCTGCTGAACCAATTGACCAGTTGACCATCTAGGTTGCATCGGTCCTCGGCACGGAGTAAAGGTGAAATTGCGAGCATGTCTTGGATAGCAGTGGCAATTTTGCAGAATTTGATGTTCTCAACCAGTGGCAGGATACCAGCGTGTTGAGCGGAATCGCGACCAGTGTTGACGCCGGTCTCTGGGGGACGGATGTTGATGGCAGGACCCCAGCGGCCGAATGAGGGACGGCCCATGGTAGTAGTGGCCCAAGTGTCGAGGCAGAATAAGCTCCACCAGGTACGTCTCCTAGTCTCTGCGGCAGCGATCTCCTTGCTCGTACCAGCGGGACCATGGGCGAGGCTTTCGCGGTGGAGGCCAAGAGCGCTGGCCATTCTAATAGCAGCACCGATGACAGCGTTAGCCATATTCGGTCGGTTAATGTAGTGTAGGTAGTATCCACCAATCAGGGCAAGGGCCTGAACGGTTTCGATGTGGCTGCTACCAAAAGAGTCCATAGGGAGGTATTCCATAGCACGGCTGTAGTAATTTAAGTGGTTGTAATCATCGGATTTTAGAGCCGCGATGCATCCCATAGCGAAAACCATGTTAAGAAGCGCAAGCCAGGGAGCGTCGAATCGTTGTCCTTCAAGATAATCGGCTCGGAAAGAGGCCTCATCTAGCATAGGAACGAAAACGTGTACTCGCTTGAAGTACGCATCGATGAGTGTTTGGCCCTTCCATGACCATGGTACTCGTTGAGGTTCCTTGGGATTTGTGACTTTTTGCCGCATGATCGGGAGATTGTGTGCCATTTCGCAGCTGTTGAGTGGTGGGGTAAGAGAGCTTCGGAGACCGGGTTGTACTTTTAGCATCACCATAAGCGCCGCCTTAATAGACGAGGCGCCCAAATATGAAGCTTGGCGATCAACTGACAGGGAGAGAGCATTTACGTCGTCGGCCTCAACGGGGATAGGATCTCGTCCTCGTCGTTCCTCATCCCATTCGATGTCTCGGGACGGTATTTGCTCTAAGCTGGAAAGACCCTGCTCAGAGCCGGATAGAGTAGGCGATCCAATATCGCCAGGAATGGGAGAAGTATGTAGAGGTGGCGAGGGAAGTGCTGTAGTGGTATCTACTTGTGGTCGGTCGAGGAGGTTGAGTAGCTCCTGACGAGGAAGTGGTAGAAGAGACTGAACCTCATGGTTGGGAAAAAGTCGCTTGAGAATCGAGCGGCATTCCTCTAGAGACTGTGACAGGGCCTCGAGAGTTTTTCTCGATGGGATCACTCTTTGGCGGTGCTTGTCATAGAAGCATCGCTTAGGAGCGCGGCTGGAAAGACACTGACCGCATGGCTGTTGGCCATCACATCGACTGAAGTAAATGTTAGCATCATCGGCACTTTTTCTAGAATGTTGCACAAGTCCTACATCTTCCTGCGTTTGCATTCAGCGCATGCATGAGGTGTGGTAATACGCTTGGCTGTGCCGTTGCCGTTCGTCTTGGCACTCTCTGTAGAATCTGTAGATTGTTTCCTAGGAGTAACTCCTTGGACTAGTATAGAGCGTTAGCAAGTTATGAAGATTAGGACTCATCAGTGACAAAGTGAAGGCTACTTACAAGTGTGAAACATGCCACCTTGGGTGGGAATTGGTATACTTGGTGCCATCTTGGCTGAAGTACTTATGTGTGTCCTGTTCAAGTCCGTATAAGTCGTCGACGATGAGATGTAGAAGTGATGTAAGAGTAAGCTTGAGTGAAGTGATATAAGTTTCAAAATAGATATAGTAATCCGGGGGGATGTGGGGAGGACCGTCTTGGGCCCAGGACCGACAACACGGGAGACGATGAAGATTTATATAGGATATTGCCTTGCAACCCATTTTGGCGGGGAGGCGTGGAGAATCTGGAGATGAAGGGCTGGCAAATAGATTGTGTGGAGTAAAGTAACCTAGTCTAAGGCTCTTAGTTGTTAGTCTGATCAGGAACCGAGAGACTATAGCGTATCGGGTATACCTCCACACCTCCATATATCCTATACTATGTAAGATGTGACAGCTCGAGCAGGCTAGACTTGTATACTAAGGTTAAGGCAGGCCAGGGACGTGCCCTTCGTACCAGAAAATGTCAAATTACGGACAGGTAGGGAGACGCGCATCTGGAGATCAATGCCGTGTAGTCGAGTAATGATTTACACGTTCGCCACAAGAATGAACATACCTCAATGGCTGATTGGTATCTTCTATGGTGTATCTATACCAGATCTAGGGTATACAGGGGGTAGATGTATGATATCTTGCCATGTCAGGTCTAGTATATAGCATGATTTATCTGAGTTAGCCAAGTGAGTCGCATGTAACACTCATCAAAAGAGTATCAATGCCCTTTGTCAGCGGCAGTGACTTGAGATGAGAAGTGCGCTTGAACCAATAGAGGATGGGGAATATTTTAGCAATGCTAATGTTTCAGCCCTTAGAGACAAGTACCTGAATGACTGGTAAGGTACCTGACCTTTTAGACAGGGACCACGCTACAGATGCCGTTCGGCAAGTTGAGATCTAATCCGAAGGTACTGTATGTGAGAAACGACTGACGTGCAGGCATTAGAACAGGTCGTTTGAAGGCGTGGAATGGCTTCCCGCTTTCGAGGGTGGGACTGGGGTAATAGGTAGTGGTAGTGGTAGTGGTAGTGGCAGTTTCATGCATGATGGGAAAAACTTCAAAATAAGATTTTAGGCCAGTTTTCTTCATAGCGCTGCCCAGAATATGGGAGTTTTGGGCGTATTGTTTGATTCGCGTGGAGTTCCTGGCGTATGAAATCTCCGAGCCTTGACACCTCTCACGGCGACAGAAGCAGATTTGGGGAAAGCTTACTTCGATTTTTCACTGGCTGGAGAGGACTCCCCATGAACATCCCCCCTGTATCCCTGCTTCTTAGCCACGGGCCCTATCGAGGGGTGGGCGCGGCCCCGCGATCACTGCCTTTCTTCTCGAGATTCCGAAGCAGGATCAACGGCCAGAACTTGCAAGTATCCGTGATAGGGTTACAACAAAGTCAGTGTACCAGATCTGCCAACAACCTGCCAGCCGTCGATACTTTGCACGCACTAGTGGTATGTATGTACTAATGTACTGTAGGCTGCCAGGGCAGGGGAGATGTGTTGCAGGGGTCATCGGCCTTTTTAGCTACGTTGAAAAAATGGCTTGACCGGCTAACGAGCCGTACAAACGACGAGCAAGGGGGGGTGAGAGTACTAACCTCACATAGTCGCCTATACTGAGCGAAGGGTGTGAGTCTTGGAACCTACACACACGGCCCGGGACTATGATGAATGAAAAGCCGTACAGTCCACTCATGACCTCGACTTAATATACAGAACGTAGCAAGCGCCGACTTAGTGTCTCAACGCCAGGGACATATATGCGTGCACTTCATAGTGAACCCCATATTTCGTACCAAAAATGAAAGAAAATAGTACGTATGGAACTGCTACTGCTCATACAATCGAGTCGCTAAGCTGCGAACCGCTCTCGACTATGTATCCCCAGTTCTTGGAATGATAAAGTAAGCGACTTGTCAACCGGGAAGAGATTGCGTTCCCGGCGGCCTCAGATTATCGCAATTATTTTTTGGTGTGTTAACAATTATATTGAGATGTTTGAGATCTCTGCGTTGTTCGTCTCATCTCCCCTTCGCGTCTTTCAAGCGAGATGAGATCAGAAGCGGAAAAGACGATGAGGAAATTTCCGCGACGCCGGGGGCGGAGAAAGTCATGCTAACCTCTCATTGGCCAGGTCTCTCAAACACAGGCTGCTAACGTAAGGTGGTGTAGTCTCGGGAGAGCGGTACGGAGTCACGATTCTTCACGTCTTGGCAGCATTTGGAGTATCCTACTTTCTACAAGAAAAAAAGTGTACATACACCATGAACCTGTTTCTATCTATGAAGCACCATCGTGAGGTTGGTTCCTTGTTCGCGATCCTGGTTTGACCCTGTAAGTTGATTATTATGATTTTTTGCTATTTTTTTTGACCTACGATCATGACATAAGAGACCCGGTCACAAACAGACACACACCTCATCGTCCCATTCAACGAACCACCATTTATCGAGATCTCTACTGAACATCCGGGCCAACCCGATTCACATCTGGAAATGAGGTGCGATATGATGCGATCGATGATAACTAGACTATACATCTTCAAGATGCCTACTGTCAGGGTCCCGCCAATGGGGGGCCAAGAGGAAGAAGGCTTGTGCAAGCTTTTGTTCAAGTCCCGGGACCCTGCACGTTTCTCTCCGGATCGACCACGATAATGTTCCCCTCCAAGCTTCTCTCTATCCTATTCAGGTTCAGTGCCTGGCATGGACTGGTTCCCGCCAAGGCTCTTTCGAACCTTTTTACCCCACACTCTTGTCGGTTGGATTGCCGCATCTCTTTTCATCGTTGTACAGCAGGAGTGTGGAGTGCAGTGAGCGTCCAACGTAACAGCTGACATTGACGGTTATATTGAAACGCCACTCGCTTAAGCGCCTAGACGACATGTTGAGAATGCTCCTAGATATCTAGTGATGCAAGTAGTGAGGCAAACCCGAGTGAAAGCGAGAGAAACTCTTCTCGCTGGTGCTCTTGGCGCAGAATGTCATGATCGGATTCTGCCATCTAAGAGGTCGGGATATATTAAGCTTGTCTATTCTTGTCTCCACATGTCCGTACTTGGATTCCTCTTGGAAATGGCCCCATAACTCTTTGTGAAGACTAGTCTACGCCAAAGCCGAAGTGAAAAGTCTGCAAAGTGAGTGTTCGTCGTTGATGCAGTATTGCCAAATTTGGACACTAGCCTCTATTCTTTCATACGTGCATATCCTCTACCTAGGTAGGTCGAAACCCCCTTGCGCTTATGGGGGCGGCGATGCCGACCGACCGAGCAGTACAAGATAATCCGTAGTCGGCGTGTGTGAATAACGTATTTGGTTGGTCATCTTACCGATGAAGATCATGGTTAGTCACGGCTCTATGTTGCCCATGCCTATCAAGGTGCTCCAGACCTTGGTGTGAACCCCTCTGTGAAGAATCAATATTCATGATGGGTTTTCGCTGTTGGAGTCGAAAACTGCGCATCGTGAGTGGTCAAGAGTCAGCCCATGTAGGACTCGACTAACATAAGCGGATATTAAGTGAGGAGGACAGCATTCGGACAAATCCACGTGCCTAACTATCCAAATCGAGCCGATGAGTCTTTCGTGCAGCATAGATAATGCGTCTTAGTCCTAATCAAGGCATGCATAGTTCACGCAAGGCCACGTTAGTGTGGCCGAGGTCCTCAACAAGATAGGTAGCCGAGCACCTCCCTGACAGCGCAGTAATAACCACAGACCAATGAGAATGGCAGAATGCCTCGGTCTCATTGGTCTATATATTAAATTTCGCCGTCCATTTAAAAATTCATGGAGTGGTGCTACTTTGAGCATCTGGGGAAAGCGTTACGCCTCAATCTGCCCATCAGCTCCTCTTTCGTCGTCCAAAGGACACTGCAGGGTCTCGATGGCCATCACCGAATCTTCTCGACCTCAACGAAGTTGAGTAACCCTACATATCGTAGATTGTACGAGGTTGGGAGTCCTACACTTATAAGGGAGAGATCACCACATGACCTGGTTCTTTTAATATGTTGCGTGGATAGCCTCCAAGCCATACTCAACTGTTTGACCGAGAACGGCCATCTCCAATCAAAAAAAAGATAACTGATGGCCCTATCAGAATTCTCCTAGCTAGAGAACCAATCATCTTGGGACGATGTAGAAATTTGGGAACCTTTTCCCCTCCTTCCATACCTTCGCGTTTGACTCGGTTGACTACTAGCTTACCAAAGCCTTGACTCGTGTCCTTGGGTTGAGGCCACCTAGGGGTACGATGTTGACATGAATCTATCTCCGACGAAGCGCTCATCCCGACCCATAATCAGGCCAGCATCGCGGAGGGCGCATAATTCAAAGAAACTTAGACATGTGAGTTGCAGCGATCGCCGACTACGATGCTCTACTAGAAGGGGCCAGAGTCGTACTCGAAAGGGGAAAATAGGGATATTATGGACGAAATTCCGGTAGAAAAAAAGATGGACGTTTCATAGCATTTCCGTACCTGAAAGTTGCATCCACTTAGATCTTACCTAGAAGAAGTTTTTTGCTGGAAAGGTGTAGTGGGAACTGGACTTGCGAATCCTAGAAGTTCCATACACGATCTCAAGCATGTGGCAGCCACCTGGTCAGTTCATCCCGTTACGAACGATAGCATCGCAAATAAGCATGCACTCCAGGTTCAGCATAACTCATTCTTATTCACCCGAGTGGGTGGAATTCTTTCCTTTTGGTCATAGTTAGAAGACTATAGATATTTTTGTCGTCGGCCAGAGAAGCAGGGCACTAGACGCAGCTATCGGACATTGTGGTTGAGGTTACCGCAGAGGGTCTGCGGTCCGAACATATGTCCCCGCCATCTCCAGCCAGAGGGAGGGATGTTAGGTGGTGTGAACATGTAGTATCGTCAAGTTTGCCAAGCTTCCAGGCTTTTCAGAAGTCTCCACTACTTCTCCAACTTCCCCCATGAATAACCCGGATCTGCGGATGATATGCCTATGGGAATATCCTCTTCTTGCTGGCTGTCACCTTCCCGGGGTCCACCCACTATAGCCGAAGTACCTGGCACCGGCTGCTAATGCCGTCGAATATGCAAGTATTTTCAATTGGAATGTACTGCTTCGTGATGATTTTGATCACTTCCTGGGCTACCATTCCGCCAGTGACAGCGGAAATGTTGTGAAGTTCGCCGCCGCCAGCCCGGGCCACCTCTTGGGCAGCCTGTAGCGCTCTTTGATTTTCGGCCGTCTTTGGTACTATATTGGTAACAGAGCTCATGATTTCATCGGCGGTTGATGCGATATTATGACTAGTCGCCACGAGCGCGAGATAAATGAAGAAATTAGACATTGGTAGAATAAATTCACCTTTAGTCGCGGCCTTCATGGCCTCGGCCTCCTCGTCATTAGTCTTCTCAGCTTCTATGGAAAAGGGGTCAGTACATATTCGAGGACAAGTCCTAGCATGGATTAAGTGACTAACCATAAATTTCATCGAGATCGGCCTTCTTTGGTGTTGCATTGATGAGCTTCACAAATCGAGCATTCTTGCAGAATAAGTCTACTTCGGCAGGATCAACGTCTTTGCCACCCGGTATGGCCCTAGCGGTGTTTAGCACCTCCTGCACGTCTTTCCGAGCCTTTTCCTTGTATATGCTTTGCAATTTGACGTAGACACTTGACTGGGCCTTCATATCAGGTAAGGATCCAGGCAGAGGGAGACAACCATGCTTGCGGTAGAATGTCTCGATAGCCTTTGCGATAATCCAGAAAGTTGACTGGAGCTCAATCTATCGACGTCAGTCTGGAATGTTCCTCGTACACACCACGATTCATATTATCATACCTCATCCGAAACTTGATGATTAAAAAGTTCCTCTACCCCGGGTTCTAATTCGGGAACCTTGATGTTCTTGTTGATGGCGACTGCAGCTTCTTGGAAGTTCTCCTCCCCGCCCTCCGGGTTGTTGGTCCTTGCCTTGCTCAAGACGAATTTACTAAATGCCGTCTTGTCGTCGTACTTCGTAGGATTCTGACCGTTGTGTGTCCGCCTCCATTCATCAAGGTAGTGGAGTAGTATGACGACATAAGGCAAATGCCCGTGTTCATGGTCATCTAAAGCATCAATATTCTTGGTCATCCCCTGAGCGAATTCAACAAGTTCGGGCCAAGGATTCAGGAGTCGGAGGTCTGCTGTCTTTTCTACCTCAGGGTGTGTATCGACTATGGGAAATGTTCCGGGTAGGTTGATGCGAAAGTAAGAGTAGAACCCTGCGGAATGGATTGCTACTAGAGGCGTCTTGTGCTGATTGGCATAGGATTCGATTATCGAAAGGATGTCCTTTTTGATGGGGTGCGTGTACATGATCAAGGTGAAAGTAGGCGAAGCCTCTAGAGCGGTGCGCAGATCCAATTTACCCTACGATATCATATCAATATCTCATTTCTCCCAGTCGCGTTGAGGGCATATCGCGCACCTCTTCCTTTGGGAACCATTCTCCTTGGACTTCGGGGTTCAATTCCTGGAGAAGCTGAGTACAGCATTCCGACCGGAGCTTTCCCAGGCAGCTCTCATCGAGGAAGAAGTTAACTCCCAGATCGGCCTCGGTCACTCTTGCATCATCCGCTATCGTAAACTTCCCTATTCCTATTCATATGTGTGAGCTTATATCGGGTATTGTGAATTAGTAGGTGTTTATACCCGGTAACACAAGATTCTTGAGTGTTTCCACACCGACGGCGCCCGCGCCGGAATTGACGAGAAGAATGTTAGCAGACTCAAGAGCTGCTTGACCGCTAGCAGCCCATAATCTGAGCTGCCTATCATATTTCTTTTCCTTTTCGGATGGCCCGTGGAGAATAGGGGGCGTTTGGCTCGTCACGATCTCAGTCATCTTGGCCGATGTCCGGAAGAATCCGCGGATGTGAGAATCTCCCGACCAAATGTTCCTAGCAACAAATCTAAAAACCTCGATGCACGCCGAATAGGTACTATCTTTCCCCAGCCGATTAATGATTAAATATGAAGGTTGCCATCCGATATCGTGGGCAGCGTTTTTTTTATGAGAGTGAATTGAAAAACGAGGTTGCCTCTAATCTAGGCAGGTGCATGCGTTGAGCTGATGCATTAAGTGGCTAGTGGGGAGGTTCAGCCTCAGAACTGCTGACCAAGCCTGCCAGCTGCCGATGGGTGTTGACGTGGACCCAATCAAACCGTTTACTTCAGCGGGGACATCACAGTATGTACCCCAGACGCGCATTTCTGCAGGACCGTTACATGTAGCATAGCACAACCTTAGAACTCTTATTCATAGTTATTTTTCTCAAAGATATTGATACCATAATAGACCACACGTTTGTAACTTAAGTTGAAAATTTCTAAATCACTCAAGAATTCGAATTCACAATTGCAATCCACAATACTTGGGTATGGAAAAGTTTTTTTTGGTGGCTTGGGATAATAACTCCGAAAGTCCGAGTTGCTCCTATCGTGCAAGAAAAAGGAGGTTACTAAATCTGCGTTTACAACGTAGGACAAAGCTCATGCTGTGTACAGGTCTATTACTGGAAACAGTCTACTTTGCAGTGACAAAAAGATAGTGTATGCGGGAGAGGAGTTACCAGAAAAGTAAACCGTTACTCAAATTACCGAAATCCGATTAAAATCCCTAATCTATACTCTGTGATTCTGTGGATAGTTCCGTTGCTATATGAATTTGAAGAATGGTATCCCAGTCCGTATGACACTACATTAGAATACGGTATGAGCAGATTGTGAACAGAAGGGTTTTGCAAGTGGCTTCGATCAGATACTCCGAACTCCGCGCCACGCCCGGTCATGACTTAAGAATAAGGCAAGACATCCGCGGATACCATTGATTAAGCTCTGAAACTGGACTAAGTACCTACCTGTTATGGGGCGTTGAAGATTAGAGGATGCACGATAGCCGAGACAAACACAAATTCAGATAAAGTGGCTTCGTAGTTCTTGACAAACCACATGAGACAAGAAAGTCGGAAGGCTCAGTTTCCCGACTCCGTCTGGGGAATCGAAGAATGTAGCGTGGGGAAAAAAAAAAGAGGAAATCAATGATTAAGTTCCCCCTTGCTTTTCTTCGCTTCAATCGAGGGTTGAATGGACTTTAAATGCTCCCCTCGGTGTAGGTATCGTCTAACGTATCTATATGCGTGCAAGCGCCCCCACACGGATCGCTATCGGCATTCAGGATCTGGTATCGGGCATCAAAGAGCTAGAGCAATATTCGGTCAGGTTACCAGCCGTAAATGAATCATATCAAGGGAAAGGCGGAGAAGTTCGGGGCCGAGGGAGGATAATGGAACTACGGCCGTCTTCTAGCGAAGCCCGGGGGATAAGCACACATCGACCGGGTCCGAAGAGCGTATTATCGTCATTCTAGTCGTACGGATTTTTAGGTTGGTGGACTCACCGGTGGGGATAAGAGCGGGTTATGATAAGCAGAGCCCGATGTGATTCTGCTCGAAGGGGTGTTGTTTTATAAACCAGCTTCGCTTTCCAGAGAATCCGACCTGTAATATAACACGTACGCGAAACCTTCTCACGGAGTGAACTTGAAGATGGTCTGGACTCCTTCAATTCAACGAGGTGACCCAAGCACCCAAGCACATATACGACAAGTTAGGTAGTCTGGGTCCGTTCGGGATTTGCTTTAAATGAGATGGGTAACACTTGCCAGAGTGATTATGAGCTTGAATATTGATGAACCTTACTCGGCATCGCTGTGCCCGTTCGTGGTGCGTGACCTGACTGCAACGCCATCGAAATGTTGTGAGAGCTTGGCATAAATGTTGGACTAAGACGACAGAGGATGACGACAACAAATAAGTGAGACATTACTGCCTGGAGAGTGACAGATACCACTATATTAGATACTTATGACGGGTGTATTTCATAGGGATGTAGTGTACGCTGGAATATTGGGGGTATTTTAAGGAGTGGAAGTAGTGCTTCGCGTAACGGACGTGTTGACGATTAATAAGGCTACACGCGTCTCGACAATGATTGTAAATATAGGAAATAGCTATCTACTTAGGTAATTAATCGGTAAAAACTGGTCTGATCAAGCGAGTTATCTTCAATCAAAGGCCTTTTGGTTTGCTACGGCCGTTTATACCTACCTAGGTATCCATGGTATCAGGGATAACAATGTTACCAGTTGGGTGGAACGAATCACCCCAGGATATCTCGCAAGATGGGATCAGGGTGGGGTTCGCGTCGTACACCGCAGCAAGCAAAAGATGTTCACGACTTCCCCGACTTTTCATCCGTACGCGGTGTTGGGAAAGCGCTTAGTGTAGGTAGAATTAGGTAGTGTTGACGGGGGTGACCATACTTAGACACGTTGGGAAACAATGTTAGTAAATTTAGGGAATCGCGTTCGCTTGATTGGGCGCTTGGGGTTCTTTACTCGAGATGTGTGGTTTATGGGTTTGCAACGGACTGTCAACACCTACTAGGCAATGACAAATGGGTGCACAGGTGTATCTGACGGTTAGCACAGGTCGTAACACCACCTGCCTCGAGTAGAGTCATTTATGTTTCGAGTTTTCCTTAAAAGTGAAGCTTTTTCCAATTTTACACAAGACATTCCAACATTTACTTAGTAAATGACCATGGAGGAGCCACGGTCGGAGACCGCAAACAGGAGCGAAGACGCCGATACTCTGGTTCCGGCTTCTAGTGATTCCAGTTTACATCTGGATATCAGCCGCCCGGAGTTACCTTTACTACGCTTCTGGTTACTATGTTTTGGGTAAGCAAAGAGTTGGTCGATGTTCAAATGCCCTTCTAACATAAACTAGACTTCTCCTCGGCCTATTGTTGTCGCTCCTCGATACCTCCATCGTCGCGACGAGTCTATTTTCGATAGCGGTCGAATTCAACACCTTAACATCGGTGAACTGGGTGGCGCTGGCCTACACTTTAACTTACCTCGGCTGCGCTGTGTTATTGGCTCGGATATCCGATATTGTCGGTCGGCGCAATGCATTCATCGCATCGTATCTCGTTTTTATGGCATTTTCGGTGGCTTGTGGATTTACGCAGAACTTGGCCCAGCTGATAGCGTGCCGAGCAGTGCAAGGGCTTGGCGGTTCAGGTAAGTAACGGCAGAAATCACGAGCGCACGTTAACTGACGATTATAAGGGCTATATTCCATCACGATGATAATCCTTCCAGAAGTTGCGCCGAAGAAACTGAAAAGCTTCATTGGAGGCTTGATTGGGATTGTCATGACAGCATCGAGTGTCCTAGGGCCAGTCCTCGGAGGTGTATTGACGCAGTACGCAAAGTGGCGTTGGGTCTTCTGGATTAAGTAGGTTATCCGAGCGGTAGGAGAATACTGGGAAACATGCTGATGTGGCGTATAGCGGACCTATCGGTGTGGTATCGATGCTCCTCTTCTATTTCGCATGGCCGAAGCCTCAATATTTGCCCAATAACGAGAGAAGATCCTGGAAGGAATTGGACTATGTTGGCTCGGTACTTCTGATTGCCGCTGCTGTCTTGGTCGTATTTCCGTTCCAAAATGCTGGGAACATGACGGACCAATGGTCAAAAGCCATCTTCATCGCCCCACTGGTCATCGGTGTAGCTTTATGGGTGGCTTTAGTCGGTTGGTCTATTTTCGTAGAACGCCACTGGGGGGGCGCCATAGACGCAGCGCTTCCTATGCGGCTCCTACACGATCGTGTGTATGCTTCGGCGGTCTTCAACACCTTGCTCCTCGGGTTTCCTTACATGCTCATTATTTATGCATTCCCGCTCAGACTGCAGATGGTCAACGGCAAGAATCCATCTATGGCTGGAATCATGCTCCTTCCAATGTTGGCTTCGAGCGCTGTCGGTTCCGTGATTTCAGGAGCCCTCAATGCGAAGAAAAACAGGGTATTCGAGACGCTACTAACGGCTACTTGTCTATTGGTCCTCGGCTGTGGTCTTCTTTCCACCCTCTCAAGCTCAATCGAACTCGAACCTAAAGCCCTAGGATTTCTGGTTTTCGTCGGCCTCGGGTTTGGAATGGTTGTTGCTACATCAACTATGGTGGCCACGATTCAATCATCAATGAGAGACCATGGTAAGTCTAATCTAGCAAGACGTTTTTCGATCTCTCTCCTAATCATTTGATAGCTCCTGCGCAGGGCCTTATAGCCCAGGTTCGAGTCCTTGGCGGTAGTATAGGCATTGCAGCATCTTCCGCCATTGCAGGAGTCATCCTTAAAGAACGGGTTGGATCAGACACTGGGCAATCTTCCTCGCTCGAAGACACTATCGCCAATCTGAGCCCTGAACGACAGGTGAACGTACGAGTAGCATATTCAGACGCTTTCAACGAAGATATGCGAGTATGTGCGATTATCGGAGCTGTTGCAGTTCTTCTGACTTTTGGCACATTTAGCCAGAAGCGGACAACTATAGCAGAGCACAAGGAACAGGAGATGCATAGGATGGGGAGAAGGAAAGCAACCCAACCTACCTAAGCCCTTACCGAATATGAGCTTCTGTAAGCCATTCGTTAATGATGCCGTATGCATAAGGGCATTAATGCGGGTTGAAAAGGGAAATTGATGTTGACGCTGATATTGTCCCTGGGTTGGTGCGTGTTTTCGTTCTGCAGGCGTGCATCTGATATTTTCAAGTAGCATCGGAGGATTTTGTCGAAGTAGCAGGGGTTATTGAGGATACGAATCTCATTATATTCACTTTATGTGTATTAGGTTCATTATAACCTGTAAAAGCACGGATTGGACTGGGTAGTGTAGGCATGAGAGCAATGATCAGAATGAGACCGGACGAATATCGGCATGTCCCTGACAGGACAAAGACAATGAGCAAGATTTTGGCCTCTGTGCATCCCTTTTATAACAGATATACGTCGCGTGATGGTAGATTTTGCGTATGTTGTGTGTCGTGTGTCGTGTGTCGTGATGCCTGGAATCCATCCCTACTTTTATTGGTGAAAGAAGGGAAGTAAAAAAGTTGTAGCAGAGAAGAATTGGTAGGTAGGTGTTATACGTTAGGTACCTAGGTAGTTCTGTGAGGCTGTAGCTGCTGTGGTTGAAGAATGGTCCGTGCATACAACTTAGTCCTGTCAGATATAGAAGGGACGCACGCCTGATAGGTGACTTTTAACACCAACCAAACCTGAAACGGCCTCACTAAGTTGCTTAGCTGGCCTTGGCAAAGTACCTCTAATCCTTGTTACACGCTTATCAGTGGTTCTAATTTGGGCGATAGGACCGCTAGCGCAATTAGCAAGTTCTGAATTCAAACTCGACACCTTTTGATTATTATTTCGTTATTTCGATTTTAATGCTTCCTATTGTCCCTGTCATGTATTATATGGCGACGACGATCACGACGTGAATTGACACTTACCTAGTCAATATCTCCGATCCTGCCATCTCGGATCTACGAGTTTCGATGTTATTATCCTCACTCATGAATCTGTAGACATATTTCGCCCGTCCCTAGACTTCCCACCTCAAACGGCGCCCTTCCTGAGGAAAAGGGTCGTACGTCCACCCACAATCTCGAATTCCTTTGCGCCCTCTCTTCTCGACACATTCCACACTCTTTTCGAATGCTACCATCATATGCATCCCCGACCGGTTCCAAGATGATGCCCCGACATCATTCCGCTGGATATTCCAATGGCTACCCTCGAAGTAATAATAATACTTTCGACATCTCTCCTCATAGGTTGGTGTACCCCTTTTCGTTTTGACATGGTATTGGCTGCCTTGATAGCCTGGAATATGTCCATATGAACCGTCTTCTGACTATTTTGCTGTCAATTAGATTCCAACCGCGCGCTTCGACACCCGCATCCCGCCGAAGGAGGAGTTTACTGACGCGACTGGGTATACTTGCTGTTGTTATAATATTGATTTGGTTATTCATCTGGCCAGGAGGTACAACATTTACCTCGATATTCTCATTAGGCCTTATGAGTGCAAGTAGCGACTCTTTGATGGACACAGTACGCTATTATGATCTTTCGAATGTTCAGGGTACCGCTCGCGGATGGGAAAGGGAGGAACGAATCCTCATGTGTATGCCTTTACGAGACGCCGAAGCCCATCTCAACATGATGTTTTCGCATCTTCGCAACTTCACCTACCCCCATCACCTTATCGACCTCGCTTTCCTCGTTTCCGATTCGAAAGACCGAACTTTGGAGATCCTTGTAGAAAAGCTCGAAGAATTGCAGGCTAGCGAGGACCCGAAGCAACCATATGGAGAAATATCTATTATCGAAAAGGATTTTGGCCAGAAGGTCAACCAGGACGTTGAAAGTCGTCACGGATTTGCCGCTCAGGCGAGTCGTCGAAAGCTGATGGCCCAGGCACGAAATTGGCTACTAAGTGCCACCCTTCGCCCGTATCATTCGTGGGTATATTGGAGGGATGTTGACGTGGAGACCGCACCATTCACCATTTTGGAAGACCTGATGCGCCATAATAAGGATGTTATTGTACCAAGTGAGTTTGCGGGATTCTGCTATACCATATTTTCGGTCACTAATAGTATTGTAGATGTCTGGCGACCACTTCCTGATTGGCTCGGAGGCGAGCAGCCGTATGACTTGAACTCTTGGCAAGAATCGGATACCGCCTTAGCACTCGCCGATACCCTTGATGAAGATGCTGTAATTGTTGAGGGTTATGCTGAGTATGCTACTTGGCGACCTCATCTAGCCTATCTTCGGGACCCCTACGGTGACCCAGACATGGAGATGGAGATCGACGGTGTTGGAGGTGTCAGTATTCTGGCTAAGGCGAGGGTATTCAGGTCGGGTGTACATTTCCCGGCTTTCAGTTTTGAAAAGCATGCTGAAACCGAAGGCTTTGGCAAGGTAAGAGCTCATTCTTATCGGTTGATGAAAATATGAAAGCTAACAACGGATATAGATGGCGAAGCGTATGCAATTCTCTGTGGTTGGATTGCCTCACTATACAATCTGGCATTTGTATGAGCCTAGTGTTGATGATATCCGACATATGGAGGTGAGTCGAAAGAAACAATGAGTGGTCTGTCGCAAAGATATACTAATTTAAGAATTAGGAAATGGAAGCAGAGCGTCAAGCTAAAGAAGCCGAAGAGCAAGCAAAACTAGACCGAGAGAAGAAGGTTAAAGAAGAGTTTAGCGACACCAACGCGCAATGGGAGGCAGACAAATCTGAAATACAAAACCTAGCTAAGGAAGCACAAAAAGAACAGAAGGCCGAGTCTAAGAAGAACTCGGGGTCCGAGAGCAAGGAAGATTCGAGTCGAGACTCGAAAGCAGCCGCTAACAAGGTCGAAGAAAAGCCTAAGAACAACCAATTCAGAGTAGCGGCCTAGAAAACGAGATTCAAGATATAACACTCGGGTGGTCTTTAGTTGGAGTTAGTTCCTTTACAACATCATGTCCGGTCTCTCTTTGCATTTCGAGCACGGGGCAGATTTTAACAACACAAAAGTCGTTTGAGGTTGGGGGTTTAAGGGGCTGGCGTGCACACTTGTGATCAAATGTGGTCGCTTGTACAGTAAAGAGGACCATGGTGAGGATCATGGCACTTGGCGTTATTGGTAGTGTCGATGCATGATTACGAAGCACGGGACATTTTCGAACGCGGCATATGGTAACTGCGTCGATTGTTGTATAGACTGGCCTTGAGGCTATATTATTTATTAGTAGATATTTTGTTCGAACCATCTTTGCAGTTTGATTTTGTTGACGTTGACATGGATATGATATTAAAGAAAGGGGGCGAACTTTTAGTTAACGAGCCAACCCACCTTGATGCACCAGGGTTCGAATCTAAGCGGGTGTCTATCTTTTATTCACTTTTTTCTCACTTTGCAGTGTTTGTACCAATCGCAATGAATTCTCTTTTATCTGTACTTACAGTCATCGCCCCCTTTTCAATTTCTAGCTGGATGACCTAATATTTAAGTTTTGTTAGCTAAATTAGTTCACTGAATTTATGCCAGGGGACCTGGAAATAAAGCCGTTGCCGCCACGCTGTCACCATCGGATAAACAGCCGTCGATTTAAACCCAGGCAGCTGGCACCAGTTTCTTGGCACGTGCAAGATTTCTAAGGACCCAACATTAATTATTATCAGATAGCTGCGATAGGTTCACAATTCAAAGTCACTAATTAATACCTGTTCACCACAGCTTGTCCTCGATTTGTTTGTTGTTCGTTATTGGACAATGTGAAGGGACTTGGATCCTTTGGAGCTTAGCGACGCCTGAACCGATTCTTTAGATAAAATACCGTTCTACGTTCTAAGCGTTCATCCATAGATCGGCTTTACCAATTTCCATTCGATCGCGCGACAACGGAGACGCATATCCCGAGACCGAATCTATTTCTTTTAAATCGGATTTCGCCTTCGTAGGCGAGGATGAGTCGAGATGAGAGCACGATCGCTATGGAACCCGAACATGCGCCCGAGTCGAATAACTTGGGCCTTTCCCTCCGACAGAGCGCAACGAGGAACGCAGCCGTGAATACCAATGTCCAGGGTCCTAACACACAATATCGAAGCCGACCGGTAACAGTTGCAGTTGATCCAGTGTCTTTGGTCATATCAGAATGCATATCAGTCACTTCTGCTATGCGAAAGCATGCCCGATGGGCAGGGTCGTCGGTATCTTCTATACTCGGAGGCAATCCCAATCCCGTTCAGCTAGGCCCGCCTAGCCCTCTTCTACGACCCGGAAGCAAAGGATCTACAACTAGCTTGGGGGGTGATAGTGCGCAAGACTTTGGAATCGCGAATCGATGGGGCCTCCGAGGAAAGAAGGGCAAGAGCTTTCAAGATAATCCATTAATGGCTGGGTTTGGCCGACTTCGCCATGAATTATCAAGTTGCAAAGGTACTATAAGGATGCAATGTTACTACTGGAAGATACACTGACTTCAGTTCCAGATATCCACGAATTCGATGCCCCGGCACTCCTCAACCCTTTCCTCCAAGTAATCCAAGCTTCCTCGACCTCCGCCCCTATAACCATCCTTGCGTTGAAAGCGATCCGAAAGTTCCTCTCTTACGGCTTCATTAGTCCCGACTCGCCCCGATTTCCCCTTGCTATGCAATCCTTGTCGACCGCCATTACACACTGCCGTTTTGAGGCTAGCGATTCTGCTCAAGATGAAGTGGTTCTATTAATGATCTTACACCTTATGGAAGATATGCTTTCTGGGCCGGGCGGTGCGTTATTGAGCGATGAAAGTGTATGTGAGATGATGGAGACTGGATTGACCATGTGCTGCCAGTCGCGATTGTCTGAGCTTCTTCGAAGAACGGCTGAGGCGGCTATGGTCCGTATGTGCCAAATTATTTTTGAGCACTTGAAACACCTCGAAGTCGAAGCCGGTGACGATTTGGAGGCTCTGGATAATCAAACGAATGGGGATATGGAAGGAGTGAAAATGATTCCCTCTACGAATGGTAATGACGTTATTGCATCTTCCGATGCTCCTACGGGTGAACCACGGGAATCTTCCGGGTCCGAAGATACCATTAATAACGTGGAGGAGAGTTCGGCAAGGGAATCGGAGGAATCTGATGATACCACAGAGATCAAGCCTTATTCACTACCGTCTATGAAGGAGCTATTTAGGGTTCTAGTGGATCTCTTGGACCCTCATGACAAACAACAAGGCGATACGATGAGAGTCATGGCATTACGTATAATCCACGTTGCATTGGAGGTTGCTGGCCCATCTATAGCGAGACATCCAGCTTTAGCTGTGGTCGCTGAAGATCGGTTATGTCGGCACTTGTTCCAGCTTGTTCGATCAGACAATATGGCCATTCTCCAAGAGTCTCTCATAGTAGCTGGAACCCTACTTGAGACCTGCCGAGGAGTCCTAAAATTACAGCAGGAGCTTTTCTTGTCGTATCTCATCGCCTGTCTGCACCCACCCGTCGAAATACCACGCGAAACAAATATCGACCCTTCGCTTTACGATGGAATTCCACAACGGCCGAGTGGTGTAAAACCTCCCCCATCCCAAGCAGGTAGTGGTAGGTCGACACCAGTGCCGGTTAAGGACCGACAAAAGCTGGGAATGGAAGGTGGTGCACGCAAACCGGATGCTCGTCAAGCAATGGTTGAAAGTGTCGGTGCTCTGACTAGAATGCCGGCATTTTTAGTCGAGTTGTTTGTGAATTACGATTCTGACGCGAATCGTGGTAATTTGTGCGAAGACATGATTGGACTGCTTTCAAGGAGCGCCCTTCCGGATTCTGCGACGTGGAGTACAACTAGTGTTCCACCTCTATGCCTGGATGCACTTCTTGGCTTCGTTCAGTCAATAGCTGATCGCCTAGATGACGAACCTGTAACAGATGGGTTACCTGATCAAATGACACTTCGGGAAGAGAGACGAAGAAAAAAGATGATCATAAAAGGGGCGACGAAATTTAATGAAAAGCCGAAAGAAGGGTTAGGTTATCTTAAGGAGCAAGGAGTTATCGGCGGCGATTCTGCGTCGGCCGCTAAATTCCTTAGAAGTACCTCACGAATTTCCAAGGCAGTTCTCGGTGAATTCTTGTCAAAGAAGGGCAATGATGAGTATCTCGAGGCCTTCTTGGATCTTTTCGATTTCTCTGGGAAGCGTGTCGATGAAGCAGTCCGGCTTCTCCTCGAGAGCTTCCGACTCCCTGGCGAATCACCGCTTATCGAGCGAATAGTGACTGCCTTCGCGAAGAAGTACTTTGCAACCTCTGGTTTCGATGTTGTTGCGAGCGAGGATGCTGTGTTCATCCTCACATACGCAATCATTATGCTCAATGTCGATCAGCATAGCCCCAAACTCAAGGGCAAACAGCGTATGGAATTCGCAGACTTCGCGCGGAATTTACGGGGTGTTAACACTCCCACCAAGGATGATCCCCCCAGAGATTTCCCTCCTGAATTTCTGGAGCTAACTTTCGAAGCGATCAAGTCTAACGAAATTATTCTTCCGGATGAGCATGACAATAGGCACGCATTCGACTATGCATGGCGAGAGCTTCTACTTAAGACCGAATCCGCAGGGCCACTAGTTCTCTGCGATACCAATATCTACGATGCCGATATGTTTGCTACAACTTGGAAGCCAATTGTCTCGACATTATCTTATGTGTTTGTGTCAGCATCGGATGATGCAGTTTTCTCCCGAATTGTAACTGGTTTCGATCAATGCGCTCAAATTGCTTCCAGATATGGCGTAACGGATGCACTCGATCGGATTATTCAGAACCTCAGTTATATGACTAATTTAGATTCTGATGAACTATCGAACACCTCTCTCAATACGGAAGTAAAGGTATCAGATGATAGCGACAGCGTTATGGTTAGTGAACTCGCCGTTAAGCTCGGCAGGGACTTCAAAGCGCAACTTGCTACTCTTGTACTGTTCCGTGTTGTCAAGGGAAGTGAACAGGTTATTCGCAACGGTTGGGAGCATGTAAGTTTATGTTGTGACACCTTAACTATTAATAAGCTGATCAAAATAGATTGTCCGCATCTGGTTGAAACTCTTCGTCAACTCTCTTATACCCTCATTCTTCAATAATGACTCCGAAAAACTAGCGCTGCCTAGGATTCCTCTTCTTACGCCATCCCAAGTCATTGACCGTGCTACGAAGACTACCGAGACCGGTTTCATTTCGGCGTTCTTCTCGTCTATCTCCAGTTATGCGGCTGATGATCCACCAGAACCCTCAGCTGAGGAAGTTGAGAGTTCCCTAAGTACGGTGGACTGTATCAAAGCCTGCGACCTGGAAAATGTCTTCGCAAATATATTGTAAGTTGCTTTGGCCTTAGCTAGCCGTCACATGCTAATAACGTTTCAGGGCTCTTTCAGCAAATTCCCTCGCACCGCTTGTTGAGGCTCTATTGAACGAGCTTCCCGATGATGAAAGCTCATCTGTACCTGTAATTACCGTCAAGCCAGAAAGTCTTCCTTCGTCGCCTTCTAGTGCATCGAAACCTACCTCTACGAATCCCGGCTACAATCCCGCAGTTGTGTACATCTTAGAATTCTGTACCGTCCTTGCATTGAGAGACAATAATACGATAGAATTGCTCGGTAAACCCGTCGCCGAGGCTCTTCAGATGTTCCTGCGAGATTCGGCTCAGCACCACCCAATCCTCGTTTCACGAGCAGCCTTCTATCAGTTCAGCGTATTAAAAGTTAGCTACGTAAGTGGCACCACGATGCCACTGGAGAATTCGTCCGTACTGACGGTTCAGGATCACGATTTTGTACGAGCGCCTGTCCTTTTACATGCCATATCCAGTTTCCCGAAAGATACCCTTGCGAAGACGTCGCAGTTAGTTTTACAAGGCTTAAAGCATTGCATCGACCAACCAGGACCTCTTCGAAGCGAAATTATGACTTCACCCGATTTTTGGGTGATCCTCCGCACTCTCGCCGGCAGCTCCAGTGCATCTCCGACCGTTTTTGAAATATTAGAGGGTGGAGTGTCAGGTTCCCCGTCGCCAATTATTGCGGACAACTATGAAGCTGCGATTTCCTTGTTGAACGAATACGCAACAGCCGCTAAAGTCGGCGCACAGGTCGAGCAAAAAGGCGAAAGAAGGCAGCGAAATGCTCGACCCACTAAGAAGGAGGTTTCGAGGTATGTTATCCACTTGTTGCACCACAACCTAGATTTCTAACTTGTATTAGTGACAATGCCGTGGTTTCGCGAGGTGTGAAAGCTGTCAATCTTATTTCTAGTATGACGGCTCGTATCCCTTATTTGATGAAGCAATCACATCTTGAAAATAGTGAAGGTAAGTCTCATCTCGTACTTTTACAGTGTCAATTTGCTAATCGTACTGTAGCTTGGTCGGCATACTGGCTACCTATTTTCCAAGCCTTGACAACACAATGCACCAATCCCTGCCGTGAAGTCCGGTCCTTGGCATTTTCGTCCCTCCAGAGGTCCCTTCTCTCTCCCGAGTTGACATGTAGTGATCACGAAGAATGGACCGCCATTTTTGGCGAGGTTTTATTCCCTCTCATTTTGAGGTTGTTAAAACCGGAAGTCTATTCGTCGGACAGAGACGGTATGAGTGAAACAAGGGTGCAAGCCGCTTCACTCCTCTGCAAGACGTTCTTGCAATATTTAGTGCTCCTCTCGAAATGGGATGGCATGCTGGATCTGTGGCTGAAGATTATTGATATCATGGATAGGCTCATGAACAGTGGCCAAGGTGACAGTTTGGTACGTTGCTTATTAATCTTTTTTTCGTTCCTTCTTTAATACTAATATGTGGTATAGGAGGAGGCTGTACCTGAAAACCTGAAAAATGTACTATTATTCATGTCAAGTAGCGGATACCTCGTACCACCGAGCAAGGACCCATCCCAAGAGAACCTATGGGTGGAAACATGGAAACGAATAGACCGTTTCTTACCCGATTTGCGCAGTGAGTTGGCGTTGGAAGAACCAGAACCGGAGCCATCAGTCGAAGAGAAGAAGCCGCAGGCTGAACAGCCAGCCGAACAAGAAGAGGGAAAGAGTCCTGCTCCAGAATAAGTGGCAGCAGCCTGATTATTTGTAATCAAGAGGTGTAGTGTGCGTATTATTTGCGATTGAGTTACAGATTATAGACGAAGCATCCAGTACTATGCAAGAGAAAAGCAGAGAAAACTGGCTTTAGGGATTGTATAGTAGAGAGTTGAAAAAGGGGACGACCCCCAGAGGTGGAAATATACCTAGGCATTTATATATTCTAATTAAAACGTCGTAAATAATCTTAAATCTTACTTATGATACTCAATCTCTTCGATGAAGCCATGAACAAACGAATTTGATGATGTAATCTAAGTAGGAATTTGCCAGCTGCCAGACCCACTCATGCTTCTATAAAGCTGACTAACGCATATGTTATCGATAAGACCTAGCAATTTCAAGCTTCATTCGGACAAACCGCGACATAACAAAAACCGACCATCATCAACTTCTAAATTGAAGTCACAGTAACATCTCAAAATACAAGATCTTACTACGTAAATGACCTAGGACAATGGCTTCCGGTCAACCCATCTGCACGTATGTGTCATTGCACTCCGACACATACAATCCCCGGTTCCCGCCATGCTATGCACATCGCGTTCCATCATCCGATTCAATTGAACGAATCATTCCGTTGATTGACTAAGTAGCTAATCCAATTCCATGTCTACAGCGTCTACGTGCGAAATCTAGAAGAACGCGTAAAACCCGAACCGCTCAAGGAAGCCCTCACAGCCGTGTTCTCCGAGTATGGCAATGTCGTCGATATAATCGCTAAGCGCAACGTCAAAGCTAAAGGCCAGGCCTTTGTTGTCTTCGATCGCCCGGAGTCCGCGCTTCAGGCTGTGGAGGAGATACAGGGGTTCGAACTTTTCGATAAACCGATGCAGGTTGCGCTTGCGCGCACGCGGAGCGATGTTACGGTGTTGAGTAGTGGGTCGAAGGAGGAGTTTGAACTGCACCAGCGGAGGAGACAGGCTGAGAAGGGTGAGTTTATTCCAGATCTAGATGATGAATGAGGTATGAAGGAGATGACTAATGTGATGTGTCGTGAATAGACAAAAAGAAAGCCGCCGAAGCAGCAGAAGAACAAAAACGCCTCAAACGCCCCGGCGCCGTCCCCGCGACCGGCGAAGCCGCGCGTCCCGCCAAAACAGCGCGTGGTCTCAAGACTACTGCTCCCTCCGCGGGTCCCAACGCCGTGGTCCCCGACGAGTACCTCCCTCCGAACAAAATTCTATTCGTGCAGAACTTACCCGACGATTACCACGATATCGAAGCGTTGTCTGGCGTCTTTGGACGCTTTGAAGGGTTCCGCGAGGTGCGGTTGGTGCCGGGCCGAAAGGGTATCGCGTTTATTGAATACGAGGCTGAGGCTGGTGCTATTACTGCGAAGGAAAATACTGCGGGTATGGCGCTTGGGGAGAAGTTTATCAAGGTCACGTACCAGAGACAGTAGGTGTGCTGATGAGGTTTGCGCGATGGTGGGTTTCTACTTTATACCCTTTGCAATTGGCGTGGATACCGACAGTAGACAGTAATTAAGATCAGTAACACATTTGGCAAATTTGCGTAATATTTTGTACTTATATTCCCGTTTGTTTACTTCAGTGCCCAGCCTATAATTGTAGTGAACAGGAATCCAAGGTCATTGTAACCTGTCGGTATCATGAGGAATACATATACACAATGACGACCCAATGAACAATGCAGCCCAAGCCTTTGCTCGTCTCAACTCTCTATCGTCTCCGGCTTCACTCTAGAAAATAACATCGTCATCCTCGCCGGTAGCTAGTATATCGGCCGGTGTATCATCCGGTTGGACACTCTCATGACCTTCCTTTTCTTGAGCCTCCTTCTTCGCCTTCATTTCAGCATCCGCGGCAGCAGTATCTCGTTGTTTCTTGCCAGCGACCTTCTTCAACCTGTAAAACTCTTCTCGGTCCAGCTCGTCGAGTTCGGAGTTGATGTCTTAACTGCTGTTAGCTACTTCTTTTTGGTTTGAAACAAGGTATATCCTACATTTAATAGTGTTTTCAGTTCGTGGAATAATAACGTGTTCGATAGCGTTTACCCTTCGATTCACAACTTTAATCACTTCATCCAGAATCACAAAAGCGGTCTGCAGACTAGCAAGTTCGACCAGCGTTTCCACTGCCCGAGCATACGTCTCTCTACACCTCTGGACCTGCTGTCCACCTTTGCCTAAACCTGTTAGGCCAAAGTCGTTGTTCCCTTCTGTTAAGTAGCTTTCGAATGAGGGTAGGAGAACACCAGAGACGTTGTCTTGCTTGGTACGTAATCGGAACCGTGCCGATCGAGCGGATTCTTGTACTTGGTAGCCGATATCTCCTCCTACGGCATATGTAACCTCCGCTAGGGAGAATGCGGCGATTTGCATAACTCGTCCCATTTTGCGCTTCGCTTCGTCGATTCGTCGTGTGATTTCTGTGGTAATCGTCAATACTGGAGGTTCTAATGAATGGTTATCAAATTGGTATACCTCGGAAACGTCTAGATATATGGGTTAGTAAAGATAGTTACAAGAAAGTAGGGGTGGGAGTCTGGCTTACTTGGTGAGAGCTTCGCTCTTCCTCTTTAGTAAACTGTGACCCGTTTCAGCTCCCTTGAGCTTCGCCTTCATGATACCCAACGACTGTCTCGTCGGGAAGACGGGCTCTCGATCCTAATGCTTTGTTAGGACCATCCATAATTTCGAATCTTAAATCGTATAGCAGTCTTCTACATACTCCGGCTCCAGACATTGTGTATTATGGGTGCTTCAATCTGCCCTATGGTTTGGTTGGAGACACGGCAGGACTAGTATAGATCGAGTTGGGGGTGCGGAGAGAGGAGAGCTGGTCGAAAGGAACTCGAAGATCGGTATAGTCGTGGTCGATGTTAAAAAATTGTGATAACTTAGGTATTAAGGTAGTTATTCCCGATAGAATAGAATAGAGTGCCGCCTTATCAATTAGAGTTACATGACGGAAGATGGAGGCTAGCTTGCTTGGAGGTTGGAGCTTCCCTGACGATTAAGGGTTTAATGAAAATATATTGTTAGAAGGAACAAGGTGACCTTCCTATCCCTGTTTTATCCCTATTTTAATGATACTATACCCTTTTGTCGAATAAACGGGGCCCTAACTTTCTGGCTCTGCCCCCATGGTCCTGGAATTTTTTAAGGGAAATCCTACCTAGAACCAATCCTACCTGAACTTTTAATAGTGCCAGAGCTGTCGCGCTTCACAGTCACGGTCACGGTCGCTTTTCGACGCCCAGAAGTCGAAATTTGTCGCCCACCCTCTCAATTATATTCCCGACAATGCCCTGACTTTCTCAATCAACTTCCGTCGACCAGCAGAAATTATCTGCGAGCGATCGCGCAAAACGACGATCGACGGTCCCCTGGCCAAAATGGCGCCAAATGGCCTGACGAATGGCATCCGAATTGCCCGACAGCCTGACCTTCACCTTGTCGTAAGCAACACCTATTCTACTATCGCTATTGGTTTGTTCATTCTAACATTTTACTAACACGATACCTTAGACCGATGAGGATGCCGTTTACGAACAAGATATCCTTCGGGATCCAGGCAGCACAAAGCCGTGGCTAGCGTATATTCAATTCAAGCATCAACATGGCACCTTTCAGGAGCAGGCCTTCATTCTCGAGCGAGCTTGTATACAACTACCGAGATCATACAAGCTCTGGAAAATGGTGAGCGATTATTAAAGCCTACTCCACTTCGCGACACGTTTATATGCTTATATTTAGTGATAGTATTTACAATTCCGAACAAAGTATGTCTCAAAGTTGAATGCCGCCGTCTTTGCATCCGAGTACCAAAAGGTAAACGCCCTATTCGAACGGGCGCTGGTCCTACTCAATAAGATGCCCAGAATATGGGAGATGTACTTGAAATTTCTCCTAAAGCAGCCCCTGGTTACTCTTACGCGACGCACATTCGATCGAGCATTACGAGCGCTTCCCATAACTCAACACAATAGGGTATGGGCGCTATACCGACCATTCGCGAACTCTGCCTCAGGCGACACTGCTGTGAAGATTTGGCGAAGGTATATGCAGGTGCATCCCGAAGACGCCGAAGATTTTATCGAGCTTTTAACACACGTCGGTCTATATACCGAAGCTGTGAAGAAATACATCGATATTCTCAACAACCCACGGTTCAATAGCAAACAGAGCAAGGGGCACTACGAACTCTGGAGCGAAATGGTCGACCTACTAGTAGAGCATGCAAATGAAATCGAGACGGGTCACGAGTCTGGCATCGATGTTGAGCGCATTATTAGGAGTGGAATCGATAGATTTGCCGACCAAAGAGGGAAACTCTGGTGTGGTTTAGCAACATACTGGGTTAGGAGAGGAAGTTTCGAACGTGCGAGGGATATTTTTGAAGAAGGCATCACAACAGTCATGACCGTCCGAGACTTCACCCTCATTTTCGACTCCTATGCCGAATTCGAAGAATCCATTATTGGTGCGCTAATGGAGTTAGCGTCCCAACGAGCAGAAGAGGGTAAGGTTGACGGAGATGCCGACTTTGATTTGGATATACGTATGATGCGGTTTGAACAGCTGATGGACCGGCGGCCATTCCTATTGAACGATGTCCTGCTGCGGCAAAATCCCAACAGCGTCTTAGAGTGGGAGAAAAGAGTGGCACTTTGGGGTAATAACAAGGTCGAAGTCGTGCAGACATACACAGATGCTATTGCCGCGATTAACCCGAAGAAGGCTGTTGGGCCATTCCACCAATTATGGGCGAACTATGCTAAGTTCTACGAAACGGGTGGCGACTTACGAAATGCGCGGGTCATTATGGAGAAGGCCGTTAAGGTCCCATTCAAATCGGTGGCCGAACTGGCTGATATGTGGATCGAGTGGGCTGAAATGGAACTTCGCTCTGACAACCTCGACGAAGCAGTAAAGATTATGGCAAAAGCTGTACAGGCTCCCAAGAGATCTACAGTTGACTATTTCGACGAGACACTTTCGCCTCAACAAAGAGTTCACAAGAGTTGGAAATTATGGAGTTTCTATGTCGACCTCGTAGAGAGCGTAAGCCCTCTTGAAGAGACAAAGAAGGTCTATGAGCGGATATTTGAGCTTCGGATTGCAACCCCGCAAACCGTTGTGAATTATGCCAACCTCATGGAAGAAAATTCATATTACGAAGAATCCTTTAAGATATACGAGAGGGGGCTTGATCTCTTTAGTTACCCGGTAGCTTTCGAACTATGGAACCTCTACCTGACCAAGGCAGTAGATCGAAAGATCGGCATCGAACGGCTTCGAGATCTATTTGAGCAAGCGGTAGAAGACTGTCCACCCAAATTCGCTAAGGTATTATACCTCATGTACGGCAACCTCGAGGAAGAAAGAGGTCTGGCGCGGCATGCAATGCGTATTTACGAGAGAGCAACCCGAGCCGTTTCAGACGAAGACCGGGCAGATATGTTCAACTTCTACATCACCAAATCTGCGTCGAATTTCGGATTACCATCCACGAGGCCGATCTATGAACGGGCTATCGCAGCTTTACCCGACGAAGAGGCGCGAGATATGTGTCTCAAATTTGCGGACATGGAGAAACGTCTCGGAGAAATCGATCGGGCTCGCGCCATTTACGGACATGCGTCACAATTCTGCGACCCTCGCACGAACCCCGCATTCTGGACTAAATGGGAACAATTCGAAGTGCAGCACGGCAACGAAGATACATACAAGGAGATGCTACGGATCAAACGCAGTGTACAGGCACAATATAATACGGATGTCAACTTCATCGCGTCGCAAGCTATCGCCCGAGCCAATCAAACCCGCGGAGCAGAGACGAATGGAGCTGGTGATCCCGAAGTCGCAGATGCGATGGAACAATTGGAGCGGCAGGCCCGAGCGCCGGCAGGATTCGTGGCGTCGAGTACCGGGATCGCAGGCACGATAGCCAAGGAACAAGCTGCGGTACCGAGCAATCCTGATGCTATCGATATCGATGGCATGGATGATGATTGATGAAATAATTGATTATTCTATCTATTCATCTACGTATTTATCTACGTGTCTATCTGCCTCGTTCAGGAACGGTTGGCTTCTGGTCACTACGATCGTTATTGGCTGGCAGGCTAGCAAATTTGGCATAGTCATAAGTCATGAATGGAGGGAGAGGTGGAGGGAGTCTTGGGAATCGGTCGAACGGGACGGGCTGACAGCTAACAGTTAGCAACTAGCATTCTATTCCGTTCTATTATGGCAAACTATGCGATGCGCCTTTTTCGGCAATTTCTTCTGTTTTGTTACAGTGGTGGTGGGTTATCAGAGTAGGCCTACAGTTTTTTGTTCATCCGGCGCGAAGAGCAAGAGAAGAGAAGAGAAGAGAAAGAAAGAAACAGAGAGCAGATACCTATCATACATGCATGTCTACTTTATAAGCCCTACCTACATCCTTACGTATCCTCCTTTACGAATTTAACAAGCAGAAACCCGATTGAATGTGTTATGTGATACTTGAATGCGAAAGCATGTGGCGATATGCGTGGGATATTAAGAGTGTTAAGATTTACATGATTTGGGGGTGGAATAATTGCCTAGAATTAGGAGTGGTTGTTGCGTCAGTCGGTGGGTGAGTGTATCCTGTGTTGAAATCACGGTCGCTGCTTTATGACGTTATACTAACCGTCATCCGCCCTATAATGGCGGCTGAATAGCTAATCTCAGTGAAGTATCTGTATCCAGTGTCTGGGATATGCACATCATAGCTAGCTTTGGTGTGGTAAGTGGTCACGGGACATGACTATGACTATGATTATGATTCGTGGGGGTTATGTGACTGGATTATAGGGGATGGGCTGAAATGACGGGGCGCGATGTGATATTGGTGGGTGGGTGGTAAGCTGTGTGTCTTGCCTTGTTAGAGGTGGACTAGTTTGCTAAGTGTTGTGCTGACCCCCTTTAGATCGCTTACCACATAGGCTACATTATCACCAAACCCATATCACACTAGGTCAAAACACGGAAGCGAACGAGATTATAGACAATTCAAGGTAGAGGTAGAGGATTCTTTATATTCATGCTTATGTCGTGGAATTATACCGAACAATAATATAGAAAGGCAACGTCTGGCTAGGTGTACGTATCTCATCATTTATCTCATCTCATCACTTCAACATCCTCATTCCAATCCCCGTCACTCACAATTCCCATCACCGGTACCCGATATACGTCATACAAGCAAACGAATCTACTAGACCTCGTAAAAACGACAGACACATGGACTCCTTTTCTCTTCTTCTACGCGCATCTTCTTCCCCAATCTGTTCGGTTTTGATTTTGGCATTTTGGATTTGTGGTTGTGTTTGTTCGTTGTTGGTGTGATCCCGAATCTATGGTATCACTGGCACCCAGACCGTCCAGACCTATTGGCTGGCCTTGCGGCGTTGTTGTTGCTGTTGTTGCTCGTTGCTCGCGTCGCGGGTCCCGCCTACGCTACCCCGGCGGCTGGAGCTTGTGCTAGAGACGGACCACTATATCCATAAGAGATCAGGTTAGCAATTGGATGTTGAAGTGGGAAGGGATGGGGAAAGGAGAGAGATGAGGGCTACGTACACGCTTCGAGTGCGCCTTGTGGAATTCTTCGACTGCGTCGCGGTTACGCTCGATGTGGCCGTCGCGCGATGAGGGTGTGGCGTAGATGCTGCCCTTGCGCTTTTGGAAGCGGGAGGGGACTGTCTTGGATGCGTCTATTTAATGGTAAGTGTTAGTGAATGGAGGGTGGTATAGGATGTTAGCATGAAAAGGGGTATAGAGGAACTCACCCCACTCGTCTGTGTTGGAGTAGTCTCGTGACCCGGTTCGTTGTCTTGTTTCCGGTTGTTCGCCAGCGAAACTGTTGGTGAACTGGGGTGACTCGGTTTGGTATGCTGTCGCCATCGTGGATGTGTTTAGTTTTGAGGTGAGTTGTGTCTATGTGGTATACGTTAACCCCTATGATTGAGGGTAAGTCGCAAGGGCAGGTTGTAGAATTGTAACTATTATAGGGTAAAATAAGTGTATGTACCTAGGCGAACAATAGGTATATCTAAGTTTATAGTAAATGAGGTTGTTGATGGATCAGGATCGTCTATCGAAATCTCTGGGTCTTTTTTGAGGATCTATCTATGGAACCCGGGGGTTCGAGGCCACTTTTATAACTAGCAAGAACCAGTTCAGATATTAATCGTACCAGGTAGAGTTTGCTAATCCCCTCTTGCCTTGGCTCTGTATACGTAGCTCCCGTCTGATCTTTCCCTCAACATCTACATATTTGAAACAGGGATTCGATAACAATGTATGTAGCGTAACATCATCTCCCCTTCTTCCTATCCCTCTTTCTTGATACTTAAAAAGCTTGGTGTTCTTGGGTGATCTACTAAGCAACAAAGGGTAACGGCCGGAAGTGGTAAATGGGTTGCCTCCCGGATATTGATGCTGTAAGACATCGGGATCCCAATTGGTTGCACTGCTGCGATGGCCTGTTGGAGGAAGCATCACGACTCAAGTAGATAAGTAGACAATAGCAATGAAGCTTGGAGACTAATCAACTCGGGGAAGGTAAAAATGGCGATCGATGTCACTAACAGGTTGCCTAGACTTTAGAGCTGATCCAATCAACTTCATCCGTTTCGACGGTGTTCTTCTTAACTTTGCATTGTCGTGGCTTAGCTTCCCAATTGCGAGTCACAAGGATCATTTTGGTTGACATGGCCTAAATAGAAGGTATCTACAATCATCTCCGTCATAACCGATATTTTCTTCATGTATATTGTATTTAGTACGTAAATCCTTTTCCTCCTTTTTTTTCTCTTTTAACCCCCCCGCCCGTTTTCGGTACGTAAGTTAGGAGGGTATCATCAGACCCCTATTTCTTGTTACTCCAATCATATATTGAGGAAGCATTGTAAGCTATTTGCCTTATGCACTCCATAACATGCAACAGAGACTTTCTATACATCTTGCATAGACCTCTTACCATGATGTAAAGATGGAGTAGATCGCTGATTCGACTACGATAATGAAAATCCACCCAATTGCTCGTCACCACGCCATATTGGAGTATTTGGAGGCTGTGTGATGTCGGAAATGTCTTTGCATGCATATATTGTGACATTAAAACGGATGTTGTAAAACAACCTTTTTTCCTTTTTTTCATCCTTCTTGAAGATGTTCGATATTTGGTTACTCTATCACTTTTGTCACTGTGCACAGCGGTGCTTGTAAAGTACGAGATGAATTGAAAAGGGTAATGTATCGGGTGATGATGTAGCTACCCTCGAAGATACGCTAGTCCATGACGTCAGTGGTAGACGCCGGAGTCAAGCGATGATAGCGGGTGTAACGGTGCTAAGCTACTAGCGTTTCTAGCGTAGTATTTCCCCGTCCGTTTTTAATGAAAGTGTGGGCACCAATCAACGTCTACCGTTTGCTAAGATATAGTGATGTTGTCCCCTCTATTCGATGCCTGTGAACCCCACTAAACTGTCTAGATACATTTGAATCTGTTGTAACCATACCCATAAAAGACGTTAGATCGCCGATGATTACCTGATTCCTATTAAGCTTATCATGTAAGTGTTTGGTGCTAATTACGATAGGATCGGTATTTGTCCCGTTAGAGAGAAACGTTAATTACTTAGAGATTAGATGGGATTGTCTTCGATGGCGTCTGGCGCGGATCGATTTACCGGGGAACAAGCTCAATACTTCTCATTTATGGATGGGCTGATCGACATTTTCAATCCCCACGAAATGGACTCCATCAAGGTCTAGACTCAAGACTATACTACTGTTGAATTTACATGCAGTTTGCAGTTTGCAACTCTGTATAGTCTTACGACTTGAATGGGCCGAGTTCCGTTCGAGTATCAGTCTGCATCATGCCGTGAAATAACTATTGCAATCTATATACTCTCCAACTAATATGTCGTACTTATTGAACTGGTTACAATCTAATTAGATGTTTGCAACTGTGCCACATACCTATGATCAACGCAGCAAGAACTGCTGATGAACTTGTTAGTATTACCACCCCACCATATTTCCCAGCTCCAAACTGCGCACGGTCCGTTGACGAAGTAATCAAAGCGGCACTAACAGGACCAACGATTATACCCCCAATACCTTGAAGAAACACGAATATAGAGTATGTCGAAAAGACAGTAGCCGGGTCATCACTAACAGCCCGGCCCATCGCAACACGCATCGTGCCAAAGCCAAAGCCGAAGAAACCGTATATCAGACTGAACACAGCTAAAAGCCCCATAGATTTCGACAACCCCCAAAGCGTAGACGAAGCCAATGCTGTCGCGATACAACATATGATCGCGAGAAAGCTGACTGGTAGGTTCTTGTCGGATATATATCCAAAAGCGAATTGACCAAGGACCTGCGCAATAGCCATAAGAGCTAGGAGTAAAGCTCCATTAATCGGTGATAGACCCAGGAATGTCGCATAAGACGGCAAAAACACAACCGGGAAGAAAAACCCCAGTCCCTGGACCAGAATCGCCAACCCGTATATCCAGAACAGCGGGCGTGTGATAAAAGCCCAATCTGCTCTTGCCAGAGTAGCGCGTTCAGATGGTGGTAGTCTGGGTTTAAGTAACGGAATCAATGGCGCGGTAAGAATAGCTAACGCGACTGCGTATGCGCGGAGTGTGATTCTATATCCGTACTTCTGCAACAACGCCTCGATCACGAAAGGCATAAACGTGCTAGTCACCCCAGAAGACGCGGATATAAGACCAAACGCCATGCCCTTTCGCGCGACCCACCACTCATTAATCATGTTCACAATCGGGTACGTAAACGTTACGAACCCGAGACCGTACATAATCCCCTGGGTACCAATCAATCCACCAACTGAGGTCGTGAAAGACGCGCCTAGTAGCCCGAATATGCACAGTGGCCATCCGACCCAGATTTGCTGCCGCTGGTACTTAGAGAAGCGCTTTGTGAAGACTGCGGAGAAGGGGGCGCCGAGACAGGGTATGCCTTGTGCTAAGGTGCCGATGAGTGCAATGTTGGCGCTGTCGGATCGGAATTCGGGGAGTGTGGAGTAGTAGTTTTGGAAGACGCCGAAACACATCGGGAAACCTGCGCAATTAGTCCCATCGCCAGAGTAGTGGTGAGTGAGTGACAGTACGAACCCCAGAATAACGCTTCAAAGACCAATGCCGCAATTAATACAACCCAAGCATCTCGTCCCCGATCAACGGGTTTCAATTCTTGTGATGGTCCCCTTTCCGGGCCAACATCGTCGTTGTTTCGATTTAGCGATAGCTCTTCTAGCTCTATAGGGGATGTTTGGCTTTCCGCGGCGCTATGCATTTTCGGTCGCAGGTTTGATTACCTAGGTGATACCGAAATATCCCTCGTAGTTGATTTATGGATTGATAAAACATGTTATCTCAATTGAAAGGATATAGAAGCGACTTGGTATACTTATGGGTATACATCTCCGATATAGGAGTTTGGTGGGTATGTTCCCGTAAATCGTCAAGTTTAAATGGCTACGCAAGGGCGTAAAAGGCAACCTTCCCCGGCCGGCTTCGTGATATTATATGTCGACGCCGATCCTATCCGGGGCTTGGCTAGAAAATCATTTGTTGCGACCACTCAATAAAATTTAGCTTCTAGTCGTGTACGTATAATTAATATGATTTTATGAATGAGATGGTCGCACTCATATATTGGTTTAAATAAATTTGAATAAATAGAATAAAATTATTTCTTCCAACTCTATATCTCAACAATTCTGAGGCCAATCTTCAAGCACACCTAGGTAGGATTAACGGGTTTTGCAAAGTGCGAAGAGAACCAGTCTAGCGCTATTATGCCGCCAAAGTCCACGGCGAAGACTAAGGTGCGGCTTAGGTGACCCGCATCGACCCACGGACAGGAGGCTATATTGAAGACTGGGCGCTTATTTCTTCAGAAGAGACACACTCCTCTTCATGGCACGTGCAAGGTTTCGGCGCGCGTTGTCAGCGGAAGTCGTGTTCGCCACTGCATACCAAGTCAGTCACTAATCCATCATCTGGGGCATGGAATTCAACATACTCTGAACAGGGACAACACCACCAAATGGTCCGGCCCTGGCTCCATTCTGGCAGCGTACTAGGCATGCATTATCCTGTCCTGCAACGGTACCAGTACACTCCTGATCCGCGGGAATCGCCGCCGTCAGCGGGAAATCCGTCTCGTTACCATCCCGATCTCTCGAGTCATCACCGGGAGGCGACTGCGTAACATCAATATCATCCCAATCGGCTCCCGTGCCGTCGGCATTAATCATGCAAGTGTAGGGCCCGGCCCCATCGGCGTTCACCTGATGCAGTGTCATTTTCAGCGATCCGTTTGGGGTTATTTGCGGGAGCTGGTCCCCGGTTTCTGCCATGATGGCTTGGGTTCCAGACTCGAGGTCGTTGTCGCCGTCCCCGATGGTTTCGCCAAAGGTGTCGGCCTGAGCACCTCGGAAGCGGGTGCTGTCTTGCTGGAATGGGTTGCGGCGGGTTCCATCGCGGGGAGTCGAGGAGTCGACACCGAGGGCCACTGTAGGTTGGGTAAGTTAGCCTGGTATTATGTGAGTGAGTTTGATGGTGGTGGGGAGTGACATACTGCCAGTCCCACCAGCATCACCGGTGGCGTCGGTGATGACGCCGTGGCTTGCGACTAGCTGCGCAGTAGCGATGAGGCCGAGAGTGATGAATGCGGTGAAAGAAGGCATTTTTGGACACGGAAACTGATGTTGAAGGTCTAGGATTAAAATATTAAAAAGTCCTGACCGGCAGGGAGAAATTGTTAAGTGGAATGAAAGACTGGAGAAGCTGAGAGAACTGATGATCCGATGATGAGAATAGAAACACAACTACTCTTCGGCGCAAACGAGCCTTCTTATAGAAAATTCCATCAAAGAAGATTCTCAAGTCTTTCACCTCTGCTCATGCCATCTTCTCTTCTCCCTCCAGCTCAGGGGCTATGTCAGCTCGCCCGAGCCGTGTTTCCGCAAGGGACGTTTTCCGTGCTACCTATCGCAACTTGACCCGAGAAACAACATCTAGACCATTCCTAATCCAGCCATAATGAAGCCCGGGACCCTCATACGAGACTCACGACGGGAGAGTTGTGGTCGATTTTGGTACGAATTTGCATGTTTACCCCGCGTTGTGGCTGTGAACTCGAGTTTGCACGGCGACGATAGAGCCGGATAAGGTATTTGACACCTAGATGGAGAGCCAATCGCATTCAAGTATTCAAATAAGCTCGCGATTCGCATAGTTCCGGATCTACCATTGCAGATTGGGTCGTGCAGATTCGTTTCGAGTCCTGGTCTCCATGTTCGAAACGGGTAGTAAGCAATTATAATTCGCTACATTTACCTCTTTAAGGGATAGGTTGCCTAGTAAGTCTTATACACAAGGGGGTAATATTGGGAGATGCAAATCTGAATTCATAAGGTTATTGGTATTGGTAACTAAAAGTTTTCGTATTGCTATCGAAAGAAGTTGAGTTGCGAGGACCATGGGTGATCCGGAGACCTAGACGACACACAGACGAATCTTGGCGGTTTCGTTCGGTGCGGTGCCGAATGTCTTCCGGGCTCATTTAGTCAATTGTTGTGTTGCTTCTTCGATAAAACATCATTCAAAAGTTTACTAGCATGTCTTGAGCATTTTTACTCCGTGGTTTGGAGCGCTCGAGTGTTGATTGGTTTCGGTGTAGTGTTTAGAAGTGTTTATGTAAAAGGAAGAAAGCTTAGGTGAAGTGCTGCCGAGCCGTTTGAAAGTGGCCTACCTCTTGTGCTGGCGAACCAATCGGATACTTTGCTTGGGGAAATGTGGAGATCTAGATCGGGCAGCCTAGAGCAGCTGGCATTCATCTGGCGGGCCTGCTTCTAGTTTGCCTTTAACCCCACCTACGGAATTTTCATTGGTTTGCAGCTTGAGCATCGTACCTACCAAGAGCCTTGAGATGAAGAAGCTTGAACAAACTTGAATACCAGCGCCTTCCGATGTTAGCGAGCGATGGTCTAATTTAAACTTCTTCACCTTCCTAGGTACGAAAAATAATAAGATTGTTATCCAACAATTACTCAAATGGATAATCCCACCTGAAATCCATTCCGGCCACAATCCACAATCATCACTGCCCGATTTTGACTCATACCAAAGTCGATGCGTCCTCTCCTTCGTCCAACGCAACACTTCACCCTGAAATTGCTCACCAGAACATCTTCCCGTACCACTTTTGTTTTCCCCATGGTGAAGAGGAAATCAGATACACTAGGTGATAACTCTAGTATTCAACGTCCTTCCCAAATTAGGAAGATGGCAACTCAACCAGCTACCACTACTATTGAGCTCACACCCAGGGAATCCCAATTAAAGGACTTACTTTCAGATGCTGCAAAGTTCATAGATGGCACCGGTAAAGTCCAGGAGCCCATTGTCTTACGTTGGGCAGGTGGGTGGGTTCGCGATAAGCTCTTAGGGGTCGGGTCACACGATATTGATACGGCTATCAATGTCATGACCGGCGAGACTTTCGCAATAAATCTATGTCAACTTTGCGAACAGCCCGACACAATCAAGAAACATGCCATTACGGAATCAGATATTGGCAACATCCATAAAATTGCACGAAATCCGGAAAAATCCAAGCATCTCGAAACTACGACCATAAAGCTATTCGGGTATGATGTTGATTTCGTCAATCTCCGAAAGGAGACATACTCCGAAGATAGCCGCAATCCCCAAATGGAATTCGGGACCGCGGAGGAAGATGCATTGCGAAGAGATGCTACTGTCAATGCGCTTTTCTACAACCTCAACACTGGCAAAGTTGAAGATTTCACAACTGGTTTGATAGATATGAAGTCGAAATTGATTAGGACCCCATTGGAGCCATTCCAAACCTTCATGGATGATCCCCTTCGTGTCCTCAGATTAGTCAGGTTTGCAAGTCGCCTGGAATTTACTATTGATTCAGCCGTCGAAAAAGTCATGGGAGACCACCAGGTCCTTGACGCTCTTCGACTAAAGATCAGTCGCGAAAGGGTCGGTGTTGAAGTGGAGAAAATGCTCAAGGGTGTGTACAGAACCGAAAAGAAATTTGGTGGCTGAGACTAATGAGGCAACATAGGTAATCATCCTCGCAGATCATTAGAGTACATCGACAGACTCGGGCTCTACCATACAATTTTCACGGATCCGTCAAGTGCAGATCTACCAACCCCAGATATCTCAAATTGGAACCTTGCATATGAACTTCTCGACTACCTACGCCAAAGCAAAACCCCTGGCTCCATTTACGACGTACTTGTGCGATCAGAAGAGGCTGCCTATTATGCGTGGGTTTTAGCGGCGCTTTGTCCTTGGGAAAGCGTCGAACCGCTCCCCACTGCGCGCCCAGCTAAGGGCAAGCCACCCCCTCCTTTCGCAACGCGAGCCGCGCGAGAAGGTATTAAAGCAAATAACAAGTTGTGCGACCTCACAACTGCCGCGCACAATAACAAGAAAGAAATCACTGTTATTGTAAGAGCTATCGAGGAAAGCGCACCTTATACCAAAGAAAGAGACACGCTTGGGATGGCGATCCGCCGCTGGGATTCGAAAGCCGGCCACTGGCGAGTGCAAGTTTTATATGCTCTTCTGACTGAGGCTACAAAGGCTCTAGCTACAGGCTCAGGTAAGACGCCACATGCTACCCTTAAACTTCGCATGACACGCTGACAATAATGAAGTGAGCAAAGATGAATTTCTACGCCCATGGCAATCCTGCTTAGACCATCTACAAGAATTAGGTGCCATGGACGCTCCTTCTCTCAAACGAATAATAGACGGGACCCAGCTTGCCAAGGCCCTAGGGGTCAAGCCAGGCAAATGGATGGCTGAAGCATTGGAAGTTTGCGTCGCATGGCAGTTGCGTAATCCGGATGTCACGGATCCGGCGGGCGCCATCGAGGAGGTTCGCAATAGAAGGGCAGAATTAAAAATACCAGAGAAATGATGGACGAATGAAGATTAATGATACCCATAGACCAAGCCTGCCTGAATAACTTCTCAATGACTCACTGATAAAAATTGTAGGTGACGAGAAATTTCGCGACCCCTGAGTTTTTACTGCAGTACGACTTACCTAATCCTAGCCATGCATAACGAATATTATACCTCTACCGATAAAAAATTTATCTTGGAAATACATGCACGTCATCCTCTATTATTAATAGCTGTAATTCGGGTGGGAACAAGCATATCTCTGCAAGAACTGGTCTTCCCCCTTGTCTCGGTGCTTAATACGCCGACATATTGGCCAATTCACTAACACCGCGAATAGTTAAGTCACCTACAGCGTTTTACCAAGAGAAATCCCTCTCAAATATTGCCAGACAGCAGACGTGAAGCTTCGAATCGCACCAATGTCAACTGATCTTTAGCGGCTCGTGCCATATATACTAGAGGATTCGTCGCGATACCCATATTATTAAACCAGAAGCCGATATAAGCGCAGAGACATAAAATCCACCCAAGCTGAACTCAAGAAGCGGTGAAGAAACTCGTTTATGGTATCCGCTTTATACTAGAATCTACGCCTCATGTGATTCTCGTTGATTCTAGAATAAAGTTCCAAGGATCGATTCCCATATCGAGGCTTACAGTCCAACCCAAGAGGCTATATTTTTTTCATATGGTTGCAGCTATTTCCCTACCAATTCTTCCCGTACATCATATGGCATATGAAGCCCCTCAAGGGGGTCAAGCGGTTAATTTAGAAGTTGCTGGGAACCCGAAGCCAGCCCCTTAAGCGCTCAAAAGGGGTATTGATGTTGAAGTCAAATCTTGAAGAATTTTTTATTTCCACAAGGATCTACCAACGAAATCAAATCTGTAACACGCTTGCTTTTTAATGACAAAAACCCCGTAAATCTCGATCTATTGGCCTTTTCTTGAACCATACCTTCTATCGCTCTATTTTATCCCAGTTACCTAGCCGTATGCCTACCCATCTAGAACCCCCATCTCTATCTCGCGGTGTATTTCTTCCCATAAACCCTAGGGCGCCTTCATCCCGTAAACTTCAATCATCTCTCGTCGGTGTATTCAACGTATCCTCAAGCTCCTTGCCTCTAGATTGAAGCAGTACACTAGAATGTGCGAGGAGTGTGTCTCGGAACCCTTCCACATCTGTTCTTGTCTCGTCGAGGAGCTCTCCATCAGCAACTAGCCCTTTCAGTTGATTCAAAAACGGCTCCCATGAGTATTCTTCTATATCATCGCCTCTGTCTGCAACTTTCTGTTGAGCTTCGAGTCCGTCGATGAGTGTTTGGTTGGCTTCTTCCACTTGTTGTTTGTAGTCTTCGTCGTCTTTTGACATGGTACCTAGGTACACTTTGACACTAAACCCAGTAGACTAGGCTTATTTTCAACGATAAAGGAGTAAAATAAACTTGACCAAGTATAACTGCTAAATGAACGAGTAATTGGGCAAACACAATATTTCTATGGGAGATGCCCCCGGTAGTGTTCTTGAGGATTGCTATGGCATACATGGGCAACATATATACCTAGGTACGTACATCAAAGCACCCAGCTCGCATTAATAGCTCAAGATTAGCTGCGGAAGCTGTGCTCTGCAGGTGATCGGCAGGGCATATGCGTAACGTGGCGATCCCGCTGATATCAGCGGCTAGGAAGACATAGATTTGTGGATGGACCGGGTAGGTAGATGTATGAAGCTACTAATTTTTATCGTGATAGCCCAATATCCCGGTTCTAACCCAAGCAAACCACATATGTATACCGCGAAATTATCCCATAGGTGAACAGATATATCAAAGGCCCCAATTTTTACGATTGGTGTCGGAAAGACATGCCTAGCTGAGGACCTTCTAACATCACCCCGTGATTCACTGATTGGTCGCCCGGCCTTGTCGAATTTACGCTGCATGATGCATTCTGACTTGGCTTATAATTATAAGCTGCCCAAGTGTTCCGAGAGGCCTGGTATTAAAAAGCTGAATTTGCCACAGGATACCCAAATACTTGGGTAGAGGTAAGCACGTAAAGGTGGCTGCCTGTAAAGAAAATCCCACGGAGAAGAAATTTGTATAAGTAATATCAATGCGCCTAAGACGGGATTTCTACAAATTAAAGCGGTGAATTATGTTCTGCACAGTGAACCTGGATACAAAAGACATTAATTCGCTTTCTTATATCCTGATTAAGTCGGAGAAAATGCGCGGGATTTCGATAGCCCCTGCTCTCATGTGGAACGATGACAACGAGGTTCATATAACATCTGTTTATTTGTAGAAACTTACCGAATAGTCGACATATCTTAATGCCACGAAGACGACATGAGTGGATTTTGCTTCTTGATTAAAGCATGATCTGATCCTCTCTACCAATCTTCTTATATAATTCACCACTCCTACCCACGCGCTCACCGGCATCAAAAGCAAACGTATATTTGACCTCCTGGCCGCGTTATTAATGATTGGCTACTAGTCCGATACCTCTACGTAATAACATGGTCGGTGAAGTCGTGGCCAATGAAAATTACCTAGAGACTAATTGTTAGTGAGACTATCGACGTTTAAGGGTGCGCCACCTTTATGCCGTTGCTAATTTGATATGTCACCGAGGCGTTGTATAACCCATCGCCAGCCCTGGGCTATGTAATGGGATTTTTTATTAGATACTCGGGGTTGAACGTATGTATATAGCTTCTGAATCTGTTTTTTAGAGAACTGAGCGGGTCTAGATCTTGGAACATATGGGTCTTCATATATTCATAGATATTTAATAAAGGCAACGGCGAGGACAACAATCGAATAGGGGTAGCGACTCCCTACCCCTTTCACCGAGAGTAAATGTGGTGTTTCGGGAAGGCGCGGATGTGGCTGACTCCGGGAGGTATACGTATCCGGGGACCTGGGATCGGCCCCACTACCGACCGATTGTGGCTTGGGAGTGGCAAACCCCCTTTCCGGGGGCGTCTTTGGATCAAGATCATCCCAAATCCTACTGGGTGTTGGCTGCACACTTTCTAGATGCCTACATGACTGGCTTCCATTAAGGCAGAAGCCACCCAGATTTTCGCCATAACGTTTTGATTGGCTTATTGGAGCCCTACGCCCCAACACTGCCCCCTGATGTTACGTACCTACAGTAGGTAGGGAGTTTTCCTGCATATATATTTCACGACATGTCCTTGGGCAGTTCCTTTGGCGCTTCATCCTTTATCCTCTAGAATGAAGATTTGAAATAGCTTTATGGAATATTTAGGTATTAACGCAGCCGGAGTCGGAGCTTTAGGCCGGAAGGCGATTCATACATAGCTGAAGGGCGTAAAATTTAAAGCTGAAATGCGATGAAAGGGAGAAGATTGCCACTGGGTCAGCTCCCCTTGTGTGATTCTAGAACCAGATGTAGAATAATTCTAGAAACTGTCGATAGGCAGGTACTTGTGTAACTCGCGTACGCTATATCGGTATCTCATAGTGCTTGGCGGTTCTGGTATCACAATATTTCTCGGCGTGGGCTATCGATACGGTTTCATATATTACTTAGGACTAGACTCGACTCCTTGTATAACGTGGATGTGGCCCGAGTGAATATGACAATTCCAACCAGCTTAGAGAACACACGAGGGCGTGACGACTTCATACGCCCTGCCTGACGGGGAAGCCTATCAATACTCATTAGGATAACTGACTGGTTTGCCTCATATTCCTAGGCAAACGTTAGCGATAGCAATGATAAATTAGGTTATCGATTCGGGCCGCTGTGAGTCATGTCGTTTTCCTTCGTCGGTAGAACTGTAACACTATATAAATGCGTAAGCTTCCCCGTGCCTTATCTTATCTCTACGTAGTTTTCCTTTTAGTCTCTCATTTCTCTAGCCATCAAACCCGAACAACTAACAATAGACGCCTATTTGGCTAACTACAAGCCGTCTATTCAGAATGAGTGATCACCCCGCAAGAGATCCCCGACAAGGGGATAGTCAGCATGAACGGGGCCACACTGAAACACAGAAAGAATCGCGACGCCAGGTAACTACGCCAACATCCGCGGACCAACCACGGGTGACTTACGGCGGGAGTGGTTATAATCAGCCCGCTGATCAAGGTCGGACTAGCTCAGCCCATCTGCAAGAGAGAGATACCCAATCTCCTCGCCAGGATCCGGGCGACCAAGCCGACCAATCTTCTCAAGCCTGGAGTATGGGTGGACACTCATACCAGCATATTGGGCCGCTAAGGTGAATATAAATCGTTATAACCTGCATATTAGGAGCTAACAAGATGTAGCATCAGCGGGCCGGCTCAGCCGCAGACTCGTGTCGCTACTTGGGTCAGCTCTGTTAGGGCTGCTTCACCTATAGACCCGCATACCACAACGGCGAGCGATGTTGAAAGCCATTATAGTGGTCCGAGTAACCCGAGCAGGCAGCCCTCTCCCGATCGCCAAGATCTTCTGTATATCCTCCCGCCTGGTACGCAACTACCTGAGAGACTAGAGAGAGAAGAGCGCGAAAACCAAGTAGTTATCGTCGAGAACTCGAGAAGAAATCGTCGTAGGGAGGAACGTGAGGGTCGTCGTGATGGTAAGGGGAAGGAACGACGTCAATGGTGATGGACATGGTGATGTGGGCGATGCCCGACAAAGGGGCTAACCTGGTGTATTACGAAGTGAACAACGGCGCTGGATTTTTGGTCGAGCCAGGCTATAGGTAAGTCCTAGAGTTTTGACTTATGAAGATGAATTAATCGTCCAAGTTCATTTTGGACGAATTATCATCGAATTGACTGCCATCATAAAAAGTGGAGTGTATCGTAGAGCGAATATTCCCTAGGCAGCAACTGGACGCTAACACTAAATGGTTAGTTAAAACTGCCGCCTGGCTCAAAGGAAGACTAGTGTAATATCATAAAAGATATCAACTCACTCACCTAACAGTTTCCCTGTTTTCTTTTTTTATCTGATGGTAATCGACCATAAATATAATATAAAATGGTGCGCAGGGAGCTAAGACACGATTCTGGACGGGTTCTGTCAGCTCCCAATACTAGAATCCAAAAATCCAAAAGTCCCACTAACACCACAAATGATCGTCGTCTGCGCCATAATCCAACAGTCAATCACCAAGAGAAGAAAGAAACCTCAAAAGCGAAAACGAAGAAACCCTTACCATCATATCTCCAGCGAAACAAGGCGGACGCAGCTTCAGACCCGAATAGGAAAACATGGCTCTTTAAGTTTCCCCGAGAGCTGTTGCATCATATCTCATCATACCTCTCACCAGAATCCGCCATCTGCCTTACGCTGACCTGTAAGCTGGCGTTGCACACCTTGGGAACGTCATGGTGGGAAGATGAGGGGATTCGCAAACGCTGGTACGTTGACCCGACGACTATGTCGGTGCCACGAACGTTACTCATGGAACTTCTATGCCGCGATGCCGAAGAGCTTGGTTTAGAGTTTTGTAAGGCCTGCAACACACTACACCCGCCATTGAAAAGACCCAATGAGCATCGTCAAACTAAGTTGACCAAGTATTGCTGGGGCCAGGATGCGATTATCGATTACTTACCCCAGGGTAAAGATGGACTTGGCTATGGCCTCGTTTTCGATCATATTAAACAGGCTATGAGCACCGCCTCTCCTGACTCGAGTGTACCAATCGAACATCTTTCTGGCTCATTTCGGGTTCCACATCCCTACCTTAACTACAGCGTCTCATCTTCGGCCCGCCGTATTGAGGGTAATTTGGTGCTCCGCCACGAATACTGCTTTAGTCACTCCAGTAGAGCAGTTTTGAAGGCTACCGATATCCTGGACCTTCCATTCAGAATTTGCCCTCATCAGACCGTGATAGTGGAGCCACCACCGAAAAATCGTTATATTAGGAACTCAAATTCTAATGGCCCTCTTTTTACACACTCAATCGTGTCGGCTTTTCCTGTTTTAAGGAGAGCTGGAGTTCCGAAGCCTTGCGTATTTCGGAAATCGACGCCACTCGAGAGGCAGATGATGTTTTCTGCTGATAATGGAGAAGACGTCATTTTCAAATGCCGGTCTTGTGCTACGAAGTGGAAAGTCGAATATTTAAGGGGCAGTGATGGAGAGGGGCGGGCAGAGATTAGAATTGCAGTATATCATTGTTTTTTCAAAGAGTTGTACTCCGCAGCTAGATGTTGGCCCTGGCTCGTGAGGCGTGAGGGTGAACTATTAGGTGAGGGTAAGAGAAATAGCGAATACTGGAGCCAAGGAAGATCATATTCTGATTTCAAGATCGACTGACTTGTGGTATGGGGAAGCCCCTAGTTAGAAATTAGAATTATCGATGCCGCTCGGATAACCCACCCGCGGCTGTCGGACATGATTGGCTATGGGGAGGTCGCACGAGAAAACCTTCCGATCGCAGGGTATTTTTGCTTCTGCCAATTATTGGCATCCACTGGAAGGTGATAATGAGACAGTTATGAGTTCTTCTCGCATTTTCGAAGAGGCTTAGACTTTTAGGACGGTCCATCGAGTGGAGTATATAGTGAATTAATTTACCACGGTTGTGGAAAGACTCCCTGTCCCCAATAGGGTACCTCACCTGTTGGTGAAGCGGAATTCGGCCTTTTGTATAGTCAATTAAGAAGATCGTGGCGAAGCTGTTTCATTTATCTTGGAAGGTATAGACGTTATATGTTTTCTCGCATATCTCATTCCCCTCAGGTGGTGGAAGTTTTCCTCCCCTGCTAAAGTCCGACCGGCGCTTAAAGGCTGACATAATGAGTTTCAGGGCGTACTTCTTCCGACCGATCAAAGGAATATGGCAATGGGCACTCATGAAACATGTGCTTGAAGTGGGATGTATAGATGAGCATAGTCCAATACCATATTAATGATGTAGAAGGAGAGAAGTTGTGGTTGACATAACCTTTCAACTAAGAATTCAAAAATGTCAATTTCTAAAGCTCTAAGGTGTCGGTAAGCTCCGAATCACGTGCTAGTATTGCTACCTTACCTAATGGTGATCATTGGCCCGGCGGGTCCGGGGCTCCGGTTTGCGCTAATAATAAGGTAAATTTTAAACTTCTGTTCCTGCGTCAATCACAATAGATTATTGATGCTTTCAACACGATTGTTCCTTCTTTGTTCATTAGTCTACTATATTGACAAGTAAGAACTAACAACCGCTCTCTTACATAATTGACTGAGCAGGAACGGCAACACGGAAATTAGATTGGTTAGGCGAAAGGATTAGTACATTGTACAACTGAAATTACTTTAGTTCCTTATGCTGACCCCACTACCTACTTATCACAAAAGGGCCAAAAGCCGGGGTTGGGTACATTCGGTACATGCGCATGTATCGCACTTTTTAATCAAGATAAGTCCGGTAGTACAGACGAAATCTGCAGGTACATTCCTCTGTGAATTAATTGAGTTTGCATATATAGAATAATCATATCATAATGGATACAAAGGTCTTTATCACATAAAGTTAGATTTACCCTTGTCTAAATTAAGATTCATCTTTCTTATTATTCTGTCAAATACAACTAACTTAACACACATAAAAAACAATCAACTCGTTTAAATTGAAGGCAAAAAGAAAAAGAGGCGTGAATTTTCGACCAGTTAAAGAAAAGTCTCGTATTCAGGTGTGCCTGATGATTCGCCAAGGCCGCGCATCCATGCTCAAAACAGCAGCACTGCCTCACTGCCAATGCATAGTAGGTAAGCCAAAAGTCACTAAGACGGTTAAGACGGGCAACACGGGACGACGAATGACAGATCGGGGGGCATGAGATTGGTGTACCCGAGAGGATTGTTGACCTGCAATCTACGGTTAGACCGAACCGCTAATCATACCTTACTTGCAGGATAAGTCAGGCTGGTCAGGATAGGATACCCTACTTGGGACTTGGGTATTACTACTACTGAATACGTAGGTACCTCACTCAGGTATACTCCGTACAAGTTACAGGGTATACATACATGGTATACATACCTCTTGTTCTACTTGTTCTACTCCAACCCCTGGCTTGGTCAGGTTTGCTTTTGCCAGCACTTCTTCCCACCATCAAATCGCTTCTTCATTCTTCATTCGTTTATTCTTGTTTTTGTTCATTCATTCGTTCTTTTTTTGGTTCTTTCTACGTTCGACCGACACGCCACACCCGTCGTCGCCATCAACACGAGAACTGGATGGTACATTTCGCTCGCTTCACTGACAATCAACATATTTCGAACGCGATAAACCCCGCCAAATTATACACCTAGATTGGATCTTGGTGGTTTTTTTCTGAGGTCCCGCTATAGAAGACAAGACACTACGTATTTGATCATACTCGACTAATCAAGACCCACAACCATCGTGCTCGAGTGGAGGCGCGACACTAAAATCGCACACTGTTTACATTGTCGCATGAGTCAAGTCGTCATATTTTGGTGGAAATAATTTGGGAAAACTGAATAATAACTAATCCGAATTGAAGATTTTTAATTCTTCAATTGTCGGAAAACATGAGGTTTTCAATAGGGAAACCGCTATTAGCGGCGATATCCTTCGCGTCCGTCATCTTACCCGCGACGGCCGAACGAATACTTCAATCTACCTCTCTAAACGTTTGTCAGGAAAATTCGGGATTTTCGGCTAGTTTATTCAGTGTTGTCTATAACCCAAGTGAAGGAAGGGCCCATGTTAATATTACCGCCCTCTCTACTATCGAAGCGAAGGTCATTTTCGATATCGATATCAGCGCTTACGGCTACTCGTTTTTGCACACGGTTATTAACCCTTGTGATGTTGGTTTGGCTGGTTTCTGTCCTATGTTGTCAGGAAAATTGGGAGACCCTTTCGTCCTAGATGTTCCTCCTGGCTCTACATCTAACATTCCATCTATCGCCTACGATTTCCCCGATCTCGATGCTAAGGTCAGAATCTACATCAACGCTACCGATGGTGATCAAGCCGGCCATAATGTTGCCTGTGTTGAGGCTTTGGTTTCGAACGGACAGACTGTTGATTTAGTCGGTGTTAAATGGGCGTCCGCCGTAGTGGCTGGGTTAGCCCTTGCATCATCTGCCTTGCTATCGGGTTTGGGCCACACAAATGCCGCTTCGCACGTCGCCGCAAACGCCCTGTCACTAATGAGCTACTTTCAATCGCAAGCCATGATTGGTCTTGTTGGAATCCCGCTACCCCCGGTTGTGCAATCGTGGACCCAGGATTTCCAGTGGAGCATGGGTATCATCAACGTGAACTTCTGTATGTTGATATCCCAAAATTTGTGCATATTATGCAAATGAAGAGCCTTGCCAGAATATGGCGATTTCATTTTCATTTTGCGTCTTGAGAGTGCTTACTAATGATGTCTTAGTGGAACGCATTTTCACTTGGTACCAGCGATCAACAGGAGGCACACCATCTACACTAATCACACAGGTAGATTCTCTCGCGACCGTGTCTGTTGAAGTACAGAAACGTGCTGTCAGCCTCTTTCGACGTGGCGCCGCGATGCTTCCTCGCGCTCTGGTAGAGCAGGGTTCGAATCTCATGAAGAGAGGAAATGTCCAGACCCAGTACGGCAGCTATATCGTATACGGCATTCAGCGTGTTGCCTTTCGAGCAGGAATTGAAAGCACAAATCTATTCTTGACAGGACTCGTTTTCTTTTATCTCGTTATGGCCTTTACCGCTCTCTTCGTCGTTGCTTTCAAGGGTATCTGCGAACTAGCCGCGAAGCAGAGATGGATCAAGGGCGATACTTTCCTAGAGTTCCGAAATGGCTGGCGTGAGTATCCCTACGGCAATAATTTGTCGCTCTTCCATTTAGAGGGATGATAATACTAACACTTGGATAATAGGCACCGTACTGAAAGGAATTCTCTTCCGAATGGCTCTCATTGGACATGCTCCAGTGACGATTCTTTGCTTCTGGGAGTTTACTCAGAGCGACTCCCCTGCTGAGATGGTCTTGGCTGTATTCTTCCTCCTCGCTCTTAATGGTGTTCTTGCCTGGGCAGCTTACAAAGTTATTCGCATCGCGCATCGTTCAGTTACATTACACAGGAACCCGGCGTATATCCTGTTTTCGGACCCTCTTACTCTTAACAAGTGGGGTGAGTGTCCTTCTGCCATGTATTATTCATCGCCACAAGCGCGATTTGAGGTAATATGAATTGCGATTCTAATTAATGTGACGTGATAATATAGGTTTCCTCTACATCCAGTTCCGTGCTTCGGCTTATTACTTCATCGTTCCTCTTCTCGGATACATCGTTGTCAAAGCCCTATTCATTTCCTTCGCCCAGAACTCTGGAATCGTCCAAGCTATCGCATTCATGCTCATTGAAGCCGCTGCTCTAATTGCTGCCTCCGTACTTCGACCTTGGATGGACAAGAAGACGAACTCCTTCAACATCGCCATCTACGCTGTCAATTTTATCAATTCTATCTTCCTTCTCATCTTTACCGACGTATTTAACCAGCCTGGAATTGTAACCGGTGTCGTTGGCGTCGTACTATGGATTTTGAACGCGGCCTGCACATTGGTGCTTCTACTTATGTTGATCATCACTACAGGTATTGTTATTTTCCACGGTAACCCAGACGGTCGCTACAAGTTCATGGCCGACGACCGCACTTCCTTCATGAAGTCCCAAAGCCAACTAGCCACCACTACCGAACTAGACGCTCTAGCGATGACTGCCCGTGGAGAGAAGCCAGGATACTCTTCGGCTCTCGACTTGGACGATGACGAACCCGTGAACCCTCGAGATTCTTTGTACCGGGGTCAAGGATCTATAGCTAATTCGGCTTCCAACAACTCGCATCATGCGCCTTCACACTACGCACCGCCTCGGTCTCCCGTGGACCCAATCAACAGAACTGCTAGTCCGTATAACGGATCTATTCAATCTTCGATTGCACGTTCACAAAACAACAACAGCCCGGCCGGAGGCAGACCACCTGCAAGCCCAAGGTAAGAGACTTCGTTACGGAATTTCGCTGCACATCTGCTTACATTATAAACAGTCCTTGGCAACGCGGAGCCGGCTATGAACACTGAAGGAATTAATGTATAATGAGTGTTCCTTTAACTCGGCCCAGCGGTCTAGCGAGCGAGCCACGAAAAGCATTTGTGAGATAAGGGTTAGCTTTTTTGTCGGCCTACCGATATACCCCGCGAGATCGAGTTACGTATCAAGTACGACAAAAACGAATCGAGAACGTCCACAACGACTTCTCTTTTCCATACGGTTGACCATCACACGAGCCGAGGTGCTTTGGAGGGTAGTTTAAATTCACGTCATCGGCGTTCTGGAGACGGACAAATTCTTTTTTTGCGACTGGCATTATTGGGTTTATACGGCGATCCTGAGATACGATCTGCGTTGAATATTCGGTGGATTTTACCCGAATTACTAGCTTCTATGTATACAATTTGCCGTTAGACCTACGGTATAAATGAATTATTATCCCATCTAAGACTGCTCCCGAAGAAAGCTGTGTGCTTGAACTGGTTTTCGTGGTTACGTGTTTGTGGGTGCGAGCGCCATTGAAACAGGCTCGAGCGTCGATCTGACATCGAAGCCATTCAAGGCATAAGTATATCAAACAAGATCCCCCAAGCGCTCAAAGCATTCACATCATATCAACTTGTTATACAAAATAATACTTTGGAGTACTTGGTAGGTCATTTAGAAACGGAACAAAATATTCAAAGGCCGATACGTTTTGGAGGCCAATCTTGTTTGGATATCTATATGTACTCCCAATAATCATGTAACGCGTTAAACATTACTCATATATTACAATTACCCTCCGTCATCCTATACCATCTCATCCCGCTCTATAAAAACTCATCTGACCCCCTTCATTCACAACCTGGGCCTTCATCTGGATACCTCGCCTCTGCACTTCATGTGGGTGCCCCGCTTGCCTCTCACTTTCATCCCAGCCCTGTAAATCATGGAACAGCAACGCCAGACTCGAACTCTTCCAAATCGGCACGCCGCGCGCTCCGTTACGGAATATAACAAGTAGTAGCATCAAAAACGTCAACACAACTAGTGCGATCGGAAGCGCGAGCCACGCCCACGTAATAGCGATATACGTAACAGTATTCATCCCCACGCCCGTTACAACCGTGCTATTCACCGACGTGCGCAAAGCCTCAGTCATACTATCCGCTATCTGCCGCATCAAATCCGGTATATCCCCCGTCTCACTGAGCGCTAAACCAATGTTAGGCGTTATAAGCGGGGAGTTGCTAGTCGAGGAACTGGAATTTTGATTCGGTCCTCTGGTCATGCCTTCGCTCCAGTACTGCACGTTGAAGAGGGATTGCAGGTATGTGTTTAGGTCCTGGAAATCGCATTCGTTGATCGCGAAGGTTGTGTTCATGGGTGGGTGGTCCGAGGTTGCGGGTTCGAGGGTTACGCGGACTATGTCGTTTTCTAAAGGTCGCGGGTTGGAGGCTATGTTGAGAGGGGTTGAGGGCCCGGTTAGGGGACCGTTGGTGAAATTCGCGAAGTATGGGGTTTCGAAGGTACGCGCGCAGAGCGAGAAGGAGCATTGCATGGCTTTGTTGATTGGAGGCGTGGAGGTTAGTTTCCATGGCTTGGTGTTGAAGTCGACGAGAGTGGTCCAGTCGGAGATGTCCGGGAGGCTGATGAAGGAGTATTGGGTGATTAGCGCGTCTTGCCCTTGGGCTGGGCTGGTGGTGTTGACTTGGGAGTGCCAGAGCGTGTGGTACGGCGTCATTTCTGCGGCTCCGCCGAATACGGCGAAATCAGCGGAGAGCGTGGTGTTGGCGTCTAAGGTGTAGTTGCATTGTGCCTGGGGAATGGATTGGGAGGATACAGTGCATTTCGGCACTACTTTGTCCGTGAAGTCAGTACAGCTACTGCAGACACCTAGTGTGGTGATGGATGGCCATTCGCAGCGCTCGAAGTTACACGGGAGGGATGGCGCGCGGGTGGCGTTCCATACTGGCGATAGGATCGCGGCTTGCAAGACGGAATCTACTTGCGCGGCGCCATAGCATTGTGTAAATCTCGAAACAAGAGCAGAGGGATCGTATACCTGAGTTGCTCGTATAGCTGGAGAAGAACCCTCAACAGGTGTTAATGACTGAGGGAATGTGAAGACCAATTGCAGAAAGGGGTCGACGAACAATGCGGCCAGCACAAGGAGAGAGGCGCATCCGGCTAACAGTGTGGTCCTGTTCTTGAGGACTACTAGCTGCAGGGCGCCCCAAGGGCCACGGCTCGCATTATCAAAGATCTCAAGGTCCCTAAGCTTCTGAGGACCCGCATTGAAATGTATCCATTTCAATTGCGAAATGATTTCTGCGACTGCTAGCAGACAGGCAGATTTGCCCATAGTACCAAGGAAAGATACAACTGCAGTGGGCGATATTTGCTGGCCCCACCCATGTTGCCATTGATCCAGCGGCTTCCCTTGTTCGTAAGAGAGGACGCCGATAACAGAACCTACACAGGCAAGACTAAAAATTGACGCGAGAATTTCCCACAGCCATAGATGATGAAGAAGAACGAGTCTGCGACGATTTGTATCGGTGTTGGCTGACGAAGGTGCGACTTCTCGAGTCGGGTACACATAATGATTGTCTTTCGCATACGCATATTCCTGGCCAACGGGGTATTCTTTCGGGCTTGTATAATCCTGTCCCATCGGATACTCTTGAATTATGCTATGATCATGATGAATTTGAGATTGTGGAGACGAATAGGTAGAGTTCTCTACTCCAAATTGTTGGTATTGTTCAGTTTGTGGGGATACAGTCGTGTTAGGTGAGGGTGCTGTCGCATGAACATAACCGGCATTCGCATGAGGATCCGCATTCCCCGTCATCGAGTATACCGGTAGATACTGATGTCCCTGCCCATTTCCATAACCATACTCATAGCCATAGTTGTGTTGATCCGTAGGTACGTGCCTTGTGCTTTCGGTCTCTGATACAGAACCTGTTGCGTGCGAAGCTGGGGGTGGGGAGTCGTTCTGCGCGTCAACAGCAGCGTAATGCGCCATAGGGACCTAACTTGAAATTCAAACGACGAAGGAAAATACGATCTACACGGCGTTACATGTCCCGCGCCGTGCCGTGCCGTATATACATAAATATTAGGGCGAAAGGATTTTGAGATATTAGTCTTAGCTACGGGGACGTTGAGGTTAATAAGAACATCATCTTGGCTCATAGAGAAGCTGAACTAAAACATCAACAGATCGGGGACCAAGGGTGCCTACAAATCTGACCGGGGTGCTTGATGGTAGGGGTATATTCGCTATAATACGCTAGCTGTGCCACCTGCGAATTGCTTCTTAGGTACCTAAGCTATAACATGGGTGTTCCCTTGGCGGTTATACAGCTCCAATAGTTGCAGCTTATCAGAATACGGCGTGTACCCTCTAGCTTCTCCACCATATTTGTATGAGTCTAAGATCGGCCATAAGAATAAGCCCCCTACGACATTTATTATATGAGATCTAAGGCTGAGTAACAAATATGATTTCATAGATAGATGATCCATCATGTTTGTTAACTTGCCTTCTTTTATGTAAAGTGGTAACTTTTGGGGGTGAGTTTTGCTGTCGAAATTCTTCGAACATGGTATCGAACCACGGCTGGTTCCATATTGTACGGGCTAGGGTCGAGCGCGTGCTGTTGGTTCGATATCAACTAACCAAAGATTGAAATATTTTCAGCTCTTCCCGGCTCTGAGAAGTCACCCACAATCCTTCTCTGTTCATCCGAAATTCAACCACACCGAGACATCCTCATATCATATTCCAGTTTTCGATTGTGTTCATACTCGGCTTACCCGCAGAGATACACAAAGTTCTCTTCAATATGTCTCGCTATACAATGTCAGACAGTTGAGCTTTTACAGTTCTATTTTGGGATACACCACTAGACTTAGGTGACTTCACTAGCAAATGTAACCCATAGCTCAGTTAACAGCCTCCTATTCGCCACATGTACGGTCCAAGCCCAAAAGGACAGCCCCCACTGTCAGAGCTTGCCGCCAATTCCATCTTGTATTTCAAACGACGGGACGGAACGATCCCTGTTAACAGTGGCAGTGGTTCCGGAACTCCTATACGGTAGAGATCACACCAACATGTGAAGAACCAACTTCGCAATAATAACAGTTAGTTTCGATCCGCGCAACAGGTGAAATCGCAGTTCTTATTAACCCAACTATCGATTCCAAAGCTCTCGCGATACAGCATTAATTACCTACTCCGCTACTCCGACAATTTGTCAGCCTTATAGGGCAAGTAGCGTACCACTTATTCAAGGGTATGTTACGTGCTAATCCCACTAATCGACTTGGCCGACCCAATTCAACCCACTTAATTCCAGCAATGAGGTTGGTGAACTCGCGGGAAGTTACTTACTATGAACATACCTACGTAGTTAGGTCGCTTTGAGTCGGACTTGAGTATTGATCTTAGATATATACCCGATTAGAAGGATTATCTTGCAGCTTCAATGGAATATCAAGATCCACAAGTCCATTTGCACAGCGCCTATGATAACGTCTAGCAGAGCGCCTCTCATCTTTAGCGTTTGTACCGCGGCTTAATACAGAATGTAAGACGGATGCCCGGGATCTAGTGGGCGCAGTATTGGGATATTCACTCGTTAGCTCGTTAGGGCCTTCATGTCTTCGGCTTCGTTTAACATCGCCGGTTTGGCGATTTAAGTGTGAGATATCAAAAGAATATAGACCTTCTCGTCACCTTCATTCGGCGCTCGGAGCTCGGACTCGGTATTGACCGTTCAGTGGCCTACGTCAGGGGCGCCCTACGCTTCACCAGATTCGTTCGATTAGTGGACTAAGTATTCGCCATAGCGCATGATAATTGATTAATATAGGTACTTCATAGCCCTATCTATTAACCAAGTGTCCCTATAGTACCCCCAAAATTTTCACCTTAGCTATTCACGATCTACCCCACCTACACAGTTTCGCGGACACAGTATCGCGATCGTAAACAATGACAGAACCCCAGAAGTGGCCATACTATAAGTTCCACGACGAAACGCGAGATGCGAAAGGTCGAACCACAGTTTATACCGTCTTAATCGACTCGGACGAAGGTCGTACATACGAGAAGCTCCGAACCGATACCGAACGCTTAGAGTATATACAGAAGCACGCCCACGACAGTTGGAAATGTGTCCAGCCGGACTGTGCTTTTTTTGAAGATAATGAAGTTGGAAAGAGATATGTCATCAACATAAACAGTCCCGAATATGAAGGCTTAGAGAAGTTACTTCAAGAGGATGGTAGTAGTCCCCCTTTGGGTACGAAGGAGTGGGATGAAATGATTCAATATTATAAGGATCATGCGACGACCGTTGAGGACGCACCTATAAGTTCTTGCGACCTATAAACGGACTATAGCCTTTTCTCATACTATTCCTGCCCGAGTCAATGATTATAAGCCCCTAAACGACCATCATCGAAGTCTGTGAATTCCTCGGCAGAGACGTCAAAAACACCTATATCGTACCGATTTGGAGCAACAAATCCTCCAACAGACATGTCAAATTCATCCGAACCATAGCTGACCCAGTTTGTTTGCTCTCCAGAAAAATCAGGGATACCCAAGTCATAGTTATCCCAGTTGATGGTGTTCTCGGGGGATTGAGTTGCCTTTAAACTACTAGGCGTCCCCAAATCATCGAGCATTTCCAGGTCTTCCTTCGGCAAGGAATTCAGATGATCTTGAATTAGATCGGTGGTGGGATAATGCCCGTTTTCCCTAGCCATAGCTATTGCCTTCTCGAATTGTGGCATATCCTTGCCGTATGATCCCGCACCGGCCTGAAGGAGGATATATACCGTATCTGTACGCCCATTAGCAGCAGCCCCTTCGAGTGCCGTCATTCCGTCAAACATAGCTGCCGGGGCGTCAACATCGGCTTTGCGACTTAGCAGATAGCAGACTATGCGATTATAACCGCCAATCGCAGCCAATTGAAGCGCCGTTGCGCCACCCCTCACGGCTGGCGGCGCATTGACATCTGCATTGAAGTTATACAACAATTCCACCATTTCAAAGCATCCAATCTCGGCGGCCCTCTGAATGGGCGTGCGTTTGATAAGCCCTTTCGCGGGGTAATTGATCTCAGCGCCCTTCTTGGTCAGAAGCTCCACCATTTCAATGCTTCGCGTACTGACCGCTGCGAGGAGAGCCGTGGTTCTCTGCATAGTTGTGCTTTGATGTCTTATTTCAGAGACCACGCCGTTAGGATCGCAGCCTTCCCTTAGGAGTAGTTCGACCAGAGGCACATTCCCATTTTGGTTGATACCGATCGCAAAGCCAAAAGGGCTAAAAGCGAGCATAGGCGGTCTGTTGTTGAGATAACAAACGAAGCCAGTGGGATCTGCGCCGTGATGTAACAAGTACCTCACCTCAGATTCGCTACCCTTTGAAATGGCTTGAGACAGCAATGAAGACACGAAGCCTTTCCTCTTTACAGGGTATCTCTTCTTATGGGAATCCAGTAATAATTCGAATATTGGCCCGTGTGCGAAGAAAGCGGCTTCAAGGGCTTCGAAATTGTGCGGGTCTGCACCATGGCGAAGCAGCCATTCGACCATATCCAAGTCTCTAAGTCGCGTAGCATCTGTCAATGCTTCATCATTAATCTCCGCGCCCGCCTCGAATAACAACGATGCTAGACTGATGTCTTTCTGCTTCACGGCGATCGAGAGGTGTGGTCTTACTCCAGCCGCGAGCAGAGTTTTGATCATCGGATAGTTACGCGATTGAGCTGCAACGGCGATCGGGTTATTACGGCCGACCGGAAAATCGTATGGCACGTAAAAGTCATGACTGAAGAATTCAAGGCCTCCTTGACTGTTCCGAATATGAGCGAAGTTTGACCGGGGCGGCTCTCTGTCCCAAGTGCCCGTTTCGGCGCCATAATCGAGTATTAACTCAACAATTTGAGCATTATCCCCTCGCACAGCACGCAAAAGTGCGCGCTCGAGGATTCCGCCTCTATGTGAAGTGTCGAGATTCATGCTAATGTTAAGGAGTACCACGGCGGCTCCATAGTCGCCAATATCTGATACTTTACATAAGGCGTTATCGAGTGCATTCGAGGTCGCTCCTAGTTTGGATATTCTAAGATTCTGTAGTTCGCCTTCTTCGACTAGTTCCAGGATCGGTTTTGTATCTCCGCTGTCAAATATCGCCATGCAGGCTGTGTGGAAGCGATTAGATAACCCAAGTATACCTTTTTTGACAGGGCGGTCCGTCGCCGAGTCGCGCGGACTTGGGAATACTTCCTCCAAAGGTGTCTTGCAAGGGCCCTCGAGCCATCGGGTTTTGAGCCATCGAAGTTCGCCATCCTTGATAGCTGTTGGGTTATGATCTACCGACTGAAGACCATGATGTCGGCTTCCGACGGCACAACACAAGGTCTTGTTAGTAGGAGTCGCGCCGTATTCTAAGAGTGTCTGAACAAGATTCAATGATCCCCTCTCCGCTGCGGCGTCGAGTAAGTTACTATGCTTGATGTCTGCGCCCGCTTCATGCAAAAAGCGCAAGATGTTCAAACATGTCATTTCGCCTAATGACATAATGGCGTCCCCCAATTGATTGTGGAGCGATAATGTACCAGGGGGTAATTTGGCATCCCCTAGATGAGCCCGTTTCCCATAGAACGTTCTGACAAATTTTGAAACGAGGGCGGGTACGTATTTCTCGTGTCCGTGGTCGATAAGCAAACCTATCCTCCGGAAGTTGACATGGGTCCCAGCTTGGAGAAGCATTTCAACAATCTCCGGATCACATCGACCTTGGTATAGCGCGTACTCCAATGCACCATGTCGCTGACATCCGTAGATATCCCGTGGGTAATGCTTACAGAAGTCGCATGGATACGTCTTGTTAACGTCCGCGTGGTGGTCGAGCATAATCCGAATGATACTCTTGCGCTTCAGTATCGAGGCACGCTCAATTGGCGTATATCGGCGACCTTCAATCAAACAGACTTGTTGATTGATGTCAATCATGAGGGTCTTATTCATCAGTATGGCCTTGAGAGTTACCTCGTCCCCTATCTCAATTGCGCCCTTTAAGAGGCTTTGTGCTATCGAGCGAGTGGAGTGGTGAGATAGGGACAGAATCGAGGGGTAGAGTTTCGCTATTGCTGTTTGCTTGAGAAATTGCAAAAGCTGCCCAGGAGGAAATGATCCCAGAGCAGAGAAGTTATTTCCGGTCGAGTGTAATACTTGCCGAGATAGTGGTGTGACAGTGGTGCAGGTTTGGTTGATGGGGTAGGGCACGATGGAATTCAGGGCATTGAGTGCTGCGGCATTGGTCGTGAAGAAGACCGGGTCTGCAGAGCTCGAATGCTGAGAACTCGGCTCGGCATCTCCTTGCCGTACCTCTAAGGCATCGTCGACATTGTAAACTTGGGGGAGTAGAAGAGAGTTTTCTACTTCAAAGAAAGGAAGGCCGGCAGTGAGCGACGACGTAAGATCCGGCAGAGGGGTGCGAACGACCCATCTCTTTGGAAGCCGCTGTTGACCGTCATCTGTCGGTTTTTCATGAGTATGAGTATGTGAGATTTAAAGTAAATGATTGAACTCGGCATACTAATTATTCTTAGACGTTGAAGCATGGCTGGGTTCCCTTTTGTGACCAGCCTCCGGACCTCTGTTTCTGGCAATAGCTTGCCCCATTCATAGACATCGCTTCCTTTGCCAACCTTTTTTCTGTGAGAAACCAAAGCTGAAAGCCTTTCCGTGTCTTCGGATTTGTGATTCTTATTCCATTGCGTACCCCATTTCCTGAATTGAGTACGGTATTGGCTAAGCCTGTCAGACGTTAGCTTTTCAATATCTACCTAGGTAATCTTCTCGGAGACGAAATACTGACGTGGCTTGGAAATTCAATCTTATCATTTCTTCTCTTAATTTCTTCAAAGAGTAATCTAGATCGATATAGAGGTACTTCATAAGTGGCTTTACATCAGCCCATTGTGCTTCAGTGATCTTCTGCGAAGCCATCTAGTAGATATTAACAAGCAAACCTGGCCTAGGCCTCCTACAAGAATTGGAGAAATAGAGAAATAGGATTTAGAGGGAAAAGCAAAGGCAGACTACAACAAGATATTAGGATTAGGTCTCATCTAGATACCCCCATACGCAGACGAAACAGAACCATTCGAAGAAAACATCTGCAACGCAACTATACATGTACATAGGTACATGCTTGCTCAAGCATGGAGAGGGCTCGCCCGCCAGGGGAGGGATGGTCTAGACTCACAGCCTGCATTGAGGTCGACCTCAATTGGCCCGCAAAATTACGCTGCCAAGAACTCCGGATCGACGAACATTACGAGATAGGCCAAACAGAGATGCGTATACCCAAGCCACAGATGCATGATCGGTATTATGCTACATAATTTCTGAGTTCGCAATGTCCGGTGAAAGTTCCCGGGGTATTCAGAGCCTGGCTGAAGCTTCAAAGTAATGCAGGCCATCGTCTAGCCCACTCCAGCCACGACAGGATTTATAACCGGCAAATGATTGGTTCGAGACGAAATGTTCACTCAACGTAGTGACGCATGGCATTTTTGACGGCCGTCCTCAATAACCGGACTATTGAGACGTGCGCAGTTCAAGTGTGAAATAATTGGCCGTAAACATAATGTCGAGAGGATTGTTATCGGCCGTCCACTCTGAATCTCTCCAATGGTCACCTTGCGAGGTACGCCCGATGGTAGGGCTACCCAGCCAGTACTTTGGCTGTGATGGCGGTATTAAGCTCCAAAACTAAAATTATAAAGAGGTCCTGAATGTATCTCTGTTCATATTTCATAATACCAACACACTTAGTCGAAGATCAACATCATGGCAATTTCTGTACAGGTCGCAGTCTCAATCACTGGTGTGGTATTGACCTTCTCCATTATGCTTATGACCGCCTGGGAAGCTTATCATCGTTGGGTTATACGACGTACGATTCTTGGTAAGTAATTCTAGTCAGGTTAACTATTATTCTTACTCCACTGTAGGCTAATATTCATAATGTACCCTTCAGACGAGGAGAGCGACGAGCTGGGAAATGTTCAACCTAATCATTCTCGTAACAAGAGCGGACCCTGATGGTATCAGGTAGCTTTAGGTAAGCATTAAAGCCATGTTAGATCATAAAGCGCTAATATACTCCAGGGCACGATGATGCTATAATTTCTACAAGAGTTTTCTTTTTGGACTTAGATATTAGACGATGTTGGGAGTTGGGCATATAATTTGCTTTAATGACACGAATCACGTTTAGCTGATAGAAAACGTCGAGTGAACGCCGTATAGGGTAGATACAGCGTAAAGTAACCTAGAATACCCTGAGAAGCTTAATGGAATAGATTTTCGCTTTGAAGTCTGGTTTGCGGTTCGATATGTGCAGCTCTCCCATCGTCCAATTTTCGTTTGGCCCCATCATTCGTATTCCGGCGGTTAACAGTCCTCCCAGATAAGACCAAAATCCACGGACAGGTCAGAGGCCAGTGAACTGGCCACTTTTCCTTTCGTGGTAGCGCTGATTGCGAAGTCCATTTTGGTAATGTCTCCGTGACCGTCATTACCACTGAAGCATGGTGACCAAACTGGATTTGAATTCTCCGCTCTGAATTCAAACTCGTCATCGTAGCTATCAATCCCAATAGCCGGGTCACAGTTGTGAAAAATCTATTCATGGCATAACAGTGTCAACTGCATTGCTTCAACGCCACCTTAGCTCGTAGCATCATCCCAAATGGTAAAAAGAGAATTGAGTAAATTAGTAAAACCAATCCCTCAATCGGTTATAGTATGAAAAATCAATATGAAGCTGGATATGGTTCATCGGCTCTACACATCGGACTCTCCCCTCACCTTCACGCTATTGATGAACTCACATCTTTCAAACATCTTCTCCCACCGCACAGCCTGCTCTGCATCTGTCGTGGCGGTCTCCTTGTCATCCCTATTAACAGAAACAGCCGTGTTCGCATAGGGTCCCCCAAGCAATTGGAGCGAAATCTTGCTCGGGAATTCTTTCTCCAATTCCTCCTTAGACAAGCCGGCGAAAGCTGCAGGCCACGTCGTAGGACCATCGCCCTTGCTAGGGATTCCAGAGTTTACGTATCTTACAATGTCTCGACTAATCGATTTAGAAAGCTCGAGTTGCGGGGCTGAATTGTCCGCTCCTCCTCCGAGGTGCTGGTTGTTTAGCACGTATGGGATATCGCTTAGGTGGGGGACGCGCCACATTGGGACGCCCATCACTTCGAGCGCTGGTGTGAATCGCGTGGTATTGTGTTCGTATAACCGCACTTGAGATACATCCGCGCCGCCGTTTTTGACGTACTGCCACGTGAAATCGAGGATGGGACAGGTAAACCAAATGTCTTTAGTGAATTGCGCGGCGCGGTAGTATTGTGGGGAGATCGGTCCATCATAATCTGGCCTTACTAACCCTTCGAAGTCCTCAACTGGGTATAATTCCAACAGCTTAGCCTTGGTGGCATCGGAATGACCTGTGAGCCATAACCCAAAGCTCGCCAGCACTTCCTCGTCGGTCGACGTTGCGGGAGAAGCATACCAAGCGCCCTCGTTCGATACCCAGGAAGCGATGATTGGCACACCCTTGGTGAACTTGCCAGCACGTAGCAGTTGAGAAGGTCGATCGAGCAAAAAGTCGCCATCATACGTGGGGAAGAAAAATCCCTCGCCGAATGGTGGACGCGCGGTACGGGAGGCCGTGACCGAAACATTCGCTAATAGTTCGGCGGGAACTTCCCGTAGGCATTGGATAGTCTCTTTCGATTGGCTATCGCCTTTCTTGATGCATCCCACTGCTTCGGCTACAGCCGCGGTATTATTCGCTACTAAGCTTGATTTGGTATTAAAATTCAGCCCTGGGGCACCGGACATCATTCTAGTGTCAGGTCAAGTCAGCACAATGCTAGCATTATAAGAGGTTGGGGTCTCATTCACATTGCTTGCTGGAATGGAACATCATGTTTTCCTCCGAATGCTGTCAATTGTAGCCCAATATCACTAGCTCCAACGCTCTGCCCGATCGCGGTCACTTTCATGAATGAAGAGTCAATGAACTATTTCCATAGAGAGCGATACGCGATGAGTGGCACTTACCTCGCTTTGGGTCGCCACCGAAGTGTTCAATATTATCACGAACCCCTGGTATTTGTTAGTTGAGACGAGATGAGATGGTATCATGTCCGACACGTACACTCAAGCGCAGCGCGTTGGTCGCGCAGACCCACGTTCGTGTGTTTCGCCTTAACCAATGCATCGCTAGTTGCAAAAGCGAATACTGCATATATTAGTTAGAAGATGCGCCTACGGCGACAACGGACAGATGGATGACATACAACCTAGGCGGTAATTGATGCCAACGTAAATGATCGGCTGCCCGTCTTCCGCAGCTTGCCTTACGAGGCCACTGGGGTCATATAAGTCATCTGAAGCAGACCCTAAAGCATGCCCACCTATATAATTGATGTATTGATTAGCTTCATCGGATAACGATCACGGTCTGTTGAGGATTGATGTTTATGTCGTACCTCCGTGCAACCAAACTGCCACTGGTAATTTGGCATTAGGAGCCGCAGATTGAGAGCGAGCAATCCTCAAACTCAAGCAATTCTCGCTAATATTGGTGACTCGACTCGTATAAGGAAGAATGTCACCAGTGCCCTGCATGCACCATGCGCCAGACTGTGTAGCATCAATAGACGACCCCTTCTCATGCTTAATCGGAACCGGCGGTGCAAATCGATTCTTGCCCGAAGCGTCTTCGGCGTAGAATATGTTCTGGAAATGCTCAACACCGTCCGAACGTGTACCGAGATATGTGAGGTTACCGGTGGAGTCAAAGACTATGGCCGGTCCGGTCTCCCCTAGTAGAGGCAGTTTGATCTGGTAGTACTCGGCATTCCGTATTAGGAAACCCCGAAATGGCTCAAGGAACACGGCAAGAATGCCGAAGACTAGAGCTCCTAAGCCGAGAAGCCACGGAACGGAGCTTCTAGCCATCGCTACTAATCGTTAATAGTCCAAGCTATGGAGCTTTTAGAGTAATTATTGAAATCAAATGGAAAATAGAGGGAGAAAAGTGCGAAGGGCGAGATACAGTATGAATTCTAACCCCAACACATTATGCGCCGCCAACCTACTTCTATCATTAACAAAGTAATTCCATTTACTAGGTATGTCTTAAAAGATTTTATAAATACCTGGGCGAGTAGTCATTTTGAGAGCTGTAACTGGATCGTATAGTGGACCGTGTGTAGCAAGGGTGAAACGAATAAAGTAAGGGGGCTAATAAATGTAGCTCTACCATACTATCCATGGTAAGTTCCCACAGCGATCAATTCCGTAGCAGCCGAACTTGATTAACCCTTGTTCTTGTCGAAAGAGAAGCTGTCAGCTGTGTCTAGGTAGATTCACATATAATATTCTAAGTTGCGCTATCAATTTCGTATAGGTTCTTTGTCTTCTCAATTATCTACCTAGACGGATGTCCCAACAGCTAGGCGAAAAGCGCCGTAGAGCTCAGTACGGACAAATATTCTCTGATCCTGCATGAACAATTCCTCGGGATTCCGGGTTGGCGGGATTGGCATAATGATAATAAAACAGCCACAGGTCTGCTGTCGTGGAAGCAGTAAGCTTCCCGAGATCACCTACATATTAGGAGAAGAAAATGCTTGACGGTGTCCGATTCGGTGCTCACTGTGTACTGCCAGGAAGATATACATAACGGCGGCCGTGGGCCGACGGTATCCGTCAGAATCCTTGGTCCCCCGAAATTAATCGTTCATACTAAAACCTACCTCAACTAATCGTGTTAAACAGATAGAATCTAGTATTTTTTGACTACCCTATAGACATAAGGTAAGAGAAGTTACCTATAGAATAAGTAAGTAGATGAAGGCCGATTGAGACTCTTATGAAAGTGTTAGTGGGAGTTGATGGCGGGGCATTGGATTTCAGAACGCCTTGCAATTGGGTGGGGTCAGACAACATATATATCATGAATATCTAGATACCTACCTAGATATTTTTTCTTTTGGTGGCAAGCTGTCATTGCGAAGTAATGATTTGACTGCTTGTGCATGTGTGGCTGCATAAGTACCTATCCGAGACATACAAACGCTTGAATCTCACCGTAAAACTCCGGCTCAAATCATATTGTGCAAAATGACAAAGCGACCGGAGATTCCTCGCCCTCCCAAAGCAAGCTCTAGGTTTATCGGGATGCTAATTATCCATTCAATGCCTTTTTTTTCTTGTGATAATAGATGAAAAGGGGCGGAAAAGGGGTATAATTCGTCATCACGTGATTGGTTGCTGCTTGCTGAGTCATGTGCTCCAGTCGCGAACGGGCGGCCCCGGACCGGCTCTAATAAGTCTCGGCCGTTCAAACTTTCAACTTTCATTTAAGCATGAGTCTTTTTATTGAGTCCTAGATATATCTGCCGAAATATCTCAAGAATTACCAAGGCATCTCTGGGAAAGGTCGAGAATTATGTTCAAGGAACTTCTCGACGCCTACGGGCGATATGGATCTGATCAGGCATCAGAATCGGCTCTTCTAGATCTAGTCAAACGACGTGAGCTTCATTCATAATTCATTAGATCGATTATAGCTAACCTCCGTTCTAGTAATACCTGAAAAGGTTACGGCACAAGATCTGAACATCTTTTTATCGGAAGATAGAGATGAACCTGTATGCATTAATTTGTGATCTGTGAAGGATTTCGCATTAAGCATCGTAAACTAATGAGCTTGTGCAGGATCATGTTGCTGTGCTCTGGACCACATCCATCATCACTACGAAGATCAGCGAGGACATCAGGGATGGAGCAATCGACACTGGGGATGAACTATCCAGCGTTTTCCTCGAGATCACGGACCAAGTCAGCTCTCTAATGCTGCCCATTTGCTCAGGTGCCTCGCCAGATGAAGGTGCGGCACCTCCTTTCAATCACTGGATTAATCACAAGTCAACTGCTAATAAACTAGCTGCAGATACGACGAACTATGCGGCACTTCGTCGCAAGGCGAATTCTGGTATAAAAATACTTAATAAGCTCGCCAATCTACCTTTACAAGCACCACTGCGTTTCCAGCCCTCTACGCTACTCCGCTTGGCCGCATTCACGGATTCCGCAGACCCCTGGTCAACATCATCCGATGCAGCCAGAAAGCTCCTCGAGGCGCAACTGCAACAACTTGATGACGCCCAGAAAAAGTCACTTATCGGTGATGAAATTCTAACAAAGTTTCTCCGACCGCTATTCTCCAAATCCCGGCCAGCGGCCATAACAGCATCTGGGCGCAAAGCGGAGTACGTCGAACAATCGCGCTACGACAACGCCGACCGTGAAACTCCCGAGACTAAGCCCTGGAAATATGCCCATCGGTATGCGATCGCGGTATTCGCGTGGGCAGTGCAGTATTCAGATGTGAGTCCCATACTAACATCGCATTTTCTTACACATCCTTACTAATCTGTGCCAGACCACCCTCCTCCAATCCCACTGGCCGCTCTTCACACCCGTACTCCTAGCACTCCTCGATGAGTCTACGGTTACCATCAAAATTCGGGCTCTGGCCATTTTACGCACCTTCTGGGCACGCTGTCCTCCGGGTTTAATGCGCAATACGGGACTCGCCGACGTCTTCGAGCAAGCCGTCTTCCCTGCCGTTCTACACCTACCTACCTTAACACCCGAGGACGAGTCACTGCAAATCCTCAGCGCCGCATATCCCGTGTTAATCGAGATGGCTGGCCTCAACTACCCTAGCTCAGATCTAGAAGCAAAACAGCCACAACAAATCACCGAAGATCAACGAAAGCTAATAGACAAGATTGTCCGAGAAGGTGTCATGGTCGGGTATCACCATGCGAAAGAGCACATCCGACTCGTCGGTCTATTCTGCGAAACACTCGTCTGCATTGTGAATGGAATGGGTATAATAGCAGTAAAATATCTCAAGGTACACACGATTTCCGCCCTGTCCTTTCCATTTACCCCTCTATGCGTCTAGCCTTAGCACGGCTACTTGCTTAACCGTACTAGAACTCCTGCTCCATTAAAACAATTACTAATTTCAAGTAACGCAACAAACAGGATTTCATCCCTATGATCTCAGAGATCATGACGGACCCTTTCGGGACCAAGCATCCACCGACCCTCGTCTCGGCTACTCAATTGCTGCAAACCATTTTGCGCACGTGCTGGCCGAGAATCCCGCACCATTGCAATGAGATATGCAAGATCCTTATGCTCTGCTGGCTCAACGTTAATAACGAAGAATCATTTTCGAGCGAAATCTCCACTGCGACCAACTTAAAAGCAGAACTAATTAAGACAGGTCAAATGCTCTCCGCAGTCATGAAGACAACCGCCAAGGAAAACTTAAGCAAACGCGTCAGTCCCCTGATCGAAAAGGAGCCACAACTAAACGAGCTCTTCGGAGACATCAAAGCATCTTGAAGCAACCTCATTCTTCCAATTCATGCTCAAAACAAGAATCCATTAAGGGGATCCCAGATCCTCAAAGACATCAGACGTCGGAGTCCGCGCCGCCGAATCCTAGTCGAGCGGCTGCTGCTTGAAGAGGGATTTACCCCTCAACCACTTCCGATACGCCTTATATCGCTTCTTAGGCAGATCCTCATCCGTCACCGTCAACGGATTCTCACCAATCCGGAGCAAATCGGTGTACACCTCGAAGTCTTCTTCGGTTCCATTAGGATCCAAACCCTCCGTCTGCCAGCTGCCGTTCAGATACTCTTGGTACTCGGAAGAATCGACATCGGGCGGCGCTTCGTTAGATACGACGAGGGGTAGACTTTGCGCGTGACTGATATATCGGGAATAATCCTCCGTATCTTGTGCGTTGACTGAGGGATTGAGTGATTCTTGAACAATATTCGCAAATGTCCTCTGCGCGGCCTTGGTTTTCTCTTGGAGTGTCTGCTTCTGCTTGAGATGTTCGGGGTTCTCTACGGATTCCTTCATAATACTATGTGGAATCGTAGGACCCTTATCTGGTTGCATCGGTTGTAGCCAGCGGTGAATTGATATACCCCTTCCGCTAGTCTTCTCTGTCATTGCAGATTCGGAATCATCGTCCGGCAGCGGTTTAGGAGCTTCTTGGGGATCTACGATGGTAACTCCCTTCTTTGCCGTGGATTTCTTCTTCTCGTGCGTCTCTGCATCACCCTCGGTGCGGACTCGGAAGGGACTTAAATCATATTTACCCTCCTGGGTCGATTTGAAAGGGATGTACTTGATAGTTGAGTTCATCTTGTAGGGGAACATTTTCGGGAATGAAGACAATGTAGATGGTCGATAGTATTCGAGCCAATAGTCGTCAAAGAATGAAACTGGTTTGGTACCCATCTCTCCCCTCGGTGGTACAAAAGCGGGGATGGTCCTCTTCTCGAGATACGCCGGTGTGTACCAATGGATGTAATTATGCTTTTCTTTCTGCGACCACGTTCGCGGATCTGCGTGATGAAGATAGTAATCCGTAGCAAGATCCCAAAGCATTGGTTGCCCCTGAGCAAAGATGTAATTGCCGAGGAAGAGGTTATAAGCTTCTTGTCTTTGGCTATCCAAGAAAGAATTGTTGTAATAGCGCTTGAAGCTTTCTATCATATCGCGGGAATGGCTCGTCCATTGGTTGATCTTGCGGTAGGTCTCCATAGTATTCACCAGCTGAGAACCGCCATATTGGACAGCGATCGTGTCACCGTGATCATGATACATATGTGTAAAAAGATTAACGGCGTCGGTATCATAATCGATAATCGTATCTTCAAGAATACCTAGAGCATGCAGTTGGTGCCCAAGCGCTCGCTTTCCGATGACGAATTGGGCGGCATTCGTACGATCTAAGCAGTCGATGCAATTTGTTCTCGCAACGCCGTTCTGAACCCTGGCTTGAGTGATATCGCCATCGCCATTATGGAAAATTCCAGTTGTTGTGACAACGGTTTCGGCAATATTCTCAAGCGTACCAATGACATCTTGATCCTTGCTCTTCGCAGCCCTACTCATATCCCAAGCTTTATGGATGATCTTATGGCCCTCGGGCAGAAACTGATTGAGGTAATTGATGGCGTTTGTATACTCATCAAGCAGTTTGGACTCTCGCGGAGTTCTCTCCCTAGCTTTTATGAGATTTAGCGCATACACTGGGGACCCATAACGTTCGAACAAATTGTCGAAGTGCAATGCCGCTGCTGTGTAAAACGGATCGATGAGATTCAACTCGATCGGTGGCTTTGGTGTAACGCCCATATTATCTTGCGTCCAATGAAGAGGTATACTTCCTCGATGTTGAACGTAGGAAGTGAATTGAGGGTTAGCAAACAGCTTAGGACCAGGCGAATGGAACGAAGTCGTGACAGCTTCGGAGACAATCTGTTCTGTTTCCACATCGTTTGCAACATAACCGAGGTCGTTTGCGCCACGTTTCAAGAATCTAGCACCTGCAAAATAGCGAGATCGTCGAGCAATTATAGTTATATGCGCCGTTCTACCATATACCGATATGGCAGCCTGATCGATGTAACCATGTATTATCGGGCGGCACCAATCAAATGGGTCATGAATCGCATCCTCGGCGGGTCGTAAAAGATGGCTGTTCCAGATAAACATAGAATTATAATCATCATATGTCGTACCCGGCATTCCATGCAGCAAAGCCATTCTCTCTCTAGTGATATTATGTTGCAATGTCCTTGTAATATCATAGGAGTAACTATAATAGAAAGATCTCGTCAAATCGAGGTTTTTGAGGATGTTCAAGAAGCGTTGCTCTTCAACATGACGAGCATCTGTCTTAAACTTTGCCGGAGTCAGAGGAATGAGCTCGGTTCCATCGACCTGGTAGATGTAGTGCCCTCCAATCATAGCGACCGTGCTCTTCTTAGTGATCAACAGCATATAGTATGGCCCGGTGAATTTTATGAAGCCTAAAATTCCCCAGGTTGTACATCTTTGCTTGATTCCACCAGTGCCTTTATTTCCATCATCAATAGTATTCAACAACGAATTCATCTCCTTCTGGCTGTAGATAATCTTGTCATCTGTTATACTCAAGTCGGAGTCGTGGGTGTTACGATCGATCTTCAGGATGCGATAGCGCTTCTCGGTGACGTCCCCTCCTACAATGTAATATCGACTCGCCGTCTCATATAAGGTAAACTTATGCATCTTGTAGGCTGACCGGATCGGTGCTCGCTCCTCTTCGGGCGGGGTTGGTACTCTCGAAGATATGTCGGGACTACTCGTTCGAACAAAAGGTCTAGCAACAGCCGGCTCTTCCTCGTTGTCATCCTCGACCGTTCGTTTCTGCGCTTGCACTGTCTGTAGTAAAGTCTCGCTGCTGGCGTTATTTTGAAGCAGAGGGTATGCAGGCTCTAGAGGTTTCGCCTGGGGCTCATCGTCGGGAATCTCACGGTTCGCATCGTGAGAGGTTTGGCTTGGTGGATGAGAAGGCTGGCCATTGCTGGCCTTGGTACTGTCCTGATCAGTCGCGTCGGCCATTGGAACCGACGAATGCGACCCAGAGACGCATACTCTCACATGGAACGAGACGCCTAATTCCTAGGAGTTACTCGGGAATATGAGAACTCGTAAATCGGAAATTTATGTTATTAATAGAGAAAAGCCCCGAAGGACGTTGAATCTCCGGAAAGTTTAGAGTTTCGACCGTTTGCAACGAGGCCGTATGCTTAAGTGGAGTCGGTCGTACAACCATAGCCACTAAGTCCTTTATCGATAAGCCAGCTGAGTGACCTCATGGGGCATGACACCAATTAGAGTTACACAATTACATCATAGCCTCATTTTTAGGGCCCAAATCTTAATTAGAGCTGCCTGCATGTGAAAGAAATAACTGAGATAAAGTGTTTAGATTAATTTAAGTGCCATCTTATTCTTCAATTCCTTTATCTCGAACAATGAAATTTGAATCTTCAGAGATTGATTTTCATATCTAGGGAGCAACACTATGAGATTTGAATATCCTCAGCAAATGGCCTAAGATCTTGACATAGATCTCGATGGCTAGCGGTTTTAAATAGAATGTGTCACTCTCGTACGACACTTGTTTTCTAACGTTCGGCATAACGAGTTCGGCTTACACAAGAATGCCATCTTTCCGATTCGCTTGACGGGATTGAGGGACGAAACCCGTTGTTTGCACAATGAGTTCGCATCATGTCTTAGCCATAGAACGGCACTTATTTAGACCACATGTTTGTTCTCCTTTGTGATACAATTTTACGCGAGTTTTGCATGAAGCTTCACAACTTAAGGCAATTTAAGGCGATAGCTGCCACATCGATTATGTTTCAGATATTTGATGATGTTCCGATGCGTAATATGTCTACCTCGATACCTAGGTTCTTCAAGCCAGTCACAGCGTGATTACCGGGCTTCAGAAATGTGATCTGCCGTAAGCAAACATTTTCCCCGGTAATTTCTCTTGTCGTAGGATAGAATACGTCGGAATACCACCTTCATATCACATTGTCCTGGACGATGGAAGCTAGGAACGGATCCGACGGTGCTGCATAGCACCTCACCTTTGAGGTAAGGATTGACCTGAGGCATACCGTCAATCTTTGAAGTCCATTGGAGTTTTGAGAATATTATTGAATGTTGGTCGAGTTGACAAGGTCTATAGTCGGTCAACTAAGGTTCTTGGTTGGAAATAAAATGCGAACGCGCTAGTTCACCGGTAAGAAGCGGTGGATCGCAGAACGGATAGGTGCAGGAAAATCCAATGCATCAGAACCCAATGTACACCTCCACGAGCTCCGGCAAGTCAATAACGCCCGAAATATATAGCCACCTTGAGGCTAACCGGAGGTGCAAATCTCGGCGGGGGCGTATGAGAACAGCCACTGATGTTGATAATCATGATAATCAAGGTAGCAATAGACTTCGTATCATCGGCAGGTCGCCGACGAAGGAAGAGCGAAAAAGCGGTCGAGTCGGAGTATCCGAGGGTTCGACGCCCAGTCTGCAATATCCCGCCCTCCTACTGCAGAAGCATGAGATTATCCCCTTATTCTGGTCACATGGGGTGCCTGTACGACAACAAGCTTTCCAAGGCCAGACTGTTCTATCGGAGAAGCATTAAGCATTGTACAAGAAAGGAAATCACTGTGATACCGGTGGCTGACAAATTTTGAACGAGCAGAAGAGCCCGTGGGGGAATCAGCCCTACTCTGTAGGAGCAGCAGAGCCGCATTATATTCACACAACCACCCATAATGCATGAAATGACGTGGAGAACAAGGACAACCTACCTAGGCAGGTAAGATATATACCCCATATAATAAATCTCCGAGGACTATGTGGACGTTCTAGATTCCACCCAATTGCCGGCCATTAGAGCGGTGTGAACATCGAAGTCTATAAAGGAAATCGATGGAAATCGGGAGTTAAATAATGCAATGCAGCTGTGGTAGGTTAATAAGAGTATGATGTAAGAAATTAATTTCAAACCACGCGTCCGATGTAAGCACCATATACTAAACGAACCAAGCATCGTCTCGGAGAAACAAAGGTGCAGCGATTCGATATTAGGAAGGTCAAAAATAGATGCTACTGCGTCAGCCCACGAATGATACCTTGGAGCTTTTAGAAGACACCTACCAGTAACAGAGCTGTAGCGTATAGACGATATCCGAAACAAAAACGGCGGTATTGACTCTTTTATTCAACGGAAAGCACCCTGGCGGTCCGAAGAAAAACTCCGTAAGTGGCGCAAGATAGGAAAGTACGCAACCCCGCTTCAAGGTGGTATGTCAGGTAGTAGTATGTATATATCACCCCCGAGTCATCGGATAAGGGGTGACAAGTAAATACTTAGCTCACCTTGAAGGCATATCCCGAATGCTCCGCTCCTTAGTCTTACCTATAATTCGTCAATAATAGACCGCTAGTTATTTTAATTCCGCGATTCTTCATGCGTAGCATGTAGCACATTGGTCATTGGACCGTTTCCCCAGACTCCCAGACCACTTACCTAGTCTAAGAAACCGGGATTGGGTTTAAAGCTAAGTGTACTGCAACGTTGACAACGAATGGCAGAAACGATCCGACAATGTGGTACCGAGACCTATGGCAGGTCATAGCTGTCAGATTAAGGTGTCTTCATTTGGTTGCTCTACGTGTCGGCTCCTTTCTTGACATACCTGAAGTATCGCAAAGACAAGTGACACGCATCCATCTCGTTCGCGGAGTCAATAAGATGCTTCCGCATAACTTTGTGGCACAAATCGTTACCTATTTCGGCCTTCAGGTCGAAATGATGCGGATAGTCTCTCCTTAGTATGTTGTGTAATGTGCTACTAAAGCAAGCCCCCGTGGGGGTTCGCGTTATGCTCTGATGACGATTTAGCAGACGATGATTTCGAAAAGCCGGAAACCATACCAAACAAAATGAGAGGGATCGACAATGTGTCTGTATGTGATTCTCGGAGCGGGGTCAGCTTTGCTTAGAATATGTCGCAGGTGATATCTAATGCTGTTGCCGAAATGAGAAGTGTAGAAATAATATTTAAGGGCCCTGAGCAAGCCTATTCAAACATGCTATTTCGATGAGACAAGAATCAAACTGGTTCTGATATACGTGCCACTATAGGCGCACTTTGCGCATGCTTTCAACCATAATAAAATAAAGCGGCCTACACAAGAAGCAGTGTACACCACTCTCGCAATCGGAATCTCATTGGACACCCGAACTATTCATCGATTAGTCACAACGCAATGACTTCAAAGGTAGGTGGTATAAACATACATATTTCCGGTAACCAATGGCTCACGCCATCAGTAGGACACCAAGCAAACCTCGGTCAGCTCAGACGTAAGTCAACCAACGTCTGCTACGAACGATCCACCCGCAGCAGCCCAGCTCCTAAACCCAGGGAGCGGTGATACTAGTCAGGTGATCGTGCCCCGACCATGGGCGACCACCTCTGCTAGTGATAAGAAAGACGATCCCTCATCGGAAGACAAGCCTCACGACGGGAGTGCCATGGCGCGTTTCACTTCCCAGTCGATAAAAGATGACCCATGGCAGAACGTCAGTTCTGTTACGGCCACAACTCAACCTGACTCGTTAAAGACTACTGGCGTCAATCCATCAGCACCACCAGCACCACCGGCACCCGCGAGCCCAACGGCGGCCACATCGGGGTCTGGAGGAAACAAAGGAAATCAGGGCGCAGATACATCTTGAAGAAATAATCGAGGGAAAAAAAGGGTTATGTCTGACGAATGTCTGAATTGATCAAGATTTCTAAAGTTATAATGCAGGAACCGCAAGTTCTAGCGGTTCACGTTGAGCTTCCCAAGCCAGCCAGTCTGATCTCGTGGTTCTAGGGACGCGTTAGCAAATTTCGATTCTAGTCAAATAAATATAACGAAACTTACGGTAACAACCCCATTGCATTAATCTTCCATATTCCAACAGCCAAAGCCACCATCTGCATAGCAATGTAGGCTAGCTTCGCTTGTATTATCTTAGCCTTGTTGCTCTCACTCTCAAACCTCTCAAATGCCTGATTCGTTGCGATGATGCCCATGATAGGATTCTTGAAAGCCATGAAGACCATCATGATGCTGAATATCTGTAGCGAGTTGCCCGACATGTACATCATGATCGCGGTCATCGGTAAGTTCTTAACGGGGGCGAGCGCCACTTCCCACGCCTTCTTTAGCTTCAATGTGTCCATCTCTTCAGGGGTCGGTTGTTTTCGGGGTTGGGCTTTCGGCTCTTTGGAGGCTTGTTTCTATTTATATCTTTAGCATATTAAGAGACTGCTTTGATTCGAACATAATACCTTAGATAACGCGGTTGATTGCGACGGGTAGCCGGGCGGGTCGGGAATGCTGTTGTTTTTCGACTTGGACGGTGGCGGGGATTGTAGGTCAGCAACCCATTTAGGAACGGGAGGATTGCTCGAAGACATTTGGGCTAATTATTGGAAATATCTCGACGGTATGTTGTTATCGGCTAAGAATATTAACTGGGTATGGTATCTTGTTAAGCTGTGTAAATGTAGCTTGTGTTTTTTGATGAAGTTGCGATGTGAGTTTCAGTTCTAGGTTCCAGCTGGAGATTTACAGTTGATGACCCATAATAGCTGTCGTAATGGGTTGGATGACTAAGCTTCGTTAAGCTTCGTTACCAGTGAACCTTAGCGATGGAGAGGTTCCACATGGTCCGTGTTAGCCCAAATAATTACCCCTGCAAGCGTGACGGAAGCCCCAACTTTCCAACCTTCAGGGGTTTTCTATTCCCAATTTCTAATTTCTTGTCTTCAATTATTAAATGTTATAGAGGGGCCAAATATCTTCCTTCATAATTCACTACAATATCATAATTTTCGATAATGTCGCCGAATGAGTCTCTTAGACTTCTTCTTTCTTCCTTAGAATGCCGATGAACCCAACTTAATTTAATCAACGCCGATTCCACGAAAAACCTAAGGGCCAAGACCCGGCGTACGAACCGCACCTCCATCACCCGTCCGTCCAATACCCGACTGCTGTCTTCCGCCTGTGTTCGACCCTTGCGATTGGACGGTTACATTCTTTACCTCCCCTATACCCTGCTGTTGCTGCTTTTTCCCAGGCGCTATTCAGTATATCGACAGAGCTTGATCTCCCACATCCGCCAACCAGCCAGTACCTCGAGAAGCAAGCACCAAAGAGGAAATTCCGACAAGCAGTGTAGAAGCCGACAATAAACTTACCAACATGGCGAGCGCACAAGGCGGAGGCGACTCGAAGCTATTCGCTCGAGTAAGCATATTCTTATTATTTCTTTTCCTAATATATTTTGATCCCACTGTTCTGCCTATCGCATGTTACCCCCATTCCTCCTGACCTATTTTGATGCTCTCACCTCCAATTTGATAAATTAGGAGAAACAATATATTCCATATCAGTTTGTCCTAGTTATCCGAAGCGCCCTCCCTCTTGACGATCATCTGAGGAAGACAAACGTCTCGAGTCGCCCTCCAGCCCAAAGTCCCTTTGGGACCAGCAAAACACATTATGAACCTACACATTTCCCCCGTCGCGCATAATGGCCACATTTATAACATATCTACCTCCTCCGGACTTTGGCTTACGACCGTTGACTTTACAGGGCAAAGTCGCCGAACTGCGACTCGAGCTGAACAGCGGTGGAAAGAAGGATAAGAACTTCACGCAGAAGAAGATCGCTCTTAAGAAGATTGTCGCCAACATGACCATGAGCAATAACGAAATGGTCTCCCTCTTTCCCGATATAATAGGCTGCATGCATATTCAGAGTTTAGAAATCAAGAAGATGTATGTCTACGGTGACATCCCGACTTCAGCATCCAAAGCAACATACTAACAGGGACGATATAGGTGTTTCTTGTTTCTAGTTAACTACGCGAGGATGCGCCCTGAGATTGCGGTAAAAGCAATCCCATTCCTACAAGATGTAGGCATTACAGAAGTCATGGACCCCCGTACCAGCGCGTTAACACGTATATAGGATATGGGCGATCCGAATCCGCTAGTCAGAGCTCTATCTCTACGAACCATGTCATACGTCCACGTTAAAGAATTCGTCGAAGCTACGGTACCTCTTGTAAAACGATTACTTCGAGATGTCGACCCCTACGTACGAAAAACGGCCGCTTTCTGTGTCGCGAAGCTATACGATCATGATAAACATATGGTTGAACAATCGGATCTGATAGATAGGCTGAATCAGCTTCTAAGAGATGACAACCCCACAGTCGTGGCCAGCGCATTGGCTGGATTGATGGATATTTGGGAGCGCAGCGACTCGATCAAGCTCACTATCGATTACAGCAATGCATCCAAGATGGTAGCCATTCTACCGGACTGCTCAGAGTTTGTGCTACCTCGGCTAATGATTACCTGCACCATAGCTGACTTGGAAACAGATGGGGCCAGACTTATATCCTTGAAGCATTAATGTCTTATGTGCCACAAGAATCGGGAGAAGCCACGTTGCTAGCCGAGCGTATTGCGCCACGACTATCACACTCGAACTCCGCGGTAGTGTTGACGTGCATCCGAGTCATTTTGTATTTGATGAACTATATTGCGGATGAGAAACAGGTTTCGGCGTTATGCCGAAAGTTATCTCCGCCTCTTGTGACGCTATTAGCGAAGGGTCCGGAGGTGCAATACCTTGCTCTACGAAATGCGTTACTCATCCTTCAGAGGAGGCCCGACGTCCTACGCAACGATATCCGCGTTTTCTTCTGCAAATACAACGACCCAATCTATGTCAAGGTTACGAAGCTTGAATTGATTTTTATGCTCGCCAACGAGAAGAACATCGACGAAGTATTGACGGAACTTAGAGAGTACGCGACGGAAGTCGATGTACATTTCGTTCGCAAAGCAGTGCGCGCCATAGGTAAGCTGGCCATTAAGATTGAGCCAGCTGCGAGGCGGTGCATAAATCTGCTGTTGGAATTGGTCGCAACTAAAGTCCCGTATATTGTACAGGAGGCTACAGTTGTCATTCGCAATATCTTCCGAAAGTATCCGAACCAGTATGAATCTATTATCGGCACGTTGTGTGAGCATCTCGACTCACTTGACGAGCCAGAGGCAAAGGCCGCAATGGTCTGGGTTATCGGACAGTATGCCGCGCGCATTGAGAACAGCGATGTCTTGCTTGAGGATTTCCTATACTCATTTGCAGAGGAGCCCGTAGAAGTACAGCTAGCGCTGTTAACAGCCACAGTCAAGCTCTTCATACAACGCCCCACAAAAGGCCAAGACCTCGTTCCCAAGGTTCTTAAATGGGCCACAGAAGAGACGGATAACCCAGACTTACGAGATCGCGCATACATGTACTGGCGACTGCTTAGTACTGATATGAACGTAGCTAAACAGATGGTCATGGGCGAGAAACCCCCCATCACAGCCGAATCCGAAAAACTTGACCCCTTGACCCTAGAAGAGATGTGTCTCAACGTCGGCACCCTCTCCACAATCTACCTCAAACCCGTCCAAACTGTCTTCCGCAGCGCGCGCCCCCGCCGCCTACCCGATTCTCAGGCTTTACAAAAACACGCTCTCCCATCCTCCGCCAACCTCCCCGCCTTCGAGTCGCAAAAGAGTCTTAGCCAATTCGGCATGGACGGACAACCCGTAACCCTAAATCCCAACGCTGAAAACGGGCAATCTCAAGCATCAGCGCAAGCGCAAGCACAAGCGCAGGCGCAGGGACAACAGGGTATGACGAACGCGGTTAGCGATGCCGATGCGTATTTCGCTGGTATAGGGAGCCAGCAGATGGCTGCTATGGGTATTCACGAGGCGGGTGATTCGTCGTTTGGTGGTGGTGGGACCGAGGCATCGTATGTGGTTAATCAGTATGCGCCACAGCAGGTATTTCAGCCGGCGCAGGGGGTTGGGAGTAATGGTGATTTGTTGATTTTGTAGATAGGTGTTTTATCTGTCTACTTATCTACCCAATTTGCCTATGAAGCCACCAGGGCTACGATTTGAATCTGCTCGGGGAGACGTACCTATTTTTATATGCATGAACGAGGCGAACTTAAGAGGTGTTAAGATAGCATAGGGGCGCAAATTAGCATTTGCAAGATTGTTGAATGTGTAAATAAGATGGATTATTATGGCTGAGATCAGCTCAGCTAGTAGAACGATGATTTCAAGGAATTGTACATCAGTCATGATATAATTCAGAATCCAGTTCCATGTAAGATCAATATCACTTGAGTCTTCATTTCATCACATTCATGCTAATGCTGCTCATTTTTCGGGACAAATGTATGATTCCATTATAGTAGCGATCTTGCGTAATCTAATTGAACAATTAAGCCCATCTCAATGAGCGACAAGTGGAAAACGAATTAATATGCGGCAGACAATAACTGTCCTGCGATCTGCGGTCCAGCTCCCAAGAAATCTCGAATTATCATAGCCCCTTCCCCCTTCAACTCTCATTATTCGCCTAGCTCGTTCCCGAAGATTGGATATCAACACTATCCCCTCGAAGCTCAGATGAGAAGAATGCTTAAACTCGATAGCCTCAATCGATAAATGATTCCATGGAGCAGACTTAAGACAGCATCAAACAACCCATAACCGCCAAAGCTGCTGCAACGAGCATAAGGCGTAAGTTGAACTTCGCGGCAAAGTCAGCGGCGTTGGTTTCGACAACGGACGGTCTCGGGGAAGGGTGTGCTATTGGCGTTTCCAACACCACGAAGTTGCTGGAGCTAGCATGTGAAGCTGACGAGGCAACAGAAACCGTCGTGTAAACATAGTCGTCAGTTTTGGTAGTAGTTCCAGCCTTTACTGGTGGGGTGGTAATTACTACCACTACAGGAGCTGATACCGACTTGGGTGCGGTAACGGTCTTCGTAACATTCTGCGGGGGTACCTGTGAAATTGATGCAACTGATGCACTCGAGGCTATCTTGGTGATAGTGACAACGTGTGGGATTGCAGGAGTACTTTGAATGGCGAATGGAGGCGTTTGAAGACTCAGAGAGACGGTCACAGTTGGTGGATCTGGAAGTGTGACAACACTTGGGTCGACGATTTCGGGGGCGGCTGGAACGCCATATCCACCAGGAGGTAGTAGACCTGTTGGCACAGGAGGACTACCATATCCACCAACGACAACAGGAGCCGTGCTGGGACCATGTGCGTAACCATAGCCGTCGTAGTCATCTCTTGCAACTAATTCACCATCATCAACCTCTAGATCTCGGGAGTTCAGACCCGACCCCTCATGATGCTGCTCTCCAAGGTCGAAGAACTCTGAGAATTTGAGGGTGCGCTTAGGAACTTCGGTCATGATAGGGCTACGACCAAAAGAGGTTGAAGGAGGTTGAAGGAGCGATCCGCCAGTGTCAGTAGTAGGTGGAGATGTACTGGCGGAATGATCATGGTCGGTGAGGTAAATCGTGGTGAAAGTAGATGGGTGATGAGTGCCCGACAGGCGATTGGGTGGATTGATGAAGACAGCAGTGGGATCTGCACTCGTAACAATGGCAGTGGCATTGCCAGAGTCGCCCTCAATAAGACGCGGTAGGCCATTGACAACCGAAGCCTCTACGAAGCTCACAATACCAAGGCATAGTGCCATAAGGCCGACTACGATCATTTTCGCAAATGAACCCATGATTGGTTTTTTGAAAGTTAATAAACGTTATTGGCGAGAACAAAATGAGTATTTCCGATATTCTGAGAGGATCGCCTGAAACTGGGGAAAGGGGTGAAGAGATGAAGAAAAGAAAATATTGGATGGACTAGAATGAGTAACAAGAAGTGCGCGCTTTTCAAGTCGAAAGTTAAATTCTACGTTCTAATTTCCTCTGTTTATTTAATTACGGATGTTCTTGCTCATATTATTCGTTGAGTAGGTAGTTGTTGCCGCGGTTGCTGAGGAAGGCACGACAAAGTGAATCCACCCTAGAAACGCGCCATTGTTCTGTTTACACTCTAATATCTAGGGGAACTACATTCACGGGAAGGCAGGACCAACTTAGGGATGTCCAAGGAGTTCTTCCAATTGTTAAAAGTATAATGCTCCTCGTACGTGTATGTATATGCTGATGTCGCGTGCCGGAAGGAGTATGGGTGCTAAATATTCACTCAACCCCCTTTATCATCTTTATCATAATCCGGAGTAGTCTACTTTACGAAATGTAACTCGAAGTTTATCATATAATAACCTCCCTATTCGTCTCATATAATAGTCTAAGAAGGGCCAAATACTCGATTTGATCAGAGTGACGTTTTTTTCAACCGCCTTGATAGACCAATGTCCCTCCTTAGGCAGACACGATAAATGATATCTGCTAAGACCGAAGGCAGAGATATGTTCGACGAGAGTAAGCGGTGACAGTTGCTATAAGTTATATGTGGCCTATACGTATCTGTTGAACATTACTAAGGCTATAACTTTCGACATGCTGAAACATATCTTAACAATGACTTGTCGCGTATAAATATTGTAAGAGCTTGACATCTCTTGATAAGTTACCTTAAGTCATGTGAATTACCTGTGTATTATTAGGAGTTCGAATAAAATTATCCCTCTTTTGACGGATTTTACCCTATGAAGCCGATAGAAGACGATAAGAGATTCTGCTCATGAGGCTCATTTCGCGATTTTGGCCAGGGATACTCCAATAGTCTGAGCACACCCACTGGATGCTTTATCTCAATTAGACTAATACCTATAGGATCACAAGGTGCCAACTTTCGCTGTGTCATGCTTCATGAAACAGGGGATGCGATATCTTCAATCTATAGAATGACTCAGAATGTCTTACTAGATGCTTTTCGAAGCGATAATGCCTTATTCGGTTCTTTTGACAATATTGCGTTATCGTTTATGGTTATCACATGCGTGTTCGTGGCCGATAGCGGGTAGAAATCTAGATGTGTGTGGGCTGGTGGGTTAGGTAGAATGGCCCCGAAAGTCTCTCCGCAGTACCTAGCTCTCGTTAGGAACGTATAATGCGGAGTTGGCCTCGGTAGACCAAACCGATAATCTGCGGGGATGATGGGGTTGCTGCGTTAAGAACCACAGGCGATGACCTATACGTAATAGTGTATCATAAGTATCTTGTATAAAGGGGAAATAGCTTGATTTTGATCTGGGTACGTGTAGTTAAGGTAAAGACAATGAGGCTAAAGTAGTTAAACCTGCATTATGTCGACAATAGACTTGACTTAGGCCCTGCATATTGTAAAGGTTATCAGGATAGACTATGGTATGGCATGTACTATAACATGTGATGCTATAGTGGATGGAGCAAAGATACAACCTTGCTGGCAGTATGTGACTTGTTATATTTTGATAACCTTTAGAACACGTGGGCAACATAACAATGGATTCTACCTCGGTGAGTATTTTTCTGGTTAAGAGGAGTTATCTCGTTTTGGGCATCGAAGAAGCGGCGTATAAAACTGGGAAGGAGAATAATTAGGTAATATTTGGATATCGAAAACGGAATAGAAATGTTCTCGACGATTAATGGATTCTTTTATATGTATGTTTTGATGTTGGATTGTGAGCAAATCCCTAGATACATGATGTAGTTCGTGCTGTTAGCGTGGACTTTGCCGGGATCTCTTGTATTCGTTTGTTTCGTGACGAATCAGATATTCCGTATCTAGATAGGATCAAGTATGAAACACCAGAATGACGCCATATTAGCTCTAAGATAACCATTAATGGTAAAGACGACGCTTAGCTGTATTTAAGACTAGGGGTAAACGGGTTCATCATCACGCGTACATACCTTATTTATATGTATAAACTGTTAATCTAGACAGCCCTAAGCTGGGCAAAAGCTGGGCAAAAGCTGGGCAAAGAGAAGAGGAGAGGGTGGAGTAGAGTGTGGGGAAGGGGAATACCTGGGCAATGCCAAGCCGGGGGCAATACCGCGCCAAGGCAACAAGAGATCCACCCGATACTTCTTCAGCTCTCCTGACCATTTCAAGATAAAGATGGCTCAGAAAACTCAAATACTTTGAATGTTACTGTAGTGGTGAATCCAAAGAAAAGTCATTCGTTTTCTTGACCGGTTGCTCACCTCTAGCAAAGCCATAATGGCTATGTCTTAATATGGTCGTGACTCTAGTTTCTTTTGGATAGATACAACCCTACATCCGACAAAAAGACAACTTTGAGAATCAGGTGAGGAGGGTAGGGTTGATAGAAAAGGGAACACCTAAAGTTTGCCTCTTTCCTTGTACGGCAGTGAGATCCGAGTTTTTGTTATCTCCATATTATTACCACTAACACTTTTAATCCGGGGTATTCTTCACCATTTCTCTTACCTTTGACATTGTTCAATCAATGCCCAGATGCATTATATAATGCACATATATTCTGTATGTATTATTTGCAGATAAGGTGTGGATGAGATGAAGATGTAGGTAATCGGTAATCTCGTAACTTGAAATTGTTGTGTAAGATCAATTACACCATCTTCATTCTGTGTATCCGAACTTGTTAGCTAGTGGCCTCTATTTTTACTAAGGTTGATGGTGCATAGACCACTAAGAGGCCAAAGTCACGACCTAAAAGTAATAACAACTAGAAATAAGGGGGCGTCCCTAAAACCAGCCCGGCGGGCGAACAAGCCTAGTAGTCAGGAGCGAGTCCAAAAGTCGATCATCCATTTTCATTCGTGGCTTCTTAGGTTGAAGGCCAATAATAATACTAATTGAAGTTGCTATCAATAATAATGTTTTACCTATTGTGAATATTTTGGAGAAGACTCGAAAATTCGATTTATTTACTGTCATTTTTCCATAATTTATTGTTCGTCCTTTAAAGATAACGATCTATTCCTTCCCCGGTAACTGTCAAACCTAACCTTACCAACTATAGGTGGTACCTGTCAATTCCATTACCCGCTAGACTCGAGTAAAATAACATCATATCATCACCATCGCAATTACTAACTTTACCTTTGCCTTTACCGTCCGTACCTACCTTACCTACCTGCAACCAACATACCTTCTTACCATCTTGGGTATTGTCAACTTATTTTATTTCCCGTTAGCTCTTGCCCGCCTACGCTTTATCTACCTACATGTACATGAGGTGGTGGTGGCTGTAGTAGTAGCAACCGGCTGCATTTCCCGCATTTGTCTTGTACCTGCTTTTGGGCTACTACTGCCACTCCCACTCGTCATTGTTTCGCACTTCACACAATTAATTCGGTAGTCCAATTTCTTCAAATCATAGCATTCGTTTCATGTGCGTGGCTTTTTTCCCATGGCAGGAACCGGCGAAAGCGACGACAAATAATAATTATCTGCGACTCAATTTCGATTTCAATTTCATAGTGTCCGGTGTTCAATATAATTCGGCAATCCTTTTTTGAATCTGGGTGCAGCTTGATTTTTTTTTTGTAGCACCGACGAAACACGCTGAACGACTGCTGACGTCCACTCGTTTTTTACCCGGCTATTTTTAAATCATCTCGTTAATTGCGCGCAGCCAGCCGTGCCGTGTGTCAACAATCGCCGACATCCTCGCGCTTGATTTCACCCCTTCAATTCCGTCCTAATTGATTATGGCGGACGCGACACCCGCCTCTACCGGTGGAGATCAAGGCCCTAGGGAAGAGCGGGTGTCGATAAACCAGCCAGTCGGCGACGTCGAGATGGAGGACCTATCCAAAACTCAACCTGAACCCGCCAATCCAGATACCAATCTAGACGCCCCTACTCCTCAAAATCACGAATCTGAGTCTGAACCAACCCCGATACCTGTACCCGATAAAGATCCCCCGACCGGCGAATCAGCACCAAAGGCTCGCAGCAAGGCCCCGGCTGGTGGCGATGATCAAGATTTAACGATAGACCCAGTCGAGCCGGCAGCTGGCACATCAGAGGACAATGATTTGGCGGTCGATATCATGCTTCTCTTGACCTCAGGCGCCCGACACCCATTCCGAATCGACGAGAAATACTTGGCGAAGCGGAATGTGACAGTGACAGGCAGGACAGAGGATGGCAAATTGGATCCTTTCAGTATCACAGTATACACATTGAAGGAGCTTATACTGCGAGACTGGAGAAAAGAATGGGACCAACCACCAAGAGAACCAAGTGCTATTAGGCTTATTCACTTCGGCAAGCTTCTCGAGGATAGGAATCAACTCAGCCGTAAGTTTGGGTCCAATTTCACACACCATGCCTTGAATTTCAGGGTGTGGTTTTGTATGGTTTATTCGCTAAATGCTGACTTCTATAGACTATCATTTTAGTACAACTCGAAACGTTGTCCACATGACCATTAAACCCCAAGACCTAATCGACGAAGAGGAAGCAGCAAAAAAGGTGAAAGATTCCGGTAGCCACAGCGGTCGGAGCGGATGCTGTGTTATCTTATGATCGAGCCCCTTTTCCAAGCAATCACTGCTATCCTACAAACAAAACCTTATTTCGATATGGCGACATCGTGCCCTATTTCTACACTACTTCAATGGGTCAAGGACGATAGGAACGAGATGGACATTAGGGGCATGTACTGTGGAAACGACTGAATTTTTGGCATCGGGCGGCGTGACTGGGTTGATTTCAGCAGCAGTAGCAGAAATTGCGTGAAGTAACAATCACCGAGACGGAACGTTTTTCTTATTTTGTCAAGGAGGAAGATAGAGAGTCGTATTCGAGTGGTACTCTTCAAGAGTACGTACGCTATTAGCGACTCGAGAGAACTTGAGGTTAGGAGAGAAGACCTCGATGGTTCTATATTTCTTCCTGTTTTCATCTTTTTTTCCCTCATACCGAAGCACTGGAGGAACAACAGGCTGATATCCGGCGTACTTTGTTGTGTTTATACTACTTGCTCTTTTACCGGTCTTAGTGGCCATATAAACGAATAATGTGGTCTATTGTTGGCCACTGTCTATATACTGAAGAGTTTTGATATGTTTCCGCATAGTTGTGTGATACGAGTTTAGGAAAATATGAGCACATTGATTATTGTCAATTAGGGTTTGGCATCCGTGGATCGTCTATTTCATATTGCGTGCCTGTTTTTTACACGGCAAAAATACCCCTAGTCCATGGCTATTGAGCCCATGACGTTAGGGAGCTAATTACTCCGCTCATCAATGTAGACATGACCAATCTGAAGTATCAGCCACTTCCAAGGCCAGAACTCTCGTCCATTTCTATGGACTTTGCATCGAAGAGTCCCTTAAATCTTCAACTTTCTCTCCATCTCCTCATGCACACCAACAGCAGCACGCTGCTCCTCACCGGTAAACACATCCTCCCAATCAATCGCAGCCTCACGTCCTCTCAAAATATCCTCATGCACACTCCTAACACCCCCGCCCAACGCAAGCGGTCGCCAGTCTCCATCCCGCGCGATCTTGAGTTCCATACCCCGTCGGACTGGCTCGGCTACGCCGAAGGTTTTGCGAAGAGATTCCATGCGCAAAGTTTCTTGGGTCGATTCCCAGGCTTTGAGACGCGCTTCTAGGGGGTGGCGGGAGGCGGGGATCGGGTCGGTGGTGGTGCTGGTGTTGGGGCCGATGCCATGCCGGAGGACGTCGTGGACCCCGGGCGCGGAGGGCGCGGAGGTGTTGGTTGCTTTGAAGGTGCTACTGTGGTTGGAGGGGGGGACTATGCGCATCGACTGTTATAGTGGTTAGCTTGGTGATCTGGAGGGATGGGTGGTAGTGGTTAGAGTTGAGGCTTACCATCTTGACGGTTGTGGAAGTAGGTCTAATTTCTTTTTTACTATGTGTTTAGGCACAGATTTTGTATCGGTGTCGAATTTATCGCTTCGTAGATCGATAAATAGAGACGGTGTGGTGAATAGTGGTCGTTTTTACTTGGTTTGTAGATGAGCTTTGTAGGAAGCTCAAAGATAGCGGATAGCAAGTAGGCTCCAGGGAGCTTCGTGTTTGGAAGCCTTGCCAAGACCTGGAGGTGTGAGCTGCCCCGGGTGGTCCCTGCGCTAATATGTGGGGGCTACGTAAGGGAGCCAATTAAATTCAAGTTTCTTCGTTATTGCCAAAGCTTCGGATATATACAGGTCACTAAACTATCGGAGCTCTGCGTCACAACCTATACCTACCTGTACTTCTATATAACTTCCTAGGATTGACTCATTCCTTTGGGGATGTAGGCCTTAATTGAAAATCATTCTGAAAAGATCTTATTATGATCCAATTGACACAATGAGGTTCCCTTCAGTACGTCCACCCGTGATAAATATTGCCAATGGCACTTTTTATCGCCATCACCCGGGTACAAACTCGATACATCCGAACCCGGCACTCTTTAAAGATCTGAACTTCACATTACCTTCTACCACCGACCAGCCAACACATTGGTATGTCGTTGGTCCATCTCTGAGCGGTAAGACGACATTTCTACAACTCCTCAGAGGAAGCCACCTATGTTTCCCTCCCGCAGCAAGGAGTTACCCGTATCTGTCTACAGATGCGGTCCCTCACAGATTAAGAGTACCACACAAGGCTGTTCAATACGTTGGGTTCAATAATGATGGATTTTCTTCTAGTATAACTACTTCGGCATATTTATCTGCTCGTTACGAGTCAAAGCGGGAGAATACCGATTTCTCACTTAGAGACTTTCTACTGGGCAACACCGAATTGAACCCATTAAAGTCTTCATCCGAAGATGAATCGGATCCGGCCTTGTTAGATCGGGTAGTACGAGACTTGAAGCTCGCCCAACTGTTAGATTTACCGGTCGCATTTTTGAGCAATGGACAAGGCCGAAGAGCTAGAATTGCCAGAGCTCTTCTCACTGCACCGGAAGTACTACTGCTCGACGAACCATTCATGGGCCTTGATCCGCCTACGGTAGCTGGACTAAGTCCCCTCTTACATGGCCTGGCAAGTAAAGCTAGCCCCAGACTAGTAATCAGTGCAAGACCACAAGATCCCATTCCTGATTGGATCACGCATTTGGTTTACCTGAGAGCAGACAGTCAGATAGGCGCAATCGGTGAAAAAGAAGCTGTCCTGGATGAATTGAGGAGTTACGTCCGGCGGGTCTGGAATGGCACATCAAGAGAGGATGGGAACTTGGCGGTGCATAACCTGGTGCATGTTGGCAGAACGCTAACTGCTAAGGGAATACACGGAGAACCACTCATGGGTGAAGAAGCTTTGAAGTCCCAAAAAGCGACTATTCGAGAGGCTTGTGCATCAAGGAATATTGGGAAGCCCGTTGTGGAGATGGATGGTTGCAAAGTACAATATCGGGGTAAAGTTGTTCTTGGAAATTGGAAGCAGAAGGTCAATGGGAAAGAGCAGGAAGGCCTTATATGGACCGTTCGACGTGGAGAACGATGGGGTATTTTTGGACCCAATGGATCCGGAAAGACCACCATCGTGTCCCTTCTCTGCTCTGATCACCCACAAACATATTCCTTGCCTATAAAACTCTTCGGTCGAAGCAGATTGCCGGAACCTGGATCGGGTGAACTACCCCTGACTTTCTGGGATATTCAATCACGAATCGGACACTCTAGTCCTGAAATTCATCAGCATATGCCCCGGAATCTCGCCGTTAGACAGGTTATTGAGAACGCGTGGGCAGACACGTTCCGCTCAAAAGCTAAACTCGATGCACAAGCCGTAGAGAAAGTCGAGGCTTGTTTGCGATGGTTCGAGGCCGAATTAAACCCAGCTTTTGTAAGATCATCAGAGTCTGGATCTTCTTCCGCGAAGGGCATTTCAGATCTAAAATGGGCAGATCACTATATGTTTGGCGAATTATCGTTCTCGGCACAGCGTGTTGCTCTATTCTTGCGCGCAGTTGTTAAGAACCCAGACATTGTTGTCTTGGACGAGGCGTGTAGTGGTATGGATGATGGCGTCCGAAATCGCTGCTTACTTTTCCTCGAGCACGGACAAACAAAGTCATATGTGAAGAACGAAGATGGCTCGGAAACTGTTGTTGAGAGCGAAGCATCAAAATTAGGCACTGTAAAGGTTGGAGGTTTGAACGACAACCAGGCTCTGATATGCATTAGTCATGTTAGGGAAGAAATACCGGATTGCATTAGAGAGTGGGTATGTCTACCCGAGGCTAACTCTGGGGAATCCGCTCGATTTGGAGTATCCGAAGCACCTCTCGGTCGGGATGAAAAGAGCTGGAGAGAAATCTGGGGGATGTAAAAGTTATTGATTTTATGAATGTATGGACTCGGATTCCCGACATCTTGGGTTTGCATCTCAGCAATTCTTATTGGCCAATCCTGTTCGCAATGACCAAGTACATACTTGGGTCCAGTATATTTGGATATTTGCTTTAGATTACTTGCATCGTCGGACTGCATCCACATGTAGGTACAGAAAATAAATACTACCTCCTGTGTAGTAGTCCCGTGCGAGCAATAAATTGGCTGGCGATACGCGGGTTTTAGGGGAATTAAAAAGTACATATGTACTTTGGTACGTTTCGTTGAAGAAAAGGGAGCTCGGAAGGTTATCGTAAACGTGCATTGCCAAGACCGCGTTGCCGTTTTGAATGTGGGGTCTAGTTATATTTTAGTATGCGGTTGCTGGGCAACAGCTACGTGCTGCGCATCCCCAAATAGAGTAAACTTTCAACAACGTTCTTATTAGCTGCAGCTCTCATCGAGGCATCCGAGCTACCTTAGCTCCCCACCGAAAATCAATCAATCAACTTTACGTACCTTTTACTCCTCTATCTCTCAAAAATTCTGTGAAACCATCGAAACTCAATTCGCGACCATTGAATATCGCGTCGTTCCTTAATTCACACTAAACTTCTAATATCGATCGCTATTTTGCTACGACAACTAAATAGAATTCATTATTTACGTTGAAGGTCACATTACTACGGGCTTTGACGGTCGCTACATTCCAGCTTCAAAACAGTATTGGAGAGTGTCTCACAGACGAATAACGCGGCATATTGGCCGATAACAATTCGTTATGGACGGTACCCCTTCTCGACCGCCTGGGTACGCTTTACCAGGCTACGATGATGATAATGACCATATGACCCCCGACTCAGGGAGAAATCCAGCGGCAGTAAGACTATTGACATCTATGGAAGAGCCATTATCGGGACCTCGACCGTATGTACTCCCACCAATGCCAGACACCAGTTCAGCATTGTTCTCCCCAAGCCTCGTCCCCGCTCCCTTAGCCACCAATAAGTCACCAAAGGAGAAGAAGACAGTCACCATTTCGACCCCAGAACATATCGAGTCGCTCAAGAATCAGGAAGAAGCGCATACGCCGCCAACTACCTCGCCTGGTGAAGGATAGTCCCCTTCACTAGTGGGTGGTCCGCCGCCTAAGCCTCAACCTGCTCCAAAGCGCACCAACACTGTAAAGTTACAGAAAAAGAAGAAACCCCACTACGTAATCCAAGAGGAGCTCAGACAAAATCTCCCCACGATCCCCGAGGGCCCATCACCAAGAAAGAGTTCTCTTCTCAGCAAGAGAGCCGCGAACAGCGAAGACAGCTCTTCAAGCAGACCAAACAGCCCCGATGACAATAACAATGACTCACTGAAGACAACTAATAGTATCCGACCGTCACCTCGTCGAGTATATCAACCATCTATTCGATCTACACATTCACGAACATCATCTATACTCGATCCCCCACATATCCCACCAGTTGATTCGTCATATGAACCATTTCGAGCGCGAGATATCAGTCCACCCCGACCTTGGACACCATCTTCCAGGATGTCTGGGGTATCCGACTTCACACGACCGCCTCCATCCGACATCCGATACGAACCCGCAGATCTGAATGGAAGCCCTAGACCAGGCACACCATCTTCCAGATACGGCGGTAGTCCTCGTAGACCGTTACCACCCGCACCTCTATTTTCTGCTTCGGCGCGAAATTCGCAATACACGGCGGACGATGCGACAGTAAACATCCCATTACATGATGGCGATGACGATGTCTTTGGACCGGACGAGTCGGATATTAGTGGTTCGCGACCGTACCGCGAGTCCTACGCTGGGCAATCGCAGGTCACCCTTAGTGAGGAAGACTCGCAAGCGCCTTTCGAGGAGAAAGTCGAGCATTACGGCGCTGCGCCAGAGGGCAAACAAGAACGTCGTGGTGTTCGCGCACCTCTTACCTCGAAGAAAGAGGTGCAGCTAATCAATGGTGAGCTCATTCTTGAGTGTAAGATCCCTACTATTCTATACAGTTTCCTACCTCGTCGCGATGAGGTGGAGTTCACGCATATGCGATATACGGCTGTGACTTGCGACCCTGACGACTTCGTGGAGAAGGGGTATAAGTTACGCCAGAATATCGGCCGGACGGCGAGGGAAACGGAACTTTTTATTTGCGTCACGATGTATAATGAGGACGAAATCGACTTTACTCGTACGATGCACGCTATTATGAAGAACGTCAGTCATTTCTGCGGTCGCAATCGATCCCGAACGTGGGGTGAGACCGGTTGGCAGAAGATCGTCGTCTGTATCGTGTCCGATGGTCGAGAAAAAGTACACCCGAGAACACTTGATGCGCTGGCTGCGATGGGTGTTTACCAACATGGTATCGCCAAAAACTTCGTCAACCAAAAAGCAGTGCAGGCCCACGTGTACGAATATACCACGCAGGTGTCGCTCGACTCAGATCTCAAATTCAAGGGCGCTGAAAAGGGTATCGTACCTTGTCAGATGATCTTCTGTCTGAAGGAAAGGAATCAACGCAAGCTCAATTCTCACCGTTGGTTCTTTAATGCTTTCGGCAAGGCGCTGAATCCTAATGTCTGTATTCTTCTGGATGTGGGTACGAAGCCAGGTACCAACTCGCTGTACCATCTCTGGAAAGCTTTCGACACGGATTCCAACGTCGCGGGCGCTTGCGGTGAGATTAAGGCCATGAAAGGAAAGCTCGGAAGCAATCTTTTGAATCCCTTGGTCGCATCGCAAAATTTTGAGTACAAGATGTCAAACATCTTGGATAAACCTCTCGAATCGGTGTTTGGGTATATTACGGTGTTACCCGGTGCCCTCAGTGCTTACCGATACCACGCTTTACAGAACGATGAGACAGGCCATGGCCCACTCAGCCAGTACTTCAAGGGGGAGACTCTGCATGGCCAACACGCCGATGTGTTTACCGCGAATATGTATCTGGCTGAGGATCGTATCTTATGTTGGGAGTTGGTTGCGAAGAGAAATGAGCGGTGGGTGTTAAAATATGTGAAAGGATGTACAGGAGAAACAGATGTGCCTGGTAAGTTTTGACAGCCCATCTGATGTCCGGGTCAAAAGCAACTAACTCGAATATTAGATTCCGTTCCCGAATTCATTTCCCAGCGACGTCGGTGGCTTAACGGTGCTTTTTTCGCTGCGGTATACTCATTAGTCCACTTCAAGCAAATATGGATGACGGACCATACTGTAGCTCGCAAGGTGCTGCTACATATAGAGTTCGTCTACCAATTCCTACAACTCCTCTTTACCTACTTCTCCCTCGCCAACTTTTATCTCGCCTTCTACTTTATCGGTGGCGGACTTACGGACCCCGCTGTCGATCCATTCGGGCATAATATCGCGTTGTACATATTCACGGTTTTACGATACACATGTGTGCTATTGATCAGCATGCAATTCATCATATCTCTGGGAAACCGGCCGCAAGGTGCCAAGAAGCTTTACTTGGCTAGCATGATCATATACGGTATAATCATGGTGTACAACACATTTGCGACCGTTTTCATCGTCGTACACACAGTCAAGAGCGCGGACCTGGCGCTCGGTAACAACATCTTCACAAACTTGATCGTATCCACAGCGTCAACGGTGGGGCTCTATTTCCTCATGAGTTTCCTCTACTTCGATCCGTGGCATATGTTCACCAGTTCCGCACAATACTTCGCTCTACTTCCGAGTTACATCTGCACGTTGCAGGTATACGCTTTCTGTAACACACACGACGTAACGTGGGGTACCAAGGGCGATAACGTCATGAAGACAGATCTCGGTGGTGCTGTGGGTAAGGGAAGCACGGTAGAACTCGAAATGCCGAGTGAACAATTAGATATCGATTCCGGCTACGATGAAGCCCTCCGTAACCTCCGTGACCGTGTCGAGGTCCCGCAATCCGCGGTCTCCGAGGCCCAGATGCAGGAGGACTACTACAAGAGCGTTCGAACCTACATGGTCGTCATCTGGATGACGGCGAACGCGACGCTAGCCATGGCTGTTAGCGAAGCCTACGGATATAAAGATGTCGGTAGCAACTTCTATCTTACGTTTATCCTGTGGGCGGTCGCGGCGTTGGCCCTATTCCGTGCCTTGGGTAGCACGACATTTGCGATCTTGAACGCGATTAATACGGTTGTGGAGGGTCGCGTCAAGATGAGCATTAAGGTGCCCGAATGGATGGGTGGCATTGGAAGCAAGATCAGTGATACCATGAGCAGTATTGGGAGTAGTGTTCGATCATGACGAGCCCGTGGGTAGAGGGGGAAAAAGGGGGTCGCGTTCCGAATTTACGATTCTTTTTCTTGCACCGGATTTTGAGACGGTTGGGACGATGGGATGAATGAAAAACTTTTTTGTGATGCCCCCTTCCGCGTTACTGCTTGCTTGGAGTTGTTGGTGATGAGCTTAGGGAATGGTATAAAGAAAGGTTAGGTACGCCTAGGTAGGAAAGGGAATGGAATCGATATCCTGTGTTTTCACGCGATTACTTTGAGGTCATTAAGGTATGAAATGAATGGTTTGGCTCATCGATTGATATCTATGTATTTTAGTTGCTAATTGCTATTGCTCTTGCTATTGCATTTACATTTTGGTTGACTCTTGAGGGTATTCCTGATCAATTATTAGAGGGTTGGTCTTTGTCTTAATTCTAATGAGATGTGTATATATGTAGGTGGAGGCGAATTGACACCTTGGCATTGCTGTACCCTTATGATTTGACTCTGATTTTGTTTTGATGTGTCTAGCTGTTCCCAGGATTCGGGGAGACTTAGTGGTTCACAGGTACTCGGGTAATTGCCGAGGTATCTGATATCTGTGTCAATATTTGTCTCTCATAAGATATCGAGGGCTGAAAAAGCAATCTTAGAAGTCCCTTACTTAAGTGATGTTAGTATACCTCTACACCTTCATTGGATGGGCTGTAGTCGCTTCGTCTTCCACATGATGCTGAAATTCCGGGTCTTCCTAGTTGTTGCTGTAATGCCGAGATCACTCTTCCAACCGCTCATGCACGTCGATATTAAGACGCTTAGAGGGGTGGTGGTACGACACCACAATGCTTTCCAACAGAACCGATTACCTACCGACTTAGGTAGGCACTCGTTACATCAGTGTGTTGCAAATGCTGTTCCACTACCTATCTTATTTCCTAGGTGGTCACGATAACCTCAAAGGGATAAAAAATTCCGTTTTTTACGGTTTGGGGGCGTGTGCTATACGCATGTACCACGTAGGTATCGGACCGGACCCCTCTGTTTGCTGTACGTTGCCATGAGGCTTGCAGCAACGGGCCGGGGTGTACATATGCACGTCACTCATAACAGCATGTGTCACTATATCGCCCGGCTTATATAAGAAGTTGAAAATCGTAATCGTTCAAGAGGTTTGCTGAAAAAAAAAATCCCAGAAAATGCAAGAAAACAAAGGGCCGAGGAAATACGAATTAGATGCATCTTTAATGCACTATAAAGTGCTTTAATGATTAGAACTTGTCCAGGTTGATTCATTGGTAGAAGTGATATTTGCGGTTTAAGACACGAGATATTGGTTTGCACTTCGGTTGTACCACTAGGATTCGAGCCTCGGTTTAGTAAGATATCACATATCAGATTCCCCGAGGTGATTACGTACAAGGCGGCCATCTCTTTCTTTTGCTTCGCACATTTCTTCCCGTGGATTTCTACCTAGAGGGTTCGAGTCAAGCCTATCTATCCACGAGTGACGTTTGTGGCTGAATGTCTTAGACGGCGTCGGCAATGCACCACCCGCCTCGAGATGATTCGCTGCTTTTATGTGCCTTTACTGGGGCCCCACAACCCCGGTGTGATTTTCTTTGCAGTGGCAGGACTAAACTCTCAGGTAGTACAAGATGTTTGTGATGGGTGGGGGTCGGCGCATGGTAGCTCGTCGATGACAGCACATGGCATTTACGCTCGTGCCTCCAGGGCCAGCAGATTAAGTTCTGACAGCAGATGAGGCTTTTTTTGCCCGGCTGAGATATGATCTCGCTATATGTTACTGTAAGTTGCCTAGGTATATATCGTGTAGTATCGCATCGCATCGCAGTCACAACAAGTCATCACAGGCTCAGAGTGTGCAGCGAGTAAACGAATTTCAAATTCCAGTTGCTGTGCCGACATCGCTTTAATTGAGTCTAATAACGTAATTCATTACTGTGTCGGGAGCCCGAATGGATAGGTAGCTTGGTCCCGATCTAAGGGCACCTGAGTTGGATCTCAGGATCGCGAGTCTAGATCTTGCTTGAGAGTTCAGGGTCTGTTGGGGTGAACTAGTTGCAGTCCCCATTTCTAGCTTCTGAAATGTCTGTTTAAGGTCTAGACAGGGACGGGAAGAACGCCACTGGTTCCCTGCGCAAGGACCAACTGATACTATGTCTCGCTATTTTCTTTTTTACTATGATCAATCGAAAAATGATATTGACAATAGTTGAATGATCGACGCGCGTGCTCACCAATATGGGCAAAAATTCAAGAATGGTCTACACTTGGCAGTCAGGAAAAAGCTGCCCTTATTCTCCCTTGGCATTCTTATGTGAATGTCATTGACTCAAGGGGCTATTGAACACATGATAAAATAAATGATAGAATAACTTCAAGTATCATAGACTACCTCGCGATGCTTGAGATTCCGGAATCCCGGTTCTTTACCCGAAGTCGGTCAAAGCGCATCCTCGACTCGCGGCATCATGGCAGACCTCCCGAAGCCTGACTTGTATTCACTCCCAACGAGCCCGCCGAATTTCGACAAGGTTGGGACGTTCTACATTGCCTTCAGTTCAACATGGACGTTCCTCTTGGTGGTCGGAATGGCCTTCCTCATTGCCAATCGTAGCAATCCGATTCTCAAGATCCGCGGTCTACCCTTGTCACTCACTGCTATCGCTTTCATTCACTTCTACTGGATACTGGCCCAGATCACATATCCAATAGGGGCAACTCTTCCCGTCCTTCCTGCGTATGACATACAGTACTTCTTCATGGGTAGCTGGTTCCCGCTCGGAGTTGCTCTCTTCCATGCCTCGAACACGCGTTTCCTATATGTCGCCAAGCTTCAAAAGCAGTACACGCAACCTCCTAATCTTCGAAGGAAGAAGACTGGTTGCAATGGAGCCAACACGTCGTGGCTTTGTAGCCTGAGAAACTTAGATGACCCTACGAGAATCTTGATTTATGTTGGCATTGGGATGTTCATCCAGGTATACACGCATGCCGTTGCTTCAAGTCATGCGATGTGTTGAAATTAACCTATCAACTAGATTCTTCTCACTGTCGGCATGTGGCTTGCATGCAGCAAGTATCATCCTTCGTTTGGAATCGCCGGTACCGAACTTCGCGGCGACACAATTGCTGAACAGATGGTGGAATTGGGCCGTGGGTGGGAATGGTGGCCATCTGCATTGTGGCAAGTCATTTGGACATGGATAGTAAGCAAACAACACTCGCACCTACATGCGAGCACGACCTTACTGACTTGCACAGATCGCCCCGATACTCATTTGGAAAGCATGGGGTATCCGTGACACGCTGGGATGGCGCCTCCAGACTATTGGCTGCTGTGTCTCGAAGTCAGTACCTTTCTTGTTCATGAATAAAGTCTTTGTTACTTTGATAACTAACACTCCTTTAGTCTCCATGCAACACCCTTGTGGCTTATCGCCATGTATGTGCCGGCCTTTGCGCCGGTCAACAAATATTTCATTCCAAGCCAATGGTAAGTGAACAATGACTTGTTTGTGACAAAGCGGAGCAAAATATTAATGATCGTAGGATTCAACTTTCCGTCATGATGTTCGAAGTTTTTACCATTTTCGTTCCGTGTTGGCAAGTTGTACGACACCGCAGCCTACGAAAAAGAGCAGCTGATTCGAACGCCAGGTGGGACACAACATCGCAAGCCACACTCAGAGCTTCAAACTCCGGAGAGTGGAAGTCTATGTCTAACGCCGAAAAAGGCCCCACGATAGATATACTCGATAAGGAAATGGGCGACCGCCTGTTTACCTTAGGTGCGCTCGATCATGTGCTGAACGGGAACCCGGGTCCTTTACAAGAGTTTTCGGCGTTAAGAGATTTCTCCGGAGAGAATATCGCTTTCCTGACAAGTGTCGCCTCTTGGAAAGTATCATGGCCCGGGCGCGATAGTCAGGATCGGTTACGCGATGCGTTCACCCGTGCGCTAGTGATTTACACGGACTTCATCAGCCCTAGAGATGCCGAATTCCCCATTAACCTATCGTCGCAGGATCTCAAGTACCTCGAAGCTATTTTTGAGCGCCCGGCACGGATAGTATGCGGCGAGGCAAGAGTGGACCCAGCTACGCCGTTCGCAGTAGAAGGATCACCTCGAACTCGACGCGCGGGTAGCGACGCTGATACAGAAGAGACTGATGGCGACTGGATTGAGCTTGGGCAAATCGCCGGCATGTTACAGTATACTGGTGATATCCCTGATGATTTTGATGCTACTGTTTTTGACCGCGCGCAGGCGCATGTTAAGTATCTGGTTCTAACTAACACATGGCCCAAATTTGTCACCGAGATGCAACAGCAAAGGCGTTCCGGCGAGACCGAGCGGAGTGGTGATACAGGACACTCAGGCTCAACACTAGCGAGCCGAATTTCGCAGTTAATACATACATTTATGTAGAATAGAAAAAAGCCATCTCAATGATGTATACCCAAAAGTTCAATAAAGTAAATAATACAATTATGTTTGCGTTGAGAAAGCATGCATGATGGTACCGGCTTATTCTGACAGCGCTGTAAGCTGCAGTTTTGCGAAGCGCTGATAAGTTGTAATAGGTAGCGCATATAGGTACCTGAGTACCTATATGAAGGCCGCACGATGTCACTGTCGGATTTCTCGGGCTCGACTGTACTTGTTGTCATCCATAAGCTGCCCAGAAATTTTCTTTTTTTTCTTACGTGGGTTCTGCATCCTTTCGATGGTAAGTAGCTTTTGGTTTGCACGTGTAGATTAGGATTATCGTCCTAAAGATCCTAAAGATACAAGCGCTGAAGCCAAGGATGACCGTCTATGTCATTGTACAGGCTATCCCCTGAGATGTTGACATTTAGCAGGCTTCTGTAAGTGAATACAAGGTGATTAGGGAATGCCATTTTCCGTAGGGTATAGAAGAATAAAATATAACATTATAGGTCTTATTCTACCTAAGTACCTACAAGGTAGGTATTTAAAATCGTGCACGAGCGAAGGAATGTCGTTATTCCAGGGGGCTGGGGGATACCTAGCTGTAGGTCTTCTGATCTATCTCGACCGATACCGAAGCTAACGATCGCTATAGATTGTGGAGAGCGGTACGAAATGGGCGATCAATCTACCGTGCGGTGCCGATATTGCTCAGACATGGCGCTAATGTGGGGGTTAGGGGCCATACGGGAGATGCTATTGCGTGATATACGATCCTACATATACTGGTCTAGAATGAAGCATATCTCGCAATTTTTATTCTATCTTGTCGATTGCAATTAAGATGGCCTGACGTGAAGTCGGATTAGAGAGCGTACCTGGATATAGTGTCTATGGGGCTAAAATAATTGTTACATCTACCACACCTGTTTATATGCCTGGAACTCTCTTCCGTGGCATCCGCTTCCTACCGATGCACTTCCTACATTAACAAAATACCAAATGAAACTCTTCTATGCATTACTGGGAGGCTGGTCTATGGACGAACACGTGCGATGGAGATACCATCCGGACACCCATGGTACCATGGTTTGATGACGACTCGAACCAGTAATCGTAACAGCTCAGGTCTCATTCTGTGCCGCAGGGGACCCATAAGCGTTACACCGGGTTGGCGTGACGCTGTAATTTCCAAATTGTTACCCTGTGGATATGAACGATCAGGGATCGGTTCATTTTTCGCATTGGATCCAAAAGAACAACGCAGGAGGTTATCAAAGTCGATTTTGATCACGAATCTTGCTCCAGAACGTGTGATATCTCCTATCCCGATATTACGTGCAGTCTGACATTTTTTTGTGCTTTGTTTCGACAGTTGCGCGCGGGCGCGTCTGTGTGCTGACAGGGTAAAAACGTGGCCTCGCGGCCTGTCTGGGTACCCCTGAGAGCTACGCGATCTACGATCAGCAGATAGCCGGGCGTATGGATTTGTTGACGGGTGGGGCAACGTATCCATTGTCTGTGTATACGTACTAGGTCTAGGTTGTATGTATGCCTGCAAGGTAGGCATCCCGACACCAATGCCGTAATACCCTGTAGGCCTCTCTTATCTTCGTAGCTCACAATTCGCACTACAGTTTACCCCTCAGCATGACTAGGATTCCCCCACGATTCTCGATTCTATCCAGTGTTGATACTCAGGAGTAAAAAGCAACCCCAACGGAAATCTTTCCGCTTAGGATTGAAGAAAGTAATATTACATTCTTCAATACTACTTCTTGTTAGTAGGATTTTGAACAATCAAACTCGTGGTGCCGAAGCAACATTGCGTTCGAGACGTTTCGAGCCATGTGTTCCCCTATCGGATTAATGCTGATCCTTTGGCTTGATATGGAGTTTGGACGAAGGGTATCATCCCTCAACGAGGATTTCGTGTCTTGCTGTCGTAACATATGCCATAAGGGGCTGGGTTGTTGGGTTTTATCAGTTCTAATGGGGGGTATATGGGGGTGCCTTAATTATTGCACCATCCGGGTTTCGTAACAAAACCAAGGACAATTATTTCGATCATGATAGGGATCACCAGGAACCAGCTTCCATACCTACCTAGGCAAGAGCTTCGGAATCCCATGTCTCCGTAAAATACATTTGCTCAAAAGTACCAAGGAGATACCCTTCCTGTTCGGGGTAGCCGACGGTCTACTGTCGTAATTGTACTACCACTCTTTTTTCGGGTATTTTCGGTCATTTTTGTAGGTCCCTAATGAGCCGACGCATGATGGCGGTTTCGTAGGCGAAAGGAAGGGAAGAGAAGTTCTGAAGCAATGAAGACAAGAGAGTAAATTGAGATTGTGTTGTAGTTTATTGAATTTAAACTAACAATAGAGAATTGGCAAAGAATGAAGTTGAGATGAAGCCTAACAAGAGCCAATCGGGTACACTGGCATTGCTCAATCCAATTTTCTTTTAGGGGTAATGGGACCAACAACTCTCGGTGTCCACTTTCAGCTGATTTATCGCAATGATTCAGCGCGGTAAAGCCCACTAAAAGGGAAGAGTTTAGTAATGTACCTAGGTAGTGAACAAGCACAGTTGGAAAAGAAATGTTATACATCCAATTGGTTACGATTTCAACAAATGTCTATGCAGTTGGTAACCCCTTGTATTCACCATTCAGATTAACTTCTTATGTCTTTTTAAACTTCTTACCGCTAGTACGTAGGGCTTAGTTTGGATAATTAGCAGGATGAATTCTTGATAACTGCCGACTTGTTATTTTATACAGCTGTGGTAGTGATGGGAAACTTCATTCTCGATCGCCATAGAGATACATGCTAATTTTATGCATTTTATGACTCCAGAATAATTCAACCATGGCTGGTGAGTACACGGGTTCCATATAAATAATACTCTATGTTCAACCGAGGTTCTGACATAAACACACCGCTGCTAATTACCAAGTCAAATTAACTTCAATCATCACAATAACATTTTTACGACAGAACCTCTATATAGCCTATGGTTATGAAGGGTCCTGGATTCTGATTGGCTTTCGTAACAAACAAGAGACTCTGCCTGTACCAACAAACACAGTGGAATAGTGTCTTGAGTTGCGCGGCTTAGCTTGATTGGCCCCCTTTTTAATACGCCTCATGCTCACGGTACTCACCGTCTTCAAGTGCCCACATGAGGCTCATCTTTGAACTTTGAAGAAATTGAAGATTCCAATTATGTGGAAAATGGTCTGTTCACAGACATTGTTGAATATGTATAAAGGTTCATTGATGTGGTGCTTTCTTAATAGCTTCTCAAGTCAATCGTGACAACAGCTTCAATATCTCATACAATATCAACACCACTACTCATACCAACTCTCAAACCATAAATATCTCAAAATGAAGTTCTTCGCTACCTTGTGCCTTGTTGCAGCCTTCGTTGCCAACGCTTCAGCAGCAGAATGCAACCCTGACGACCGCAAGTCCTGTTACGATCAAGGCTCTCCTTTCCCTTGCATCAACGATACCGTGAGTTTGACTAAATTAGGCAATGAGGCCGCTGTTGGAACGTTGCTAATACATACCAAAGGTCTGCCAAACCGGATGCAAGCTGCTGACATACTCTAACGGCCGGAACGTTGGCGTAAGTTCTAACACGAAATGTGCAACCCAAGAATTCAAGGAGGGAGGCTAATTCAAATTTGCAGACCGCTGGTTGCTTTTAGATACACTCCGGATGCGAGGAAGGGAATCAGTTGAGAAGGAATGTTGGTGTCTATGATTTTACTTCGTGCTTTACCTGTGGCTCTTAACGAGTGATAATAGGTATTATAGAATTTATTGATATTAGGTTATTTATAAATTGGAAGAAGCCTATTTTGTCAAATTTAGGTACTCAACCGAAAATGGTTGTATCTTGCCACATGATGTGAGGCATATTATACCATGAATCCCGTCTATCTAAAAATCATATCATAAATATCGTTTAGAATTTGTCGTCTGACTATCGTTATGAGAATGGGAGACACGTGACTGGGCTCTCTCGGTCAATGTAAATCCCATAAAATCCAATACTTGTTCGATATTCCTTTGAAATTGGATGGCACACCAAAATCCCTCTCTTTGGCTCTCTTTACGATGAAAACATTTCGGGAATGTGTTGCGTCCTGCATTGATGAAGCTATAGTTGTGAGAGGGCACTATCATATCCCAATCTAAGGGATTGAATGACAAATGCTTCCTTTATTCCCTTATTCTAGACCCGACCCCAAATGGTTCACACCAACTTTGGCTGCTTTAACAAGGGGTTGCTGAAGAAAAGTTCTAACGATCCTTTTGCTCCTTATCGGAACCGGGTAGGAGCAATAACCTAATGGGTGCAGTGCATTAAAAGTGCAAAAAAAGAATATTACTCTTTTAGGTAGACTAAAATATCATTTATTTATTCATATTAATCTAGGACGTCAATTTTGACTCGCTGGATTCTAGGCTGACAACCAAGCCGCTAGAGGGCTTGGGCATCAGGACTTTTACACTTAGCCTGAATTTGTAGTAACTCAGCTGAATGCAGGCCTAACTAGGGAGAACAAAAATAACAACAAATTGTATAAGGAAATCGACGTCTATTCCCAACGAGTAGGTAAAGCTAATATCTAACTAGCTAGTTTAAAGAGCCATTTTCCTAGTAAACCCCGTTTACTGGTAATAACCGTTTAATCTTGAAACTCCCTTTTGGCTTCTACCTAAGCACGCGGTGGTAAACTTTTCCCGATCTACGCCAGTAGTTCTTCGATGAGGGTTGACTGAATGTCTTCTAAGTACTTCTGGATCTTCTCTGGCTCCTCATATGCATCGTTGAAGCTGTATACTAGTCTCAACTGGTCTCGGAAGGTGTAGAAAAAGTACATGCTCATTCCCATAACGACATCGACGCCCATCTTGATGTCCTTGACCTTGATTCCGTTGCCGTACTCTTGTTGCATGAAGCGCTCGGCAATTCCAAGACTGCTGATTAAAGCGTCCTTGGAAATCGGGTTGGCGAGGAATTCGGGAGTTTGAACTGCACCACATAGTACGCGTGTGAAGTATCCGACGAGCTCGAGCGTTTCGGGCTTGCCCTTGAAGGATGTCTGATAATACTCCTGTAGCGATTTGGCGATATCCCAGAACGAAGCTGGCGTGGCAATCTTATAAGGGAGAGGCGTGTAGTATACCGATACCGCATATTTGCTGGAGTTATACGGCGCTGGTAAATAGGGGCGAAGGTTAAACTGATTCGCCGTCACGTATTCCGTAAGCTTGGAATTGGGGTCCGCATGTTTGGTAATGGTGGTGATGTATGCGGCGTGGACAGCAGAGGTTACTGTGATATTTTTGTCTTTGCATGCCTTGATGATAGCCTCGGTGGTCTTGGTCGGGAATACCAACTCAGTGTTCTTGCATTTACCCGATGGTACTGCACCAAGTTTTGAGACGGGACCAATACCAGGAACACTGCCTGCCCAGGTCATGAAAAGCGCCGTCGCTTTGTCGCTTTGTTCTTGAGTAGGCTGCTCGGGGTGTCCAAGTGTCTCTTCTATGATAGGAGCGAGTCTAGCTGGCTCGTCGCCGAATGTCAACTCCTGGATAGGGGAAGACAGGGCATTGAGGAAGCTGTGCCAAAATAATAGTACGCCAGTACCGTCAATAGTGTGGTGGTGACCACGGAAGACGAGTTCAGAGGATTTAGGTACGTAGTATAGCGACGCCTGTTTGATAGGAGAGACAGACTGATACAGTTCCTCGGCATCGGATGCCTGGGACACGATGAAGGTCTTTGCTAACCATTGTTCCAATGCTTGTTCATCTGGAACTTCATACACCTTCTTCATGCCCTCAATTGTTGTGGCAACCAGGGGTTGCTCGTAACGGATCTGTTTCCAGGCATGCTTAAGCTTCGACTCTACGTCGGAGAAGTTGGTTTCCAGCTTAAGCTTGGAGAAGAGGATGTAATGCTCGCGGCCATCACACAAGCTAGAAGAGATATTCTCCGTGACGACGAAGTAACCTTCCAGGCCATTTACTGGGCGCTCCCAGCGATTATCTGACACCTTCGTCCATACCATTTTCGCGATTTACAAAGTCTTGGCGGGGTATTGAAAGAATAGGGGATTTTGGGGACCTCTTGGGAGTCTTTCAACCAAATTGGTGAGATCAGCTTTCACTAAAGTCTTAGGGAGCCAAAAAGTAGGTTAATAAATTCGAACAAATCCGTTCACATTAGCGGAAGGATTCGGCTCAAGCGCTTACATTAATCTACTGATTATAATGATTAATCAGGTATAACTCGTAATCCCTGGCATCCCTGGCGCTGCGGGGGATGCTGACTTGCAGGTACTAAAAACGCCCAAAATAGGTACACCTACGACACCAGTTTCCTATTTATCGTGGCTTTGTCGTACTAGGGTCCCGGTTTAGGGCGCGTAACGTACCTATAGGGTAAGGCTTGGTGCCTATCAACGGCCGCTTCTAAAGTGGGCATTCCGCCTATCCCACCGTAACACAGCATCAAAGATCATCGGCCGTCCTATCGTTAGCAATATGCATGTGGATTACCTAACTAAGAAGGTCTGCAACCATTACCAGTTGCAGAAGAGGTTTTAAACCGACTTTGGTATCCTGCATCCTGCAGGAATCCCATTAACCAACGGTAGCAGCTGCTGCAACAGTAGCAGCAGAAGTCTTGTTCTAGTAAATGCAACCCAATACCGTCTACGAATCAAATAATATCTTGAGACCGGTAAGATCTCACGTCAGGACATCAATATGCGTGCACACCTGGCATAAGCCCACAAAAATTCCTCGTTCTTTTATTCTTTTCTTCTTCCTGTGTTCCCAACAACCTCCATTCCGATCTATCTATCTTGCATTTTGACCTGTCTTGATCTGTCGTGAAGAAGGATCCTGCTTGTATATATGGCACCGCTGTATTACTAACCTGCAGGCAAAATCATACCTTTCTGTTCTTCATCGAAACCTCGGCCTTGTCAGTAAAATGGCGTTCGAAGAAGTGCCGCCGGGAACTCCTGACCGAAGGTCGGGCCTCTTGGCTATGTGCGTTATCCTGATGGTCTTGACGATCACTGCAACCGTTGTCCGTGTTATATCGAAATTTATCGTGAAGCAATATTGGTGGTGGGATGACTTCTTTGCTCTTCTCTCGTTGGTGAGTGCATCGAATGCGCAGCGTTGCAACACGCAGAGTGCAACCCTGAGTATGCGCATCTTTCATGCTGATGACGACAATAGCCTATTCAAATCACTTTACTCTCAATCATTTTGGCCTGGAGAAACATTGGTCTGGGACTGCACGCCGAGATAGTGTTGGGTGAAAACCCCCTATATCTCATCCAGGGCGCAAAATACCTCTATATCGCCATCTTCTTTTTCGATAGCTCCATAACGTTCCCTAAGCTATCCGCCTTGTTCTTCTACGCCCGAGTCTTCCGTTCCAACAATCGAACATTCAAGATTCATCTCTGGGTTGTTGGCTGCCTCGTGTCAGGATGGTTGGTTTCGGCTTACTTTTCAACCATCTTCCAGTGCACGCCAATTGAGAAGGCATGGAATTCGCTACTGCCGGGACATTGCATTGATACTTTCGGGTGGTATTTGGCCACAGCCGCCATTTCGGTGGCCGTGGATTTCTACATCCTGCTCCTCCCGGTACCGATGATCTGGGCGCTTAAAATCAGCTTGCGACGTCGTTTGTGGTTGCTAGGCGCCTTTTTCCTGGCTTACTCCGTCATTGTGCTCTCTATAGGCCGAATGATCTCAACAATCAACCTGATTCCCAACCTCGCTAAGGACTTGACGTGGAACATGCCTCTATACCTCTACTGGGCTTGTTTGGAGGGTTCCATTTCGCTTATCAGTATCAGCGTACCCAACATGGTCGGTCTCATCAAAATGCTTGCGGGGCCTCGATGGCCCGGCCTCAACAGCCGGAGTAGTCACAAGAAATACTCCGATCCGGAATCCTTGAACCAAGGTGCACTGGCGGGTGTGCATGGAAAGCAGCCCGGAAACGACAGTGGCTTCGAGCGACTGCACAGCAGCGATCGCTCGTTTACGAATCCGCGGGGGCTAGAAGCAGCAGACGACAAGGGCCTAGGCAACGAAGCCGCGATATCGCTGGGAAGAATCCACGTGCGGACACATATTAGTGTGTCGAGCAGATCGGTGCCCGAAACGGATATACCAACCGACACATACCACAACCACATATAAAAAAAATTACGAATCACGATATCCATACATGTAGATAACGCACGACAACACAATTGATGTTGTACGTGGTGCTGGCTCGCTTTTCGCCCGTCGCATCGCAGCGCATCGCATCGCATCGCAGCGGACAACGCGTCGAATCCTTCGAGTGCGACGCAATAATAAAGGGGAAAAAATCCGGAAAAAAGGGAAAGAAGAGAGTATTAGCGGAATACTATTAGGGGAAAATCTCATAGTGCTAATAGGAATCGAACCTATCTCCACTAATACTCCACCGCGGGCAAAAGATTCCATAGCAGAGAGCACTTTTAACACACCTAGGTACATATATCCCGAAGCACTTCTAATTGATGATTATACGGAGAAATCCTATATACATCATGGAAGCAAGCTGATTGTAAATTAATGTTTATAATTTACCTTTTCCTACCTTGTTAGTTACACAAGAGTATACTATACACTATTGTGTATGTCCTGTATATAATATATCAATTAGCATGTGTCAGAACCAACTACTTAGTAGCTTAGTTTACGAGTTACCTAGGTAGTTACCAAGGTACTTTCCCTTACATGAACTGACATGAACTCATATGCAACACAAAAAAACCGTTAGAAAGCCGTTAGACTAGTGGATACTAGTGTACGTAGGGGGTCGGATGTACCTCGGGGGTAACTATCTATTAATGCCTGTATCCCCTATTTATTACGTAGCAACCCGAAGGATCCAATGCAACCGACTTGAAATATTAGTTGTTCAGCACTACTTATTGCGTATAGCTACCCAGTAATACGTAAATTGCAATTGACCAACGATGAATACACACCAAGAAATAGTTATGTCGTAGTCTTCCTTTTATTTGTTACCATTTCTTACCTAAGTTAATCTAAAATGCTACTGATCAACTAACGGCTAACCTAAGACTCGGGTACCTTAATGCATATGATATTTCAATCTTAACAACATTAAGCTTAAACCCCCACTCGGCTTTCAACTCTCTTAAGGTTGCGGCCCGGACACTTTACTCATTTTCGGTAGTTTTTTAACTCTATCAAGGTTTAATCAACTTACCGTGGGGGCCGTAAATAAATACTACGTATTTATGCAGTTTAAATGGCACCGTTAACCCCCCGGCGTCGCCGCTCGACCCTCCAGTGCCCCCCTGTGCTGAATATCTATGTAGCATCTAAGTGGCAACTAGCTACATATATGTAATCTAGGTATGATAGATAGCTAAACTTGGCGCGTTAATAACACCCTACCTCCTCGCCAAATTTATTCTCTTTAAGCCTCTATCCCCTATTCGATGTCCCTATCCCTACTTATCCATACCCTTAGCCATGTTCCTCTACTACCTCAGTACATAACTCGGTAGGACCCGAAAACGGTATCGGTGGCCTCGAAAAAATCGAACGGTTCTACCACCAATCATCAGCATGGAACGCCGCATACATACATGGCTACCTACCTAGGTATACATGGGAGTTAAGGTGGTTCTGATCTTACGTACTACCTAACGATCCTTTACTGGACTTAACCGTATAGCCAATGCCAGAAAGGATTTCCCTTGCTTGCGATAGGTATCATTTGTCCCCGCTTTGGACCTTACGTAGGAATTTCTTGAATCCTAATGAAATCACTCTATCGGATGAGCTTATATTATCGGTCTTTGTGGATTGACAAATACCTACATATATCTCGATATCTCATGTCTGAGTCAACTCCAGCACTACTGCTGGGTTCTGTAGCCCTCCCAGTAGCATTGCCGCTGCCCCATAGATTGAAGTTGCTGTGAGACAACCTCTTCATCTTCATAAGACATGTCTAGAAGCACGGATCCCACACAATTCGAGCCAATTGCCATTGTTGGCATAGGTATGAGATTTGCTTGCTCTTAACGCGAAAAAAAAAAACGGGCGCTGTTTAGATTGCTGATTTTTTTTTCTGACGACAATAGGCTGTCGACTACCTGGCAGTATTTCCCACCCTTCACAACTATGGAAATTCCTAGAAGAAGGGCGCTCTGCAAACGGGAAATTGCCCAAGGGCCGCTTTAATATCGATAGCTACCATGGTGATAAAGATCAACCATCTACCACAGTGGCGGATGGTGGGTATTTCATCCAAGAAGACATCAGGGCTTTCGACAACCAATTCTTCGGCATTAATAATCGGGAAGCCTCCGCGATGGACCCACAACAGCGAAAGCTGCTTGAAGTTGTCTATGAAAGTTTTGAGAGTGCCGGTATCTCATTAGATGACGTTTCAGGTGCCAATACCGGTTGCTATGGTATGCGATCATGATGATAATTTGTCTACTTGCGCGTGAACTTTTGTGTTGATTGTTAAAATAGTCGCCTCCTTCACACCAGATTTCATTGCCTTGCAAACCAAGGATGTTGAAAGCTTAACCAGATACAGCCAGATTGGCATGGGCACAACCATACTGGCAAACCGGATAAGCCATGTTTTCAATTTGAAGGGGCCCAGTTGTGTGCTTGATACCGCTTGCTCATCATCATTCTATGCGCTCCACGCTGCCTGCTCGGCCTTATTAGCAGACGAGTGCGACTCTGCCGTTGTGGCAGGTGTAAATCTCATTCAGGCTCCAGAATTGCATGTTGCCATTTCGCAAGCCGGTGTAATTTCTTCATCTTCCACATGTCACACATTTGACGCCAGCGCCGATGGGTAAGTCCTAGAATCCAATAATCCCAAAGAAAAAAAAATATTATTCCCGGGAATATTACGAGGATAGGGTATTAGCTAATACGTCAGCTGACATCCAGCTACGGTCGGGCAGATGGGATTAATGCCATCTTTATTAAACGATTGGTCGATGCCGTTCGCGACGGTGACCCGATTAGGTCAGTCATACGTTCTATTGCCGTGAACAGCAATGGACACACACCCGGCATTACGCAACCGAGTATCGATGGACAGGAAGCTGTCATTCGCAAAGCATACTCGAGAGCCAGACTAAACCCAGCTGATACGTCGTACGTCGAAACTCACGGTACCGGCACTGCCGTGGGTGATCCGATAGAGGTCGAGGCTCTCTCTCGAGTATTCCGAAAGGACAAGAGAAATGAACCCCTCCTTCTCGGAGCGGTGAAGACGAATTTGGGCCATAGCGAAGGCGCCAGTGGCTTGACTAGCATTATCAAATCAACTCTCGCCCTTGAAAAAGGCCTCATCCCCGCCACCATCGGATTCAAGCAATTAAATCCGAAGATCCGAATTGAAGATTGGGGAGTCGAGATCGTGACGCAAACAATTCCATTACCCACCAAAGGTCACGGTATACGCCGGATAAGTGTAAATTCTTTCGGTTACGGTGGTGCCAATGCTCACTGCATTCTCGATTCAGCTGAACCGATCAGCAGTGAAATCTTCACCAATGGCACCAAAGTCAACGGGCATGTAAACGGCAATAATGTTAATGGTACCAATGTCAATGGTAACGGTATTTACGGTAAACAAATTAACGGTAATGGTAAAGTAAATGGTAATGCTACTGAGCCTGAGACAACCTCGGGCCCGAGCTATCTTCTTCCATTCTCCGCAAGCAGCCTTCCGTCGCTGCATGGGAGAGTCGAGGGGTTACGTGAGCTGGATTTAAAATCCGTTTCAATTACGGATTTGGCCTACACTCTCGGAGAGCGTCGCACACATCTACCTGTACGAGGGTACGTCATCGCAAAGGAGGATACCCTGGCTGAAGACATCAATCTTGACAATCTCCGTGTCCCGAACTCGGATGATAGTCATGGAGAAGGAAAACTTGCATTTGTCTTCACGGGACAAGGGGCACAATGGAAAGGTATGAGGCTCGGTTTTCTAGAATGCATCCACACACACCTCATCCGATGAACACATGAGACTAACAAAATTTTTCCAGGTATGGGTCGAGAGCTGATGCGATTTGACACGTTTTTACGTACCATCCATCAATTAGACGATTGGTTATCCGCTCTCCCGCATCCTCCGTCCTGGAAGATATACGATGTTCTGACCGATGTTTCGGAATCGTCTCAGATCGACCAGGCGGAATTTGCGCAGCCCATAACGACGGCTGTGCAAGTTGCAATCGTTAACTTACTGCGGGACTGGTCGATTACTCCTTATACAACTGTAGGCCATTCCTCAGGAGAAATTGGCGCCGCATATGCAGCAGGATTACTCGATGCCCGACAGGCGATTATTATCGCTTATTACCGGGGTTACATCGTCACCAAGTCAACCTCCGTTGGATCTATGGCTGCGATCGGTCTTGGCCGCGAAACCACCGATAACCGCATAACTAAGCTAGGTCTTAGTGACAAGGTCAAAGTCGCATGTGTCAACTCCCCTGAAAGCGTTACTATCAGTGGTGATAGTGACGATGTCCACACCGTTTTCGCCTCGCTGCAAGGAGATGGAGTTTTCGCGCGAAAACTAAGAACTGATGGCAAGGCCTACCACTCCCACCATATGGCTGCCGTTGGCCAGGCATATGAAGATCTCCTGGAGGAGGCTTGGGGCGAGTCTGTTCAGAGCACTAATTCTGAACGCGCGCGAATGTTTTCAACGGTGATAGCCCAAGAGATTACTGAAAAGCATGTCCGCACGTCGTCGTACTGGCGTAAGAACCTGGAATCCCCAGTTCTCTTCAGCGAGGGTCTCGAAGGAATTTCCAATATGAGCGAACATCTGACGTTCGTTGAAGTCGGACCCCACGCGACGCTTAAGATGCCAATCATGACCACCTTAGGGAAGTCTACTTCTTACGGTGCAACGCTTACTAGAGGTCAAGATTCATCAGTTTCCCTCCTAAGTCTTATTGGTAATTTATACGCCCAGGGATTTAAGATTGGCTTTTCCGCGCTCAACAAAGCCTCTAGGAAGCATGGCGTCAAACCCAAGGTCTTACATGATTTGCCTAGCTACAGATGGCATTATGAGGAGCCGTTGTGGGCCGAATCTCGCGTCAGCCGCGAAGGACGATTCCGCAGGTACCCCCGGCACGAACTTCTAGGTAGTGAAGTACCGGGTGGTAACAAGACAACTTTCGCCTGGCGTAATATACTGCAACTAGATAGTGTGCCATGGCTTCGGGACCACAAACTTGGCGAGACGATCGTCTTTCCTGCCGCAGGTTATATGACGATGGCTATAGAAGCCTTGCTACAGACACTACCGGCCGATACACCTGCGACTGCCCCGTCAGTCGTACTTCGTCATGTAGACCTAGTCCAAGCTCTACCCTTGACCGATGAGGACTCCGTTGAGCTATACACTGAGTTGCGACCTCTTTCACTTACGAATATAAACACATCTAAAAATTGGTGGGAGTTCCAAATTTCTTCAATTTCGCACGATGTTGCAACAAACCACGTCAAGGGTTCTATCCGATTTGAGTCGGGAGACTCTGCGACAAACTTGCAATTGCCCTCATTTGATAGACGTATTGCACCTCAGTCCAAGCGCCTTTGGTATGAGAGTATGATAAGATCTGGCCTCGGGTTTGGCCCCGCATTTCAGCAAATGGATGAGATTTACATACCGGATCCTAAGGGGTCAAGGTATGCTGAAGCAAAGGCACACTCGCTAGCTCCCAAATTCCAAGGAGCTCAGTCGAAGCCTCGATATCTCGTCCACCCAACCATTCTAGACAGTCTGTTCCAAGTCGGTCTCGTTTCCTGCACCGGTGGATTCATTCACTCTATGATCGCCAAGGTACCGACGAAGATAGGACGAGCTGAAATCACCCTGAGCCCGTACGAAGAAAAAACTGGTGTAATTCGCTCTACATCCAAGGTCATTGGATTTACTGCGAACAGCCTCCACTCTGCCTTGCTAGATTCCCAACAGCGAACGGTGGCTCATTTCCACGATGTTGATATCACCACATATGTTGGTACTGAGAAGATGGAACCACGTCATCCTCTTCTCAGAGTCAGCTGGAAGCCCGATGTGGAGCAAATCAAAGATAGTGGCGCATTTTCGTCAGCGCTCGAGCATATCCTGTCGATCACAGAGTTAGGACGTTTGGGCCCACGAGCGCGTCTACTAGCTGCCCTTGATCTGATTGTGCACAAGAATACCGACGCCCACATCTTGTTCCTCTCTCATGACCATGTTCTAGCTATCTTAGCTTTGCTAGAAGTTCTTTCATCAACATCGCAATACCGACGTTTCCATAGCTTTTCGCTCGGACGCTTGACGAGCCAAGGCGAGCTTGAAGTAGCCGAAGTCCGTACCCACACCGCACCATTTGGCCTAAAATCATTGGTGTACAAGAAAGTCTCCTCCGAGGATCAGTACGGAGTTGTGGTCCTATCAGAAAACCCAGCTGAGCTCAAGTCCCTTGATAACAACACAACCAAGGACACACTATTGCTCCGAGCTATTGCATCCAACGCCAATAATGCTCCGGTTGAGGGATTTGCCGTTATCTCTTCACTCAAAGGCTCACAAAATATTCAACTTCTCAGACCATCGCACGCCTTCGCAAATGGTGTTCACCCTCCGTACAGCAATGTCATCCACGTTCGTGGGTCTCCGGCGCATCCCGTAGATGCCACGCTGAAGGATGAGCTAAGCTCAGCCCTAGGCACCTCTGTGGAACAGATTGCACTTACGGATCTAGCAGCGACAACAATACCGCCTAACACACTAGTCGTTTCCACAGCCGAGTTGGAAAACCCGATCATTGCCAGCCCTGGCCCAGAAGAGTTTGATGGAATCAAGAAAATTATCGAATATGCAGCACGAATTGTCTGGATCACTGGATCTGGTGTTCACAAGGGTTTCGATCCGAACCTCTCTGTGTTCACCGGTCTCGCGCGCGCAGTCATGACCGAACAGCCATCAACCAAAATCTTCACGCTCGAGCTAAATCCGAAGGCAGACTCCGCATCCATCGCCCACGATGTATCAGCACTCATCGATCAAGCCAAGAAACCAATCGTCGACTATGAATACCTTAAGGATGACTCTGGACTCCTGATTAGCCGAACAATTCCTGACGAGCCCATGAACCAACAATTCCGCGACCGACAAAATGCTGCCGCGTCACACTTGCCACTATCAAATGCCGGTACCGCTTCCCTGGCACTGCAAAAACCAGGTCAACTCAGCACGGCGCAATTCGTCAAGAAGCCCCACCAAGACTTGTCGACTCTAAAGGCCGACCACGTAGTAGTCAAAGTAATCTGCCTCGGTCTCAACGCCAAGGATGTGTACTCCCTCGCCGGCCGTGTTCACACGACCGAAGCATCATGCAGTTTAGAATACACAGGTCAAATCGTTGCAGTCGGTTCCGGCGTCAATGAAGTAGCTGTAGGTGACAAGGTATCCGTTATGTACCCAGGTCACTTCAGCACGTACGAGACAGTACCCGTGTGGAGTTGCGTCAAGTTGAAGGATGACGAGGATCTACGCACTTATTCCTCCGTCCTAGTCGTTTTTGCGACCGCGATTTACGCTCTGTATTACCGTTCGCATCTACAAGCCGGTGAAAGTGTTTTAATTCACTCCGCGGCTGGTGGTGTGGGTATCGCGACAATTCAAGTGGCGCAATTAATTGGCGCTGAGATATTTGCGACCGTGGGAACGGACGAGAAGAAGCAATACCTCATTGAGAATTTCGGTCTAAAAGAAAACCATATTTTCAATTCTCGCGATTCAAGCTTCGTCGCTGGAATCCATGCAGCTACGGAAGGTCGGGGTGTTGATGTCATTCTCAACTCATTAGTTGGCGAGCTCCTCCACGAAAGTTGGGAATGCTTGGCGGACTTCGGTCGTTTTGTCGAAATCGGCAAACGCGATATTCTTGATGGCGGCCGCTTGAACATGGAAGGATTTTCTCGCAGTGGTACGTTCACGGCGTTTGATCTCAGTCAATTGCCGGAATCGAAGTCCCCGGCGCACCACCGCATCCACAAGGATTTGTTAGAGCGTGTCATGGGGCTTCTACGTAGCGGCCAAGTCAAGCCTGTAACACCGCTGTCCGTCTTCAACGCCTCCGATGTGTCTTCCGCTTTCAATTACTTCAACAGCGCGAAGAGAATGGGAAAGATTGTTATCTCATTTGAGGACCAGACTCAAATGGTTCCGGTTGTGCCTGAGAAGTTCTCAACTGTCCTAGATCCGAACAAGGCTTACCTGCTCATCGGATGTTTGGGTGGTCTGGGTCGCAGTCTTTCAATGTGGATGTTGAGCCGTGGTGCACGTCAATTCGTTTTCCTAGGTCGTACAGGCACGGAGAGACCAGCAGCCAAGCGCCTTGTTGACGACCTAGAAAAGGCTGGCGCTCGCTGCGTAGTGGTCAAGGGCGATGTGACTAACCAAGAGGATGTCGAAAGAGCTGTTGCGGCCGCACCGGCTCCCTTGAGCGGTGTTGTACAAGCTGCAATGGGCTTGAATGAGGCCATCTTCAAGTACATGTCTCGAGACTTCTGGCTTAGCGGTACTAAGGCAAAGATTAGGGGTACCTGGAATATCCACAACGCGCTATCGAAACTCGGCAAAGAAAGTGAGCTTGACTTCTTTATTATGACGAGTTCTATCAACGGCAAGGTCGGAACTGCTACAGAAAGTAACTACTGTGCCGCAAACAACTTTTTGGACGTGTTTGCTCGCTACCGCCGTAGTCTCGGCTTACAAGCAATCTCCCTCGGACTCGGCATGATTTCAGAAGTCGGATATCTACACGAGAACCCACATATAGAGGACCTCCTTCTCCGTAAAGGAATCCGACCTATTACCGAAAATGAAATGCTCCAGATCTTCGACTTCTCTCTTTCCCAACCACCTACCTCGGCCCACCCGGCGGATCTGCTTTCGCACCCTCACCTCCTAACCGGTTTGGAGGTCACGGGCCTCCAAAGCAATCACAAACAGGGCTACAACGGATACTGGCAATTCCTCGACGATGCACGGTTCTCCGTCCTAACTTGCTCGCTCAAGCGCACTAGTGCCACTGGCCAAGCACAGGGCACCGGTTCGCAATCATCTGCTATTAGCGAAGCTCTCAACTCGAAGGACAAACAGGCCCTCGTAGATGCCATCAAGGACGTGATTGCCAAGAAGATGTCCAACTTAATCCTACTACCAGTTGACAAATTAAATGTCAAGACGCCCCTACCTGACTTTGGTATGGACTCCATGTTAGCAGCCGAATTACGACAGTATATTTTCGCCGCAACAAGCGTGGATGCCCCGTTCCTTACTCTGATGGACAAGAGTATGAACGTGCTTACTCTAGCCAAGATTGTGGCAGACCAGCTATTAGAGTAATAGAATGGGATATTTTCTCTGTACGAATTTTCATATGAACATTTTTGCTATTATATATTGGATTTTTCACATACGTTCAATTTGTTTATCTTTCATATCATATTGTATGGCGCTGTGGTCAGGAGCAATATAAATGGATTTATGTCTTGTTATAGGCAAGTAGGGTATGATTTTGGATTTTTCTTAGAGAGCGATATTAGCTACTAGTGAATGATAGTGTTACGATTATTCTTATATTTAGTCTATATATTCTATATCTACAATAATTTGGCACTTGCACCTAGCTTTTGTTACCCTAATATTAACAGAGGCTTTCATCCGACTCATTCTTCGTATAAACAAACATATTCAAGCCTCGCCATGAGCATGAGCACCTCCCATACAGTGCAGGTGCTACACTTAAAAAAAAAAAAAAAAAAAAAAAACACAAAAAACAATACTTGCACTGTTAATCAGTGTGCAAACACTACAAAATTTACAGCATATCAAACACCTACACTGTGCAATGGCTATACTAAATTCATTTTCGTTTTTTATAAATACGTTGAGTTGTATTTAATCGAGCACCTCCACTCCACCTTTCCCATTCTACATCTTCTTGTTCATCTACTCATCTACGAACACCTATCAAGATCACAAAAAAATTATCCATCAATAAACCGAAATAATTCCATGAACTATACCCAACCTTCAGCGGTTTACCAAGCGGGGCATACCAGACCTTTACACCATGTCTTTCTCCTCGCCCGACGCTATGAAGACCACCAACTCCACCACAAGCTTTCCCTTCCTCAGCTTGCCATACGAGTAGCGACTCGCGGTTTACGAGATCCTGTTCGAAGAGTGCATAGAGGATGACCAGATAGAATGCTTGAACGGCTTCGCTGGAGGCAGTCAGCTACTTCGGACTTGTAGACAGGTCCACGAGGAAGCGTCTCCAGTCCTGTACAAAAAGATTTCTATTCGACAGAGCGACTATCATTGGATTCGGTTATTCAGGAACATCGGTCCTCGTAATATATCGCATATTACGGATGTGGAAATATGGGACAGTTGCGACGAATTTAACTACGACGACGTCTGTTGTGGGGAACCGTACTTCGGATGGAAAAGGTACAGGTGGTTAGGTATATTGGAGCCGCTGAAGTACTATTCCGAAGGTGCCCAAAACATTAAAAATGTCACCATCATAGGGGAGTAAGTAATTTAGATATTCTCTTCTATCCTCCCGACTCCCTTTACCTTCAAACACCCATACTCCCCAGCCAAATCGTTCATCATTTATAAATCCCCTAAAAATGGGAATACCTCATTAAAATGGATGCTTGCTTTTGCTTTCATAGCCCATGCCACGTCGAACTCGGAACAATGAGAGCTGACCGCCTCAGATACACCCAGTGCCGCGCCTACAGGGATTTGCGATTCCTCAAAGAGATATCGGGCTTCCGCCAGGTGATGAACCTCCGCCTAAAGGGCAGGTTCGACCCCCTCTGGACCATGTTTCTCTACTGAAACCTCGATTTCATAGTTAGAAGAGACGGATACATGGAGAAGAACGAATGCGAGTATAAAAGGGTTACGTGGCACGAAAGCGACGTGATGTTGGTGAACCCAAGACATCACCTCCATAATAAAAACCTATGTATGACAGGATACACAGAGTCGAAACTGATCGACGAGGTCTACGATAAGGATAGGGAGCCAGATTGCGCCGCTGGAGAGGAAGAGGATTGGGATGACTGAGGAATGGAATCATAGAAAATTAAGACATAAATGATTTCCCAAGGGACGAAGAACATCATCCATCTCCATTGAAGTTAACGTGACACCTTCGTGATTCTTACGTGTAATAGCCATCCCACTAGGGTTGGATGATACATACGACTATTTCCTTCGTAAGTACCTAGGTAGGCGAACTCGGAAGATGGTACCTGTTAAGTTAGAATCCTGCCACCTGCCACCTCGTACGCGCTGATACAGCCATTGACTCAGCCTTAGAAAGGGCGCGCAACGAAGTATATGTTACTATCCATATAGTCGGGTTGCAATATACGTCTCAGATTGATGCTACGCCTCATGAGCGGACTAAGATTTGCGACTTGACATTCGCGTCCGTTTCTTATGCATATGCCTGTAACTTTTCTCCAACACGATTCCTATAATTTTCCCATCCTCTCCACCCACGTGTCCATCTATAAAATCCTAAACTTCTTAAATCCTCTAAATAGTCATTCCTATTGCTCCTAAGGACCAACGAAACCTTTGGGAAAAAACAAGAAAGAAAGGAACGAAAGAAGACGGAACCTCATCGCCCTCCATGAGCTATACGTAGGCATGTAACAATCAGGCCAGTACACAAAGAAACTGAGAGCTCCACACACCAATGCTATTGCTACCACTTGAATAACAGTTGGGGGCCTCATTCAATGGTGTGGGATGGGGTATTCGGTAATTTGAGTGTCGGGCTCTTCAAAGATGGTCCTAACTATATGGGAGGCCTTATAAAGGACGATTGATAAGACCCAGGAAAGCGGAGCGAATATAATAAGCATTGTTGGTATGGTCTCTTCTGCGGCGGAGAAAGTATTAGTCGACATGGTTAGAAAAAGGGTTAGACTGATGTTAATCAATGTTGCGCTGATGATTATACAGTATATCGTACTTTTGGGTTGGTAAGTATAATGCCTATTATATATAATCCGACAGTGGGGCCATGACTGACAGTTTCTGACGAGTGCGTCTCATTCTGCTCGCGCGGAGATCCTTCATCATCCACACGTATGTAAAAAAGATACACACTGTGCCGTCGCTAACAACTGTTAGTGAAAGAAAAATATCACGGCTAATAAAATCTTTAATCCTGCTCGATTCTAGAGTAATAGTAATTGAAGTGCATGCCTAACAACCATATCAAAAGGACAATGTCGTGTGAGGGCCATTGATAGATATATCCAAGTAAATATGCCGTTTATAAGCCCTAGGTGTCTCCATCCGCCGCGACGTAGGTAGTAAATGCATGCTAATAGGGCAAGGAATAGAGTCGTATACCAGGTGATTCTTACAGCTGATAAAGAATCTTGTGGCGATCCATCCTGCCCATTGGGCAGACCTTGGATAGCTAAGGTTGAAGCCACCGGTAAGGATGATATTAGGAATGCCAAAATGATAAGGTGAATAGGAAGTGCAGGGATATAAAAGCTCGAGATGCATGTGGCTTGGGAAACCCCAACCCAAACACGGATTCCATATCCACAGACCGGACCCAACATAGTATAGCCAGCGAACCATCGTATTATGTGGCTTGCAGAGAGGTACTACAAGACTAAAAGGAAACCGAGTACCTGGTTTGCAATAAGTGTCGTGGTGCTGAAGAAAGGAGTGTATTGTTCATGAAGTATTATATGATGTGATGCTATTCGACGTCGCCATTGCTTTCCTAGCATATTCGATGATGGCGCATTGTTAACCTCGATATACTTAGGCTCGACTATGGTGTCTCTGCTCTTATTCATGGCTGGGACTTGTTTCTGGTTAGGGATATTACACTGGATGATTTCTGCAATGATTGGGATCGCCGAGAGTCCTCGTCGATTTCGAATGATATGAAAACAGAGTGAAGGTATATGCTGATAGAAAGAGACATGAAATAAGAGCAAGAATGATTGGAATTAGTTGGACTTAACCAATAGAAAGACTGAAATAAGAGCAAGAATTTAACCAATAGCGTGTCAGCGGGACATACCAACCTTGGAACCAATTGAAATGACCAGATTACTGCTTTTTTGTCCTATCATGTAACTCAAAGTATATTCATGAATATTTATACATCAACTTACAAATATATATATGGGCTCCTTGAACGCCTGTCCCTGATGCAATGCTAAATGGTGCGTGCTCTAAATGCCTCTAGATTTGGGTACTTTTAGTATATCATTCATCCTCAAATTCCTCTTCACCGACCTAGTAATCGTTAGTAACAGTGATTTTAATCGCACAAGATAGTTCAACTTACATTATCATGGAAATCTTGTCCTCCCTTAGTAGCTACAATGACGCCCTGTCGGATACAGAAGTCACCGAAATGTTCACCCTCTTCGCGTTCCAAAGCAAAACGCTTTAGCAATGGCTTCATGATAGCCAGGATCTCGTCTTCCTTGATGCTGGATCGGTACAGCTTATTCAGTCGCTGTCCGTGATACCCACCACCCAGGTACATGTTATAGGCACCATAGGCTTTGCCAACAAATGCGACCTCAGCCAACCAAGGACGAGCGCAACCGTTGGGACATCCAGTCATGCGCATAACAATTGACTCCTTTCCTAGGCCGTTCTCCTCAAGGCAACCCTCAAGTTTGGTGATCAATTCGGGGAGGTAGCGCTCACTTTCGGCCATGGCCAAGCCACATGTGGGGAAGGCAACACAAGCCGAAGAGCTGAGACGTAAACCAGAGAATTGGACATTATCGAGCTTATACTTATTTAGTAATTCCTTCATTTGTGGGAGATCTTCATCTGCAACATTGCTCAGGATCAAATGCTGGTTTCCTGTCAATCGGAACTCGCCCTTGTGAACCTTGGCGATTTCGCGGAGACCAGTCTTCATTTGAAATTCAGCGGTATTCTCAATTCGGCCGTTCTCGATGAAAAAGGTGAAATGGTTTAGACCATTCTCGTCCTTCTGCCAGCCGAAAGTGTCGATGTTGCTCTTAAAGTGGAATGGACGCTCTGGTTCAAACGTCTTACCCCACAATGCTTCAACTTTAGAGCGGAAGACATCAACACCAAGGTCATCGATGGTGTACTTTAGTCGAGCATGCTTTCGGTTCTTACGGTCGCCATGATCTCTCTGCACAAGCATAATCTTCTCACAAGCGATATGGATTTCATTAGTGTTAACGAAACCCATCATGCGACCGGTTTGAGGATAAGTCTTCTTGTTATTGTGAGTCGCACCCATTCCACCTCCAGCAAGAACGTTAAAACCAGCCAATTGACCGTCATCACCCTTGATAGCGATAAGACCGATATCGTGGGCGTAGACATCTGTGTCGTTGTGTGGCGGAATAGCGATAGTAATCTTGAACTTTCGAGGGAGATATGTGGGTCCGTAAAGGGGCTCGAAATCCTGTACGGCGTTACCAGCAACTTGTGTTTTCTTGTTATCGTCGTCTGTGAGCCAGATCTCGTGATAAGCAGTAGTAGAAGGCAGGAGATGATCGCTAATCGTCTTTGAGCAAGCCCAGACTTGCTTGTGATACTGCGACTGCGTTGGAAGAGAGCTGCACATAACGTTTCGGTTGACATCACCGCAAGCAGCGATAGTGGTCATTAAAGCCCTGTTGATAGCCTGCATCGCGGGCTTAAGCTTTCCTTTAACCACACCGTGGAATTGGAAAGTTTGTCGGGTAGTTAACTTCATAGTCTCATTTCCAAGGCTTGTGCTAATGTCATCCATTTGGACCCATTGCTTCGGCGTAGCAACACCACCTGGCAATCTGCATCGAATCATGAACGAATACGCAGGTTCTAGGCCCTGAGCTTTGCGCTCGTCACGAATATCTCGGTCGTCTTGCATGTAGGTGCCATGGAACTTCGTAAGTTGCTGATCGGATGCGGAGATAGCGCCAGTGGTTGGGTCATTCAAACCCTCAACGATAGTACCTCTGAGGTAATTCGAAGCTAGCTTGATGTCTTCGTTGGTTAGTGGTGGAGGCTCCTCTGGTAGCCCTTCAACGTTTGCGACACCAAGTGCCTGCCAAATTTGAGGTTCCCACAGCGCATATCCAGTTTGGAATCCATCAGGATCTTGGTCATCTCCCAACCCGACTTCAGATAGTCTCTTGCCACCAAAATTGGCGAGTAACCTGTCAAGATCTTTGGCTGGCTTGTTGTAGTATACCCTGTCCTCCTTCCGCGGCCAGTAGTGCTTGTCTCCAAGACCAAAGACGGAGTAGTTGACGGATGCGAGGTCAAGATCGGTGTTGTCCTTGATGGCGTCCCAGAACGGCTTTCCGTTTTGCGGGAATTCACCCTGACCAGCGGTGGAGGTAATTAATACGATATTCTCCTCTTTGGGGAGATCTTCAACGGGGTAATCCTCCATGGCCATGACAAGTGTCTTAAGACCTCTAGCACGGCCTCTGGTGCCAAGACGCTTCGCAAGCGACTGCGCATTTCCGTTGTCCGAGGCGAATAAAATTGTGAGAGGCGCACCAAAGAGACCCTCTAGCAATTGATTATACGCATCTCGAGCCTTTCGCTTTTGTTGCGCACGGACCTCTGTACCGAAATCTTGAGATAAATTCGCAGCAAAAACTGGCTCGCGTCGCATCAATTGAGTCAATTTGTTGTCTCTGTCCAAGAATTCCTTCAATTCATTCTTAACACGCTCAGAGTCCAAGGAGAAGTTGGGTTCGCCCTTATTCTCGTTCTCGGGGTTCCATCGGTAGAGTGGCCAATAGCCCAGATCCACGGCCTTCTTAGTCTCTTGTAACACGGTCAATGGTGAGTCGTTCTCACCGAAGTACGGGAGATATGCGAGAACAACCGATGGTCCGTTGAATTGATCGGCTTCGAGCATGGCTTGAAGAACCTGGGTATATGAGCTGTAGACTGCTGTGGACGCAACATAAGCATTGCCGAAATTCATGGCATAAAGACCAATATCCTTCTTCCGTCTCTCAGCATCGGCCGCCGCACGCTCGGAATAAGGCGTCGAATCGATAATAAGCATGTTCACGTTCTCGCCAGAGGCTAAAACATGGTGCACGCCTGAGTTACCAAGATCGTATGACCACGCATCGGATCCAACCAACCACAATGACTCCTTTCGGAATAAGCCCTTGCTTGATAAAAGTTCTCGTGCAATTGAGGATCCGTCTGTCTCGAGTCGTGCAATTACGTCATCTGCAATTTCTCCAGCTTTCTTGGCATCTTCGGCGGTCGCCGCCCATTTCGCAAGCCAGTTGACTGGAGCCTCAGTAATGAAAGATCTAGTGCTAGCGGCTTGCTTAACTTGCTTGACAAATTTTTGGCGATGTTCTTTCCGTGCCAGAAGAGAACCGAATCCAAATTCAGGACTAGCTGTTATCGTGGAAGAAACACCGGCGTTGCTCGAAGTGAGAGCATTCGCTACGTAAGCTCGGTTGCCAAATAGCTGGTCGAGGATTTTGGTATAGGCGGTTTCCAGCTTCGGCTTTTCTAGGCCGTAAGTTTTATCGTCCTGCGGCCCACTCGTCTTTCCCACCTCTAGATTTTGTAGAGGCTTCTCGGAAGCCAAATTCTGAAAGATACCCCTAAGAGCTTGGTTGATGGTGTCAGGAGTGATGTATCCCAATTGATGACCAACTATAGTCTCGACACCACCAAAGCCACTCTTGACTGACGTCAATATATCAATTAGTAAAGGTCCCCATCTTGTCGTCTTTCGCGAAATTTGCTCTAGTACAGCGATGCGCTTCACGGATTGTGGGATGACTTCGAGGAGCTTGGAACCTAACCACGGTCGGTATAACCTAGCCGTAATCAATCCAGCCTTTGCGTATATGTCATCCGGCTTAGCTGCATCGAGTGCCTCGGCGAACAAACCCGCATCAGAACCAAATACGAAAATAGCCTTCTCTGCAGTTGACGGGCCCGACCACTCAAAAGCATTATAGCTACGACCGGTAGCGGCTTTTAATTGACTCCATATTGAAGTCACATATTTGTAGATATCCTCAGATGTAACTAGAGGTGGGGCTGTTTCGATTGTGGTGGCTGACGATACGCTCGGCGGGGCACTAGAACCATTGCTTTGTTGGCTAGACTTTTCCGAACCCTCAGTAGAAACGGTCTTCGAAGTGACGCTAAGAATGGCTGAATCTGTTAATCCGTTGGGGGTAGCGCTCGGGCGTCTTTCTGGTTGATCTGAGGCGACCGCGACTTTTCCGTCATCGGCATATATGCCCGACTCCGAAATCGAGCTGGCTTGGTATCGACGGACGTCGTCTAGGTTCAACAACTCGCGGAATGATGTCGCGTCCTCTGCAGCGATTGGCTTATCGTGTGAACAGGAGCTCGGGTCGAAGAAGTGAATAACACCTTTTCCAGAGCGGACTGCTAGAGCATGAGCTGTAATAGCCATGTCCTGTGCCTCCTGGAGGGACTCGGATTGTATAAAGGTCCATCCTGAGTTTCTGATGGCGGTTATGGCAGAATAGTCAGGGAAATTAGCTGGGTATAATGAAACGTGAAGGACGACGGGATAGTTCGCTAGTTTGTACAAGTGGGCGATAGAGGGGAGGAGAATAGTTGAGGTGGTGGTTACGGATGTGAGGCGACCAGAGCGAATTGGCGCAAAGACGGAGAGAAGGGGATCGTTGTTGTGTCGGATAGATTGTATCTAATATTACCGAGTCAATTGATTATTCTTATAAGTCACATAGAAAAATACTCACTTCTGGGACTGAGCCCTCGGCCTTAACAACCAGGCCAGGGTCTTTGCGCGCAGCATATCTCTTAAGGTGGGAAGAGAATTCAGAGTCCTGGGCATGTGAGGGTTGAACGGAGATGATGACATCGCTAGCAAGGTAGGCAATGCGCGCCACTACGATAATTATAAGAGTCAGCTATGCTACTTATGAATATTGAGCATATTATAAATAAATTTGGATGATATTGATGTTATTATTTGTGATGTGACGGCGGTGTAAGTGGTAGGAATGAAGTTGGTTTTTGAATTGAAGAATGTGAATTCGATAGCGGGGTACATAGTGAGTACAGAAAAGCACATTAGAGCTATAATAATAAGGATTACTCACCTGCCTCTTCAGGCGTACGAATTTGGATATCTTGTGTCGCCATGTCGGACTCTGACTTGGAAGCGGCAGCAGAAGAATCTACTGCTTTTCCGAAGAGGAACGACATGATGGACCCCTCTCTACATATAAAGTCTTTTTTTAAGTCTAGAAATAATAATTTTCCCCGGCATTGGAAAAAGGCGAAGTGGGTTTTGAATTCTAGACGATGGCGACAACCCACGACTAAGATAGCAGGATAGTTCAGACCCCGAATGTGGCACTTTTTATGGCTCCGCAATTGCAATTAGTCCGCTATACTCTTCAATCACGCCATCGTTTTAGCCTTGAGGCTTGAACTCATCTACCAATAAATATTAACGTTTTGTAAGACCAGTACCGGACACGCCATCATTGGCCAATCACATTTTTAGGTTTTACCTTGCATCATCTAGAATCGGTAATCGGTACAAAACCCCATATTCCATCGTCCAATCAACCAAGCCTTCATAGCCGTCTATGTTAAGGGACCGACAGCCGCTGTCATACTTAATATTTTTCAGGGTCGGCATGATAAAATTATAGATATTATTTAAACAAGTTGATGCATGCCGGTATTATTGCTTATCAATTATACTTCAAGCTGACAGTAATAATTAAACTGGTATTGATTGGTTGGTGTTTCGTCATACCTCACACCGATAGCCGCAGCACTTGTACCACTTAGACCGACAATGCTAATTGTGAACTTATACACGCTATACACGCTATAGACGTTGATACTATCAAAGCATGTATCGTATTTTCTTAAAACAATCCAACCCTTTGTTTATCTTCCCCGGCGATCTTCATATTCCTTCTTGTCATTAGTGCTTATGTGGTCGACTGCTAGATGAGAGATACCATCTTGTTGAAATAATACCGCAAGGCTTCGGAAATTCTTCAACTTACTATTTACTTACGTATACCCTTAGCGAAACACTATAGAAATGATTTGAGAATCAAATCCCGAGATTTCTCCAAGATGAAAAGTAACAGGTCCCGAACAAGGCTAATATCTAGGTAGTAGGTAATGAATTGCTTTTTGGGGTATAACACAAGAGGATTAGTGTCTTAGCGATTGTATATCAAATCCATCAAATAGAGCAAAGACAGGCGTTAACGATTTGGCAATGCGTCTAAGAATCAGGTTCTAGAATAGTGAGAACATGATTTACAACCACTGAACCACATTGAGAATAATAGCCTAATTCCATTGAATCAATTTATTGTATCGAGTTGAAAAGACTTAAGATTCGAGACGCCACAAGTCCCTCTAAATGAGCCCTATCGTAGCGCTGAGTCAGCAACCCTACGATCCGGAGATCGGACAGGTCCCTCCATGTTTCATTGATCCCTGTCGGTACCACGTCATGGTAACACCCTTTTACTACTTGGTGGCACCACACCACCAAGGAACATCGTGACAAACGTGGGGCAAAGAGCTTCAATTCAGCTAATTTTCCCGCATTTACTCTAACAATTGTCCCAATATCTGCAATTAACTTACCATAATACACAAAGCCTCCTTATTAACAATTTGCAGTGGATTTATATAATCCACGTTCCTTGTCTCAGCCCGCGTTTCATGAATTCGTCGTTACCTAGGACCATCGCAAATCTATCGTCCTCCCGACTCTCGGTCGCCAACCCACGTGCGGTATTTAGAGGCTATCCCGTATTTAGCTGCGTGCTTGGCCCCCTTAGTCATAGCAAGCCGCAATATTTATCACTCACCAGTCATCTATCACCAACAAGAAGAATAGCTCCTTTCTCAACAACCCCTCCAAAGAAACCCATAACCATGGCCTCAACAACCGAAACCGCGAATCTAATCGAATTCGCCAAGCGCGCCGCCTGCCGGCAAGCCGTCGCCGACAACTTCAGCCCGGAATTCACATACGTCGGGATCGGCAGCGGCAGCACAGTCGCCTACGTCGTCGAAGCAATCAGCGAGCTCGGCGCCTCCGTAACCAACAAAATGAAATTCGTGCCCACGGGTTCCGGTTCCACATCCCTAATCCGCAACGCCGGGCTCTCCGTTCTCCAAGTACCGGATCTACTCCTCGAAGTCGCGACCGACGTGACCGACCACCAACCTATTGATATTTATTTCGATGGAGCGGATGAGGTAGACGCGGAGCTGAATTGTATTAAGGGAGGCGGCGCATGCCATTTCCAGGAGAAATTGGTCTCGCGCTTATCGAAGCGGTTTATTTGCGTAGCAGATAGCCGCAAGAAAGCCGACCGCCTGCTTACGAACTGGACATATGTCCCCGTTGAAGTATCACCTATGGGCGCCGAGTACGTGCGACGCGAGCTCTTACGTCTCGGTAGCGATGACCCCAAAATCCGGACCTCGGGACCGACGTTCATCCGCACGATTACGGATAATCATAACCATATCATCGACGCGCCATTCCCGACGCTGCTGCTGAATAGCGAAGCGGGTAAACTGGATCCCGCGAAGGGCGTGTGGACGCCGGATGCGCTGCTCAAGCGGATTAAGGCTATTTTTGGTGTTTTAGAGGTGGGTATTTTCTCGGGGTTGAATGGCCCACAGGTCGCGAAGTTAGGTACGGATGTAGAGGGCGTGAAACCGGTAAAGGCGTACTTTGGTAGGGCTGATGGGCAAGTGGAAACATTGGGTTAGGGCTGGGTCTACTATGTAAGGGATGGAATATTCGAAAATAATTAGAAGTGGTTCATCCATGTACATGTGTGGTACGAATTAGGAATGAATGATAGCTAATAGCGTTCATCACGAAGGCACGTGAGTATGAGACACAGAATCTGTGTTACTCTTTGACGACGCTTGAACTGGAATCTGCGAAAAAGGGTGATTACATATACTAAATGTCATACCCGCAATGGTTGTACTGGTCCTCTTCTCGTTACTTTGTTTCGTAGAATGGTTTGTATTATACAACATCATTTTGCTGATTCGTTCGCTATGCACGGGAAATATCCTGCTTGACCCTCACCCTTTTCCGGGTCAGGCCACCGCCTCTTCTTCAATGCGTAGTACCATTTCACTAACACGCACATCCTTCTTGTTGAGAGGATTGGGTATTGGTTTTCACATCGATCACTATGATTTGTTAGTCCAACCATTTCGCTCCACGTCAGAATGTTGCGGATATGACCCACTCTGTGATGAGGCCTGTGCTGCGGCATCTGTTCCTTCCATACCCGGAAGAGCTTGCGCTATCCTCCTGAAGAGGTTCTTGACGTTGTGTCCCAGCTTCGCGCTCGTCTCGACAAACATCAAGTTGTTCTTCTTAGCCTCTTCCTCACCTTGCGCTGTGGTGACTTCTCGCTTGTCGTTTAGATCTGTCTTGTTGCCTACTAATACGATAATCACGTCGTTTCCTCGTTCCGCACGTACGTCGTCAATCCATTTCTTGGTGTTTTGGAATGACTTTGCATCTGTTCCCCGTTAGTCTCCCATTCAGATTGGTAGGGGTTGAGGCCGCTCGTACTAGAAATATCGTAGACAACCACGGCAACGCTCGAATCTCGGATATATGAGGGAATCAAACTCCTAAATCTTTCTTGACCTGCCGTATCCCATAGCTGTAGTCGCACCGTTCGGTCTTCGAGGTACATCGTCTGGTCCCTATCAGTCAGCTAACCTAGCTCGAGCCTTCCGAGTTTACCGCATCGCATGATCCAAACTCGCCTTTGAGAGGAAATCGATACCAATCGTAGCTTGATACATATTATCGAAAGAGTCGTACATGAACCGCGTTATTAGGGACGTCTTGCCGACTGGGCCGAGGTATCATGTTAGCTATCGTCTAAAGTGTGCATCGTTCGTAGGGTGTTGTCGCTGCTCGTAACATTTAATGGGATAGACTGCATACCGCTTTGTTCACCGAGGAATACCAATCTATTAAATGTCAATGATATAATTCAACTAAAAATAGTTGGTAAAAATACTTGAATTTCTTTAACGGGTTGTTATACCCGCCAGCTCCTCCGGTCTGCGACATGTTTGCGTTGATTTCTGCTCTGTTTATGGTGTTATGTTGGTAGTAAAGGTCGGTAATTCAATAATATTAGTCGAGAAGCGCGGAATTACGGGATACTATTGACGATAGAATTAGGGGTTGGAAGTCGGGTCGGCAGGAATTTCAAGAAGGCAGGCGTAAAGAGCGGAAATGAAGAGAATATAAATGAATTAATTATTCCTTTGCAATATTATTCACTCGTGTGACTGTATGTCCCTTCGCTTGCTTTTGAGAGACAAGTCAGAAAGAAATCAACTATTGTAAGTGTTGTTCTTTCCTACCTCTCTCCCCTACAAAAGGAGGCGGTCTCTTTTCCAATAGGTATACGAAAAATGCGCTTGGGCTTCGTAGCCTTGGACAGATTGGCGATTTGACTGGGACTTGGGACTCAGGCAGGACTGGGGGTTGATGTAGAGTGGGTCTTGTTGACGAGCTTTGGTTGGCAATCGATAGACGAGCCTTGCTTAAAAAAGAGAAAATGACCGACTCCCCCGGCCAAGCTAAGGAAAAAGGCTGAAAGTCAATTCGCCATGCAATTAATTACATAAGCACACTAGAGCTAAAAGAGGTTAGTAAATTCAATATCTCTTATCTTATCGCAGTACTCGATTCCAACCAAAAAAGATTGATTGACCCCTGCATCTCAGAAAAATTTCTAGTTTGGACAGCCCCACTAACATCTCGGAATGCCATTCATTCAATTCATTCGGTTGCACAAATAATCAACCAGTTGGTTCGAACAATACTGATCTGGACTCTTTCACAATCAAACAATTCCCTAGCACTGAATTTAATTCGAGATGCCAGTCATACAACCCTTAAAGGGGTCGACCGAGGCCCCTGCGACTTACAAGCAGCCCTCGAGAAAAGGCAAGAAGGCCTGGAGAAAAAACGTCGATGTTACGGAAGTTGAGAAGGGTCTCGAGGAGTTAAACGAGGAAATCCTCAAGGGGTTCGTCTAGTCTTTTCATCTTCATGATCGCATTGGACTAACCTGATGATTTTGCAGTGGTGTTATCGCAGAACGACCCTCGGACGAACTTTTCGTGCTTGATACAGTCGGCGATACCTCAATAGCAAAGAAGTACCCGAAGCATACCTCTAAACCCTTGAAGGCCGATGAAATCATCGCAGCGCGCTCGGTCGTACCTACTGTTGCCTCGCGCAAACGTCCAGGTGATAAAACTACAGATGGTATCCTTCCGGCCAAGCGACCAAAGCGGGAATATGTCACACAAAAGGAACTTAGTCGATTGCGCAAAGTAGCGGATGGTTTTCATGGAGAGACTGTGGAGGTTGCGGATGCGTCTTACGATCCGTGGGGAGCGGTAGCTGCACCTGAACCGAAAACACCGGCTTTAGTAGAGGATAGGAGAGGTGACCAGAAAAAGGCGCCAAAGTCCATTGTACAGAAGCCAATTTCACTATTAGCAAGTGGAAAGGCACCCAAAGCCGTACCGACTCCTACGGGCGGATATAGTTATAACCCGGCTTTTGCAGACTACGAAGCTCGTTATACTGAAGAATCAAACAAAGCAGTAGAAGCAGAGCGCAAACGATTAGAGGCTGAAGAAGCTGAGCGTCTCAAGCAAGAAGCTGCAGCTAGATCAGCTGCCGAGGCAGAGGCTGCTGAAGCTCGAGCGGAACTATCCGAATGGGACGAGGATTCAGAATGGGAAGGGTTCCAGAGCGGTGGCGAAGAACTCAAAGTTAGCGCAAAGCGACCAGAACGCAAGACCAAAGCACAGCGCAATAGGATCCAAAGGCGAAAAGAAGAAGAGCGCCGACTGAAACACGAGGCCAAGACCAAGGTTCGGAAAGCCCAATTGGAAGAGATTAAACGAATTGCAAGGGAAGTTGCCGAACGTGAACGTGAAGAGAATTTAGCGCTCGCGCGGGCCGAAGAGAGCGAAAGTAGCGCCGATGATAACGACGAGACTATCCGACGCCGCCAATTAGGCAGATTAAGGCTACCCGAGAAGGATCTAGAATTGGTCCTACCAGACGAACTTCAAGACTCTTTACGCCTCCTAAAACCTGAAGGCAATTTATTGAAGGACCGTTACCGAAGCTTGTTGATTAGAGGAAGGATGGAAGCCAGAAGGAGAATACCATTCAAGAAGCAGGCCAAGACTAAGCTCACGGAGAAATGGGCTTATAAAGACTTTAGCATCTAGAGCCGCCTACACGAGGTCCCAAGTATATGGACAACCAACCAGATTCCCAATAAATTACAATAAGCTTTTCAGGAAAATCATTATACCTATGATAGATAATTCGAGGATCATGAGATGCGACACGGTGAGTCAGCTTTCGGCCAAATTGCAACGTTCCAATGCACGAATCCCGAAAGAATGAACCCCTACGACGTAGAACATTCGACAGGTTCCTTACATATTTCCCAATCGCACATACGCCCCTGGTGGCACATGTCGATTATGAGATTGATGACTCAATAATTTCGCAACCTACTATATAAAAGTGTAACTACATGATGGCAATTTGAGGCTCAAAAGCTTAACATAGCTTCACATCAAATTGTGACAATATTTCTGAGCGGGAATTAAAATCGCAAGATAAAGTCGAAAGTGAGAAATATAGAGCGTTAATTGATCTTCGCACTAAGGCGAAAGCGGGTCGAATAGCAGGTAAGCTTGTGAAAATTCCAGGCTATTTCCAGCGGCAGTGACGGCGATCGGAAGCTGGGAAGGTCCCACATCTACCCACTCCCATGGGTATGACGCACTACATACGCCAGTAACTTCGCTGTAACACAAGTTTGTCCAAGGAAGCGCCGAAAGGGCGAGGAAAGAATTCTTGTGATTCTCTTTTTCCCCTTTCACAGGCCATAATCTTTTTTCTTTTTCGTACACGAACCAATTTCTCGATTTTCTAGTTACGAAAACTAGAAACATCATAATATAATTTCCCGACATGACACGGCTTCGTTTATAGTACTTCCTTTTTTCTAATTAATTTCTGAACTGATCGGAAAGTACCGACGATGCCGCCTCAGCTAGGAGCTGCCACGGTCCTCGCTCTTCGCGCTGGTCGTCAGAGCTCTCCTAGCTATAATCTCGCATATTCGACTCTACTACGACAGACAACGCGCGCGAACATTCGCCAATTCGGCATTCTATCTCGATCGAGTATTTCGAAACGAAGTACACCCACAAAAAATACACAATGGCTGTTCCCACCTAAGCGCATCCTACGCGAAATTTCGGGCAAACCCCTCCCACAGAGACGATCCGTAATTCTCAACTTCGCATATCGCACAGCGGCAGTAATAGGAACGGGAATTGGGTTCATAGGAGCTCTATTCGCAGCTTTTTTCTTATATGACGCCACTACTTATAAAGAGGAGTCGATTACCTTTGGTGATTGTCAAGTCTCCTCAAATGCTCTAAATCCGCGTCGCGGGGGACCTAAGAATCTCCCAATTATAGAAGCGCTGCTCGACGACGAAGATAATGAGGAAGCAAGGAAGAAGAGAAGTAAGCCCCGACTTGTTATCTTGGGTAGTGGCTGGGGTAGTGTCGCGCTTCTCAAACAACTCAACCCGGAGGATTACCACGTGACTGTCATCAGTCCGAAGAATTACTTCTTGTTCACTCCTATGTTACCCTCTGCGACTGTTGGTACTCTAGAATTGCGAAGTCTCGTTGAACCTATCCGAAGAATTCTATCAAGGATTGGTGGGCATTATCTCCGAGCTTCCGCCGAAGATGTTGAATTTTCACACAAATTGGTCGAGGTTTCACAGGTTGATTCCAAAGGTGAGGAGGTGAGATTTTATATACCGTATGACAAATTAGTCATCGCGGTAGGATCCGTCACAAACCCTCACGGAGTCAAGGGACTAGACAATTGCTACTTCCTTAAGGATATTAACGACGCGCGTATGATTCGGAACCAGGTTATGAAGAATTTGGAGCTCGCTTGTCTTCCTACGACAGATGATGATGAACGGAAACGACTTTTATCCTTCGTGATCAGCGGTGGTGGTCCCACTGGTGTCGAATTTGCAGCTGAACTATTCGATCTATTGAACGAGGACCTAACCAGAAGATTTCCTCGACTTCTACGAAATGAAATCTCAGTCCACTTAATACAGAGCAGGGGTCATATTCTTAACACATACGATGAAGCCCTTTCCAAATACGCCGAAGACCGATTTGCTCGTGACCAAGTCGAAGTACTTGTCAACTCCCGAGTGAAAGAGGTACAAAAGGACAAGATCATATTTACTCAACAAACCCAGGACGGTCAAGTCATCACTAAAGAACTCCCAATGGGATTCTGTTTATGGTCCACTGGTGTTTCTCAAGCGGATCTATGCCAGCGCCTAGCCGCGAAGCTAGGAGCAGCACAAAACAATCGTCACGCCCTCGAAACAGATACTCACTTACGCCTTAACGGCACACCCCTAGGCGACGTATACGCAATCGGTGACTGTTCAACCGTGCAAAACAACATCGCCGACAACGTCATAACCTTCCTCCGCGGGCACGCCTTCAAACAAGGCAAAGACCCGGAAACCGTAGAACTACACTTCAGCGACTGGCGCGCCGTCGCCTCCGACGTAAAACGGCGTTTCCCGCAAGCAGCCGCGCACCTAAAACGGCTCGACAAGCTATTCTCACAATTCGACAAGGACCAATCCGGAACCCTCGATTTCGGCGAACTACGCGAGCTGCTCAAGCAAATCGACAGTAAACTCACATCCCTACCCGCTACCGCGCAGCGCGCGAATCAGCAGGGTATTTATCTTGCTAAGAAATTCAATAAGCTCGCGCATTGCGCGCCTGGGTTACGGGCTAATGATGTGAGAGATGGGGATCTGGATGAGGCGTGTTATAAAGCGTTTGAGTACCATCATCTGGGTAGTCTGGCGTATGTTGGGAATAGCGCTGTTTTCGATCTTGGAGGCGGGTGGGGGATGAGTGGTGGCTTGTGGGCGGTGTATGCTTGGCGTAGTGTGTATTTTGCCCAGAGTGTTGGTGTGAGGACGAGAGTGCTCATGGCTATGGATTGGGCGAAGAGGGGACTTTTTGGACGAGGTGAGTTTGCTTTTGCTTTTGATGCGATTTTTTACCCCTTTTTATTGGTTGTGGAGTCGCTTACTAATGAGTGGTGACAGATTTGATGAGTTATTAGACGGACTCGAAAAGCATAGGTGATATCTAGACTACAGAATAGGCGCCCAGGTGAGGCGGCTACCGAGCCTATTAAAATTGAGTTGATTTGTATATATTGGGGGTGGCTGGACTCAATTCTAATAATAGGGGCGCCGTTCGAAATTAGGATCATGATAATGTGGTAATTCCGGCCTTGGTGTCTACTAGAAATTAGACTACGAGGGGATTGGAATTGATGATAATGAGAATGGGTTAAACTGGCTTTTCCAGCATGATTTTTTCTTCTTTTTACGTTCGTCACACCATCGGATATTTAGCAGGCAGCTGATAAAGTGTATCCTGGTTCGCACTGTGTGACAGGAAGCATTACTAAGTCCTCACAAATAGGAGCGGTATAATTGGGATAGCTTCGAAGGTAGTATCGCATTTATTATTTGTCAATGCCAGTAGTTTCCGTCTTTGGGGTATCGTAGGCGTTCCTATTCTCAGTAACTCATATCCAAGGTGTCGTGTAAGTCCATGTCGCTTAATGGAGGTGGCTTTTTGTGAAGCCTATCTCCTATCAGCCGAAAGGTGGCTGGGCCACATGAGTCAACATTACGAGAAAGTGCCTTACCATCCATTTTTCCTCATTTTCCTCATTGAAATGACAACATTGGAATCCCTTGGCAGAAGGCATAGCCCCATGCCTTTCTCTACGGAAAAAGTCTTCTCGACTCTCAGTCTCGCATTTAAATCACCAGATTAATATTTACAACTATAGATGAGAACCAATATACTACGTTGAGCGGTTGATCATTTACGCCAGTTGTCGTTGCGGTGTATCCGGCCCCCAAACACGTCACCTGCAGCCTGGTCTACTTGGATTCGTCTCAAGCGAGTGTTGGTGCAATTATTCGTTGGGCATGAATGTCTTCGAAACCGATACGACCCTATTCCATGACCCATGCGGGCTTGATAGGTAAACAAGGTGACGTTCACCATTCTATAATGTGTGTGATCTCCTAATTTGTTTTGGAGGGGGATAGGTCCCTTATTTTACTCAATTTTCCCATTTAATAGGAAAAGGGGGAAGGCCTGATTTATGCCGACATATGTAGGAAGGAGTTAGCCAACTCGGTCGACTAACAACATGGCCAATATAGGTCGTTTCGGACTAGCAGCAATATCAAACACTCTCGATTCAACTCAAACATTATTAAGCCTCAATTTCGATTTTTCAATCGCCAAATTCGAGCCTCCTCGAGAATTCCACGAACTCGGCCGCTGTCTCACCGCTGGAAGAAGAAGCATAGCTGAAGATGGCCTTCTCCATATTACAGCACGGAGGCTGGCTGCGAGCTTCAGACCCCTGCTACCGCAAACCCCGACATTGATTAAGTGCTATGGCCTTCGTGCTTCGGAAATCGCAAAGGCGTCTACAGAAAGTCTTCCAGACAGCGTTGGCGTTTTCACATCGCAGGTGGGGATCGACGGCACGAGCATCTGGGCCGGTGCAACATCCGGCGAAGGGGCTATCCAGGTCCATTTGCTGGCTTGTATGCTTGCAAGAATATGGAGCGGGCCCGAGGCCACTTCAATATGGGTTGAGCTACTCGAATCCCGTCTACAAGAAATACGAAATGAATTCCAAAAGCTTGGATTAATGGACGTTGGGGTATTGTCTACCACTCAGCAGCAAATTGATAGATCACAGCTTGCCGAATGGGACGCAAGTGCTCGCGCGTGGTTGAGAATAGCAGATGCGGAAAAGTCATTGCCGCAGAAACAGCTGCTACTTATCATCGAAAACCTCAGCAGAAAGGTAAATTCGAAGCCATCCGTCTACCATAGCGTCATGAAAGCTTGGATTAGTGGCCTCGAGGGGATGGAAAGTCTACTCCAAAACTCCCCCATGGGAATGCAGACTGGTGATTTACTTCTCGCTCTTTCGTCGTGGCATCTTTACCCAGATCTCAATATTTTGGGTCCCGCTACTAAAGTCATTCACCAAAGAGATCCGTTAGTCCCACCATCGGGGATCTTGACGATAGGAATGGAGCCGAATGGCTTCATCTCGAACGGGGGCCTCCAATGGTCTTTACCTTTGGCGCATCTTCGCTACTACGGCGACCCGGTAGTACGGACAGGGCTTGTATCCACCAAAGGGTCGCGCCTGTCTCTAGTAGACTTCAAAATGGCCGTCCTCGGTTGTGTAATAGGAGGGTGGGGAGTAGACGATCGAGGTGTTGAGGATGCCTTAAGGTGGATTAAAAAGCTCTCGAGAGTTATAGGTAGACTTTCCGAAGCATCGTCGGTTATGTCGGGGAGTTCGTGGCTATCCATACTCGGGGAAGCAGCCCACATGTTTCTGACATCTACCGGGTCTAATCGGGAGTTCTTTACCCGAGTTCTCAATTTGGGAAGAAACCACGCGATGTTTATAGGCGAAACTTCGCTTCCCTACTTTGGCATGGCCGATGTGCGGAGAACGTTATCATTATCTAATACTATCGCAAGGAAGACGGAGGTGTTACGATCGTTAGCTAATTCCATGAATTTCGGCCAGGAGCAGGCGATAATCCGTCACATCCCAGAGGAGGCACTATCAGATCATCTGTCTAACCCGGCCCGGCCCCGGCTCCCACCAAAACAAGGCAAGCCAGAACAGCGAAAGACTAACACCCGATGGATAACATCATGGGCTACACGAAATAGGGCCAGATCCAAAAGTTTACCAGATAATGGGTATTGTGGGTGTAAGAAAATACGATATAGCATGATTGGTGAGGATATCACGCCTATGGAAGACGAGCCATTACAAACAATCCATCATAAAGAAGAGCCGACAGACGTTGTCCAGAATGCGCCAGAGATGGGAAACGATTGTGAAGAAGATCGCCATAAAACCCGGTCGAATTGGTTTGAACACTATGAACGTTGGGTAGGAGATGATGCGAACACTGTGGCAATTTTCCTGCGGCTCTATATGAATAGGCCGTCAGCGCGACAGAATATTAGCTCTACTGCCCTTTATCAGATTTTCGAGGACGCACTCGAGGATCACATGCTTCTGCCCATCTTCCTTGATGGACTAGAATCCCTAGAAAGACCGTATCTTACGTCTTTGTGGGCCTTCGCTACCATGGCTTCGCTTTATGGCCAATTTGGCGAGGCAACAATCGATGCTCGAGTTTTTGAGGCATCTCTTTTTCAGGCGGATTGGTACCCATCCCCGGGTGGGAGTTTCGCTGAAATATACAAACTAAAGAGCGTGGGCTCATGGGCTCCGGATCTCTTCTTACCTCAATTCCTGAAACTCGAATTAAAAAGAGCCCAAACGCGCGAAAACTTAGAGGCTGACATGTACGGGGTAATTGGCAAGGCTGAATCATCAATGGACAGCTCCCGCGAGTCGCTGGACGAAAGCCAACCTGATGTTTCATGTAGGACATCTGCGCAAGGAGAATGCCTGGAACCTAAGGACATACTTCAACGTATATACATCCACACAAGGCCTCAGGACATGAGTACACAACAATCTTTCTCATGCGTCCTGTTTTTCGAGAATTTCTTCCATATTCCCCCTCCACGACTCGAAAATGTCATAGCATTGTCAAGTGGAAATTCTTTATTCATTGCAACTTCCCTGCTGTCAGACCCGATAAATTTACCACCGCGAAGGGGCAAGATTCGACACGTTATGGGGAACTTGGGACGTTCAGGCACCGCCTTACTCGTCCCACCAACGTCACCTCGAATGATGAAAATTGGTATTGATCATTGGTATTTCGTAAACCATACCGCTTGGGACGGAATCCCAAGAGACTGTTTCCAAGACAGTACACTGCATTTGAAATTCACTGGTTGGACACAGGAGGTGGACATTGGCCAAAGTGGCGCGCAGGACAAGGAGGTTAAAATGCTTGAGAGTGTTGTTTCTCTCTATGGAAAGGGTGAATGGGTTGCCGATCTCGATGTCCTCAAAGCTCTCTATTTCTCAGTCGCCAGGCGCGAAAATAAGTCTGAGGAAGATGCTGCAGGGCAAGACATGGCAAATAATGCGCAACCACCAATCAATAAACGGCATCCCTGCAGTTGCAAGAACAAGAGAAAATATTTACCCGTGAATGTACCGCTCGTCGCCATCGAAAACTGGTTCGACCTCCTGGATAAAAAGGAGGAAGATAGCATCTTCCTAGCTACTGGAAATTGGCAGGCACGCTTGGCTGCCATGATGATCTGTCATACGCAAAAGAGAAAGGCATGCGTACTCGCAGAGGATCAGTGTTTCACGTGTCTGGCCTCGATGGTTGAATCATCCAAGGGCCCTACGGTGTATATCTACTAAATCAGGATTATCTATGTCCCTAGCTTTTCAATAATCTAGGCTGTCCTATGCCAACTCATGCCTACAAGTTCAGACATGGTGTTTTGAGCACAGGTTTGCTTATACTACACTGGCATCTGTGAGGTCACATTCGGTCATACTTATTGGTTTGCCCCCATCGCGTAAGCGATGGACATACGGCGTGATCGAGATTAGTCTTTATGAAATCGCTGTTCCTAGCATATTATGTCGTGCGGGAAAATAAGCCATCTCTCGTCATCCAAGATTGATAGAATTGTTACAATAATAGGAGTATTGTTATTCGAATAAATCTCACCCTAATATAACTCGAAACAGAGGAGTGCTACTGGAGGGCAGCTGCCCCTAAATTAGCGCAACGCGCTCCCCATTATATCCTCAGTATCATTAACCACCACCACCCCATCACAGATCATCAGGCACCCAATGATGCCGAGTACATCCGGAACTCGATCGGCGTTCTCTCCGCTAGGGTTGCTTTGCCTCGCCTCACCCTACTACGAGTTCTTGGCGTGCTTCGATGTATGGGAGTGTGTCATTCAAGGCAGCCCTTTTTCGGACCAAACCAGCGGTCGGCCATAAGGGGTCGGCGTAGGCATATTCGGGTGCAGGCCTTCCTTTGGCGTCGTCAACGGCGTCAGAATCATCGGCCGCATTCACCCGCGACAGGTCGTTAGGTGACCAATGATGCCGGGAATGCCTTAGGCCTTGCGGTGCAGCTTGCTAGGGTTATTGGCGCCAGGCTCGATAGACGCCGCCTTGCTACGGGTGAATGACCTAGAACCTGACTAGAAGTTCCGCCCATCCATTAGTAACATGGCTTGGATCCCGATGGAGTTCGTCTGAAGCCGCTCGCGGATCCGTCGCGGATGAGGAGTGTCGCTGACATCGGGACTTGATGTCAAGGACACTTTCATTTTCAACTGTACTGTCAGTAGTCTAGCTGTACGAAGCAATACATCATGAGAGGTATCGAGGGCCTCCCCTATCGCTGTAAGGATACGAGGATTCCATTTGCGCTCTCCTTGCGCAACAACAGAATCATTACCCCCCTTACGGCTGGCCTTGTGACATAAAGTCCCTGTCTCGTCGAACATTCCGAGATCGCAATGGCGGGTGCTTACACAGTCCGGGTCCCTAGCTAGGCAGGAATTTCTAACCAACTAGGTAGCTAGTGTCTAGAAGTTCGTTAATACTATACTAATAAGTGAAGCGTGTATTACTTACCGGGCACTCCCGGCTCCCTAGCACTGGAGATATCTGCTCGCGCTGTCATGGTCCCCGACCCTAATCATCTTCTTCGTTTCATTGTCCCAGACACGACCGTCAGTGATGATGTAGTCGCCGTAACCCTCTCTGTAGCAATACACTTTGGTGCTGCTGCCCCCATTTGAAGCAGAGGAGCTGTCTTCACCACTCACGCATTCCCTTCAGCATGAACTTCATTACCGAAGGCGAACCTGAGGGTCTAGACCCAATTCCTTCTCGCCGTCACCATGCAGTTATAATATATCAATATTGTCGAATCGAATCGAAACAGAAGAGAATTGCCCCGATCTTTGGGTTTTCAAAGTTCCCAAGAGCTGTTAATTCACTCTAATTGCCGGCCCTTATATCCCGGGCTTACTTCACAACCCGGCGGTGTTCCCTTTCCTTTTTCTTTTTTTTTTTTTGGGCGGCGGAGAGAAGGAAATGAAAGGGTAGAAAGTGGGTGGCGATGGGTGTGTACTAGGCCTATGTGTGAGATGACTGTGTGGGAAATGGTTAATTACCCGCCACTAGAGTTGCAGGTAGCTGGAGGCGTTGCTTCCCCAGCGCGAGAGCGGCTGCGAAAGTCATGAAGTAAATTATGAGCGAGGCACGATAGGGGTCGGCATCCCCAAGTTAATAAGCCTCCTTGTGCGGGTTCCAGATAACCGATGGATAATGAGGCCTGAGGACGGTCGCCGACCTCCTAATGAGTAGACCGATTGTCCCTTAACTATAACAAATATGTCAATGCTGACTCATGTGAAGAGATATCATATAATTACTTACAATTATCCTCATCTTGCATCATCCTTTGCAAATATCACTGGATCTTAATGGTTTTCGAGGATAGCCATATTGACCTTGTTGTCCTGGAAAGACCCATCCCCACCAACGTGCCAAGAAGCATCGATGAATGACACTCCAAGGGATGTTGCTAGAGATTCTTCCTGACACGAGAAGGTTGCTGAGACTTCCTGTTCTGTTTAAAGGAGGTTAATATTCCGCTCTAGCATAAAAAGAGAAAACTCTGGATAAATGAATCAAACGCGACCGGGGCGAAAGGGGGGAAATTAGCAGGGTGGTCTTATATAGAATGCGATATTTACTTAAGAGTAACGCCATCAGCGACACTTGGCATACCTGATGATTGGGTATGGGGAATAGACAAAAGCCAAGGTAAGAGAGTGCTAGGTAGAGGAAAACAAACGCTGCGTAATATTCCAACATCGATTCAATAGAACGCCTCGGCATCAGGAGTATATGGAATGACTAGTCGACGGGATGCAGGTGACACAGGAGATTGAGGACTAACCTGTGATCTAGAAGAGAAAATATATACTAGCTATTTGATAGGTGGTTTGGAGGCAAGGGAATTTGCAAGTGGTAGCTAATATGATGAGGTATGGAAGATGGGAGCGTTGTAGAATCGTCGGTGTAGAAGAAGGTGGGAGAGAGAGCAGAGAGGAACTGGGGGGATACTATTGACGTTTATATGTATAAAGGTTATTCCTCTCATCCGTTACTTGTAGCGGGTCGTCGTTTCAGCACGTAGTAACGTCCTAAGTTCCTGTAATATTAGAGTTTCTCGTAGGTACGATTGGATGGGCCGTGGTTTCGCGCTGTTATGACATATAGATGTACCGTAGGTACTGACCATACCGTGACCTCCCGTACCTGTCCTAAGCGCAGACCGCGCGTTCCCAGGCTATCCATATGGCCACAGTCAAGTCACATTTCTATTACTACCTACATATGTAAGTATTTACCTAGCTATGAGCAGCAGAGTTCTTATTTTCCATTACACGATAAGAACTTCGAACGCCCCTGGATATATTGCACTGAATTCGACATAATACGCTCATACGAGTTTGACCCATGCCGTGATAGAGTACATATGTAGCACAACCTGTGGTGAGTACCTAGGTAGAGTTAGGTACATATGTATGCGTGATTTGAGTCATTGTCGTCGTTATTGACCGAATACTTCTTTCTTTGCCGTAGGGTTATTCCCTAGACTATGCCCTCTGAGTGTGAGTAACAGCAAAGTAGGAAAGGGTAACAAGGGAACTTCCCTTCATGAATAAAGTGCATTTTTTATTACGCATAGCATGAACTATATACAGTTCCTGTGTTCACCAGTCTGGGTACTTTATGTACCTGTCTCAGTACCAACTTGAGCAGGCAAGCGGGTCTTTATCATAGTCAAACTTCTAGGCCCTGAAAGCAAATATGGTTCATGGGGCGATAGCACCCAAATACACATGTACATATACATATTAGTAGCCTGATCTGCAACTTCCATCTCCAGGTACTCGGGCGTCACGATGCTCCGCTCAGGTCCGCTTATCCAGCCTACCACCTTCCTCTACGCCAGCCTCGAACAGCGAGTTCAGCCTGGATATATATTTTAAGTAAGGAACTAACCTAGGGTCAGCACCTACTTGAGTACCTAGGCAGCTACATACACGTCAAAACTTTGGTGAGGAAGGCGTGCCGGGTTACACCACAAAAAGTTTGAGACCCTCTTCTTGCCGAAGGTAGGGTCTTGCCGTGGGATTGCGAAGAATAATAAGTTTTTGCTACACATATGCCTAGGTAGTTGCGAGCTCTCGCCCAACAACATCATTGCTGCCCTTTTCCATCCCCTCCACATGAGTGGGTGGCCTTGTGATGGACTCGACTCGAGACAGGGAAGAACGAAATAGGCACCACTCCCAATATGCTTTCTACCTACATGACAGGTACATAAGCAAACAGAGTGACTACCTTTGACTCTCTGCGGTATTTCTGCGGCCTCAACTTCCTTATCACACTAGTAAATGGTCAGGCAGGTAGAGCAACTTCAGTGAAGCATTTTTCAGATACTAGCCATGAGTATGAATTGTTTTATATGATCTTAGAATACCACGTAAGTTCCCCCTAAAATATATCCAATATTTTTCTGTATTATCTTAGAATCGCTGGGACCTCGTTTCGATTTCATCGGTGGTCACGTGATACCCATTGGGGTCTCATTTTCCCTGTAGATTATTGATGATTAGCCGCAGCTCCCCCGACGGCTCACTTGTGAGTGGCCTTAAAAATAATCCCATTAGTTGTCGCGCTCCACAGAACAGGATAGTTGCTATTTGGATGCTACTGCGTGTTTGGCTACATGTCATTCTAAGAACCACCAATATCATCTACGTAATATTTGACGTGTCCCTACAACGCGTAGTGAAGAATGGCGTAACCCGATCTATATTTATCGCCCTACATATGTAGCTGGTTTTTATTCCGTACGTGTGCATTTATTGCTTGGCTCCGATGTATAGTATATACACGGTTAATTGATGTATATCATAACGCTCTCTTGGACAGACACCGCCTTCCAGCTCTGAAATGGAAATAACTCATGCATAAGGTTTTGAAATATGTAAGGGCCCAACTTTATGACCAATCCAGCTTTTTTCTGGGGGCAGTTACGACCATTCAATCACTTATAGTGATTATATGTCATCGCAATTCTTACCACCGAAGGCGGTCGGAGTCTTAGATCAGAGGCCGATTTAGCCTTCAAATTCGCTAATACGGTATGTCGTGAGGGCCGATCCCCGTGATTCACTCGGTCTGCTTGATAATCAAGTGGGAGAATAGCTTTCCTCCGGCCAATGTGGCCGTCTATGCGAGTGAAGTCGATCAAAGCGAGCATATTTCTGGGACTCCGATGCGGCACGGAATCGAGGTACTTATAAAATTTTTCGATGGAATGAATTTGTGATATGTGGATTATAAATCGTGAAAAGGGGGGGCTCTTGATCTCCCCTGAAGAATCAAGGTATAAATGTCTTCGACTAGGTAACACATCATGAAGAATTAGTAGAGACCAAAACACAAGACATTCTAAACACAATGGCACCCCAAGTCCAAGACCCCTTTGACTCAAGCCACTCCGTGCTCGTCGGATCGAACACATGGGAGTATCTACGCGCTCGACCCTCCGGGAAGCCTAAGGGAACCGTCCTCCTTCTTCATGGATTCCCTGACATCCCTTATGGGTGGAGGCATCAAGTTCCCTTCTTCATCTCACTTGGATACCAAGTCATCGCCCCCTACATGTTAGGATACGGAGGAACATCTTCGCCAAGCGACGTTGACAGCTTTTCGCTCAAGAAGCAGTCGGATGACCTAGCCGCATTGATCGACACGATTGTGCCAGGCGAGCAGGTCATCCTTGGAGGACATGATTGGGGCGCAGGTCTCGTCTGGCCCTTCGCGACCTACTATCCCCAACTATTTAAGGGAATCTTCTCGGTTACATTCGCGTATCTCCCTCCAGAGACCAAGTACGTCGACATCGCCGACCTAGTCGCCCGCGGCGTGCCTACAACCTATAAATACCGGCTCCAATGGCGGGAACCCGCATTCGACAGGACACTCCGCACCGCGGACGACATTCGTCAATTCTTGCTGGCATGCTACGGCGCGAAAACTCCTGATGGAAGGAGCGGGTTTACCCCCGATGGTATTAACCTCGATACTCTGCCCCACTTGCGACAGCCTTCCCTGCTCAGCGATGAAGAGCTCGAGCACCACATTAAAGAGTTTCAGAGACGCGGGTTCCGAGGACCATTGAATTGGTATCGCACGGCTAAGATCAATTTTGAGGATGAATTGCCGATCGCTCAAGCTGGTGGGAATAAGTTCAAAATGCCGGTTCTGTTCATTCAAGCGCGCAATGATCCGGTACTCATTCCGGAGTTATCTAAGGGTATGGACAAGTATTTTGATAAGTTGACAAGAGCTGAGGTGAATACCGGCCATTGGGCTTTGATCGAGGGCCCTAGTGCAGTGAACAAGGAGATCAAAGACTGGCTTGCCACATTTGATTAAGATAGGAGAGAATGACGGGGACAGCACCATTATCAGAAGGCGGCAGATTCTATAGACAACATAGTTTGGGAAATGGCAAGGATTTATATTGAAAATTGAGCAACCGACTCTAGCTTACTATGTCTTTGATTGCCGGCCGTAGACCTGCTGCAGTCGACTCGTAAACCAAGAGGATTTTCTACCGTAGCTGTTCGCGATGAAATTCTTGTTTAAAACCACGCTTTATCTTTATACCAGTGCACCCAGCCGTGTCCATTTCAGTAGGATCCATCGAACCTCTAGTCACAGTGACTTTTGAGATAGCACGATGATGACTAGAACCGCTATTGGTAATCCGAGACCAATCATGGTACGGCAAGATGGGTGGTATGCCGAAATCGTGAGTGTGGGACCTCGAACTTTTCACCGTTGAGCCGATTTGCTTGAAACTTCGAACCATGTCTCTGTAGACCAGTGGCAGATTTGCGCACAATATTCCACCACATGGTTCCCATGCCGACAGTATCCCCAACGGAACCTCCTGCCCTGAATCCAATAAAGATCAATAAAAAGACAGATTGGAAATTTGGGGAGAGAGGACTTACATGTAACATCTTCGGACCCCGCAGATACAACGACAGAAAGACGGGCAGCGCTGATAGCGCACGTCCCCAAGCCTGCAGAAAATAAAAAGCAAAGTCCAATCTTCTTGTCTGTGCTTGCCTGTAACCCAAGGATAATTGGAATAGGCATAGCAAAAATCCAAATATCAAACACCATATTCGTGATGTTAGTCGAGTACGTGAATGCTACCTTATCCACACATAGAGCTCGCGCAGCAGCTACTACATCCCACCAGCCTTGGACGGGTCGACATCCTAATCCGAGCACAATTTCCATCGCCAAAAGCCACATGAATACTAGTACGGCGGTGACGATGATTACAACGCGGAATCTATGCGCTACGAAGATCCGGTAGTACAGCGCCAGAATTGAGAGCTTAGTACTAGCGATAGCAACATCGTAGAAATGGCTAAAGATGTAATCCCCCTACTCATAATTAGGTTAACGTGTTACATGCTATGATAGGAAGAGGCTTCGGACTTACCATTAGGTACTTCTGTCGATCTTCTGCAGAGACAGCTTGTATGTGGCGTCCAAGTCCATTTGGGGGCCCTTAAAAAAGCAAGCCAGTCAGTAACAATTTCCACCTGATAACATTGAGGTAACACAGACCATACACCAGGCCAGCAATGCACTCAGCAACAGCAGCCATCTGCATAATCAATATATTAGACATGTATTCCCCCGATTTTGATAGGTGAACTTACAGTGGCCCAAATCATGAGGTAATCATCGAAGGCCCAATGACCTTGTGACGAAGGTTTCGCTTTAACCCATAGCCTGTAGGCCGTGCTGAAAACCTCGAGGGGGATGGGTACAGCATAGAATGTATTAACCAGAGCCGTCCTATCAGCGAGATATCCACGGCTTTCGTTAGCTGCCGCCATGATGATCAAAGTTAAAAAGTTGGCATTGGCTCAGACAAGAATTTGACAGAACCATGATGGTCAAAAAGAAAAGGCATTACCCCCTTGATTAAGTCCGTTCTACTAAAGATATTGCGAGATATTCTCGCAATCATTTTTTCAGGTCGGCGTCTCGCTGTCATACACAGATCCTGCGTGAGTCAAGAAAAGAGGCATCAATAGACGGCAGGGCGAGAATACCCTTGTATCTCTGAAGAGCTAGAAGATTGGGTGTTTGCTTTTGGCCTATGATGTGCTACACATCTCGTTGGTCTTATGCAAGTATGACCGATCTCATGCAGTAGAAAAAAGCCAAAAAGCTGACCCTATGGGCGTATGCATGATTCCGGCTTCCATACCACTTTGGCGATAGCTTATTAGCTGTCGAAAAGTGCACATACCTCGAGCTGATTCGCAAGGGAAGCGGGGTAACATTCTTTTGATATGCTCCCTTTCCCGTTGAACGATCGGTTCTACACGTGGCTCCCTTGCAGAAGATAAGTGTCTTAGATCCGTTCGTTCGCCCGTGTTTGGTGTTTAGAATCTAGGGATGTCGTATCACACCTCTTCTGCGGGCGCGACGATGGACGGAACGGCTGAGCTTGCTGCTAGCAATCTATCACAAAGAAATAAGCGAACTAATATTCATCTCGATGCTTCCATACCCACGGGCAAGATGGTGTTGCAAATTTCCGACCGATACCCCTTATTGCCATCCTAGTATGTGTACCTAGGTAGGTATTGATACTCACGTATTGGTAACGTCAGCTTTTGCTGCCCCAATGAGGCATACGGTTTCTTTTTATTTTCCATATATTCTTTGCCCTAAGTCGTAATCGATACTTTCATCAAGCATCGACCCTGTAAAACGAATTTCAGAAAGGGGAAAAGCTTTCTCTATTGGAAGGCGAATCTTCATGAAGCTAACCTGTAGTTGTTCTTTTTCGATTGCTTATGAATTTGTAGAGATTTGAAGGGAGAAAGACTGCTGGGCTGCCAAGCCCCCGGTTCCAGAAACAAGGCTGTTTAGAAAGATACTGTGGTTTAATATGATAATATTAAGTCTAATGTTATAGAAGTACACGGCATTGCTGCCTATTATCTAATTAATACCAGCGCATTCTATCCTTTATCACCATTCTATTCTATCAATTCCGCAAAACGTCGCATTTCTCGTAACCCACATCGACTTAACGAGCCGCAGCATCGTACTGAAGTCGTAACTGCAACGTCCTCAAATCCGACCCCTTTCTCGCCTCCAGCTGTTCCCTGACAGACCAGAAACCCCCCACAACCGGCATACCCTCCCTCGGGTCCGGAGTTTCACTCGCCCAGGTGCCGGGGTTGGACTTTCGATATCGCACTAGTAGTTCCTCCATAGCGCGAAACTCGAAGTAACGCCCGTTTTGCGAGATATGCACGGCGTACTTGGCTTCTCCTAGGAGCGTGTGGTAGTATTCGCGTACCAGGCGTTGTTGCGACGGACTTGAGAATGGCTCGTAGCGGAATAGTTCCGCGAGAAAGGGCTCGAGATCTCGGGCTGCTGCGTCGAATTGTGCGGATATGTTCGCCCAGATTGTGTCTTTGTCGCGGAGTTCTACGAGTGCGAGGTTGTCGTCTACGAACTATATTGGTAGGTTAGTTAACTAATCTGAGATGAGTAATGTATAATACGTGATATATAGGTTGCCTAGGCATCTATATATCTGTATAATCCCTAGGAATATCATGCCTCGGCTTAGACATGACGACAAACCCTCGGTGCGGCTGAGGCGTAGGGCAGTGAGATTGCGTGGTAGATATGGGAATAACTTACTGCGCCATGCGGGTACGCGGCACGGAAGACACGATAGATTAATTGTTTCTTGGTCGCGAAGTCGGGGTATTTCCTAACCTCGAGGTGGTTTCGGTGCCACCAGGTATTCGGGACGTGGCGATCCATCTTTCTTGGCAGCGTCGTCGTTTAGTTGCCTCTTCGTATGTGTTGCTGTAGACACCACGTAAGCTGCACGATTGATACTTGCAATTTTGCGTATTCTTCTGGTCAAAACTAGGTAGGATAAACTAAGATTATATAGAATTGACATTTCAATTAGAGCCTCATACTCAGGAGGCTATGCGCACACAAAGACAAGAGTCAGGTTCGAATGCTTGCTGAACTGCGAAGCATGACCAGTAATCAACACGTGGTGGCATTCAACCAAGTGACATGATGAATCACATCAATTTATTAACTGTTCCATACAGTTTCGAAGTATTTGGATTCATTAATATTCATATAAATCTATTATTAATTTTTTTCTTTTTTAAAAACCAGCAGTTTCATCTTTTGGTTATGTTATCCCGTTTGCGATGATTTCAATATTCAGGAAACTATTTTTTACAGCTCAGGCATCGAGGCGTTACGCCCACCAATTTATTGGTACGACCCAACTCAAGTTTCTACGAATAACCGCCTCTTTCGATCTGTTTGTTTCCTTTAATTTCTAACATCTCAAATCCATAATATTTCTATTTCATTATATGAAAAGTATAGGTCAATAAAGTCTACTCGTTTATAACAAATTACGGCAGGCTACAGTTATATATGTACAACATGAAAACAATCTAACGAATCCGACGTGTCACTGAGGAACCCTCTCCGAGACCATGCGCCAGAATCCGCAGCGTTCGCCTCGACCGCCTTCCCATGTCAATGCATCGGTGAGGTTGAAATCATTCACGATACCAGCCCCGCTCCTCACGAAGTAATCTAAGTAAGGAGGCACTGTGACTGTAGTTACATTTCCACCTGTGGTGTTCAGATTCATCTGCACGGGATTCTGCAGCGTGAATTCCGGCCACTCGATATTGCCATACGTACCGATCGGAACGCTCGCATTAGTATAATTTGCAGTGGCGTCGGAGATCGAGATTACGGGGTTATCGTGGATGATAAAACTTCCCCAAATCTTCTGCATCGCATGCGCGAAGTCCTTGTTAGGTAATGTCGCGTCGACGGAGAAATATGCGCCTAAGTCAGCGCCGTGATACGAGGGAGTCACCGAGTATTGGTATTTCCAGGCTTGTCGGGAAGTCGCACTGAATGCCTCGGCGAACCACTGCGCCGGGCACGCGAATGTTGTCTCGGCTGCCATGTTGAAGACGGCTTGCTGTATGCCTGTGGCCATCCCAGATTTGTACAACGCTGTTGGGCCGGTGAAGCCGAGTGTATCGTATCGGATTCCGTCATCGCTTGGTAAGGAATCGATTTGGTACACCTTGTTCAGTGTTGTCACATCATCCGTCGTGAATAACGGAAACGTATTTGAGATGAAACTGTCATACTTAGGCCGCGTGTTTACATCGGGATTGACTAGAGGTACCCCGTCGTTTGCATTGTTCTGTGTCATGTTAGCCACGCGGCATTAAATTCTTATACGAACAGCACATACACCGACAAGGACTCGTTTCCCATTGATTTTCCCACTCGAAGTTTGGATTGATGGCAGTTCTTGTATGTAATCGTCGTCAAGGACAGGTAAGAATGCGAAGCTACCGAAGTAGCCTAGAGTCGTGGAAACAATGCCACTAGCATTCTGCAACACAGCGCTATCGGCGGCGACTAGACACTCAAAAGTACTTGAATGGTTACTAAACTTAGAGGAGCATCCTGCTAATTCGACGAACTTGTTATAGCGTTCCGTCGGGACCGTGTCATTATACCTATACACCGGTGGAAGATATGGACTAGCAGCGATAATCTGAATAGTGAGTAGCAAGTTAATAAGCAGTCTTTCATAGATGCAAGGGGTATACGAACGTTGTTGAAGAGATTCGACTCCTTGCCTCCGTAAGCCAGGGCATGATGCAGGATTGACCCAGCACCTGATGATTCGCCTCCAACCGTAATGCGACTTGGGTCGCCGCCAAATTTAGAAATGTGTTCCTGGACCCATTCAAGAGCGAATCGCTGATCCAAAAGGCCAGCATTGAGTTGACCATTTGTTTTCACTTCGTCTGAGGCAAGATACCCAAATGCGCCTAAACGATATTGGATCTCGACGGCGATAAACTCATTTTTGTTGGTGTTAATCCAGGCGCTTGGGTCGTATGTGGCACCGAACACAGAATGGCCACCCCCATCTAGATGGTCAATCAAGTCAGAATATCGTGATCCAATTGAGCGGACTTAACCAGGTTGGAATATGGGGTGAAATGCATACGTATCCAAAGTAAGACAGGCAAATTGGTAGCATTAGGAGCTGCGTAAACATTGAGATAGAGGCAGTCTTCATCGCCAGGCCCGGAATTAAACCCATAGGCGGCAGGGACACCAAAAGCGCCAGTTTGCGGGCATAATGGTGGCTGATCAACAGCTGGGGTAGATCGATTATTATCCCAGACAGGAGGTTGAGGAGCCTGCCATCTCAGCTTTCCAACTGGCGGCGCTGCATATCGAACACTGGTAAGAGTTAGCGAAAGAAGCTATACTCAAGCGACATATTTTGCTTACCTCTTCCAAATATTGAGTCCAAATGTATCATTATAATAACCTTCATAAGTAGCGTATCCAAGATTGACAGAAGGGTTCGTCGCTATAACAGTGGTGGCTGCGGCAAGAATGCACGAGCTGATGCTACGCCGGAGTTTCATTCTTGGCCCTATGATTGGCGTCGCCACGCGGGAAAGAAAATTAATTAATTGGCCTGGAGGGCTTACTTTTTACAGGCAAGATGAGGTAGTGGCTTTCTGTCTATTTTCTCACTCGCGCTTCGGAGCGCCAGACAGTGTCACCACATCGGAACAGGTCCTCGGATTCCCGGGAAGAAACAGGAAATTGTTTGTCTGTTTGCTTTACAATTCACAATTCCAAATCTCCCTTCGTTTCCTGCGCCGTTTTATTGCTTTAGATATGTACAATAAGAACGAGGAAATAACAATCCTGACGATCCATGGCTCGTTCTCCCCTGCAGTGTTTACAGCCCTGTTCGTCATCTTTGTTCATAGCGCCTCATAATTTTAATCACTAGACCAATTCGGATCGATGTAAGCAATTTGCTACACGGTACCTACATGACTAGCGTTAGTTGCATGTCCTAGGTATCTATCTGGAATTGAAGCTATTCGGGAGTGTCGGATTCATATTACAAATACAAATTCAACTCAACTCACACGACTCTGAAGCATCATATCCACAATTCCATTTATTAGATAACCCATCTCATCTCATCATATCAAATCAAGGCTCCTGATTAAAATCATAACTATTCCCAAACCCCCTTTCTAAATACCCCCCCAACGCCTCCTCCCTCCCCACCCAATCCACCGGAACCTCTAACCCAAGCCTCCCCTCCCGTTCTAAACCCTCTAACACCGGTTTTATATCCTCCCCAAACTGCAACCTCATGCGATTCCGATACCAAGGCGCGAAATGTATCATAGCCAACATAACACGAACCTCACTACTCAAATTCGGCATACCAGCATGCCAGAGTCGGAGATCGCGTACTACGATACTACCTTTTTTCACTATAGGTTGACTAGGTGGTCGTGTTTCCCGCCGCGAGGTTAAGAGATTAGGGAGGATTCGCCCGCTGGCGCGCTCGCCGTGCGCGCCTTCTTGGGCGCTGATACCGCCGGGGTGGTTATGCGTTCCGAGCCAGATCTCCGTGGACCCGTTTTCGGGGGTCATGGTTACGAGGGGGATGTTGATGACTAGTGCGAAAGGGTGGTCTGGATGTGCGAAATCCGCGTCTGAGTGCACGGGTTGCCGTGCGGGTTCGTTGCCCGGGAGAGGAGGCATAGCGGAGTTGGCGGAGCAGAATGTCCATTTAGGCCGTGGGCCTAGGACTGCGGCTGTTATTTGTGTGGCGATGGGGTCTGTGAGTTGTGAGTATTGATGGGTTTACGTGCACGTGGGGTGGGTGTGATAGGAGACGCTTACTGGTGAAGATTGACGGGTTGAAGTACTCAGCTACCGGAGGAGCATCCTGTTGGAGGTTCCCCGTGTTGTAGTTGAAGGGCCCGTCTTCGCCTCGGTCTTGCAAGGTACGTGCATCTTGAACCATTTTCTTATTCAACTGATCTAAGGCTTCGTGGGGGACCACGTCTTCGACGACAACAAGGCCATCTCTATACATAGCGCCTACCGCCTTTTCCAAGTTTCGGGCCTCCAAAATACCCTTCTGGGTCTCTAGATTGGAAGGCTTTACTACAAGAGGCATGCTATGGAGGCGGCCGTGCTGAGCGAAAGACGCAAAGGCACGGCGCCCCCCAAGGGTAGCAATTCGGCATCGATGTAAAAGTAACATTGTAAAATGAATTCGGTGAGCAGGGCTTACCACTCAGGTTTCACAATTATGCAAGAGGCTGAGAAAAATCCTATAAATGAGCAAGACACGCCAAAATATAGTCTCCAAAGGTGAGTGGTCCAAGGTGAGGCCGGTTACGCATGGCGGTGATGCCGCATTGAGGTATTCCGACCAAGTCATTTGGTGGCTTGCTGCGGGCCACGGGAATGTCCACGGCTATATGAGACAGCATACACGAGATATATTTTGTCTATAATAGTTTGAAATCTTATATCTGATCGATTTATTTCAATATTCTGCTAGGGAGTCATGTATGCTTGGGCCTGGGATTCCGTCGTGTTGTTGCACGAGATGCATCAATGGCTGATGAAATCAAAGTTGAGATATCAACACGATCAAAGGTATCAAGTTTGCATTCATATATGGACTTGAATAGATTGTATATTAACTGTCATGATATATAATACCATTGCGGGTACCAAGAAGGTATAAGAAGGATACTTTCGTATCTTATTTGATAGTCAAAAAAATCCCAACCTTGTGAACTCCCTTTATATGCAACCAATATAGTATAGCTATAATTATGCGGTATATGATTTCGCAACGCCAACGACTAATGAGGTGCTATTCATTGGGTATTTATTCCGGCTTACGCCTACCGTCTGTCTCAGCATCGGAAGTATCTCTTCTCAACCCACCTATCTTCAAAGTCGTTGACCATGTTACCGATGACAACGGTGATCTCTGGGAATACCTTGGTAAGACGATAGACGCCTACGTAGCCAGCTGAATATGTCGCAAATACAATATGATCTTGTGGGACTCCATGGTCTACAAGGACCTGAACAGCCATCAGCGCGGAGCCTCCGCTGGACATCTGGGTATCCAGGAGTAATACGCTGTCGTGTGTGCTGATATCCTTGGGAAGTTTGAGGTAGTGAAGCTCGGGCTCTCCAGTTCTAACATTAGATTGGATCAAGAGACGCCCTGTGCGACCGTCTGGTATCGCTCTCCTCAGTCCGGCTTCGAAGGCGGCACCACCACGAAGTACAATGACTGCGCTGACTTCGCCTTTAGGGGTGAGTCCATTATATAATCTACCAGCGGGGGTCTCAATCGTCAGCTCTTTAAAGTGGACGTTATTCAGAGCCCTGGGGTAATTAGCAGGGGCCCAGGAACCAGATGGGACCATAAACGTACTCTTCAATGAGCAAACTCGAAAACCTGTCAAAATAGAATATGAAGTCCTCGCTTGAACTGTCGATATCTCGAATGATTGTATTCATGGCCTTCAGTTGGGGAGTTGGCTCCAGAATGATGACTCGGTCCGAAAGGGGTTCAGTATCGGAACCGGCCTCTAGGCTTCTAAGGGCTGCTCGGTGGCGTGTTGACTTTTCTAGCAATTTTCTTTCGATGTATTGGGTCACCATAGCTGCGATGGTGAGTACACATGCGAAGTGCGAAATGAGACCAGCTTACCCATTGCGACCCGATTTTCTATGCCTCGTGGTACAATGATATCTAAAGGAGGGTTAGACTGGATGTCGAGAATATTGCGATACTAGGGGTACTATAAACTGATCCTTACCTGCGTGATTCCTCTGAGGCAGGACATACTGACAAGGAGGTTAATCGCAGCTTATGATAAGTAGGGATATGTCAGCTTACCTTCTCATAGTTGGGCTTCACGAAGCTAAACCATTGCTTGATACAACCTTCTACTGTACGACCTCGATCTCTGACGTCTCGTAGGACTAGCGCACGTGTTAAAGGCGAAATTTATCATCAGTCTACAACCAACTTACTCCTTCTTGAGAGGCATGTGTCAGCGTCCGCCTCACAGTAGATCTGCCATGAGATTAGCGATATCTTCAAGGCAAAGACCTACAGTGTTTCGGGCGCATACTCTCATGTCCATCAAGTCCATCACTCTTTGGTCATAAAGGGCGAATATCCCTTCCAAAACGAGGACGTGAGGAGAGTATATTGTAGTCGTCTCTTCTTGACGTTGATGCTTCTCAAAGGAGTATATCGGTATTTCGGCACGCTTGCTATACGTGGGGAATCAGTAATAAATTAGGGGGTGGTTATTGCAGTCTACAGCATTCTTACCCTGCTTTAAGATCTTGGAGTGTCTGGAGCAAGGCATCGAAGTCTATGGCCTATCGAGCAGGCGTCAATATGGGCGAGCTAACTCGACTCGTCGTGAAACATCATACCTCGGGGGAGTCGAAATCATATTCATTGCGAAATGCCTTTTTTGAACTTTCGGGATCCAATGGTTTATAGTACGAATCCTATGACGAGTAAGACGGGATGTCATCCTCTTTTATCTATAAATGCTTACCATTGACAAGATAACCACCCATGGCAAATTCAATGTGCTAACAATAGCGTGCGACAATGTTGACTTTCCGGAACCAGAGCTGCCCGCGATGCCAATGATGCTCAGGTCAGCCCATGGAGGACTATAGTGGGCTCTCTTGGCGATCGTATCCGCATTGCTATCAGCCACTATGGCCGGCGAACTAATGCCGGTGTTCATGGCTATCCGACCAAGTTGCCGTTCATATACGGGTTCTATAAGAAGGATATGAGAAAATGTGGCGTCTTGGATGATTTGAGAAGTATATTATGACGTCTGAAAATGAAGGATTGGAGTGGTGCTGGAGGTCGCGTGCCCACTAGCATATGATATCTCCAAGTAGGCAAGAGTGTAAGCGACTAATAAGATGAGGCTGTATAAGATTGGTCAATAGTGCGGTAGACAAATTAAATAGTTAGAAATTTTATTAATAAGTAAAGATCTAACGACAACTCCGGATGAAATGCAAGTGAAAGATAAGAAAAAGAAGAAGTTAAAAAAAGGAGGATCTCTAAAACTAATCAACGACATTGGACGGTAAGAAACTGTGTGGGTTTTCAGACGATTCGAATTTAGCAGGTGAATTTTGGAGCTTACGGCGTGGTGATACGGTTAATGAAATATTGCACCAAAACAATACTGAGTCTGAACCTAGACGGTACTACGCTATACCGCTTACAGTTAGTAGTAAGCCACAATCCAAATCCGTTAGGTACTTTTTAGGTTAGTGGATACCCAAGCAGCCCAGCCACGGCGAACTCTGATTGCCTTGCCTTTCTTTTCTTTTCTTTCGCAACTAAGCCCCACGCCGAATTCAAACTTGTCTATTTATTACTTCAACTTTCCATCTGGATAACTTCCTCTCAATTCCATGGGTGACAACGTCAGTAAGACGCCCGAACCCTTAGCGGAGACCTATGCCATTTTCGCAGGGCGTCTCCCATTTTTCTTTATCATATCATAAGAATCTTCTTCCTTGATTACCCTTTCTCAAATGAGCACGGCGGGTTGGGGCTTGTCATCGTCAAGCGACCTTCATCTTGAGAATACTCTTCGCAACGCAAGATTTATCTCGGAATTGTTCGATCGCAAAATGGTATGCTAGTTTCTATTCGGAAAACATGATGCGTATTGCGAGATATTAATTTCCCATATTTAGACTTCATCGGCGTCGACTACGAGATCAGTGAGGCATGCCTTTACAAGGCAGGTCGAAGAAGTGAAGACCCCTAAGAGGTATGTTGACATGTTGCTTTTTTCTTGCCTCTTTGCTCTCTATCTTGGAGTATCTTTTTATGATGTAACAAATAAATCAATGGGAATCTCTCTGAGACCATCAATGCGGAGATCCTTTATTATAAACTTTTATCTGAAAATTTTCTATTTTTTTGACTTTATTTTTTTCGGACGAATTTTGGGGATTTAACTAATGTGGCCCGAAGTGATATCAACGCACTGATCCTCGACTATCTAACCGTCGCTGGCTACCCTAATGCCGCCGCCAAATTCTCAACCGAAGCGAACCTCTCTCCCCAACAGCCTTCCGCTGCCATATTGGCTCGGCAACAAATCCAGAACTCCATACATAGGGGAGAAATCGAGGGCGCTATCCGTGCCTTGAATGATCTGGACCCGTCGGTATGTAGTATTCTTGCCCCTATTGTTTGGCTACTTGCTATGATTAAAACTTGAGTTTACATGCACCACTCATATGGCCCTCGGGTCACTGATGAGGAACAACCACTTTTTTCTATGAGCATTTCTATCTATTTATTTTTAATAGCCTGGTCTGTTGTACTTGTTATACACCTACTAATTATATGAATAGATATTAGACAAAGACGAGCCACTACACTTTGCCCTTCTCCGCCTCCAGTTGGTAGAGTTAATTCGCGAATCGCGCCCTGGCGGTGATATTGGACCGGCATTAGAATTTGCGCAAACTCAACTTGGCCCGAAAGCGCCTCGCACACCCCAGTTCCTGGAGGATCTGGAGAAGACGATGTCTCTTCTAGTTTTCGATCATGATAACCTAGATCCTTCTCTCAAAGCCCTTCTACACCCAGACCTTCGAAAGAATGTCGCGGACGAAGTAAACAAGGCTATTTTAGAGAGTCAGAACCAACGTCGAGATGCTGCTATCCGTCATTTAGTCCAGATGAGAGCGTGGAGTGAGGATATCGTGCGCAAGGAGAGCAAGAAGGATCTACCCTCGCGAATTGAGTTGGGCTTGGATGGTGACGACTCCGACAAGGCTGGTGGAATAGAAAACGGCCATGATGCAATGATCACTACATAGCAACTTCATTGGTCGCCTTTTGTTCGGCGGTCTCTGATTTCGTCGGAGCCTCTCCACCCGTGTCTTTTTCATGATCCCGTTGTTTCCGTTGTTCAAACAGGGAAAGCAGGGACTTGTTGCGACAGGCGTTTCTTTGAAGGTGGGGTAGGCGTTATGGATGAGGTGATATCCAGGGCTGGAGGCTTTAAGCACTTACCAGCAATCATTAGGCGTTTTAGGGCTCTATATTTGGACGTATTGGTATTTTACAGGGTTTTATGATCACTCAGGGCATGACTGGCATACCTACCTTCTGCTAGGTCAGGTTTAAGGGAACGGAACATGACGGCCTATCAAGGGAATGAGAGCCGCAGGAAGCATATTGCGTTCAACTGCATTCAAGATACCATTGTCTAGTAGTATATGTACAAAACCACACTTGCTTTTCCCCATATTACTATGCTACTGTCTATTTGGTTCGGATGTGCTTAAGCTTTTTGGGTGAGTATAAGAAGTTGTTGGCGTAGGCTTTTGGTGTGAAAGCTCGCTCGTTTGGCTCTTGTACGAAATATTCGTATCCTTGCTTCTCAGCGAAAGCAATGGCATCCTCCTTGGATTTGAATTCGAGCTTGGTGCCCTGCATGAAGTCACCGGAGGATTGCCATCCCATTAGAGGATTCTCCCATCGGTGTCCCCTAGCAAGAACATCCCAATCCATTCTCCAATGGTGGCTTCCCCACGTTCCGGATTGTGTGGCAGGTTTCGTGGGTTGGTAGATGCTATAGGTTTTGTTAGATGTATTTTCCGGAAATGGATGGTGACAATAATTTCTACCGGACGGTTCTTGCTTGTAGCTCAATTGGAGCACCGGAAAGTACGGCTGCGGGGAGGATACCGTGGTCTTCGCTACCGTCCATTACTCGTTTTGGTACGGGGGTGAATGTGCTATTGAATTTCCATCAGCGTCAATATTATTCCCTCGATTTTAACCATTGTATTCTGAATTGGTAGACATACGATGTCGCCTTGTCGATGTGAACGCCATAGTCCGGGGCGTTATGAGGTCTCTCTTCGGGAAGGGGGGCGGGTGCGGTGGTTTCGAGGGACGTTGCTGCATCGTCGGACTTGAATCGTCTCTGTGCCATCGCTAGAGCTTGTCTACTCGGAACTAATCGCGCGCTTCGTAGCAGAGTTGCTGCCGCCGCTTGGGACCTGAGGGACGCCATTTTGTACATGCGAATTGATTATCTCCAGGTCCGATCGTCGCAAACTGACGTAGGCGGATAGGTTGTGTTAAAGGACCTTAGGAAATGCGAATGTTGTGTTTTAACTATGAGAAATCTTGAATTGAGGCGACATTGGGGCTTGAAAGGTTCCAAGGTTAAGATAATCGAGATACGAGGGATTTGATTGGTTAAAATTGGAAGTATGTACCGCGCTAAAAATGTGGCGCACGGACCAGTCATAACCAGGCGAGGTCTTTTCCGTGCTTTCGTCAATTGAACAACCGTCTTCCACTTTTGAGTCTATTCTCGTCAGATTCCTTCAATTACCATCGTATCCCAGTTCGCCAATTGCGTCACTTATAGACACAATTGATTTACCTCTGTGGTCCTGGTACCTTCTTTTTCTCTTTTTCCTTAGTCGCGACCGAACCCCGCCATAATGAGCTTCGTTACTCGCAGGGCCCTCTCGACCCTCATCCCTCCTAAGGTCCGTGGATTTTCGCAAGTATGGAACTGTCAATATACTAACTAGTATCTATAGGTCGCTTCGCCGAACGTACGTATTGCTCCATTTTATATACCGCTGTTCGATCCCCTTTATTTCGCTGTGGTGCTAGGCTTCGGTTTGGTTCGTACCTACGGCTAGGAGGATATGGGATTACTTCGGCATCAGAATCTACTCGGAATAGTCGTGGAGAAGGATATCGCAAAATTCGGATGGGTGGGGAAATGCTGACGGATTCGTTACTAGGCCATCGGCGCTGCTCCCGATGCTCTTCGCATGAAGCGCGTTGTTAACTTCTACGAAAAACTTCCCCGAGGACCAGCTCCCGAAGTCAAGCCTACCGGTCTTCTCGGCAGATACCAGGCCAAGCACTTTGGCAAGAACCCTAGCGGCAAACGTACGTCTCACAATGGGAACCGAAGCCTGTCCACTCCTTGGGTGATATAAACTAACAGGATTTTCTTATAGCTATCATCCACGCCATTGGTCTACTTCTCGCTATCGGATACCCCATGACCTACTACTTCCACTTGCGTAAGATACAATTTACCCTCTAATCTAGTTTCTACAGCAATACTGATATATCATAGGTCACCACAAGAACAATGCCCATTAAACAAGTTCACTACGGAGATAGTAGTTGGTACTGGGTAGACTTGGACAAGTTGTACATAAGATAGATGGCGTTAAGCAAGAATAGTTTAGCCATTGTGTACTAGAGAAAAAAATAACTGAGCTTTGTCTCATCAAAGAATCCTACAATTTTCTTTTTTTGCTATAACAAATTCCTTGTCGTTGGATTTGTGAATGACTAGGAATCCGGGTAGGCAATCTCATGACGAAATATACAAGTTATGATGTTTGGGCTATGTTTATCCTGATTCATTTTTGGGGGTGTTGCAGAAGAAATCTTTGCTTCACTGTTCGATATCGTATCAATCTTATGACGTGATAAGTCAACAGGCATATTTACATAAATATAGTTGCCTTGGGAGTTATTTTGAGTAGCTAAGTACCTAACCTTAGTAAAGTGCAGGAACTTTTGAGGAAGTGTGTACTTGCCTCGAATCACTTTTTAGGGCAAACAATAGGTAACGCGAATTTACAGTTTCGTTTCGTCAGGAAATTACTCGACGGTTATCGTTAGCACCCTCTTCGCCTATTCTTCTCTCGTCGTTTTTTTTATTTTGATTCTTTCGTACACTTTCGACGCTTTCCACATTTTGTCGTCGCCCATTCTTAATTTCATAACTTCACATACTCACATCCCCATACTCGTTCGACCTTCGCCGATAGTCTACATAAAAAGCAACATTTTCATAGTGTGCCTGAAATTAGCAGGTATTTACAAAAGGTACGTACCCACCGATTTTCTTTCTTATTAGCGTGTTACTTGTACTGCCGTCATTTCTTTTTTCAGCCCGTTCAGCCACAAATGTCCCACTATCCTTCGTTTGCACCACGCTACAAGGATCCTTGTACACGACCACCAGATGCCCTGTAAAGTGTCAGTGAATTTTAGGTACATGTACCTACAACACCCGCCTAAGATAAAGCTAAAATTCATTATCCCACCTTCTGTCCTTCAGGCACCCCCGTCCCCGTTTTGGTAGTCTTCCAATTCCTCGTTTTCTTCTCCACTTTTTTATATGCGCAAGCCCCAAAAGCTCGGGATCTTGTAAACTTTGACAACACGACGTTGAGAACTGAACCTTTCTTTCTTTGCAACAACCCTCACCTGTCACCCCGAGGTATAACGATAGGATCCTCGCTTCCCTTTCCCCTCCCGTTACCTTATTATATTGAGACAAGAGGTGTTGTAGTGAAATTACCTTGGTCGCGTCTTTTTAGAACGCGGGTTGCTTTGGTTCTTTTTTTTTTTTCTTTTTCCCTCTTTTTTTTCACTTACATATCCGGTTACTGGTGCAAGTGAGTAACCGACTCCGATTTCTCAAAAACGTGTGACGCCAAGTGCGCAACCCTTTCAACTGACCACCTCGACTAACCTGTCAGCCTCACAGTACGACAACACCCATCGATACCACCAACTATATCTCCTCGCTCGAGAATCGCAACGTATCCGTGTCCTTCGATCGCGACGCAAACAACTACGTTTCACAACATCTCAAGTTGGATGATGGCGACAGAGCCAACCCTCCAGCCGGATGAGTTAATGAACGAGCCCGCCCTGGTAAGTAAATCCTGCTGCCCTTCCTATCCGCATTCCCGAATCGAGCCTTACTCGACCTATTCTTGCCCTTCTTCCGACACTATATCCATACTTCTTTTCCCACACAATTGCCCGACTGCGCCACTGCTAGAAACACCTACTCACGTGCGTATTGTTATAGAACCAGCATGCTATCGCAATCGACAACACCCAAAATGTCGGACCTTCCAGTGCTACTACATTGAATGGAGCATCCGATGCCGAAAACAAGCAAATTGCGGAAATCGTTGATGAAATTATCAACTCGGCCGAGGTTAGTGTAAGCGGCGGGTCGGATACAGAAACATCAAAAGCTCGATTAGGCGACAAAAGTCATGCGCGAACAGCATCGACCGTCAAGAAGCCACAGAGCTTCAAGTCTGTCTCGGTAAATCGCACATTTCTTGCTTCCAAGACTGCTGCGAACTCGACCTCGCGACCCGACTCTGCTGCAGGCTCAGCTTCTTCTACGCCGCAGCCTACTCCCACCATCTCCGCTTCTCGTCTGAAGCTAGTTGCCAAGTCCGGAAGTAGCCTTGGTGGCTCAACCAAGACGCTCAGCAGCAATGGTAAACCAGCCGCTGCTCCGGACCCAAACACGGTTTGGAACCGAAATCGGCGTAAGTCATCATTCCCGGAGATGTTTTCAAGAGATGGTGAGTTTCTTCCGTTTCTCTGCTAACCTTCGTAGTAGCTGTGTCACAGCCTGAGCAGAAAAAGCTATCCGACGAGGAACTAATGCATAAATACGGCATACACATGGCGGGTCGTCTAGGACCCGAGGATACGAAGGGACAATCAAATTGGGCTGATATTGACGATGATGAGGAATGGGCACCGGATACCATAACATGGACCGATGGAACCAAGATTACATTACCGCAAGCAGACGAGCCTGCCACTAGCCCTGTCCCTGGCCCAGTTCCCGCTGCACTCAGCAAAGAACCCTCCCCCGCTCCGCAGAAAGCCAAGTCTCCAGCGCCGATTCCCATCGCAACCGAATCTCCACTCTCTAGACAAGGCGTTATTTCCTCGGGAAAGAGCCTCGTATTGAAGGGTGCGCCTGAAAAACCTACTCTAGTTGCGAAACCTCCCGCACCTCCGACACCCGCTAAGTCGCCTTGGGCACGTTTACCTCCGATTGAAAAGGTGCCTCCTGTACAATTAGATACATCTGCTCCACAGTCCGCCACACGTCCTCCGGCACGAGATCCTATCGCTACCCAGAGCGCAACACCCCCTCCAACTAAGGAAATAGCTGCAGATGACTTCAGTCGATCCGGTTTTAGGGAAGGACATGCTACTAACAATAGCCAGCTCTTTAACTCTCACTCGGGACGATACGAGCCAGTGCCAGATCGAAGAGGTTCTAGAGGTGATATCCACGGTCGGCAGCCGGCTGTTCTACAGCGGCCCCATCCTCACGACCAGCAAGGTCCCGCGGAACCCTCCGCTGCTTTCCAGACGAGCAGAACCGGTGGTCATGATGGTCCATACGGTCAAGGTCCGTACGGCCGCCGCCGTGGTTCTTCGAATGTTAGTGGCACTAGTGGTAGCTTCATTCACAAAGTCGGCAAGCCTTACGAAATTCAGCCACCCCCGGAGTTGCTACAGACTCGATCCGGCTCCGTAATTACTGGAGGTGCCGAGAGTCCAATCTCCACCAGAACTTTCTCTCCAGCCACCACTCAGCAAACACCGAGTCTTCAGGCTGCTCAACCATACCAACCACGACCGTCTCCTGGTCAAGTATACGCTACTCCGCAATATGGCCCACATGCTGGCGGCGCGCAACAGGTGCCACTGAACGAGGACGACTTTGTCAACCAGAAGAAGATTATGCGTGAACGTCGAGAACAGGCCATTAGACGTAGACTTGAGCAGGAAGCCCGTGAAGAGGAAGCGCGTAAAGCTAGAATTGCCGAGAAACTTAAGGCTATGGGACCGGCCCCTGAGCGCAAGAGTGACAAGAAGGACGAGAAACCCGCTGATACCGATTCTCCGTCGTATAGTCGAAGAAATGAGGTGCCTACCAGCTTACGGCCGGGCCAAAGGGTACCCTCACAAGGGCCAGTTGAGCCCGGCTCTGTGGCAGCAAATACTGCGACCGGTCTACCGTCTAACGTTGATAGCCGAGTTAATGGGGAGGCTAAACGAACCTTCGGCCATGGCGAGAGGTCTCAGAGTCCAACTGCACAAAATTCGAACACAACAAAGGCGCAACCTACAGCATCCTGGCCTGAAGCACCACAGAATTCAGAACGATTTAATACGTGGAGTGGTGGCGCTCAGAACACATCTCGAAATGTATGGGGCGCCCCCGGAAATGATCGTTCCCTTGGAAATGGTACTTTCAATCCTGACTTAGGAACCTTGCCCGATTCTCACCCAACTTCCATCAACGAACGTAACCATCGCCCAGCACCAATCGGACCTCCTCGTTCCACGTCACAACAGCATGCACGCCCCGAGCAACCAGCGAATGGTCGATTAGCGCCAATTGGCCCACCCCGCGGTCGTCCCTCCCAAGCACCAAACCAATCCGCGAATATGTGGAATACTTTTGCCGCTAATGTTGAAGAAGACGACCTCAGGAAGGAACGTGAAAGGCAACAATTATACGAATCTCTCGCCGATAAACCCTCATTACCTTCGACTGAGACTTGGCATGCTAGACGAGGAGGCAACAAGCGCGATATTACGCGAAGTTCAGCGAGTGACCAGATGGAACCTCAATTAAGTAGTTCGTCCGGTTCTATGGCAAGGTCTGCTGCCACTGGGGATGAGAATATCGTTCCAGAGCCCACGGCGGATCAACGTGCCAAGTGGAAGGGTCTTATGCCCCATGATTTTGCTGCTAGGGATAGAGCTAGAGAAGGCACTGTAAGAGAAGGGCCTACAAGAGAAATAGCCGGGACATTCCACTCTAAAATCAGTGGACCTCCTGCATCGGGCTCAGCGAACCAACCTAGGAGCAGTTCGCGATTTTTCCCTGCCACTCGAGATGTACAGTCACAAGACCATCAGTTCCATGAACAAGTGCGCACGAAATCCCCCACTCCACCTCCTCCGACGGCAGATGGTCATCCTGTATTCGATGGCGATGTTACCCGTCCGCACGTGGCCCTGCCACCTGCTCGTCCAATCGTCAAATTGCCACCAAGCAATTCTGTAGCCGCTAGTCCAGTCATACCGTCCGCTAAACCCGCGCCGATATCGTTCGCTGCAGCAGCTGCAGCAGCACCCTCGAGAACACATCCGCAATCGGCAAACCCCCGGCCTTCTAGTAGAGGCAAGGGATATGGTGGAATCCAGCAGACACCATCTGAGCTCTTGACGCAAGAAAATTGGCAGGATAAGATTAACAATCTTATGGGCAAAAAGTCGGCGTTACCAGCTAGATCTATGGCAGTGGATTCCTCGAGTAGGATTGCGTTGGAACATTCACACTCGTATGACCCCGCAACTGTGGCGCTTCCAGGTCTCTCGTATTCGATAAGTTCTGCGTCTAGTGAGAGCAGTGACTACACAAGTAGGGAAATGGCGGAGGAGTGTTTTGGGGAGCAAGAAATGGGATCGCTGCCCGCTGTCCGTCTGCCTAGTGAAGCGCCGGACGCACTCTGGCAAGCCGTTGCGCCTAACTTCGATCCCGCACCCGCCCGACTACGAGTCGATCCAACAGTTGCTGAGGCGTTGAGATTCGCGCCCGATATGTCCAACGGCAAGAGCGTAATTCGAATTATGGGTCCCTTTATGCCCGAGCCAAAGACTGTTCCGATGCCTTTTGCGAATAACAGATCTACCAGTAACCCACGCCGTCTGGGTCCCCGAGGAGGGCCCAGACGTTTATCGGGTCGTGGCGGACAACGTGGAGGTAGAGACTCTGATCATGGCAGCGATCACACCTCGTCGCAATCGCCCGGTCGCCCGCCGTCAACCCGTAGCGGACGTGGAAATTATAGACCCCGAACCGAGAACTGGGGCAGACACGCATCTGCTACATCAGCAGCTCAGTCGTGAGCCTGTCCTACGAGTTGGATGATTGAAATATAGCCATCTACGTCCAACTACTCCACACTAATTCAATACGATTCGACCGCGTTGATTTCGTCCGCATAGTCTACCTTGTCAACACTTTTCGCCTGTATACTCAATTGCGATCAAGTGTTGCCAATTTTATCATCCACTTGTTGTCACGGATAACTGGCGTATTCTAGGACAGCAATCTGTACAACAGGGTTCTGAACACATTTCTTCTAGGCATTTCTCATTAAATGGAAATGCCACTGGTTCTTTTTTCTACTATTATGCAACAACCCAGTCTGCGGTTCTGAAAGGAGTAATGGAAAAGCAGTCTGTTCCGACACACCAGTTATCATCGCCAGGCAAATTCAAATCCCGTTTTTGATATTCGAGATATACTCTGTAAGGCCACATGTACCTTTCAGAGTACCCTTACACTAAAGTGAATCAACAATGAGTCACAAATTTTCCTATACGGGGCATCGAGTTGTCGAAACATGGTACCTTGGGGCGTTGCCGGAACGGGGGGTTGGAAAGTCTCCCGAATGTGGATGACTATCTGGAACGAGAGAAAGGAAGGAAGAGGGGCTTACAGGCAAACTGAAATTCGGAAACGATTCATGCACACACCATTGCCCAAGTTGCATGGTATATGTGCCGTCATTTTTTTTCTGCTAGGCATGAGTGAGCTCTTTTTTTAACAGGGTGGGCGTGTACTAGGTGCGAGCAAAGGGGGGGATTATCAGACCTCAAATTCGACCAACCAATCCATCATCAATCAATCGGCCAAATCAATCCCGGTTTGAGATACGGGAGGGTTTTGCACGGTAAGGTTGAGTGGACGGGTGGATATATTCGGACGAGCATTGATGATTATTATTTATGCCTCTTGTAACCCCCACCCCCCTATACGTACCAACAACGAAACGGAACCGCTCTTTGCTAAGTAGGCAGGCTCGTACGCAACGCACGGCACGCAAATCGGCAGTTTAAGTCCTTCTCACTGAACAATTCAGAAAACACACTAATAGAGAAAACGTCTCTCATACATATATATCTTGCTTGGCTTTTCGTGATTGAATGGTGATTGTGATTTGCAAATGTGTATTGTAGATATATGTGATTGATGCAGTTCGAATTATCTAAGGTGTTTTGCGTCGAATTATTGTAACCTATGTCTACGCAGATAGGTAAATCGGGAAATGAGCTTTGAATTGGACAGGACAGGACGTCAACCAAAGAGCGATATGACTTTCTCGCCATCAAAAACCTTACGGTCTCTAAGCAGTTGAATAACTACTAACGGCTCAATTAACTTTCTTCCCGAAATCGTAAACTTAAAAATGCTCTCTCATAGCTTAATTCAACGGAGACTAGGTTTCAACTTGCCAAGCCAAGTTTCACGATATTAGACAAGACACCATGTAATCTTTTGATTTGATTTGATTTGATTCCATTTCATCTCATAATTTCTTCTCTAACTACCTAGTGATATCTTGCTTCCCAAGACTCCAGGCGCCTGTCCGAACCACTCCTTTCACCCTCGAAATCGTGACTTGATTACTTTGCTTCATACCCCGTCTTTCATCGTAAACTGCTTCATCCGACATTAACCAACTACGTGGACATCTATTATAACGCATATATAAATGGCGCGAGTCGTTCGTAGGGTTTCATCCATCACTCATTACGATATCGCTTAGTGACCTAGTAAAGGGGTATAGAAATATCCCATTCCCTATGAGTTTTAGTATTCCTCGATGGCGCAGTTAGGATGCATGACGTAGACAACTCTCTGTGAAGGAGCTGGTCCACCATCTGCGGCAGCAGCCTCGTCGCCGTCTTCAGCTAGTCCTTCACCACGGACCGCCATTAGAATATTGTCCTATTTTACCTATTAGTATTGAATCGCAGAAGAGAATGCGACTGAAGACGAATGCGGGAACATGGGATGATTGAAAGAAGGGGAGAAAACATACCTTGACCATCTTTTTCAAAACCATCTTCGCGACGTTCATCTCGCGGTGGTAATCCTCTTCGCCCTCAAGCTCCTCCTCCTTCTGCTCCAAGTACCACTCCACTAGAGCATCCCCATCAATACCTTCGCCCGCTCCCGTCGACTCATCATCGCTGACGCGGGACACGATCAAGTTCACCATGCTGATGTACTTCTCGTACGTGATCGCCGTCTTCTTCTTCGCAGGCGCACTGCTCGGCTCACGACTAGGTTGCGCGCTAGCACTAGCACTAGCATCGTTATTCGCATCATCATCGCCCATCTCCTCATCACCCTCCTCATCCCTCGTCCCAGACGGCCCTGCACTTCCCGACGCCCTATCCGCAGCCGCAATCAACTCAGCCGAGTCCTCGGGCGTATCATCATAATCTTCATCCATCTCAACATCATCATGTTCAACAGAAATAATACTCTGTCTCAGCAGATTAAACCCTTCATCCACAAACTCAGGCGTAATCTCCTCGACACAATTCGTCTTAGCAATAGCCTCCGACAACCGAATCAAACTCTCCAATTGTCGAACCGTGATTCGGTAGCTATTCTTCCCCACACCACCCTGTGCGTCATCAGCTCGGAGTTCCTTGTACCGTTCCACAAGGCGTTCACGTGCGTCAGGTGAAAACTCCGGGCGGAAAGTCCGAGCGAATCGGATGTAGCGCTGGAGGCACTCAGTGCTGAACTCCGGTTCTATGGCCTCATCGCGCAGCGCGTGGATACCCACGATGTGCTCTGCCAAATGACGATCGACAGCTTCGTTACACTCATCCAGGATTACGAAGAACAAATCGAAACGTGACATAATGGGCGCCGACATGTTGATATTTGATCGCAAAGTAGCCTTACGATTATATCTTCCTCCTACAGGGTTCGCCGCTGCTAGGATGGACGTTCGCGCGTTTAGAGTAGCTTGAATACCAGCTTTCGCGATAGAAATCGTCTGCTGTTCCATGGCTTCGTGAATGGCGACTTGATCTGCAATATCCATCTTGTCAAATTCGTCGATACAGCAGATACCATTATCAGCAAGCATAAGAGCACCAGCTTCAATGGTAAATTCACCAGTCTCTTCGTCTTTGACGACTGCGGCTGTGAGACCAGCAGCAGAAGAGGCCTTTCCTGAAGTGTACACTGCACGTGGTGCGAAAGAGCAGATGTACTTCAAAAATTGTGATTTTGAGGTAGATGGATCACCAACAACGCAAATATTGATGTCACCTCGAAGGGCCATACCTTCGGCGGTGGTTTTGTGTACACCAGACATCAATTGCAGTAGTAGGCCCTTCTTCACGATGTCGTGCCCATAGACTGTAGGCGCGAGAGACTGGACTAGACGGGCGTAAATGTGGTCACTGTGTACCATCTCACGAAGCTCGTCGATCTCGCTAGGCATCATAGAGTTCAAGACCGCTGTCTGAGCCTCCTCGGCTGATCCAGCCGTGTCGGCGGATGATTGGGTGAGGGAATTGATGATATCGTTAACTTGCCGAGAAGCAGTTTGACCAGGTGTGGATGTATCGGGGGTAACCATGTTGGCTAGGAAGGCCAACCGGTAGGTCAAATCACGAACACCCAAGGACTTTAGACCCGAAACTCCTCCACTGCCGCCAGCATCATTATTTCGCGGCGCATTTCGGTCATCTCGAATCGTCGTAGGTCGAACACCGGGGAGGCCCAACTGGCTTACATCCGGCACGACGATTAAAGCACCCGTAAAGATACACTTCTCTCCCGCCTTCGCGCGGTCCACCATCTCACCTCGTAGAATGACGTCCATCGTCCGCGGCATGCTACCTGTGGGGATCTCTGAACTGTTCTCTTGAATTCGGACCTTCTGCCAGTCGACAAAGGTACTTTGCCGAATATCGAGCTGCCATGCTAGACGGTTTCCACATTCGGCGTTAGGACATTGTGTAGGTTCAGTATATCTAAACGTTTGCTCGACATTGGGGATAACTGAGCGACAATTCTCGCAAGTAAATGTCGCAAGGGACAGTTCTGGTCGTACTTCGGATGTACGTGTGACAGTTCCAGATATAGAAAGAAGTTGCCCGATATTCTTAGCGCGCAAGCTACGGACTCGAGAAACGAGGGGGAGGTTGTAGAAAGCAATAGCGAACAACTTGTCTGTTTGCTGGTTCGCTGTTTTGCTTCCTTGTAGTTCAGATTGGCTACCCGAACCAATATTACTGGCGCCAGATGTGGTTTGGTTGCTAGATGTTGTTGCCTGTCGATGTTCACGGAAGTACTGGGGTTCGTGCTTGGCGATCATATTATGTAGGGCGTTGGTGAGGAAAGGGAGGAATCGGTAGTATTGGGTGTTGATAGCATTTGCCAAACCACCATTTTGATAACTAGCCACATGGTTATAATTGACGTAAAAGGTCGATAATTGGTAAATGCGCATTCCATGAATTTGGGCGACGTAGAATTTGTCTGTAGTAACGGCACTCGATGTGGGGGCAGCTGATGGGGGAAGATCATCGATGAACCTAGTATTTCGGTTAGCTATGCGACATAGTACCAGCAGAATCAGCACAAGACATACTCTTCTATGAAGTTTTCAAAGTGTTCCTGAACAGTGATACCAATCCTATCTTCTACTCGAGGAATTGCTGCAGGATCTCGCCGTCTTGTGCGGCTAGGTATTTGATCGTCTGCAAATCCATCACCCTCATCATCGCTGGGCGCTGCTAGACTTTCGGATGGAGGACCTCGCGGTCGAGCTGAAGAGCCTCTGAATGATCTCTGTTTAGGGGTAGTGGCAGGTCTTGAAGGGGCATCGGATAAGAAGCCAGCATCACTTGGAGTCGCCATTGTGAACTTGAAAAGCCGCGACGATGCTGGTGGTAAGTGGGTATGGTGGTGTTGAAGATAGTGGGAACGTTTGATAAGGTTCAATCGCAATTATTTAGTTCGGATCGAAAAATTAAAGGAGTTGAAGTGGAGGGGCAAGTACGGGGACCCATTTACGTCGCGCCTGAGATTTAGGGAACGCGAATTTTGGCGTTTCTATCCACAATACGAACCAATCAGAAGTTGTATTCTTAAGTGGTTGCAGATGCCAAGGCCATTATTTACTTATCAAGTATACTATATGGTATACAAAGGTAGCCTCTTTATACAAATATACTGCTGAAGTATGATACTAAAAAGAATAATCTGAAAATTGAAATCGCCCATTTCACACCCTCATCATCATCAAAAGATATGAAAGAACAGTATCTTTCACGATATACAAGTATCTTACGAAAATATACATGGCCTAACAATGCATTAATCCAAATACTTTACTATCATCAGGAAGTCTGCGCTTTTTAAGTCCCAATACCCAGTCATCAAAGCGCCGAAAGCCTTCACACAAGAACCAGCATAGGATCATAAAACCAGTCGCCCATTCCATCCTGTGGGTGCAATATCCAGTAGTCACCAGAAATGGCGCCAGAATTATCATCTAATTGGAAAACCCTACAATCAAAGATCAAAGCCGAATCAACCACAGCCCCATCAACCTCAGCATCAAAAGCGAAGAGGAAAGCAGACGAAGGATCTTCATCTAATCCCCACACCAAACGGCAGAAGATACAAAAGCAGCAGCAAAGGAAACCATCAAATCCACCTAAGAAAACACCCCACAAGCCCAACGCAAAAGGACCAATGGGCATAACCCAATCCTCCGTTCTCGCCAAAGGCACACCAAGCACCATAACCCCCTCCCTCGCCCTCTGGGCCTCAGACAACGAAATCTCACCCGAAGACCTAGCAGAAGCATACCACCTCGGCGTGAAAAACAACGCCTCCCTCGTCTCCGCGGAACAGCCCCGAGTAAACGAGGGACTAGCCCCGAATCTCGAGGTCGGGAAGTACATCGCGCTAGATTGTGAAATGGTCGGCGTAGGACCCGAAGGGCGGGAATCGGTTCTGGCACGAGTAAGTATAGTGGATTTCCACGGGAAACAAGTTTATGATTCGTTTGTAAGGCCGCGGGAGCTTGTTACGGATTGGAGGACCAATATTACTGGGATCACGGCAAGGGTTATGGCGACTGCGCGGTCGTTTGAGGAGGTGCAGAGTACGGTTGCTTCGCTACTTAAGGATAGGATTGTGGTTGGTCATGATATTAGACATGATTTCGCGGCGCTACAACTTAGTCATCCTGCGTCGCAGATTCGGGATACGGCGCGGTTCGCGGGGTATAGGAAATATGGGCATGGCCCGAAGCCGGCGTTGAGGGTGTTGGCGAGGGAGGTTTTGGGCGTGGAGATACAGACGGGACATCATTCGAGTATTGAGGACGCGAGGGTTGCGATGCTGCTTTTTCGGAAGAAGAAATCTGATTTTGATGTCCAGCATGCGGGGAGGTATGGGTTGCCTACAGAGAAGACGACGGCAGGGGAGACGGTGGGAGGAAGTATTAATGGTAGCAATAGTGGCGGCGGCAGCGTGAATAAGGGGCAAGCAGCGAAGTCGAAAAAGGGGACAGGTAAGAAGAAAAAGAAGAAGCATTAATAGAGAAGGCACCTACCTTAGGCATCCATCATTGCTACGGAATTTTCGTCGTGACGCGTACCTTAAATTGTCCCGCGTGGTTGCCCAAGTATCAACACCAATGCACAAACCACCTCTTTCACAGTACAAGTGACATTCGAACCCACCAACCACCCAATGGTGGGTTTAAATAGCAGTTTAATTCTACAGTTTCCAACTCCCCCCGGAATCCCACAACCGCGAGCCACCTGGTGGCTCAGCGGTTAGTGCCGGGGGTGGGAGTCCAGTAAAAACCCGACCCGCCCGGTTTTTCGTAGGCCGATCAGGACGCTGATCGACCCAGGGTTCGAGTCGACGGGCTCACCCCTGGGGCGCCGAGCTTTTTTGCCATTTTCTATCTTTTATTTTTTGTTCTATTATTTTTTTTACCACCACCACTGCCATTTATTTCACCGTAGGAATTATTCGCAGGCACATTTTTTAAATCTCGCAATATTGTCAGTCTCTCAAGCAGAGCCTGTGCACCCATACATAAACAACCATAATTGGAAAACGCAACATCTTAGGTAGGAATACGAACGCCCAACATCTAACTCCAGTATACCTAATTGCACTATTTCATTCGTGCACCACTTCGCGCAGCCAGTGAGAACGTAAATCTATAATAAAGATGACTATCACCTTTTCTGATTTCATTACATTGGGATATCCTCCATCAATTCCATCGCACCCTCTCTTCCAACAGTGATGATCGCGTCACCAAGCGTTTTAGTGACAAATCCAGCTTCACAATATGTGAAATAGTACTACATAAAGGTCAGTTTCAAACATTTCAATATAAGTAGGATAGAAACCGAAGGGGGCATCAATTGAAGTGTAGAAAGACATACCTCCCACTTCCGTCTGAACACATCAATCTCCTGAAGCGTCATGCGCGGATGTTCCGCCTTCAATGCTGGCCGGATCTTCGACTTGAAGTTCAACATAAACTTCTCCTTCCATAACCGCAGCGTCTTAGCGTAATGACCTCCTATGTTTTCGACCCGTTCCACAATCAGCGTACCCTTAGATTCTTTCGAGATATGATTGAGTAGCTGTGTAATAGAAGGCAGGTAGCCGCCGGGGAATATGTGCTTATTTATAAAACTGCGAATGAGTGCCGCCTAGGTTAGCGCGACGTTAATCAGTTCTAATAGAGGGATGCAATCGTACTCTTCAGATTTAGAATACGCCTCGTGTCTTCCTTCAGGCATCGTAATACACTGAAACATAGCAATGCCACCTTTCTTCTTCAGCAACCGATCAATGCATGCGAAATAGGTGCCTAGATATTCTTCACCAACAGCCTCCAACATCTCTATAGAGACGATCTTATCGTACTCGACTGTATCCGGCAAGTTCCGATAGTCAAGTAGTCGAACATCTATCCGGGTTGAAAACCCGGCTATTTCGATTCGTTGTTCTGCTAGTGTCTTTTGTTCCTTCGACAGAGTAAGACTCGTTACACGACATCCCGTCTTTCTGACAGCTTCAATTGCGAAAGATCCCCACCCCGTTCCAATTTCTAAGACATGGTCGGTGGATTTTATCCTAGCACCATCAATGAACCGGTTGAGTTTAGTCATTTGCGCCTCTTTAAGAGTTTCTTCCTGTTTAGCGAAAGCGCCTCGAGGTTGCCAAATAGGGCATGAATAAGTCATGTCTTCCGAGAGGAAGGCCGCAAACATGTCGTTACTGATGTCGTAATGAGCAGAGATGTTCAAGAGTGCGTTCGACAACGTATTTGTCGTCCTTGCAATACTTGACACCATACCCGACAATGAGGAGAATACTGTAGTTCCATTGCTTAATCGATCCCGATTCACGATGAAGAGCTAGAAACAATTACGTTTGATTAGTCACGCGACACCAGAAATAGGCATATTCTACAAACCTGGAAGAAGGCCGTTAAGTCGGCGCATTCGAATTCGCCAAGCATGTAGGATTCTGCGAAACCCATATCGGCAAAAAGGAGTAAGCGCATCCAGAATGCGTCGTCTTTAACTCGAATTTCAACGCGCGGAATCGTATTCGCTTTCCTAATGGAATGGTCCCCGTTGGTGAGCTCGGCGTGTTTGGAGGAAAATTTCTGTCCGTATATCAATCTCGTCCCTGCTGGTTCGTCCACTAATAACAATGTGCCGATTGCGATGTTAGAGAAAACGGAGAGGACGGCCGGCTTGGCTATCGCCAAGGCCGGCCCCCAAGTCAAGCTTCCTAAAGTCCCACGGATTACATCGGCGCCGCGAGTAAGTGGCCGAGCGACAACCGAAGGTATTGATGGAACCATTATTTATATATAAAGAAGAAAATGATATATAAGTGGTTAAGTTTCCTCGGTTCAAGTATTTTGAGGACAATTGAACACCTGATTTAAGTCGAATCAAGCTCTGCTAAAGAGATCAACAGTTATAGTTTGAATTTTGCTGAACAGACACTGGTTACGCGCCACCAAAAGAAACTAGATTGGTAATAAATGCGCAATTGAATGAAGGGAGAACTAGAAATAATATAGAAAAATAAAAGGAAAAAAATATAGCGTCAATGATGTGACTCCGAGGAACAGGGCAGCGTAGCTCCAAAAGCAAGAGGTTTCAACCTGTCACCGCCATGTAGTGTTTGGGTACACTTGAATTGCCGTTGCACACTATCCCACGTCTTATTCTTCCAAGGTATAGGATTGTGCTTCCGGCATCAAAAATGAAAACACTAGGTCTTCTTTGGTAGAGAAACCGACTCGTCGCTCAGGCATAAAACAGGGATAATCGGAACGGGTCAAGGAGGGAGAGTGTCAGGGTCGGCCCCCATTTTGTTTCGGGACCTGGTGTGTACATTGTTACCCCTTCAAAGAAAGCCTTCGCACAATGTACTACATCATGCATGGGAAGTAAGTACAAGGCAAAATGTTAGAATCACCACATCCCGGTATACCTTAAAATCGATATAACATGATCGATCTTAAGGTGTGGTGGGGGCTGACCATGACAGCGGCAGGACGGATATCCATGCCAAAAGCATCCAATACAAATACCATGTTGTCCCATAGGATTTGAGCCTCAATAATTAGTTCGACTTAGGGGATTACTCCACCCTCGTGAGAAAGTAGACTATGTATTTCGCGTCTACATATTCAATTGATAAAGAAACTCCAGTCTTCTTTGCTGCTTGAGCTATGAGAGTCTAAATTCGAAAAATAAACTCCCTAGCAGTGTTGATCTAACTGCATGAAGCCCTGCGTAGGTACAGAAATGGAGACGGGATGACGGGGCTGGTAGTGATCCTCGCTGTAATATGCAAGTCTCAGGAACTCAAATATTCAAGGGGCGTTACAATATGTACCATGTAGGAATACACGAATGATATTCCACATGTGACAATGTTCGGCGAGGAAGTATATAACGTATCTACTGCATATGCAGGTTTTCAGCACGATTTTTGTCATTTCTTATCGTTACTCGAGGACCCGTCATCCCGTCATCGAAGGCTAAGAGTAAGAAAGATGAACCGACACTCGTCGAATTCGGAGGGATCCCGCGGGCCACTGTCTATGACATCAACACTCTCCGGCTCAAAGGGCGATGGTGCTTAGTTGCTGATTAGTATGTCTTAGATTTGAATTACTGAATTATTGATGCGGTATCTGTCCGGATGTATTGGATACGAGATTGACTTAGAAATTCGCGATGCCTTCATATAAAGAGATTAAATATTAGAGATGGTTTGATGTTGTAGAAGGTTACGTAGGTATGTTTCGAGGGATTTTTAGAGAATGTGGGGACCTGCCGCGGAAAAGCTTACATAATTGATTATGACCTTATGACTAATCGTAGCTACAATTATATAATCAAGTCTATCATGCTTAACGCGTCTAAAATATTGAACGCGTTTTCTCATTAATTGATCTATTAGTCATGCACATTCAAGTCATTCAACTCTGTTAATCCATCAATCCCTCAACTATTTACTTCGATAATAATCAAGATGGCGCATCCAGTTTTTACCGTTGAATCGCAAGAAACTATCCAGAAAAAGGCTCAAGTCAATTTGTTACCATGTCGCATACATCACGATGGCAATATCAGCCCCATTGACACTTACTGGAGTCCCGACGAGGGTGAGGGTATGTCGACAATACAATTTAAACTGCAATTTGATACTAATTAACTTGAAGAGCAAACAAAAACTGCATATATAAGAGGACGAAAACTTCACGGGAAATCCGTGAAGTTACCTGAAGGATATTATGGCTCCGTTGTTGAAAAGTCGGCACCGAAGAAACCCGAAGAGCCAAGGAGAGAAGACTTAGATGAAGACGTTGAAATACAAGAAGAACCAGAGGATCAACTTGAAGTGGGCGGTATGCAAGGAAAAGCGACATTTGACGAATTTACGATCTGGGGTCATGAAGCCTTAGCAAATGCCAGTGAGGATCCGTATTTGAGAAGTATGGAGGAATGGATATCGTTTGCAGAGCAGGTTCGTCAAAATACCATTTAAAGCTTGAGGAATTAATAATAACTAACCACTACTATATAGATACACTCGTATACCCCTCCTGAACCCTCGAAGCCTCAAAATTGATTTATGTCATGTTAATTACTTGATCGGTTTCATGGCCTAGCTGTCGCGTGCTCGCATTAGTCAGCTTATTGATTAAGGGATTGGCGTTTAAGGAGTCACTCATGATCTCTCACGGAAAATTCACTTTTCGGGAACGAAAACTAGCACTTCCTATGTCCTACAATTTAATTACTCGTTAACCGAGTATAAAACAGTTAATACCAATTGTATAGTGTACTGTAGCGAAATGGAGGAGAATATCGAGGTGTATCTATTCTTTTGCTATGCATTACGTAATCAAGTATATGGTTAGGTCAGCAACTTCAATTGGCTGGTCACCCCTGCCAATACAAGGATTGCAGATGCCGACCGCCGATTATCTGCTGCCTTATCGTAGCTTTAAATTGATCTGCCCCTCCAAAAGTTAATTACTTCTTATCCTTATCCTATCAATCATTCCATCTCTCTTTCATCAACCAAACCACCATTCCATCAAATTCAAATGCGCCGCCATCAATTTCCATCATGAGTCCTAGCGTATTAAACGGCGAGGCCGCCGTAGGTCCAGAAGGACCTCGGCAAAAAAGTCGAGCTACCGCCGACACGATCCGCGTAGGATGTATCGCCATGGTCGAAAAAGACGGGCAAGCTCGTCGCGCCGAGATTCTTAGCATCCGTGACATAAAAAGTGGTCGCCAATTCTACTGCAACTTCGACAACTTCAACAAGCGACTCGACGAGTGGGTACCGGTCAAGCGCATAGATTTCGATCAAGATGTTGAATGGCCGAATCCCGAGAAAGACAAGCCTAAGGAAGGAAAGGGCAAGAATTCTACGGCGCCGAAGAGGAAGGTTGTTGGGAACAAGGCGCAGAAGCGTCCGGGGAAGAGAGAACAATCGGTTGTCTCCGAGGCCGTTACACCTCATCCGTGGACCGAATTCACCGATAGCCAACCGCAATCGAAAGCGCCGTCCACACCACGAGATATCGAACCGACTAATGGAAAGACACCTGCCGCAAATGGCGATGAGATGGATATATATGATGATGAACCAGCACCTGCCGTTAAGAAAGAGGATGGATTCAGCAGAGAAGCAGAGATTGAGAAGCTACGGACGGGTGGCTCCATGACACAGAATCCTACCGAACTCGCTCGAATACGAAATATATCTAGGGTGCAATTCGGGCAATGGGATCTGTTTCCATGGTACTTCTCGCCGTATCCAGAGGCGTTCACCCAAGAAGATGCCATATTCATCTGCGAATTCTGTCTGAGCTACTACGGCGATATGAAGTCCTTCTCGCGACATCGACATAAGTGTACTCTTCAACACCCACCTGGAAACGAGATATACCGCGACGACTACGTATCATTCTTCGAGATCGACGGCCGACGACAACGAACATGGTGTCGAAATCTGTGTCTTCTATCCAAAATGTTCCTCGACCACAAGACCCTCTACTACGACGTAGACCCCTTCTTATTCTACGTCATGACACAGAAGAGCGAGAAAGGGCACCACCTAGTAGGCTACTTCTCGAAGGAGAAAGAAAGCGCCGACGGCTACAACGTAGCCTGTATCCTAACCCTACCGCAATACCAACGCAAGGGTTTCGGTCGATTACTAATCCAATTTTCTTACGAGCTCTCCAAAATCGAAGGCAAGTTAGGCTCACCCGAGAAGCCGTTATCCGACTTGGGTCTGCTCAGTTACCGGCAGTATTGGTCAGAAAACATCCTCGAATTGCTCCTCGAGTGCAACGAGAGAGATGAGAAGTCGAGCATTGAACAGATCTCTACTTCGCTGGCCATGACTACGCAGGACGTCGAGCATACCCTCCAGGCTTTGAAGATGCAGGTTTATCACAAGGGCGAGCATAAGTTGGTGGTGCCGGAGGCGCTGATTAAGCAGCGTGAGAAGGCTAAGTTGAAGCAGAAGCGGTATATCTCGCCCGAACGCATTCAGTGGAAACCTCCTGTCTTTACGGCTTCGTCGAGGACTTGGGGTTGGTAGGGAAGCTGATCAATTCGACTATTGCTATGGCGTTGAAAAGGGAGCGGGAGCGTTGTTAGTTATTAGATACCAAATATCAAGCATAGATTATTTGCTTAAGCCTAACTGACGCCGTTATTGTGAAATTGTTATCAGGTAGGTGATGATCCGACTAATAATCATTTAAATACCCAAAACTAAGAAGTCTTATTGGCGTAATGTGGAGCCGTATTAGCGCCTCGCATGGTCAATATATATCCATCCATGATGTTGCAGCAAAATTCAAACAAAGTCAACTTGGGTCTAATTCTGCCTCAGGTGTCTAACCCATCAACTCTTCAATATCTAATAAGTCACTGCCACACTTTAGCAACCAATGAAATCTTTAGAATCGCCCTACAGCTCTCAACATTTTTACCGTGTTTTTCTTCATGTCCTTTCTTAATGATATAATTGACATCAAAAAGTCATACAAAACAAGCTCTATTTAACTATACTAACTATTAATCCTTTTATTTAATGGCAATAACGATTAATTGATTCTATAAAGAACTTATTGAACGTGTGCTGTGCTGTGGTTAGTCAATCAGAACTATGGCGTGCCCCTTTTCCTTTCTCTCCTCCGCCCTCTTCCACTCTATACAGATTATAAAAATACGTACTTTTCTACTAAAAGCTTACCAAATACCCCGACCAAATATTATATTGACCTATCATGATGACCACAAGATTCGGGTGTCTAAACTACTGCAAGCTGCAAGGATTTAACTCCTTTTGTCGTTTGCATGCGTGGGGTAGCTACACAAGGACCCTTTTTTGATCATTTATGTTATAAGTGGAATGATTACTTAAGGTAACATAGTTTATATAGAGGTTATCTAGTTAACATAATTATCTTCACAGTAGTTACTAATCAAACATTATAGCTTTTACCTACCTAATAATCGTCACACAACGAGGATATATGTATATGCAACTAAAATGTAATGATTTCAAGGGACCCCCATCCTTTCTGAAAAGGGAAAGAATAAACCTCTTTCGAAGACGGATGGAAAGACCGCTGGGAAATCCGTTTATAAATAACAGCTCCAGTCCAGGTTTCAAACGCCCTTCAGCAGTCATATTTAACACGCTGGCATGTCTTTATCTACTAGTTTCAAATTCCTATATTGAAAAGAGTGCTACAGATCATCCAATACGGAAACGGTACACAGTGACGCGCTGCCCCACCGAGATCAAGGCTATTCCATCATACCAGAAGACCATAAAAACCATGCAACATTTTGCGACAATGTATTCAACATTTACTTGTATGCCTCGGAGCCCCTCGCCATATGTAGAATATTTATCTATTTTCTAAGGTGGTTAGCTAATACCATTATGCTAGCTTGCATGTGGAAATCCCTACGTTCCATTCCTCTCTTCCTATTGACGTTCTTGATCTCATCCATACCCCCAGCGTCAGCTTTGCCCGTCAATACCACCAATATCCAGGATGAGTGGCTAGATGTCCACTCACTGGCTCTCAAAATCAGTTGGTGTGCCTTTTTGCTCATTGTATTGTCAATGTATGCTATTTATACCTATCTCTATATTGATAAGTGGAGCTTCCTTGGTATCGGGATGGGTGTGCCAGCCTGGACGTACTCGCTCATCATTTCAGTAAGTGGTGTACCTCCGGGCCTTATTATTAGGTATGTATTGATTTCTTTCCTAATTGAGGGGCAGTGGAGCCCGTCACTCCTTATTACGATATCTTCAGAGTTTCTAATAAAAATCAGCGACGGCGCCGTGTGCACAATCTTCACTTTCATGTGGGCGCCTGAAGACTTCCGTATGAGTAGAATGGGCCATAGCCACCAACAGATGTCAGTCCTTCATACCTATTCGTTTTACATCAGAGGCATTGAACTAATTTATTGTTAAAAAGTGCAAAGTCCTGCATAGTCATTAGCGCAATGCTGATTGACACCGTTATCAGCTCTGTTCTAGCTTATACGGACAACTTTTTACTCGGTCTGGAAACGCCTCTGCCACCAGGCCTTATGATGGCTATACTTGCCATACCTTCCGTGGCTCTATCAGCCGTCCTCTGCAAGGCTGTTCGTGTGCTAGGAATCAGTCTTGCGGAGCCTAGTATGGAACACATTAGACTCTTAAAAGTACCACCCACCAACCCGGAAGAAACTCATGAGGATTAAGCTACCGATAGATTCTTCACCCAGTCGTCCGGGGCTGGCCCCACACCTCAGGTTAGATTACTGCGCAGGTTTAGGGGTAAGAACCTGGCTCAGCGTATGAGAGACGATACTTGACTGACGGCTGGGGATTCCTGTTATACTGATGATATGTAACGATAATTATGTTGGGCTTCAATATAGGAAAAGCATGGCGCTTCATGGATGGGTAAATGGGATATAACAGCCGGTGATACGTCATTGGCAGGGGAGTTACATATAGGCATGCCTAGGTTTATGGGCTGGACATGGTAATGGGAATTGTCTCTTTCGCTCAAATATTGAATATTTTCTACAATTACTTTAAGTCCAATGGCCCAGTTCATATACTCTAGAAAGATCACTGTTAGCTGACGGCCTCCAAGCTCTTACATAATTGATAAATCTTTATCTTTAATCGGACCTCAAATAAAACGTTTAAGCATCGTTACGTTGAAAAGGATTTCATTTCCCTAATTACCATTCATACATTGGAAGTTGACTTCTCTGTCACGTTAAAACCCTTCTAGAATATGCCTTGCCATACCAAACCATGCCATGCCACGCCGTACCACTCTCCTTGCGCTCAAGCGCCATAATGCCGTCTAAACCAGGCAGGTCAAACTAACTCACCTAACCAAAATCATCCTTCGCCTCGCCATTATCCAGTCTCTCCCTCTCCTCCTCGCTCCGATCAAGCTGTGCCTTCAATGGAGCCGTCTCGAGGCCCGCACCTGCTGTTCCTCCGGGTAAACCCAATGTACTTATTCTTCTCCCCCTAACGTCCTCCAGCGCCTCACTCTCTTCATCTACATCTTCACTCGCATCACTAGCATCTTCATCGTCGTCATCATCCTGTTCCGCCGCTTCTAGGTTTTGGTTAAGCTGTTTTCCGATGCCTAGCACAAAGGCGCTCGCGTAGGAGAATTTATCGATACCGTTCCCGCTGGGGAGCTCTGAGTACGTCTTGCGGGCCTCGTTAAGACACCTTTGCGCTTGTATGTACTTTGACTGCGCGAGCCAAGCCTCGGCACCGAGAACACTCCAAAGTGCTGATTTCCGCCGTCGGCCGCCCCAGAGATGTGTACCCATACCCTGTTTTGACGCGTAGCAGACGGCTAGTCGTTCCTTGATCAAGGCGTCGCCTATGGGACCGACGATCTTGCTTTCGAGTAGGCGAATGCCCCACTTCGCGGCATCGTCGACACTAGAACCGCCGCGTAAACGTAGAAGTTCCAGACCTAAGGCGAGACATCGTAATGCGCCGTATGGCGCGCTACAGCGTGTTATGTATGAATAGAATGCTTGTTCGAACGCGGTATCTACCGTTTCCGTTCTCGATTTGGCGGAGAGGTTTTGAGGCATAATAAGAAGACTAATGGCAGACATTTCGTTTGCCGCCGCATGGTACCTCCATGCCTTATCGTTATTAAAATCAATTCTCAAAAGTTCGTATGTGGAATGTGCTAGTTTCCAATCTCGCAACATAAAAGCGTAGTCTGCCAACTTTCGCATTATAGCTTCAGGCGCATCTTGACGGTAGAACCCGTGAGAATCATAGTTACTCCCTGAGCTCTGACCGGAGAACGATGACCGAGAATTGCTGCCGAACCCCCACCGTTTCGTTAAACCGACAAATCGGCCAGCCAATCCTCTCCGCCGTGAAGCAACCTGGTCATTCCATACTGATACATGACGCTCCATGGTGGGTATTATGGATTGTGTTACCATTTCGCGGATAAAAGTTCGTATCGCAGTCGCATCTGATTCAAATATGTATCTCGTCGGGTCTTCGAAATCTTCTTGGTCTTCACTCCTTCTAATATCTACCAATTCCTCTGATGCAGACATCCATTCACTCCGAGGGAGTGGTATACTATCATCATCAGTAGCCACACTTTGAGTGCCTCTTATTCGAAGTAAGTGGCAGTGTAGGCCAAGATTTCGCTTCATCTGGTCGAAGAGTGCCATAGACCTTGTGATATCATCTCTTTCCTCTTCGTGGACTAGAACATAGTACCTCAGGAATTCAGCATCGACCCAATTGGGTAGCCGCTTATCTCCGACACTGGACTCGTTATATAGTCGCCGAAGTGTCTCAATTGGAGTTGGATTTCGAGAACTTATCGCAATAACGCACGCAACTGGATGAGCGAACGTCTCATGCGGCGTCAGTGGCAAACCCGACAGTAATCTCCGCAGATATAAAGCATAATATGGTGAAGGAACATCAATGTCCAACCCATGATTGTTAAGGTTCTGGGGTAAACTGAAGAACGATTCTTCGGCATATCTCAAGTGCCGATCCACGACAGCTTCAACATCTGATATCGCAATCCCATGTCTCGGTTGTCCCCTTCCGGGCTCACCAGACTTTTCGGAAACGCCGTTTGCTCTCGGGGTTTGCGCAGATCTTAAGCCAGTTGTTACCGGTTCTGGAGGCACTATACCCTCCCCGAATTGTACAAAGTGTATCGAGTAATCCTCATATGTCCTACTAGAACCATTGCTGTCTCGTATTATGACCTTCCCTTGTACGCGCTCCCCAAAAGGTCGGAGTAATTCCCACAGGCCACGCCCAAACCCTTTCTCCTTCAACAGAACATCGGTATCGTCGGAAGTGTAGACTGCAACATGCGGCACGAATGCTCTTAGTATGAGATTGAGTGGATCGCCCGGACTATCGCCAGCGCCAGAGACGAGCCCAAGCGCATTATTCGAGGCTGCGCCAAAGACGGAACCCGCAGCTAGCCGTGACGCCGGACGGCCGATCGGGGACTGAGAGCGGGAAGCGGGAGGTGATAAGGTGGAGGCATAGAGAGAAGCGGCGGATGGATGAGATCTTCGGTAAGGTAGCGTGGCTTCGGACTGGAAAAGGGCGGATGATGAGACATCGTTAAGAGTATGGCGCGACTTTTGGATCTTTAGATTCGAGGTCGAGGATGCGGCAGCTACGGGGGATGCAGGGAGTGATCCACCCCCCGCCGGTGAATCATGGTCGGAGGGGTACATGAAGACAGACAGATGTGTCTATTTCTTTCTGTCCTTCGGGGCGACTCGGCAGTTGGGCGTCGCATCTGTATATTAGATGACGACTTGAGGCTGGTGGAAGGAAGACGATGAGATTAAGTATTAAGAGACAGCGAGATACGATATACGTATAATCTCAAGAGATAAGAAAGGATCGGCCCAGATAGACACCATACCCCTTACTTTGAATTGGCTCCAATGTTAAGTTGTAAGTAATCGGCGACGTCGTAGGTCCAAGACTTTTGGATGCTGATGATGAAATTAATAAGTTCAGGCCATTCAATTAAACACAGTCGGGCTGTCAGGTCCGTTCTAGCCTTCTTATCGATAATAGGTGGGCGCTAAAACACCCACCAGAATGGAAACATGAGCCACAACCTTACAGGTATTCACCTGCTCAAATCAGGGGTATTAGTGGCATTTACTGTAGCACGAATGCAAGCATTATTATTATGCAATACCGAACAAATTTATACACATGCTTATACACATTTGTTACCGATGTTGAAGTCTTCGTTGGGTAGTCAACATTCACAAATAACTATCAGTCGACTAGATGGAAATATAGTACCAAATCACTTTTTAATTCTAATCGGAAAGGAGTTATGAGGCTATTAAATAAGGAAGACCCAACACCACTGCCAGAAGCAGAAGCAAATAAGGGGGGACATATGTGTTGACGAGAGTCCTCTCTTCTCAACTCACTCTTAACGCCTATTTTCGTTATTGTTAATAACTAAAGTTACACTATCTTGTTGCTTAAGAGGAAAAATATCTCCTTATTATTATATCATTTTATGCTTACATATGAGTTAAGCAGGAGGTTTAAGCCTACTAAACAAACGATACTAGTAGACTACCCGCATTACACATATATTTACAGCTTCAACCCATTGAGTAAAGTATACATATATCATATGATCCTCAGTAGTATACTGTGTTCTAGTTTAGACAGAAGCAAGTTACGGTATAACGTTATTCCTTGCGAAGGCAGGACGCGAACAGACCTGTTGTGAAAGGTTTCTTTACAAACCAAAGTTATAATATAAATTACGTGAAATGAGACGTTGCATCCACCAAGATAGTATTGGCATGTTCCCCTAACCTCCGCGAAAATTCTCGTAGTGGTAACTCCCTAGCACCGGCTGAGGTTGATTCATCCGCAATTTGCCGGCTGGCTCCATCGTCTTTCCCAGCCTTAGTTCTTCGTTCTAAGTCAGGTCCCTTGCGAGTTGCAGTAGACCCGGCAGTTGGAAAAGCTGAATGTTATTATCGTCTCTTTTTACTAACCAAAATGTCTTTTCTGGTCTTTTGCCACATATCTGGTTATCAGATCGGTCTCTTGATATGACCTTGAAGGCGGGAGCGCTCGGTGGGTAGAATTCACCATGTTTAAATTCCGGTTGCAACGTTATGGAAATGTGAGAGGCGAGTCTAGACCTGCAAATTCATCTGCTTCCCATCAAACCGACATATTACATATATTCCAAACTGTTCATATAAGGATACTTTTATGTAAGAAATAAAACTGTTTTATAGTAGGGGTCTCTGTCTTTGGGTTGTCGTGTCACCTAGCCTAGGAGCAAGCTCATTGGCTCGCCACCGACCCTCACTTCCGAAAAAGGCAACCATGCTTCAAGATCGGAAAGATGACAGGTATCTTAGAATGCCGTCCAAGATTTCCTAATAAAGGTAGTCGCAATTAATGTAGGAGTGGCGGAAGATAGATAATTACGGGCCTCGAACCGAAATTGACACATAATCCAAGGCGAAATCATAAGAGATATAGATAGATGGGTTAGGTCTTTTTCTTCGTAGTGCCATCATCGAAGGTAGCCATGCATACCTACACGCATGCCCAAGAAACAAACGAAAACATAACTTACCATCGAGTCACACCTAGGCTGAAAATGGCCCGATCGAAAGGGAATTCCAAGGTGTAATATAAACATCGAATTACGCGTTACGAATTTTGCCAAGGCGGCTGAACATGCGAAAGGATAAATTGGCAATAAAATGGTAGTCCGCGGCAGGGCTCGCGTCTAACAGGTCCTCTGCAATACTACCCCGTCTAAATCTTGACTTCTCGTAAGCGAAGCGATCTGGTCAGGTACTAGGGGCGGATGTCCCGCAAATAGAAGTTATAATATTTCATTCCTAATGCATACCTGCCGGTCGATTCGCGATATTCAGCCCATTTTTCCTCATACAGATATATTGAGCTGACGAGGCCTCGGCCACTTGGCCCACTGTCGTTGCTGCCGTCGCGAGGAGACCTGGCACGACTATCCAGCCCGTGCCTTGGTGCCATTCAGAGAGGCCTAGAGTTGTCTCCTATGTTCTCCAGGGCCTTATTCGCGTCGCTCTGCCGGCGCTATGGATGCCGTTCTATTGTTACTCCGCTTGGCATTTTGCCGACTGGCCCTGGTGACTCCGTAGTCGGCCGTATTCATATTTGATGCCAACCACTAGGTATCGCAAAGTGAATAGAACTGGTATCGAAGAATTAGAACAAGCTGATGAATCGTGAAGATCAGCTCTGGGGTTTGCTGTATGTATAAATATCTTTATGACAGTTATTGCCAAGCTTCGGCAACATATCCCTTTGGCCTTGGGTGTGTAAAGGAACTGTAGGCTATATGGTTAGAATAGCAGGACAACAAACCTCAACCCAACACTTCTCGAAAAGAAAAAAAAAATCTGCAAAACCCTCCAAAATGCCGGACCGGGTATTCCGCCAAGCCATTAAGCCGCGCTTTTGTTATTAATTTGCTCGTGTTCCTGGCTGCTGCAGTGTAGACTCATGCATCAGATCCAAGGCGTGGAGAACCCTGTCGAGAACATGCAGGACCACAACCATCGGGTTCAGCCAATATAGTTGCAAGGACGTACATTTAGCCATACCAATGGACCTGGAATATTCCACCCACATGTAACCTTGAATCTTGTGTACTGGATGAGTTATGAAAATTCTCCTTAGGTGGCGAGGACAGCCCTAGCTGCCTTCGTCGATATAAGTCCAGATGCCGCCGCCAGACAACTCGAGTCTAGGGCGATCGTCCAGCCTTGAACCACGTAGGGACTCACCATGAGGTTCAGTCAAGTTGTTGGCGGCATCACTGCCGCGCTGCTTGTGAGCGGCGTCCCAGCTGCGAGGATTCCGAGAAGACAGGAGCCCCCTCCTGTTTCTTCTTCGGTTTCCTCCTCTGAGACTCCGGCTCCTCCGGCATCTACTGAGTTGCCAGTTCCGCCTCCCGCGCCCACTGAGACCTCGGTCCCAGCGCCACCACCTAGCTCAACGGAGGTTCCCGCGCCTCCGCCACCTCCGTCTTCGACCGAGGCTCCTGCTCCTCCCTCGTCGACTGAAGCGCCAGCACCGCCGAGCTCAACGGACGCTCCGGCACCACCGCCACCAAGCTCTACTGACGCGCCAGCGCCACCCTCTTCCACAGAGGCCCCGGCACCGCCCTCTTCAACTGATGCGCCTGCTCCACCATCGTCTACGGAGGCACCAGCTCCCCCACCTCCCTCGTCCACTCCGGAGGAACCAGCACCACCCACCTCTACCGAGGCTCCCGCCCCTCCACCAACCTCAACTGAAGCCCCGGCACCTCCCCCGACTTCGACTGAAGCCCCTGCTCCCCCCTCGACTTCAACTGAGGCTCCTGCACCCCCGTCCACTTCAACCGAGGCACCAGCTCCGCCACCAACGTCAACCGAAGCTCCCCCTCCCCCTCCGACCTCTACCGAGGCTCCGCCACCACCACCGAGCTCCACTACGACCAAGGCGCCAGCTCCCCCGGGCACTTCCAAGCCAGCACCTCCCGTCACTACTCCCGTGCCTCCTGCTCCGATTGAGACATGCACAGCGCATCTTTTGGTCGATGACTTCTCAACTTGGGCTGATGGAGAAAACTCGCTCAAGGGTGCTACCAGTGGTAAGTAAAGAACCCAGCACTCCTTAAAAAGGGAATTCAACTAAACAGTTTTAGATGACCAAACCATGAACGCAACCAGCACCGACGGCGGCATCCTAACCTTCACGCCGAACAACATCGAGGTCTCCTACATCTACGAGCAGTTCAACTGCCTAGATGCCACGAGCCACGGCTACGACTCCGTATCCTTCAACATCAAGGGTCCCGAGGCAGCTTCCGTGTCCATTGAGCTGCAGACCGTAGCTGAATGTGACGCCACCGAGTACCAAAGCTACTACTATACGGTCGATGGCCTAAGCGGTTCCTTACAGACCATCAACATCCCGCTGAACAGCTGGACAGACGCCAACCTCCAAGGCGTCGTGGGTTTCCTGTGGTACGGTTTCTCGGCTGGCTTGACTGGTACTGACAACGAGTGGCAACTCGACAACGTGCAATTCCTGTGCGCTGACGTCCCGCCACCTGAGGACCCAGCTCCGCCTACGACTACTGCGGGCCCTGAACCTACGGATGAGCCCGGCCCGGGAATCACTGTTACCACGACTGTTACTGTAACCCCAACGGAAACTGACACTGGAAGCTGGAGCACGCCGACCCGCACTACCACGAGAAGGCCTGTTCCTACCACCACCACCCGACGTCCTACTTGGCCAACTGACCCTCCTTGGTGGGATGACGACCCATGGTGGGGTGGCTGGTCCGAGAGTGGAAGCCGGCCGGCCTCTGCTGCTGCCGCCACAGCTACCGCATCTCCAGGGACCTGGCAGACCAACAACAAGCTCGCGGCCCGAGCTGACGAGTGCAGTCACATCCTTGTTGACGACTGGGTTTCTCAATCGCGTCTGACATTTCTGTACTACAACGCCCTGCTTGAATCTAGCAGCGACGATGGTACCATGAAGTCCATTGTTGTTAAGAACAACCGCGTAACTTTCACCCCCGTGGACACTGATTCGTACTTCTATACCCAGCTTGGTTGCATCGACGCCGAAGCTTACGGAGGTATCTCACTCCGTATCAAGGCAGCCGCCGGTACAACTTTCGACGTTCAGCTTTCGTCGACCAAGGGCCAGTGCGGCACTGAGGAGACTGAGGACATCGTTTTGACTAGCAGACAACTTGGCTGGACCTTCAACGGACAGGAGCAACTCTACTCCATCCCCTTCTCTAAGTTCGAGGGTCTTGATTTGACCAAGTTTGAAACGATCTACATCTCCAACCTGAAGAAGGCCGTGACTTTCGGACCCGTGAGCTTGTACTGCGGTGAGACCGTCGCGGAGTACATCCCACCGGCAGTCATTGAGCCATCCGGGCCCACTGAGACCGTTCCCGCCCCGGCAAGCAAGGCCACCAACCTTGTTATCGACAAATTCGCCAACAAGGACACCAACGCCCTAAACCAATGGCACGGTGCTGACGATGGAATGACCTTGACATTCAAGAAGAACACCATGACCCTCAAGACCAACGACTCGGACCTAATGTGGGTGACTCAAGTATCTGAGACCTGCCGAGACTTGTCCGAGTTCGACGGATCTTACCTCCACATCGCCTACACCGGAAGCAACCTGTTCACCGTCTCCCTCCAGCAGCACAACGAGAAGTGTAACAACAGCATTTCCCCCTACCCCGAGACCTGGGACTCTCTTGAGGCCACCAGATACGCCACCGAGACTGACATTTACATCCCGCTTGAGCACTTCAACGTCAACCGCTCGCGATCCATCGGTTTCGCATTCAAGGGTTTCTACAGCACGACGCCGACTGTGTTCTCCAAGATCGAAATCGTCAACGAGGTTCCGGAGGACTTTTCCATCCCGGAGAAGCTACCCTCTGGTCAATTTGTCTTCTCCTGCAAGCGACCTAACTCTTTCGCTTTCGCTATTGATGACGGTGACCCAATATTCGCACAACAAGTCATGAAGACCATTGACGACGCCGGCATCACTGTGACATTCTTCACCGTCGGTGCTCCTCTCCGAGACCCCTCGACCAACTTGAGCGCAATCTATAACGAGATGGCCTCTAAGGGCCACCAGATCGCGTTACACAGTTACACTCACCCGCCGCTAGAGGGTCTACCAGATGAAGCCTCGATCGACTGGGAATACAGCAACGATATCGAAGCCGTCAAGGAGACCTTCAACGGATTGACACCCAAGTACTTTAGACCACCATTCGGAACCGAGGGTGCTCGTATGCGTCAACGATTGGCTGCTCTCATCGACGAGCCTTACATCGTACAATGGAGTGTCGACGTCGAGGATTGGCTCTGGGCTGAATCTGACACCCCGGAGAAGCAACTCGAGGCTTTCAAGCGAGATGTTGCCAAGGGAGGTGACATCGTGGTTATGCACTACCTGTACAACAGCACGGTCAGCTACCTCAAGGAATTCATCGAGATAGCCAAGGCTACCGGTAAGCAGCTGATGCGTGTGGACCAATGTATGATGGACCCCAACGCACCTCCTCTACCGGATGAGGAAGAGTAGAGAAGTGATATCTCAGGGGTACCGAATCCAAAAAGTTTTATCTTATCCCATTCCATGCGTTAGCGTCTAATAAAACCACCATTGTCGTTGAAGTATTTGTAAAAGGCTCCTGACTGGAGATGTTCCGATTTGTTGTGGAAAATGTGACCTTAGTAATCGCCCTTGTAAACCTCCACCTTATGAAGGCGCCATCACCAAGAAATCCACATTTGAAGGTATGTCGACCTGACAAGAGGATTCCTAGCTGCTGCAGTAATATCCCATCATGGCATCAAAACACGACGTCCAATGAACTTTGTGTCTTTTGCATATGTACAACCATAGACTAGCCTACCGCATGAGAAGTTGTAGTGTAGAATAATCAGAAGGTTGCGTGCTCGTCTGCTATGGATGGCGCCGAGGTAGATTTCAATGCAACCAGCGATATGCTGTCACACAACCCTTGAAGATGGCGGGCATCCAATAGTATGTTGTAGATTAATCAGTCCGTTCATGGTATCGATGGCGATATAAATGAAGGGGCTCTTGAACCAGAGCCTTGTGCTATTGTTCTCGTAAATTTCGAAGTAAAGCCCCTTAGAGCCTGTTGTCTACACTCGGGAAATAAATTTAAAGGTCAAGACGAATTAATAAAAGGTCATTGTCGCGGTATCCGTCCGTGTGTAACCATGCCTCTTCCCTCTGACGAAAAGGTCGTCGAGACCAGCGGTGCTATCGTCAGTACATTGCACGGCATTTTCGGACCGCATCCTGGATTGAGACCTGGTACACTCCACCATAGCTTTATCATCCCCTAATTCATGCTAACAAAACACTTTAGCACATGCAAAAGGCGTCTTACTAAAAGGAACCTTCACTCCCACCGAGGCAGCCAAGACCCTCTCCAAAGCACCTCACTTCAACAACCCCTCAACCCCAATCATCGCGAGATTCTCGAGTTCCACTGGAATCCCCGATATCCCCGATACAGACCCCAACGGCAACCCTCGGGGTTTCGCGATCCGCTTCGTCCTAGCCGAAACACCTCGCCGCGTACACACCGACATCGTCACCCACTCGGTCGACGGATTTCCAGGATCAAACGGACAAGACGCTCTTGAGTTCTTCGCCGCGGTTAAGGACGGGTCTATCGGGGACTACTTAGCCTCCCATCCAAAAGCACTAGCTTTCATCCAAGCGCCGAAGCCCACACCAGCCAGCTTCGGCAAGGAAAAGTACTTCGGTGTGAATGCATTCAAGTTCATCGCTGCCGACGGAAAAGAAACCTTTATCCGGTACCGCATCGTGCCCGCAGCCGGGGAGGAGTATCTCGACGAAGCCGCGTTGAAAGATAAAAGTCCGACATTTCTCTACGACGGAGTTCCGGAGCTACTTAAGTCTGGCCCGATCGTGTTCAAGCTAAACGCACAACTCGCAGAAGACGGTGATGTGACTGATGATAACACCGTGAAATGGCCGGAAGAGCGGCAGGTAGTTGAACTCGGTACTATTAAGTTAGAAGCTGTAGCAGATGACCAGGTCGCGCAGCAGAAGAGAATTATCTTCGATCCGATTCCGAGAGTTGAGGGAATTGAGGCGTCCGCAGATCCCCTCCTCGAGGTCCGCGCGGGTATTTATCTGCTGAGCGGTCGCGAAAGACGCGCGGCGTGAGGATTGAATTGTCGTATCCGATTCTGCTTGGATTAGGGGTTGTATAGGAAACTAGATTAATCAATAATCTAGAATGAAGAAAACTTGGATAATTTATGGATGTTGTTCAAGTTGAAGAAGATTTGGAGTGATGATGACAACCCGCCCTGTGACGTTCTAAATTCATAAATTGTTGTTCTTCCTTGATTATGAATGCATAATCTTGTGTGACACGAGTATGCATTTCATTACGCTCTGTTCTTCAATCATGGTAATTTAGTTGGATGTTTAATTGACGTAGGAATTACTCAGACTATAAATGAATTTATTTTTATATTCTTGTCTTCCCATTGATAATATCTACTTGACCAAGTTATTCGACTGGAGGATAGTCAAACTTGGTGCTCATATACCTAAATATATACAAGCCGGTATAAATAAATTCGACCCAGCATTCCTATTCCTCCCAGTCTACTAATTCATAAAATCATATTTCATAAGGCGCTGCGGGTTCTTTAAAAATCAAATGTGGTTTCCTTTTAGCTATATCAAGTATCGTTTCCGCGAAGACACCATTCGCCCCTGCAGCTCGTTAGTATAATTTAGACATAATAAGACTCAAAAACCATATCATTTAAACTTACAAGCAAACCAGCTCCCTAATTAACACGGTTAGTGGAAGACTCTGAATTAAAAGGCTTAATGGACTCACTTGTATAAGAATGAATTATGTTAACATCAACACTTTCGTGTATTAGGCCAAGTTTACTTGACTTAAGCACCAACTTCAGACACTCAGCGATCTCTTCATCGTTATCGGATGTCTGAGCCTGAACGAGAAGACTCATGGGCCACGCATTTGATAATCCAACATGAGGTCCTTCAAAAATTAGTCAGCATATGTCTGGTCACAAACGGGTTTGATCAGACTAACCTCCAATACCCTGGAACTCTCTTCCTGTAAGATAGTAAGGATTCGACCCTTTGGCAAGCAACATACGCCGTGTATTCTTGTAAATCCTATCATTCGCATCAAGAAAACCCATGAGTGGAAGAGCCAAGAGGGACGGATAATTGGCATCGTCCATTAGGATGGACGACCCATACCCATCTACTTCGTATGCGAAAACGTTGCCGAATTTGCTATGACGAACGACACCATGCTCCCAAATACCATCGGAAATGGTTTGGCTCCATGAATCGACTGTCTGGGCTAAAACTGTTTTACCAGCGTCTTTAAGAATGTTGGCGGTTCTCTTCAGTTCCACAGCGATCATAGCATTTGCTGGAATGAAGAAACCTAATATTGTAGCATCATCGCTTGGTCGGAAGGCAGATCGTATAAGTCCGGTTCCATTGTTCAGAGGGTTTCCTACGCCCCTTAGGTTCAAAGTCTCTGTCCCTGTGTTCGTGTTCCGATTGAAAGTATACTCGTTTCGCCGATAACGACCTGTTTCTGGGTCAAATGTTGACATTGATTGTTGTTCAAGAACATTTAACAATGTTTCCAATGCCAAATACCAACGCGGTGTCATGAACTCTTTGGATCCCGTATGATCGTTAAAATCGTTTGCTAAAGCGAGGAAATGCGCAAGCGAATCAAGTTCGTATTTGCACTCGAAGACGAATGTCGGCTCGTACATGGGATGGACTACATCGTCTTGGCCGTTATGAGACACAGGTAACCCACTGATGGGCGGAGGCTGAAAAGCGTTGCAATATGGGGATTCGATGACATATTCGGATTGAGTATTGATAGCGCCCAATATTAAATTGTATATAGCCGGATCTTTCTTGGCTAGAGGTTGGTATGGGGAAAGTTGGTTGGTCGAATCTCTAAGCCATTCGGCAATGATATCTCCCGTAATGACGAACGAGTGCGGCCCCTCCCATTTCCCTTCATCGTATGAATTTCGTTTCGACTTTTTCTTGGCCTTGGTCCCGGTGGTGTGGAATTTGATGGTGGTATCTGTTGTAGACTGTATACATTGTCTCGGTCAATTTCTCGATCATATAGGTGCGACGAAGGAAGATCACGATCAATTAGACTAACAGGGAATGCATTTTCGAATAGACGGGCTAGATCTGGATCTTTCATACGGGAAGTCACATCCTGTATGACTTGTTCTATGGCGTCGGAATGAAAAGTTCGACATCGCGGATCGGGCCTTTGGAAGGGTAGAGACAGAGGACCTTCGCTTAGAGGTCGATGGGGATAGGCCGAATATTGAGTATAATCGGGACATGCTTCTTGGTAGTCGAAGTCATCGTTTAACGGTAATTGTTGTTGGCCGTATGGTTGAGCTCCGGAAGCCAACGTGAGAGTCGAGCACAGGCTTGCTAGCAGCAAGCTTGCGCCTATTGAATTCATCATCGATGCGGCAGGCAAGCTTGCTGTAGCTCTATATAGGAAAGGTCAAGAATTGTTCATGGGGAAAAGGAATGAAGATATGAGTTTGACTCGATAAAAGATGGGAATAGAGGATTGAAATAAAATGGAATAAATCAAAATCGGAGCAAGGAAGACCGCATTCTGCAGGGTCCTGATGCGGATCGTCGCAGCGGAAAGAGACGCTGACAGTTACCCGATATAATGGTAATAGCTTACCTAACAAGCCTAAGAAAGCCTAAGTCCCCGCCCTATAAGAACTGCCATAACTCTAATATAGCCCCGCAAAATAGCCCTAGAGCCCCTCGGAATTGAAAGCTCCAGTTCCAGCTCCAGTGAAGCTTCATCCCTGCTAACGTCATAGTAAGCCTAGCATTTCTACGATAGGTATACGCATGATAATCTTCTAGAAGCGCGTAGTTTCAAGTCCCACTTTGAAACATTTTTATATGTCATTTTGTCTAGAATTGTATTTGATATTCGCGATTTATCCCCTTGATATACAGAAGATCTATTTTGATAGTCGAAATGAGAAGCTGTAAACTGTGCCAAGGTATGGAAAGGGAAGAACTGTGAGCAAATAATTTATCGCAAAGATCTAGAAACTTAAACGAGAAGTAAACTCTCAATCGACCCATGTTCAATTGCTATAATTTATGGGGCTTCATAGAGCTTAGCTTATCTTATTTCTTATCGTACCTAGGTAGCTTATGTATTTCCATTTCATTTTCTGTTCCTCAATCCAACAAATTCCGTCCTCAGATGTCCGCAGCAGAAACCATCACGATTTCCGCATCGTCCGCTCTCACTTTTTTCTGTTGAGTCACTGAGATGGCTCATGATGTTTCAATAATTACCTCATCTCGTCCGCCTTAAACTTTTGCACCTTCCTTACGACTTAGAATATCTTATTAATCATGCTGTCTCTTTCAATGCGCGCTCGTATGGGCTCGCGTGCAACTAATGGGCCTTTCATCCGAACTATGGCCTCGGCCCGGCGGTCAGCCCTTGAAACTCTCCCATCTTCGCCAATTCGAGTTATGCGCACCGTTGAAGCAGTTAGACGATGGAGAAAACCTCAGTACCTCGACCATAGGATCGTTGGATTGGTCCCTACCATGGGAGCCTTGCATGAGGGCCACCTTTCTCTAATCCGCACCGCAGCTCGCGAAAGCCATCATGTTGTCGTCAGCATATATGTGAACCCGGCCCAATTTGGAATCAAGGAGGACCTGTCTTCGTATCCCGTAACCTGGGAGTCGGATTGTAAAATCCTAGCTGAGCTGGATCGTGAATTGGCCGATGATGGCGGGAATTTAGGCCGCATTAGTGCTGTTTTTGCACCAACTACCCCTGAGATGTATCCTTCGGGTTTTCCGGGCCAGGAAGTTGATTCTAAAGGAAGCTTCGTTGTTTTAACCCCTATAAGCGAACTTCTCGAGGGTGGTACCCGGCCGACATTTTTCAGAGGTGTCGCTACCGTTTGCATGAAGTTGTTCAACATTGTACAACCTGAAAAGGTGTACTTTGGCCAGAAAGATGTACAACAAACCGTGGTCATCCGGAAAATGGTCAGAGATTTTATGCTGCCGACGGAAGTTATCACCGGCCCTACCGTCCGTGAATCCGATGGCCTTGCTTTAAGCTCTCGAAATGTTTACCTCGGCGAGCGACGACGAAAAGCAGCTACAGTACTACACAAGTCACTTAAGGCTGCCGAGTCCCAGTATTTGGATGGGGTTTTAGACCGGGACTCGATACTAAAGGCTGCTAATAATGTAGCCACTGACGTATTGAACGAGCAGTCGGCATTATCCTCTGAGAAAAGGGTGAAATACGAGGTGGACTATATCTCTCTTGCGGATCCCCTATCAATGGAGGAGATAACTCAAGTCGATCCCAAAATAGGCGGTATTCTCAGCGGCGCATTCAAGATGTTACCCGTCGAATCACCACAGCCTGACGAAGATTTAGGCCATAGCGGCGGCCCAGCGGTGCGACTCATAGACAATATCATTCTGAAGCCATCTGCAGAAATCTAGACTAGACCAGTTTTGAAATATACCCAAAAAGTTTATGGATACCTAGCCAAGAATCAACTCGCATCATTGTCTTTCCTTTGCTTTCCATATTATTGGTTGACACTTACACTTTCACAGAAAATCATGCCGGCGGATCTCAATTACGAGGCTTCTATGGGACATGCATAAAGCGATCTGAAATACGATGTATACTAACTTTAACTACATGAGATCCTCCATTCCTCGTCATTGTCACAGAATATGTACGAATTAGCATGCAGTTCTACCAGCATTATCTCATCCATTAGGATTGATTCCCCCCTTCTACGAGTCTATTCCCCACTTTGCGGAGTCTTACAATGATGGACTCCGAGTGGTATGCACTACCGTTTTATACCTGACTCGGCTTAGGGAGATGCATTAATTATGTAGGCACAGGAATATTGGGATCATAAATCCCCGCAACCAAAAAAATAAGGATTACCTATTCCATTCCATTCCCACCTCGATTTCGCCCAACCTTCAATCCTAACTATTACTCCTAAAAAAAACTACACTAGATTGTTCCTTGCGTTCAATTAAACTCGCAAGCTTTTCTAGAGCATTTAACTAAATTTATAATTATTTTTATTAAAAAGGGGAACATTAAAATTATTCCCCTGTCGATCATTCAATTCGTCTCCAATTGACTGCGCTACGGTCACTCGTCTAACTTATACACCATATATAGTAGTAGGACGAAAAGGGACGCGGGGCACCTATCAATCCTCCAATGCCGAGTCCGCCTACGGCCGTCTCCGCTCCGGGCAAGGTTCTCCTGGCCGGAGGCTTTCTAGTCCTCGACCGTCAATACACCGGTTTGGTATTCGGTCTAAGTGCTCGCATCAATGTTATCGCCCAGGAAATCAAGACTAGCAAAGGTGTACAGCTGAGCGAAATTATTGTCGATAGCCCTCAGTTCCTTGACGCTCAATGGCGATACGGTTATCACCTTGCTCCTGAGGATGGGGGTATCAAGCTGACACAGCTGCAAGTGTAAGTCCGTTTCCTTCGCACACTCTTACTTTTACTTTTATTCTCTCAATCTTACACTTTCTACTGTCCGGACATATCGGGTGTGATCAGCACAAATTGAGCATTTCCTATCGTGAGATTGTACATCCAATCTATGGCTTTTGGTGCTATTCATGTTGTACCACATCAAGCCGTCTTTTTTCTCACCCAACAATTTCCCAACATATCTTTCACACCTACTTCCATTTATCGCATTCTGTCGCATCATCATATTATGAAAATATTCATATTCACCCACACAAAACACTTATTAACTCCGACTATAGCGGCGAAAAAATAAGCCCCAACTCCTTTGTTGAGATCACCCTCGCTTATGCCCTGACATACATTATCACCGCGGGGAATCTTAAAATGTTCGACCCGGTGCAGCTCACCATCCTAGCTGACAATGACTACTACTCGCAACCACATTCTTCCTCTACCACCCCTTCATCAACAGGCCGCTTCGCCAAATTCCCGACCGGGATAAAGGACACCAACAAAACAGGCCTCGGCTCCTCCGCAGCCCTGGTAACTTCTTTAACCGCCGCACTACTAACTTACTACCTGCCGCAATCAATCTTCAACCTGGAAACCGAACAAGGCAAACACACACTGCACAACCTAGCCCAAGCCGCGCACTGCGCAGCCCAAGGCAAAGTAGGTTCCGGCTTCGACGTCGCAGCCGCCGTCTTCGGCGGGTGCGTATACCGCCGTTTCTCCCCATCCGTCCTACGCGATCTCCCCGAAATCGGTGCCCCCGGTTTCGCGCCGAAACTTAAAGCATGTGTTGAGAACGCGGATAGTAAATGGGATACGGAAGTATCCAAGGATAAAGCCGTCATGCCGACTGGTGTCGCGCTACGGATGTGCGATGTAGATTGTGGGAGTCAGACTGTGGGTATGGTTAAGCAAGTCTTGAAATGGCGCGAGCAGGGTGATCCACAGGGGGCGAAGGAACTTTGGGATGAGTTGCATGCTAGGAATGAGAAGCTTGGGGATGTACTTTCTGGTGCGAAGAAAGATGAGATCCGTGATACGGTGGTGGGTGTTAGGGAATTGGTTAGGAAGATGGGTGAGCAGAGTGGTGTTCCGATTGAACCGTCTAGTCAGACGGAGTTACTCGATGCGCTGACGCAGAAGGTTGAGGGCGTGTATGCGGGTGTCGTGCCTGGTGCTGGTGGGTTTGATGCTGCGGCTTTGTTGGTCAAAGACGATGAGGTGACTGAGAAGAGGATTAGAGAGTTTTTGGAGGGGTGGAGTAAGGAGAAGGGTGGGAAGGTTCGGTTGTTGGATGTTAAGGGGGAAATGGAGGGTGTAAGACGGGAGGGTTTGGGGGTGTATGAGGGGTGGTTGTGATGTTGATGTGAACCTTCTATGAAGTGAGAGGAAAAAAGAAAAAGAAAATAGATAGGAGAGGAATTTGTCTCAAGCGAGCTTTTAGGTTAGCTTTATATCTGGCTTTAGAATTATGAATGAAAACTGTGGTCAAACCTCGTGAGAGATGCATTTGCAGGACGAGCGACTTAACCTCATGTGGCTTCATATGGAGCCAGAGTTTGGCTAATAATCTACGCTAAACACAACTACTAAAACACAAATCACTTCAAAATACAAAGTCACCGTTAAAAGCCAAAGTTTGAGAAATATCATATATTCATATCTTCACCTCATAGCATGCCAGCGAAACCCCCTCCTTTCCGTTCCGTGGGAATCGAATGCAAAAGCCAATTAATTAACGCCGTACCTTGTCGATCCTAGATACCGGGGGGAAGGCCAGACTTTTTGACTATGTACTGGGCCGACCATGCATGAATGCAAACCAAGCAAGAATTCAAAGCAATCGTGTTTGTGTGTCCATCCATTGTCATTAAAAAAGAACTCCCCTTAAAAAACCTAACGCCTCGTATTGCCAGAAGTGAAGGACGGAAATGAGAATATGGAAGGCGAAGATCTTCTAGTGTACTATGCCGGTAGTGTACACTTTGTGCGGATGTGTGATGTTTTTCGGGGTTGGTGTGTCGGTTGGGTGTCGTGTCGTGTTATAGTGTGTATTTCGGATTCGGGTGTTGTATGTAAAATAGTCGTTGTTTTGGGGGAATCATCACCGTTTCATTACCATCCTCTATCTATAGATATTGATGCTCCTAAGGAAAAATCGAAAGTAGCAAAGCGAGAAAAGGAAAAAAAACGTAAATCTCGTGTGTCGGTAAAATACAACAGGCTAGTTTGCCTATCGCCGCAAGGGTATTGTCCGGTAAGTTAATAGAGGATAGACTCCTGTTGTACGACCCAGGTAGGAGAATATCAAATATGGCCGAACCGAACCGAGTCAACCCAAGTTGTGCAACGCGGTTAAGTCCCTTGGTAGGAACAGACGACAGATAATTGTCGCCATCATTGAAATACTAGTTAAGTCAGACATCCTTTCACTTGTGTCTTTTGCTAGCCGACTACCAGCTCAGACAAGAAATATGGACATGGATGTCTTAGATGAGGTTCTCGGCAGGCGAGATGGGGGTGCTAGGTGTGACCTAGTGAAATCATTAGTTCTCTATACTGCATGTAGCTATACAATGAGAATGTAACTTACCTTGACAACCGGGGTAACGGGTCGCAGAGTAGGCGGAGCGGGAGCCTTTCGCGGGCTGCGAATGTCCGAAGGATCGGCGACACCGCTCATCATGCGGGAAGCGGCCGCCTGCTCCTTTAGAATTGCGATCCTGTGAACGCGGAGAAAGGGTTAGTTTCAAATTTTAGTTGCTTACGTACATCTCCGCGGACAGGATTGAGGCGATGCAAAGGCTTCAGGTCCTCACGCTGATTGGATAAAATACGAGCGGTGAAAACACTCAAAAGAAAAATAAGGGAAAGGAGAAAAAGGAGAATAGGATGCTTACTCATCTTCCGAAACACCCGGTAGCGAGAGGGTCTCGTGCTTGAAGTCAAAAGGCGCCGACTATTAAAAACAAAGATGTTAGTGATGACATAAAAATCAAAGGAATGATAAGGATTAGGTAAGAATCAGGCACAAGATACGCAAAGGGGACGTGTGTCTAATACCTATTCTAGGTAGGTAGGTAAAGACGTAGGCGGCTTGTAGGATTGATGAAAGAAAAAGGAGTCAGCAACGTCAGCAACTTACAATTTGTAGAGCTGGCTTCTCGGAGGACGCCGACTTGGACTTGACGCCGATAAGCTTCTGGAGTCTTGCGGCGAAGACGCGGAAACCACCAACGCAGCCGGCCATTTTGTCGGCGTTGTGTAAAATGAATGATGGTTTAAAGTCGCAGAAAATAATACAAGATGATGTGAAGGTTGAATGGATGGTCGCGTCGCCTTAATTAAAAAAAAAAAAGGTGCAAGTAACGTTGTCAGTGGTGGGACAAGGAGGGTGCGGCGGAATGGTAGAGAAAGGTTGCAGATTGATCGGGTACAAAGAAAGGGCAAATAATAATAAATAAAAATGATGGAAGGTGGATTTGGTAGTAGAATTGAAATTGGGAAATTGAAAAAAAGTGAATGAATGCTTCGCCGAATTGGAAGTAGAAGGCAAAAGAGTTAGGCAAACAGAAAGAATGGTCTGCCTAGCAACGGATTGTGGTTGATAAAGAACAGGTGCAAGTGAGCCAAAGTGAACCAGTAAAAAAAAGATAGGCAAGTTTAATAAAATTGAGGTTTGGAGTTTGAGGTTTGTTTCGTGCCGACGAATTGCGATTTGATTTGATTGATTTATTCGATCCCAAGTGCCCCCAGCGCGCCGTGCCCAGTACCTAGGCAATGCAGGCGGTGCAGAAATGGCAAGTGCAGTAGCTAAAAGGTACTAATTGATTGGTATAATCAAAGGACCTAAGCTACCTAACCTTAAAAACTGATAGACCAGGTCCAGGTAGATACATCCGAATACATACACATATACTGCATATAGCAGGTGCACTATATATCGTATCGTATCGTATCGATGTAAGTGATAATAGGTATGCAATGTACCTAAACTGGAAACTGGGAATATCGAAGCAGTTGACGATTGATCAACAATCAAATCATGCAAGCAATGAGTCTACCAAAACTTGGGACTAAAAAAGGCAACCCGACTTTTTAAGAAAAAGAGCGGGAACTATTTTCTTTGCTGGATGAGAGATGAGACGGAGAAAAGAAAAAAAGTAACCACGTGGGATATCCGTAAGAGTTGTCCGCCCTGTAGGATTATGAGTCGAGGCGATAGCGGAGTACGATGATGGATGATGGTGATGACGACGCGACGACAACGAGAACTAACTATCTGATCCACACGCCTCTTGTCTAACAAGTATCAGGTACTGCAGGTAATGCTGAAGTTTGCTTGTTAAAAAAAGAAAAGAAAAAGACGGAAGAAGGCGGTCGGTTGGCTTATGCCGTTATCGTTATTACTTGGCTCGACTACCCAGGTGCCCAGTTGGTTCGTTCGTAAGTCTGACAGATCGTCCCGGAGCGGGGGGAAGAAATAGCTGAATAGGCTTTAAAAGCGTTAGAGGCAGATCGTTGCTGCAGCCTTAGTGAATGCAAGATTCTATAAAGATGATAATAGTAGTAATGGTAATAATAATAAGAATAATAATCATAAAAGAACGTGATGCTCTCTCCAGATTAGCGATGACCAGCTGATGAACTAATCCTAGATGGATCGATCGGGATTGATGTCATAAAAGACCGAAGAAATTCGAGACCAGCTATGAGAAAATCTCTCGTTCTCTTATTGAATCGAAAAAAGAATCGAACAAAATCAGGTACCACGATAAAAGAAATGAATGTGTTGCTACGAATGTCAAAAAATAATTAGAAGACCCTCATCTTTTCAAATACATACCACGTAGAACCAGTCACTCGACGCCAGGTAACTCAAGTATAATACATAATTACCATATCGTCACTCAAATTACAAAAGAAGGAAAATAAAAAAAAGTTGGCAGGCTCCGGAATGTGGCAATGGTATCTGCGACAAGGGGGTCATCTAATAGTATGTAGGTACGAATAACTAGGTACCTACATTTCTGCAAGTTAAGGGTCCTACAGTGATAATCAATAATAATACGGAAGATACGATGATCTCATTCGTAGAATGGCTCGCATGTAATCGGTATCATTGGTCCATGAGTTGTTTCGAAACACCAGCATTGAGACACAATCTTCAGCTTGCATAATACATTAATACACCCCTCGCCCTTCCGAGCCTGCATGAAACAGGAACACATGCTGCCAAAAAAGGGTCCATTCCCACCCAATCCTTCCAAGAAATAAATGGCGTGTCCATTCCAGAACAAACCAGTCATCAGAAAATCCCCGGCATTACACTATTGGTTCGCATTTCGAACCTACTTCGGGTAATCCTTCAGGTGGTAGCTCTTCAGCTTCACAAATTGGTCAAAGCCAAATCTACTCAGGGTAACTCCTTTGCCTGAGTTCTTCCATCCCGTCCATGCCAGATCCTACACCAAAAAAATATTAGCAACATATATCATATGAGCATTTTCCTAATTTTGATTTGAAGAGGCAGTGTATGAATGATACAAAAAGAAAAACGAAAGAAGAAAAAAAATGTCATACCGGGCTAGGGAAATCCGCGCGATTGACAAAGACTGTTCCAGCTTCAACTTGTTCAGCTAATTTGTAGCCCGTTTCTGTGTCTTTTGTCCATATGCTGGCAGTGAGGCCAAATTCGCTTTCATTCATGAGTGTCACAGTCTCATCGTCGCTCTTGACCTTCATCACGGAAATGACCGGACCGAACGTTTCTTCCGTCATTACTGTCATACTATGATTGACATCGACTAAAAGAGTGGGTTTAACGAAGTTGCCCTTCGTCGGCAGACTGGAAAACGTCGGATTCTCCGGTGTTAGGTCCTTTGCACCTTTGCTCAAAGCATCTTGGATATGGGACTCGACGGTTTCCTTGGAACGCTTCGAAATAACTGGTCCAATCTGAGTTTCCTTTTCTAGTGGATCACCGACCTTGTAGTCCTTCAATACCTTCTGCACAGCTTCGACGAATGGGTCATAAATCTTTGCATCGACGTAAACTCGTTCAATAGCACAGCAGCTTTGCCCGGAGTTAAAAATGGACCCATCGACTATCTCAGCAGCCGCCCAGTCGAGGTCCACGTCTCCCCTGACGTATGCGGGATCTTTACCGCCAAGCTCCAGACCAACATTGACTATCCGATCGGATGCCGCCTTTTGCACTGCCAAACCTCCTGCAACGGACCCAGTAAAACAAATCAAGGATATCTTGGAGTTTCGCACCACGGATTCCATCATTAGCGGTGAACCACAATGGAAATACTGCAGGACACCAGCGGGTAGTCCCGCCTCAGCGAAGACCTTGGTAATCTGCTCCACTATCGTGGGAGTCTGAGGGGACGGTTTTAGAATCACAGTATTACCAGCAAGCAACGCTGGTATGAGTGAATTAACTAAGATTAAATAGGGATACTGAGAGAGTTAGTTAAGTTTCTGTTAAGTGCTAAGGAGTAAATAGGTATAATAGGTTGTCTCACATTCCACGCGAAGATGACAAGGACAGGTCCAACAGGCACTTTGCGAATGAATCGCTTGAAGCCCTTTTCCGGTTCGCCATCTGTATCTTTCAACGTGTCTTCGCTTATTTTGACTAGGTAGTCTGCGCGCTTTATGGCCGTGGTGACTGATACGTGGTTAGCCTAGTAGGCTTGGTTATCTAGTATGAGAAGTGGGATGAGCTTTACTTTCAACGCCGGTATAAGCAATAGGTCGTCCCATCTGGACGGTAAGCTCTTCAGCAAGCTCATCTTTTTTCTTTTCGAGTAGCTTTAGTGCTTTCTTTACTATGATTTGGCGGTCTGTTAACGATGTCTGGCGCCAGCTCTGAAACTTTTCGGCAGCGATCTTAGGGATTTCTTCCAACTCGGACGCCGTAACGCCATTGCGTGTCAATATCGGCTCGTTTGTAGTAGGTGAAATAGTTGTAAGGACTTCTACAGACATTGTTTCGATTTTGATTCCGAGAACAATAAATTTAAAGTAATGGAATAGTCCTTATGAACTCTCTGAGAATTAACAATTGACTTATATTAACTCTAGCCCTAGAGATATTGTATCGGACCTTGTCTTTTGGAGAACAACGTCACTGATTAAGATCTTGGTGGGGGATCAACGACCCCGCAAACGCCGAGTACTGCTTATCTCGTGTAACGACCCTTCTTATCGATTACAAGAATCTTTTGTTATCGGGAACTTTTCTCAAGACTGTCTCCATTTTATTTTTCTTACCATTAAACCATTCAACAAAAACATTGGATGACCCTCTGCAAGACAATTACTGCTGCGTCCATTCAATATATACAATTTCACTACTTACAATGGCGCCGGAAAAAAGAAATAACTTCCTAGATGCGGACGAAAGCGAAGATGATGGCAGTCAAGGCTACGATTCAGAGGCCGAACAATTACAGAAAGGCGGTCGAGTCGCGAAGCGTCGCAAATTGAGTGACGGCGCTACCAGCGACGAAGACGAAGATGAAATCTTCAGCGCGGGAGAAGATCTTGAAGGGGATGAGGACATAAAACAAGGAACTTCGCAGGAAGAAAAGGAAGAATCGTTGGAGATAGTAGAGGAAGACCAACCGAAACCCAAGAAAGACCTACAACTAGAACTACCAGACATCTCGCGTCCACTTACCAAAAAGAATTTGGTAGCTACAGAAGCTGCAGTCAAGAAATCCGGTCTCGTTTACCTCTCGCGAATACCCCCCTTTATGAAGCCTGCGAAACTACGATCCCTACTTGAACCATATGGGAAGATCAACAGGATATTTCTCACACCCGAAGATCCCCAAGAACGCGCGCGACGGATTAGACATGGTGGGAACAAAAAGCACATGTATACCGACGGATGGGTGGAATTTGTCAACAAGAAAGACGCAAAGAAGGCCGTTGAATTGCTGAATGCCCGAACTATCGGCGGAAAGAAGAATACTTATTATCGTGATGACATCTGGAACCTACTTTATCTCAAAGGTTTCAAGTGGGACAATCTCACGGAACAGATCAATTCAGAGATGGCCGAAAGGACGAGTCGAATGAGAGCAGAAATCAGCAAATCAACCAAAGAGAATAAGGAATTCGTTAGAAATATCGAGAGAGCTAAAATGCTAGAGGGGATACAGGCCAAGGCAGCAACGAAAAGAAGCAAAGATAACATCTCTAAGGCAAGAGATCCCGAAAGTTCTCGGAATGCGTTGAAGTTCAAGCAAGCTTCTGTGGTCAAGAAAGGGGTGAACAAGGCTCCCGAGGAAGCTAAACGAGTTCTGAGCAAGTTATTTTAATCCAATTGATAATGATACCCATGGTTTTGGCTTATGCCTAGAACACTAAAATATGGCACTCGTGCATTTGACGGGATATAACGTCGCGGTTTTTCTGGAGTTTCCATGAAGACCACAAATACGGACGCAGCTAACTGCACAAACCACAGTTCTATAGCCCTCGATATTAGGTGATAAGCCTTACACACCTCATCAGTGTACAAAATAGCGCCATTACCATCCTAGCATACGCTTTCCAGAGTCAATAACTACGTCGCTCAGGCTCTCGTATGTTGTCTTTCAACATTCAACATGATCCAGGTTCCAGTACATGACAGAGAGACCTCGATAGCAGCGCTGCTCGAGAGTTACAAGGATGTTACCGCCAACGAAAACCCCCGCAATATGAGCCTAGATGAGGCTATTCTAGTCTTAAATCTGTCCACCTGGTCTACGGCGAGTGTCACCTCGTTCAACGAAGACCCCTCACCGCCTTCTTTTTCCCATTCTCCAAGATACGTATTCCCAGAAGGCATGTGGGCGTACTATATATATCATATGTACCTTAGGATACGCTTTTGTAAATACCTTAGATACCCCAGCAAGTATCTAAAAGACGTACCAGTGGTGTTGTATATTTACGCCACGATTCGTCTCATAATCGCCGGGAGTGATAACGTTGACTTATTTGACTACCTTCAAACTAAGTACGTACCACCCACACCGCACGATATCAGAGAGAGGAGAAAAGACCGTGTCCAAGATAGCACCACACATAACGTCGAAAGTGATAACACGCCACCTACCAAAGGAGATCTCGACGAATTCGATGACAAGGAAAAACAACCTGGCTGGATAGGTTGCGAAATAAGATGTCTTCGCGCAGAGTTAGCATTTAACAACATAGTTCAAGACGAGGGTCCTAAATGGATCCCTCATTACTACGGTTCTCCCGCCCATCATATCCTCCATGGCAAGCGATATAAAAAGAAAACCCATTACCAACGCGCAGTTACTAGAGGGGAACAAATCAAGAAAAGACTCGAATATCTCATAAATTTCAAGGAACAACCACCGCCCGCCAAAGCCCCCGATGTTCCTACGCCGCCTTCGGTTCCCTTGAAGGATCAAGTTGCTCCCGTGGAGACAGCTACCGAGACGGTTACTGAGGGTAGTCCCCCAAAACGTAAAATACTCGAGTGCAATTCTCCGAGTAAACGTGGTCCTCCCAAAAGAAAACGACGACGTGATCCTAACTGGGTCCCTGTTTTCGCACCTCTTCCTTCCCCGTGACTTAAGGATACTACCAGGATAACATAAACAACCACCGAGTCAGTCACAAACCGGGGTGTTGGCATCTAAACTCTTCTTACGGAGTCTACACTGAAATTTATTATAAGACGAACAGCCCCAATGACGAGGGTGCCACATACGTATTTTAGGGATTCGTTCTGTCTAGGGAGAAAAGAAACCCTCGAGTATATCTCGTAGACGTTAGCACCTTATTAAATGAAATATTCTACTTATATGAAGGGGTGAACTACGAAATAGCTAATGTAACTCATATGACTGATAATTGCTATCACTTATTATTTCACACACGTCGGAATTCATTACCAAATCCACTGATGTGGCTCTTAAATCTCACGGTATTAAGACAAGAACATTTTACTAATTCATTCATTCATTAATATCTATTTTCCCAACCGCAACACCGACTCAAACCTAGTCACAACCGTAGTCGTGGTATGGCTATTTTCCCCTAAGCCCCCTGATCCTCCATAGTAAGTTCATCAAAGTCCTCAAGAAGCTCATTCATATCGACTTGCGGGGCATCATCATCCCCATCGTCATCCGTAGTCGCCATAGACATCTCATCGACCTGCTTCTTGCGCGGGGGTTGTTTATATAACTGTACACCCTGTCTGAACTCGTCGTCTTCCTCGATATCACGCAAGAACTGCTCAAACTCGCGGTCCATGCGGTCTTGGTCGGCTTTCTTGGGTAACAGCTCGCCCTCGTCGCGTGCCATACGCTTAACCTTCCACGTCCGCTTGCGGTTGCGTCGGCGGTTCGGATAGTGCTTCTTGACAACTACTACGTCCGGGATTCTTGACCCATATGTGTTTGATGATTCTATGGCTTCGAATTGTGGGTTGTTGAAGTTGGTACCGGTAAGCATGTATCCCATGACTGAATCACCCGCGTGTAATAGACCGCCGAGATGTGTTCGTGCGAAGTAGGTTCGGTCGTTAACACCTAGGTCGGAGGCTCGCGCAAGTTGTGTCTCGGCAAGAATCCATTTTCCTCGCGTTGGGCCCGAGGGCTCGCAGTCCATCACGATGAACTCGACTAGGTCTTGGGCGTCGGCGAGCGCAGCGAAGGGCGATCGCCAGTATACAGGTGCGCTGATGTCGGCTGTTTGGAGGGTATTCGGATCTAAAACGTTGATAGATGTACCGATTCGGTAGCATATTGCGAGTGGGGAGATATTGCCAATTTGCTTGGCTAGAGGAATAGGTAGAGCGACTAGATCATCCTTGCAAACGGGTATTAACTCGACAGAGAAAGTGAATTTGTATGACTTCTTAGAGGTGTGGACATCTTGGGAAATGAGTTCTTGGGATTTCTTGACTCGCACAGGCACGACCGAATTCAGGAAATCCACGAATTTCTCGGCTTGGTTTCGGGCGGAAAAGAAAAAGTCGATACCATCTTTCGCCTCCTTGATGTTGATGGTTTCTCGGTGGGCGCCGTGTTTCAGGATTAGTTGTTCGAGGTATAAAAATGTTCTTTTGTGTAACACCTTTTGCCGAACTTGTACGCTCGCTCTCCATACGTTGGCCGTATATGACTTGGCGCACTCTGGGCATTGTTGATACGCAACAACGTACACTACCTCTATAGCCTGTTGCATCACCCGATCATCTGCTACGGCGGCCTGGATAACAAGCTTCACTCGTACTCGTCTCGAATGTGGCTCTGTCCATATGAAGCTTGCGTCGATTATCCTTGTTCGGTTAAGGCTCAATTTCTTTAGACATAATGCTAGGAGTTCGCGAGATTCGGGTTGGGCATTTACCCAACTGGAAGGTGGTTGTAGCCATCGGTCGCAGTCTCGGCAGAAATGAAGGGTTGCTTCTCGTTGAATGCCTTGGGAGATATCTTTGGTAAGTTTGAAGCAATCGTAACATTTGGCATCGATCGCTGTTGTGCCGTCGATAGGAGCCCCGCAGTCGCAACAGAATATGGTCGCAGCGCCACCGGTAGTTATCCCATCTGACGGGGCGATCGAGATAGGAGCGTCTACATCTATATCCATCGACATGGCGACGGCTTGCCGATTTATACGTAGACAGTGATGGTAGGTGTTTAGTGAAGGGTGTTGATGAATTGGTTTAGGATGGTGGGGGAGATTTTTGGATAAGAAAAATATCTAGAAATCGCATTGCCCCTCGATTGATAAGCAGGGTTATCGCCACTAGCTCCCTTCCATGCTTACCTAAACAGCCTTTTTGGGAGAATTGCTGACATAATACTATTTTGTGCAACAAAACCGGTATTTTAGGTAAGCACAATTGCTTACATAATAACGTATGTAATTACTTACTAATACCCTCTTTACTTCTTTCTCCCTCCATTTTCACTGTTCAAGTTTATTTCTAGCATATTTTTACGAAGGAGTTTATCCCTCGTATTCCACGCCCGTCGCTGTCGTTTCTAATTCCGTAGTTATACGCTATCATGAACACCAAGAATGGCGCAGCCAGAGCAGCTAGAAGTGTTAGCATTAAAAGTTATCAACATTGGGTCTCGACGTCCAGGTACACACTGTCCTAACACCGCTTGCAGCCTCATCGGCTATAACGCCCTCCACCAAATTAGAAATAAACTGTGTTTTAAATATTATAGGCGCTTAACTCCAAGAAACGATCGTAATTGCGGCCAAGACGCGCATTTCATGCGTACGATCACCACCAAGGGGCTAGAACTTGAGTGCAAGACGATGTGGAGTGTTATATCGAAAAATGGATTTGGGTATTAATAATAGAGGTTTCGTTATTCTGATTCAACATAGTACACTTTTGAAAAGTATGCTTTTGAATTCGCTTCGGATTGAAGTTCCGATCTTGCATCGCGCTCTTCTCCGGTTTCTCGTTATCCTCTTTCCCGAGCTACGGCTGTCTCCGATGGGCTTCGGAACCGAATGCGGATACATATTTAGACCCGAATCCGGATTCATCTCTTTGATATAGTTGCCGACGATATCGCGTAACAGGCGCCAGTTGTCGTCGACGTGTTGTCGATAGTACTACAGTATCATCGAATATTTTAATTATTATTCAACATTATCTCCGCATTCTCCCCTATAGGTTCCTTGCAGATATTCACTTGCTGCTTGGCGTGGAATACGGACACGTCGCCGTGGGAGTCATCCAGGCTAAGCTGAACGAAGATGCTGTTACTCATTGCATTTGTTAATATATACTCACGTTCCAGCTAGACAGGTTAGTGTAGGACAAAGAGAGGGGCAACGATCGCGTATAAGATACGTCACGGGATCGGGGTCTAGATGGAGGTTGGTTGCAATTACAACAGCCGGCTGAATGACGTGATCGACCTCCGCGATAGCAACATCGGTGTAGTTCGAATCACCAAGCCATTGGGGCGCGGGGACCTACCAAACACCCAGCCAGCCAGAAGCTTGGAATGCTCCGATCGGATATCGGATCTGATAAGGGCGTTTAGATGGAGGGTACGACAAACCAAGAAATGGGGGGATAGTATGGCGTAGGGGCGAATTCGACTTTTCCTATTGGAACGGCAGATGGTTTGCGTGATAACGACCTTGCTCGCACATCACTATAGCTTAAACGATCGGGTGTGGCTATGTTTGGGACTATATAATGGTCGAAAGGAGCTCATCTATTCTAGATTTCCTAGGTGTGAACACCAAAAGCACAAGCCTAATAATAATCTCACCCAGTTTATAGCTATGGCTCCTTCTGCTACTACCACCGTTACCGAGACTGTGACTCTGCCACAGCACCTTAAGACCCCTCGGGGCTTCGGCGCATACAAGGAGATAGCTCCTACTAAGTACGACAAAGAAGTCGAGGAGGGCAAGACAGGACTCAAGGCAGCCAAGGTAAGAAGACTAATACTTCACGAAAAAAAATATCATCGAGACTAATCTATCCATTCCTAGTATCCCAACTATCTTCCAACATGGAACCCTGAGCAGAAGTATGGACCTCTCGGGCCATTTGAGCACTACGAGCACGGCAAGGATGCCGATACCTCGTTCCCGGAACTCCTCCCCGAGGGCTCCGAAGTCACGCACCTAACCCCGACCATCGGAACTGAGGTCCGTGGGGTGCAGCTCAGCACCCTGAGCAACGCTGGCAAGGACCAACTCGCGCGATTCGTCGCCGAGCGCAAGGTCGTCGCATTCCGCGCACAGGACTTTGCGGACCTGCCCATCGCAGAGGCGCTTGAGTTCGGTGGGTACTTCGGACGTCATCACATCCACCCGACGTCGGGTAGTCCCGAAGGACACCCCGAAGTGCATCTCGTGCACCGCGGCGAGGGAGACAAGGGCCATGAGACTTTCTTCGAGAACCGGACAAGCTCCGTCGCTTGGCACAGTGACGTCAGCTACGAGCGACAGCCTCCTGGAACCACTTTCCTGTACATCCTTGACAAGCCTGAGACCGGCGGCGACACGCTGTTCGTTAACGCCGTTGAGGCGTATAACCGTCTAAGCCCGCTATTCCAGGAGCGTCTGCATGGATTGGAGGCTACGCACTCAGGTATCGAACAGGCAAATGCGTCGAATGCGAGGGGCGGAATTCGCAGACGTGAGCCTGTGGTGAATGCTCACCCAATTGTCCGCACGCACCCCGCTACAGGCGAGAAGGCGCTATATGTGAATCCTCAGTGTAAGTTGAACCGCATCCCTCTAACGATGCCCTTTACCCACTTCATGCTTTTTTGGTGGTAAAATAAGCGCTAATTGTAACCCGTAGTCACCCGTGACATTGTCGGCCTCAAGAAGGAAGAATCTGACGCCATTCTGAAATTCCTGTACGACCATCTCGCATACGGCGCTGACTTCCAGGCGCGCGTCAAGTGGGAGGAGGGAACCGTCGTGGTTTGGGATAACAGAGTTACACAACACTCGGCGCTGCTTGACTGGAAGAGTGGACAGCGCAGGCATCTCGCCCGTATCACACCCCAGGCTGAGAAGCCGTTCCAAACTCCATACGTAGCCTCGTCGTGAGTTTTGACGAATGGATGGATGTATAGGTACCTTATGTCATATAAAACCTGGAATAATATCATCTGCATGTTTTGATTGTGTCTTGCTGGCTTCTGCTGCGGCTTTTCGTTGCTCTCGCATACGCTTGCGGTCTTCTTGGCGTCGCTTGAGGGTGCTGAAAAGGCCACCGTCGGAATTTTCATCCGATAAGTCGGTTTCTTTAGTAGATATAACTTCTGACCTTTGCCTAGTAGGTGCTGGTTTCGCTGGATGCGATATTTGGGTATCTTTCGTGAGACTTTGTGTTGTTTTCGGCTTCGGCAATTGAAACGGAGATGGCGATGTTTCTCTGTCCGGCTTCACGGGTACCCTAGTAGACGGCGCATCTAGATCATCGTCATCTTCCGTTTCACTATCATCACCTAATATCGGTTTGGCGATAAGCTTTCTGTCGGACATGCTTTTCATAGCTGGACGAGGCGCGACGACTAACGACCGAGGTTTGATGGTGTCGAAGCCAGCAGCAGCGCGGGTTGTAGATAGCGCTTTAGTGAGATAATCTAAGCGCTTCGCTTGCTTCCTTGGGCTTTCCATCAGACCGAACAACGATGCGTTCTGTTGCGATTCATCTCCACTTTCTTCAGTCTCTTCATCCTGGCCCGAATTCAATCGCGCCTTTCTAACTGCAGCTCTTTGCTTCTGTAGGCGGGCCCTACGTTCCTGTTTCGTTTTAACTAGATCTGTTGTCCGACCGACGACTGGTCTTGAAATATTTTTGATGGTATCCGCGTTTTGCGACTCCGAGGCGGACTTCAATCGTAAGTATTCTGCTGCATGTAAATGAGCTGTAAATTGACGCGCGGTCTCGAGAAACTCGTCCTCTACCATGCGATATATGTCATCATTCTCAAGACCCTCGATCATATGACTGGCATCGCGTTAGATACATTCACCCGCACTAAGAAATGAAAAAAAAAAAAATAGTAAATACCTTTCAGGCAATGGTTCCGGAGGGGCAGATGCCGATCCAGATCTTTTCACCCGCTTAGAAACTGATGAATTTTCCGGCACTTTATCCTCTGCGTCGGAATCATCGCGCTTGATTTTCTGTTGTCGCACGGGTGTCGATTGTGCCGGATCTAGGTCTTGGCGTATTTCGCTTCGGTTCCGTGGTAATTTACGCGTCATATTCGATTTCTAAACGTATTATTTAAATTTCCCATGATCGCTGGTTAAGCAAAGAAGTATTTTGCGTTGTTCTAAAATTGACGATGAGTGTGAAGGATTTAGAATAATGTCGAAGATCCAAGGCACCCAGAATCACTGTATACCATATATCCCAGATTACGTAGTTACTATATCTGATAGATGCATTATGGAAATGCTTTTTATATGCATAATCCTGTGTATTTATGCAGATTATCGATAACTTCCAAATATCGAAGTATCGTACTCAAGCAACAGGTCGTTGCAAGTTTACCTAGGTATTTATAGTAATAATTGTGATTATCTAAATAATAATGATATGAATTCTATCTTCAAAACTTTTATATCTCGTTTCGACGTGCTCTAAATGGGTATCTCCTTGTACATGTTCATATGGTCGTGTATCATCCAACGTAATCATTATACTACAAGGAGATCCTTCGCTCTTCCAAGACATTCAAAAAGATTATAAGGCATCTAACACGCTATAAGTCCAGCTGGGTATTAACGTAAGCAATGATTACGCAAGTTCGTGTAACAGTATTAGGTAAGAGAATAGGGGTTAGGGATAAGGGGCAAAGAGTAAGGGCAAGGGTTAGGGTTATATTAAAGCACTTACATTATAAATGGTTCTTTTCCCTCCATGTTTCCATACCCAACTGCGTCTGGAGTACGCCAATTTAGCCCAATTAGACGTTAGACCGAGATTGCGCGAGAACACCAATGTCTTGCTCGAGAGCAGCATTTTCCTTTTCTCGCTCCCTCGCCTCCTTTTTCTCGGCGGCTATTCTCATCTTCTCTAGCCTCTCCTCTCTCCACTTCGGTCCGTATTTTTGGATAACCCAAAGAGCGGGAGAGAAAACAGTAAAAATGAGCGCAATGAAGGTAAATGCCCATCCTCGACCCCAAGCGTCGATTATGTACTGAATTACCGCTGTAGCCACGGCACCAGAAAGACACCGACACAGGTTGTTCGCGGCTGTTGCCGTGGCCGGGGCCGAAGGATACAAGTCCACAATCAAAACATTGATGATCTGGAAAGGTCCAGTTACGCATAAGCCGATGAAGAATGAAAGCACCAGAGGCACAGCGATATGTGTTTCGTAATACAACGACCAGCCATATCCGATATACGCAGCAGTTCCAATAAAAACGAGTGGGTAGACAAGCTGAAGACGCGCCCTCTCGATGGGGAAACCTTTTAGCTCGTTCCCGCGCTTCTTGTCGATATTCACACCCAACTTCTTAGCTATACGTCGGTAGTTCCAGTCTATCATGTACCCCATACAAATCGAGGATATAGTTGTCGCTCCTCCGATCGGTAGATAGCAAAGTCCAAGTTGTATTTCGTTATAATGGTAAATCTCAGCGAACTGAGAGGAAAGTGTGGACGTGATAAGCATAAAGCCAATGTAGAGAGTAGCGTTATAGAATAGCACCATGGCCATGTCCTTATTGCCTATGACGGCAAGGGTATGGAATGGGTTGGGAAACCGAAGCTTCTGCTGCGTATGACTGGACGGTCGGTTCCGGGCTTGGCGCCTAAAACGGAGATAGTCAAGAAGGGTCATATTCCAACCCCGAGGCGGGATGGATCCATTCCCCACCACTTTCCTCCCGGTCTCTGGAACAGCTAGAATGTATGGGACCATCCAAACAATGGAGACGATACATAGGAACCAGAATATAGACGGCCACCCAAGGTACTGAGAGAGCAAGCCGCCGATGATGGGCCCGACGGCAGGCCCGATGGTTAATCCAGCTCCAACAATGCCCATATACTTCCCACGTTCGGATGTCGTGGCTATATCCGCAACTACGGCGTATACTAGAGCAAGCGTGCCGCTGCTCCCACCGCTCTGTAACATCCGTAGGATTAGTAATGCGGCATAGTCTCGTTGGAGAGCTAGGCCGATATTGGCGCCTAGATAAATGGTAAAAGCGATAATAAAGGCCGGCCTCCTTCCAGCGACGTCGGCAAAGTCGCCGAAAAAGGTAGGCGCCAAGGCTTGAAAGATCATATAAGTCGTCAATGTCAAATTAATCTGTGCAACCGTGACGCCGAGGCCGTCCGATAAGGCGGGGATTGCCGGAAAATAAATGTTTGCTGTAATTGGGGAGATGAAAGCTGATATGCAGTTCATGAAGATTATCCACCTCTTCACGGAGGGCGAAAAAACGCTATACGGTGGCCCGCTAGAGACCCGAGAGAGTGTTTCGAGGTCTCTAGGCTCATTGTCGTGATCTTCGTTATTTTGGGAGTCATTGTCTTCCTCATTGTCTGAATCTTCTAGTTGGTCTGTGGTTTGTTGTTGACGTGTTTGTGATATCGAACCCTCTTCTTTGGATGAATAAGTCTGTGTCTCATCACCATGGTGACCTTTCGACGTTGTTGGTGACTTCTCGCTGTCATTCATGGCCACAATATCCAAGCTCAAGACCACAACACGAATAGCGGTGTTGAAGGATTGCCGAGAGATCTGAACAAGCTTTTAAGATCGTACCTATTCTTTCTACTTATCTTCTTAATTCGGTGTATTGAAAGTGGATATAGCTGCAGGGTCATCCGTTAGCATTCTCAACGTTATTCCCGTATTTTCCTTATGGAGAATTGCTCCAGCACGCGCTATTTCCGCCAAATTTACACCAAGAAGTAGTTAGGAAAAAGTTATTATTCCCGGGATTTTCCTCCCAACGTTGGGGTTGGGTCTTGACCGATTTCCGGTCACCTCGGCCACACGACAGAAACGGCAACGAATTAAGCGGAAGCGAAGTCGGGATTAAGATATGGCGGGTATACATGGATTGCGGAAGGTTTTTGGAGGTGGCAACAACCCAGATGTGGAGGTACAATGCCCATGCTCGGCGAGTTATATATAAAGTCTACGGGTCCCAACATGAAGTATGTAGGCCGAAACATTTTTTGTTGACGGTGAATTTGATATTATTATTGTATCCTTTAGACCCCTTATTCCGTCGTGTAACACAAATGGCGTCATTACAACTTTCTCAATTAGTGACAATCACTTGAAGCGGATTGGAGGAAAGATAACCTTAATGCCGGCTCGCTTCCGGGGGTACTAACCGAACCTTATCTGCTACATTACATAATAACAGATGTATTAGTAAGTTATGTGATAATGAAACATGTACAGTGTGTATTATGTAATAATCAGCCACATCGGCGTCAATTGTCTTCAATTCACCGATGAACACTAAAATCTACATCATTTAGTGGATTACTTTATTAAATTGAACAGGTTGCCAGCTACTGCCACGATCATGACATTCCCATCTTCAAAGAGTTGATGCATACTCAACACCGCTATGATATACATGCCAGATTATTACTAAATTAATACTACTACGATTCTCACCATGTCTAATCTTACGCCAGTTTTCAATGGCTTTCTGAAGCAACATGAAGCTTCCACTATGAAACGGAGCTTCAGCGTAGACAGCTTAGATGATTTTCTAAAGGAAGCTTATAGAATAGCAAGTATTCACATTTTAACAGTCGTTTTACACAACAAGAATATTAATACGTGATTCTAGAACTCGCATATCTCTACACTTCATACCGATCTTCGAAATATTCGACAATCCTACCTCTCGACCGCCCAACCACGAAAAACATTAATTCGATCGGCGCAAAAAGATAAGTATTCGCGACCACTCTCGGATCGAGAGCGTGAGGAAATAGACGCAAATGCGAAGAAAATGCTACGAGAGCTCAATGCGAGCATCCGTCGCCTAGCAGATATCGAACAGGCCCGGTCAGAAATTGAATCTAGGGTAATTCAGAAGAAGTTCGCTCGTGGGCTGGGCGCGCTGGGAGCGTGGGCAGCAGGCGGTTCACCGACCAACAAATCCCCCGAACATGCTACAGCGGAAGACCGTGCGAACACTATTAATACACATCGGGATAGCGTCTTATGGCTCCTACGTCACCGGCTTCAAGAATGCGTTAAGACACAACAAGATATGATGGAAATTCGATTGATGCGAGAAATGGAGAAAAATAGAAGTGTATTAGCTAAAGCACGAAGACAAGATGCACCTTTAGCCACCCTAGGAAATATCCAAGAGACAGGAAGCCCTATAGAAGCAAAGAGAAGAGCAAGCCAAGCGTTGCCGCCTAACGAGTCACCCTCCTATACCCCAGCTGCAGATTTAACTGCAGAGCAAATACGGATGTTTGAGAAGGACAATCAGGATATGTTAAAACACTACGAGAGCACATTAGATCAAGTCAGGTGAGTTACCCTCGAAATCGGGATAAAAGGGACGATGTAGTTGACAACTTTACCTATAGGACTGCAGAAAAGTCACTTCTGGAAATATCAGAACTTCAAACACAACTTATTGATACACTCACGACGCAATCGGCGGGTATCGAGCAACTCGTAGCTGATTCAGAAAATACAACTGAGAATATCGGCGGTGGTAACAGACAGCTCAAACAAGCAACACAGAAAGCAAGTCCAGCGAAGTACACATTCTTTGCGACTTGCGGTTTATGCGCATTTTTGATCGCGTGGGATCTTATAATATGAAACGAGAGTTACTATTTTATAAGTGTATGTATTGTAATAGTGATGCGTGGTGGGAAGCGTGTATTGTTATTTACATGTGAAGAAACGAAGGCCGCAAAGCCAAAGCTCATCACATGTTACAGAGGGCACCCCATGGACATTCTTGGCAAGATCTAAAAATGAAATAGTGTAATTTGTACAATTGATAGCAGATCTCACGCGACATCCACGGAAGAATAAGATGCTAAGGGTGGAAGTCGAAAAGTTCTAAAATAGATTTTATACCGAGCTTCCCAAGGTTAGAGGAATGACTCGGGTCACTAAACCCGACCCGTGTTAGCCGTAATAGTTCGGTGCTGGGTCATCCGACCTTGACCGATGACAACAACGTTAAACTCCCGTTAAGTTGGGCAATTTACAACGCGGAACCTCGGCCTCAGGAAACAAGCTGGAATTTAACTTTCCTAACCGACTTCATTCATAAGGTAATTGCGATCCTACCTAGGTTGAAAGTTTAGGGCTACGGATATATATCCGTGAGAAAGTGCGGGCGGGTAGATCCACTATAAGATCATTGATGGTTTGGAATGTTGCTTTTAAAGACTGGTCACCTCTCCGATATTCATCAGAACTAAATTAACTACGAATTACTCTAGTCTTTGTCTCATTCCATTTTCTTTTTATTAGAAATATACTTTCATATTAACTGAAATTGTTGCTTGAAATTGACTCATTTACGCTTCCTCTCGTTTGTTCTATTGAACTACAATATCCGTCCGTATTCTTCAATAGCTATTCCAACATACCCGAACGTACCTGCATACATCAACGTAGCAGTTCACGACTTCCGAATCATTTATCGGATACGCACCTACCTGGCCTAGCAATTACGGGTATCCTGATCGACTCAAGCGCACCTGCCCTTTCCCCCCGGCCGCTAAACCTGTGACGTACCCTCCCTTAAGCACCTAACCTTAGCTCCTTAGCTTGGCTCTGTTCGACCCCGCCAACACGCCATAATTCCCCTCCATCTGACCTGTAGCTCGATTCCCACTGGACCGCCTAGAACTTTACATACTCCCTCCTCACTCCATTACTCCATCACTAAAACAATTTCCATTATTACTGTTCCTCCCCAACCTATCCTTAAGGCCATCGTGCCATTGGATTGGGCCATTTTACACGCAACAGATAAATAAACGGACCTATAACATTCACCGTGTTTCGCATCAATCGGCCCACCTTGGCGAACCCCAGGCCTAAATCAGGTCCAGATCAACGCCCCTCCAAGCCCCGAAGTCCCCAGTCCGGTCACTGGCGTGCGTCCCTGCATGATACCTCAGCTGTTATCATAGCCCATTTATATATTTTAATAGCTATCTCCCTCTGATCTCTGCCCTTAAAACCTCAAACCATGCCCTTTGATCCATCATATCACGGTCAATCAGTTTCTAGAGTTAAGAGTCTAGCAAGACAAATGGCACCACCTTCAGCTACCAGCTTCACCTCTGAGGTTGTCCCTCAAGCACCTGAGGACCCTCTGTTTGGTTTGATGAGAGCTTATCGAGCTGACCAAGATCCCAACAAGGTTGATCTGGTATGTATCATAATTCCCTTCCTTCACAAACGAATAGCCTCGCTGATTGAAATTAGGGTATTGGAGCCTACCGTGATGATAATGCGAAGCCTTGGGTATTACCAGTCGTAAAGAAGGTAATTTTTTCTGTCACTTACTAAATTGTGCCCATTTAAGACAGCTTCCTGCATCGCAGCGCTAGCTTATGCTAATGACTCACTGCACGCTGTGTAACATTTTTGCTTACGACTTCTTTTTTCCCTCAATAGGCCGATGAGATTCTCCGCAACGACCCGGAGTTAAACCACGAATATGCCCCAATTGCTGGTATCGCCTCATTTACCAGTAAAGCCGCGGAATTGATCCTTGGTGGCGTCGAGTCCCCTGCGATTAAGGAGAAGCGCGTTACTTCTATGCAGACTATCTCCGGTACTGGCGCTGTACACTTGGGAGCCCTTTTCCTTGCCAAATTTTTCACAGGAAACAAGAAGGTCTATCTTTCTGATCCTACTTGGGCCAACCACAATCAAATCTTCACCAATGTCGGCATCCCTATCGCCAAATATCCCTATTTCTCTAAGGAGACCAAGGGACTTGACTTTGAGGGTATGAAGTCTGCCATATTAGGTGCACCGGAACGATCAGTGATTCTACTTCATGCTTGTGCACACAATCCCACCGGCGTGGACCCTACCCTCGAACAGTGGAAAGAGATCGCTGAGGTAATACGTCTGAAGAACCACTTCCCTTTCTTCGATTGCGCCTACCAGGGATTTGCATCTGGCGACCTTTCCAAGGATAATGCCGCTGTTAGGTATTTCGTCGAGCAAGGTTTCGAGCTCGTTGTTGCCCAGAGTTTCGCCAAGAACTTCGGTTTATATGGCGAGCGGGCCGGTTGTTTCCATGTTGTTACAGCCCCTGCTCCGGATGCGGAGACCACAATCACCCGAGTTGCATCTCAGTTGGCCATTCTACAGCGGTCTGAGATCTCTAACCCTCCTCTTTATGGCGCTCGTATTGCCAGCATCGTCCTAAACGACCCGCAGCTCTTTGCCGAGTGGGAAGAGAACTTGCGTACAATGTCAGGCCGTATCATCTCTATGCGGAAGGCCTTGCGCGCCAAGCTAGAAGAGCTTGGCACCCCGGGTACTTGGAACCACATCACGGACCAGATCGGCATGTTTAGTTTCACCGGCTTAACAGAAGCACAGGTGCTCAAGATCCGCTCAGATTCCCACATCTACATGACGAAGAACGGCCGCATAAGTATGGCAGGCCTCAATACGAAAAACGTCGAGTATGTCGCCAAGGCCATCGACAAGGTCGTCCGGGAGGCTCAGTAGATAAGGGTGGTTGGTGTAACATTGAGCGATTCGTTTATATCTACGGAGTCTGGGTTCGGGAAAATTAAATAAAAAGTCGGATCATTACTGCATAATCCCTCCTCGATTTTATGCGTTGAATTTCACACCTCTGGGTTAACTCGTGAATAGAATCGGAATTTCACAGAATGAAAATTTTAATGCGTTTGTGTCTTGACTAACCCTGAACATTAGAGATAAGCTCGGTTTCATCATGGTATCGAGGGATCTTCGTTGTTTTTCACAATATCCAATCCTCTCACGACCGCTGCATCGCGTGACGGCTGTTCCTTTTTTCCCTCAGAAATCTCAATAGCTAACACACAGTTACTAGTACCGACTTCTACACCTTCGGTTGTGGAATAGTAGGACTAACCTGAGGCGATGACTTTTACCTCACAAAGGCGTATGGGTATGAGATGGTTAGTTGCTCATAAAAATCCCGCGAAGCTCCTTGAACAGCCAATAAACTCTCAGTTTTCCTCGGTCAGTCGAGAGCCAGCACACCGATCCACAAACGCGTTCCAAATCCGCCTCGCACACCTACATATACAGCAAATGCTTTAATATGACACACAGCCTTATGACGACGGTATCCTCGTCCTTGTCCTCATTTCGAGAACACGAAAGTTCACATGCACCACTACACGAGGCGAAGGTATAAGTCTAGAAGACTTTCCCCGCTTGCCTGTTTGTGAAGCGAAAAAGAAGTTGAAGAAAATGGGAGTGAGCCAACGGGTTTGCGAGCTTGGTCATAATATTTGACCTACGCAATTAGTAAGGAGGTAACCTCGTCCAACGGCGTCCCATGTGGGGACGGAGCACAGGGACGGAGGACGCGTAAGTCGGACTCGGCACATTGCACCGCGTCGGGGGGAGTCCTTCCCCCTTACATCGTATTCTGTGTTACTATGTAAACCAATAGGGGAGCGAAGAGTCGGCTATAATTAGGGGTGATCGGGACACGTCGCCGAACCCCACGGAACGCCCGAGGTTGGTATCGCAAGGGAAACGAGGGCGGACGAAACGAAACACCGGTGTTTGGTGCTGGCGCATGATGGATTGCATGACGTATTGGGGATACGGGGATGGTTACGGTGATACGGCGGTGTTGTTTGGTCGGTTGGCGCGTCATCAACGTTGGACTTGGAATAAGGGGGGGTGCCTTGCTTGCATGATCTTAGGAGAGGCATGATTATCTTGGTATTATGGGAGACGAATACACTGCGCTCGGGTTAATTTTTACGTCTGCGAATAGACTCGAGAAGGCTAGACCACGACAGTGAAATGTCGTGGTTGTTGGCGGTGGTACCTTCGTATGTTAGGGCAACACGAGGAAGCAAGTTTTGAGTTCCGGTGATGATCACGATGGGGAGTGCGTCGTGCAATACCTCGAAGGGAAAAGATATAAAAAGGGGGTAGTCTCTGGAGGGGTTAGGGTTTGTTTTCCTGGCAATTCAGAATCAAAATCAATTCAATCGGTTATACTTCTTACTCTCAAAGCCTTCATATTTTACCAACCTACCAAAAGCAATCATGTCGGTCACTCCTATCATCCTCTGCGGTCAATTCGAGTCCGTTGGTAAGGCCTTCTCTGAGGCCGTGAAGCCCGACTATGAAGGTAAACTTCCTTTTCCTTCTCACTTACCTTTTTACTTACAGTACCTCAACCCCCCTCGAATCTTCTTTTAACACGTCCCGAGAAAGTATCTCTACTAACCTACCTCAGTGGTCTACTTCGCCACCTCCCCACAATCCGGCCTCACCGATATCCCACAGGTTCTCTCGGGCCAAATCCCCACCGCCGCCTCCGTCCCCGGCACCAACAAGATCGGCAACGGCACCAAGGTCGGCTCGGGAAACCTGATCCACGGGATCCCGAAGGCCATTGTTCTCGGCGCGGTCACGTATGATGATGAGTGGATCGAGAGTTTGCGCAAGGAGATTCCCGACGGCAAGCAAGTCCCTGTGTTGAAGCGGGAGTTTGACAGCAGCGCGGCTGCGGTCGGGAGTGGAGGTGCGACGCCCGTGGGGTCTGAGAAGGGGAAGGTCGAGGCTGCGGCTGAGAGGGCGATTGAGGTTTTGAAGAAGTTGGAGGAAGAGGGGAAGTTGGAGGGTGGTGATGAGGGTGTTTATGACTATTAGGGAGGTGGACCGTTTGTGTTAGTAAAATTGTCTTGTGTTTTGGATGGATGGTGAGAATGTTTTGGTACTTCGAGAGGGAAGATAGATCTAGTGGTTGAGGATTACAAAATGGCTTTCGGGATGTCGTCAACCACCCACTTACTCAACATTTCACCCATATTCTTCTCCTAAATATCATTCCCTGCATATGAGGATATTAGCTAGCATCATGGGCGGTACCGACCTCATTTTCATGTGGAGAGGCCGATTCTTTTCTTTTCTACTCCCTTCTCTCTCAAAACTTCAAAAAAAAAGCAATCCACGATGTTATTTCTCTACAAATTGGTCCCAAAAGAAGAAAAGATGACGAATTATTGCTTACGTAGGTGGGGGAACCGTTAGCATGTACCCAGGTATTTGGTGATACACGGGGAATCCCGTTCCTAATAAGCCCCAGCCTCCTTTACTGAAAGAGGGGTTAAGCCTTCTGGATTTCGGGTTCCGTCTTAATCGGCGTGGAAGCTGGCTCTTACGCTGGGAGTTGGGCAAATGCCCACGGTACCTATAGGTACCTAGTAGGTACCATATGTCTTGGGTCTTACTGGCTGGCTCCTTAGGGGCATTACATTGGCGGAGTACAGCAATATGTACCCAGATACCTCAGGGCAGACAGCGAGGCAGATGGGGGCCATTCAAAGCTGAAATATATAGCGCACCTTCTTCAGGTATGCCTGCGTCGGTATTTTTATTACATCTAGGTGCGATATCTGGGAGACTGGTTATACACTCCACTACTAGAAGTCTTCATATCAACTTTGGGGCAATTTCTTAGTCTTTTGCTCGGCGGCGTGCGATAAACGTCTAGCATGGGGCATATACGGGTAACTGTATTAACGCCTGTCATCCCACAGCCTCTCTCCGAACCAATTTTTCATATCGGAATTCCTAACTATGGGGTCAACGTGGCATAACATGGGGCGGTGTTTGACACCCGAAGTAACTGTCTAGGCAGATATAACACGAAGTGCCGACACTTCGAGTTCCACCTCGGCGTAGGGATCCCACCTCATTTCCTGGCTTCCATTCAACAACGGCGTCTTTCAAGCATGGATATTAATGACTTGCTTTGGAACTCACAATCTACCGGGGGTAGTAAGCGGCCGGGTTCCGCTCAAGCTCCCGAGGACCGCGAAGCTAAAAGATCTCGCACACAGCCTTATAATAACACAGGCGACGAGACCTTATACAATGAACTTTCGTTACCTTTTTATGAAGATTCCTCGTCCCCGCTTCAAGATTCTTACCATAGTCACTGGAACCGGTTCAATAATGTATGCGAAAATCAAATCAACAACTTCGCTAGTGGCGGAATCGCAAATATATTGTATAATCCTATAGAAACAGGGCAGCAAATACAGCCATATATAACCAATCCCGTATCATGCGCATATGGAGAGCAGCCAAACTTTGATGCCGGGATGTTTAGACCACTCGATCAATCGTCTCTTGGATTGCCGTTTGTCGCCGAAACGTGGCCTAGGGATTCGCCGAGCCAGCCATTTCCCATCAATTCCTTCCCTCCACCTTCGCCTCAATTCGATACATCTATGGGTAACACCATCAACAACGGAATCCTGAGTGCGTGTGAAAATCCCGAGGCACCACTGCCTGTCATGGGCCTTGGCGGCCTAGGGGACTCGCAAGAAACACTTCCTCAGAGATACACAACAACACCAGACGTATGCTCCAACGAACAGTCGGTACTCAGTGAGCCCCAGCCAAATGAAGCAGAGCCACAGAGCCCCGTTACGTCGCTGTCGACTGAATCCATGGATATCGATAACGACTACGATACTTGCTTTGGTGTTGTAAGTCACGCCTACCCCAAGATCCCACCAATGTCCTAACAAGTTGCAAGATACTAGCAACACCCACTTCCTCCTTTTCCCAAAGGGACGGAGCTCATTCCGTACCTGTGGTTTTGAAACCGTTTGGGAATATTTTAATGCTTTGTAGTCGAAATTCTGATGAGCACGCTGGTATCTTGGGTAACTTTAAGTTCGTAAATGCAGTTCGCCAGCTTCGGCTCAGGCTGGATGCTACACTTTTCATTTCTAGGACTAAGGATACGGGAGGAATAAGTAAGCCCAAAATGAGGAAAAAGGTCCCCGCTGAGACGACCCGAGAGTACAGCATACGAATTGTCATTCATGGTCTCCAAGCCGATAAAGAAATCGCCGGGAACCTTCTCTCGGACGCGGGTTGCTTTCTGCAGCATCCGTGCACCACAGAAGTCATATCAGGGGTCCAATATGACAACCCCCACTACCTTCTTCGCCCTGGCGCCGAAATGCCGAAACTTGAGCATCTACTCCCAGACATCATGGACGATGATCCCATACAGGCCGAAGTAGGAAGCGAAATCAGTAGAAGTCGTTTCCAACAGATCTTTGAAAATGCGGAAGCGGATGGTGGGGCGTTAACCACAACAAGTATATCACCAAGCCCACGACTTCGCTCACCACTTATGAGGTATGACGCATAACCAACATAATTATAGGCAACGACTAACGCTTCGTCTAGACATCAGCTTATAGCACTAGCAATGATGCATGAGAAGGAGAGCGGCTACATCGAGGAGCCGATGTTCCCATCGCTTTGGGAAAAGGAAATCGTCAAAAGCAGTGGGACCACCTAGTAAGTGAACTTCAAGAACCAGTGCTAGAGGTACTGACCAGCGCGTTATTTTGACTTCCAGTTACCGTCATACAGCTACGATGTTACGTGAACCCAAACCTATCCCGGCTAGGGGAGGGATACTTGCCGACGTATGTCACTCTACCCCTATTTAATCAAGATACTGATGAAGTCTTTAAAGGACATGGGCCTTGGGAAAACCTTAAGTGTTTTGGCGTTAATCTGCTCCTCTTTGGATCTTCGCTCTACAGCAGCAGACCAAGGCCAGAATACGGAATACCAGGGAACGCTTATCATTACTCCAACGTCCAGTGAGTTTGATGCCGGAATGCATGCCATTTATAAGCGATTGACGATAAGAAAAGCCATTTGTGGTTGGATGGACCAGGCCTCGGAGTAAGTGTTATATAATTAAGGACATAGGTGAGGACATGGATTAACCATCTATTGGCATGTAGGCACATCCATCAAGGACAGCTACGGATGGAGATATATCATGGTCCCGGCCGAGAACGCCTTTCTAGCCAATTCCGAGACATTGATGTTGTGATTACCACATACGAGACGCTTCGATCCGAATGGGAAGCTTCAGAAGGTACACGCCCTCTTTTATCGTGGAAATGGCTTAGAGTCGTTTTGGATGAAGGCAAGTGAGGTCTCGTATATTTGTGTTTTTCCCTCTCAACTAATTTCAATGTAGCCCATCACATCCGCAATCGATCAAGAAAGACTTTTAGGTCGGTTTGCGAACTTGTATCCTGTTACCGATGGTGCTTGACAGGAACTCCGATCCACAACTCTCTCGACGATTATGGCGCCTTGCTTAGTTTTATACGCGTCTTTCCGTTTATGCAAAAGTCCGAATTCACGTCATTGATCGTTCAACCTGTGGAGCAGGGGCTCCCATTGAGCATTGACCGCTTGCAGGCACTTATTCGAGCAACCTGTCTTCGGAGAACGAAGCGGAAAACCCTAGAGCTCCCCCCACGTTCTGAAAGGGTACATGAAGTTCATCTCCACGCAGACGACCAGGACTTGTATGATATTTACAAGAAACTCTGCGTCGAAAAGGCAGCAGATAAAGGGAAGAGACTGGGAGTAACCTTATCTCACCAAGGCAAGGATTGCAATATTTTATCCCTCATTACATGCCTGCAACGTATTTGCGACCACGGAGAGCATCTTCTACCAGACAGCATGAAAAGAATAAGAAAAGAAAGTTCGTCTTCTTTCTTGGATGAGGGGTTGGGGCAAATTTTCTCTGGGAGGTGCTCTGTCTGTGAGGGAGAGATTGACGGTAGCTCCTCCGGGACGAAAGACTATCATTCCATCTGCGTCAATTGCAGATCTTCAGAAGGGGGCTCATCAGAGTCTAATAGAGGAGCTACTCTCTCAAGTGAACTTGGCGTAGCGGATTGCCAATCGGCCAGTTTCGAAAGGTCCAACTCGGCCCAAGCCTATTATCGACCCTCAGCGAAGGTGCTAGCATTATTAGAGAATCTAAAACGGGAGCAAGGAGATAATAACCCCCGGCCAAGAAAAAGGTATGTCCTCTCATACTCACCCCCAAAGAAATTAGCACATAGCTAATCAAGCGTAGTGTAGTATTTAGTTCCTGGGTCAAAATGCTTGATTTGGTCGAGCAGGCACTTCAGCAACAACAGATAGGTTTTGAACGTATTGATGGAAGTACTAGTCTGGAAGGACGACGGAAAGCCTTAGGAGAATTCAACAACAATGTCAACTGTACAGTGATGTTAGCGACCATTGGCAGTGCCGCAGAAGGGTGAGAGTTATAGTCCTTCATTATTTGTTAAACCCTATTCAACTAAGGTGCCTTTATCTAGTGTCAATCTCACGGCTGCTTGTGTTGTGCATCTGTTAGAGCCCCATTGGAATCCAATGGTGGAGGCGCAAGCCGTTGACCGAGTTCATCGCATAGGGCAAACACAGGAGGTCACGATTATTCGATATGTCGTTCCCAACTCCGTGGAAACAGTAAGTGGACATTTCAGGCTATTGTTTTAATTTCCCGTTGCTAATATACACGGAACTGCCAGTACGTTCAAAAGGTGCAAGATGATAAGTTGCAGATCATCAATCAGACTATCAATACGAACGGTATAACAGAAACCGATCTTGAACTCAGGCGGTGGGAGGTAAGGCCTAATCGCAACAATAGCTTGTTTAAGACTTTTACTAATAGGTCCTTAGAGAATGAAAGAGATGTTAGCATAGGAGCCTAGGTTAATAGACAGGCCATGTCGTTAATTGACTTGTATATAATTCTTGATACTAACGCGCGGCGCTTTGATTAACGAGAAAATAAATGCACTTTAGCTAAAAATTTTCCAGCAAATGCAGGTGCTAAAAGGCTACATATAGTAATGTGCGCTTATATCTCGACATATTAATAATTGTGCCCCCTTCCCGCCGAGCTGACCCTTTTCCTCAATCCTGGACACTGGCGCCTTTGCACTCTTTTTTCTCATTCCGGATACTCCTAGTCTCTTTGACAAGCTCGTCCCAGGTCTTCCCCAAATGTTTATAAATATCTTTTGCGCCCTTTTCTTCTCGTATTTTCTTCCCCGGGCGCGCATGACCACTGGCTCCAGAGGTCCCTTCTTGGTCTGCCTCTGGGTCAGCACCATTTAAAAGAATAAATCTTATCATCTCGGCTCCTTTGGCGGTTGATTTTTTTTTTGCTGCGAGATGAAGTGCAGTTTTACGCGTTCGGCTTGATCGGTAGTTAATATCGGCGCCTAGCTCGAGTAAATACTGTGCTAGAGGGATTGATGGATAGTGCTCTACCATAACTCTCAAAGTTGAAGTGGCCCAGTCTCTACCCAACAATGGAGCAAGTCCAGAGTCCCTCCATAGACAAAAAAGCTGCTGCTCTGCGGTCAAGTGCGACGACGCAGCTAAGAATATCCTTTCGTGTCCGAATAATTGCTTGACAATGCTCGATTTTCTTGTTTCAGGGATGCGGTCCAGTCCGCTTCGAATTTGGCGTGACCAAATTCTCATTCCCTCAAACCAGTTACTCGACACCAGTCTAGAGACGATTGATACTATTTTATACAAATTCGATTCAGGATTTTTTACCGTGTAAGTTGAGTCCAGTGTGTCAAAAGGTATTGCTTGAGGGAAAAGGTACGATAGTGTACTCCCATTACGTCCCCTTATCGACTCCTGGATATATTTTTCAAATGCTCCTTTTGCCATGTTACATCCAACTGGCCCTTCCAGCAGCTTCAGCATATCAGCCGAAGCAGCGAAAGCGCCAACTAGTCGAAGTTTATTTCGCGTTGCACGATCTTCAAGGGCGTCTGGAAATTTAGTTAAAATCCCCCGAACAGCTTCAACGTTGTTTTCTTGGACTAAGTCAAGGAGCATTGTCTCAACTCCGCCCCGTGCTAGATTTCTAGCATCGAAGCTCACCCGCTCTGAATCATCCCTATGGGCTTGTTTGAGATGTTCTCGCCGCATGCTGTCTGACAAAAAGTCGACTCCGCAGCCGGCAATGTGGCATTTTAAAGGCGTATCGTGCGAACGTTCGTGCTTGTTCCTTAAGCCACGTATCTTGAAACCGTGTCGCCAAAATTCACACCCTGGAAATTTACATTTGAAGGGCCGAGGTCCATAGTGCAGTAAGATATTGGCACAATCTGGATGGCATACGGGATTACCAGGAATAAGCGAGCCATCTGGTGAATCACAGAGGGCTTGGTCAAGGGCCTCGCTAATTTTTCGAGACATTTTTGACATTGAGAAGGGGTCTTCTCTACCCTTGTTCGAATCTGATTTGCGCCGGCGAATGTTAGCTAAGTTTTCATCTAGTAAGGTCTTCAATGGCTCAAATAATGCGGTCGTACCTTTAGTCTCTCGGCCTGTGAAAAGGAAAGACGAATCACGGAATTGCGAGAGACTGTTGAGCACTCGATACAGGAAAGGCTCTTGTCGCCTCAATGTTTCGAAAATAGCCTCGCTATTCCCCTCATATTCTCTTTCAGCATCACCTTCATCCCCCGGGATACTGTGAAGGTCTTGTTTTTTCCTACATTCCCACAACATCCGAAGAGACTTGATTATTTCGGGCGATGGATTTTCCGCCTTCGTCAATTGAAAATACTGGCGGACTAGGTCAAACCACATTCGTGTTGCGAAAGCATGGAAACTGTATTGGCCAGTGGTGACTTTCTCTAAACATTCCTTCGATGACAAATCGGGGTTATGATGACGTTGGCATAGATAGCCGATACATTGCATAGCTAAGTCTAGTGTAGCTTGGGTTTTGCTAGCTAGCTGTGCTCCGAGATGAGGGCTGGAGACGTATCTGCGAGGCACCTGATTAGTAGTAGACCAGCATATTCTATCACATGTTACTTACTCTTTGGCTGTGAAGTGAACAAAGCGTATGTTATTGTCCACAATCTCCACGATTGGTCCAAGAAGTTCAATTACATCTAGCTTCGCCACCATGTAGAAGACTTGATCTCGGTGGTCAGGCCTCACAACTAATGCTTGATGAGCCTCTTCGACAGTAATTAGAACTGAACTGCAGGCAATCCATCCCAATAGTCTCCGGGCATTTTCTGTCATTCTTATATCCGCGTGCCTTCCCAAGCGTTCTATGATACGACGGTAACTGTACAATAGTTTGTCAACTCGAGATCACCTCGTTAGTTTGGGTAAGGCGCCCTCACGCAGCATCAAGGTTTTCGGGGAGAACTCTTAGTTCTTCCTGTAGCTCCGACATGTCATATATATTGTCAACCATATCCAAAACAAGCCTGGCATACAGGAACATTCCTTTCGCACGATTTGCCAGCGGCCTTAGGAGACTTTCAATATTCGTTTTCGCGTGTGGGAGGACCCGGCGGCGGTCGAAGATGTAACCCATGCGTTTGCGAACATAGCTCTGGATGCTTCCTTCGTTATGGTCATGAATCTGGATTGTGACTGATTTCTCTTCTAGTACCTGCGTTAGATCGGCTTCGGGTCGGGCGCTAAGAATAACTCGTAGCTTTTTGCATACTCCGGTCAGCCTGAGAAGTTCCTCGACAAGTATGTACCGCTCATTTTGACTAGTCTCGTCAACACCGTCAATAACGATATAGACGTCACCGACAGTATAATTGATGAGAGACGAAAGAAGATTGCCCACGCCAGCAAAATTGGCCCGTAGGTCTTTATTCATCGATTCGCAAACCATAGCCATTAAATTCTCGTCTCCATCTGCCAGCTGGAAGACGAGGGAATGAATTGTTGACAGTGCCGAAGTCTCAGCTTGCTGGTATGTTAAGAAAGCAAAAGCTATCTTAGTCCTTTTGACGTAACTCAAGTGGTCGATGACTGCACCAGAGAGAACCGTCTTACCTGCTCCAACATTAGATACACGTTAGATGAATGGTTTGAATCGAATATGCGGGCGGGGCTGTTTCTGCGCCGGTGTTGTATTTTTGGAATATCCAATGTTGGGAAAATTCCGGGGGGCATGGTTGTGTACTTGCCTGCTCCTGGTATCCCCTTCAGCCATAAGACCCGAGCCGCATCCTGCGAGTCTTTGCGCCATTGCACGAAGGTCTTGTCAACGAAGAGCCAGTGCCCATCCCCTCGGTAGCGGAGGCTATGGAGATTATTTAGGGTGTGGTCGTATCTAGGTGGAGCAAAAAATGTCATGATACGATAGAACTCCCCCTTACGAGAAGCCTTTTTCTGTTCTTTGAAACTCTCAAGTGCTTTCTTTCGAAACTCGTATTCTTGTTGGATGTCTCCGATACATATTTTTGTCCTCATGAGTCGAATGAGACGCCCTATATGGCTTGCAATTTCCGAATAGTATGCTTGCTGCTCTGGCCACAAACGATCAAATGCATGCATCCAGTCTAGAATGATAATTAGCTGTAGTGAACAATGTATGGTACACCGCAAAGCACGCTTTGGGATGGCACTTACTGGGGTGGCTTAAAAATTCCAAAGCCGCACAGTAGAAGCCGAGCAAATCTTTGAAAAAGAAGACTAGAATTTCTTTGGCCTCTACAGTCTGGTTGAGTATCGAGGCAGACACTTGAAAGTCGGGCAACGCTCGCCCTATCTCAGCAATAGCATTGATTACCGAGTCATAGGCCCTATCTAGCGGTCTCGCTAGCTGTAGAAGGATAGCGACAGGTCCCCAGATGAGTGCCAAAATTTCGGTGCTCCCGTCAATAATATCGTTAATCGTATCAACATATCCCTCGAGACGTTCCAGATATATCTTCAGTTTCGATAGATCACGAAGCCCGCCATGTTCGCGCTGCTCGTCCTGGATCTTGTCCGTGATGTCATACACATTGTCAATAGACGTCACCTTCAGAATCTCATTCAAAGGCACATCGTCGCTAAGGCCGTCCCAGAATCTCCGTGCCTCTTCCTTGAACTCATATAAAAGAGAATTTACGGAATTTGGTCTACCAGCAACTGCTAGATTATTTCCAATTGTATGATGCGAATTCTGTAGCTGTCGGGGAAGTCCGCAGTCTGAAACTTCCTTTTTGTATTGGTTCCCAGCCAGATGAATGAGGCTATTCGGCGTCAGTCCAAGTAAGTCTTCAACGGCTTGGACTATGTGGCTTTGAGAGGATATGAGGTTTTCAAGGGAGAACAAGACAGGCCTATCCTTTAAGTGTTGCCTCTCACGCTCTTTTCTCAGCGCCTGGAACAACTTCTTCATTCTTACAACAGAACTCTTTGATTTCTCATCATCATACAAGGAAACATCCTCACTAGAAGTGAGAGCGTTACCCCATACCTCGAACCGTGACTGGGCGTATCGGAGACTCTCCAAGTGGCGTTTTATAAGAGGCTCGGTGTTTTCATCGGTCGCACAGATTTTATGGAATATGTCTTGAACACTACAAAAGTGTTTTTTCAAGTTCAAAACTTGCAATTCGCGATGAATAGCGTCCATGTTAGGCCGATCTTGTGGATCGGCTCGAAGTGTCTGAAAAGCTAGATCAATAAGAGGAACAATGTCTGGGTGGGGATTATCGTGCTCCAGGCCCCCCATCCAATCGACAACTTCCTGCTTAACCTCGCCATGAGGTTGGTAGAAGCAGGATTCTTTCCATCTGGGAAGCCGCCCCGGTGTGAGTCGTTTCTCGCGAAATACTTCGACTCCCTCTGCTCCCGTCAGCATGTATGTGATTACTTCGGCCATGAGGCAACCAAAAGCCCACACATCAGTGGCCCTATTCGCAGCTTGTGGATTCTCTTGGCTATCAGTGTTTTCAGGGGCAACATAATCCCCACTAATCCATTTATATGGCGTGTGCGAGGAGTCTCCCACCGGCTTTAACCTCCCTAGTCCGAAGTCAGCTAAAATGAAAGTATCGGCATTAACTAGGACGTTGGGTGGCCGGAGATCATGGTGGTAACCGACTGCGTCGAGGTCGACTCCATGTTTGTTCTCGTTGAGTAGAAGGCGGTGCGTATTCGACAGCGCCGACGCGAGTCCCGTGAGAGCTGAGTAGAAAGTAAAGTCCCACTGAAAATCCTGGTAGCGGTCTTTAGCTATTAGGAACGAGCCGAGATCCATATCGGCGCATGGGAAGAGGAAGTTTTGTTCATCGCGGTATGTGTAGGAGCCCCATAAACGAATTATATTGGGGTGTTGCAACTGGTTGAGGAGCCGTAGACAGGTGGTTTCCCTTTTAAACATTTCCGTCTCGCCTTTCTCTTTCAGGTGTTTTCGCACTACTTTCATTGCCTTTACCTAGTAACTATCGCATCAGTTCAAGCTGTTCTGTCCAAGACCCATATCAACGGGACCAATCAAAGGGCACTTACTCCCTTATCAAAATGCTGTTGGGACAGTGAAATAGTCATCTTGTCCACATCACTAAAAGCACCAGAACCGATTTGCTCAGTATCAATGAAGGGAAGAATAATTTTCCTTTCAATCCTATGATGACACTCCGACATATTCTCTGGGAACGTATAGGGGCAAAACCTCCATTGGACCTCCCGTGCAATACGGCGGCCAACATCGTTTCCTACAATGCTCGCCGCGAAGACTTCATCGAACGGGAGTCGGCTATCAAGGGCGCTATGTCTGCGGAATGCTATCACCGAATCTTGCCAGTTGTTATCAATAAGCATGGCAAACACCCTCCTGCCTTCACGGTATATAGTGTCCGCCAGCCTAATTCGATCGTCCGGGCCACAGTGCAGTTCTTTAACAGCATCCTCGATCGCCGGAAGAGTGAATATTTCGTGAAGCTTGTCGGTCGGTAGGAAAAGTTGCTCGGAGATCGAGGTAACCAGGCTGTCCTGTATTTGCTTCCTAAGGCTGTGAATACAGCTTCCTGCGCTCGGCGGCATGGTGCTTGCGTTTATGCTCGCAGTTCAGAAGTAGAAGTGATTCCAGCCATAAGGGACGTGCAATCAAGAGGACGGCTACCTCGATATTGAGCGTGTATAAAGGTATTCATCTGGTGCGCGTACCGGCAGCCTCACTCGTTAGGCAATAAATGCCTAGGCGGTGCTGGGCTGAAACGCATGATAACATCAGGGTGATTGGCGTGGCATAGCCACCATAATAATACCTTACGTATTTAAACCAGATAACTCACAACCATTAGACACCCTGCATTAATCTGCCTTATACCAGCATTCCGGCCAACTTCTGATAGCGAAAAGGATGACGGTCACTACCTATCTAGAAACGCGCTACGTGGACCGCGTGAAGCTGAATGGGTTGCTGCGGACCCTTTTTGGGCAGAGCTATAGTGTGGTGGTAGGTGCCGTAATTGAGGCGACGCTGGCATCGCTTGCTGATGCATCTTAGGCCTTTGGAAATACAATCTCCGTAGAAGCGTCTAGAGAGCTCACAGAGGTAAAGTTAACGATATCCGCAAAGTACGCGACTTTGAACTAATTGAGTTGAGCCAGGTCGAGAAGAATTCTGTCTCAACAAACAAAAGACCATAGAATAGCCAGTGCTGGAGAAGGAGGGGAAGCCTAGCCAGACGCCACGGAGGGGTATAAGCACACGCACAGTAAGATAAACACGTACAACAGATCATACGAAGTCACCCTTCCAAACCATATTGGCCTCGCCGGACGAACTTGTTTGATGTTTAGGGAGAATAGATCCCGTTTAGTTAGAAATACATTTTATTGATTCTTTTAGAAGCTGATCATGGACTACTTGATCTTGAAACACCGAGGGTCATTTTGTTTGGCTTCCTCTGTTCTCTCCAATTCCACCACCAAGACCAACACACAGTGCCAATAACAAGTACGACAGCCGCTACTATCGCAATCCATACCTCGGTTCGGATTCGAATACTCGAGCCAAAGTCGTCGGTAACATCTACTGCTGTTCCATACCAGACTAGGGTACTACTGAAGAATGACTGATTTTGATAATTAGATAGCAAAACAAGCCTTAGAATAAGATGCAGACGCTCCATGGTTTTTTGTGCTCATCAAGGAGTCATTGATGTATGGGAGTATGAGACTAACCATGACCAGATTCACTGGAAGATATATCATAGCGATAGCTGTCGCGATACGCATCGATCGTGAGTCTTTATATGTAAGGTCGGCTAAGATCGCCATATCTCTATTTCCCTTGGCATCGGCTTGCGCAAGTTGTGCAAGTTTCAGGCTAGTATCGTGCTGTAACTCTTGGCCGTGAAATGTGAGGATATTGCTATACTACACGGTGATAAATTTAGTGCCGCCATTGCCGTCAAGGATGGGCCAGACTACTATAACTTACCATCGACCTCAAATCGTCTGAAGTACGAAGAAGTTTGTTCGTTGTTTCGATGTAATTATCGACATTTCGAGAAATATTACGCATAGTGCGTTGGAACTCATTGTGAGAGACTGAGGACAGACTCTGCCTCTGTGCCACGGCAGATTCGTGTTCGGCGATCACATTCAAGGTGTTCCTCGTGTTAATCAGAATGCTCAGAGCATCATGAAGCTGCCCCCTCTGGTAGTGGAGGTGTTGCTCATGTGAAAACTTGATTTCGAATTTCTCATACGGATTTGGTATTGCTATCCGTTGATTCTGTAGAGAAGGATCACAAGTCAAGTCAGACAGCCTAGCAAGCTTCGCCTTGGACGTCTATAGGGCAAATCTACTCACAAGGAATTTGAATCTTTGAGCAAAGGAGTCAAGATACTCTCTCCAGTTCGCAAGGGCCGCGTGAAGGTACCGAAGATGCAAGGCCATGGGGTGTGGTGTTGACTCTACAGTTAGCTCGAAAACCTCAGGCGGTTGGATGATAACCCAGGTTGGCTGCCCAGAGGCAGCGGAGAAGCTTTGATGAAGAGCTGACTGGCGGCAGGACCATGGGTCTTCTAGATCCCGATGATGCCGTTCAAAATGCCGAATGTTGTAGCATATCTCTAAGTATGCCAGATTATTAGTAAGTCATTACCCAGAGACAATATGGAGGCGAGGAATAATCACCCCAAAGCGAATCGCCGTGCGTCTCCGGCCCGTTAAGGCTGGGGGCCAGGCAATCATTCGCCGGCGCAAATGTGCTATAGCATGACATAAAGTCTTCGTCTTTCGATGAGAACTTTAAACCCATACCAACTACGAAGTGCAAAAAGAAGGGCGTAATTTCGGCGAGATCGCATATTTCAGAGAAGCCTTCAATGGTAGTATCTATCCTACTCCATGAATTGTAACGGTTGAGGATTCTAGAGGACCTCGTCAACCATAGAACATAGCCCGAATAGATGGCGAGGCGACTCCTACAATAGTGTTGGGACGCCTTTCCTTAAAGGAGTATGGAATTCTTCTGGATTTGATACCCAATGAACTTGATGTGGTACAATCACCCCGACACGGCTCTGCTTAACATCATCCGCGAACAGGCCTGGGAGCTTAGATTCGAAATCCTCCCACAGATGCCTGAGGCCAGAGCGGCGAGCTATCCAACTCAAGCGATCTAAGCCAGTTCTACTATGAGGGATTATATCTGGGCTAGGCATCTTGGTGGCGAGAACATGCATAGAAAGCATTACATAAAGTAGTTAATTCTTCAGTTACAACTAAATAGTACCAATAATTCAATGCAGTGTTACCCACCTACTTGGGAGTCTGCCTGACCCCGTTTGACTGATCCGCACAGCCGCGTTCGCAGCCCTCCGCGTGCATTACAATCCTGTTTGAGCATACTTAAGCGATCAGCAAGGCCGGCTGCAGGCACACTAGCGACTTGCGAGTAGGTCGGCCAGTATCTTGGTGATTGGGGCTAGGCAAACAAGAAACCATTCGAATCCGATCGTTCACTACCTAGGTATTGCTAGACCCTCTACCCGTTGGGAGGGAAAATTGCGCATTCAAAATAAAAGAAGTCAAATCGGGGAAAACATGGCCGATCTAGGGCTGCTTCTACAAGTAAGTATAGAGTTAACCCAAGGGTGCTGTAATATTTGAGATACCCGCTGTGGCTTGCAGCAGGCCATACAGCAGGGCAGATTATCATGTCGGCTCTGGCTGGAAGTAGGCTCGGGGTGTTGCGTACAACTCTGTGTAGAGCAAGTCCTCAAAAAAGTAAAGTAATGGGGATACGACAACACCATAATCCCCATTCAAATCTTCTGATGGCCACCACGTGTTAAATACGATTTAGATATAAAATTTGACTGATTTAGTGACGTGACGAAGTCTTCACGTTCAAAGACCGATTTGCCTCCTTTGGTATATCAAGATGTCATGTACATTCAAAGGCACCTATGTACCTAGATATACGGGCCCCAAGATAAAATAAGCCAATAGATCGCCGGAAATTCTAGGAATTCTGCCATCTCCAGTGTGTTTATGTCTACTAGAAGATATCTGTGAAAGACAGAATAAGAGAGATTGTATTTGTTGTTGGATGAATAGGTTGGGATGACGGTAGTTTAATTTTTTCAAGGGGGTTGAAGGTCGTGTAAGATCGCCATCGTCCCCCTTCCCCTCACCTCCGCTGCAGAAGTTACACAGATAGGCCCCGAATTTAGCTCCTCTTATTCTAGCTATCCTAGGTATTGCCGCAGCTGAAACTAACCTGCAGGCTAGGAAGGACATATACAAGTGAAAATAACGATCGTTCTAGTCGTCTAGAGAGCCACGCCGCAGTATTTTGCGATTCACTGCGGGAGATTCAACGAATGAAAGTGAAACTCGAAAGATTTGAAATTTGACTGACTAGGCGATGTGACGATATCTGCACTTTTGAAGACCCACCTTCCTGCCCCGTTTAAGATAATATGCATTTAAGAGTATGTTACGTCCCAAGATAAGATAAGCCAATGACAGACCGCCAAAAAGTTTAGGGAATTCTGCCACTTCCGTTTCTACTTCTCCAGTTCTTCCTTTTCGGCTACACCCCTCCCAATTTTTGCGCCGCCTCCAAAGTTACCATCTAAATCTCGTGACAATGGCTGATACTGGGATGCTCCTGAATTTTGACATTAGTGATGCGCCGATAAAACGACAGGTCAAATTCACAGGCGGTCGTTGGAGAGATCGGGTTCATGCTCAACGAAGCGCCAGAAATAATCACAAGGGACCTACAAGGAGTGAAGCCAATTCCACCCCATTGACCAAGGATCGACGGGAGTTTCACCGTAACCACGATGAGAGGCCTGCGAAGCGCCAAAAGACCTTTGGCGATTCAAATGGTCAAACTGAACACTCAAGACGACAGGAGACAAACAGCGCGTCTGCTAAGCCTGGTGGTATAACTTCGAGGTTATTCACCTCTAACCCAACCCCGAGGACCGTCTTCGAAGAACCAGCGGAAGAAACCGAACCTGCGAAACCATCCAATGCGCCATTATCTAATGAGGCCGAAAATTTCCACGCCCTCGGTTTATCCCCGCGCATTGCCCAACATCTATCGTCCAAACTCGAGATGAAAGCACCGACATCCATACAAAAGAACACAATTCCACTATTAATAAAGGATGATAGCGACGCATTCCTACAAGCCGAGACGGGTTCCGGAAAGACCTTGGCCTATCTGCTACCTATTGTGCAACGGATTATAGCCTTGAGTCATCGAGAAGACGGTTCTGCCACTGGAACTCGAATACATCGCGATTCAGGTCTATTTGCGATTATCCTGGCTCCAACAAGAGAATTGTGCAAGCAGATCGCTACCGTGCTTGAGAAGGTGCTACGATGTGCCCCATGGATTGTCAGTACAACTGTCATAGGTGGAGAGAGCAAGAAATCCGAAAAGGCTCGAATAAGGAAAGGTGTCAATATATTGATTGCTACGCCCGGTCGCCTTGCCGATCACCTGGACAACACCAAAGTGCTGGATGTTGGTACTGTAAGATGGCTTATTCTAGACGAAGGCGATAGGTTAATGGAAATGGGTTTTGAAGACGAACTAAAAAACATCGTGGGGCAGATCCGCAAGGAAAAATTAAAAGAGACAAATAAGGAAGAAGTAAACCTCGGCGCTTTACCGCAACGGCGTGTCACCGTCCTCTGTTCGGCCACGATGAAGATGAACGTGCAAAAATTGGGTGAGATCAGTTTACAGGATGCCACCCATATCACGGCCTCGAAGTCAGAAAGCGATGGCGATGCAGCAGTTGAGACCAACGATGCCGTTTTCACAGCACCGTCTCAATTGAAACAGTCTTATATCGTTGTACCAGCTAAATTGCGGTTGGTCACATTAATAGCCCTTCTCAAATCGTCCTTCGCGCGGAGAGGTTCGGTTATGAAAGCCATTATCTTCATATCATGTGCCGATTCGGTCGATTTTCATTTCGACTTACTCCGCTCTACGCGCCTTCAATCCTCTTCCAACGATACATCTCCCACAAAAGACACCGTTGCCGACGCCGCCTACATCACATCACCAGCTAATCCTGATATAACACTATTAAAACTACATGGCTCTCTTCAACAGCCGGTCCGTACATCTACACTCGCCGCCTTCCATGCCTCAAAAAATCCTTCTGTTCTCATCACAACCGACATCGCATCTCGTGGTCTTGATGTCCCGGCCGTTGATCTCGTAATCGAGTACGACCCAGCCTTCAGCGTCGATGATCATGTCCACCGAATTGGACGAACCGCACGAGCAGGCCGACCTGGAAAAGCAACACTGTGCCTGCAACCAGGTTGCGAGGAGGGGTACGTGGATCTTCTAAAATCGGCGACGCCACTTACCCCTCAATCGTACGACGCCACGCTGCAGAATGGCTTCATAACACCCATAACCCTGCCCAAACCAGACACATCGTCGGAACCTCAGACTCTAGTCTCCGACCGACAGACGCCCAATTCCCGCGCCGAAGCGCTACAGCTTCACCTTGAACAGCGCCTTCTAGCTTCTGAAAAAGAGAAAGAAAGTGGTAGTAGTAACACCAACTCGAAACTCCTCGATGCGGCACGCCAGGCTTTCCGCTCGCATATCCGTGCATACGCTACCCACGTCCGAGACGAGCGTGTATACTTCGATATTACACAGTTACACCTCGGACATTCGGCCAAGAGCTTCGCGCTTCGCGAAGCGCCGGGTGGTATTGGTGGCGGTCCATCAAGGAGGACGTATAAGGCTGGCGCTAAAGTCGGTGCTGGGGCTGGTGGGCAGAAGAGAGGTGCTGATAGTGATGGCGAGGATGGAGCGGGTGCTACAGATGAAGATGCGGCGAGGAGAATGAGGATGAAGATGAAGGCAGTTATGAGTGCCGCCGGGGAGTTCAATATCGGATGAGATCCTCTAAAAATGAAAAGGGGGATGGGAAAAGGTAGTGAAGATGTACAAATCACGAAGGGATATAGATAAAAAGCACGCTTAGCGGGAATGAATTTTACATGAGAATTGCATCGTTATATTGTTGTTAATGGGTCGCAACAAACTTTTAAGCTCACACTAATTGCTACAGTCTTGCAGTTCCGTCTCGTTCCTTCCCATCTTGTCTCCTCCGGATCCGATCCCGACCTCCATGGTCCTCCGACTTAATAACCGCAATCCGTATCTTTCGGTAAACTTTATTTCCATCGCTTTTCTTTATTCTAGCGATCGTAACCGTATCTACGTGAATAGCTTGAAACCACCCAGACATGCCTTTTGGAACACACCATTGGGATCGTACTTCTTACTGGCCTCCTGCAGCTTCTTCACGTTCTCCTCACCGTACGACCGCAGAGCGTCCTGATGAGAAAATGCATAGTTCCAATAAATGTAAGGAACCAACTGACCTCTAGCCTCAGCATTCTGTCCGATACGCTTCAAGGCCTTCTGCATAAAGCCGATGATCCGCTCGTCATCTTTCTTTTCCGTCCAGTACGTCAACAGCAGAACGTTGACGACGGGGCCGTTGCTGGGGTCCAAGCCCATTACGTTTCCACCCTTCGCATTTGTGTTCTCGAGTAGTGACACTGGGTACGGTTGCAAGGTGTAAGAACACATAAGACCGGCTGCGTCCTTGACTGATTCCAATTCTTCACACCAAATGTCGCCGCCCGTAGTGAGTGTTTCGACATCAGCTTTAACACAAATGTTCATGTAGAGACATCTTAAAAGACCATTATTTAGCTAGCTTACTAGGGAGCCATGGATACTTGGTTGGGGCATACCTGATCATGCTCTGCCCCGCAGCAGATTGTTCCGTTGCAGCCTCAACAAGCGTCTGAATTTTCATAGTGTTCATCTCAGTTCTCTGTGGTTGGACATGAGTAAAAGGGGCCAGAGCAGGAGGGTCCTGGACGGGCTGGGTATAGTAAAGCTGATTCAAACAAATGATATCGTTTCCATTCCCGAAAACTTGGGCGTATGCAAGGCTGAGCATAAGATGTGTTTCGACACTAGCATCGGGCGATGTGAGCTCTTTTACTAGAGCAGCCATTTGGTCCGGAAAACTAGGTTTATAGTAAAAGACCATGCCCGCGTACATAGGCCCTTGCTTGAATGTCCGAAGATCAAACCGCGTGACGATACCTGGAATATTTCAATTGGTCAGGACAGCGCTACCGGGGGCTTGATGTGGTCGTTTGATAAGATGGATTTCGTACCAAAATTGTTCCCACCACCTCGCAACGCGACCCAAAGATCCGGATTTTCTTGGGCGTTCGCATTGATAATCTCGCCTGAGGCCACGACGACTTCAAAGTTGATAACGTTGTCGCATATGAAGCCTTCTCGGGATGAATAGAACGAGAGACCACCTAATTATTAAGAAAATAGTTAATTTTCTGCTATCCTCACCCCATAGACCTTTTTCGGAGCACCCCGTTCGCGCATACCTTGCGTTGCCAAACCCCCGATACCACATGTCGTCGATTTACCACCTGTGACACCTAGACCATGGGGCTCCAGGTGCTCGTAAACGGATCCCCAGGACTCACCGGCAGCAATCTGGACGTGGCCATCTTGAACGTTAACGCCAGTCAATGATCTTAGATCAACAGTGATGCCACCTTGGATATTTGCACATCCGGGCAAAGGCTGTCGTCCGGCAGCTCGAATGGCAAATTGGACATCACTAACGAATGGCCGAATCGTCCGAACAAATGCGGCGACCTCCTCTTTCGACCGAGGGAGAAAGATGCAGGCAGGAGACAGGTCACTCTCAAATCCTGAAAGATAACTATTATTTAGAGATGCATATTCTTCAGCTGCGTCGGGTGTGACAAGATGAGCGTTCTGTATGGCCCGTCTAAGGGCCAAGATAGTTTGGTCTACCTTAGTATTCATCTCGATGAGACAAGTCGTAAGAACAAAGATATTCTTAATGACTTTCAATTATTTTCAAACCAAATGAGGCGACGCCATTAAACTGTGATACCCACTCGTCTGGTATGGTATAGTTAGTAGAAAAGAAAATGAAGTTTAACTGTTGGAGCCCTTTGTAATTGGGGGTGCGAAGGGAGGACTTATTTGTCCCTTAATGTGGGATGGGTCAACTCTACCTAATACTAACTTATTGGTGTTGGTCCGACGTGATAACATATATTTTACCTGCAATACATCTACATGCAGTTGGTAGGCTTTGAATAGATTGTAGCTTGGACCAAAGTACCATTATGGTTCACGTATTCGAAATGAGAATATTTTGGAACAACTTCCATAGTATTAACTATCATACAAGGCACGTAGAGCTATCATGCCAATGGTACCCGATACGTGCTCATCACGTATCATAACGAGCGACGTAAATGCCGTTGCTCTTCATTAGCCGTTCCGAACGCCGCTCTGATATCTATTGGGCCTCATCATCCATCGCCCAATCCCAGGGGTCCATTTGAATTTTGTCCCCCTTTCAATAACTCGTCCCTGTAGATAAATAAATGGAAGTTTCTTTCGCAGTATATGCAAAGTGGAGATTTGTCTATAAACCGACACACTGGCCGATGCCCTTTTCCCGTTGATGCCCCCTCTCGTCCGTAATCCGTTTTACATGCAAATCCATAAAAACGCCTGGCCCGCTATGACAACCTTGTCTAGTCAAGGTCATCTAGAAATAGGTTATGCTGCTCTTCGCTTCAACCGACCACCCCGGTAAAAAAAAAAAAAAAGAAATTAAATCATATCAACCTCTTGCAGCACAACACGGGGTATCGCATTAAAAGCAAAGAACAAAGAAAAATAACATAAGGAAAATAACCACTCTCAAATTGACCATATAGTCAACTTAAGCAGCCACCTCTTCATTACCACTGCCACCGCCAAGAAGCTCTAAAACTTTGTTAACGACAGCGCTCGGGTAGCCCCGAGAAAGCATCTCTCCGACAACCGACTTAGCACTCTCCCGGTCTTCTACAGCGAGGAAAGCGCGAGTCATAGCCTCGTACGTGCTGGGTTCACGCTTCTCACGACCGACGCTGTTGTAAACTGAAGCAGCTTTGGTAATGTTCTTTTCGCCAGCCCATCCGTGGATGAGAGTGTTCGCGATGTAGGGTGTAAGTTCTACACGCTTCTGCTTCATCATGGATAGAACTGCCTCGGTGTCGACTACCTTATGGTTGGCAACCATAGCTTCAAACAATGCTTGGAAGAGGCAAGCATTAGGCTTGATGCTTGGATCACTCATGACCGAATCGAAGATCTTTCTCGCGCCCTGCATATCGTGGAGGACACAGCCCCTCGCATGAATTAGCGAAGCGTAATGGACTGGCTCGGGGTTTCCACCAGAGGCGCGAATCATGTCCAGAACAACCTCAGCGGCAGTCATGTTGACAGGTTCGAGGGTAGCGTGAGTATCGACGAGAAGCTTATAGGTGTGAGCAGTCGGCGCAATCCCCTTAGCCTGCATTCGGTCGTAGTAAGCGAGAACCTTGGATTTATCGCGTTTGGTAGTAAGGAAGAATTGCATCATGCTGTTGTACGGAGCTGGACGAGCTTTGTAGTTGGGCATGGACTCCATCTCATCGAAAAGTTCCTCTGCGAATTTCTCGTCGCTAACACGGCATAGAGCATTTACGATTGTCCCATACGTGACGCTTGTTGGCTTGATACCTAGAGCACGCATCTCTGCGAAGTAGAATAGGCAGTCATCAATACGACGAGCCTTGCCCAGTTTGCCAATTAGAGCGTTGTACAAGAATGATGAAGGCTCAACACCCTCAGCTTTTGCCCGGTGGAAGATCTTGACGGCCTCTGAAGCCTCATCAAAGGTCTTCGTTGATTCTTTGAGTGTAGTAATGTAAAGACCAAAGGTGTTAGCTGAGGGAGCGGCTCCCATCTCAAGAAGCTCATGGTGGTACTGCTCCGCTAGGACGCGATCACCGAGAGTTAAGCAAGCTCCAACCATAGCATCGAGAATAGAGGACCAGCCATAACGAACAACAGAATATTGCGGGAGGAAAGGGACATCGGTACGGGCCATAGCGAGGATATCGTGGCATAGGTCCATCTTGCTTTCTCGTGCGGCGGCGGAAATCATCTTAGCATAGGTAATGTACCTTGGATGACGTCCAGCACGTCGCATGTTGCGGAAACGAGTCAGTGCCTCGTTAAGTCGAGGTCCTTTTCGACCGTGGGCACCTTCAAGCTCATCTGAGATGATAGACGAACCCTTGAAGTCGGTGTTATGAGCATAGGGATCGAAGTTATCCTCGTAGCTCGAAACGGTAGGTGTCGACGAATAAGGGGACGCGGAAAAGGTTTGCTGGCCGAAACTTGTTTGAGAAGCAACCTCACGGGGATCCGGAATGCCACGAGTGGCCATGAACCGTGTGATGAATTCGACACCCTCGTCTATTTCGTCGGCGATGTGCGGTCTACCTTCATTTTCGACGGCGCGAATTCGCTGGAACATCAACTCGGACTCGGCCAATCCTTCGGCCACCTGACCCGAACCAATCATAGCAACGGCAAACATAGCTGTTGGCTCAATGAAGGACGAGTCAACCTTGACTTCAGGGTTGCTCAGCACGTGCCAGTATCTAGCAGCAGCTGGAACATCACCTTGTCGGACACTAAGAGCTAACAAGGCCATAGCAGGAGTTGCAATACCCTGGAACGAAATGGGAAGGTTAGCAAAAGCGGTAACCGCGGTATTTCGGTCGCCAAAATCGGCGGCAGCAGTCGCAATATCTGCGAAGGCACTCAAACGGGCATTGTTCTCGATCTCCTGAGCCCATCGAAGTGCTTCGTGGTAGATTCCCCTAGCGGTGAAGGCCTCGACAAATCCACCGCTAATAATTGCGTCCTGAATCTGAGCGGCGCCTACGCCATATGAGTTTACGATCTTCTCGTAAAACTTCTTGGCGCCATCCAACTTATCGTTGATGACATATGCGTTGATCACTGAAGCGTAAACCTGGGAATCAAGTCGGTCATTTAGCGTGTACTTGCCGTTGTCATGAGCGACGGCGAGCTCCTTGTACTCATTGTAGCATTCGACGGCACTAGCTAAATCACCTGTGCCGGCAAAAGCGGTGATCATGGAGGGGAAAGTAGCCGCAAAAGGAACAGCACCAGTCAGTTCCATATGCTCAAAAAGGTGGAGCATGTCAGAAACACGGCCAGCTTGAGCACATGCGGAGATGAGCTGATGGTAGGTCTCAGATGAGTAGTTCGCTTTGCCTGTCAAAACGGAGGTCTCGAACAACCTAACTGCGAGGTCAAGTCTATCATCCTCTGAGAGAATGGCATGTTCCAGCTCATTCGAGGCAAACATGAATTTTCCGGGCTCATCCATACCACCAAAACGAAGACGCTTGTCCTCGAGACCCTTCTTGAGAGTAGACACTTCCAGGCATCGAGCAGCCAACAAACCAACTAAGATGTTGTATGTATCGCTGTCCGGGGTGATCTTTCGGCGCATCATATCAGCATAGACATCTAGAGCCTTTGAGACGACCTCAATCTTCTCGGTGGGGATCTGGATAGCAGCAACCAACAAGGCATTGTATGATGCGGCTATGGGCTTGATATCGGCAACAAGCATGGCCTCAAAGACAGCGGGAATTTCAGCATAGCGACCATCTTCGGAAAGCTTGGTGAGATGATCCGCGTAGCTCTTAGATTGGGGGTCGACCGGTGGAGTTGCGGTGCGGGCGATGCTAGCAGGTGTTTCCGACCTTTCGATGACGGGAGTCTGAGCACGAGATCGAACGCCACTTGCGACAGAGGGAGTCGATGCCCTTGGGGAACGTGTGGCGCTCTCTTCCAATGCTTCCCTCAACTCGCGAACCTCGATCTCTTTCTCTATAGCAGCATCAATATGAGCCAACGCTGCCTCCACATCTACGGGAACCGCCACATCCTCGACTCCATCCTGAGCAGCTTCAGCAGCATCAGCGTTCTGTACCTCGGACTCGGGACCCTCAAGGACGGATGAAGCATTCGGTTTCCATTCTATGGATTTGAGAAATTGAAACTGTGTCCATTCCTTCTCGACGTCGCCGGTATCCTGTTGTTTTCTCAGAGCCTCGAAGTAGGCATCTAGGTTGCCACTGGTATGCTTCTCGTGACGAAGGTCATGCTGGGCACTCGAAGAGTTGTGGAAGGCATTCTGGAGCTGAAGGCTAGAGAGACGTCCGACTCGCTGACTGTTACGTCGAGCGAACGACGGACGGTTCTGTGAGTTTAGAACATGGGGGTGAGTAGCAGCTACGACAGATTGCGCGTAGCCGTGGGTGAAAGATTTCGCAAATCCTTGACGGATGAAATTCTGGTACAAGGACGAATAGATGGTGGGCATTTAGATGACGCCAGGAGGGGAGGGTGACTAGAGAAATGGAAGAAATGATCTAGTTAGCGCAAATCCGAAGTGTTCAACCAGTTTGAGTAGAAAAATAGGATCGAAGTTTGGTGTTTTGTGCGCTCGTGACTCGATCTAAGAGTCTACGGGACCCCAGTCTCGAAATACAAAATTTCTTTGGGTGCGCGAGCAAACGCGGAAATAATAATGACCAAATCAATGACGACTTACATAGAGAAAGGGTAAAATGGGTCGTTGCAGGTTCATTTGACAGCACCGTAGCCGTCAAACAAACGCGCGAATATTGAATTGTGAAAAAAAGAAGAAGAGGTGAAAAAATATCTGCGAATTATTGAACGCAGAAAAAATTGAGGAATACCATGAAAAAGGTTTGGGGCTGGTGTTGGATGGGATTTTGGTGGGTGATATTGGATTTTGGTTGTAATAATAAAAAAAATTGATGGATCGTATTTTTTCCCTAAATTCTATAGCACAGGTGAGTTTCTAGGTACATACAGGCATACAGGCATACAGGGGACCCAGTTGAAGGGGGAAGGTCCAGGGTATGCTGCGTGCATTAGCCCTATGCTAACTAAAATGTTCGCTGGTTCTTTCTTTCTGCTGACAGTTTTCTAGTTGGCCCTCGCGGTCGCACTTCCATGAATTTCCAATCAAGTCAGTGGAGCCGGGGGGCTAAAATGGAAGGATCCGGGAACTTTGTTAGTGTCCCTATTGCAAATACACCATCCACATGGCCAAACTATGCGAGGTGTCGTAACCTCTAAGAAGTCGCTACCTAGGTAAACGCAGCCCTGGTTTCCCAGCCATAGCGGTCTACATAGCAATTGCCCCTCCTCCCCGCTAGCAAACTGCAGCAGTTCGTTTAGTTTGTGACTCAGGCAGGCAGGCAGGCAGGCAAGTCACACAAGCGACGTAACTCATGTTGTATACATAGAAATCGCGACCTGTCGGAACACATCCGCATCTATTGTCATTTATTAGGCAGGCAAGGATTACAATGTCGATACAACTACACGTCTCTCTACACCTAGCAGTCTCGGACAAAGACGATATATTTAAAAGACACCAAGTTCGTTTACATATGACAAAGCATGGATATTACTACGGGTAACAAACCCACCTAGGTAATATGGACGGGAGGCAGCCCTTGACCGTGGACAATAAAGCTGGCTAACACGTTTTCAAATCGTCATTCATAGCTTAGCTCCATTGCGTATTTTGTTATATACATTCATTTTATTCCTATCATAAACAATTCCTTCAATATAATAGCGAAAAGGCCAGATCGTCACTTATTTCCATTCAACTGCGAAAACTATAATGACGAAACTATGCTACTGCCTAGAAAATCATGGATGACAGTTATACTGTAGCCTACAGCTGAGAGTAGTGCCGAAGACAAAAGCTAGCATGCTAGCAAGCCCGGCACCTTCGGATGCAATTTTTTCTCTCGCCTACGAGGTACTTAAGAGAACAAACCGGAAGAATTAGGACGCGCGTATGGATCCGGTCCTATGGGGAAGAGCCCTGATTCGTTCGAGGCTGTCCGAGATGCCCAATAGGGAAACGCCATGACCCCTAGACAGTGGGTGAAGTCGGAATCTCGATCCCAGTCTGTCGGGATGCCAGTACTCCCCGTGCCCCCGTCACTTCAAGGTGCATCATCATACAGCACTACCTCCAGCCTTGTACCATGCATTACAACAGTTTGAAGCTATCGTAAAAAAGGGAGCTCATGATCTCTGAGCTTGTTTCCCCAGATTTTTCTTTTCAAGGGTCAAAGGAGAACGGCATTACCACTTGGCAGTGGCAAGAAACAGGATTCCCTTTAGATCAACGCACTCACCCTGCAGCCGCTGCGATAAGCTCGAGACCCTAGTATTGCGAGATGACAGCAATCTTGTTTAGATTTATGCCGTAACGAGCTTACCTTTTCGGCGATTTTGTGCTTGTCGCACACGGAAAGGCAATGAAAAAGAAATTTACACTAGGGAACTCCTCCTTTTCAAGTCTCGATTGTTCTATCAGTTTCCCATTGCGCCTATCTAGCATTGCTAACAAGCTTCTGAACGGATACGCGACACGACAATTTATTTGCTTCTATCGTGAAGTGTTTCAAGGTCACCCACTAACAAAATAGACAATGAAATCCATTCAGCCGCGTCGAGCCCCAAGTGGGCAAGTGTGGAAAAGATACATGTACCAAAGTAGAAATTGGCAGCTCACGGGACCAATTCTAAGCTTCCTGCAACGAAAATGCTCCGCGATCTTCCTGCCTGGCTTGCTTCACTACCCTTGCAACAGCACCGCCCCTCGTGTTTCTCGGTCTTCAATGTCCCTCAAAATATCAGAATGCTACTCCAAATGTCCGGGTGTCCGAACCCTAACCCCGTGCCCCGACGGCTTTGAGTATTGCTCCGGGTGCCGCTTACGTAAATACCCGAGGATCACCGATTTCCACGAGGGGCTTTAACCTCCGGGTCTATGCCTATACTAACTAGTACGCTTATTATATTCGTACTGTAAGATAAATCAACAAATTCGATGGATCCCGATTGCACTCGCTAAAATCCTTCATTCTATACTACATTCATACCTATACTATGACGCTCTGCTCCCTTCTTACTTATCATCTCCCGAATATTTCCTTTTTACTTGCCTAGATACCTAATCTATCAAGGTCACTTGCACATGTGTAAGCCATTTGCATGACTCATATGCAGGACATCTCTGCGCTGTAACCGATATGTATGTGATGGCTTGGTGTTTTCGGTAGTACTTCCGTCGGTGTTGTAGGCGGGCTGTTACTATGTACGTCGCGAGTTGTCGATCTTGCGGGTGCCTTGTCAATCTCGTGTACGCACGTAACAAGGCTTAATTCCGACGGATGGCGTCAGCTCTCAGAATCGTCGATGCTTGTTGACCGAATTACTGATTCCCTGAGCTTATTTTATTTCAAATATTGTTCTTACCTATGCAAAACACTAACCATTACCATTAAAGCATAGGGGAATCCTTCAGGTGAGATATAGATAGCACGGGCCTTTGATAGGTATAACTCCGTGTACCTATGTATTGCTAAATGATTATTCCGGGCATTTCCTCGGAACTATTGAAACAATTAAATGTGCTCTAGATACTGTCCTGCATATTAGTAGATGAAAATAGCACCAAATAATAGGGAAAATTGGGTGATTTATGCCCATCTCGTGCAACCATATTACCAGAGTGAAGAAATAGCTCCCAACGAGTCGCCTTGGAGGACTTATAATTGAGCATATGCATAGCCCGTAAGTCACTTTAGGTGCAGTTGTAGGTAAGGGTTCGAAACCAGGCGAAACTATAATATTGTCCAAGGAGCCAGAATGATAACATATTAGCTCTAACCCATCGATTTCTAGGTAACCGATACTACCCTTACTTCTTCGAAAAGAAAGACATGATGTTTCCCTGACCCTTACCCGCCGCCGCTTTCTTGGATTTCGCGGCGGGTTCCGACTTGACGACTGGTGGGGGCTTCGACTTAGGTGGCGGAGGTGCCTCGTCCTCCGAGAACGACTCCCAGCCTTGTTCTTGAATTGTCACAAGGTATCCCTTATCGTCCATAACCTGCTTCTTGCGTGTAACCCGTCGTCTTCCCCTCTTTCTGCCATCACCCGTGCTCGATACTATCTCAGCGGGTTCCTCTGTCTTGGGCTCAGGCTCGGGAGGTGGCGGCTCTTCTTCCTCCGGTTCCTCAGCAGGACTGTCTTCCTTCTCGGGCTCTTCATCTTCGCTTTCCTCCATCATGCGACGAAGTTCTGCTTGACGGTCCTTTCGCGATTGTCTGGCACTAGCCGACTCCTTCGCCTCTGGCATTGGCTCCGCGTCGTCTTCTCCGTCGTCGGATAGCGCCATTTTCTGGTCTTCCTCTGCGGCGGGTTTGGCAGCAGGTTTCTTGGGTTTGGCGGCTGCCTTAGCAAACATTTGTCCAATGCCCGACGAACCCTGGCGCTTCATTGGAGCAGCTGCGGTGGACTTCTTAGTAGCAGCTGGTGCTGGCCCTTTGGCAATAGCTTGAGGAGCCAATTTGGGTTCTTCCTTCACAGTAGTTGGCTTTTCCTCCTTGATAACTTGAGGTTGCGGTGCGGGTTTGGCGGCGGGTGCACTAGCAACTGGCCTCGAAGCTGGCCCACGGCGCTCCCGTTTGCGCACATGAGGGTTAGCGATCGAACCAAAATCTTTGCTTGAAGCTGGTAGATCACCCGTAGTTGATAGTGACAAGACCTGTCGGGCCGTATCGGCCAGTAGCTGGAGGTCCTTGAGCGGGTGTGGGCCTAAGCTATAGATATGTATCGATGTGACTTCGTCATATGCCGCCAGTGTATCTGCCATTGGTTAGACGAAGCTATCGAGAATAGTAGGATGCTTGTTCCAACCTTGTAGTTGCTCTTCTCTAATTAAAGAGAGTGTATAAGTGGGTATTTCGTCTGAGAAGGGGACCTGTTGATCTTCTGAGACTTGTGAATCAGTCATCTCGACATCGCCATCGCGCTCTTCCACTTTTACTATGTTCTTCTTAATCCCATAGACGATATACGTGGCATGGAGGGACCCTGGGCGTTTGGGGTTCTGCCATTTATGGAACTCATAGAGCATCCTATGAAATTGTTAATTTTCTTCAATCTCAAGGAACGTGACAACATACTCCTTGGCGGTATTGACGTGAACCTTTAAAGCCCGACTTAGAAGTCGATAAGTAACCTTAAACCGAAATGAATGAGTAATATATCACCTAGGTATTCACAAGTCTTGAAACTCACGAGCTGATCCTCGGTGAGGATTTTCTGAGCTAGATATTGCTTATAGTCGTCCATCTTGATCGACTTTTTCGAGGGTAATTAAATCAAATCGTTTTTAACATTCCAGGCAAGATATAGTAAGTTCCCTTTTCCTGCATTAAGAAGCAGACTAGAAAATCTTCAAGAGTATTAATTGCTGGTTAGATTCAAGTTTAAATGTTGAGATCAGAATATGGTCGGTGTTAAAGAATAGCAAGCAATCGCGTCCGCTAAGAAAGACGCGTTAAGTGGTGGGGCAACCAGATTTACAGGGGGCAAGATCCGCCAGTTACAGGGGTTCAATTTTTAAGTGTTAGCCTGAAGGCGCGTGTCGTCAAAGGGTAGTCGCGACTATGTACTTAGTATAGTTTCGTCAATGATCTCATTAAACAATTAAACTCAATTCTTTAATATCGATATCCTTTTCTTGTTTCGGTCTTAAATCCGACGACAACAACCATAAAAACCAATGCGTGCGAGTTCACTGCTATAAGTCTAGCAAGGCCGAGAATCAAAATTGCCCGAGACGCCACCTAAAATCCCCTTGAGCTACCGAACACAAACAAATTCTTTTCTCTTTCGACCCAATGAACAACACCATTGTCGAACAATTCGACGATGTCACCGACTCGACGGATTGGCTGTCAACGCCAATATCCGGTCTTGCAGCTGTAGAAGCAGCTCTCCGATGCCAAGTTTGCAAGGATTTCTACAAAACACCGATGCTGACTTCGTGCAACCATACCTTCTGCTCCATATGCATTCGCCGCGCCCTTTCCAACGATGGAAAGTGCCCCTTATGTCGCGCATCCGAACAAGAAATGAAACTACGTAGTAATTGGTCCATGGAAGAGGTTGTCGCTACATTTACAAAAACTCGCCCTGATGTTTTGCTATTTGCGAAGAGGTCGCAGGAGGCGACAGGAGAGTCAGCAAAAAGAAAATTGGAAGACACAGAGAGCTTTGAGTCGAGTAGCCAGCCATCGAAAAAGAGGTTACGATCTTCAACAAGATTAAGCAAATCGAGGAGCATGGAGATAACTTCAGAGATGGCATGCCAGGAGATCGAAATACCTGACCAAGACCTGACGGATTTCGAACCTAAAGACGGTTTAGTCGCATGTCCAATTTGCCTGCAGCGCATGAAGCCACTCCAGGTAGATAGGCATCTTGACACATCCTGCCCCGGCGAACCGCAACCGCAACAAAATATATCTTCGAATCGAGATTCACGATCAACGAGTACACCGAATGGATTCTCCGCCCCATCACCCAGAAAACCACCACCGAAAGCCCCAGAACGGCTACCAGCGATAAATTACTCAATGCTCAAAGAACCGCAACTCAAGAAGAAATTGGTAGAGCTAGGCATATCGACAACGGGTAATCGGTTAATGCTAGAAAAAAGACATAAAGAATGGACCACAATATGGAACGCAAACTGCGATTCTCAATATCCAAGACGAAAAGCAGAACTCTTACACGACTTGGACACGTGGGAGCGCACAGTGGGTGCCAAAGCACCGACGTCCTCTAAATCGTTCGTCGTAGGGGCTCAGATCAAGGATAAGGATTTCGACGGTGCTGCATGGGCCGCGAAACACGATAATTCGTTCAAAGATCTAATAGCTAATGCGCGGAGGAATAAGGCCTTTGTAGAGCGTGGTACTAATAAGTTAGATGAGGCGGCGCCGACTAACGGTATAAAAAGTAATAGTGGGGATGAGCCTACGCCGCAGGCGGATACGGAGATGTTAGCTTCGCTTGAAGATTCCAAGGAACCCCAAGCGCCAGTCGACTCGGTTACTCAAGCTGCCGGAATAATTGATTTAACACGCGAAATAGCATCATCAGATGCGTCAGACGCGGCACTCTCAGATGGGGAGGGTGGGACGGCAGATATAGGTGCTTCATCAAGAACAACAGTGATATCATGAGACAAATAATAATACTATATTGCTTTCTTCGAAGCCAAATTAATGATCTATTAAATAGTTATCCGTAAATTCACTCTGCCCGTTGCGCTACTTTCTCTGTTGTGCTATCACTTTGTATCTGCATATCTCCCAACTCGTTCGCTGTAGCAGTAACCGGCGTAATAGGCCGCGAATCCTTCTCTTCTATTTTGCCAGGTACAGGAAGAGGAGCCAATTTCTCGATTTCGGCCAACTTTCGTCTCGTCTCTTCGGCTTCTTTCTCTTGTTGTGCTTCCTTCTTGATCCTTTCTACCTCTTCCTCTTTCTTGCGCTCCTCGGCTAGCATAGCTTCGAATTCGTCGTCTACTTCCGTCTCGTCGACGGTGGCCGCGGGTCCTGCCTCGGCGATGATGTTGCCTACTTCGTCCACCTCGCCCATCTGCTCGCGAAGGTTATCTAGTACTTCGTCTACCTTGTCGGCACCGCCAACTTGGGCGTTCAGGCTGCGTAATGCAGTCGTGCTCGATTGCATAACCTTGACTAATTGAACGTTATCGGCCGCCTGTTCGATCTTGGCGGCTACATCTTCCAATTGGCTTAGGGTGGCATGCCGTCGTGTCAAATTTGTCTCTGCTAATTTCTTCGACTTCAGGGCTGCTAGAGCAGCAACCCGGTTCTTTCTGCGTACAGCATCCTGAGCTGTAATATTGAGCTCGTCGACACGCCGACTTAGTACATCAGTCTGCCGTGTTAGGTCCTCTATAAGCTCCTTGAGGGAGGCAATTGCCTTATCCTCTTCGGTAATAGCTACGTCTTCAGCTCCGCTCCGAATCTTAATCGTATCACCATCTGTCGACAACACATTCTTGTCTCGTGATAGAAAATTAACTAATACGTCCAGATCTGTCTCTGATAATCGTTGTTTTTTCTCTAGTAGGCCCTCGGCAAACGTCCGTCGAAAATGTGCCTTGGAAAAAGTTCGCTCAAAAGGTGATGTACGGTCTGCGGTAGCCTCGCTGAATGCCTTGGCTAATATTTCTAGGTTTTGCAATACTACAAACTGACCTCGAGGTAAGTTATCGCCCGGTCCACCTATCCCGACTTGTCGTAGTCCCCATGACATAACGGACCAAGGAAGGCTACCCCATGACCGGTAGTATATACTCTCCTTAGACTTAAGGAATTGTTGTAGCGGCATCATCTCCCCGTTCGCCAAAGCCTCCTGTAGCACAGTGCCTAGCGCTAGAGGCCGTCCGAATTGCTTAGTCTCGAGGGATCGTAGGAGGGAGTCGCCATCTAAGTCGAGAATTAAATGGTTGTGTGTTGCTGATTTAGAGGGTGCATGGCCAGCCAATGCTGCCGAAGAAAGTCCCCGCTTCCATGCTGTGACATTGGCGACGAAGCCATCCGGGTTCAGGTTTCGTTGGGAGCGGAAGTCAGAATAGAGAGCAGGGAGTCGGGCTCTGCATTGAAACATGAAAGATTAGCTTTGTTCTCCTATAGATTAATGAGATTAGAGGGTTTACCTTCGGAAATTCTCGTCATGCTGCACAAGATAATTTAGGAGTTCGCTCATGTTGAAGGTGAGAGTCGAATCGGATTAGATAGGGAACCTCGAGGTGTGACAATTTCTTGATGCTGCTTGACACTGGACAAGCAAACAAGAAAGCATAGTAAAACTGCTTTCAGTATCCAAGTGTCGGTGAATTAGTTTCTTAGATAAGTACAAAGACACATCCCACGGTGGAGTGGCGTAGGCAGCAGAGCAGATTTGATGATGATCCTGAGGTATCCAATTGTGAATTGTGAATGTTGAATGATGAATGATGAATGATGAATGATGAATAGAAAGGAAAGCCTAAAGCGCGCCGTATTTACAGCGTAAATTAGGTACCTAGGTAGGGTAACTAAAAGCTTATCAGCGCGACGTCACTATTTCTGATAAGCCTTACGGGGGACCTTGAAGCTTAAATGATACCCTGGAAAAGGTCCCACAGTTACCCCTAACCCCCTGTAACTTCTTAACTCCTTCATTGTTGATACAACCACTTCAATTCCATCAACAGTTATTTATTCTTATTTATTCTACAAACTAAAGACCCCTTTCGGTTGCACAAAGAATACTTAAAGAAAATTCATATTATGTTTATATTTCCTCATAAATAATACATAAACCCCTTGTCACTATTACGACTAATGTCTACATGAGGGAACAGTATGTCAGATCAAATCCAATTCCCGCGCTGATATATTTTGTCTATCGGCGTCAATTCTCCCAAAGGAACGCTAAAAATCTCCACAGGGCCCGATTGTCCATCCAATTCGTGCACTGGACCTCGGGCTTCCAATTCACTAAAATTCGGACACCCTTTCAATTCATTTATCTGCTCCTGTCCCACTTCTTGGTCTAGAATTCCGCGTGAATTTCCATTTTCAAGCCTAGAAGCCTTCATTCTCTTCCATACCAGGTACTTATATCTTGCGAATGCCGCGGCACACCCAATAAATACGTTGAAGACCAGACATATGCTGAGTCCGATAATGGCCGCTGGCGACAATGATTTACCGCCGTCCTGTGATGACGACGAGACGCCGCTTGATGCCAGTGAGGTCGTATTAGCCATCATCCAGGATGACTGAGACGGCATCATTTGACTAGAGATCACGGAAGCTATAGAGTGAACCATAGTAGAACTGGGGGAGGCCAACTAACCATTTCTCGGACAGGAACTTCCCCTCTAATTATATAGCAAGTGCCCGAATCAGTATCCAGTGAAGTTCTGCTAGCGATGCAGGATCGATCGTTACGTCTAATGTCTTTGCATCTACGGATACACACACGGGTGGCTATCTTCCGATTCCAACTGCTCCCGTGAGCACATGCGAAGTACGAGGGAGAAAATATCTGCTAGCGAATACATGTCCAACAAAACAGGAATTATCCAGGACACTTTTCTACATTCAATCGGGAGAGGATTTGATATAATACATCTTAGGATTTCAAACACGATGTATGGTTACACGGCCAATACACATCCCAAAATTGTCACCGTTTCTGTGAGTATATGCTATACTTAGACATAAGTCGAAACAAATATGCATGCGGGATCCTGCCAGGCAGACTTTCGTGATTGATTTCTACTCAAGCATCTCGGCGGCGTCGACAGTCATTCATATCATGAATGTACCTCCAGGTTACCTAGGTAGGCCGTAATGTGACCTTTTAAGGAAGATCGCCTATTTAATTCAGAACGGAATACATACGTTACGCATATCCCTTTCAAGGGTTATCCCGGTCGTTGGCAGTCTTGTGTAACCAGCCACGGTCAACTGAAAAGGGGGTTCCATTGACGCCACGGCGCCGCCATTGTTCTACCATATTCGGAGTTACTCCTCCGGACTAGACACGCACTTAAGAAGGTAGATCTTAGAATTAGAACGAAGCCTTTTTACCAATATGGAGTTGATAGACACTGTGGCTGCGGAACAAGCAGCTGGATACGTCGCAGGTAGCCGAGCGTATATTACTGTATAGTTTGCTCAATCCCCATGTGGTAAATTCCGCGTTCTACTGGATTTTCTCAACGCCCTGTTATCGTACACTCAGACGACGAAATCCACCATTGGCCCCCAACTGCCCACCGGTAGATTAGCCACCATACACCGCCATTAAGAACCTTAGAAGTTAGGCAGATAACCCTAGAGTGCGTTTGGTTTTTTCCTCTCAGAAGACCCGTTCTGTGGCCTCACGTAGCACTTTCCATTCGCCTCGTATTAAGTATCACAACGCGGAACGAATTCCTCGTTATTCTTAACCCGGTTCCGCTCGGTATAGTTGATATAGCATCAGATGAGGAGTTACTCGGTGATAACAATATTAAGCCCGTCAATTGGGCTGTTTAATTATATGTCGTCGCATAATTTGTTACTCGGTCGAGAACCAAGCTGACGCCAGCGACATTTTTTCTTCGTAGAGCCCCAGCCCTTCAAAAGACCTAGAACGTGATCAAATCTTGGTATCCTAAATGTGTCATTATAGGGGATACCATAAAGACATAATTTTAGCAAATTAGAATCTAGTTTTGCGATGCTGGATGGAACTGGCGTAGCTGGTTATGTCACGATGGACAATTGGCGGGGATATATTGTTATAGAATGAGTAAATCAAAAATCGTTTAATATCTGTCGAATAGAATCCAGTCTTTTTTTGTACCTGCGTTAGGATAAGTAGCCATATTGGGAATAAGATCTCTTCAGTCCCCTGGTTGACGACTCAGCTTACATGTCTACCTACTATATTCGTACATCGAAGAGATTCGCTAATCGCCCAATGCACATCACGGCATTATCTAGTGTTAACACCGCGCTATCAACGGCGACCATTGCGGTGAAAATGAACATCTACTAGCAATTATATAAACCGGGCATGACCCCCTTCAAGCTTAAGATGCAGTTCTCGGCATATCAAACAAGCAAGTTGAGTTGACACGGCATCTCTCGACCCATACCTCATCCAATTCAACTCCAACGCACTCAATAATCATCAATCACAATGTCCGCCATCTTCACCAAGCCCAAGTCAAAGCTAACCTGGTTCATAACCGGATGCTCCTCCGGCTTTGGACTCTCACTAACCCGCACCGTCCTCGCCAACGGTCACGCCGTAATCGCAACCTCCCGCAACCCATCGCGCACTCCCGACCTCGTCGCCGAAGTCGAGAGTAAGGGGGGCAAGTGGCTCAAACTCGACGTAGACGACCGCAAAAGCGGGGATGTAATCAATGAACTCGAGAACTCGGGCATTGAGATCGATGTATTGGTTAATAACGCCGGATTCTCGATCTTTGCGCCTGTTGAGATCGCGACGGAGGATGAGATCCGAGGTCACATGGAATCGATGTACTTCGGCCCCTTGCGCTTGATACAAGCGGCGGTTCCGCATATGCGGAAAAGACGGTATGGTGTTATTGTTAATTTTAGTACGGGTTCCTCGCTTGATGGACGGGACGCGATGGGTCCGTATGCGGGGGCTAAAGCTGGTCTTGATGGTACGTATCTCCTAAATTCCCCATTGACAGACGTTTATTCCATTCTAACAAGACAATGTTTATAGGCATAACTAGAGTACTGGCTAAGGAGGTCGCTCAGTACAACATCCGAGCTCTGACTGTTGTCCTGGGTGCGTTCAACACGAACATGGGAAACGCCACCGTGGTGGGAAAGAACCCGCTTCCGGACGACTATAAGGGGTCTGTTTCCGACAAAATGATACAATTCCTCTCTGGTGCCAAGCTGCCTGGCGCACAACTCACCATGGGCGACAAGGATAAGGCTATGAAGGCTGTTTACGAGGTGGTGGTTGGGGAGGGTGTTGGTGTCGGGAAAGAGGCTGAGAGATTGCTTCCCCTGGGTGTTGACATGACGGCGAGGGCAAAAGGGGTGCAGGAATATCTCCAGAACGCCTTGGATGCGTTTAAGCATATTACTAACAACGTGGGAGTCGACCAGTGATGTAGTGTACTATTGAATATTTACAGCAGAGAAAATATTATATCTTAAATACATGCCCATACCTCAATTAATCCTTACTGACCTTAAGTACTTAAAGTAGACTACCCCTTACACAATGATGGAAAGGTAGGCCCATCTACGTTTATCTTGGAACGACACGAAGCTCGATTTTTGGGTAAACATCATGAATTTAAGAGTCTACGCCTATTTAAAAAAGATATATCGCTCTATAGGGGCTATAGAATATATTTTAGGGTCCTTGAGTTTGTGTAAGTAACGAGCGCGCCTATTACGAAGTCAACTATGTTTCCCTACCCTAGGCAAAAACTTGAATTGATCTCAACCAACAAGTTTGGGTTATAGTCATGGCAGTCATCTTGGGCATTTCACCAGTCCCCTAGATACTACATAAGCCAATGGACATCACCATAGGAATAATTACGTTTCTTTCTATATTATGTTCCCAGTAATATGTTGTCCAGGGCATTAAAGCTAAAACTTTCAAGTGACACATGGTTACTTCGTCTACATCGAGATTGTCTTAAGTCTCGGGCCTTCTCAGTCATGAAAATAGAGAAATGTTGGCCATGTATCCTGATACTTCATGAATTCTGTCATATTGTTACCCCAACTCATATGTAAGAGATATTGACGTGCATGTTAAACGGATAAATGGCTCGTGCCCTTTGTCCAGGGGTGCGGAAGCGTGCTCTTGACTCCCTCTTGAATCCTCGCCAATAGAAGTAATAATATCCCTTAAGTTTCCTACTTCACGTTTCTACCTAGGTAGCCATAAAACGATCTTGAGTATATATTTGCTGAGTATTTTCTTGGAAGATGGACGTGTTTGCCGAGCTCATTGGTGTAGATGTGGTGAGACGGCCAGCGGAGAGGCCACGGCCGTGCATTGGCGCCAAGATTGCCAATATCACCTATCCATCGCTCCTTCATGGTTCCTTCACGGCGAAGAGAAAGTAATTTCTTCCTTTGAAGCGTAGATTGGTAGTACGAAGTCATAAGGACACTGTCCTAGAAATCATCTCTGCCATATATAACCTTTTCTATCATATATCACCTGATATAAGGACAGCACGCCATTATGTGTGTTAATAAAAGCATAAGGCCGAAAGACCCCTGACCCGAAAAGAGACCACCCTATTTGACAAGGGTGTCGTTGATTTTCTATGTCGTGCCTTCACAACAGTGATAATGTTTAACACATTGCAGCATGCATATTGCCCAGACATTCCCTTGCTTTTAAACCCATCCCAAGTCCAGCCAGTCCTCGCAAAGTAACCATCGCTGATGCCAAGCTTCCGACCCGACCCGATTTGCTCTGATCTTTTCTACATACAGGTTCCAAGCACCGTCCATCGGTGCTGTGATGTTGTACTCCGCCCGGTGAAAGAGATATACAGCCGAGGGAGGTAGATGCGAAAATAAATATAGAAAAAACCGCACATGCCGCCTTCGGAGGTATCAATAACATTCCAAGATTCAACCCCAGATGAAAAAAAAACAACACTCCTTCTTTTTATTGACCCGTAAAAATGTTTTATATACAATATCGCTGGAAATTTTTACGTTTTTTTTACTCGTTTTTGTGTAACTCAGAGGAGACCCTGAGAGTTATAGGCGGTGTTTGACCGACTTGGTGGTTCGTACCAATTCTGGTATGGATGATTCGGAAGACTGAAATCGGCAAAACTCAAAGGATTCATGTGCAACGGCCGCGGTGCTGCTAGTTGTTGAGGGGCTGGCTGCGAGGAAACCTTGGTCATCATCTGCTGCTGTGGGGGGGTGGCTGTTTGAGGATTTTGTCTGGACTCCATTTGCTCTTGATGCTTGGCCAGCCCTATCGGCGCCTTATTGTTGTTGTTAGCCCGGGGCAGGAATTGCGCCGCGAGTCCCTTTTGGCCCATCCTCTCCCACCCCCAAATCTTCTTGAGGTTCTGGATGACACCCGCTAGTTTCCAACCTGTCTCATGATCAATCCTTTCCAGGGTTGCCACGACTTCTTGCTGCTCTTCGATATCCGTCAAGATTTCGGCCACTATCGCTAGAGATCGGATCGAGACACTAGCGACGCCACGATCTTTGGTGTGACAAGCCAGACCACAGACTTGATGGGCGTGGTGTTGCTGAACCCCGCGCGCCTCCTCGGAATCCTTAGGAAGGATCGGATTGATCTGCGCCAGCAGACATTGCGCTGTGTGGTAGTAAAGTCTGCCAACAATGGCGGCACGCTTAATGAGCCTGAGGAATTATTAGCCTTCTGTTTAAGAGCCTCTCATATTGGAGTATAGCGTGGACCATGACATGCTATAGGAACATTAACATACCAGATGTTAGGAAACAGTGACTTATTAGAGCCAGTCTGCTGGGAAGGGTGCAAATAGCCGAAAGGGTGCATAGGACGGGGACAGGAATTGTTCCAGTTGTCACACATGTTCTTGAGGCGTTGCCACTCCGCATATCTGGCTTGCAATCGGACTTGTTCGTCGTGTGGACTAGGCTCCTGGAACTTGGGGATGCTAGCGCGGAAATTGGCGATTTTGGCCACGATGTAGAAGATACGGTGAACCCAGATTTCTTCGTTGCCAGTGTCCTTTTCGGTGTTAAAGTCCATGTCAACCCCCCACTGGTCAGGCTCCCACGCCGTTTGCCAGTTGAATGCGAGACATGAGAGAAGCTCCATGCCAACATTCAACCAAAAGCAAGCGGCACCTAGACCTTTGCTCTTGGCGTTCCACCCACACTCACGAATGAGCGCTCGTGCGCCCGCAATATGGCTCATGCGCTGTGTTGGCTTTTCACTCATGATTTCATACACGTTGAGCACTACAGCGGTGGTTGCGCATTCAGCAGTGTTCCGTTCCGGGTTCTGTAGACTGCGCAAGAGCTGCGTCGTCGCCGTGTCGTAGTAAAAGAGTGCCTTGTCATCGCCGTATTGCTGTGTGAGGGTTAGATGTTTGACTCCGCATGCGAGTAACGCATTTAGGAGCATGGGGCATTTTAGAGCGTGATAAGGGATCAAGCGCGAGAAATGCTTCTCCTTGTCAAGACTATCCATCCAAATGCCAACTTCCGAAACAAATACCTGCATGAACCGTAGCTCTTCGGGCGAGTTGAGATAATCTCGTTCCCCTGCCTTCTCACTTGAAGGTGTCATGACCCCCACGTCGATATTTGGTTCCATATTGCTATCCCCTGAGCCTCCCCTGAATGTGGACGGTGGCCCGACGCCGGTGAAGCCGGCTATAGAGGTGGTTGACACATCACTGCCTCTGTACCCGCTGTGCGATGGAGCGCGACTAATTTCTACCTTGGTGGGGCCAAAAGAATCTGCCACTGTGTTGCCGTATGCTGACGAATGCGCAGAACCTAAAGGCGCCATGAAAGAAGCATTGCTGCTCCTCCGCGAATGCAATTGACTCTCAGCAACGAGATCCATGTGTGTTTGGCCCCGATCGCTATAGTAAATTGGTTGTGGTGTTGACATCATTGTTACAGACACATGCTCTACCCGGCTTTGTGACTCTACATTGTCGACAGCGCGTAAGTGCAGTTGAGGAATAGAGTCAAGATTGGATTCCCGTGGAGGAGTAGGGCCCTGAGTATCGAAGTTGGCATATCTTCCTAACCCCCCTCGATATTCCGAAGCAATCATCCGCGACTCGTCTTGGAATTGTACTGCGCGAAACATTAGCCTTTGGTGGAACCAACCATACTCCCGTGCGAGAAAAAAACATACCTGCCCATTCATCCGTCAAAGGTATGTAGGGTGGTTCTTTGCAAGTCATATCAATAAAATTGAGCCGTACACCACGTCTGCACTCCCTATTACTCTTCCGGCAGTTCAAGCAGTCCGGAGTACCTTCATCGCATTTGAGGTGCCTCTCTCTACAAGTCAAACAACCTGTTCTCACCCGTCTGCTTTTAACGGGCACCGTTTCTGAAGAAGTCATATCGGCGGCCGTCCCAGACTTAACTGAATCGTGCTTCTTCGAGTTAGGCGAATTAGGGCTAACGAGCCTCTGCCGCTTCGAAGGGGGGTGGTAGAACTGGTCGTTTGGGAAGCCGCTATCAACGATACACGGCGGCGAAAACTGCTGCTCTGCATAGTGTTGCGTCAATGGCGCAGGCGCGCCGAGTAGGTAGCCCGTTACGAGGACGTTCGACGGAGCGACGTCGTAAGCCGCCAGGACTACGTTAGACAAATCCCCAAATGCACGAAGTTATCAGGACGGGGAGGAGTAGACGACGATCAGTTAAGTCTAGGATGTCTTTGGAATCTTCGGCTATAGTCGACACCCGGCACGTGGGGGACGGTCAGACACGACTCTTTGCTGGCAACGGCGATTTCACTGGCGTAGATTAACATGCAGTATTCGCCTACTTTCCAAAGACGGATGGGTAATTGTTATTGAAGACGGGACATAGAATGGTGGGAAGAGATGGCCAGAAAGAATTCTTCGAAGGAGTTGAAAATATTCGGTATGGTGTGGTTTATGCGGGCGGCCGCTGATTTCAAGGAAGCAGGCTCAGGTACAGGATTTTGAGAGATGTACAGAATGTCTCGGATTTGGATCGAGAGGGTACCGGCGGCACCAGCTGATTGGGAGCTCCCGATTAGGCGAGAGCTGTGGTGTACCGTATGTGTTGCCAATTTAAGACGACCTAGGGCTATGTAATCAGATCTTGCTCTGTTATCTCCCTCGTGTTGCTAGGATGCTTTCTAGATCGAATTAGTATATATGTAAAGTAAGGGAGAGGAAGATAAAGATAAAGATGAAGGTGATGAAGTTAAAAGAAGAAAAGGTTAAGCAGAGAAGAAGTATATCCGTATAGACTTTTAGACTTTTTGTTTTTAAACTCCAGTCCTGGACAAATTAGTTTAGGGAAGTTAAATAAGGTTAATATCTGTAGGTAAGGTACATGGATGTATGAAAATACATACTACATCGGACAAGCCCTGCTCCATATATATATGTATGTACCTAGCTCCTACCTACCTAGTTCAATGTGATATGTCCAGTTCAGGAGGGGGGAGGCGCAATGATAGAGAAGAAAAAAAAGCACTTGCACCTCCGGTCACAGCGGGCTTCCGGCCCGAGATGATGTACAAGTAGGTAGGTGCTAAGCGGGATGACGACAATGGCATGTAGTGTATGTAGCCAATTTAATAGAAAAAGAAAGAGGAACAATAGCAAATAACAGAAGTAGTCGATATGGCGTTTTCGAGGTAACCTCTAATTAACTCGCAAAACGAATATTAAAAAAAAAAAACAAAAGAGGACGAAGCAATTGATCCCTTAGACGATAGCGTGTTAATAAAACATGACCATCTGACGCCAGTGGCTTCGGGCTGGTTGTCTCGTGGGCAGTATACAGTCTGTCTATTGCTAGCAGGACGGCTCTGTCAGTCTCGCTGGAATTTCTAGAAATAGCAAGACGCATAACGGCTCTCGTCCTCTTACAAGAAGGCTTGGAGGATTTGATCGGTGATCAACCATCGATCAATATACGGAATAATTACAAGGGTAGCTTTTGGCACGAGATACTCTTCAATGCCAAACATCCCCCTTGTCATGTTTTTTTCTTTCTTTTAACCTTGTTAAGTGACAGCCATAGCTAGGCGCAGATCTGACTAGGGGTACAACTAGCCAACCATGTCAGTCGAAACAGACTACTCCCACTTCTCCCACGATTCATACCCATTTTTGGTGTCGAACAAGTCTCCACTGCCCCAGTCTCGTGGTAGCATCCCGCTCTCCGTGACGAGTGTCTCTTGTAAGAGAATTGCTTCGGCTTAAGTTGCTTCCAGAACTTTGGGGGGCGCCTAGAATTCGAGGGGGGGCTTCGGGGGCGCTTTGGTGGGCTCTAGTGGAGATTTTTAGTAGATTTTTAGTAGATAGAATCCGAACGGGAAACGCCTCTAAACTGCAGCGCATGGGCAATTGTTGCAAACAAAGCACATGGGGATGATGAAGTTCCAATGCAACGGACCCTGCCAAGCTTTCTTATAGACCGGGCTACACAGACAAGAAATGACTTATATCATTTTAAGGAATCACATCACATCATCAGGTTACCTTTTGAAGGACAGAAGAATATATACAGCACGGCGCAACACACGTACCTGAGATACACAGGGTACCGTATCTATCCTAAAATTAGACGCACAACAAGATCACTGAATGGAATAAAACTCCGGTACTGTTAAAAAAAATGTTACTGTTTAATACGGGATTACTCCTTTTGTATGTTCCGTCGCCGTGCAGAAAGATATGGGGTCTGGCATATTACAACTTTGGCGGTTGAGTGGCTGTGAAGCCTCGATGGCGTTTGATCGTCTCACTGCTGGCTGCCCTCGAGACCCCACCGACATGCTCAGTAACGGTACACGTGAGGGATACCAGCAAGACCGCCTCCAATAATTAAGGTACGAATTGGATCATTACGTTGCCTTGCAGCGTACCTAGATATGTATATATGCACTGTAAGGATCGAAAGTTGCTGGTAATTAAAGAGGCATACCCTATTGTCCGTAATTAACCGTGGTATTGGCCGTGTTGTTTCGCTGATGTTTGATTGGGATGGATTTTCCGTTTCAACTAAAATCTCGACCTGGGCGAGTTCTCGGCAGCGAGGCGCACACCCCTGGCAAACCTTGGAACCCGGTCTGACTGTCTGAGCGAACGGGTGGGTTAGGGGGGTTAATACCATACCGCCCATACTGCTGATCAAATGTTCTCCCACGCCGGCTTCAACGGGAACCGAGAAGTAATGAGCCTTACTACTAACCTGGGCAGGTATTACGTGTTGTCGACCGTCAAAACCGTCACGATGCGACATGGATTCCCAGCCAACTTGCTAATTGCAAGCCACCAAATCTCCTCATTGACCGCGAAACCGAGAGAAAAGCCGATGCAGAATCCTAGTGGTCAGTCTGGACATAGGATGCAACGCAGATAATGTCATATGATTCCTCAGAAACGTGAGTGTTCGTGTCACGTACTCGAAATTGGGCATGAGCGAGAGCCTCTCTAGGAAACAGGTAGAAAGAGAGAAGTCAACTCGACCAATGGAAGGATGGATGAAATCGAAGCGAGATTACGAAAGTACAGAGCGTCGGGCTCTGATGACGAAGGAATCGAACTGACGGTTGGAAGAAGTCAAAGTGCCATGTGCTCGTTGCGGATAGCTGCTTGCATCAAGCATGCTGTCATTGGGCACCCCGGGGTACCACAAGTTGGAATTGTGCTCTCCCAAGTACGGGGTTAAATCGCGAATCTAGATAGGTGGTCTAATAAGCGGGGAAGCGGTCGTACGGCATTGAATGTTCTATTTCTTGGGATTATGTTATTCTGAATATACTCATGTGAGTAGTGATGGTGCGGTTGCAGTGCTTCATTTTTTTCAAGATGAGTGACAGTGGCGTCTTCCGCAGGTACATAGCCGATGCTGGGTAAGTAATTTGCAATTCCCTTGGCAGTTCGTATCCTTAATTATTTTGTCAGAGAATTGAAAAAGAAAAAGAAAAAGTAAATAAGCAGCTGTTCCGAGAAGTATATTTCGAATAATATAATTATGTCGACCACATATATGAAGATATTTCGGGATAGATGTAAGGAGGTAGATTGGATGATGATCGGCTAAGTTAACCTTAGATCTGAAAAACATGGGTTTACTGTACGATTTATAAGAAATACTTTTAAACGCATGGAGATCACGGTCTATATTCATGTAAACATGAGTTAGATATCTATATATCTACTATATCGATCTAATCAATCGAGAACCCCAGGATCGGCGTTACCTCTCAACACCATTAAAATGATTAAAACTTATTCCTTCTTTTAGTCAACAACCAAAATCCCCAATGCGGCTCACTTGGGAGAATACAACCTCAATCGGTCTCATTTACGTCACAGCACTCGTCTACGTGATCGCTTAGTATCTTCGCTCAAGCGACGAAGGTTTCCCCTCAATACCAAGGTAGGCGACAGTTGGCGCAATTTCCTTAACATACCTAGGTACTCTCTAACCTACTACGCACTCAATCTCGATCCCGCTGGAAATGGTGCATAACGGAAATAGTAAGGGAAATAGGCCTCCCACGACCGCCACGCCAGACCTGCCAGGCCTGCCATAGAAACACCAACACTCTCGACGCCCAACATCTTCAAAAAATCATGGCTCAAAACCATCCCGCACAACCCAAGTCTGTTCTTAGGGGTCATCGTACTCAGGTGCATGCTACTGCATTCATTAGAGGTAACCAAAGACTAGCATCTGGAGATGTGGAGGGCCATGTGGTACTGTGGGATTTGACTATCATGCGCCCGCGAGCGGTCTGGCGTGCCCATACAAACGCGATCCTCGGCATAGCCGACTGGGGAGACAACAGAATAATTACGTAGGTTTAGTCTCATTTCACGACATATACTCTATATCTCTTATTACTCCAAACCCCTTTTCCATGATTGGCTTATTGGATAGCTGAGAGGTACTTCTCAGACACGGTAGAGACAATCGGTTGATTGTATGGAAGCTCGATGCTCAAGATGAGATTACGATGAGCACTGCTCTCCCCCTCGATGAATCAGTACCCGGGCGGCCTCAACCATGGATCCTACATATCCTTGAAGTTAACACTATGAACTTTTGTTCCTTTGCGTCGTGTGACACCGGACCGGGGGCTACCGATGATGAACTCCTCATCGCCGTCCCTAACACATTACAAACCGAGGCTGTAAGTCTCGAACGTTCCTCGACAATCATCCCACTGTTATTCTTACTTACCCCTCAATTAGGTAGATATTTTTCAACTCCCAAGCCAAACTCGCCAACACACTATCGGTCTAGGGGGCAAGACTGAAAAACAGGGTATGGTGATGTCGCTGAGTTTATTTTGGCTCCAGGAACATCTTACTCTTATCGGTGCCTATGAATCTGGTCTTACGGTAGTGGCGCGACTTGGAAGAAGTGAAACATGGGACATACTGTATAGGGCACAAGTACATACTCAACCGGTGCTCTCACTTGATGTCGCGCCAGATAAAGACTTTTTCTTGACTTCTGGTGCTGATGCCATACTCGCAAAACATCCGATTCCTACTCCTATGGATCTCTCTATCCAAGAACCACGAACTTCAAAATGGGAAGAAAGTGAAAACAAGAAAGTTCCCGACCCATCAATTCTCTCTTCTGCCCTTAGATCAGGACCGCCACCCGCGCCCCCCTTAAAAAAGCAGGACCTGATCATTGAAACTCAAGCTTTAAAGACTATTAATACTAAACACTCAGGGCAGCAAGGATTGCGCATCCGATCAGATGGTAAAATCTTTGCAACTGCAGGTTGGGATTCAAAAGTACGCGTCTATTCGACCAAGACTTTGACTGAATTAGCGGTGTTGAAGTGGCACGAAGTTGGCTGTTACGCCGTCGCCTTCATGGCCTTATTAGAAGGACAAAGTTTAGACGAAACGAAACGGAATAATCGCAGTGTAAATGCCACGGAGGAATCTGAGAATCATGTGGCTATTAATGACAGTCGAGATAACACTACAGTGGCCTTACCCAAATTGGGTCAGCTCAGCGTTAAAGATCGGCGAATCAAGATGGCTAAAGAAGCTCATTGGTTAGCAGCAGGTAGCAAAGACGGAAAGATCAGTTTATGGGATATTTATTGAATCTAGACCAGCCTTCAAAAATAAAAGAAAAACCAGTATGTCCCCAGCACGATTCAGTAATCACAACCAAAATGAGCTAGCTACGTTTCTCATTTTTAATCAAATTAAATACGTAGATTACTCTCAACATTGGAGATGTCAATTCTTCGTAGTTCTAAAAACTCTAAGATTAAGGATATCGGAAATACTCTAACTTCTAAAATGCGCGTTTTTCGGCTTCTATGCTGTGCTTTTAACTAACATCTTGGGTGACGAGCTCCTCAGTGGTGTTTACCTTCATGGCGGCGTCCAATTCCGCTTCAGCGGGTGGAAGTACTATACCATATTTATCATATGGGAAGTTGGTTAAGTCGACGAAATAATCAGCCCACCCGTCACCAAGTTCTCCTAATTGGTGCACGTCAACTTCGCCTGCCTCGCCCATGCGTCCAGCTAGAATTTCCGCATCCCGGCCCTCGTATTCTTTCTTCAGCATTGGGTGAGGACACCATACAACTCGCATACCTGCACGACGACCGGCTTCAACACCTGGAACACTATCTTCAAATACCAGGCATTCCTCGGGTGTTATTGGTTTCTCGCCCTCGTCAAGACTTTCATTGATAGTCTTTAGAGCAAGTAAGTAAATATCCGGAAGTGGTTTACCGCGGCCAGGTTGGATGCGTTTGTCGTCTCCAAGAACTCTTCGATGCGATTCGAACACGGAAAACAGTTCGGTCCATTTGGATGTCTTGACCGCAAAATTGGACGAAGTACTGCTAGAAGCTAACGCAATGTGTACTCTCTGCGCTTTATTGCCAGAACTACCACCCTTCTCGGCGTTTTTGACGCCATTTTGATCCTTGATATCCCACCATCTCGTCCTTCCTAGATCGCCAAGTAACTTCTCAACACCAGGTAACGGCTTCGCGTTAGGAAAGTGCTGCTGTTGGAGGGCGGTAAGTTGATCGAGGTAGTCGGACTGAGAGACGGGGAGTTTGGCCCAGTCGTGGAAGAGGGCGTTTGCGTCGGGACCCGGCCGACCTTGTAATTTCGCTTTGATGGACCAAGGAAGCGAAGTGCGGCCGTACTTCTCTAGGATGAGGTTTATGCAGAGAGTATATATGTCTTCGGTATCTAGAAGTAGGCCGTCCATGTCGAAGAGGCAAGCTCGTATAGGTGGGAAGCTATTAGGGGATTGTGTGTTAAGTTTCGCGCGTCATAATTGTTTGCAGTTGGAAGGACTTACTCCGTACGAGGCGCCATTGTGTGTAGTGACGATGTTACAGAACTTTAGTTGGATTCAAGTCGCCTAGTATTCCTCCCTTAAATGTTTTAAAGAAGTTACAAATTCTGTAATTTTTAAGTTGCAACTAATAACGATCGCGATGGTTTGTCTATGTTGAACTTTCTAGTGTTACACGAGCGGAGTTTCCCTGCAAAGTCAATTGAAGCGGGGTCAGCAACATTGACTGTCTTTACTGAATTTATGGCGGGGCACCTTGCGGGGTAGATTTTTCGACCCCTGTAGAACTCCCGAGTTCCGGGTTCTTCGCCTTCATCGTCAGGGGTGCTTCCAGGCTTCAGGGCAATACCTTTTAAATACATAAGAAGCTACGTAATAGAAACTATTTTGAAGACTAAGCTCAACTGACTTTGCCCTTTTTTTATAATCTCACCATAAACCATTCCATACTTGTGTACACGAACGATACTATGGGTGAATCATCAGAAGTAAAAGCGACTGAAGCCAGTCAAACGAAAATAGAAACGGCGAATCAAGACCCTGACGAATCAACGGTACCTGAAAAGTTCCCACCGGAAGAAGAAGCGGTACGCGCCGTTAATTATCCTCAAGTATATACTCCTTGAATTCTTGTTCTGACTAGAAACTCGATTTTTTAGAGCCTTCTAGGAGAATCTAATGACAAAAAGACCCAAGCGAATGCACTATTTACCTCCGCCAAATACGAAAATGCCATTACTAAATACGAAGAAGCTGCCTCGATTTGTCCACATTACCTAGATTACGAACTTGCCGTCCTCAAATCCAACATTTCCGCGTGTCATCTGAAGCTAGAACAATGGAAGGAAGCTATCAAGGCTGCCACCGATTCTATCGATGGTTTGGATCGTCTAGAGAAAACTGAGGCTGAACAACAGAAGGAAAGCGAAGAGAAAGAAAAGAGAGAAGCCGCTGATGAGGAAGAAATCGAAGAAGAGATTGTTAGTTCTGGAGCGCAAAAGAGTGCACCTGCTGCAAAAGAAGAGACTCTAGCTGAGGCCGCGAGACGAAAACGACACGAAGATATCTTCAGGATTAGAGTGAAAGCCTTGATGCGACGAGCTAGAGCAAAAAGTGAACTAGGAGGCTGGTCGAATCTCGCAGGTGCCGAGGAGGATTACAAGCTTTTGTCGACGATGAAAAATCTTAGTGGTGCAGATCGGAAGATCGTTCAGACACAATTAAGAATACTTCCACCAAGAACGAGGGCAGCTCAGGAGAAAGAGATGTCGGAAATGTGGGGGAAGCTCAAGGATGTGAGTATCATCATAGAACTAACGCGCACCTCATAATGGACCTGGTTACTGATTAAATAATACAGCTTGGAAACGGAATATTGAAGCCATTTGGTCTTAGTACGGACAATTTTCAAATGGTCAAGGACGAAAAGACTGGTGGCTACAGTATGAACTTTTCACAAAATGGGCCAAGCCAATGACACAGCTCTAAAGCCGCTTTCGCGTAACACCTGACGACTCAGAACATTCATCTCAAGCTGCGATTCGGGGCTGTCAACTGATGTTGAGGGCAAATAACCACCCGTATGTTATGTCTAGAATATACCCAAACATTGGTTTCTCCCTGCTGCTTATTATCCATAACCAATTCCCTACGACGGGTCCTTTTTTTTTTTTTTTTTCGGTCCTTGAATATACTTAAGGGAGCAAAAGTTATATGTTGGTATTACCACCGATAATAAATTTGACTAAGCCGGTATATTCTTTACCCTCGAACATTGAATTGCGTCCAACTCCAAGCATGGTCCAACATCGAGACGAATACAGATGTAAGCATTTGTTGGTTGGGTTTACGTACTGAATTGACTCCACTATACACGTAGGTATCTTTCGTTACATTAAATTACGGCATGGAATCAAACCGCATGGTGGGGGTTGAATGGCTTTGGTGTAGGTACATCCACTATAATTCGGGACCTTGTTCCTTCTCGCTTCGTCTACTTTACGAGGTACGGATAAGAGGGAGGGAAGGCTGAAATGTGTCGGGACCCGAGCTACATATACTAAACGAGCTTAGCCTGTAAGTGGCTAGGTACATACTGGGTTCTACCTGTAGGTTCTACCTGCCTAGCATTACAATCGGGTACTATCTATACACTATAATCATTATCTTTGGGAGGCTTTTTCTTTTGCAAGTGAGTAGATAACCATGCTGATAAACCATTGGATGATCAATTACCCGTAAAGGTTATCCGAGAGGAGGAAGTTACCTAGGTACCTAACCTAACATACATAGGCATGTACCACTGCATATATAAAATACCTATCTTGTGATCGGATCGGATCGCGATATCGAATTAGAAATGGAAGTGCAAGACTCCTCACGTGGGTAACATCACTAACAACTTCACCTTTAACCTAACATTCAACCCGCTAGACAAGGTCAGAGTGAAATCATATTGTTACAATGGCTCCCGCTACAGTTACGATTGCCAACGGCGCGAAATGGCAGGACGTAGCAGCGGATCGGCAACGACATAGAGATGCAACTATTGCGGAGGTCCGCCCGCCCGTGCCGGAACCGGAAACCCTGCCTCTCAACAGTACAAAAACTCCGGCGGAGTTACTAACCAAGGAAGAAGTCGAAATCACGAGTGTAAACGTCGAGGATCTAGTCAAAAAGATAGCCTCGGGCGAATGGACTTCAACGGCTGTCATCAATGCATTCTTGCGTCGAGCTGGCCTCGCTCAGAAGCTTACCAACTGCATCACAGAACTGCTCCCTAAACGAGCCTTAGGTAGGGCAGCTGAGCTCGATCAGTACTTCGCTACCCACAAGAAGCCGATTGGGCCACTCCACGGTGTCCCGATCAGTACCAAAGAGCTCTTCGGTTTGAAGGGTGAGGATATAAATGCGTCCTATGTGAGCTGGGTTGGCAAGACAGTCGACGAGGATGCCTTGATTGTGCAATGTTTGCTGGATGCCGGGGCAGTAGTCTACGCGAGAACTACACAGCCGCAGACTTTAATGGCAGTTGAAGCGCACAGTAACCTATATGGGTGGGTAAAACCAATTCCTAACCTAGTGGATTATTGCAAGCGCATACATAAGATCTAACCCGCTAACAATCATCCAGAGTCACCGTGAACCCCTATAACCGAACTTTGACATCTGGCGGGTCATCCGGCGGAGAAGGTGCATTGATTGGGATAAGAGGCTCGATTCTTGGGATAGGGAGTGACATCGGTGGATCCATCCGTGTCCCAGCAGCCAACAATGGCCTTTTCGGGTACAAGCCGACGACTTCACGTCTCCCAACCCTCGGATCATATGCTCCTATGGCTTACGCAGAATCCATTGCGGTATCTCCCGGTCCTCTATCAACAAGTCTCAAGGGCCTAGAGCTCTTTACCAAGGTTGTCCTGGACCGAAAGCCGTGGTACAAGCAGCCAAGTTTAGTCGCTTTCGACTGGAGGGACCCAGCAACGTTCTTCCCGGATAGGAAGATTCGCGTTGGTGTTTTCTCCCACGATGGCGTCGTAAGACCACATCCGCCTATTTTGAGGGGAATTGCCGAGCTCGTCGAGAAATTAAAGAAGAGTCCTAATGTCGAAGTTGTCGAGTGGAAGCCGTGGAAGCACGACCTTGCCTGGGCTACCATAGTAAGTCTGTCCTTGTATATATATATCATATTAGCATGCCTTAGGTTACCTCCTTAGATTGTTTCTAACAGTCATTCTAGGCGGCTCTCTACTACGCTGATGGCGGTGCCGAAGTTAAAGCTGCGGTTAATGCATCTGGCGAGCCATGGTTACCCCTGACCAAATTCATCCTTCTTGATAACCCCCACGTTAAAGAACACACCATCGCCTCGCTCTGGTCTGCCGTCGGCGCCCGCGACGCCTACCGCCAGGAATACGCCAAACTGTGGAGCGAGACAGCCGCTACAGATCCGAAGGGCAAGAACAGACCCTTCGACATCATTATCTCGCCCGTAGGCCCTGGTGTCGCGCCCAAGCACGGCACTGCGAGATACTGGGGCTACGCTAGTCAATGGAATTTGCTCGACTACCCAGGCATTATATTCCCGGTCGCGGATGCGGTTGGCGCCCCAGAGAGGGAGGAGCCGTATGCATATCCGGCGGATTATCAGCCTTTGGGCGAGTCGGATAAGTACTTTTATGATCTTTGGAAGGAGCACGGCGCGGCCGGGTATAAAGATGCGCCGATTGCGCTGCAAGCTGTTGCCAGGAGGTAAGTCGTTATTCTCGTCCTTGCAGATTGAGATGTTCTGGCTAATATTCGTCTAGATTCGAGGATGAGAAGCTGTTTAGAGCTGTACAGATCGTGCTGGAGGAGGCTGGGTTGCCAGCTGTGGTTCCTGCGTAAGAGATGGCTCTTGACTCATCAGAAGTTCTGTGCTAAAGATTGAAATGCTCGCCAACAACGAAGTACTTGTTAGTTTGGAAGTCTGTTATGTCCTAGATAATTCCGTATTATAAAGTATATCCTAGCCTATCTTTAACTCGCGTTCTCAGTGGACGAAATGGTAGTTGCGTGAAGGGTGCGTTTTTTGCCGAGAATTTTTAGAAGCACGAGTTGTGTAGCCTAGACTATCGCATTTCTGCGTCTTGGTTTTATCTCCGCCACCCCTTGAAGAGATTTGAGACATGTGGCTAGACGGAGACAAGAACTGTGCTGTTATAGCGTATCAGGTAGCAGCCAGCTATGCAGACGTCGCAATGCCCCTGGATTTTAGGGTATTTAGGCCGCAGGACGCTAGTCGTTCAGGCCATATGTGGCGCTGTAGAGCCTAGACAGATAATAGGCGTCCGCTAATTTGATGATGACTGCGTCCTAAGGCGTAATATATCTAAATTATACATGAAGATCCGTCGATGAAGGGTGATCTTAAAGATCTTTCAGGTAGTGTTGTTTGAACTTCTTCGTCGCGCGATCTGCCGAACGGTATTGAAACTGGTCTCCATATATCTCAAAGACGAATGGTTTCCGTTCTTGCGCACCGTTGCCCTTTTCCTCTACAGGCGGAACGCAAACTCGAAAAACGGTTTTCTCTTTCGGTACAGTCTTAACCTGGTTTTTTCTCGTGATGATTTCAAACACAAACCTCGCGTCCTTAATCACGATGCCTTGGATTCCCACGCGACTAGGGCAGCTACTACGAGAGACTTCTACCTCAGCGCCGTGGAAATCCGCCGCACTTAATTTCGCCGCGGCACCTTGCCCTCCCCCGTATAGTTCGCCGCCTAGTATTTCGCGCACGTAACCCAACCAAAGATGGTTTAGCGGCTCGTATATATCGTACTTCTGGTTCGCCTTAGGTACGTCGTAGAGACCGAGTCGTCGCCGCTGCCGCGCTGATAATGGCTTTGGTTTGAGTTTCCTCTGTTTCTCGTCACGAGCTTTCCGACGGGCATCGCGCGCATTGGAGGATGGTGGGGGAGACGTCGGCTTCAGGAAGAGGGGCCGGTGTTGGATCTTCTCGGTGAAGATACGATTTGTGCTGTCGGGGCTGTGGGCGCGCGAGAGAATTTCGTGGGTTAGGGATTGGTTGGTATCGTTGGTATTGTTCGGTGCCATTTTTGGATGATATTTTTACATGGTTGGGAAGTTTCATATCGGTTTGATTTTGGCGCAAAGGAAAGTTGACAAAAGGGATTTACTATAACGGAGCTGGAGATGAAATTTAGACCGCTAAAGATTGGTCGATTAAATAAAGCATACCCTGGTTTTAGCGTCACATTAGTTAACGATTAGCGGGAAATTAGTGGGGAATACGGGGAAGCTTTTCAGCAGCTTCAGGTGATTCACATGCCCCATAGCCTCGGCTTTAACCAGCCCCAGCATGCCATTCAGAAGGTTACATCCTTAACTATAATAGCTAATAAGCTCCAGAGTCTCTTTCACTTAACTGAAGCTAATTCATTAGCCAACTACATTTACCAACACCAACCTATTTGTTGTTCGGTTCTCATTGCTTAGAAGAAGAAGAGTCATTTTCAAGTATTAGAACTTCGTATATCATATTAGTCGAGTGTCGTCTCATTACCATCGATAGAAATCGAAACTTTGTTCGTCCGACCATGCTTGTAGCATGTAACACTCCTAAATTGCTGAGATACCCTCGGCCCTAGCGAACGCGACACATACCAATCCCATTGAATCCATAGTCGCCCGAGTTATAGAACCATGGCGCAAGACGATGATCCAACGCGCGACTCGGCGCCCGATTTGCAGATACTGGGCGACCAGATTACTCTTCAACCAAGGAGCTATGTTGAAGCGCGCCGTCATGAGGATCAGGAAGAGCCTTTGCTACATAACATGGCCCGTTTTCGTTCTGAGCCTTTACAGTGTGTTGCTTCAACCCTTCCCAGTTATTAATACTCGTAGACGACTAATTGATAATCTCGCTTGTCTAGATTCCTACGTGAAGTGTCCTTGTACGTTTCCGGTACAGGATGGCGAGCATACGACAACGTCATCGGCCAACCCATATACTATACTGGCTTCTCCGAACAGATGAAGAACGCCGTCGTATCCGCGCCCTTACTTCAAAGCCGAATATCCCAACTCGCTGATAGGCGACTGGAAATCGAAGAGAAGGAAGGATGGCTTAAGAAGGATGACAAAGATTTCGTGACTAAAAAGGCCCAGAGACGGGCTATAATAGAGTCGAGCATCCAGGAGGTCGCAGAAAAAATGACGAATGATATGATATGCAAGTTTGAGAGCAAAACATTTATCAGAGGCGCGTATTATTTGGTCACGCAATTGCTTACGAGAGCATATCATCAAGGAATCCACGTCTCTAGCGAGGAAGTTCTGAGATTAAGAAAGGTTGCTGAGGTGGCGGAGAAAAAGAAGCAGAGTATCATCTTTCTGCCTTCCCACAGGTCTCATGTCGATTATGTTTCTATGCAACTAATATGCTACCGATTGGGACTGGCGTTACCTGTTGTCGTTGCAGGAGACAATCTGAATTTCCCCGTAGTCGGAAGCTTTCTACAACATGCAGGTAGGTGTATATCACTTCTCTTTTCTCTATATCCGTCTAACTAATTGCCTTAGGTGCTATGTGGATTAGACGATCTTTCGGCAACGATACGTTGTATACAACTCTTGTACAAGCTTACATAGATACCCTATTGCAGGGAGGATATAATTTCGAATGCTTCATAGAGGGTGGTCGGTCTAGGACGGGGAAACTCCTTTCACCCAAATTCGGCATTCTCAGTTTTATACTTGACAGTTTGTTGTCTGGCCGAGTTGAGGACGCCATTATATGTCCAGTAAGCACACAGTACGACAAAGTTATCGAAACAGAAGGCTACGTTACGGAACTCTTGGGCGTTCCTAAGAAGAAAGAAAACTTGGCCGATTTTCTGAGTGGCGGATCGTCTGTCCTGTCATTAAAACTGGGAAGGGTAGATGTCCGTTTTCACGAGCCTTGGAGCTTGCGCAAATATATCGACGAACAACTGACAAGGCTCACGGGGTCGCCTAGCAATTTGATGCTAGACACGAAAACACCAGAAAATGCTGCTCTCAAGCAAAAGCTGTTACGAACCATGGGTTATAAAGTTCTATCAGACATCAATAACGTGTCCGTCGTAATGCCTACAGCATTGATCGGCACCGTATTACTTACCCTAAGAGGTAGAGGGGTTGGCAAATCCGAACTCATAAGGCGCATCGAATGGCTCATAGCCCGAGTAGGTGCAAAAGGAGGTCGTGTCGCGCATTTTGGAAATGCTCCATTGTCCGATGTTATAGAACGAGGCTTGGACGTCCTTGGAAAGGACCTAGTCGGTGTAGTACAAGGCCTAGCAGAGCCAACATATTACGCCGTAGACAGATTCCAGCTGTCTTTCTGTAAGTGACCCTTCAATTCGATTTCTGGCGCGCAACACTAATCTATTATAGATCGCAATATGACAATCCACCTCTTCATCTCGGAGGCTCTTGTGAGTGCCAGCATGTACACGCGAGTTAAACTTGGTGGCGGTCCAGCACATCAGGAAATTTCCTACGACACTTTACGCGAGCAAGTGTTATTCCTCTCGTCTTTATTCCGTGGGGAATTCATATTCCCCGGTGAAGGGTTAGCAGTCAATTTGGAGAAGACCTTGATTGGATTGGAGGACGATCGCGTCCTCAATCTTAAGAGGGACGAACAAGGCAGCATATTAAGCATCGGACTTGCCGACGAAGAGAGAGCCGTTGGCAGAGAAAATTATGATTTTTACTGCTTTCTCATCTGGCCATTCATCGAGTCCAGCTGGCTATCTGCGGTTTCACTGATGGGACTTACTCCTCCCCTCGGGCAGAAGGAAGATGGCGTTTGGATTGACGTTGCGAAGGCGCAAAACACGGCACAATTGGTAAGCCATCAATTCAGACTTTCGGATTCCGAGCGTGCATGCTAACGTAGTGACAGCTGGGTAAGACTCTATACCACCAGGGCGATCTAAGCTATTTTGAGGCGGTGAATAAGGAAACTTTGAAGAACTCATATCAACGTTTCGAAGAGGAGGGCATCATTTACGTGGTCAAATCAAAGGACCCCAAGGTACCGCCTCGCCTGCGACTTGCCTCCGAGTGGGTTCCGTCTCGAGACCCAGAGAAAGCGGGTGCTCTGCAACCATCTGGTCGATTATGGAACTTCATCGAACGTATTGCATCTAGCAGGCGTGAGGGTAAGAATAGGAGGGATGGTGCCACAGTCAGTACGCGAGTACTACATCTTGCAGATACACTAGGGGCGAAGATGTTCGAGGAGGCTACAAACCCAGACAGCAAAGCCGAAGCCAAGCTTAATAATGAAGAGGCAGCGAAACTTAAGAAGGCGGTTAAAGCAGAAAGGAGAAGGAGAAGACTAGAGGGTAGGGCGCATTTGTAATAGAAGCGCTGATCTGTACATCTAATGTATGCTTGATACCTTACTTAACTCTAACGATGAAATCATTGTATATCAATACCTTGAAAAAGACAAGTTTGGAAAGATAAAGAGTCTAGAACAGCTCTCTTAGTTGATTCGTCACATTTTTAGCTTCGAATAAAATGGTTAACAAGCCCGAGCGTCGGAACGAGGATTGGGTCAATCCCATGTTCATCCAAATCGTTACAATAAGAACTGACTCCAACATACATATTAACATTACATATTGTAAATGTTTTCAAAGCGGTGAACTCCAAGAGCTATGTGATCATGAAAGAATTTCTTAGGCTGATGCTTGGAGAGCGAATGCGGAGATAGGGTATGTAAGGGGAATTTCGGAACGCCTCCGACGGGCGGATACCGGGGGGAGACAGCGGGGATTACGATGGGGAATAAAAAAAAAAGATTGGAGATGGGGGAACCTGGACTAGGATATAGATGTGACGTGATGCGGGGACTCAGTCCTCTTTAATTCGATTCCAAACAAAAAGAGGTTTAGTCTTATAGTTGATTATAAACCAGGTATCGATGGAAATAGTTACATAAATTGTAAGTCATTGTCCCTTTCTTTGATTCGTTTCTTTTTCCCAACTTGATCTTCCGTATACTTGTTAGAAATTTCAAAGTTCAAAGTTCGTCCTTTACACTGCAACTTCGGTCATGCCGTCGTCAGTAACAGCAGCATCACCGCCACTGCCGGCATATCCTTATTTCGCTCCGCGGTATGTGATAGCAAGCATCGCCGTTTCGCTAGGTGGCCTTTTGAATGGCTACGATACTGGTTCGGTTGGGGCCATAACGCATATGCCTCAATTTGCGGAATCGATAGGACAATTGTCGGCGACTATGCTGGGTATTACAGTCTCCATGATCATGCTCACAGGAACCCTGCCATCTGTTTTCGCCGGTCACCTTGCTGACAAGTTTGGACGGTTGACCATCATTATCCCCGGTGCTGTATTATTCGGCATAGGAGCATTATTACAGGGACTTGCTCGCAATCTAGCAATGTTCATCGCCGGCAGAGCAGTCGCTGGGTTTGGCCAAGGCGTGTTTCTCAGCAACATCAGTGTTTATATATGTGAAATTGCGCCGCTTCGGTACCGTGGTACTTTGGCCGGACTTCCCCAATTCATGGCCACCGCTGGGGTGTGCGCTGGGTATTTCACCTGCTACGGCACCGTAAATATCAAATCAGACATGGCGTGGCGTATACCGTATATCATACAGTGCGCCTTTTCCGCTACCCTTGCGTGGGCTTGCCTTCTCCTCCCGGATTCCCCTAGGTGGCTCATCTTGCAAGGAAGGCAAGCCGATGCGCGTCGAGCCCTGCAGCGTCTCGATTCCAACATGATTGAAGCTGAACGAGACTTTCTCTCCACCACTGAACAGTCACCTAGTCTTTCGCCCTGGCAGGGTTTCTTGCTCTTATTCAGACGTGGTTATCGCGCCCGTACGATTTTGGCACTGTTTATCCTCGGAATGGTTCAGCTATCTGGTATAGACGGCGTTATTTACGTAAGTGACTTATTCCGGAAATGTCACCGCCTCACAAAACGCTAATAATTCCTAGTACGCCCCTGTCCTTTTCGAGCAAGCTGGATTATCCTCAGATAATGCTTCTTTCTTAGCTTCAGGGCTATCTTCTATTTTGATGCTCGTCGTTTCAATCCCGGCTTTCTTATTAGCTGATAAATGGGGAAGACGTACTTCCGCTATCAGCGGTGGTCTTACTTTGGCTAGTTGCATGTTTTTGATGGGATCTCTCTATGCTGCTGGTGTGGTCCATCCTTATGGTGTCGCTAGGTGGTTCGTCGTCATCGCCGTTTTCGTGTTCGGGCTCACTTATTGCGCAACTTGGGGCATTGTGGGCAAAATCTACGCCAGCGAAATCCAACCAGGGCACACAAGAGCGGCAGCTAACTGTGTGGCTATGGGTCTGTGCTTTGGTACTAATTTCCTTGTGGCCATCATGACCCCGATCCTTCTAGAGGCGTCCGCCTTCGGTGCATACTTCCTATTCGGTGGTCTGGCACTTGGTACTGTCGCTGTCCTCGCCGTCTACATGCCGGAGACACGCGGTCGGTCTTTAGAAAGCATTCAAGAAGCTTTCCATCGCCCCGCAGCACTCAGCAGCCTCACACAGCTCCTACGTCCATTTGGTCACGATGCAAGACGTAGGCCGATGGAGACCCCACCAGGCGAAGAAATCGAGATGGGCCCTCGCGATCCGGCCGAAGCAGTGGCAGCCAGTGCTGTATCCGTTGAGGCACTTTCTCGGGCTATGAGACTTGATGTTAGCACGTAGTTTTGTGACACTACCGGTATAACCCCCATAAACCCTACTCTATGGCTTAATTGTTTGTGTTTCGGGCAACTGTTAAGACATTTCGTGTACCACGCCTGAACCAGGTAAATTTCATCTCATCCACAGACATAACACCATGAAATGGTGAGCCCCGCCCAATTATAATAGAAAGAATATTATAACAAGCCTACGAAGGTCTAAGATTCTTTTTGAAATTGACATGAGATGTTTTTATAGCTACAATCTTACTACCACCACCGATATCCTTAACCAAGACAACTTTCAATTACTGTAGTAAATTCCACAATCCTAATGCAGCCCCCGCAAGAGGCATAAATATTCGAACGGCATTCAAATTTCCCCATTTAGTTATTAATTGCCTAGCTGCCTCCTGACCCAATGGTTTTCTCGCACCCGAACTGGCCGCTATCATTCTACTGTTGATAGCGCCGATGAATAGCAACGTAAAGGGTGCGAGGAGCAGATTCGATAGAGCTCCCAATGCATAACCCCTCCATTCCAGGCCCTCTCCGCGGTGCCTATACGCCAAGTAGAGGTAGTTCAGGGCAATAAATGCACCAGTTGTAGGTACGTAGTACATGCCCCTAGTGAACTGCAGATGCCATCCCCTTAGAAGACCTTCTGTGGGCGCGCCAGTTTGGAGGATTGCCGGTATTGCGCAGATCGACAACGCTGCAACACTACCTAGTTAAGGGAAAGCCCCATTAGGATGCATGTTGTCTTTCGCGGTGGGTTTCTCTCAACTTACCCGAAATCCAGGCAGAACCTAGGATGCCACCTGTCGCCGAGAGCGTCAATGGGGTTGACAAAAACGGCATGTTGATCCAGTAGTGAAATTATGTTGTAAGGTAATTTCTAGTACGATGATTTGTCTATGTTGGGTTCGAGACTCTGGAGTTTGCCAGCCTTTCAAGAACTATAGACGAAGCTAGGTACTTAAGTTTTGAAAGATTTATTGAAGATTATAAGGAATTGATGAGGATATTATTCATTATAAACCGCGAAGTCGCGAACCCGATGGTTGGTTGAACTTCGCGGTATCCGGACAACTTGAAATCTCCGCAATTTCCGGGGTCAAATACAACTAATTAAGAGGTAGATCGAACCATCCCGTTCGATTCTCCATAATAACCTCATCATTACGCATTGGAGATCAATAACTCTGATTTATTATTATCTTTTTCATCTACCTATAAGATCATAGGTTGATCTAGGATTTAGGGGTAATCGTTCCGACGCGTTCTACTTCAAAAAGGGGAAAGTTTCAAAAAATGATACTGTCGGATCCAAATAATCATTAACCAGAACCCAAAGGTCCAAACGATACCGATTCTATTAATACAATATTGTAGCTACCTTAGAAGGTAGGTAAGTTCATTCCTTATTTAGAGTCACCCTCAACGACGGCGAGGTAACACCGACAACCTTACCGCTTGAGTCTAGGTCGAAAATCAATTCATCCACGGCAGCCGATCCGTATATCACCGATTCGATAGAAACCCACGAGCCGCACTCTGTGGAAAACATCTTGCCGTCATTTCTAGGGGCATCTGCGTCCTCAAACATAGCCTTAAAAGCCACACGCTTCCCGCCGTTGGCGCCTGGTCCCTCGAGTCCGCTTGGATAAAGCCTAATACGTGGAGTGAGCGGATAGTATTGGTTCTGCAATACTGTCGCGATCCAAGCGAAATCTGTTCCGTTACTAAACCATTGCGATATGCTCAATCCGGGGAGATCGTCGGTGGTGATGGTCATAGAGGAGTTGATCTTTTTGTCAGGCGAGACATAATGTCCATTATATATCGCCGCTGCTTCTGCCCTGGCCGCCTGTTCCATTGCAGGTATAATGGGCTCGCCGATTATATCTACTTATACGTAAGCATTTTCGTTTAGTTTGTTCTAAAAATGGAATAGACATACCGGCGAGATTGAAGCCCGCATTACCCGGAAGGTCACCAGCGATGAGAATAGAAATTCCAATGTCGAAATCTGGTAGAATAGCCAAGAGAGCACTGTAGTCACCGATGTTTCCAGCTTTATTATAAGCTGTAGTGTACCGGTAGGTGTCTTCTAGTTTTATTCTCCTGGCGCCCCATGGCATACCAACCATTGCTAGCGGGTCCGATGAGAAGGCAAATGGTTTGAGCCAGCGTCTTGTTGTTACTGGCGAAAGCAACTTGTGACTAAGGATAGCTCGGCCCAACGCAGATAAATCGGATGCTGAGGCATACATATTCCCCGTACTTTCCGCTGGTATTAGTCTCACTTCTTATTGCCTAGGAGGAAGTACGGAAAGACTCACGCTAATGATTCGCCGATATCAAAAGACCATCCTGTGGTAGTAGTATTTCCAGGAATAACTCCAAGTGAGTTATCCGGCGCATGGAGGAATGTATGGTTCAATCCCAACGGCTTGATAACCGTATCTTCCATCAAGGCTTGAAACTTTTTGCCTGTAATTGTTTCGAGAGCATAACCACTAAGATAGTTGTCAGAAAGGGGGTTAAAATGATGCATTCATGCAATGTACTTACAGTAGCTGGAATGCAACATTGGAGTATGCCGGTGTTTGAAAAGGGGCGAGTGATGGGTAGAACATGCCAATCCCGTCAAAGAATTCTGATGCCATTAGAATTAGGAATTACACGTATATGATTTGGAACTTACGCTCTCGATCACAGGTTGGATATGCACCACACTGTAGTATCGCCGGTTAGTAATTATGGAGTTGAGGCACCTGGACCCTTGAAACTCACTGGAGGCTTTTCCTCTGCAGTTAGCGGAGGAAATCCAAGTTGAAGCACTTGGTCTCTTGTCTCTTTCGACTGCGTCAATTCTCCTAGCAATGCATCTGCACTAGATCAGTTGAAGCCAACCAAGCTTGGGAGTAGCACTCACATTCACGTGGGATTCCCGTTATCTGCGATGCCAAACCTCCCAAAGTAATTTCATCCCACGCCACGTAGTTGACTGGGTCCGTTCTGTTTGCCAATGCTTGAAGTTCAGGGACATATTTGGTGATAGGATCATTCCAGTACTTGTCTCCAGCGTTGATCAAGAATGAATATATCGTATATATCTTTGTCAAACTCCCGAGTCTGAATACCGTATTCTCGTCAACGGTTTTCACGCCGGTCGAATTTTGGGTTGCGAGTTTCGGTGCTGTGTGGGACAATGAAAAAATCGGCTTTTCGTCGTTGGCTGAGAAGACTTGCACAGACAACGAATAATTCTGAGCCCCGGCCGTTATATTGGCGAATTTATCGTTTAAAGCCGCTATTGCGGCTTTGACCGCTTCATTTTCTGAAAGCCGGGCAGGCTTAGGGAAAGCAGGCCCATCGATTGGGCATGTAGGGGCAGCAGATGAAATCGATATGATCCAGCCTACCACCAGGCCGACTCTTCTGAAGAACATTTTGGGGCACCACAAGCCAAATGAAAAGAACGATAAAAATAAAACTAGAATTAGGATATTATACTTGGCAGTATCATTCCTTTCGCAGGGCTAAATAAAACGAAGACCCAAAAGCAACCCTCGAGGACGTAGGTGAGGACCGGTCCCGTGGGAATATCCAAGGGTCGTGCCCAGATCGTTGGAAATTTATATTGACGATGTATACAGGGGCCTGCCAACCAATAATGAGATGGTCATTTCTCGTGGCTAAAAGCAGAGTTCCGCATTCTCGCGATGGAACCTGGGGTTACTATATAACTCTATGGGGTATCCTAGAAGACGCGGGCCTAGAATTGAAGATAAAGTTATTGCTCGTTCGGTCCAGAGCTAGAATAAGCATGTTGTCGTCAGTTCTGTTGCTAATTATCTCTAGAAAGGAATTTGCAGTGCAACGTTAGGAAATAGCTTGGCAAATTCACGTTATCAACAAAAATCCATAGAAATCTAAGCACCTTCTTATCTAGAATTTGAGAAGTTGTAGATCGCGACATCTATCTAGGTTATTATCTACCGCGAGATGATTGAAATGCAAAGAAGCCCATCGGGCTCGTCCAACGGAGGTAACACTCGGCTTGACTATACCATGAGGAGTATCGTAATGAGTTTCCGTCTAAAGCTAGTATTATGCATGACTTAACGATCCATGTTTATGAACTTGAGATTAGGTATGAAACAGCTATCTTATAGAGTTGCAGAATTGACGTCTTACGCTCACGGATTACCAGGTACAATCCTTGCGTTGGACGGGTAAAGTCATACGCGTAACACTATCACGGGTTGTGGGTGACAATCTGAGATCTTGGCGTCTAGATTGCAACATAAGATTGCCCGTTTCTTGCCCACCGCGGAGGGACGTATACTCCTGCCTGAATAAGGCACACACCGTAAGTTTGTTCTTCTAGTGTCGCAATCTATGTCGGAAATCTAGAAGATCTGCAGGGCTCATCCGCGGACATGACGGCGTTGCGCAATCCCCAGTAATTGCATGTAGATAATATTGTTTCTTACTTGTCAAAAGATATTAAGTGCGATTGCAATATCTGACCTTCTTGTGGCTCGTATTGTGACCTATCGTACGTGATCGTGTAAAGTAAGTCGCATCACATATTATTGAGAGTTGAATCTGTAGCCTTCGGGTTTCTTGAAGATGCAAATTTATTAACCTACGTATAATCGGCTACTAATTGTGGTGTAGCTGGAAGAGAATCTTTAGGAAGCCAGCATTGTATGTAATTGATATGCTATAAGCTAAAAGCGAAGACGTACATCTCCTCACCTACAAGGCTGACACTAACTGAACATTTCGCGCCCTTTTCTACAGTATTCCATACCGATACTTCTTCATTAGTGCAATAGAAAACCATGGTGAGGTTTTAAAACCCGCGAAATCTGACAAGAAGACTCTTTAACAAATTGATATTTCCTAAGACAGTCCTAAATAATTCTAGGCGTCTATAATTCAACCATAAAAGCAACACGATTCTGCTAAATTTCTTTCCTAATTATCACAGGGTTAGTATTTCACGAGCTACAGCTTCATGAAGGTACCTATATCATCCATCAAGATTAGTCCCAGAGCAAAGCATGAGACTATCAACCTGAAGCACCCAAGTAAAATAAATGATATAGATATGTGAGGTGCTATTAAGCCTATATATTATTCAATATGTCTAATGATCAGTTTTATAGACGAAACATGTGGTTTGTGTGTGTTGATTAACAGATTTCACAGCGTCTACTAAGTGCTTACCCCTATTCTACCCCTTTCCAAGGTGATAGTAATACAAACACTATACAAACTCTAAGGAGTTCTAATGCACCTCAAGCCCCTGGAGAAGTCTTGATTGAATATAGGTATCTATTGATGGATTATAATAACTTACCTAGGTACCTACTGGAAATTCTTGGAGTGACTCATGTAACCAAGACCGACGCAACTAGATTGACTAATATAGACGAGTCGCGTAGTCGCGCAAACACTTGTAAACGCGTGTTAAATTTATTAATCCCTTGGGAAATAGCATATCGCGTGCTCGTTTGCGGTTTCGCTTCAGGGGACATTGTAAATGTCTTAGTGGGACTAACAGGTAACATGAATGGACTTGTGAAACAAACATACGTCCCGGTCACAAGTAGAATTGAAAGAACACTATAAATCATGAGATGATTGAATACAGTACGTATGGCTGTGTGACCCGGGTAAATGATGAGGACGGTTGGAGATCTAGGGGTTGTTGAGATCCATGTGACTGGAGCACACATGTTTGATGCGATGGTTGATCTGGTGCATCCTATTCGGGAAGGTATCCTGATGAACGAGACCCTTCATACTGACACCTCTTCATATGCTCCTGTGCATCGTAGTATAGTCGCCTTTAATAAAAGAAACGTGGTTTTAAAGCAGGAACGTTCCCCTTTTTGAATCGGGCCATTTGCATCTGTAACATCACGGACATGAAGCATATCTGCATATAAAAGCCTACGTAAACAATTTCCCGACTTACTGTAGCAGTTCAAGAAGCAACATCATAATGTATTCGGCTATGTTTACCATCTCGGTGCTTTTGGGCATCCTCGGCTCGGCCACGGCAATTCGGCTACCAACTCACCATGGGTCTTTCGTTCAGCTCCAGATACACCACCCAAATGGCAGCACCGTTAACATGTATCTACGAGATTCATACAAGCCAGCCTCCAGCATAGGAGCACACGGCAAACGATTCTATAGTACCTACCATAATGATACGCAAGATTTTGAGATTTGCGCCGAGACCAACTTCGTCGAAACCTCAACTTCGGATTCGGCGCTCTCTAGTGACTGCTCAGCCATTGTGACAGAGCTCAAGGCGAACCCCGGCTTCTTCGAGACTGGTAATTACACAGATAATGAATACAACTACCTTGCCGTGTGTGGAACTTGTGCTTTCGGGGTGTATCGCACAGACGGGTTGAGCTCAGGGGTCAATATTGGTAGTAAGGATGTGGTGGACAATATCAATGTATCTATCATTAGGTGAGTTGTTCTCAATCGCCCGTTCTCCAGCGACTCACATTCTAACGCGATATGTCAGGTTCCCGTATGATGGTCATGTCGGTGCTACAGGTAACTTTACTTGTAATTCGGCTCCGATTGACTGGGCAATATTAAGGGCAACTTAACGACGGTCCATGTTGTATTAGACGGACTGGTTAGGCGTATTCGAAGGATATTGTTCTCTCGTTCAGAAATTCCACCCGTGACTAATACGTTGTTAGGAATAACACTCTTCGTATATTATAACAATCATTGTGCCCACATAAGTTACCAAGACTGCATGAGAAAACTCTGGACTTATTGGCGCTCATTTTGCCTCTCCGGACACCGAGTAATGATGGATGCTCTATTGACTGCTTTTTGGTGGAGATTCCTGATTATGACCCACGGGAGGCCCATAGCTGACCCTCCCTCCATCAAAGCACCAGCTTAGGTATGGACAAATAGATATGCCCCATAAATGCAAATGCCAGCTTCCCAAATGTTTCCGAAGCATTCAAAAACTCGGGCACACACATAGTTTTTGCCTTTCTCTTATTACCACTTGGCTTCCTTGCGCTCCTGGAAACCCTTCAATATGGCGACAATCTTCTCAAGAGCGGCCAAGTAAACTCGCAACTCGGCGGCGACTTTGGCTTGGTCTTCTCCTAGCTTAGGGTAGAAATCTTTGCGGTATGGGCAAGCACTCATGGCGGCAGAGAAAACGGGCTTAATGAGGATGCCGTGATGGGGCTTGAGGGTCGAACCGTACGCGTTTCGGAAGGAAGTTGAGAGTTCTTCGGCTTCTTGAGCTACGTTCTGGCTTAATGCAATGCAGGTGAAATCCAATCCTCTAAGAGAAGTTTGTGGTTAGCTAGTATTTATGATGCGTGGGCGGTTTGGGCATTATCATACCGGTTCAGCCATAGAAGACCTTCAGTGGCAACGTGCTTCTTCGTTTTTAACTCGTTGATGACGAGAGACTGCAGAGTTGTGGATTCGGTAGGGGCAGCGAGAAAGCGGTCACGGAGTTTCTTGTAGAAGTCAGTGCTTTATTTCCCTAGTTTATCTATCATGGCTTTTGATCTACCTTGATGTTGCCCAACATATCAGATTTGACGGGAGAGAAAGCTACGGATCCGAGAACGTCTATCAAGAATTGATGGTAAGTACGAGTTGAGCTTGCATAGAGAAGCACGTGAACATACCGAACATGGTAGTAAGAGACTCGGCGGCATCGAGGAATTCGGCAGTGGAAATGGCATTGTCGTTATCGGCATCGACAGGTACGTCCACAAAAGACTTCTTGAAAGTCTGAAGCAGAGTACCGCCTGGGGGGATCACGGGAGCAGACATGGTCGTGAGTCGTGTAGAAGGCAACGCTACAAGCTAAAGGTCAACGTCTAAAAGCAAGAATAGGTGGATTGAGAGGAATAGTATACGCACGAGATGGCGTTTGTAGATAGAGATGAAGGTAGATCGAGTTAGGAGGGAAGAAGGGCGGTCAACAATGGAGAAGTTATGTAAGTAAAGAAGTAAAGATGTAGGAAATTAAGTGGGTAGGTCTACGTAAATAAAATAGGGGGGCGCTTAAGGGGACTGGGGGATTGGACCGGTGATACAAAATACGTACGACAATAGTGGTAGCTTCAAGGAGTTTTATCGTTTATCACAGGCGGATAGGTACGCTTGTCCACCGAATTGGAGGGGTTAAAGAGGGGGAGGGGGAGGGGTTTGTGGCTGATTATAGCCACAATTTTGTCCCTGAAGAGCGGGGGAGCTTATGTGGCTTTTAGTTTTAGTTGTTTCAATTCACTATCCCTTCGAGAAATCCATGTGACGTCACTATTTCTTGTCTTGGCTTGAGCTGGGAGCAATTGGAAGGTGTGAATGGTTCGATGACGGAAACTAGTTCCAAACTCCGAAATAAGTAAAATACATCGCCGCATACAACCTGTCCTTCTTTTTTATTTTATTTGCCTAGTACTTCGTACATCTACACCAACCCTGTTAGTCCCTGCAGGTTAAGACCAAGCATTCCTGACATACATGTATCAGAGTCTTGGCTTTCATACACGAGGTATCTAACTAATACTATGTAGATGAGAAAAGATCGACATCTCCGTCAGAGCTTGTGCCGAATTGCCGTGACAAGCCCTCCAACATCGACGGTTTACGAAACGATGCCCTGGAAACGGACGGTTATTACACAATCAGACATCCTAATGCCCATCTTGCTTTTTGCCTTAGCTTAGGTAAGATATCTAGTGTGTTAGAACTAAGAAGAAGGCTGTCTACATATGTACATGGTCCTACCATGGTCTTACCCGATCCCAAGACAACGCCATCAGCCACCGATGACGACGTTTCTTTTACATACCTAGGTATATATGTATACCATTCCATTTTCGCACACGATCCAGCTTCCAGAATTCGAGGAATTCCTCAATATCTCCACATATATCCGTAGTTCATTAACACCTCATCTTCCCTTTTTCACCTCCTTCATCGTCGTGTTTCCGTATAGCTCAGTAGATTTTTCTATAATCACGAGCAACGCCGCGACCATATAATTGTATCCTATTTAGCTACATTCTCCGTCTTGCTAGGGCAACTTTTATCTAAATTACCTGCTTGGACGCGCTCGACGTCATCGGTTCCCTCTCAAACTATCCGTATAATTAATGAGACCGTGTAACGATTCACGATGGCTAACTCTCGTGGACAAGATAGCGAGCATGACCACTCCGACTTCACTGACAAATTAAAACATCCATTCCATGACTTGAAAGAAAAACTAAAAGATACACACTTACATGAGGAATTGCATGATGCCAAAGTCAACCTCATACATAAAAAGTAGGTGTATATTTTAGTCACCCTTTTTGAAATTGGTATATTAATCTGGCTTCAGACATAAACTTGGAAAGCTTGCAAATCTTGTAGGTCTCAAAATACACATTCAATGCCGCCTACTTAGTTAGAGAGTTACTCACGGACGATCCCCATGTAGTTTAACCCAGAGCATCGTCACGATGAGCAACACGAGAAGGCCTGTGATGACAAGCGTAACAAGATTTCCGAGGGACATCGTTTCAACTCGTATTTCCCCGAGCGTGATGGCAATCTTATCAAGTGGTACGTCGACGGAAGGGATTATTTTTGGGTGAGTATACCCCTAATAATCCAACGTCTGATCATATCGGCTTATTCCGCTCTGGTAGGCCTTATCCGTGGCTCTAGAACAAGCAAAGGAGACAATCTACATTGCAGATTGGTGGCTTTCCCCGGAGTTATTCCTTCGGAGACCTCCCTACTTTAACCAGGAGTGGCGTTTAGACAGGATCCTAAAACGCCGCGCTGAAGCCGGTGTAAAAATATACGTTATCGTATACCGCGAAGTAGAGGCCGCGATAACTTGCAACTCCGAACATACTAAACATGCTCTACAAAGCTTATGTCCCGAGGGTTCTCCCGGATATGGCAATATCAAGGTTATGCGACATCCTGATCACAACTTCTTAGAAAATGCTGCAGATATGACATTTTACTGGGCTCATCACGAAAAGTTCATCGTCATTGATTATGCGATGGCCTTTATTGGAGGTTTAGACCTTTGCTTCGGTCGCTGGGATGATCACCAACACATCCTCTCGGATGTCCACCCCGAAGGAGTTGCTAATGAAGTTTGGCCTGGTCAGGACTTCAATAATAACCGTGTTATGGATTTCAAGAATGTCCAGGATTGGAAACAAAATGAGCTAAGTAAGGCTGATTATGGGCGCATGCCGTGGCATGATGTGGCTATGGGGGTAATTGGACCTTGCGTCTACGACATCGCCGAGCATTTCGTCCTTCGTTGGAATTTCATCAAACGAGACAAATATAAACGCGACGACAGGTTCGATTGGCTGATGCTACGTGGACGGGAAGGCAAGGATGAAGATCTCGTGGGCGTGCAACGACCGAAGCATCCAGTTGGGGATTACGTGCTTCATCCCTTGACGCCTATGGAGACTAAAAATCTTGATAACCGAGGAAGCGTGCATGCTCAGATCGTCAGGAGTAGTGCGGACTGGTCTAGTGGCATATTGACAGACCACACTATTCAAAATGCATATTCGGAAATCATCCGAAATGCTCAGCATTATGTCTACATTGAAAATCAATTCTTCATTACCGCCACGGGAGATCAGCAATCCCCCATTCACAACACGGTAGGGAGGGCGATCGTGGAGGCTTGTGTAAGAGCTGGTAAAGAAGGACGAAAATTCAGGGTTATCATTATTATTCCTGCTATCCCTGGATTTGCTGGTGATCTCCGCGACGACGCTGCCACCGGAACACGTGCGATTATGGATTATCAGTATAAGTCAATATGCCGTGGGGAACATTCGATTTTCGAACAAATTCGCGCGCAGGGAGTCGACCCCACCAACCATATTTTCGTCTTCAACTTACGTTCCTATGACCGCTTGAACAAGACACCCGCCATCAAAGCACAGGAAGGGATATCTGGCGTAAAGTACCAGGAAGTCCAACGTGCTGAAGCAGAGGAGATTATGGGCGAAGGCATCCACGGCTCCGCAGATGTTGAAGGGGAGCGAGATGAGCACATGGGAAAGAAAGAAGAGCAGAAAGAAATTGACGAGAATACGAGGAGCAATGAGGCCAAGCGCCGTTTCGAAGAAGCTAGACAGGATGGCCACGACACGAAATCGGCTTCTAGTGTTGCTCACCATGCCATGGCAAACACTGGAAATCTTTCGGAGGAGTTATGGGAAGGGGATGCTCAAGAAGAAGTCGAGAATTGGATCCAAGAAGAGTTATACGTCCACGGCAAGCTTCTTATCGTGGATGACCGTATTGTGATCTGCGGTTCGAGTAATTTAAACGACCGTAGCCAATTGGGTAATCACGACAGCGAGTTATCAATTATCATGGAAGATACCGATAAGATCCAAAGTGTCATGGACGGGCAACCATTCGAAGCGGGAAGACACGCAGCCACCTTGCGACGATACCTATGGCGGGAACATATGGGACTATTGCCGCCACAACCTCACGACGCTAGTGACGATCCAAATGCTCAACCTCCTGGAGAAAATTCACCCAATGACATCTGGGATGGAGATGATAGCTACAAGTTCGTTGAAGACCCTATGAGCGACAAGGTCTGGGATATGTGGACCACCAATGCGACAACGAACACAGAAATTTTCAGACACTTATTCCATGCGGATCCTGATGACCACGGTAGGTTTTGGGCCGCTAGAAGTTATCTCACAAAACTCATCACTAACCCGAGTATAGTTAAAACGTTCAACGGCTACAATACCTTCTTACCGCCTAAGGGTGTCAAGGCTGGGCATATTTTCGATAGGTTCTTGCCTCCTGACGATATCCGGAGGAAACTCGACGAGATCAAAGGACATCTTGTGTGGATGCCTCTTGATTACTTGAAGGATGCTAATATGGCCGAGACGGGACTGCAGGTTAACTCATGGACAGAAAGTGTATACACCTAATGAAGTTTCTGCTAATGGATTACTGGGGGTTGGTGTTTGGTGAGTACTAGGCGTCTGTGGCGGAGTTTTGGTCATGTAGGTGTACTCCATGTTTGAATATAGGTGAGGCTCAAGGCTCAAATACCTAATCATTATTAATAAGGCCAAGTTATTTAATACATCAATAAAACGGGTGTCTACGCGAAAAAGAGCCTTAGTTCAATACGACGCCCTGTCACCTTGAAGTGACGGTAAATCTAAAACGTCGTCGGCGGAGCAAGTAGTATTAAGTGATTACGTCGTAGTGTCATTAAATTTGGCAGATAATGTTACCGTCGCGTTGATGTCATATGCGATCTAACCAAACACGCTCAAAGATCGGGTGGTAAGGACAAGACGGACCCGAAGAGGCCATATCCCGTTACCCCCGTATTCACGGGTATACTACGTCGCGCCATACCAAAAATGTACCTTTCCTTCTCCGCAAAACACGTTTTGGTGATCCGTACGTGGCCAATCCCGCCGGGTGAATTGGAAGTTGTCCGCTAACCCCAAATGCCCCCAAGACCAACCAATAGGGCCTCAATGACTGCTTGCCTCGGTGTATGTTGATGCGAGAATCGTCGATATTTCCATGGCGGAACTCCATCACGATGCAACCTGGCTTACGAGGAGCTTGAGGTCTAGGCGCCAATTGATTCTATTCGTATAAAGCAAGTTCTTCTCTAGGTGTATATATAGACTTAGTTCCAGACCTGGTTCCTCATATACGTAATCCCCAGGAAGCTACCGGTTCAGAAAGTAATACTAATCATAATTATGTACCGTTCCAGTTTCTGGGTTGCTGCCTTGTCTGCCTTGGTCTTAGGAAGGCCGGTAGACGAGTGCTCGTCCAAGCCCGCGGCGTTCTTCCTTGCGGGCGATTCCACGACGGCGCCGGACGGCGGATGGGGAGATGGCCTACTATCCTTCCTTAAAAAGCCAGCTATAGGTCTTAATATCGGGAAAAGTGGCGCCACGACTGCCTCCTTTAAGGCCGGGGGATATTGGGCCAACGTGACGCAACACCTAAAGGACAATGCGAACAAATACGATACATATGTGACTATAAGTGTAAGGACCTACGATATAGATGGAGAGGCGGACTTTCTTTTGAACTTGGGCCGATATGTGATACCTATGCTGACGACTTGCGCCTTTGTTGGGCGTGCATTAGTTCGGACATAACGACCAGAAATCGACGAGTGGCGTAACTTTCCAACAGTACCAGGATAATCTTATCAAATTTGCCAATGAAGTCAAATCACTGGGCGGTACACCGGTATGTGCTTCCTGCCGCTCTCCCACGAGGAGAATACCGGGAAAAAGACGGCCCCACGGGGAAGGGAAAAGGGGGGGAGACGTCGAAGATTGTTCGTCACTAATATATAACCTAGCTCCTAACTTCGTCTCTTACCCGCCGAGCATTCCCGTCCGGCCAAGACCACAACGCCACAGACTCACTACACGACCAGCGACTAGCGGCCATTGAAGCAGCAAAACAAACGAAGTCACCGATAATCGACCTCAACGAGGCGAGTCTGAAGTATGTAAACGCCATTGGGAAAAAGGCAGCATATGAGTACAATTACGGCGACGACAAGAAAGACACGACCCACTTGAACCCTCATGGATCTGTTGTCTTTGGTAGGATGGTAGCAGATCTGATTATCCGCGAGAATGCCTGCCTTGAGAAGTTCTTTACTCCTAACGAGACATTAAGCACCGCGATCTGGAATAATAAGCCTGCTTAAAGGGACAAGGATGTTCATAATTTGGTTGTTGAATTGTGGCTATCCGACTTTTGTCAGTTAATAGCCCTGTTGATAGGCTAGGAAGACATAACTACGCCACCGCAGAATACATCAGCATAATATCATTGCTCTGATACTTTTTTTTTAAAATCCGCGCCATTGAACTTCGTCTTTAGCCACCCTCCACCATCTTCCTGATTGAACATGGTATAATTGTTGAAATCTAGGGGTACCACCGCACATCGTAGCCGATTACCATCCCCTTCCGGCCATCTTCTGCTCAGGTCTCATGCTGTTCACGCTAATGCCGACCATCGCTTCCCCGAGACCTTCACTACATTCCGCCAACACCTTGGGGTCTTGGTAATGCGTTGTAGCCCTTACGATAGCCTTAGCCCTCTTGGCCGCGTCTCCAGACTTGAATATGCCACTACCGACGAAGACGCCGTCACAACCCAACTGCATCATCAGCGCGGCATCAGCCGGCGTTGCGACTCCACCAGCGGCGAAGTTAACCACAGGCAATCGTCCCAACTCTGCCGTTTGCTTTAATAATGCAGCATCGCATTCAAACTCCCTCGCTAAAGCCCTAATGGCCAAATCACCACCTTCTTGAAGCGTGGCCTTCGCTCTTGCAATGTCTCGGTTGACGGTGCGCATGTGCTTGACAGCCTCGACGACATCTCCCGTGCCTGCCTCACCCTTGGTACGGATCATGGCCGCACCCTCAGCGATACGCCTCAAGGCCTCGGGTAGGTTCCGGCATCCACAGACGAAAGGGACCTTGTAACCGCTCTTTTCGACATGGTAGAGGTCATCAGCGGGGGTAAGAACCTCACTCTCATCGATGTAGTCCACGCCGAGAGCTTCGAGAATCTGGCACTCGACGAAGTGGCCAATGCGGGCCTTAGCCATGACGGGGATAGTGACGGCTTCCTGAATTTCCTTGATCTTGGCCGGGTCCGACATGCGTGCCACGCCGCCCTCGGCCCGAATGTCAGCCGGGACACGCTCCAGAGCCATGACGGCGCAAGCACCAGCCTCCTCGGCGATGCGTGCTTGGGCGGCGTCTGTCACGTCCATGATGACGCCACCCTTAAGCATCTGTGCCAGTCCTGCCTTGACAATGAAGTCAGACTTGGAGAAGGATGGCAATGCCGTACCGTTAGAAGGCGCCGAGGTGTTGCTTGCACTGTTGTTCGTCATGGTTGTTGAGTGTTTGGACTCTTTGTTAGATAGCGGGGTTAAATGTTTTGATTTCTTTTTCCTAAGATGATGAGGGGTGATTCTATTTCTAGACTTGGCGGAAATAGAATCTCAAAGAAAACAAAAGGAAGATATGACGTTCAAGATATCAATGTATGTAGGTGATATTGGAATATCTTCAACCCATTCATCCACTTGGTCACTTACTTTGTTTAGGTATTTATTATTACTCATTCACTTTTTTTTTTTTTTTTTGGATGTAAGTGTTAGTATTTTTTGCCGTCCATACCCGTAATTTTTTAGAGCGGAATTTGTAGGGGACCGGCGGAACTTTAGTTACTTAGATAGCCATTATGAGATGGGAAGTAACAAACAAGGACCCTTCTCCTTTTACCAATCAGAAGACTGCCCGGAATCCAAATGGGGTCGCGCCCTTTCCTAAGACAGGCTTAGATTGAGAAGTTTAAAAGACCTGTTAGCGTGCGATTCCGATAATTTGAAAATTTTACAGCGCTTGAAAGCGAAGAGATCATGTACTTCCCCCGTACTTCGGGCGGGATGACGCATACGGACCGCCGGTCTCGGGGCCAATTCGGTACCCCCCAGTTACTACTCCCTCATACAATATGCGCATAGTAATAAGCTATAGACGCTAGTCTAATGACACTTAGTTTATGTTATGCTACGCCGAGGAGAATTTCCGCGGGATGCGGCGAATATACGTGACTAAGCACTGATATAGAGAGAATACGCCGAACTTACGTGCGTACATGTCTTAACACGCCTTACTAGGACATGTCTATCTGAAATAACGGAACTGGAAAAGAAAGAATAATCGAATAAAAGACTATTATTTACCTGTCATACAAATACTTACACCCGAATAAGTTAGATACGCTTGCACCGTCTTGATTCCAGGTTATAGGTCCTTGTAACCTACCTCTCGGTCAAATCCCGTCTATAGTGTTCTAATCCCGAGTCGTTGTTTGATATCGGTTGGCGAAGGCACAATAATTCCGACTTCCTTCCACCTTCCCAAAGGAAATTCTTCTTCAAGGGACAGGTTACGGATCCCTCCGATGAAAACGAACATGGTGACCATCGGCGTCCTCGCACTCCAAGGAGGGTTTTCAGAGCATCTCAGCTCTTTGCGCAAAGCAGCCGCATACATCACGAGTTCTTCACCACCAATACCGAGCCTTGACTTCATCGAAGTTCGGACACCTGAGCAACTAGCCCGCTGTGATGGCTTGGTCATACCAGGAGGGGAGAGCACGACCCTGTCGCTTGTAGCGGCGCAGTCTGGATTATTGGATCCGTTGCGAGAGTTTGTCAAGTGAGTACGACCTGCGCGCACGATCGCAAACGAAGGTAAATAGAGAGATGAAATGGCTAATGATTCGACACCAGAATTAGCAAAAAGCCAACGTGGGGCACATGCGCTGGTCTTATCTTCTTGTCCGAGCAAGCGAGCGCCACCAAACGAGGCGGCCAGGAGTTAATTGGGGGACTTAATGTCAAAGTTCACCGCAACCACTTTGGTCGACAGATAGAAAGTTTTGTAACGGACTTGGAATTGCCATTTTTATCTCAAAATAGTGATGGGACACAAGCCGCTCCTTTCCCAGCTGTTTTTATTCGAGCGCCTGTTGTAGATCAGGTGCTGACCGACGACGTTGGGTCCATCGACAATAAAATAGAAGATACAATACCAGGGATCGTTGCACAAGCTTCTAAGGATCGGGATCAGGCTTTGGAAGGGAAGGTCGAAATTTTGGCAACCCTTCCAGGGCGTCATGCCTCAAATAAGAAAGCTGAGGTGGCAAGGACAGCAGCCGATGCAGATTCCCAAGCTGTGTCTCCTAAAGGAGCGGGAGACATCGTGGCGCTAAGACAAGGGAATGTATTCGGGACGAGCTTCCATCCAGAGCTCACGGATGACATTCGAATCCACGTATGGTGGCTGGAACAGATAATACGGTCATACAAATGAAATAAATGATTTCAATATTTAAATTGGAGAATCCCAAAAGAGAAATGAACTGCACTCCGAATACATCAAAAAGCATAAGTGGCGTTTCTCTCTTATGCTCGATACCTTGACTATTTTATGCACTTCCAACACTGAAAGTTCCATCTACATTCGCTTCATTCAACGTTCATATCTAGATACCCACTAGTATAAATGCATGTATGTAAGCTGGTATAAAAATGCTGTACCCCGCCTACCGATCCGTATAGGGGGCCGGATGCGCCCGAACTGCCCCCCAAAAATATACCCAGATAAGTGATTTACGCCCTATCCCCGATCTAATACGGTTAGATACACGACTAGGTACTTTGGTCAACTCCCATTCATGGATGTAACTTATGACTTGCGGGGTACGTGAAAGAAGAGTGGTGGTCAAGAATGGGGGTTGTGTAATGTACTTACATGTATACCTCGTAGATGAGTGTCTACCTAGGTACCTTGAGAAAGCGTCCCTTTCTTATCATGCCTCACTGCATCATATAGCGAATGGGATCAGTGGAATTCGCCTTGAACACTGATTATCCCGATGCATTGGTGTTCTGTGGTGCTTGTGTTTGAGCGTACAGGTAGATAGAAAGCTTAAGCGGGGTATTGATTTGACAGCTTGATTTGAAGGACTTACCTAAATCAACGCCTTTCTAACTATCTGTATAACTGAGTTGACTGACTATCTTCATCTATTGAACATGGGAAAGAAGAAGGTACTCGTTGGGTGAGTCTATTCCACCTAGATACACGCACTCAGGTCGTGGTGGCTAAGATAGTTCGGGAATAGTTACGGCGTAGATATTGATGCTGTTGCTGGCTGGCTAGGCTCCTATGGAGGTGAAGACAGCACCAGTGATATCAGCAGAGGTGAGGTCCCCTGCCTTACAGACACGCAAATTCGCTACTTTACGTGTTGCCGTATTTCGTACTGACTCCAGGTTCCTTTTCATAGGAATCTGGGCTGGCACAATCGGAACCCGTCGTCTTCTTAAATTGTTTGAGAAATACAATATCAAGGCATCCTGGTTCATACCAGGTCACTCGCTCGAGACATTCCCCGAAGAATGTGGCATGGTGAGAGATGCCGGCCATGAGATAGGTCTACACGGATATTCTCACGAGAACCCGGTCGACATGACTCTCGAACAACAGCGGGATGTACTTGACAAAACTTATAGACTTCTTACCGAGTTCTGTGGCAAACCCCCAAGGGGCAGTGTTGCACCTTGGTGGGAGACGAGTAAGGAAGGGACCGAGTTGATGCTTTCTTATGGCATCGAGTACGATCATTCCATGTCTCACGAGGATTGTCAGATGTATTGGCTTCGAACTGGTGATACCTGGACGAAGGTAAGTGTGACCAGAACACTCGTATCCTAAATATATAGCTTTGTGCGAAGGCTAACATTAGTCCCAGTATGCCATATGATTCTATTTTACTGCATATTGGGGGGGGGGGGGGGGGGGGCGGGGGGGGGGGGGGGGGGGGGGGGGGGGGGGGGGGGGGGGGGGGGGGGGGGGGGGGGCA